GATATGGTGAGTGGTGGAAGCGTAGCGAAATATAGGCAAAATATGGTGGAATGCCTACATTCATTACAATAAGCATAGGGATATCAAAAACATCTCTCTTAACCGTCCAGCAGTAACTGCACTCGACCTTCCCATCTCGGAATCCCAACTGATTCATCCCAGCCTCACCGGCAATCCGACTCTTGCCCCACGCTTGTTTCGGGGATAACTTCATAGACGACGCACCAGAAAGATCGTTTGGGATGACATTGACATTTCCATTGGCATTGACGTTGGTCGCGTTATTGCCACTGCCATTACTGACACCGTTAACTGCTGATGTCGTTCCGTCTCCAGCACCAGCACCAGCGCCATCATTGGCGTCCGTGTCATCGGCAGCGGTGCCACCACCACCAGCAGCAGACACCTCCCCGTTGCTATTCCGAAACAATCCTACCCCATCTTCCTTCGTCTTATACTTCAACAGCTTACACGTAGTCATAACACTACCCCGCGAATCACCAAATGCCAGCTTCGCGAAATCCTCATAGAACTCAATCACACTGTCGTCATCTAGTAATTCAGCGAGGAAGACCGGCTGCGTGCGCCCCGTGGGTAGACTCTGATTGTCCATCACCGTCATCGTTGCGGAGTTGCGCGAGTTATATGTACTGCTACCACGCGACGATACACCAGACGAAGAAGAACCGCCCGTATTGACATTCAAATTCGGCTCCTTGCCCAATAATACCTCCTTCTTCCATCCGGTAAGGATGCTAAACTCTTTTCCCACAGCGGCAATCTCTCCCGTCCGTCGACAAACAATCGTCGGCGTCCCACACGCATCAATGAAATCCTCATATTCCCAGAGTGTGCGCTGAAAACACTTCTCCATAAATATAAGATCGTCTTGGTTTAGCGTCTTGGTCGTGGCGATGAATGAGGGGCGGATGGATGCAAGCGCCTTGGCAATTTGCAGGGTCTTCTGTGGCGAAAAGCGCCGTTGGATGAAGGCCGTCAGGCTGTGGAAGCCACTTGTGTAGGAGTACGGTTCCTTGACGCTTTCGTAGATTGAAGAGGGGCTGCGGTAGCGACGTTTCACACCTACTTGCATGTTTTTGAGGCTGGGGGTCGATATTCGTGGTGGCTGTGGTTGCTGCTGATGTTGGGTATTCGTTGGAGGCATGAGAGTGGTTCTGGATGAGAAATTAACGCTGGGATCATCAAATTGGGTTACTGTTGTCATCTGCGGGCTTTCCGTCGAGCTGGGACTGGCAAAATTCATCGGCGCACTCTCGATGGCGAACGCGTGCGGGTGATCAGCCATCTGGCCTGAGACGCTATTCTGATTGTAGATATTTCGGGAATTGGTCTGGCCTTGCCCAGCCGGATTCCAGTCATTGAGCACCGGGTCGCCGCCAAATAGGAAGGGGGATTGGTTGCTGGAGCCTTCTCCGAAGTTTTGCACCGTAAATGTACCAGAACTACGCCCAATTGATCCGCGCCGGGTGGCAGAGTCGCTGGGCGGAGTGTCTCCGGCTCCCGTAGCCAAATGACCTAGCATTCCGAATTCCAAAGCCCCATACCGATTTCCAAAATTCATGCTGGCAATGTCAAAATTGAACAGTGCAGGGTGACTTGGGTCGAAGAATGTCGGGCCATAGGGATCGGGGTTTTGAGAGGCGCTGGAAGATGGGGTAGTGCCGGAATTTTGCGCCATAGACGGGGAAAGAGTGTGATTTTGCGGATTGGAGGAGAGATCAAAAGTGGGTGACGCGGGGGGCTGCGCTTGGAATGCGCTGGGGTTCATTGTGGCATCCTGCATTACTCTGGAGGGCATGTGCTGGCTTTGTCGCGATTTCGCCTGGGTGTAGACGGTGTTGTAGTTATTGGTAGACGGCGTCGAGAAGAAATTGGTTGAGACATCTTGGTGCGAAGGTTTGTTGTTGCTGTTGGTGTTGGTGCTGTTGTTGTCACTGTTAGAATTGGTACCATTTCGTTGTTGCGAGTTGGTGTTGATTTTATTTCGCGCCGCCTGTGCCTGACTGTAGAGATTTCCTCGAATGCCTGGTATGAGAGCTTCGTTCGGGGCATCATGAAGATATTTAGCTTTCTTCCGTACGCCGTCGTGACATGTATCTTGTAGCCCACGCTTGATACATCGCTGGCAAGGTCGCTCATCCCCTTTTAAAAGTAGTTTCACACCATGTCAGTTTTCAAAATTTCCCCAACAGCAATGCACAACAATTAGTAATAAGAATATTAGTAATAAAATCAAAGTAGAGGAAACTGGAACTATTTTCAATCAACCTCTCTCTGACTGACTTTCTGTCACGGCGTAATGAGCGGCAGGGGTAAGGAGTCAGGGCAGATCAATGATCATCCAACATAAGGATTATAAAATCGAAAGGAGTGAATAGGTAACCCAATTGCTTGAGTGGTGGGGTAAAATGCTAGGAGGAAATCACAAAACAACGAAGATTAACATACCACATGTCAAATGTGCCCTCTGGCAGGCAAAACAAGCTCTCTTCGCCTTCTTCCTCCTTGGGCGAAGAGGGTCTTTGGCGCTCGCATTGTTGGCACTGGCAGCTGTCGATGAAGTGGAAGGTCTCTGATGACCATTTGCAACCATGCCATTGCCAACTCCTTTGCCGTTGGACAGAGGTTGCGGTCGCGACTCGGAGGAGTCCCAGTCTCCGGGGTTGTTGGCCGTTGTCATGGTGTTTCGGGATTCTTGTTCTGCAGGGGTAGTAGTACTAGGAAGCGCCGGGGAGGGTGACGGCGATCCATTTCTGGCGCTGGAGGTCATAATATGCAGATGTGGGGATATAGAGATATATATAGAATATCAATATATATATATTGATTTACCTAGGAGGGTGGGAGGGATGGCTGTGCAAGAGATGTGGGGGGCTAGTAGGGCTAAAAGAAATGCGGTGCGGCGGCAACAGAGAAGAAGGGGGGGGTAGGGGGGGTTTGGGTGGGGGATTTCTACTGTGGCTGCGTCCTGTCGATCGATGCGATGCACACGTTTGTAGTTGGAGCTTTTCTTTCGTCTGCAAATAGCCGAAGGTGTTTTCCTTCCCACCTATCCTTGTGAATTAATATTTACTTATTTATTTTTTTTTTTTCTTTGAAAAGAAATAGAAAACCCATTTATATTCCTCTTTCCATTTTCCCCCTCCTTTTTTATATTTGATTAAAAGGGCAAAGACCCCCCGAATACTAATTTAAAAAAAAAAAAAAGGTTGCATTAAAAGTGAAAGAGATTCTTACTGAGACGTATCAAACCACAAACACCACACTGTGTTGAGACCTGTAGGGTAATGGCTGCTATTGATAAGGCCTTCGAATTAGGGCTGACAGCACCGACACGCACGAGCGGTTCGAGTGTGGTAACACAGCAGCTGTGAGGTGTGCTTCAGCCAAGCAGAGGAACAGCAGAGGAACAGTAGAGAGTGGGATCACGCGACCAACGGCCAGGGCGTTGAGAAATCTGACTGGAGGATCTAACCTAGTGCAACACGCGAGCTGATCGAGTCTAGTCGATTTTGGATGGGCGAGGTGGGGGGAGAGGGGCTTGAGAAGCGAAGGGGGAGACGGCTCGGTGGGGGTAGAGGCGGAGAGAGAGAGAGAGAGAGAGAGAGAGAGTGAGAGTGAGTGAGTGAGAGTGAGGGGGGAGGGGGTGGCAGAGTAAACGAGGTCAACCAAGCTAGGTCAAAACTTGCCGTCAGATAACTCGGGCTGAAGACAGAATCACAGAGGGACAAGGCTGTCACGAACTGACGAAGTCGTAGCGAATGGGCGCGTGGAAAGCGTGGCTGATGGCTGAAAAGTGACGATGCGACATCACAGAGGGGGAACCATGGAACTGACGGTAGTGCAACCTGGAGAAACCCTACGAAGCGGCAGTTGGTGGTTTGTCCGAGGCGGCGATAGGGGAGGGATTGTGATGGGGAGTGCTGTGATTGCGGTTGTGACTGCGATGGTGATGGTAGTCAATATGGGATGGTGGTTATTAGATTAGCTACGGAGAAGCCGGTGGGAATTTTAGATCGTGGTTCAAACAGGGCCGGACGCACGGTGGACGGGAAGGCGGGTAGCGCGCATTGACAGACATAGGGGAGTGTTGATCGGACTGGGGCTAATACGGAGGGATGTAGAGAGGAAGAGGAATCGGCGGCATCAAGAGGGCCGGGGTATAAGGGGGTGGAAGCAGGGTTTGGCGGGCGGGCAGGGAAGAGAAAAGGGCGGGGGTGGAAGATACAGGATGGTGGATGGAGAGGAGCGGGGAGAGAGGGGCCACCAGAGGAATGGAATAAGAGACGGATAAGAGAGCCGAGTTCTATGCGAGCAGGGCGTATGGTAGATGGAATGAGGGAGGAGAAAAAGAAAGGAAGAGAGGAACAGGGAAAAAGCAAAGAAGAGGAGAGAAGAGAGCAATCAATCGGTGACTGACTGACTGACTAACTGTCAGTTCAGCAGCAAGGAAGTTTTTTCCTTCAAGAAAAAGAAAAGAAGAAGAAGAAGAAGAAGAAGAAGAAGGGAAAAAAAAAGACGGTTAAAACACCTGCAGGGGAACAGACAATATCCCAACACTGGAGACTGCAAATGATCAGCTTCAGCTGTGTACGTACGTAAATAAATAAAAAAAATTGGTTCTTCTACTTAAAATATCCTTATTCCCGAGAATTTTCATGTGTCTCGATATCATCTCTATGGAAACAGCCATTCACGAGAGCAAGTTACCCACTGCATGAATACACGAAAACACATATATAAATAAACTACATAATTTACACCGGCATTTTGCTGTTTCTGTCAATCCGTTGCCGCCCATGGCCACCTGATTGATGACAGAGACTGAATTTGTGTGATTATTGTTCAAATCTTCAAGGAGCAACAGGAGGCGTTAACCTTGGAAAATCCACCCCGAGGCTTTTGCATCTCTTAGCAAGACTTGGGACAAAAAGAGCAATCGAGAATGCTTAAGGCAAAGGAGATGCAAAGATGGATAGCCCGTCTTTCACACACTCCTCAGACAATAAGCATGCGGATATGTTTCAACCTTGAAAGCCGAACATTTAACGACGCGGGGAAAGCTTTTCTGGCGATTGAAGAGTTAGGTGTGTGGGGCGGGGGGGGGGGGGAGAGACTCCTAGCCAGTCTCGGATATTATTTCTGCAGATCGCACACTCTCAGAAGAGCTACGATGAAAATGGATGAATGGATCATTTTTGTTTACTGTTCAAGCAGTCGGTTTACAGTTGCGGATTCGGCTCCGGGGCACGCGACATATTCTCGGGTATTAACTAATGGCTCAACCATGGGCCACACACAGCTCGTATCCACGTCTCCCTGTTCCAGATTCATGCCGAGGTCAAGCTCCGACCTGCTTCCGCGCGGGGGTGAAGCAGCGAATTCGGAGCGCCAACCAAACATTCGTCGCAAGCGCTGGGCACGGTTCAATACCTGCATCCCTGTATCGTGCTGGTTAAAACATCCATTAACTAAGAGTATATATAATTCACCATATCGTAGGGACGCAATTTTTCAGCAGAGGCGAGCCTTTCGTTCAAACTGGTTACTTTTTGCTCAGCTTGTGCTCAGCTTGTGATACCCCAGGGAGGGGGGGCCAAAGCCCGTTCCAGCAGAAATGAAAATCCTGACCTCAGTTTCAGCTTTAGAGCTCTGCATCTCTCTCACACAAGGGGCCTTGCGCGCTCTCAAAGTCGCCCGATCAGATCGTCGAATTTCATCACAACTGCCAACATGTCTTTAGAAGGCTCCAAAGTTCCGGTGTCATTTATCCACGTGAGTGTCTCGCAGCAACAGAACAGAAAATAATAATAATAATAATAATAATAATAATAATAATAATAATAATAATAATAATAATAATAATAATAATAATAATAATAATAATAAAAATAAAAATAAAAAGAACAAAAGAAAAAGAAACACATTTAAAAAAGCAATTTAAAGCACTTCCAGATCGCGAGCCAGCATCGCGAAACCGATGAATAGGCTCGATTGGATCAATGACATCGAAGGAACCGTGGGGGAACAGTGAATAAATGGACCAACTACCACCGGCTTCAAGTCCTGTCTCCTGACTCCTCAATGGTTGAAAAGACTTCCCCCTTGACCGCCCTTTTTGTTTTCTTTTCCCATGCCCATGCGTCCCATGTCCATGTGGGAGAGATATGGATATGGGCGTTTTGGTTTCCCCTGTTTTCTTGTCCTTTTGCTTCCCTCCCCGCTTATCTTCACCGTTCTTGCTTTGAACACCACCATTTTTGCACTGTCAATCGCCGTTCCATCCGGTGGCCGAGTAACTAGTTACAGACATGATGTCACGGCTATTTTATGCGTGAATAGCTTCCACGGAGCATGCCCTCGCCCTGGCCATTGGCATGAACGCCTTGACCTTCTTCCCCTCTCCCACTCAATCCACGGAACCCTCTGCGCACCATTTGCTCTAATCAACCATTAACTTCATCTTCCGGTCTGTATCTGAGGGATTCGCCGATCAATTGCCGTTTGTACACACACATGAAGCAGCTCTCTCATGTAAATTCTCAACGGGCAGCAATCCAGCGGACGCAGGCAGTTAAGAAAGTCACTTGAACGATTTGGCATTGAGTTGGTCAGGCCCCCTGTCAGGTGTTAACCTTGAAAGTCCGTCCCAGAATCGGTAATGGTCGTAGAATGGCCGGGTCGCAGAGCCTCTGAGTGCCTCAGTTGCTGAGAAAGAAATGAATTTGCCAGCCTATAAGCGGGATGCGGGCGGGCGGCAGGCCCTAAGGCTCACTCGTGGCTTTTTAGTCCTTTGTGGCTTGTTCACTTGTCAGCAGCTGCGCATAGAAAGAAGCATAGGATCTGGCTCAGACACGATTCGGAAGTTGTTTGCCGTTTTTGACTATCTATATTCCTCCTGTCCGCAGGAATCCAGTTGGGATTTTGACCGGGAATTCAAAGCAACCTATTATTAGGTATTCTTTACATATCTCCCCTCCCAATCCATACTGCGGAATTCCAGGAGAAGTGAAAGCGGGAGAGGAAAAGAAGCAAAAGAAAATTTTTTTAAAGAGAACGGAAACGCAGCCGTTGAGAACAGAATGGAAAACTTTATTTCAGTATAAAGTCAGATCCTCAAAAAAGTGGACATACGGCCGGGCAAAATGCAGATTACACATCTATGCGGTCTTTGCTGGATTTAATGTAAGCAGCTTACATTGTACTAGAGATTGGGGACTAGCCTTTGCCAAAACCATCGCCTCAAGCTCATCACATGTATGTGATGCTGCTACTGTCTAAGAAGCTGTCCTTTTGATTTTGCCCTGATCTTGAAATCCACCATGGCCATGGAGTTGAATAGGGCCGGCATGGCTCTGCTGGCATCCAGAATTCGGCCGAGTTGCCATGGTCCCTGTTGGAAGGAAGAATTCATCAGATTTAAATTATACAGAGGTGTAGACCCTTAAGATCCGATACTCTAGGAGAAGAGGCAACCTGGGTGACCGATTTAGCCTATGGAGGGAGAGATGCGACACAACCGAAGAATACAGCTGAAGCAGAATTTCGAGAAGCGTTATCGAAGAAATGTCTATCGAGATTATGAAACCCAACATATCCCTTTCAATCTACTTCTCTTTTAACCCCCTTCGTCAACCCCCTATTCTGCATGCCGGACTCTGTTTCTTACCACGAGACCTCAAGGACTATGAAGTGTCACAGCACGGAGGCTCTTGAAGACGGAGACGTGCCACAGGAAAACTCTCTGGATCCCTACGAATGCACGAGGAAGCATGCTCCAGCCCACGCACGTCAAACTCGAAATTGACCCCCTTTTTTTCTTTATCTCCCGTCTCTACTTTCCGGGGGACATCCGGTTTGGTCCTTGCATATAATTCCCCCGTCAATCTGCCAGCTTGCCGCCATGCATATACTCCGCTTTAATGCAATATAGAGATGCCAACATATAGCATACGCACATGCGTAGACAATGCTTGATGGTATCCCACCTTGGTATCTCTATCCCATTGGCTGTCCATTGCAATACTTTATGGTTGAAGGTTCGTGTTTGGCGCGGCGCAGTTAAGATAAATCTACCCTTTATCTCCGAGTGTAACCGTTCGAAGTCGTGCAACAGGTCTGAAGTAGACAGTGGGATCTAAATTCTAAATTAATCAAGCACTTGAAAGGAAAATGTGAGATGCAACAACAACAACAACAACAACAACAACACATCTTTTCTTTTACGTTCCCTTTTTCCCTTTATACAACGAAGAGGTTAGTAGATCAGTCATCAGCGGTGCATACCAGTTGCACATCGTACACCGTAAACACCCTCGTTCTCCACACACAACAAAAGCAGGGGGACGACATGACAACTGCAATGAAACCCGCCACAGCCAGCTACAACTGCGGCATATTGTCCAGCTTATATGGATACCGTGGAAGACTCATAGAGAAGTAGAGATGACAATAGCACGGATCCGTTGTTGCTGTCAATTCTGTATTCTGTATGCAAATTAGGACACGGGCAAGAATAAAAACGGGCATTAGCGTTCTTATATCTGGCTCATACATGTGCAATCGGCATGTATTACCATATTCGACGTAGGAAATAAGGCAGAAGGAAGATTTGTTGTACAGGTATAGTATCCACCTTATATGTCGTGCACTCTTCATCCCGTTCATGCATGTGTGCAATGCGCGTAAATGCAGCGTAATGGATTTTGGAATAAAAGGGGTATGTTTAGAAAGAAGTATATAATCAGGTAGTAGATAGGTTCAGTCTTACCCAAGCAAGAAATGAAACGAACCCATGCCCTGATCGAGCAAGTTAATGCGCCATAAGAGAGCTGATCGATGTGATTGTGCAGGAAATTGTGCAGGAAACATAACAGCTCGCCATGCCCAGCTGTTCGATTGCAACTCGCGTAGTTGTGTACTGGCATATTAACTATATTATGCCCCTCAAAGCTCCGCAAATGGATCTGTTCAAGGCTAGATCTAATTCATCTGAAAACCCACTGATCCCTAAACGGTAAAACAATTCGGAAGATTGTTCAGGGACTGAACAGCATATCTGACGCTTGCTTCACTGCAGACAACAAGTCGGAATCAGGGATAAGAGAAATAGAAAGTGTCCGGCAGCCGGTTAGTTAGCTGTCGAACCACAAACAAGATAGGCAAGCTCATAAACAGCAGAATTTTATGAACCAAGAAAAGGAAAAGCAAGTAAACATATCTTTTGCGGTAAACATAGTCTCAGTTGGAAGTATGGCATCCAGGTTGTCGGCCCAACAAATTTCCGAGAGGCTGTCTTCGTCCCTTTTCAAACCGAGTCTTGGCACTCAAAAGCACATTTCGCATCCTCCGTTTCTTCTTCTCTTGCATCTACATTGGAAGCCAACTTTCGAAACCCGCGAGATGACTGCTCAATATCAGAGTCTAGCATCTAGCATTAGAATGGACCTGTGCCTCCTTAATTGGATGCATGCATGTTTTACAGCGCTAAAATTGCGGTGTTCACATTCATGGATACGCTGATAGCAGTCTCCCAAGTGCATTGTTAACAAGAATGAGAGAAAACTCATGCAATGGTGTGCACTGAAGCCCAATCTTCAGAGATATGGGTCTGGGTGCATGGATGCTGTGATCCCTGTTGGGGATAATGTGAGTGGTCCACGCGAAGAGCTTCCGCGCTGGTGATATCGGTGCCGGCTGGCCTGTCGCTATCCCTAACTAAAGGGAAAATAGAATCAGCTTTTGTGGAAGGGTGTCGGATATTGGAGAACAAATTTTTACTATGTCAGGATCAATCCCGCTCGCGATCATTTATCCGCTCTGCAAACCGGCGGGTGGCGTTGGGACTCGAAGGAATAAGTGTTTTTTTTAATTCAATGGTATCGTTTGGATTTTATACCACGAAGTTCGCTTTTGTTAACATATGGTGGCAGAGAACCTTAGCTGTTTAGCGTGCACATGCTTCGGTGTCTTGATATAACTGTTGTTGCTGGTAACTGCCATCCTGTAAACCGGGGAATCAAACGGACAAAAAAAAAAACCAGGGACGCCTGAGTACCCAATTCACACGATGCGTCAGCTTGGGTCACAAACCTAAAAGCTGACTGCCGGCATTCCTCCAATGACCTAGAAAATATATAAACATGGTTCTTGTGTTCATCGCTGTTGCTGCTCATGCAGTTTCTGCTGTGTATGTATGCGCCAATATGGCTATATCCATACGAATGAACCCAGTTGTCAATCTGGACGTCACGACAACCGCTCCATAAGCCTTTCTGTCCTAGACCCCCTCTTGTCCACGTTACTAGACATGGAGTATTGCTGGGGCCATTGTAGCGTCTAAGTGATTATCTCACCACCGGTGATACTTCAATGAGACTACGGTCCCATTTTTCCACTTGCTGGACCACTCATGAGTCTTGAGAGCAGCATTCATGCTTAATCTGCGGGAAGCTTTGGCCAGGACTACCCGCGGATACCTCGGTTCCGAATTGTGCTTCCAATTTCTCGTGTCGGCAAAGGCCATGAAAGCCTTGTGCCGTTGCTTTCCCCCAAGACTCCAGGTCACTTCGGTTAGACGTATATTAATGCGTAGGTTGTCTGCCCCTCGCATCATCCCCCCATAGACTAGCCGCGGCAAAAACAAAAGACCCTTACAAGATGAATCCACGATTCTATCAACTGAACTCCCAACACCCATCAAAAACTGATGACGCAATTCATACCAGCATAACTGCACGTTATGTTGACACTTTCCTTTTATTGACGTGGCGATTTCCTGTGGACGCCGCACACATGGATCTCGAAAGCTTTAATGTCTCCTTGCCAGATCACTCTCGAATCAAATTGTCTGTGACCCCGCGCTCCCGTTTGTTCTTCTTTTCGCGAGGGGAAAGAGGAGAGCTGGAGGTGGGGGAGGATCTACAGTACACAGTCACAATAGGTGGAACAAGCGGAAGAGGCCGAGGAAAACCCGCTAATAATTTTCTGTTCCAGACAATTTTGCCCAAAACCATGCATATTAGTCAAATAAAATGGGGAAGGACTGTTGACTGAGGTTTAAAAGATATCAGGTACGGGACCACATCAAAGTTGAAACAGAGCACGGATCAGAAAATCAGCATGCTCTCTTAAACGTCATCCAATTCTCTCTTCAAAGGTAACATGGAGTTGTGTTCGTTCGGTTTCGAGAGCCGGCGTCATCAATAATTTAATCAGCGAAGACTAACCCCCATGTTCGGGTAAGGGTATCCGATAGATATCAGCAGACGACAGATGATCCCTAGTTTGTTCGTTCGGCTTGAAAATTCGAACTTCTTAGTGAAATATTATAACTCTGAAGCTTTTATAGTAGCTCCCAAGGGAAGCGAAGATCTAAGTTATGTTCGATCGGGAGTCAAAGCTCGATCACTAGTGTGGAACAGGAAAAAGGGGCTATCTCTTTTACGGGCCTTATCTGAGAAACAGAGTTCCAGCATTTTCAACCCGAGGATTAGTTACTTGGCGGGAAACCAAAATTGTCCTGAAGTTTAACCTTCACATTTGGAGGTTTATCTCAAACTGTACCATTATTGTTCAGGACCTGAACCTGACTCCGATATCCTTGTTCCATCAGCCATGCTCTTCCAGCTTATATGAGTTTATGTTACTTTCAGATCTATATGCCCTGAAATTTCGGGATGGCCGTGGCACAAACTCTGGAACTAATTGTGGATAAAAAACTTGCGCCTGGTGAAATATCTGACTACCAGTACTTTACATACCCCCCTCCTTTCCAGTTGTGCTGAAATGCTACTACTAAATAGGATGTGCAAGAATCTTAACTGATACATGGACGCAGAATCGATCTATCATATATATCGATCCTATCCTCTTCGTTTCCTGTACAAGGCCATTGTAAAAGCACAGATCAGACAGCTCAGCTGGCATCGACTGGGTTTTGGAGGTTCCATCACCCCACTTCCAGCAAAGGTCTGGAACTATGATAGAGGGGTGCTGGACAAACCAACTAAAGAATACTAGAGGCAGACTACTCCGTACACTGATTTGATCTTGAATCCTAATTTCTCTAGTTCATATGCAAGTGCGGGAACCATGCGTAAACTCAAATGTCTCGACATCTCAAATTGACTGCAGATAAATTTTCTGTCCATACCCTGTTCGTATCGACATTGGCCTCAATTGAAATCATCTCGTCAAATCACAAAGACTGCCATGTTTATCCTCGGTCTCCAACATAGCCTTATCCTGCGGGAAAAAGCAAAGACGGCTATAACAGATCGAAGTTACGGAAGGAATTGTCATCCTGCGATATCAACTAGCAGCCATTGCAGCGATGCAAGTATTCCAAGCCACCAAGCGAAGAAAAAACAAAGAATGGAAAGGATAATAAGGTTCATGCAACGTAACCACGTCGTGATAAACCAACAAATAAACTTATCTTATCAGTTGCCCCGCCTTTCGCGAAATTTCTGCTTGAAGACTTGAAAAAGAGGGATGGTTAAGAGGATGTGATTCATGTGTTTCCACTTTGAATTTTCATTTGAGGAGATGCACCGGAAACGAGCGGGGAAGCACAACTGCAGGCGCACATGACATTAGGAATACCTTAAATTTGAGGATACGCACAGCATCATCGAGATGAAATGAATAATGGAGGGGATGGCGGGGTTGAATGTATCCCAGTTTGTAAGAAATCCATCCCGCTTTCACATTTTCCACAACACAGACATCCGGGGAGTTCATGTTCGACAGCCTGAAGGCTCGGAAAGTTCACGGTTTGACCAAAATTCATTGGAGCTGCGTATCCTGCACCGGGGAGGCTAAAGTCGGAAACGAATTAGGCGGTTCTAGATTGATTGTTGGTCGTCAAGGAAGGGAGTGTGTCATTTGAGAGGAAACACATTCCCCGGTTGGAGCCTGGTATCCCCCAGCCCTGACCCAACCAGGGAAACGAAAGGGATAACTTTCTTCTTGAGAAGTTCTTGTACATCTTTTTGCTGCTCATTTAGGTGAAGCCTCGAAAAAAGATTCTTCCCACCAGAAGCAGAGCTCTTCGATATAACTACTGGTGGGGGAAGTGGGAAGAGTGGTCTACCTGCACAACCACGTCATATTGCATTCATTGTCGGCTGGATCAGAAAGCTGGAGATAGAAGCGATGCGATAATGTGTGGCTCAGCTGAATCTTTTACTGAAGGTGCCGTTGATCTGTTCGTCTCATGTCGGATTTCTTGACACTGGCGTAACCTCTTTCCCTGTCTGCCAGCATGAACATCCATTCAAGGATAATCAGTTTAGCTCACGGCACTCCTGTCTTGCGCCAGCCCCGGGTTTCTGTACGACTTTCAATTTTTCAGCCTAATCCCCAAAGTTCTCCTGCATGCATGGAATTGGGAACAGGTCTCTTAGGTTGAGGCTGGGAGGGTTCTCTGACTGGATATTCACGGGAATCCTTGTGAGTAAAACCTTCAGCCTCTAGCACTACAAGAAATACATCTTGGTTGGCCTCTGGTCTATAAAATGCCGGCTCATATCCTCGCAGTTTTTCAAATTAGAACATTCTCTATTGATTTTACGAAAATCTGATCTCAATTGATTGCCTCCAGTTATATTCCTTAGCATTTATATCAATCAGGCTTAAGTTGTGGAGACGCAATGGCGCCCATTCCAGTTACGGGTGTCCAGTCTGGAAATGGCCCTCGTGGTGAAATTCCTCTTCGTCTAGAAATCCATGAATTGCAAAAGGATGTCCCCAAATGGAGTCTTTACGTCCTTGCATTGAGGATCTTTTACGATAGACCTCCAGAGCACCCCAAATCATACTTTCAGATTTCAGGTAGGACTTTAGGCCGCAGATTTTCTACGGTTGCCTCCCTGAGCTAACGTGGACTTCAGGGATTCATGGAATGCCATATCTGCCATGGAACGGTGAAGAGGTTCCTAAAAATGGACCAAAACCAACAGGCTATTGTACCCATAGCACCGTTCTTTTTCCGAGTTGGCATCGCCCATATGTTGCTCTCTACGAGGTACTTCACTCCTTTTGCCATGTGCTTTGTGGTAACAATCTGCAAAACTAATGGAACCCAGCAATGCATCCAAGAAATAATAGCCACTGAGATCTTTCCAAAAATACCCACGAGTGACAAAGATTATGAGAAGTATAAAACAGCGACTGAAACCTTTCGGATCCCCTACTGGGATTGGGCGCTTCCTCCTCCAGACTCACAGCAGGAGGTTATAAACAAGTGGCTCCCTCCGACCTCTCAGGAAAAGGAAGTTCCAAACTTGGTCCCTGGCTTCCCCGAGGTGATAGACAACCCACTCTATCAGTATTCCTTAAAGCCAGACGGGAAGAAGACAACATGGGGTGACTATGGTGTTGGTACACTGCAAGTCGGACCCACCGAAGATGTAGAGGTGAGTTTCTTGTCTTTTCCCCCTTCACGACCAGTTCGCTAATGTAAACAAGTATGGAGATTGCGTCGGCCTCAGTAGGTGCCCCGAAAAAAAATATTACTTCACCAAACAGGAGGCCGAGGCCGCTGGCATAATGTGGACGCAAGACTTCCCCCAGAAATGGCGCGACGGAGAAATATTGACTTACGAGGTATACAAGAACTTCACAAACACTCTGCCTTGGTTCATTCCAGGCACCCCAGATATTTCAAAGAAGGACCATGATGCAGCCGAAAATATTTGGCGTCTATTCAACTATTCTTTGACTTACCCGGCTTTTGCCACTAACGGTGATCTTCCAAAAACCGAAGACGAGGTAAAAACAAAACACTGGTATCAGAGTTTGGAATCAATTCACAATAATGTCCACCTTTTTGCTGGTGGTGATAACAATGGACACATGGCACAAGTCCCTGTTGCTGCTTTTGATCCATTTTTCTGGCTTCACCATGCGTGAGTTGCTTCTGCTACCATCAACTTTTGGAAGAAATATTAATCGAGTTTCGGCACAGCAACGTCGAGCGATTCTACTCAATATGGCAATTTTTGAACAGTGATAAATGGTTTGAAGACACGACAGAGATTCTGAAAGATGCATCTGGAAACATGCTGAACGACAAGGGCGAAGTTGTTGAGAAGGAAGAAGATGCAATGCGTATTACTGTTGGCCCAACCACTCCACTTGCACCTTTCCGCAACAAACAGGGTAATTTCTATAACTCAAACGGCGTGCGCGATTGCACAGTATTCAATTATACTTACCCAGAGCTGCAAACCTGGAACTATCCGAATAAGGGCGAACACGAGATCGCAATATGGTCTACAATCAACCGGTTGTACGCTGGCTATAAAACAACTCTCCTCAAAACCAGAAAGACAACCAGCACCGAAACTCTTGAAGTTGTCATCAATGTCAGCTTCTACAAGTATGTTATTCTCCCCCAATTTGGGACATCTTTTCTCTTCCAGTTGCTAAGAAGATACAGGTTCCTCTTTTCCGGCATGCCTTTTAATGTGAAGATATACCTTCAGCATGGTGATAAGAAAGATCCTTCAAAGGATTTGATCGGCAACGTGTATAACTTTAGCGCCCCTTCAACTGCCGGTGGGAAAGAAGTTTGCTCCAACTGCACAATCCTTGAGTTGAGCAGTGCTACTTGTACCGCCCAGCTGGTCATCAGCCATTTGTTAAGATTCTTCCCTCTTTATCCGGGTGACGAAAACATCGATATCGAAAACGGTGATCAGGTTGAGAATTTCCTGAAGAAGCGCCTTTATGTTCAGGTTGTCACGGTGAGCGTCGACATATTTATTTTGCTCTATGGGTGTAATGTTCTAGGCTAATTCTGGATCACCAGTCGACCGGAAGGGAAATAGTTCCCCCCAATACAAAGGATAACAAACCCGCCATCACTGTGGCTATCGCCCACTGTAAAGCCAGATACTCGGCTGACATTACAAAGAGAACCGAATTCAACCCATTGCACAACTTCGTTTCCCTGGCAGGTGACGTTGCTGAGCTTTTGGTCGTTGGTACAGGTGCCCTAGTCCTGTCGGCCACTGGTTCTATTCTCGGGACTATTAATCCTGAAGGAAAGGTGGCTCTCAGGGATGGTGCTACTAAGAGCCTTAAAGATGTATCCGGTATCTCCAATAGAGGGGCGAAGGATCTCGTCGACCTGGCAGGCGGCTTAGCCACGAGCGCATTAACCACGGGACTCAACGTTCTCGGTGGCGGTAAAAAAGACAATCAAGGCGGAAGAGGCGGCGGGCTTGGACTGTTTTGATTTGGGAGAAACTACTGCAATGGATGATAGTGAATGAATTTCGGCAGTTGTGTCCCAAATTTGGAAACGATCACACTAACTTGGAAATGCTATAACTATTTCACTTTTTCCAAAGTATTTTCTATCTCGGGGTACTCGACATCTCCACGCTCCTTTATTGAAAGTTGACATGACCCCAAATCATTTTCCAGTGCCCCTTGTGTACGACAGTATTCAGGTACAGCTCCGGGGATGAGCTATGTACTTAATACACTATGACCAATTGCAGCAAATGGTTTTTATCTTTGGCTTTCTCTCCTGTAGTACAGGTATAATGTGCAGAGGTGTTATCATTTAAAACAGGAATAGGTCACCAGTAGAAGTCGTAAAATGGTCACGGACTGGACTCTTCAGCTGTTGATTAGACTAGTTAACCAAACATGGAACAAGTTGCTCAGGTAATTTCTTACAACCCTTGCCATACGAAAGTCTTGGAAGCAGTGATGTATAACTATAGATGAAACTGAATTAAACCTCTCTCTAAGAGAGCGCACGTTCAAGTACAACAGACATATCCATATAAAGTATACATTAGGAACATAAGGAATTGATAGGAATTGATATATGTCCTTGACATGTGCAGGAGTAAATATGTTATTATCTACATCAAAAAGTCTAGAGGAAAGAGTAAAAGACAACTTCGCCTTGACTCTATTTTTCCAATGCCAAAACCGATGTCAATAATTACATGAGTTGTGACACAACGATGCATGCTTGCAGTTGTTTTATTATTATCATTAGTTATATCTGTAACGCCATCAACAGCCAGCTAAAGATAAGCAATTTTTTGCTCGTTAGCCATTAGCATTCGCGAATCGACTCTTCTTTCGTATCTGTTTGCCGTAACAGAAAAATATGTAGCTATAATCAGAGGATACACATGTTAGCCTGATGAATATTTGCCAGATTTGGGTCAGCGTTTCTCTTTGCCTCATGGAGGGAGCCGATGCTGCTACCAGAACCGATCATTCTGAACTCGAAAATATTGGAGCAATCCGTATATCGAGCAGATGAGATGTGGGGTGGTGTACACATGATCCACGACATGGGAGAGGTCTATGCACAGTTACATGTACCGTGCATCCGGATCGTGTGTCTGCGTCAAAGGGTCACCAGCGACATATGAATTGCACACAAATGCTATATTTGCAAAAGATCGTATTACTTCATACTTACGGGAAAGGAGCCATTGCGATGGTCAAGAAGGCCAGCAGTGTGGAAGCCCAGTTAAAGCCGAGTCGGTTATACACTATACCATGCATTAGTTATAATTGCTTATGAACTGGTAGTTCTGTGTGCGGACTAAGACAGGGAAAATCCTTCCGTGTATCATTGAAGCATGAAAATACAAGAAAAACAAGGGCTGGAGATCAGCCATTGCACCAACGTACGTACACTGTATTCCAAATAAAGGAAAGACGGCGCCAAAACTACACCGTAGAAAACAGTTTGCTGCGAGAGCACTGGCAGCGTAGAGGGGATATGCATCGACGAGGAATGTGAAAATGCCGGAGTAGACAAGAACAGTCCTGTAGTTCATAGGTTTAGGTAGATAGCCCATAATAGTCAGCTCAAATCATTTGTAGTAACATCGTTTTGCATCCTGATCAGTTATACCGAAAATCAAGGGTAGTCAAAGCTCGATTTTTTTTTTTTTTAGTAAGAAATGTATGAAATTGATAGAACTCACCCCAGGCCAAATCCGGCGCTTCCAATTATTGGCACGATCCAGTGCACATGTTGGAATATCGTCCAGGCGAAAATTAAAATGCCGATAGATACAAGTGGAGCACCGGCAATTGCTGAAACAAGATCCGTTACAAAGTATATCTAGAATAGAATAACTTTGTCAAACTGTAACTTACCTGGAGGAAGCCTCCACTCCGGTTCGAATTCTCCCAGTTCACAAATCATGTTCTCCCGCTTGCGAACTAATCGAGCGTAATTCCTCCGCCAGAGTGGGTCACTCAAGATGGCCAACATCATTCCAATAAAAATGCCCAGAAAACTTAATCCAACCTGGGAAACAGTAAACCCATGGATTGTCATGAATACCAGCTGGAAAGAACCAAAGAAGAGATAAAGAATACCTAACAGAATGGCTGAAAGGATGCAGAGATTCAAGCACATGGGCTCCAGTGTTAAAAGCAGCATCGGTCTGTACACAGAGCGCAGGATTGTCTGGAAAACGGACCGCTTTGTTATTTCAATGGTGGCCTTCCAGCGTTCATCACCAGTTTCCCGCCTGAGTTTGATAGCTTTGCGCCGGAGCAGCCTTTTAAGCGTTAGTCACACACAAGAAATCCAGCGATGTATATTGGATTTCTTAAACGTACACAGGATGATAGGTCTCGGGAACTATCACAATAATACAAATGAGGATGGAGCCTGACCATATCAATATCATATAAAATGTCCATCGCCTGCAAAAGATATCAGATTCCAATTGCTTGAAAATGTGGAGCTGGCACTACATACCACGTAGTATATTGAGATATAAACCCGCCCAACCTAGGGATTCATATTAACGATCGTAGCCACATGGAAATTTCACCCAAGACATTCTTACAAAAGGCCCAGTTCTGGCCCAAATAATGGACTTGCAGTGTAGATCAACATCGGCGCACCAAGCTCATGGCGAGCAAACATATCGCCAATGGTGGCCCCCGCCACGCTCAGGAAAGCACTTCCTGAAATTCCGCTGAAAAGCCTCGCGATGAGCAGAGTCTGGATATTTTGGGCTACGGCGCACGGAATAAGCCATATCAGGAAAAAGGAAAACGACGTAATGTATATTATCCTCCGTCCATAAAGCTAGCATATAAGGTTTTTCAGAATAGTGCCCTCGCAATCTCAGTATACAGAATTGAACCTACTGACCTCTGATAAAGGTGCCAAAACCAGTGGTCCGAGCCCAAGCCCTAAGATAAAAAAGGACAGCCCAAGGGTGGTAACAATCCGCGAGCTATGAAATTCGTTCATTACTTGCGTATACGTCATGGCGTAAATCGAAGAGGTACAGGTCCTGAAGCATGAGGACTCAATTAGTGTCAAAAATCTGACTTGTACATGCTGGACGGGAATTGGAGAAAAAGGAATGGATACATACACACAGATGGAGCCAAAGGACACCACCAACACGATGAGCCATTTCCTTCCCAAACTCCTATTCCGCGGATTCCCGGGGTCATCATATCCATCCCAGTTCACGATATATTCACTTTCGGGGTCGGTCGGCAGTTCGTCCTCCTTATCTTCCTCCTCAGGCTCCTGAAGCCTACCGTTTTGAACGGCAGGATGGGAATATCCGTCCGACAGCGAATAGACTCGACTCATTGAACGGGAGCCCCCTGTGCTCGCTTCGCTAAACGACCGTTGGATGGATGAAAGGGAGGTCTGTGTCTCTAGTCTCAAAGATCGATCCTCAACTCTCGATTTTGCCCGTCGAATTGGTTCAAAATACGTTTCATGCTGGTCCCTGGGCGGACCCTTATCCTTATCCAGATTTTCTTCATATTCCTTTGTCTCCTTATCGTATTCCTTCGCCCTGTTAGAGGGTCCTTCTGAAGGTTCTTGCATCTCTTGGAACAGTTGTTCAAACGACACTCATACAGTAATTTTCTTGAAGGGTCGGAAGGGTTCGCCGGGACTCTACATCCCAGGGAATGAATGTCTCACCAACGAGAACGAACGGTGATGCAGAACTTTTATGCTTTGTTGGCAAGATTAAATAAACGAAATCTCCAGAATATTAGGACCTAGAGGCGCCAAGGCCGAGTCACTTTTCCAGGAAACAAATTGTGGAGTACGGAGCTTGTTTTGCTCGGGGTAGGGAAGTCAGCGGGGGATATAAAGCTTCCGAGTCGTTGAACGACAGCAGCAATGCTTGAGCTCATACCAATATCAACCCATGATAGGAGGAAAATGACATGATCCGTTTTCAGCCGAACCTTGTTAAAGACTTGCACAATAAAACTATCTATGACAGGAAATTTCGCCATCGACGGCCCGGCAAAGAACTAAAACAGGATAAAAATAAAGTGCTGCTCTACTACTTCTTCAACATTTTTTTGGCAATGCCATTTCAATTACCAAGGTTGTCTGCCGAAACAACGCCGACGATGACTTCATCAGCATTGGATCAGACTCGCTTCCTAGGAAAGGACGGTAAAAACAATAATAGGACCCCCGGGATTACACAGAGGCTACCTTGCCTGTTGCTATGCAATTCCGAGATCCAAATCAGTTTTCAAAATTAAAATAACTCCGGATATAAAAATGATGCTTACTCGAGTCCCGCACAACTCCGTAGTTGGGTGGTTTTTAGTTACCAAAAAGTCCCCTTCGTCTAGGCAAAAATTGTTTGCCATGTTTGCTCCCAGGATTCTTAGTCATCCATAAACCTTAACTAGTTAGTTAGTTAACGTTTAGTTAGTTAACTTAAACGTAATTCCCCATTGAGTGAAAGATTAAATAACTGTAGCCCAACTAACTAGATTTTAACCTGAAATATCTACACTCAACAACAACTAATTAATTTAATTTAATGGACACTAGGATTAGGACATCTTGTTCTCTTATGACCAGACAAATTGCAGTTGCTGCACTGTTGTGGAGCTCCTGAGTGCAGATGAGAGTCTGCTGGCTGAGGCTTGCAAGATTGAATGACAGGCTGTTCAACGGGCTCAGTAGATGGAATAACAAGATCCTGAGCTTCCTGTCTAGTTAGACCCTCTTCAGATTGAATCTGATGATTAGATCTCTTTCATTTTTGCTTCGCAATCTCATTGGTGTTGAATATATCCTGATATTGCTTCTTCATAATAGTGGTGTTGACCATTCTATATTCACAGGCCTTGATAATTTGATCAAGCCCTTCTTCCAAGCCATGAGGGGAATTTTCAAGGCGTTGTCCCATAAGATTCTTGACCTTATCTGCTTGCTTATGAAATTGCCGTGGGTTGCTAGGTGTTTGAAGTATTCAGGATGACCCTGAGTTGCTGGATCAACTACTTAGGGGGGGGTAGGAGTTCAGAGCTGAATATCCAGTTGCTGGACAATCTGATCAGGTTCAAATGAGGCTATTCCAGTTGCCATGAAGCCACTTTGAATTTTCTGAGTCTTTAAAGGCCTCTGTATGTGCTGCAGGATAGGCATCTAAGAAGTCATTCTTTTTAATAGTATTGAATTCAAGCTGCATGCATTTTTCCACCAAGCCTCCATATGCCCATTTTAAAACAGCAAAAACACTAACGTCCAGAGGCTGTAGAAGGTGGGATGAATGTGCTGGCATGCAGAGAGGAATAATCTTATTATCCTTGCAAAGCTGATCAAATTTCAGGATAAGATGACTGCCATACCCATCTAAGATAAGAAGAATATGAGTGCCAATTCTACATGAATTGGCAGTAGGGATAAACACTTTAGTAAGCCATTTCATCCCTATTTCATCTATAGTCCAGTCATATGGCAAGCCTTCAAACCAGCCTTTTTGAAGATTCTGAGCTTTCAGAATAATGTATAGAGGTAGGGCCCAGCCTAACCATACAGCATTTAATCAGTCTTGACATCCAGTTCTTGCCAACGCAGTAAGGGGTAGAGGTGGATTGTCATTGAGTAAGAAGATGGTTGGCCATATTCTCTGCAAAGGCTGGCCAGGGAGGTAATCCTTGTTTAGATAGACCTAGCACCCATTCAACTACCAGATTCTCTTCAGCCTCAGTCAGCTTAGTTAAAATTTGCACATAAATTCATGTGTGCAGACCAGCCCTTCAGTCAATGATATAAAGTAGTGTAGGGAACATTGAATAAGTGTGCAGCTTCAGCAGTTGAGGTTATTTCTTGCTTTTTAATAGCAGATATCACAAGTTCAATTCTTCCCTCTATTTCTATAGAGTTTCTTGCTTTTTTATTAGAAATTGGTGGCATAATTGCACATTGAAGTGATGAGTTAGGAAATTGAAACTATTTAATTTAATCTTTCACTCAATGGGGAATTTCGCTCGATGGGGAAATTATGTTAACTAACTAATAACTACTCCGCAGTTAAAGAAGAACTGTTGAAACCTTTCACATCTTCATTTCTTCCGCAACGCAATGGATGTGTTGTTTTCTCTCTCTCGTACTACCCGCCCGCTGAAGAACGGCATATATATCCATTACCATGCATCCCGGTTACACTGGCAAGTCTCAAATTCTTTCTTATGCAGCCGTTCTATTTACTCTGTAACTAGCTGAGCCAAGTATCCACGCACATCATTCGAGCAACAGCTCCTGATCAAGTTTATTGGTAACCATGATATTTACCTCTTGTTTACTGTGCCCGCCGTGCATTAACAAAGGGGACTCCAGGAATTCGTTTCCAGTCTAGAGGATAATCTGACCGAATGGCAGCTTGGTTGATTGCAGGGGTTGCTAACTGCGAGAACGACTATATATGGTGGATAATATATTATGTGATCGAAGGGTTATCTACGGTAAAGTCTTGTCGTCTATAAAGCGTTGTCATCTCCAGCCCTATCAAACCCTATCACATGTGCCTGATAGACTAGTCGCCTTTTACACTTGAAGCTCCTTGTTGGCCAGGGAGAGAATAAAACTACGTGCTAGTGAATACGATAAGATCTGCTAATTGAAGGGATTGTGCTTATACTGATCTAACGACACCAATTCAACTAACTAATGAATAACTAACCACCGATCTTAGAAGGCATGTTAGAACGCCTCTGGCAAGGCTAAGTCCTCATTCCAACTCCGCTCTCCCGACAGCTCTTGGTAAACTACATGTTCCAGAGAAAAGGCGTAGCCGCCTATATAAAAATTATCATCCGTAGCGCCTTTCCCCACAGAATCCTTACTCCCGTGATCATAAGGAAGATGAAAAAAAATGTATAGGTGAGAGTTCTCATGGGAAAAGCAAAGATTGAAATGACAAACACCCAACGTCCCAGCACTGATAATCCAACAAGGCAAACTTCCCAACTGTACACGCAACATCCAAGTTTCAGCCCACGCCAAATAATCAACGTAGCTCTCGCTATCTGATTTAGAATTTTAAAACATAGAACTTAGGCGTGATTGGCTATGAAGAACAGTTCTCTTAATCCTAGAGAGGTTATGAGGGAAAATAAGCTTCGCAAGAAATCCATGTGTTCCAAACCCAAACCGACCAATAAAAAAAAAACAAAACAAAAACTGGAAGCAGAGGGAGTATACAAAAGATAAAAGCAAGCATAGAGAATGACAACGACCGAAAACTAGAACTATTTTGGCCTTATAACAATCAATCCCATCCTCTCAAAAAATATATAAATAAATAAATAAGAGAAAGCCAAACGGAGAGGATGCTCAGAAATGTTAATTAAACAGCAATTTCAGGAGTCTGGTCAGCTATTCCGCCTCCAGCTTCGGTTTCCGCCCAAGAACCCCAAAGCCCTTGCTTGGCCCGGATTTTCAGACGTCCACCAACCGTATTAGGACTTTGGTCAACCGTCACAGCATTCTTTGTGGCCAGCACAAGCACTTCGAAAAACATCTTTGTGGCATCGCTCTTGCTCGTGGTCCGCTCGGGGAGGAGATCTTGGAAATTGACACTATTTTTTCTCGATTGGAATGAACCCTCCTCGGATGGCTCGCCGCCAAATCGGTCTCGTAGAAGGTGGACGGCATGTTTTGTCCCTAACGAGATAGGTCCGCTTTCTGCCGCATGGAGAACACTGCTGGAGTCGTTGAAGCCATCCATATGATAGCCGGCACCCTCATCGTCGGATACATCGTGCGTGCGTTCCTGTGCTTCCTCTTCGCCAACGATGTGGATCTCAGATCCCTGGCGCAGGGTGGTGTCACCTTCAAGGACAACGCCTTCGTCTCCGTGTAGGTATGCATCTTCCTCATCCACTTCGAGCTGGGGCATTTTGTCAGCACCATCAACATCCATGTCAGCAATGCCACTGTCGCGTTTCCGTTTAAGTTCACTCGACTTCCGCACTGCGTCAATTGAAAGCATATCACGCAATTCGGGTGCCCAGTTCCGGCAGCTGCTACCTCCCATAACGCTAGAAACAAAGTCACCGTTCTTTTCCATATTCATCAGTGTCAGTAGCAGAGGATCGCGTGGTAGAATTGATGTAGGTTTCAAAATTCTCGATCGGTCAGCTTGCTGCTCCTTTATTTGGTGGGTTGAGATCACAGTATCGACATCTGGTAGGATGATTTTTCTTCTCTTGACTCTTTGTGTGTGGCGGGCCTCTTCGTTCATAAAAGTATCATCAAGGTCTCGCACAACACTGGACCGCACCGATGAGAGGGGCGATTGAGACCCCCTGACGAATTCATTGGGTTCTTCGGCAGGTACTATTGTAGTGTCTTCTTCGGCAACCGGGACGCCCAGTTCTTCTTCAATGCCACCCATTTGCACATCATCAGTTTGATGTAAGAAGGTATCCACATTATCGTGAGCATCTTCTTCAATGCTTGGCTTGGCAAATTGGATTCCGGTATCACCATGTTCAAGTTCGAGTTCACCGTCAAATGTCCTGCGATCATCGCTGAAAAGATCATCACCAACAGGACGAGGAGCAGGTGCATCTCGTCCAACTTCAATACTCATCTCATGGCCCAAAGGCATGTCATCCTCGCCCAAATCAAGAACAAGACCGGTATCGTCTTCGAGGTGTGGTCTCTCCATAGGCGTGGCGAACCTTTGAGTAGAGATCGTATCCGGAAGAAGTTGGCTTGACCAGCCTATTGAAGATGCTGGCCGCTTCCCTTCTGTTTCTAACTGTGGCATTGGCTGTGAGAATAAAACGGAAGTATCCAGATTCATAAATAAATCAGACTCTGTAAGCATGTCTGGTAGGGTAATTCCACTGGCGGGAATAGGGACAGAGCTGGGGAGATCATTATTGTTTGTCAATCGAAAGGCCTTATTGGGCTGTTAGCATTACATTTCCTACCCCTTGAGCCTAGTAGTGGTGATACGAACCATTTTAATTTTCATCAAAGCCTCATTGCAATCATCAAGAAGGTACCTAGTTTTCCGACTGTAGATGCGGACGACACCCAACAGTAACTGGCCACTCAATCGCAAGGCCATTGGCGCTTGGCCCTGATCAACAATTGCGCTAACACTGCTTTCGATATCCGATTGCAAAATGTGGGATTTGGACAGTTTGCGCTCGAGGTTTGCGGAAAGCCAGACTCGAGCCAACGGCCCTGTCTTTGATAAGAGGGTCTCGGAGTAGAACATGGTGAAGAGATGGAGTTGAAAACTCTGCGCAGTATTAAAGTGTCTGTATTAAGATAGTTCAGGATGCCAGAAGGCAAGTCAACAGCCAGTGCGACCAAGTTGTCGACGGGCAGTCATCGACGCGCTGGGTGGTCTGATGTAAGAGTGGACCAAAGTCTGAAATGGCGCGACAGGTTATACCAAGAAGCTGAGGAATCAAACGTATCCAAAATCACGAGAGGATGGAGAGGAGTCAACTATTCGAAGCAGCAAACACCCAGATAGGGTAGAAATCGCAATCGGCAGATGTGTTAAGGATGGCGACGGAGGTGACAAGGTGAAAATAAGAGGGGTTGGGGAGAATTGGAAGCGCGTTGTTTGAAATGTCCCAAAGAAGAAGAATCGGGTGGCTGGAAGTTCACGTGTAACTATATTACGTCAGCTTAACCTTAGTCAGCTTTGACTGCGAAGCTTGATACGACCCATCTATTGGAAACAACTTTGGAAACAATTCGTTATTCACAGCCAACATCATGTTGTGGCCGATATTGATATTGGTTCATCACTCCGATATACCCTGGCCCATTCACGTGCAGGAGCCACAAGGTTCCCACTTGTCGCATTCCAATCCTGTGAAAACCCACGGGTGTAGATCTCGGACCAACAAGGTGATTCAATTCTTGAGACACAGAGCGATATCAAGGACATATATGTGACCAATTCACGAACTTACTACTTTTTGAACTTGCGCCTCTTCTTCTTCTTCTTCTTCTTCTTCTCCTTCTTCTTCTTCTTCTTCTTCTTCTTCTTCTTCATTTGCACTGCCAGTGTTACTCTCTTACATCCCCTTGGCAGGAAAAGGAGAATGTGATCTCTGGAGACCTGAATGAACACATGGACAGATTCTGATAAGCCATGGCAGCTCGGTAAGCATTTGTTTGTAGTTGAGACCAACTCAATTCAGCAGGATTTGGAGAGCAAGAGAGTTTATCCGGAAGATTAGCAGGGACCTTAAAAACTCCCAGCATCGTCCCGCAGATCGTTAGCATGTATCCGTAAATCTATATATGTTGGCTCCCTAAAGGAATTTACTATTGCGCGAATTCAACAAGAATATGCAGATAAACAAAACATGCCCACGTTTTCAGGTTTAAATATTACAGCTTCCCTAGTAATACCTCATTCCTTTCATACATTTCATAATCTCTCGTATGTCCTGGTTTTGACGTTATTAGCAAGTAGCCAATTGAGTTTAGCCTGATCCGGGGTTTTTCTCTGCAGAGTTTCCTCCCAACGCTAAAACCGCTGAGGTAATAATAGTTCCATCAACGGCCTGGACAAGCTGAGCCTCACTGTCGGGATTTTTGGCAGACAGCTAAACGTCTCCAACGAACCACGACGACAACGACATAGAGGAATACCTTGAATACCTTCACCTTGACGATTCCAATTTTTAGACTTTCAGGAATTCCGTCTTACCACCACTTCTGTCCCGTTTCAACATCAGCCTATAACCCAATATTCACCCCCCAACCTGCTATTCCTTTTCACCGCTGTAGTTGTTCACTAATTCACCAACAATTCCTGACTTTCCTACCAAGCAGTTCCCAACGCCAAAGCCCATTCCATTGATATATGCTTTTATCGCTCCTACCGTATCCCCGGCTTTTGCCAGCCTCGTCACAATCTCGGGATGCCACACTGCCGGATCGTCTCCCTCGCATCCTGAGCCATGTCAGGGCTCCCACCCCCTACCTCCTCACTCCCTCTCTACAATGTCCACGAATCCTCCCGGAAGACCCCTTCCCCTTATCGCACGAGTTCCATTGCATCCTCATCGGCCACATCTACATATTCGAAACTCAGCCCGCAGGAGGTAGCTGACCGCTTGTCCACCTCGCTCATCCATGGCCTATCCCCATCGGACGCTGAAGCTCGATTGCTGCATGATGGTCCCAACGAGCTAGCTTCAGAAGACCCAGAACCCCTCTGGTTACGGTTTCTGAAGCAGTTCAAGGAACCGTTGATATTGCTGCTGCTGGCTTCTGCAGCCATTTCCTTCTTCATAAGCAACTACGATGACGCAATCAGCATTACGCTTGCAGTTACAATTGTTGTGAGTGTCGGGTTCGTTCAGGAATATAGGTCAGAAAAATCACTGGAGGCATTGAATAAGATGGTACCACATTATGCTCATTTGATTCGCAATGTGCCTCACCGTGATTTCGTCGCATATACTACGCCGCAAAGGGCAAGCAACGTCCATGAGTTGGAGCTGCAGGGGTTGACAATGAATGGTACGCCGCATCCGGTTTCATCGGCAGAAAAGTCTTCTACAACGGTCTTGGCGGGTCAATTGGTCCCTGGCGATTTGGTTTTGTTCTCTACTGGTGATCGGATTCCTGCAGATCTTCGTATCACAAGCGCAGCCGGTCTTTCCATCGATGAATCTAACCTGACGGGAGAAAATGAACCTGTCGTCAAATCTCCAGAGCCGCTGGGAAATCTACAAAGCGGTCTTCAACCGCCAAAGGAAAATCTTCGACCCGGCTCTCCTCACTACGATTCACCAGCTGCTGGAACGGTTGGGACTGATCTTCGGTTGAATGAACAACATAACATTGCTTTTATGGGTACACTGGTACGGTCCGGCTATGGTCAAGGCATTGTTATTGCCACTGGGTCTAATACAGAGTTTGGAAGCATATCTGCTTCTCTTCGAGAAATCGAAAGCCCCCGAACTCCACTTCAGCTCTCAATGGACCGCCTAGGTCAAGAGCTGAGCTACATGTCATTTGCCGTCATTGGATTAATCGTGCTTATTGGGCTCTTACAGGGCAGAAATGTGTTGGATATGTTCACCATTGGCGTGTCTTTGGCTGTTGCTGCTATCCCAGAGGGCCTTCCCATCATCGTGACTGTCACACTAGCTCTAGGCGTGTTTCGAATGGCCAACAGGGGTGCAATAGTCCGAAGACTACCCAGTGTGGAAACGCTAGGTTCCGTCAATGTTGTCTGCAGTGATAAAACGGGCACCTTAACTCTTAACCACATGACTGTTACAAAAATGTGGCACTTTGATTCTGACGCTCCTTTCGAGATAAACAAAGATAGCAAGTCGGTGAATTCCAGTGCTGCGGCGCGAACTATCCTTCGTGTCGGTAATATTGCCAATAATGCTCGACTGTCGCGTGCGCATGCCAATTCCCCGGCCACTGCTGCCTCAGCAGCAATATTATCGTCGACCGTGGACCAGTCCTCTGGTGCAATTAGAAGTCGATGGGTCGGCCAACCGACTGATGTCGCCATTTTAGATTTATTAGATATGTTCGCTGAAGATGATATTCGGGACCGGATTAGTGCGCGGGTTGCAGAAACTCCTTTCAGCTCTGAGCGAAAATGGATGGGCGTGATCATTGGCCACAGCAGCCCTCAGTCAGAAAATGGGTTTGGGAACGGAAACGGTTCCGAAGTTGCGTATATTAAAGGTTCTATAGAGGAAGTTCTCAAACGTTGTGATACATATTTAACTAAAGACGGTCGAGAGGTAATTTTGGACGAAGCTCGACGCCAAGAAGCGAAGCAAGCAGCTGAATCAATGGCATCGGAAGGTCTGAGGGTTCTTGGTTTCGCGAGTGGTCCGGTTCGAGATGTAGGGAAAAGTGGTTGTCCATTTGGCAGTCAAACCGCAATGCCTGGACTTCTAGAAAAAGCAAGGCCGGTTCGAAACAATCAAGCAATTGACGACGCAGTTTACACTGGCCTCGTGTTCTCCGGGCTTGTCGGGATGAACGATCCACCCCGGAAGGATATCCACAAAGCTATCCACAGACTCATGGCGGGTGGAGTCAGAGTCATTATGATTACTGGGGATGCGGAGACAACGGCTGTAGCTATTGCAAGGAAACTTGGAATGCCCGTTAATCCCTGTCCACAAGTGGGAGAGGTTCTCAGAGGAGAAGACATTGAGCATATGACCACTTCTGAATTGGCCCAAACCATTTCCAGGACTTCCATATTCGCAAGGACCAGTCCAGACCACAAGATGAAAATTGTTCGAGCACTTCAGTCGCGAGGGGATGTTGTTGCAATGACAGGTGACGGAGTCAATGATGCACCTGCCCTGAAGAAAGCGGATATTGGAATCTCCATGGGTCTATTGGGTACAGATGTCGCCAAGGAAGCTGCAGATATGATTCTGACAGATGACGATTTCTCAACGATTCTAAGGGCGATTGAGCACGGCAAGGGCATATTTTATAATATTCAGAATTTCATCACATTCCAGCTAAGTACCAGTGTTGCGGCGTTGAGTCTTGTGCTATTCAGTACAATGCTGGGATTCAAAAACCCGCTAAATGCAATGCAAATATTATGGATCAGTAAGTTTTTTTGTTTTTGGCCCCTGCATTCTCCCAATTTTCACATTGGAAGGGAAAATCCCTTAATGCTAACCATCATATCCCCCCATATAGATATTCTTATGGATGGTCCACCCGCCCAATCCCTCGGTGTCGAACCCGTCGATCCCTCTATCATGAGTCGACCTCCACGCCCCAAACATGCCCGCGTGCTCACCAAACCCCTCATCCGCCGCGTCCTGACCTCAGCCATGCTAATAATGCTCGGCACATTCGCCATCTACGTGCACCAAATGTCCGACCACACCGACGAAATCTCCGGCGCACACTCACGCGTCGTCACCAGCCGCGACACAACAATGACATTCACCTGCTTCGTGCTGTTCGACATGTTCAACGCGCTAACGTGTCGGTCGGAAGCGAAGTCGATCCTGCGCGGCGAGTTGCCACTTTTTGGAAACAAGATGTTCAATTATGCTGTGTTCGGGTCGCTGGTTGCGCAGGCATGCGTTATCTACTTGCCGATGTTGCAGGGGATATTCCAAACGGAGGCGATTGGATTTTGGGATCTGTGTATTCTGGTTTGCACTTCTAGTACGGTGTTTTGGGTTGATGAGGGGAGGAAGTTTTTGGATTGGCAGAAGAGGAATAGAGGGGTGGGGATAACGGGGATTAGGGTTGGTGGGTACAGTGTTAATGTATAAAGTTTAGCAGTGGAAATGAAAACAAGAGTTGGTGGGAGTGGAGTGGGATGGAGAAGAGAATTGGCTCATGCGTTTTATTTGACATTCAATTTTATCAGGCCCTTTTCACCCCGTTTCTTTTTAGAGATTTGTTCTATGAGCATTTGCATTTTCTATTCAATATCCTGTCACCAGGTTGGCTCTGTTCGATTACCTAACATCTGCTCGTCTTCTGTTTTGTTAACGGTGTTTTGGTGTGTATCAATTTTCTCTTTGTTTCCTTCTGCTCTATCGTGTCCTCAGCATCTAGCGAAATTGGAGAAGGGTGCTACAGAGATCTCCTTTACCTGCATAGATTCTTTTTATATCTTGAAATCTTTTCTGTTCAGCACGCGGATTCTATATCTGGCCGTCAATCACAAGAAAATCTGCAAAAGATTTCTTTCTCATCCGGAATCTCCCTCCTTAGGATTGATCTAAGTCCAGATCAACTTGGCTGGAGGCGTCGTATTCTGTTCAACGGCATACTGACAGTTGTTCAACCGCACTCAACCATTTCCAGAAATGCCTCTGATCTCTTCACCACCAACTGTTAACAATTGCACTTGAATGAGATGAATGAAGTTGACATCTAACTAGAGATTGTCGTTGAAGCAACAGACCTTTAGAGTATAATAGACCAAATTAAGACTAGTGCCCAGCCCTAAAACGTGCCCACCGCCAAGAATCTTGGCCCGTGACTTCCTGAGCCATCAGAAGATTGAACCTCCTCTCTCGACGCCGACATCCTCTTCCTCCAATCTTCAACGCCTTTCATGCAATTACCTATTGGTTTTGGAGTTAGTTGGTTTACCGGCTGTATATGTCTTAACCATCATACCCAAATCTGGGTTGAGGTCTGCGAGGTGTGGACGGCCGCCAGTGGAAATGTTAAAAAAGTCCGAACCTGCCTCCTCCTTCGGGCTTCAGGTCTATCCATCCTGCAAGGAGCTCACTGTCTGATGTATAGCCTCCATACCTGACGAAAAAGTGGTCCTGTTCACCTTGGATTCCGTCAAGACATTGGATAACCTCACAATGCGAAATTTCTAAGTGGCTGCCTAGGCATCACCTAGCAGGTTCCAGGAAACGGATGTCGGGAGGGCTCACATTCCTCAATTTCTTTCTCTCTCTCTCTCCTTTGATTTTTTTTATTCATACCCAGTCAGGAGAATGAGAGAGTATGAGCAACCGCATTCTCTTACCCTGGTTTCTCTATGAACCGGATATGGTGCGGCGGAAGCAGACCGGCCCCGACAAAAAGCAGCGTGCATCCCCAGGCCGCTTATTTCGTCTTGTGCTTTGCCAGCCAGCTGAACAAAACAGTGGTGGGCCGCGAGGACTCACATGATAAAAACTGCTTATACAAGGGGTATATGTCGATTAATATCTAGGTGTGTATATGCATAATAAAACATTCATTGACTAAAAATTGATAATTGAAACGAAGAACGAGCCTGTTCTAATTTCAGAACGAAAAAGAGAAAAGCCCAACCACTTACCGGCAAAAAATAAAAGGAAGAATGAAAGAAAAAAAAGCAAACCTGACAATCGAAAACGCGATATGGTATATATACGTGCTCCGTGAAAACGAGGAACGAAACAAACAGATAGAAGAAAAAATGGAAACCGAGAATGGATACAAGCAATAATTTATTTTTCGCCCTCGTCGACAGCAGGCGTAGGAGGAACGGACAAGACCGACTTCTCCTGCTGGCTCCCAGCATCCTCAGACTCGGACTCTGATGGCGCCACAACCGGTCTTCCATTGATAGCATCAGGCCCCGTCGCCATCACACTATGCTCATTCGTACCATAAAGGTGTGCGCGGGGTGTCGCATAACCATCTTGGCTCTGCACATGATTCTGCGGCGTCCACGCAAGATAATCGCGGCGAACCTCAACATAGTCATACGCGAATTCACCTAGCTGATCGTCGTCCATGCCCAGCAGCTCAGCCTCTTCCGACGCGCGCAGGCACAGGCCCGGAATGATGTTGATGGCATAGGCGATGATGGCGGAGACGACGAAGGTGTATGCTGCCGCAGCGACTATGAAGGCGATCTGGATGTATAGCTGCTTGTAGTTGTGGATGAGCCAGCCGCCAATGCGAGCGCCGGTGTTGACGCCGTCAAGGCCGACTACGGCATCTGTACCGAAGAAGGCGTTGAAGATTAGGCCGACGACGCCGGCGACGCCGTGCTCAGCGAAGATATCCATGGAATCGTCGATGCGGATCCAGTATTTAACTATTGAGATGATCAGTTGCGGTTCTATTTTACGTTTAACTAGTGCAGAAGTAACACTGTTCGGGAAAGTACTCACTTTTGGTGCTGTAGTTGGCTACGACTCCCGTCACGATTCCAAGAACTACGCTGGCCCATGGTGGAATAAAACCCGAGGCAGGTGTAGCAGCAACAAGACCGGAAATGGTGCCAGAACACCAGCCAACCATTGACCATTTGCGAGCCAGTCGCCAGTCAAGGAGCACCCAGGTTACAGCAGCAAAGCCGGCAGTCAGGTTCGTATTCCAGCACGCCATGACTGCCCGCAGGTTCGCTCCAAAGGATGAACCACCGTTGAAACCCAACCATCCAAACCAAAGGAAGACAGTTCCCAGCAGGATCAGCGAAACATTGTGGGGGCGGAAATTAAGCATCATACGCTCATGGCGTCGGCCCAAGACCATTGAGTACGCGAGAGCAGACATACCAGAGCAGATTTCGACTGGTCCGCCACCTGCATAATCCAAGACGCCGTATTTGAATGCCCACCCGTTGATATTCCAGACCCAGCAGGCGACAGGGCAATATACTAGCGTTGCCCAAAAAAAAATGAAGACCATAGCCGGTAACAGACGGCCACGTTCAGCTACCGCTCCCACGATGATAGCGGCAGTAACAGCGCAGAATTGCATCTAACAGAAACCGCCAAGCCAGTCAGTTCTTACATGCTCGCATTTGGAAATAGAAGAAAGAAAGAAAGAAAGAAAAATGTACACATACCTGATAAAAAGCAAATAGCAATCCCGGCACCAGCGGAGAGCCAGGACTAGGATCACCCAGTGTCTTCATAAGGCCGAAATAACGCATATTGCCAATGAACCCGTTGGTTGCCGTGGGCGAGAAGGCAAGCGAATAACCCCAAAAGTACCACTGGAAAGCCACAATGGACGTGGAACCCATGCAGGCCCATATCATGCTGAGGGCGGACTTGCGTCTAGCGAGCCCGGAGTAGAGGAAGCCCAGTCCTGGTACCATGACCATGACCATTGCGGAGGCGACGAGGATGTACGCCTGGTCGCCAGATTGGAACCATTTGTTGAGGTTTTCGACGCCTGGTTATGAGTTAGCTTTTTTAAGCATTTTGTGTGTGTGTTTATATATATATATTTGATTGTTTGTTTCAAGAGAGAAGACAGAAAAGAGAGGTGAGTGGTGGGAACGTACGGGAATTGCCGCCCAGATTTGCATTTGTGGTGAGGTTGAAGTTCGAAGGGGCACCGGTCCAGTTATACGAGGCATAGTCGGGGGCAAATGGGCCCTTGGAAGCCGACATTGTACTCCCCCTGGAATGCTTTGTCTTTGTTGCTTCTTTGGTTTTATATATCTTCCTTTCTTTTTGTGTTTTGGCTATGATATATCCTATTTTTAGCCCTTTCTTTTCTTTTCCCTTTTTATATTTTCTTCCCTCTCTCGCTGATTGTCAAAGTCGCCCAGAATTTGAATATGCGAAGTACGTTTTCCCAGGCTATCTATGGGGTATGGGAGTTAGTTTAAGGTAAGTTTTAATGGCAGGCCTGTGTAACTATAAACATGCTTACATATAATATATATTATTTACTAAGTTCAGGAGGCGGTGGAGAGGCAAAAGGTATATGGAGAGAAGAAAAACGAAGTGGAGCGAGGTGGACGAGGAGGAAGGATAAGAAGAAGAAAAGGAAAAGAAGGTCAGGAGAGAAGATGGAGATGGAGATGGAGATGGAAGAATGAGCTGATGAGGAGGAGGAGGAGGAAGAAAAAGCCGATCAGCGTTTCACAGTGATAAGCGGGAATATATATGGGCGGGCTGGCGGGAAGCACAGCTCCGTCTCAATGTATGGATCTGGATAAGAGCTGGAGTTTTGTGCCGAACGTTACCAGAACCGTACCTCCTAATTAAACCCGAGAGATTAATAATGAACGAAAAGGAAAAGAAAAGAAAAGAGAAAACCCATCAGCACCGCAGCGGGCGCACAGACAGGTATCTGAGTGAATACAAAGAGATACGAAAATGTGACTCGATCTCGGCAAAGCTGAAAGAGAGAGAAAGAAAGAAAAGCCGATATCTATTATGGATAATTTTAATCTGCTAACTAGTTAGTTTAACGGGCAATCGTTATTATCATCTACACGGATCTAGCATATCCATTCCTAGGCCCCGGCCCCCGGCCCCCCCCCCTCCCTCCGTCGACTATGATTGATGGGAGGCGAAGGGGAAGATAGAGATACGAACATAAGTGCACAACGCCTGGGATAAGCTATCTAGGTGCAGTGCAGTGGGCAGTGATAAGTCACTAGTTAGTTAATAGAAACCCGACTGATTAGCTATTCTTATTATTTAAACACAAACCATCCCCAGGTCCTTCCCCAGAGCCCAGAATCGGATCCTGCCATTGGATAATTAGTTGTTGGATACCCAGTTGGTTCCATGATAGCGGGCTAATTCCCGCCCGATAAGAATAAAGAACTGCGAAACAAAGCAGGTTGTGTAGCTGGAGAATAAATAATAGTATGCAGTCATGGACGCCCCCCCCCCCCCCCGGGTTCCGACTAATCACTGCAGAAGTCGCCCCATTTCCCAGCTGCAGCTCTCTTATCTCCGTGTGTTGACTGGGCCGATAACGCAGAGTCCAGGGGTTTTGTCAGGGGCGTGGAATAAACCACTACGGAATATCCCGAATATCCCGAGTATCCCTAGAGACACATAGACATAGAGGCCACACATGTTTCTCTCCCAGTTATTTCGACAGCACAGCATAGAACACAGCACAACAACAGTTACTATAATCCCTCATCAGACAGATTGTTTCGCCAATATATATATATATATATATATACACCCCTCTCACATCAGCTGGGTTCTGAAAAGGGAATTGCCAAAAAAAATCTTCCCTCCAGTTATTTCTTTTCTTTTATTTCGTCGAGACTCTTGTCACTGCTATTGGTGGGTGATAAGCCTGTCCTCTCTCATTGGACCCTTACCTGCTACCTCAGCTGCGACGGCTGTCTCCAGCAGATTGGCGGGGCTGGGCCCTGCAGGGGTGTTAAAACTGTGTACGGAGCACGCACTGTGCAAACGGCCTCGGGCGGTCTCGCTTGGCCAGGAAACTGACTCATTATGCACAAACGTATTAGCTTACCAGAGCCTTATCAGGATGGATCAAATGGGACAGTGGGGACGCAGTTTTTATTTCCGCAGTCAAATCTAAGGTTAGATCCCGCTGGAGGCGTCGGATGGGGGCTCCTAGGGCTCTTTGAGGTGGGGTATTTTTGTGTCCGTTCGCGGATTCAAGGTCGACATTAGATATCCTAGGCTCCAAAGTTAATTGACCCACTCCATATATTGGTATTAAACGTTGGACTGGGATCATGAGGGGGGAGATGGATGTAGAAGCGCAACTGGAGTTGTTGTTCGGGCTCTGGATGAGGGTTCATCTATCCAAGGATTTGATTCGGGCTTGAATTCGGAGGTTTTGTTTATCTTTTGCCCGAATTAGCTACTTAAGGGCTTGGGCGGGGGGCCGGGCGCCGGGAGGAGGTGGGGGGGGCCGGTGACGGTGCCGGTCGGGTGGTTTCGGGAGAGCAGTTGTACGTTGGTTAGTTATGGCTCTGACGTCGTGGAACTGGCCGGCCTCGGGGGTGTCCATATGGAGGGCTTGCCTAACAACGAAAAGCAGATCATCACATGGAGAGATTATGCATGCTGGATGGATGTTGCATATGCTACATGGCATTGACAGTAAATAGTAGATAGATGGACAGAGAGATTGCGAATGCATGCACATAGCACCCAACTGGGTATCCGTACCGCATCTATAACCCTTCGGTGCTCTCATCCAAGAATGTAAAAAAAACCAACCACAAAATGCAACATGCACTCCACTTAACCCCATAGAAGAAACCATATATATTACCAATCCCCAAACCCACCCCCCCCCCCCCCCCCCAAACATACTCAGTACCCAATAATCCCCCTCGCCCTTATCCGCTCCTCCACGCTCAGCCGATCCACCACCTCCTCCATCCCCCCCTTAACGACCTCCTCCCACTCCTCCTCCTCCATCCCCATCACCATGACAATCTGCAAACACCTCCCAAACGCCTCGCGATGCCGATATCGCACCCCGCCATACAACCGCGCCCGATCCTCCTCCTCCGCCGCCCTCCCACCCCCCACGTCAACCGCTGCACTTACAATCCCCATAACATCCCGCTCCAACCTCGTCGCACCCAACGCATTCACGCGCCCATGATACGACCAGATCCGCTTCTCCAGCAGCCGCGCCAGCGCTGCCACAGTCACGCCCAGCAACTTCTCAAAGGCCCGCCCAGTAAGGATTCGCGCAATGGGTTCCAGGAGATCCGCCCACGCTAACGCAAAGCGGCGACGCACGGCACTACCTCCGGCACCCTCCATGCCAGTTTCGTCCAGCATCTCGTTGTCGAATTCGGGGCTCCCGTAGTACTGCTGCTGGTGGTGATGGCTGTCGACGGCCCGGTCGTCACGCGGTTGGTACTCGACGTCGCGAAATGACTCTGCTAGGATCGGTCGGAGACGGGACTTGATGACGGTGTTGGCGACGACTTGGATCCCGTCGTTGATGAGGTCCGTGGCTTTGGAGTCGAAGGAGGAGCAGAAGGATTGTAGCAGATTGCATACCTCCTGTGCCTCGTCGGCGAGGGGGAAGAGGTTGGCTAGCGGGGATTCGCCGGGGACTGCACCGCCATCGCCAGCCCTATTGTTGATGGCTTCCGTTGCCGTCGTCGGCTTAGTGGGTGGTGGTTCGACGTGGCTTTTCACGATGCGTTGGATGTAGTCGATGGCTACGTCGAGGTTGTTGATGAGGACAAGAAAGGCGATGATTGTGGCCTCGGGGGGTGTGCCTCCTGACACTGCTCGTGGGTAGCTTTCGTCCCGCATCTTGCGCTGGATCATGCCGATGAAGTCGGAGCCAAGGACGCGGGAGAGCGTTGGCATCACGCTGGCCATGACGGCGTGTTGGGCGGTGCGGAGGGATTGTTGGAGGACTTTGTTGACAATGTACATTATGTCGTCGACGGCTGAAGTGATGTGGGGTGGGTTGGCGCGGAGGGGTTGGTGGCGGTTCAGTGTCAGTTCGGGTGGCCCTTCGTCGAGTTGGAAGGCTTTCTCTACTGAGCGGCGGAGAAAGAATGTGGTCATTGAGTTGAATGGGGCTATTAGCCGGTCATGAACCTTTTGGGATAGCGTCGACTGAACTAGGAATTCTGGTAGCTTGAATTCCGCCTCATCGTCATTCTGTACTTTTGTTAGCCTGTACTTGTGCTTCCATATACCAAGGAATGTCGTATTGAAAACATATGCAAGGACATAGTAAAACTGAACCTACCCTGCATTTATCAGCCAAGAAGCGTGAATACAAAGACCACCTCCCCAGCATAACAGCCGCCTCATTCAACAATCCATCGACTTCCTTCATATCAACCCCTTCATCCTCACTCGATCTATGCAATGCCACATCGCGATTGGCCGGCGAGTTCGCTCCGGGCGTCCCCATAGTCCTTGAAGCTGGTAGGAAGCTCTGGACAAGGAACGTAAAAGCATAAGACTTGATATCCGTCAACTTGCGATCCACATGACGGTCATCGCTCCAGGACTCCAAAATAATCCCACCTTGGACATCCGCCTCGACCTGCAACCTTTCCACAACCCTCGTCATCTTACCCGAGCCATAATGTCTCTCAACCAAGGAACCATGCCCATCAATAATCTGCGCAATATGTTCAAACAACTTCGTCAACGCATTCGCATAGAAGAACCCATCTTTCCTCTGCTCCGCGCCAGCCCCAGGATACAAATTCGCCCTTGCCCGCGCCGCGACGCCCTGGCACACATATCTCCCATATACATCCAACCCAACCTCCGACCTCCCAATAAGGGGAAACAGCTTAAAAAATCTCGTAATCTTCGCATCATCATTGTCCTTAACCGCCTTCTCAAACTCCCTCAGAAACAGCCCGCACAACGACTCCGCCGCATTCTCCAACGTCACGCTTGGCGGATCAGGAACTTCAGCAGTAGGCACAATTTCCGCCGCAAAGTCACTATGTAGCACTTCACGGGGAACCTTCGAAGCACGATTCATGTAATTTGCCGCCATTTCCCAATCCTGCGATGCGCCCATGGACCCCGCGACGCCTAGCACGCACGCTTTCAATTCTACAACTTGCTCCACCACGTCTAACGTGGCTTTGACACGGGACTGCTCGAGGTCGAGACGCCGGACGGCGCTGGAGATGCGGTCGGCGGTGCTTGCGGCGTCCGATAGCATGCCGTGGCTGATCGTGCGGGTGGTGCTGGCCTGCGACCTGAGGTGGGCACGGAGGAGATCCAGTCGGCCCAGTTCGCGGAAGAAGTCGTTCTGAGAAGCTACGAAGGCGTCAAGGCGGGCGGTTACGGCAACTTCGCGGTCGTGGAGGTGGGATAGGATAGCTTTGATGTCGGCAACTGTGCGGGCGTTGTAGATGTCCGTGGGCCTCGACAGGTCGGGATTTGGTCCCACTGCATCATTGTGGCCATTAACTTGTTGATAATTTCCGTATGAATCATTGGCTTGGTTTTCATTTTTCTTTGTTGAGGCGCTATCATCCTGTGTCCTATCCTTGGTTACGAGGCTTGATGTCCCCCGATCGTTATATCCGTTGAGAGCCACAGCAGCAGCAGCAGTCTTCGGGTGGGCCATTGATACCCCATCCCGATTTAGATAATCGAGGCTCTCCAAGCTGAAGTCCATCGATTGGAATCTAAGCGTGGGATTAAAGGCGAAGAATAGGAATATCCATTCATACCCGCTATATTGTTGTCCACAGAGTTGTGACGTTGCAGGTTCAAAAGTCGAGAGGCGTTAAGCGGCTAACGCCGATAGCCTAACGTCGTTTAGCTTTTGTTAGCCGCTCTGGCTATAAGCGACATCCCAATCTCAAATTAACAAATTCGGAACAAAACCAACAATACATATTTACACATACATTACTTGAGGATTCGCAGCTGTTCTGCTTTACTTTTCCCTGTCTCTCGTTAATTCCTTCCGCTATCAGTGCTAGTTACGTTCCTCACACCCTCGTTCTACCATTCATTCCACTGGCCTGGAACCTTCACTCAAGCTCCTCAGTTCGGAGGCTACTAGCTCAGCTTTCTTTTTTTCATCTCTTGTTCTTTCAGAGGACCATACATATTGTCATTCCGGCTTCAAGATAGGCCGCCGCCGGAGACCCACACATCAAAAGGGCTCATCACGCCGCCCACCCAAAATGGGGAACGAAATCTCCGTTCCTGTGGACGAGAAGACTCCGCCAGAAACACTGAAATCTCGCTCCCTTGAAGGCATCGTTGACTACATCAAAGAGAAAAATGTACGACGGATTGTGGTTCTCGTAAGGAAGCTTCTATTCCACTAACATTTATACAAGAGATCATACAAACCGGAAACCAAACTCTGCTAATACCCGTTGGCCAATCCCACAGACCGGTGCGGGAATCAGTACCGCAGCAGGAATCCCAGATTTCCGCTCTCCAGACACGGGCATCTACGCCAACCTAGCTCGTCTAAACCTCCCCCACCCAGAAGCCGTATTTGACATTTCATACTTCCGCAAAAACCCCCGACCCTTCTACTCGCTGTCTAAAGAAATGTTTCCAGGCCGCTATCGGCCCACCATAGCACACACTTTTATTAAACTCCTCTATGATAAAGGCCTCTTATTGAAGCTCTTCACTCAGAATATCGACTGTCTGGAACGGCAAGCTGGCGTACCGGGGGGAATGATTGTTGAAGCTCACGGGAGCTATGCAACCCACTCATGCATTGATTGCAAGTCTCCGTACCCAGACGACCTGATGAGAAAGGCTATAGAATCCAACGACATACCCCTATGCCTCAAATGTTGTGGATTTGTGAAGCCTGATATTGTGTTCTTCGGAGAGTCACTGCCGGAAAGTTTCTTCATGAACCGCACGTTAACCACTGCGGCGGAACTGTGCATTATCATGGGCACAAGTTTAACTGTACAGCCGTTTGCCAGTTTACCTAGTCTGTGCAAAGAAGGTGTCCCTCGTCTCTTGATCAACCTGAATCGAGTGGGAGGGCTCGGTAGCCGGCCAGATGATGTATTACTGCTGGGTGAATGTGACGATGGTGTGTTGAAATTGGCAGATGCGTTGGGCTGGCGGGATGAGCTGGAGGAGCTATGGGCCAAGGTCAATCCCGAGAAAACAAGCCAAATGCAGGAGGATAATAGGCAAAAGCAGGCTCGAACTCGTGATGAAAAACTACGTGACGAGGTTGAGCGGCTGACTGAGGAAGTGGAACGTATGTTGCATTTATCACGATCGCATGAGGACCGGGTCCGGTTGGAGTTAGAGGCGGAACAGCAAAAGGGAGGAGTACATTGGAAAGCACAAAAGCTGGACAAAAGTGAATCCACGGATAGATCTGCAGATGATGGAAATCAGGATCGAGAAATAGAGAGGGGTAGCGAGACCTCCATCCCTGAACAGGCCGCCGACAAAGTACGGGAACACCAGGCTCAGCCAAAGCCAATTGGTGCCGCAGCACAGAAGGGAGAATCATCACCACCGCTACTGAAACAGCCAAATCAGGACACTGGTCAAAAGACAGGGGTGAGATAAATGTAGACTAAAGACCGTTTACTCTGTAAGGGCTCTATGGGGAAGCAAACATTATCCGACTCGGTCGATATCGACTATCGTGCGAACCGTTTATGAGAAAATTATGAACTATGAAGATTTAATGATGATGACAACCAAGATTACGGGCATTTAGAGTCTACATTTTGTCGTGCGTTCAATTTTTTCATATATGGACTCACTCCCTCTGTGTTCTCTTTTCTATTTCGGTCTCTTCTGATTTCTTGCTTTGATTTTCCTGGTCACACTCATACAAACACTATGATGATGATATGAAAGATTTTTTGGTTATGATTGATTCTTATGAAGGGGCCTTGTATTCGCTATTTATGGCTATCTTCCCTTGTCTATTACTTCTCTCGAGCCCTGTCTGTTTCTAGTGGAAGAATCTATACGTATTCGGGAATTTCAGGGACTATGACGTCGCCGCACTCGAAAGTGATCCGGAATAGCTGCAGTTCGGGGGAATCAGACAAAACAATAGTCAAATATCACCAATGCTGATTCGTATGTACAGTCTATATAGAGGAAGTGGAAGTGCAAATAGCATGAGGAATTGGAAGAATCTAACATATTACCTGGAGTTGTTAGCAATTGTAGATTCCATTAACACAATGTCAGCTTCGCCGATTCGGCAAAGGCGGGAAATCCCAACAAAAAATAACCCTATATCAACTCCACCCTCAGCCTCAACTTTCAATCCCGAATTCTCCGCGTTGCATCTTCACCCGTCTTCACCCGCCACGTTCTCTTCTCTCTTCTCATATATATATTATACTGAGAAACCGCCACTTGTATATACCAAATCTGTTCCTCATCTACCAGTCTCACAACTCAGAGGCTTTAAACCACAATGCCACCGCCTCCTCCTCGCCGAAGTTCCTCCCGTAAGGGTGAGTATACAGCAGCAAATTCCCCTTGAGATATGCATAATATCTTCCGGGCATGAATGATCATTTGTACTCATGCGCCAAATGCCAATATGTCAATATGCCAATTGCGAATGAGTCCAAGTCTGACTCAATCGGACCACTGTAGGATCAATGGCTGATATGCCAACGGAGTTGCTGGACCAGCTCAAAACATTGGAGGAACTCTTTACGGTGGATCAGGCAAAACTAAAGAAGATCGTTGACCATTTTGTCAAGGAGTTAGAGAAGGGTGAGTTTGTTGCGCCCCCCCCCCCCCCCCCCCCCCCCCCCCCCTTTGCCTCGCACTTCCTAGGGAGGATGCGACAGAGAAGCGGGTTTGAGGAGCAGAAGAAACTATGCGCAATTGCCATTGCCATTGTGGGATTTTCATTAGAGATATATATCTGACGGTTAACCTAATTTAATGGATAAAAAGGCCTAAGTGTCGATGGAGGAAACATTGTGAGCTTACCCAAATGCTTTGTTGCTGCTGTGAACCTTTCTCGCATGCCTCCAGTTGGGGGTTACAAAATCATCCAGTCTTTTACTGACACAAACTTTCTTCAAGCCTATGAACGTAACATGGGTCTTGGGGTTCCCCACTGGCTATGAGCAAGGCACATACCTCTCCCTCGATATGGGCGGTACCAATCTACGAGTTTGTGAAATTCACCTCACCGAAGAGAAGGGCGAGTTCGATATCACACAATCCAAGTACCGAATACCCGATGAGCTGAAGAACGGAAGCTCAGAAGACCTCTGGGAGTATATTGCCGACTGCGTGCAGCAGTTCATCGAACATTACCATGAAGGCGATATATCCATCCCGGATTTCCCATTGGGCTTCACGTTCTCCTACCCCGCCACGCAGGATTATATTGATCATGGAGTCCTGCAGAGGTGGACCAAGGGCTTTGATATCGATGGGGTGGAGGGCCATGATGTTGTTCCAATGTTAGAAGCAGCATTGGCTAAGAAGGTACCTATAATTGGAGGGCCTCCTCTTTTCTTCCAATTCTATTTTAGCCAATGTCATCAAAGAGTATAAATCCAGATTGTTCCTAACAAAATTAACAGAACCTCCCAACTAAGATCACCGCTCTAATCAATGACACAACCGGCACTCTCATCGCCTCCGCTTATACCGATCCCGAGATGAGAATCGGTTGTATATTCGGCACTGGCGTCAACGCTGCTTACATGGAAAACGCCGGTTCCATCCCCAAAATTGCCCACTACAACTTACCCCCGGACACCCCTGTGGCCATCAACTGCGAATACGGCGCCTTCGACAACGATCACATCGTCCTCCCCCTAACCCAATACGACATCATAATCGACCGTGACTCACCCCGACCAGGCCAACAGGCCTTCGAAAAGATGACCGCAGGCCTCTACCTGGGCGAAATCTACCGCCTCGTCCTCCTCGACCTCATCGACAACAAGGACAACCTCATCTTCCCCAACCAAGACGTCTCCGGACTGCGCAAACCCTACTCCCTCGACTCCTCCTTCCTCTCCTACATCGAAGAAGACCCCTTCGAAAATCTCTCGGAGACTCGCGACCTCTTCCAGCGCAAGCTGGGCATCTACTCCTCCTCCTCTGAGCTGGAATTCTGCCGGCGCCTGGCGGAATTAATCGGCACTCGTGCCGCGCGCCTCTCCGTCTGCGGCGTTGCGGCCATCTGCAAGAAGAAAAATATCTCACATTGTCATGTCGGCGCGGACGGGTCGGTGTTTAACAAGTATCCTCATTTCAAAGCCAGGGGTGCCAAGGCGCTGAGGGAGATTCTGGACTGGCCGGATAATGAGCCTGATCGGATTGTGATGAGTGGAGCGGAGGATGGTTCCGGTGTTGGTGCGGCGTTGATTGCGGCGTTGACGCTTGAGAGGGTTAAGAAGGGCAATTTAGTGGGGATTCAGAATAAGGAGACGATAACGAAGTTTTGTTGAGGGGCGTTAGGGGTGGTTTGATGGGTTTGGGGTTTGAATATGGAGTAATAGTGGAGAAGAGGAGGGTTTAAAAACTAGAATAGCTTTGCATATACGTAACATAAAGAACCAGTCTCGGTCGCTCCCAATCCATTCTCCGTCCAGTTTCGTGCTTGAAAGTTTTAAATTATCATCTCTATATAAGCGTAGTTCTCTGGGAACCTTTCTCTGGGGTTCAATATTTTTTCATACGTCCTGTGATCCATGTCTATATCTTCCATCAGTGCTCCAACTCCTGCCTTGCTTCCCTCGTTTTATTTCCATACAGAAGAAAAGAAGAGGCCCTGGCATCGAAGACTCTTGTCCACATACGCGCGCGCGCGCATGCAGACAATACGAGCAACAGACCTAGCCATGAATCTCCCACAGTCGTATCTTCCCCTGCTCGTTCGCAACAGCCAACATATCCGAAGTGGGAGCAATTGCAACTGCAGAGATGCGTCCGAAAGGTGTGTTGGACGTCGGCCAATTCTTATACACAGTGCATGACGGGAGATGAACTATGTGCAGGTTGGAATTAGTAAACTGAAGTTTCACATGGAGCATAGAAATAAGGAGGGCGTGTGAAGGGGAACTGGGTATAGGTAAAGGAGATTTCATACTCAATCTCAACGCATCCTTCTTCCACCGACTAGCCATGACAAGCAACTGCCCATCTGCGGAAAACACAAGATGGCTCGTCGGCGTCGTTAGCTGATCAAGCATGCGCGTAGGTATAGGATTGCGCGGAATCCCATCCCGCCCTTCCTCGCCATCACCAACACCATCACCATGGGCATCCATCTCAATATTCTTCCCTTTTGCCTTCCTACCAACCTCCACCGCCGCCACAGCAGCCGCCCATGGCCTCCGATCATAAATATTCACAATCCCACTCGAACTCCCCACAGCCACCCACCTATCCCCACCAATCTGCGCCCTCCCCGATTTCCCACCCAGCGCAATAACCGTAGCCCCCACAGCACCCTCATCAACCCAGCGCGCAACAATCCGCTTCTGCCTCCCATCCCACTCGCTAACCTCTCCGTTCTTGCCAACAACGCACATTCCCTGCCCATCACTCCACCACGCAAAATCCGCCACGCCATTATGGCTGTCGACCCGCACCTGCGCAACCCACTGCAGCGTTGTGGTGCTGAGGATATTTACGATGCCGCCACCCTTGCGTGTGCTGCCGATAACCCCCATCCATCGACCGCATGGAGAGAGTTTGAAGCGTTCCATGGTCTTTTGCTCTTCTTTGCGGTCGGGGGGGCTGTTGATCTTTTCCACTTTTCCCGTGTCCAGGTCCCAGATGTGGAAGTAGCGGCGGCGGCCGGAGAAGTAGATTTGGTTTCCTGTGAGCGAGGAGAAGGTGCTTGTATGTAGCGGGGTGCGGCGGATGTGAAGGGAGGTGAGGAGGGGGTTTGGTGAGGCCGATTTGGGAGAGATGTGGTGTAGAAATAGGGTGGAGGCAGGGCCGGAGGAGAGGAGGAGGGGATAGTGTGGGTGGAAGGTGAGGGAGTCGACAGAAGACTAGGTTTTGGATTGATATGAGTAGAAAGATTCGGAAGACGGAAAATCAATCACTGTAAGCAAAGGGGGTAAAACTTACAGGTTGGCCCCGACCAACATCCTTCATCCGTTGTATGTCCAGCACCTCCTGGCGGAGTTTCCGCTTCCCGCCACTTTTTGCCGTATCCTCTCCTCTCGTAAGATTGCCAGCATTCTGCAGCAACCGTGCCAACGGCTGCAGAGACATCTCCTCCTCTTCATCCGTATCCATCTGGTCAGAACCGGAAACGATCTCTACATCGGACTGCTGAGCTCCCGTCTTCCGCCTCTTCGAACTTCTCCCACCCGTTGCGCTGGACGAATTCGCCCACGCGGGAGTAGGATGTAGCCGTTCAAACTGCTTACGCAGCCGCCGTATATACTCCGAGCCCGTAACAAGGACATCCGCTTCGGAAACCCGTAGCTTTCTCAGCCGATTTTTCCCAGCTAGAGAGATGGTGATTCGCTCATCGTCGCTATCCTCCCATGCGGCCGGGGGTTCATTTTCATGCTGGCCGTCTGCTGTATCCTGCGTGACATGAGACTGGACGTCATCGGCAACAGCGGAGCCAGAATCTAGGAAGAAGAGCTATCCAGATAGTAAATAATAAATATTAGCGCCAAAGAAAATTACCCATACTGAGAGCCAGAACCCGAATGATGGACATACATCCGCATCATCAACCCCTTCCAGGCCCTCCTCCTCCTCCCCTCCCTCTCCCTTTTCCTGTGCGCCTTCACTGCCACTACCCCCCGCAAGCACCAGCTCCATGCCCTCAGCATCGTGTTCCCTCAACGCATCATGGAACCCGTTCGCATCGCCGAAAAGCAATCGTTCCAGCTTCTCCTCCGTCTCGTCCTTAGGCATTGGTTCATCATGATCACTCCCGCTTTCACTGGCAAGATCGCCTTCTAGAGCGCCCTGGGTATCAATGAAAAAAGCTTCTTCCTTGGACTGTAATGTAGTGGCAGTTGAAGGCGCCTTTTTCTGCTTTAGGCGCACTTTTTGCATGGTGGGCATTGCGGGAGGTTGTAGGCTGGGAAGCGGGAGTAAATTAGGGTAAGGAAGATAATAGCCTAGTTATACTGTATGGAATAACAGGTAACTCCATCCATGGATAGCAGCGTGGGCACTCCTCTCTATTCAACAAGCAGCCCGGTTGCAAGTTTTCTGTCTTTGGTCGTTCTACCAAAAAAAAAAAATTAAAGCTTCGAATAAAAATGATGCCTGAGGCTGCATATTTTAGCGGGTGGAGATCATGTGATCCTTAACCTATTATTGGTTCCTTGAGCAGAAGCCGTGAATTTTCTCCCCGACGTGACTTTGAAGCATTATCAAAATAACATATACGAAAATGTTTTCGCTACAAATTCATAGACATGAATAAGATTAATATTGTGATAGCATTATACATAACCCCTATGGATTTCCTGACAAGGATCGACGCATCTACCTACATATGCATAGAATGATCAAGATCACCCCAGCCACAGATGACCAATCGAAGATATTCTCATAGTCAAACGGCTTGGGCATTAGAAAAGAGAGGGGGGGAACATAAGTAGAATCGTAGCTCAACAACAAGTTTCTGTCTATTTAATATAGTGCCGCAGGCGTATATATCACCAGATTAAAAGAAGAGGTAGAAAGAATAAATTGAACTTTAGAAAAAGAAAGCACGAGAAGAGAAAAATGCCTATCATCCACTGGGATATTAATACATGCACCTTGAAAACAATGTTGTAAAAACCAGAATGGGAGCTTAAAAAAAAAATGTACAATGCTGGGTATGTAAGTTGCATCGGAGCCCAAACCTGGCGTGGGAATGCGGAGGCCTTCCAAAGAAAATATCCGCAAACGAGATGGGAAATTGAAAAAGAAGACATAATAAAAGGAGAAGAAACCGAATGCTTTCGCCAACGCCATTCACCGGCTAAAAACGCGGACAGAGAGCAGAAATGAACAGTGCAATACAAGACGGAAACTAGTGTACCTCGAACGCAGGGAACGACTCATAAGCCTCTGTGGAGTCTCATGAAAAAGGGGTTCAAGAATAGTTGGCCGAGGGAGACGGTGGGAAAACGAGAGAGATATCCGCATCTCAATCGATCCATCAATCGATCACTTGCAGCGTCTTTCAGTCAGGTGTATATCCAGCCCAGAACCATCATTCAACGACACCATTATCATCATCATCGTCGTCGTCGTCACCACCACCACCAGATTCCAGCGTCCTCTTCACCCTCCCTTCATCATCATCGTCATCGGGAAACACCATATAATCCTCATCATTTAAGTCATCTCTATCAATCCCCGCCAACAACGCACTCCTTCTATGCCGATCATCACCTCGCACCACATCATCCAGACTATCATACCTACCAGCACCGCCAGCGCCGTCAACCCCACCAGCGCCATTCCCACTCCCACCGTCCTCATTATCATCCCCTTCCCCATCCTCCACCTTCTCACTCGGCTTCTTAATGAAGGTATCAATAATATAATACTGCACCGCATTCATAATGACCGGAAACAGCAACATGACGAAAAATATTTGCACAGCTGTATTCCCTTCCGTCCAGCGGAGGGCCCAGTCTCCCACCTTGACGATGAAGGGAAGCATATGGATGAGGATTATGACACAGGTTTTCATACAGAGCAGGCCGACGAAGTAGATCATGGACTGCTTGAACCACCATGTGGCACGGGGAGGGCTGCCGTAGTTGCCGGATTGGATGGATTCGGGGGGGTTGGCGAGTGGGGTGAAGAGGGCAGCGTGGTTGAGGACGCGGAGGATGAGTATTAGAATGGGAATGCCTAGGGTTGTCTGTCACAGTATAAAGAATACAGCGGTTAGTCAAATCCAAAATGCCGTACAATGACTGCTCTCTCAACCCTATCTCTGTGACCATATATATCTATATCTATATCTATATATATATATATCATATAGAAATACCAGTACAACGTACATCAATCCCCAAATTCAACAAATAATACGAGCACGGGTTCGGCTGGTACGTCGCAGTCACGGGTATCTGGCCCGCAGAGAACATCGACGCGAGCAGGTTGGCCAGATGCAGCATGGCAGAACCGAAGACTTGCTTGGACACGTCGAATGCCCATACTTTTATAGGGCGCTGGGGCCTTTCGCGCCAACGCTTATAGACCAGGGCGAGAAGGGCAAGAGCGCCCAGGGTGACTTGGACGAGGAGCGCGAAGGGGCCTAGGAGCTGGCATTCGCCGTTGTTGTCGTCGGAGGGGGTTGGGGGAGGGGAGGGGGAGGGGGAGGAGGTTGCAGCGGATACTGGTGAGGGACGCATGGTTTGTAGGAAGGATGGGGGGGATAGGGATGGAGATAGGGACAAAGAGGAGGAGGGCGAGAGGGGGAAGAGGGAGTGGGTTGTTGCGAGGGCAAGGGAGGTGATGGCATGTGAGGCTTGTAGATCTGTCATGGCTGGGTTTGTTGGAGGTCAGGAGATCGAGAGACCCTGTTACGTCTCGCGAGTGGGAGGATGTAACTGCCTGTGGATCGGAGGCATGTGTCGTGGTGGTTGGCTTGCTTATTTCCTCCTTCTTCGGCTTCCTCTCTTGTTGTTCGCAATTGTTATTAGAGAAATTTCGATGGTATTATAATATATACAATACTACATATCTGTCCGAGAGGTTGGGGAATTGTTGTAGAGGTTGTTAGTACGCCAGAGGGAACTCTTCGAGTCCGAGGCTAAATGGAGGACTAAGCAAAATAAATAACTAACTAGGTAGTTAAAGGAACGAAAGTTATGAAGCCGATGCTTTCATTGCTATCGAGTAAGCCTTCTGATCCGTTGTCTCGAGTTTTTTTGCCTGTTGTGGCGGTGTTTTGAGGTTGAGGTTGAGAAATCCGCAGAAGTTCGCGGGCAGTAACTATAAGCTAGGGCAACGTGGGGGTTAGCGGTGCCGGTCAGGTGACCCCCTTTCGCCCTGCCGCTGGGTGCGGCAAAAAGGAGGAAGTTTTCCTCAGAATTTACGCTACAACGGATAAATGTTAAAAATGTAGAATGGTTCCTAACTGTCATTTCCAAACAACAAAAGAACCACTTTTGCTGCAGGTGGCATTCAGAGAGCGGCGCAGTTGGACTGGGTTCAAAAGGAAAATGGGAGGCGAGGTTATAGCTACGGCGTGTCTAGCCATATTTTGCCATACTTCTTCCCTCCCAGTTGAGTCGTGCCACAATATATTACTTTCAAATTCAAATTGAGTGGGAAATGCCTATATGTATTTGCGTGATCATTCTGTTTAATCCTCCCCCCCACTCCTACGCCTATAACAATAACAATAACAGCAGAAGAAACAATACTAATCCCGAACATGAGTCAGACGTGACATCATTTAATATGCTGAGGAAATGAAAATGAAAAACATGGGCCAAAAAAAGGGCAGAGCAAGAACAGAAAGTATGAGATAGAGGAGACGATCTCAAAATATCCAATTATCTCCGTTCTCTGAAGCAGTCGATGAATGGACAGCCAAAGACAGGATTGGTACCAAGCAGTCTTAGCTCCCGCAACGTTTCGAAACTTCCAGTGCTAAACTCTTCGATAATATCCCCACGAGTGACATGTATGGTTGGAAGGATGACCCTCTTGCACTAGAAGAGCGGGATACACTTGAAAACGAGAAGAGGAAATGAGGATGCGTCAGGAAAAAGAGAAGGAAAGAAGAGAAGGAAAAGAAGAGAAGAAAGGGAAGTAAGAAGAAAAGGTAATAACAATGGGGAATTGAATAAATAACAAGAACGTAAAGTACATGAACAGAAAGAAAAGAAAGAAAAGAAGGGAGAAAAAAAAAAGAAGAAAACCAAAAATGATAAATATGAAAATCAGTCGATGCCGTGTTGCTGTTTAAGTCGTTCTAGGTTTTCTTGTCGTGCGGCCAGATCTTCTTTCGATCTGGCCATTTTCTCTGGTTGGTGGTATAGGACTATTAAGTTATGGACATGTTAGCAAAGCACCCTCCGATACAACCCCATTCCCATACCCAATACGCATCGCGAGATGGGTGTTTTATATATATATATATACTAACCAACAAGGTATCTATTCTGGAAGTTAAAGCCGTTCAATTTATCACAGGCCTGCTTTGCATCGATGACATCCTCGTAGACGACGAATGCGGTGCCCTTGGAGTTTGTGGCGATGCCCTGGCGTATTTGACTAGAATCCGTTTCCAAGAGGTATGGTTAATGAAGTGAAGAGTAGGTGAATAGCACAAGGCAAGAAAAACACTCCGCCTGGTAATAGCAATGTATGGATACACCACACCGCGCGAATGCATGTGATGGGGGAGGAAGCGAGAGAGTGAATGACCCTTACCGGATAGGCCCAAACTTCCCGAAAAGGTCAAACAGCTCCTCTGCGGTGACGTTGTAGCTATGTCAAATAAAAAGGCAGAATTAGATCTTCGTCTGGAGTTGTCGTTTAATCGCATGAAAGGGAAAAAAGTCAAGGCAAAATTATATGTTTGGCAGAGTTTATATTTGGCGGATGCGAGTTCTAAATTATTCTGCGAAGAGCGAGACTGAACTACACACCTGAGATTCTTCACGAAAAGGATCCTAGTTTGTTTTGGCGCAGCATATGAGCATCCAGCATTCACAAATTAGATAATTTATCTGGGCGAGGAACGAGGATATGTTGGTAGGTACCTGTTGGCTTCCGGGGCAAGCTTAGTGCTGCGGCTCATATCTCTTTGGGCGGAGTATGCGGCGATAAGGCTAGTAGCTTGAGAGTGAAGACGGCCACGGACGGGCGGGAGTATTGACCGGAGTGATGGATGATGGGGGAGATATTGCGGGAATGTTCAAAAGGAACGGAGTGGAATGGAGAAGTGAGGGGAGACGTGGTGGATGAGGCCACAAGCCGCTTTCGACAACCTTGGGCTGGATATAATGCGCGAGACCCGCCTTGCAAAAACGCACAAATTCAAGCTTGGCCGCTTTCGTCCAACTTAGCGTGGGATGGCTGTTATGCAGCGCACTAGTTCCTATACGGGCTAGTGGATCGTAAGCCGCTTGGAAGGGTTATGTAAGGCTATGTTAATAAAGTTAACTAACTAACTAAACGTTATAACTAGTTAACTAGGTAACTTTAACTAGTTAATTAGCTAGCCTCACTAATGAAATTCCCCACTGAGCCGATCAACTCCACCGAACCGATCACCAATCCACCAATAGCAAAGCTACTCACCTCGATTTTAACCCGGAATATCTTCACTCAGCGGCAAATAATTATATTAAATTAAATTACACTAGCGTGAGGGCATCTAGATTTGTACGCCTGAATGTGAAACAATTTTTGCATGAGTGTTTCAATGAAGCTCAGAAAATGAAAAAATACGCTCAGCTAGCTACTTTTCACTTGTCAAACCCTTTCTACATTGAATTCTGTGATTAAATCTTTAATGTTTTTGCTTCTCTTTCTCATTACAATAAACATATCCTGGTAATATCTTTATTATAGTGATATTGATCATGTTATATTTATAAATTTTAATAATTTAATTAAGAATTTTTTATTAATTTAAAACTTTTAAGTTTTTATTTTATAATAATTTTAAACATATTTATCTGTCAATAATTTATAGAGATTGTTAGTTGAAACCCCGAAATGATTATAAATTACTAGACTAATTAACAGTAGTTTAAATAATACAGAATAATTCTTCCTGATTAGAAACTTCTTTGCTAGGGGTAGCTAGCATATTGAAAAATATACTGGATGGAAAGGATTGAAATGAAAGCTGATCCGCTCATAGGTCCACTGTGTCTGTAGGATATAGTTACCAAGAACAGGTTACGTGATTGCTTGCTTGCTCATGACTAAATGAGTAACCACTTATTCAGAACAATCCAGTTTCTGGTCCCCCAAACAAACCCATGTACTTTGTGATCATTGTCTTGTCCAAATCGGACTCCACTCCTGCATGCATTGCATTGCATGCACAAAATGGTACCAAAAAATGAAATACTCAATCGACAACTAGTTCCCAGGTTTGCCTACAATCCGCTAATTCGTCATAGGCTCAGAGCCCCGGACCCAATGCACTATTTTTGGAGGGTTGACCCTATGCTATCCTCTGGCGTTGGACGGCTTCCATAGTTTAGACTCATTTCCTTGAGGAACCCTGTTTCCAGTGGCTCTGAAAAGCTCTCATTATTAATTTATATTCTCAGATCTTCACGAGCTTGAAGAATTTGAGTTTGAATTGCTCACTTGGTAGCTTACATCAATACTGGAAGTTAGCTCCCTGATCCAGAGCTCGTGAAGTCCCCTCTAGGCTAATGAAGGGCCTTGGTTATTATACCTTCAGATAACAACAACGTTTCTGCCCTCAAAGTCCAGAGGAGAGGAGCATCAGTGTGCACGCCCGAAGCCTCAAATTGAGAAACTTTTATCTGTTGAGATCAGTTTATTGAAGAGGAAAGGAAGCATGTATATATATGCGGGGGAACTCAGTCAGATTCACCTATTTTCGGCACTGAAAGGGGTTACATGGGATAGATATCCCGCTGCTGTGAATGCGCCTGATTAATTGAATGTCTTATTTATTTTCCATTGAGGGCCAATTCGCACGAGTCAGATAAAATTAATGGACAAATCATTTCTTTCCCATCAAACTCCCCGGCCTTGGAGAAGGTCGACTCGCAAAGCCTGCTGTGGTCCTTATTCCAGCAGCAGCAGCAGCAGCTTAGCAATGGACCGATGGCGGAGAATGCATTATAGCATAGAATATACGATTGAGAAAGAACCTGCTACTAGATAAGTTATCAAAATTAGCCTTTAGATAGAGGGCATCAACATTCCGATTCCAATAGACATGATCCAAGCACCTCCGAGGAGCTCCCTTCGAACACAACCCGGCAGCCTTCCACTTGCGTATTAGATGGCAGGTGAACCCCGATCCTATCGTTATTATCCGCGTCCGTGTCTGCGCAGCTATTGTTTCCTCTAGCGCATGGCCCTGGCTGGATGTTCTTGACAGGTTACGGATCTCATGCACCGCACATAATCCCATCTCCGATCTCCGCTACCATACACATACCGCTTCCACCGCTTTCGCTTTTCTATATCCATCCATATCCATTCCGAACCGTTTGGGTTCTTAATAGGCATTGTTTATGCCATGGAAGGGGGCTAGAAGGGAGAGGTGGTGGCAGAGCGGAGGGGGCAAAGCGGAGCCGACTTCCGTGGACAAGTTTTGGTTTGGCTAGAGCGGGGATACACTTGCGGCAGATAGCGGATAGCCTGGGTGGTTGCTTTGGATATATATCTCTCGTTGTCAAGGTTGCAGCAGCGACAGGTATGGGCTCTGTTCTTCTTCTGTGTGCCGATGTGAACAAAGCGACTGTGTGAGAGGAAGTAATGAGCAGTCACAGTATGGAGAGGTTTATTAGTAGGTAAATACGTAATAGAATTACTCAAGTATGTGCTCTGTAATTGCTACAGTATAGCAAATGTAAATAAATCAAGGCTGTCTCTCAGTTTGATATCAGAAGAATCTCAGAAGAACCTCAGAAGAATCTCGGCTGGAAAGACAAAGAGCTGAGTGTAAACGTAATACCCCATGATATACACATTTCGCAGCAAACCTACGTCCAATCATCTGTAATACCAATACCACGGCTGCGGCTCTTCCTCCTCTTCCTCTTTCGTCTTCGCCCTCCAGTTCCCCTCTCAACGACAACAACAATTCCCACCGAAACGCTCCCCCTTCGCCAATCGGAAAAGATCACCAATTCTCATCGCTTAGGCTTCCCTATGGCCGCCCTCCACGCTGACTGAGAGTTCTGTGCCGGAGTTGGTCCTAGTTACCCGCTCGCCGCTCCAATCCAGCCGCCCGTTGTTTCGCTTAGTCTCCCTCACTTCGCCCTCTGACTGCTCTCCAAGCATATCCCCTCATCCCAGTCACCCTCCTCTCCCTACCATCCTCCTCGTTGCCCTATCTCTGCATCCTCCTCCATCCTCCTCCTCTCTGACCCTTCAGGAATGCGTCGTCACGCATCACCCATCGTCCACTGTTAGACCTCTGTGGTCAACAATCACCCTTCCCCGCCTTTCCCTTTCCAACAAACGCGAAACTGTCCGCAACCCTTCCGCCCCCTTCCTTCGATCCATTCCGACGAGTCTGCCATCTCCAGCTAATAAAACTAGTCATGGCGAACTGCTCATCCTTCCGGAATCATTGCATGATGCGCCCATCAGATTACCACACGCCGTCCCCACCCAGAGATGCCGTCGAGTTGATCTCTCCGGCCCGAACTCCCGCCCATTCCCCCACGTCCCCCTCCTCCATCATCCGCAACGTCCCTTCCCGCGATGGCCAGCAACCCAGTTACGAACCATTTTTTGGTGTTCAGGAATCTTCAATAAAGCATGAGTGGAATAATCCTTTTCAGGATGGAAATAGAACGGGAAGTCAACATCCTCATAATCCCCAACCACAACCACATCAACAAGAGTATCACCACTACCGTGGTTCATCCACCAGCCATCCAACTGCAAACCCTGCGAACAAAATCGGGCAGAGATCCGGCTCAAACATCGATGCGCTGGCTACCATTGCCCTTGCGACAAGCCCTACCTTTGCGCCTCTTACATACGATGAACCTGCGTCTGCTGGCCTCGCCACCACCACCACCACCAAACACCATCAACCCTCTACTACCGACCAGTCCGAACGTCCATCCAAACGCGCTCGGTCGGAAAAAGCTTCATCTCCTTCATGGCTAACGAGGCCTGTGACAAGCCACATCTCGGCATTCGACAGCATGAAGACCGATGCGGAGTTGCTGCTCAACTTTGCGAGACCAAGCAACTTCCCCCGCTACCAAGATGGCCCAAAACCCCAACTCCAGCTGCAATCCGCGAACCAGCCGGCAAGACCGAATCGCCGAACTGCAGCAGTTCAATGGGCTACAGATCCTGCTGACTTGTGGGTGAAGAAATGGGACATTACTGCTGAGAATAAACCATCCTCCGCTTTCTTTGGGAGCAACCCTGGCGGGGCCCCTTCCCGTATTCGATCGAAGTCGGATGGCTCCGCTTTCATGGGAAGACCGGTGATGAATGGCTTTGTCTCCGGCTCTTCCCCGTTGCCCCCGTTGATGGGACATGCTCTTGAAGATGACCAGGTCGATCCGCGTGAGACTGTAGAGAAGCCTCACGGTACCATGCAAGCCAACCATCTAGATGTCCAGCAAAAGCCACCCACTCCATTCCAGCGTCGAAATAGCGTGCCTGCCTCTGATTTAAAAGCTGAGGACTCTGATAACGACAGCTCGAGTCAAGCAACCTGTGCTTCATGCAACCTCGACCGGATCGGATCCGATGGAGAGGACGAGGACTCCGTGACATGGATAAGTTGCGATGGATGTAATAAGTGGTTCCATATCGTGTGCGCCGGGTTTAAAAGTGACCGCGACACCAGAACGGTTGACAAGTTTATCTGTCGTACATGTCGACCTCTCCATGGACCCACAACTTTTGTACGCAAGTCTTCTCGGGCACGAACAGCTATCGACTATGCTGGCTTGAATCAAGGGTTCATAATGTCCTCGACGGAAACTCCGGAGCATCATTATATCCAGCCAATCAAAGATGGGAAGATCACGTTCTTGCCAGACAACTTTGCGCGCATACGTCCCGAGCTCGTCACTGCGGAGTATTTTGAGAAAGGTATTGGGATGACCGAGCCGATTGTCATACCGGCATCGTTCAATACACGCGCCTCTGTCCCTGGTTCTTCTGATTATATTCCGCCTGAAGTTGCCACTGAGGAGGAACTTGATGAAATCATAGATAACATGCCCGAGGATGACGATGATGGTAACTACACAGAAGTAATCGACTGCGGTCAGGACTTGTTGGACATGGTCATCCCCCAAGGTCTGACCGTTCGACATGTTGCTGAACTCTATGGACCGGAGGAGAGGGTCGAAGTGATCGATGTCAAATCGCAGCAAGGGGAGGACAAGAGATGGAACATGCAAAAGTGGGCGGATTACTATTATGATGATTCCGCATCCAAAATTGTTCGAAATGTTATCAGTCTCGAGGTGTCGAACAGCCCGCTGGGAAGACTCATTCGTCGACCCAAGATAGTCCGCGACCTTGATCTTCAGGATCATGTGTGGCCAGCCGAGCTACAGGCCATAGGCGATTTCCCCAAAGTACAATTCTACGTCTTAATGTCCGTTGCGGATTGCTACACTGACTTCCATATCGATTTTGGGGGTTCTTCGGTTTACTACCACATTCTCAAGGGAAGCAAAACATTCTTTTTCATTCCACCCAAGGATAAATACCTGAAAAAGTACGAAGAATGGTGCAACTCCGCTGCGCAGGATACTACGTTTCTTGGAAACCAGACTAAGGAATGTTATCGCGTCGATCTCTCAGCGGGCGACACGATGCTCATTCCTTCCGGTTGGATTCATGCCGTTTGGACTCCAGAAGATAGTCTCGTCATTGGCGGAAACTTTCTCACAAGAATGAACTACGGAATGCAAATCAAAGTCGCGAAGATTGAAAAGGACACCAAGGTACCTAAGAAATTCCGCTACCCGTTCTTCCAGAAGATCCTATGGTATGCTGCCATCAAATACCTGGAGGACGACCCGATCCCGCAATCGGTCCTGGAATCCTTCTCCCGTGACGAGAATTACCTCTTCTATCGCGAGTATCCGATTTACTATGAGTTCGGAGAACGCGGCAATACTGCTAAGCCAGGAACGGAGTATTATAACGCTCGATATTACTCTCAGGCTGAGCTAGACGGGCTGCCTGAACTGGCAAAATATCTCCTGAGAACTGCCTTGATTGCTGGCGGATACCAAGTTGATGGCGTTACGACTGAGACTAGGAATGCGGTTAGGAGATCCATTCCCAAGGGACAGGGAGATCCCGTTGATACGATTATGAAGTTTGGGATGTGGGTTGCATGGAAGCGCGGAAATGAGCCTGCCGCCAAGTGGACGCGCCCCGGTGCCATATCGTTTGACACCAAGGTTGATATGTCGGATAGGAAACCAGCTGGAAGACCAAGTCGACGCTCGCAGCGGAACATCGCTGCTGAAAGTCCGCAGCTCAACGCCAACGAAGCTAAAAATATGACAGATTCGCAAACCAGCGGTCGTCGTCTGTCAGATCTCTCATCAGAAAATACGAATAACGGTGTCATTTCCAGTACCAGCTCTAGTTCCACAACTGCGCCGTCGATGAGCGGAACGCCCGGTCCACCAAAAAGGAAAGCTTCACTTAGCAATGTGAAGGATGACATTAGCCAGTTGGCAAGTTCTTATTCTACTAATAATAGTAATAATAATATCAATAAGCCGCGCTTGATGCAGAAGCCGACGGGCCTGGGTCCGAAACGTGTTGCTTGTGACGCTTGTCGGAAACGGAGAATTCGCTGTCGACATAAGGATGAACAGATGCTTGTGGAGAGTTTTGTGCCTGTTACTGCTTCAATGTCGAGTAAGCAGCCTATCAATGGCAGAGTTATAACTACTGTCGCTGCTGCTGCTGCTGGAACATTCTCTGCGGTAAATGTGGATGGGATTAAGGAACGGCATGCTGCTGCTGTTGGTGATGCTGGTGCCACGGTGGGTGAGGATGCTTACGCAGCTGCTGCTTCTTCGACGAGCGGGTCACTGTTGATGACATCCCAGCCTAACGCGGGGAAAGTGAAGGGGTTTAGTTCGAATTCTTCTGGTGCTGGGAAGAAGAGGAGAAGTAAGGCTTGTGATGAGTGTAGGAAGAGCAAGGTTGGTTTTTGGTTTATCCCATCGTCTCGTCTCTTTCGTGCGATTTCGTTAATGATTTTATCATTCTTCTAACCATTGGTCGTTGCAGCGTCGGTGTATTCATGATGAGAATGGCCGGATAGATCCCGTCAAGGCTCAGGAACGTTCTAAACCTCGAGCAACGGCTTCAACGAAGCGTCCACCATTCAGTGAAGATAATCTATCCCCCTCTCTAACCAAGCGCCAAAAGCCGGAGTTCTACATTTCTGGCGAGGAACCTCCCCAGGCTCAACTTGACTTTGAGTCCGTTCGAACAGAGTTTCCCATGAACCGCATGAACGGAGAGAATGAGAAGCCAGTCGCTGTTATTCCAATGCAACAAGAAATTGGCCCAAGTCAAACGTCATACGCCTCACCACCAACCTTAAAGGCGGACCTCGTACCGGCTGCAGAACTCACGTCCATACCTACAACTGCGGCCCCAGCAAGCAGTCTTGTCTCCCCACCCACCTCGCTTGCAGATGATTTGGAGGTTGATCCCAACCAGACAGATGGCGAGGAAAAGGCTCCCAACGTTAAGAGCGAACAAGAACAGCAGAAGCAAAATGGTGAACGCTCCGTCATTGCCTACACATCCACCACTGCATCCCGCAACCCTACCCACCAACGTTGCGCAGTTTCTGATGCGGAGGCAGGTAGTTGCAAGACCGCAACAACACGAACCCTACCTACAGTAACAGTCACAACCGAACCTTCAGACCTGTCAGTAACACTCCCATCTTCATCTGCTACCTCCATCTCCACCGCCCTCAAAATGCCGTCTTTCACTACCTCTTCCCCTTCCACCTCTCGCTGGCCCTCATCACACAACCGCACAACCACCACTCCCCCATCATCCTCTTCCTTCAAGCACGAAAGGGAACAGAAACAGCACACTCCCGTTGTTGACAAGAAACGTGGTGTCGCTGTTGACGAAGGAAGCAACAATCCTCCTCCCAGCCCCAGGTCTCATCCAAACCAAAAACAAGACCAGGGCCAGAGTCAGAATCGTAGCCAACGAACCTCGCCGGCGTCTCCCCAACGTCATCGCAGCAAACTAACGAGTCGTGACCGCGGTAGCTTCTCAGACGCGGACGCAGACCCGGATACATTGCGGCTGATTAGGGAGATGCAGGAGCAAGATTTTGGGTTGAGGAAGAGGCCTGCCCGGACGTGAGTGGTGGGAATGAAAGGTGATTTGTTTTTAAAGAAAAAGACAACAGAAGAGAGATTTTGTAGTCTCTTTTACACCAAAATTATCTTGTTGCTGCAGTTCAGAACAATGACGACCCAGCACCATCATCACCGACCTTTTATTCCGATTTTGCTTGTCTTGTCCCTGTTCCCTTCTCATCCCTCCTATCCTCGCTTTACATATTCCATGACAAGTTTTCTTATTTTCCCTCCCCCCTTCTCCCCACCTCCTTCTCCCGTTTCGTTCTGATCTCTGGTTTATTTTACATTTTCCCTCTATTATCTCGTTCCCCCGAAGGGGATTTCTTATCTACTTACCCAGGTTGGGTCTGGAGGCGACTGGTGGACGGCGTTTTCATCTCTGGGGGGTTTTGCCCTTTTTTTCCTTCAGTACTACTTTCACCCATTTCTTTCATGAGTATTCCTGTCCTCCAGCTCTCCACAGTAGGCGTTTAACCGTTTTCATTTCTTACCCTTTTATCACTATTTCTATCTCATATATTCCCTCCCCATTTTATACAATATTATATGTCCCCGTTATACGGGCCTTCCGGTAGGCAATATGCAGGAGTTTCCTATATATTTTTCTTTTTTTTCTTTTTTTCTTTTCTTTTTTTTTGTATTTTTTGCTCCTTTCTTTTTTCATTACTATTATTATTACTTCCCTTTCTCTCTTTAAATCGTGAATGGGTCTACTCAAATCTCTTCCTATGCTTTTTATTCACTTGAATTTTTTTTTCTGGGGCTGCTATTTGTTGATTCTATAAAGTATGGCTCTGCGCGCTCATCTAGCAGCAATCTTTGCTTCCCTCGTTCTTTTTTAGAGGGTTATGAGGTGCTAAAGGAAGAAACACGCCGCGAGCTTTGATTCATCCTCTTTCTCTCCTTGTTTTTTTCCTTGAGATCTTTTCATCTCTCCCTGTCACTCTTATGCTTTATCTACTCCTCTGATGTTATGTATGCACCTATACATTCTATTTTTTCCCCTCCCAGATCGCATGCATATACATATGTATGTACATATCACGGCTCATGATACCTCCTCTCTTTCCTACGTGCTTCTCTTATATTTCTGTTCTGTCTTTTGTGAACTTTTTATGTATTCAAGAGGCAAAATGCAGTGGATACTTTAGAAGCTATATCCACATTCTCTTCTCTAAACCAATTATCACCTGTATATGCAAATATCCCTCGTTGGGATCAGTACCGGCAAGACGCCTAAAGACGGACAAACAAGGGTATAGTATAAGAACACATTGCTGGAAGGGAGAAAAACAAAACTCTGCTCGCCACCCTTGAGGTCCAAAAAATGAAAAGGAACGAAAGAAAAACAATAACCAAATCAACGATTGTTGTAAGTTCACAATAGCGCCAATACCAAGAAAGAAAGGGGAAAAAAAGGGGGTGGGGGCGGGGAGGATGTAGGAAAAGGGGGGAAACCAAACTAATCCCCAAAACCCCCTTTTCATACCATTATCTTCTCATCCCTAAAAATCCGATGCGCATCCTCTTCACTAATCATCTCTCCTTCCCCAACATTAACCCACCGTTTCGGTCTCATACTATCCCCGATCCAATTCCGAATAACGCACGAATCCGTCGGACCGCCCTGACAAACCGTTTTTCGGCCAAGGTTTTTGAACCGCGGACCCCAGGGTCCGCTCACATAGTGGTATTGGCCGGCAAATCTGTACTGCCGCTCGTCGCTAAGGGGATAGTATTTGTCGCCCCAGTGGCCGGCGAAGTAGAACCATTCTGTTGGTGAGTGGGGTGTGATGTTTGCGGCACGGAGGATGTCGTTGGTGAAGTCGTATGTGTAGCCGTGGTAGTTCATGGTGGGGTCCCACAGGGGGCCGCGGTCGGTTACGTCGCGTAGGAGGCCCCAGGGGAGAATGTAGGCATGCGTGCCTGGGGTGGCGTACAAGGCGTGGGTTCCTGTTGCGGAGTATATCACTGGCTAGGAGGGGTGTGAGTCAAATTGAATTACTTTAGTTATCTCTCGGGGTTCTGTTTGCAGGGAGAAAGCCTACTCTTTTCCCAACTTTCTCCACCGCTTCATAGATATATGCCTCTCCAAACGAATGTTCGCTGAGGAATATTGCCTTTGGTTTTCCATTTTGGAATCGAACCAGAGAATGTTCCCAATCGCCAACGTGGTTCCCGAAACGGATATTGAGAACGGCGTTACCCAGATTGAAGCTGTAAAAGTAGAACCAGAATGCATCCACAACGCCGTTGCCTTTATCCACGACGATTAAAACTGCAGGGGCATTGCTGTAGCCAGATTTGTTGTTCTTCACTTCGCGTGGGCTTCGTTCGTTAAATCGTCCAGCCACAAACCCCTCCCCTTCAGAAGTCTCCGTCGTAACAGGCTGTCCAGGAGAACCAGGGTCTGTTCTATCGCAACTTTCACATCGGGAACTGCCATCTCCCGCATCATACCAGTCTTCCATATCGTCGAGCGGAAGGTCATCCAGCGCTCCATGAACTCCACCATCCCACTCCAATTCATCCCCCAAGTCAACAACAGCTTTTGGGATATTTGCCTTCCCCTCCAGCCAAGTCGGCCGACCCTCAACATTGTCATTGCTGGTCAAGAAAACATATCTCCCCTGTTGCCACTTATTCAATTCATCAAGGTTGGAGAGGGTAGAGTGCTCTTCCTGAGATTTAATTGGAGTATAGTTCAATTGTGGTGTGACGTGATGTAAATGTTCCGCAATATCTGTAGGCCAAAACTGTTCACCAGAAAAAAGATGAACCAGAGGTGCATATTCCAGAACGTAATCGGGTATCAAGCGTAATCGACGTTCATCATCCGCCCAATCCCCGGGGCTAGTTTTGTTTCCACTTGACCATGCGTATTCCCAATCCCGGCTGCCATCATCATCATCAACCTGTGGTATCTGACCATCGTGTCTAAATTTGCGATGTCCAAAACGGCCCTTCACCCCATGGTAGTGAGCAACGCCACAGAGACCGAGCCAGCTGCATGCTTTACGATCCCACCAAGAATTGGAAGTCGCAAGCCAATGCTTTTCCTCTCTACCCTCATCAGACCAAGCGAATGCAGAAGGGTTAAGAGCCCTGGCCAGACCGTTCATAGATACATATGTGATTAAAGATGATAGAACGGTGAGGACAGCGCGGGATTTTGCCTTCATTTGCTGGCAGATCGAAAGGTCCGACTGCGTCCACGGTTCACCGGGAAGCTGAGCGACCAACACGGTGTCAATATCGGGAAGGTTTCCGGGTGCACCATCAGTAGGATTTCCGTGTTCCGCTTCTAACCCGGATTCTGGGACAATAATTGTGGGGGCTTCGTCTTCATCCTCGTCTGGATTGTCTATATAAGAAGCAAATGATGTCGAGGCGAGCAAAGGATGTTGGTCAAGCGGCGAAAGCGAGGGTGTAGGGGGAAGGAGCGGCAGGTGGGAGCCATGGCCAAGAGGCGGCTGGAGGGCCACTGTTTAACGGTGTGAGCGACGGAAATACGAGAGAAACAACGTACTGATCCTGAGAAATGTGAAAGGAAAAGACACAAATATATATATATGTATGTATGTATACACACAAAAACACCGCAGGAAGCATGGCTGATTTCCCATATGGTTCGTTTTGATGACTGACGGGAACGCATAGATACAAGCCCTACGAGCCCTATAAGCCGATTCCCGGGACCCCGTGTGAAGATTCAAAACGAGCAATCAAATAATAGTCAAACGGTGCAGCGGTGGAGAATAAAATCAGAAGATATCCCTGTCAAACGGCATGTTCGGCCACACACAAGGGCCAGTCAGAAGTTCGGACCGGCAGCAGGCGGAACTCAGGAGTTCGGTCCATCTATGGCGTCATGCAGAGAGAGGACAGTTGTGACGGAATCCAGGGCCAACGAAGACCGAGATATAGCCTATTAATGGCCTGTTTGACATTACTTCTATAGACTGAGGGGGTGCTTGTCATAGGGTCCGCCATCCCCATCGCCATCCCAAGTTTGGAGATCAATCAACAAGAAACGGTGCGGGAAGGGGAGAACTGGCTGGCCATTCCAAGAAATTTAAATCTAAAGACAATACCTACTCTTGACTTGATAGCTGCAGCTGTTAAGCTAGAGATGCGAACGCTGACTTGGAGCTGTAGTGGCAGCTATAATCTCAGAGCAGCATTAGCTGAAGGGGTCTCGTCACGAAAACGCGAGCTGATGGGAGATCCTTCGTCCAGAAAGTTGCGGTAGTTAAGCTTACCTGCAGTAAGCACTCGACTCTGGCCGGATAGTTAATTTTTGCCGTTTAAGTCGCAGGAAAAGAAGTCCTTTGGCAGCAGCCTACGGACCATTTCACTCCTTGCGAATGGGAACAGCCAGGGGATCCAGCAACAGAGAATAGGGGGAAGTTTGGTCTTGACTCTTGAATGCGCCCTTACGTGTCTCAGAGTTAAGGTAGACGGTGGATAACGCGGATAACGCATTGTGGTTGGCTGCTTGGTTGCTCAGTTGTTGCAGGTCGCGCAAAAGTTGGGTGGTTGGGAATGATGGCAATGATGACGCTGACTCTCTGTTTCAGGTTCCGTCCGTCCAATGGCTGAGCTCGAAGGCACATACAAGTTCAGTCATAACAAGGTCACACTCACTCACTGACATAACTCTGCAACTGTAAAAGTAAGCTGTGCTCTCTCTATTCTTAGCAAGAACATAAATAACTTTTAGAAATTACTTTTTTTCTGTGGGCTTTTGAATACCAGAGTGGATTTCCCGCCTTGATTATTTTATTATTTTTACTACAGATAACTGACCAGTTCGTCAGTGAAATTTCCGGTGGTTTTGTTCATAAGTGGGAGGCGTCTCTCCTTAGCAAGTCTCAAGCCCCTGCTCCAACACTCTTCTATCTACGGAGTACTTCTGTACATATTCATTGTTTAGCTGCTCTCTCTCTGTCCTTTGGGCCTTTGTTCTTTTGCGGGGTGGTCATATATTATACATCCATGCATACTACAAGACGTGATCTGTACAGTGCACGGTTCAGGTACACACTATATAGGGCCTTAGATCAGACAAAAACTTGGGACATGGTGTGAGGAGGCTGTCAGTGGGCACTGGACTGTGCAAAACAGCCCCTACAGCCCTTCCTCTCCCCGGTCGGACATTTAATCTCCCATTCCCAGATTTCCACGTATCTTCTCTTCCAAAGTTCCTCTCGTAATCAACCGATAGACATTGACGACCCTCTTCTGTCCAATGCGATGCGCACGGTCCATGGCCTGGATATCCTTTTGGACGGAAATGTATGTGCATATGTGAATAATGACTAGGAGTAGAAGACGACGACTTTCAGAATTCAAGTTCTTCGACCTCCATCCCACACCCCACGCATGTCTTTATCCCGATGCCTGTCTCAGGATTCTCAACAAGTCTCCCCCATTCATGCACATGTTTGCTGCTGCCAAGATCGTCACCAAAATGACCACCTGTCCCTTCTCCTGATGCAGCCTGGCGGCTTCGTCGGTATGCCTCAACTCGAGTTCGCTTCTTCAAATCATGAAGTTTGGTCTTAAATTTAGCTTCTCTCTGTCTTCTTTTTGTAGCCTCCCGCCTCTCAAATTCAGCATCTAGAGCTTCAGGTGACCCCCATTTCTTTGGTGAAAACGCGTACTCCTCGACCTGGAATCGAACGTAGAGCATCATGTTATTCCAGGTTGCTTTATGAGGGTTTGGTTTCTCAAGATGAGGTAGAAGCTCTTCATCATTCAGTTCAGCTGGTGAATTTGAAAAGTGTAGAGAAAGGAGCTCGGTTAGTAGATGCGCCTCAGACGAACACTTCAACAAAAAAAAAAAAAAAAAAAAAAAAAAAAAAAAAAAAAAAACAGCACAAGCAAAACCAATATAAAGAATACAAACAAAAATAAAGTTTCAAACTGCTTACAGCCTGTCAATAGATAATCTTCCTTTGCTTCTGTCTTGGTGAGGAGGCTATATTTCTCAGGGAACTTCTCTTTGCAAGAATTGCAGACAGCACATTTCAGTATTTCTTCCCATTTCCAGTCAATCTCCTTGCTGCCGCATTCTCGACATGACTTCTGTTCCTTATCAAGGACACTCAGCCCGGGCTCGAACGGCCCTGCCTTCTCCCGGCGTAAGGATTGTAGAAGTTGATGTCGCTCCCACTCTTTTAATGTCATGTGAGCGGGTTTTTCGTCTTTCTCACCGGTTTGCAAAGCCTTGTTATGCGGATCATCTTCCACTGTTAAAAACCCTCCTTTAGTATCAGTCATCTTGCTCAGGTCGTACTCCACATATTTTGTGAAGTTACGCGCCGGGAGGATCTCATCAAGAGGTCTTTCTTTGGGTTTATTTGACCGTGCATCGCGAGAGCTCGAAGGAGATTTGAAAGGAGAAATTGCTGAATATGGTCGCTTTTGTCCTGCAGAAACAGAACCTCCAGATAATGAAACAGTTCGCACTTCAGAATCATGCTGCTCTCGAAGTGCTTTCGCTTTCATTCGATTTATCTCCTATATCACATGTAAGTATGCGCAAAACGTTTTACATGGAATGCAAACAGACCTACAATTTTGCGAAGCTGCTCTGGAGTCAAAGGTGATTTGGGCTTGGATGACGCAGAGTTGACTGGCGGCGGAGTTACAGCGCGCTGTTGAGATTCCATTCTTGCTGCGCCAGGTTATTTATGCTAGATATTGACTATTTAATCCTGTGGTTTGCACGAAGGTATCTTATTCAAGATCGAATCAACATTTTGAAGAAGATCAAAAACTGTGTGTATGAAGATGTGAAGATGTGAGAGATAGCTGATATTTTGACAGCTACTAACCAGTTTAACAACTTTAACTGCCAGCTTACATCATCATGTCAATCTCCCAATCATTTTCTCCGCCATTCAAACCAGCTACATAAATACTATCTGCGCTATCCGTACTCACCATCCGTGTCTTATTCCCTTCCCTTTTCTGGTCTTCTTTCAGTTTGTGAACGTCTGTGCGACGACTGCAATGTTCCATGCTTTAGGAGCGATCATGTATGGCTGACTCTGAACTCAACATTCAGTCGCGGTGCTCGAAGTAGCAACCTGGGAACTCCAGCTGCTATCCGCCCTCCGCCCTCCGCGTCAACGAGGTTGGAAACGAATGCGGTTAACTGCTCTCGCTGATAGTTATTCCCAGTTTAATTAATCTATACTATACATGAACATGCATACAAAGAGTAAATTACCAGTTCCCTCACTCAGCCTACGTTAGGAAGTCCTTGGTTCCGGACCATTGTCTGTCTGTCCTACCTGAGCAAGCCACCGCGCAATCGGGTTCAAAAAAAATTACCTCTCCAGGCCATCTGCCTCCCATGGATGCATCAGGCGATTTGGACTTTGAATATGAATATGATGATTCCGCGACTGAGGTGCGTAAATCTCAAACTCTATACCTGCTCGAAGAAAGTTTTTCATATTGAAGCAACTCGGGACTGTAAATCTACTCAAGATTCAAAAGACCCCGCTAATAGTCGCGACCACAAGACTTTCTACCTCAACCTGGACCTAACATCCTCCAATGGCCTCATTCGAGCCCCACGGAAACGAAACACATCTTTTCCCGCCACATCTCATGACACGTCCACTGCGGAATCATCCCAACCCCCACCCGCAACCCCGCTCGACTCCCCGCACTCCCCAAACTTAAATGCCAACGAGAATGATCAGCAGCCAGCCAATGCCAGCACAGACCCAGATCTAGAGACCCTGCGGCATCAAGACCAGATCCAGATCATGGACTTGCATTCCGACAACCCGATAATCTCCTATCGGAACCAAATCTTCTCCTGCTCATGGGTCGACCTCGTCGGAACAGAGATGACCTTCTCCATGCCCGAAGAACACTCCACGCTCCCCCGCCTCCGACATCATCAAGAGTATGACCTGATCTCCGCCAATCGTGTCAAAATCTTAGGCCAAAAGGCAAATCTGATTTCCGGGTCCTCTACAACGCCCAAACAAAGTAGTGACACCCAAGGCTCAGCAGCCACATCCACACCCACAGCAACAGCAGGAGATGCATCTACCCCACCACCACCCCAAACAACAACAGCCTCAACAAACCAAGCTCGCTTTCTTGAGCGCCTCATGAACGCCAAACGCGCCAAGGGCGAAACAGACGTCGTCCGCACAACCTTCTCCCAGAAACGCAACCAGAACTTCGAGGCGAAGTTGCAGGGCTGGGCACAGACGGGGAAACAGATGGCTGAATTGGAGGTGCTTAACCGCCGCGTGCTGCAGGGGGATGCGAATGCGCTCAGGGCGCTGGAGGAGATTTATGCACGTGTAGAGGCGCCTCCGGGACAACCCGGGCAAGGGCGGCAAACGGGGCAAGTAAAGCGTGGGGGATCTTCGAAGGCCGAAAAGGGTGGTGGTGGTTGAGTTGACCTGATTGTTTTTGGGAGTGATTCAAATGGCGATTGATGGGGACCTTCGGGGGATATAGGGCTTCCCGGTTTCATATCTAGCATCAGGGGGCAGGATATGCGATGGAGTATTGGCTTTTATAATTGGTAAAAGGGATTAAGAGGGAAACTGGATGTTGGAGGGACGTCAGGCTATGTCCCCATACTTCCCCACACCCTGGGCATATGTAGATGCCGAACGTAAAAATTCGCCACGCTGTTTATGTACCCCGTCCATGGGGACATATATGTACGATACAGTACACGGGGCTCTTGATACACAGCAGACGATGGACACAGGCGAACCCTCCGCCCGCGCTAAGAAATGTAATACAGAGGAACTCAAGGGCAACCTCTCACTCTCCAACGACGGGCTGACAAAGTCGAACACGGGTGGGAAATATGTATCCCAATTGGTAGGAAAATTCGATTAATGAGGCGGTATATACTGTAAGTAGATACAGATATATGGATTTTAGGACCCGGAAATGTAAAACGAGAGCGGGACAACAAATAATAACAGGGAGGAAAACTACAACCAAACGCATCTCCCGACGAGCGGGGCAAGGAGAAAAGAGGGGAAAAAGAGAAAGCAGGTTGAATCGAAAATCAGTAATCAAAATATCCGAAGGACGAAAATAAAGAGAAAAAAAAATTGCAATGCAGAGACGCCAAGGGATATCCGAACCAGTCCTATCTATTGAAAATCTATCCATGCGCACACTCTCGGTCCACAGCACGTGACGAATGTATATATCCGTACGCATGTGGATGATCGTGTGAATCAACATCAAAATGTGCCTTTTTAATCAAACGAAGGAAATAATCGAGCGAGCGGGAGAGAGAGAGAGAGAGAGAGAGATTAAAGGGTGAAAGTGGGAAAAGAACCAAAAGAGGAAAAGAAAAGAGAAAAGAAAAGAAAGAAAAAGGAACAAGGATGCAGAACTTCACGAAAGGAAAATAATGTGTATGATTGATAACCCTCCCCCCGCCTGTGGGGCCCTTCGTATTCCCCACATTTATTTTTTCGACCCAAATTTCTCACGATTTCGCCCACCCCACCGGTGATGGCGGCGGTGGAGGCGGCTGATCGAATGCATCCTCCATGTAGGAGTACGAGACGTACTTTGGCAGTTGAGACGACGACGCTTGCATGGCGCGGGAGATTTCTTGGGAGAAGGTTGCTGCTGAGAAAGTGGCGGTGGGGTCGTTAACGAGGTCGGACTTGGGCTTTGTGGGGATTGGGGAGAGGATGTGTTGGTAGGGTTGTTCTGATATGGTGGAGGTCATGTTGGCGTTTCGGTTGGTTGAAAGAGGTGGTTGAGTGTGGAGGACGTGAGATGGAGGACTCTTTTATAGATATTTTATTGTCGAGGTATATGATATTGATATACCTTTGTATGACTTGTCTTTTTGGTGTTTGGATTGTTAAATTCTCGTTCAACGGAAGCTTTGCCTTCGTCCTGTTGTAAGGTTTTGATTAGGACGGGTATCGAGGGTGTCTGTGTATTACGTCCAGCGAGAGGGTGGGATCTGATGGTCGAAAAAGTCTAGGATACGAGTCATTAGCAAGGATGAATGAGGAGAATGCTTCTATATTTCCCATTCCCCATTGCACGTGTATGTAGATATTCGAATCCCTCGCCACAGGGCACCACCATTCTATTATTTTCGCTCCAACCAGATGAAGGCATGGCCCATGATGGCGAGCCGAGGTCCCGTCGGAGGCCGAAAAGAATAGGGCCAAGAATGAATGAAACGAAAACGAAAACGAAAACGACAGAGGAGAGATGAGAAGTGTGAGTCACTACTTACTGTGTCTCTTCTGGGCTGGCTCCGAAGGTTTGTTCTTTTGGTGATTATGGTATTATGATTAAGAGAGGATAGTTAGGTATTTTTGCCTGTGCTCCGTTGTTCAGGAGAGCAAGAAGTATGAGAGAGTGGTGGTTGTGTAGCAGTGCGATCAATGATAAAATACAGCCTAAGGAAGGTAACCGCTTTCTTTTTAAAGAGATAGATTATTTGGTCATTCAAGGCAGAAAAGGAGGGGAAATGAAGAGGAAGAGAGAGGAGAAATCCAAATAGCAGCGGAATCCCACACATATTTAAATATCTCGCCAGATGGTTACAGCTGAGATAAAAAAAATAAAAATAAAAATAAAAATAAAAAAGCCGGGGTAGAACAGTCACCTCAATCACCCAACCAGCTAAACTAGTGCTTCAAGTATGGTATTGTATAGGTCGCTTCAGGTTAGAGGTACGGCAAAACAAACAAGTCTCCGTCTGGCTAACACCCCAGAGCTACTACCATCGACCGGTGGTACCGGGTACTTGTAACCTCCAAGCCAACGAATCCACCTGTTCCGCAGTTCCGTTAGTTACCCTCCAGTGGGGGAGAGGGAGGCCGGAGGAGGCGGGGGGGGAAGAGTGGTGGTGGAGGGCAACTAGGCGGGAAATGGAAAGTTCAGTTATGTTAGGGAGCTCTTTGCAGCTTAGTGCTGAGGTACTTTTCGTGTAGCGGGCTGCAAGATCAGTTCTGGGCTTGGGCTTGGGGGGCAGAGGGCGGGCTGTGGCCTCCCAGGTGCAGGCATGATTGATACTGGAGATGATGCCGTTGATTCGAAGCCGATTGTGCAAGATAACTGGCTGTTGGCTGTCCTCCAAAGGTTTCACAAGGTTCCTTGCTTCGAATATCCGGGGAAGCAGGAACACAGACACTGGCTGCAGAGCTTTTTAGCACGCCGCCTCTTGGTTTGTCGATGGCAAGTTGGCAAGCTACAAGTCACCAAATCGATCTCTCCTGCGACATAACTAACGGCTTGTTATTATTGCTGCCTTGCCCGGCCTAGCTAGCCTCACTAATCTCATTCTTAGGGCTCATTGAACCGGCTCCTTGGTGCCAGCGCATCAATAGGAGCCTCAAACACCGACATCCGTTGCAATTTACAGGCCCGTTGGCTCTTTGATTTTCACAAAAACTACAATTTTTTTTTTCCTTTTTTCTTTTTTTTTTTTTATAAAAAAAAAATGAAATACTTGACGTGTCGTTTTCTTCCCTTTGTACTACGGTCTGTGTGCTACGGTCAGTGTTATCAGTGCGCAGATTGCCAGAGCTTAGTGCTAATTGGCAACAATGAGAGTTCCTGTGAGAAATTCCCCAGATTTTCCTATTATCTGAATTCTCGTATTCGATTGCCCCCAGCATTTCCAGCTGTGATGGTAGTGGTCTGAAGAGGTAAATTTCTGACACTGTCATACAGCTGATCCCCCCAATGCCAATACAGAAGATGGGATGAAATATGGGGGTTGAGATTCACATCACATCCATGAATGTGGAATCCTCGTGCGAGTGCGGGCAACCTCTGGGACATGTCTTGTCCCATACTTTCGAGATTATATTATTGTTCATCATTTCCTTGAACTCACTTGCTTAGCTCTTACTCGAGAGTTGAGACGAAACCCGAATGGGTGGGTTCTCGAACTCGCTAGTCATTACGGAGTATTCATGGTAGTGTAATGAAATCTCAGCTTCCCCAGATGGAGAGATTCAAGGCCTGAGTGGCTTTGTGGGGATGGCCAGCTAGAGGTTTCAGAGGTTTCAGAGGTTTACAAGTAAATATTATCATTAATTAAAAAATGAAAATGAAAAAAAAAAAAAGGAAGAAAAAAAGGAAAAAGAAAGAAAAATATTTTCTTATTAAGAGGGAATAGGTGCACCCCTTTCTTTTGCCAGACTGCAGTGTCAAAAACTAGCAAAATCCAAATGCCAGCTTGAACAAGCAAGCTGATCATCAATTCCCGAGATCAACGCAACCTTATAAATTTTCCATCAGCCCACAATCCAACCTCCAACAAACATCCAACAAACCCCACACAAAAATGTAACAGTCCAATTCTACGCTTCAGGCCTCCTGGTCTCAAAATTTCTACAAAAAGTCAGGGAACAGTGAAGGAGCCAATGACAGCCATTCCGGCTTCTTTTTGTATCCAGCTTAGTCAGGCCAACAGCTGCCGATCGGACTCCAATCCCCTGCTAACTCTGCTCGAGCTGTGTGCTAAAGGGGTTTCTAGAAAGTCTGCGGGAATTGCCTCCACTTCCTTCAATTGATCCTTGCATCGTCTGTGGGAGGAAAGGCGAGTTTCTTCACCTCATGATTAATATTTCGATATGACAACTGACTTGACAGATACGGCTAAGTACGCGAGATGTGCGGATACGGATACGGATGCACTGCTGTCGTTTGTGCGGGACGGGACGGGAGATCGTTTGCTATATATACCCTTGTTGATGAATCGCGGTTTTGGCATCCAATTTATGCTCCGAATGGCAACTTGCTGAACTTTCCTTCTCCTTTGTTTATGTGAAAGGGATTCAATCTCTCCTTTCTGAGGGCTACAGAATGATAAAATACCACGGCCCATGTGAAATCGTCAGTGGACTGGTATATTTTGTCTATTCGCGTGTATGTCTACCTGTGAGGTGTCTTTGCTAGACAAACCCTTGGAACAATTTTCAAATTATCCGCGGATCATATCCGCATCTATCTCTCTAGAGAGACTTCCGCGCTTCTTTTTACCCCCTCCTCAAAGTCCATCGACGGAATCCCCAAACTCCGTCGCCACACCTATGCCCAGCGTCATGCCAAACCATTCTCCCAAATACCAACCGGATAGACCTGGCACCTCCTTCCCTCAAAGCCTCTTCCTTCCACGTTTGCCTCTGTCATAACATGCTATACTCTTAATTCAACCTTGTTAAAATCTCATCTCATCGCAACAGCTCTACTGACGCATCTTGTCAGTTAGCTATAGTGGAATTTCCTCCATTTTCACATTTTAAATGCTTTGAAGCCATGCCCATTTGCTGCACTCCCCGCCTTTCTATACAAATCATTGATGATAATGAAAGAAAGAGCAGAAAGGAAGCATGACGCCACTTGTGTTAGGTATCTTGCATATGAGCCAGCCACATATACTAGATTGCATACCTTTATACGCTCATGCAGAACGGGCTGCAGTTTCGCGTTAGGCTATTTCAGTGTGGTTTTACGGGACCCCGTGTGCACCCAAGAGGGAGATGGAATGTGCATCATACACCCTCTTCTTCCCCTATAGGAGTCGAAGATTTCTGCCTACCTTCCCGACCCGGAAATGAACCCCGCGAGGCCAACCTACCCTGGCATGTTCCAATCATAAACCTGTCCTGAGCTGCAGCGGCGTAGTGGTCATAGGCCTTTTTTTTTTCATTCCCCCAGATTCCACATCTTCTGCCGAGAATCCCATGCAGATCTATATCCCCCTGTATATGCCGTTTGGGAGCTTTCTAAGGGTGAGGTCGGCCAATTGGAATGCCACTCCATTCTCATACTTGAACGCCCCAACTTGATCTCTCAACCTCAGCCAGCGACATTTTTGGTTCCAGCATCGGAAATATTTCCCCTTAATTTTCACGCCTTTACCCATCTACGCAGTGGCATAGTTGATCTATTCATGTGTATATGTATAAACAGTTTCGCGCACGGATAAGTATAGTTCGTTCTCTCAGTTAAGCAACCTTTGCAATCGATCAAGCTTGCCAATCTTTCAAAAGAATCTTCCAAATCCCCTCCACGTCTATATTCTCTAGGAATACAAGCATGCAAAGCGTGCATGCAATGTGCATTCCCGTGCATATGCAAGGATCCTGATAAAAAAAAATTTTTCCTTTTTTCCCTGCTCTAAACTAATGTGTCAGCGAAGCCCCCCACCAGGACCAACGATATCCGTTTCTTATTTTTATTCTCATCGATGACGGAATAATCTTAGAAATTGTCCAATGCAAAGCGGCGACACATAACATCCTTCAAGCAGCTATGTGGGCATATAGCCTCAAGAAGAAGGAGAAGTGAGCACGAGATGGAACCTGGTGTAGAGATGTAGCATCGAGATCTCTGACCGCTCCCCTTTTTCATCTAGCAAATGCTCTCTCTCCTATCCTAGCTTGTAGATGTCATCTACTTACTGATGAAGAACCTTGATGAATCTGTGGAAACGATACCGATGACTCATATATATGAATGACCATTAGACAACTAATGTTATTGGAAAAAATGAGGGCACTGAGTAGTGAGGCGCAAATAGCCAGTCTGGGTAGAGAGCCTGGAATGGAGGCCTGGAGGAACAGGGGCACAGGGATAACTAGAACACACACTGGGGAATTGGGGGTCTAACAGTTAGATAGTAACTGGGAACCGGGAAGCGCAAGGGAGTCTTGGTGCGGCTTTACCCACATTAACCCGAAGGTGGACGAGATGAACGGGGGCCCAAAACAACTGGGTTTAATTGACTTCTGATACGGTGGGCGCCTGGAGAAGTGGATTCTTAGGGATGATGATTTCCAATTAGACAAGGTGGCGGTGGGAACCCCCATGATCCATGTGTAGGTAGGTCTTTTGCAGTTTCCGGTGGTTGGGTTTAGTTTTACTTTTTTTGATTTTTGGTTTGTTTCCGGGCTGTTCAGGAGGTGAGCTTCGGTGGAGGATATGATAGGGGGTATGAAAAGATATTGATATCATGATATATATATATCTCTATCTCTATATCTATATTGTAGGTTCTCTATATCTTCAACTACATCCACAGCATTTGCTTCACTTCACAACTTTTTTTTAATCTCAGGACAACTGAGAATTTAATTTATATGTTATTTTTTTTTTTCCCCTCCTGCCCCATGGTAACTCCCTGTCGTTCATGGCAAGGGGGAGGTACTGTTTTCTTTTCCAGTTATACCCCTTCGAATGAACCATTGCTCCAATTACGTCACACAAACGTTGACATAAGCCTAGGATTAAAGCAGAATTCGACAGCAATGTTTAAATCCATGGGATCATACCGTGTCATTCATTATGGCACAATTTTCATGATTTTTTCCTCATCATGTACTAATTCTGATTCCGTCTAAACAGGAACATTAGGGGAGGGGGGAAGAAAGAACCCTTGTTATTTCCGTTCCCCGCAACACAGCAAAAAAGGCATCATCATGTAGTCGAATGGACTGTGCCTAAACCATTTCAAAACATCATCTGCTGTTAACGAATTTTTTAAATACGCCGACTCGAATTCCCAAATTGCACTCAACTACTATTCCAATCTTATCCAGCACAGGAACTATATATACCCAACCAGTCTCAACAGAAGCAATTCCCTATAACCCCATCACTCCGACACTCGGATCCAGTCCAATACCAAAAACGAGTACAAAATGTTCCTGAGCAAAGTTTACTTCACAATCCCGTCCGACGTTTTCTCCGTACAGAAAGTACAATATTACAGCCAATCCACCTCAAAATAAACCTTCTAAATAAGAGAGCTAAGATATTTATAGCCGCCCAATCACAGCCCAAGCGCTCTCCCGTTCCAGCCCAAAACCCCACATGGGCCTGGCGGTGGGGACGGTTACGTAATCTGGAGCCAGAAACGCCTCGGCGGCCTCTCAAGTGCTTCTTCTTTCCCCCCGCAAGCTCAAACAAGTGGGCGTTCAGCTTTCTCTCTTGTTTTTCGGGGTCTAGGCCTCCAAAGCTCCCCGGTTTGTGCGGCCGGGTTTGTGTCGATCAATGGGCTGGGTATTCATTCACTGAGGAATATCGGTGTGGAATAACTGGGCACTTGGTTAGGCTGGGCCGCAGCCAAGCCAAACTGCCAGTCACGTGCAGAGGGGGAACCTTGGGAAAGCTGGAATGGATGCTTGTTAGGAAGGAGATTACTTACCCTAGGGGCACGTATCCGTGGAATCGTTGGATACATTGGATGGGGATCAATGGATAGATTCGTTGGATGGATAGATGGATGGATTGGGCGGATTGGGCCTCCCGTTTGTTTGACCTGGGTTTGGTTGTTTCTGTATTTTCTTTTTTTAATTTGATCTCGTGGTCTGCAGAGATCTGATCGAGTTTAAAGAGCGATCGGTTGGCGGGATTTAGTTTCCTATTTGTGTGCTTGCTAGTTGCTTGTATGGAAGTACTTATACAGTATGGATTTTGTTTGAATAATGATTGCGATAGAGAAGAGCGGGAGAGTGAGTGATGCCTCCGGAAGGTTTTGATAGATAAGCCCGGCCTGAGGACTAACTAGTTCGTTATAAGGTTCGTATAGCTGAGGTTTTCTCAGTCCGGGAGACCATAAACGATTATCGTGTTAATTCAATTGAACCTGCAATTAGCTGTTGAATGAATATTATATTTCCCGCTGAGAAAAGAGAAGATGAATAGAGATATCCCTGGAATATCTTCTTTTTTTGTCTTTGCACGGGGTGGGAATGATCCATTGAACTTGACCCTGAATTTTACGGTATTCTCAGTTTAACCATATGTATTATACGCATACCGTACCGTATGTACCGTGCGTCTGCGCCAGGTTTCGGCAAGGAATAAAATAATTCCCTCAGCCCTTTGCCCCACCACAACCATGAACCGATGCTTTCCGCGTTGTTGGGAGAGCCACACTTCCACCTCTGATTGGCCCAAAGCTGCGGTGTGTATTGTCACGGCCTTTCCAAGGTTTTTTTCACCGTGCCCCCTTTGTTCCTTGCAGATATCTGTCTTGGGCTCTTGCACTGAAGGGTGTGGATGAATTTCAATACGTATGCTCCGCCTGAGCATGGCTTGCCGCGTGGGGAGGAGGGGAGGAGGGGAGGAGGAGGGGGGACGTTGGTCTTTAAGTGTTTGAGGGTGTAATCACCTGTACCGTACCTTGCGACAAAAGACGCTCACCCCGTACGGAGTTACCCCATACATATATTATATTAACCTACTTGTATAGACTTCAGGCGGTTCCTTAGTTCCTCTGACACTCTGGGTGACGTTGCCCAACGGCTTATCTTATATAAGGCAAAAACTTCCGCCTGTCTTTGAATGGGCTTTTTTAAATTTGGAAAACTCCCTTAGTTTACTTTTTCTGATCATATATTCTCATGGTCTTGAACATTGACACATGAACAGATCAAGATTCCCGACCTTCTGAATTTCCTCTCTACTCTGCTCCATGGCAGTTGCTCCCTTCGCTCCCTGCTGTTCCTGTTCTCCAGTTTAAGCGTCCCTCTTAGCTATTCCTATTATATCCTCCTCCCTCTCAGCTTGAATTCCCCACCGGGCTTGTTCCCAGCTTCGCTGATCTGCTGCGAGAACCTCCCCCGCAAACACCTCCCCCACAAACCAACCCACACACACAAACACACACACACACACACACACACACACACACACAACATCCCTATCCATTCATCCCTGAATCTCCAAGACTGTACTCTGCTGTACAATTACAGTACAATCGCTACCTCTCATGCCCAATCGCTGTATTCCACCAGTCTTGGAACTGAATTGAAATTAGAGCGCCAGACCTCCCAAAACCCCCTAAACGAAGTCCCATGTCCGGTCCGCATAACATAAAAACCATGACTCCCCAAGGCGTAACCATCAACCCCGCCTCCACCTCTAACATGGAGCCGGCCGCGGCCACAGACAACTCAGTGCCGAAGCTCGTAGCCAACGGCCTGAGCAGCACCCATTTCTCCATGTCGACTAGACCAGGTCTCAGCCCCTTCTCCTCCAAGGAAGGGTCTGGCACTGGAACCCCGACCACCGGCTTCCAGAGGCCCCCCCTTATCAATAAGCAGCTGGAGATGGTGATTCGCACCCCGGGGCGTCAGCCGTCGCCTCAGCCGACACATCTGGGTATCCCCGGTGGCACGCATCGTGTGCTGTCCGAGGAGGGGCCGGGGTATGTTGCGGCGAAGTTCGAGGGGAAGAAGAAGCAGATGGAGGCTGGTGAGTGGGATTTTTCTTTCTTTCTTTCTTTCTTTCTCTTTTCTTTTTACTTTGGTTGCTGTTTCTGTGGTTTCTACTCCGTATCGGTCTCAAGTGACTAACATCTAGTAACTCTACAGTTATGGATGAGCTTGAGGAAAAGGGATTCATCCCCTCAGAGTTTGTCCCGTCAGAAACCAATTGGTTTTACAACATGCTTGGCATTGACGACATGTACTTCCAGACTGAGTCGGTCGACGCGATCGTCAGTCACATCCTGTCACTCTATGCTGCCAAGGTTGCGGCATATGCCCGGGATGATAAGCGTCTAGAGATACGATTGGACAAGGAAGCTCCTGATCATGCCGTGTACATCGACACTAGCAAGCCAGGGATCAGTGCTTTCGATGGTCCTCGCTACGAGCAGCGCATCGACGAGAAATACATCAACGGCTGCACCCCTAAAAATGCGTATCGCGTCGAAACGTTCCGCTCTGCTAGTTCCTTACCAGATAACCATGAGCAGCAGCTTCGTTGCTACTTCGTCTACAAATGTCACTTCAACGAGCCCCATCCAGACCCGGAAGAGACCAACATTGAAATTGTTGGAGAGAAGCGCTTCTTGCAAAAGGCCACCGCGAACACGAAGGCCATCTACCAGGAAATCATCATCAATGCTGTTGCACGTTCGGGTCCTGTTATCGAAATGTTTGAAATTGAAGGCTCTCGCGAGAAGAGACTGGTTATTGCTTATCGCCAGGGATCCGCTATGGGCATGTTCAGCGCGCTTTCTGATCTCTACCATTACTACCGCCTGACAAGCTCACGGAAGTATCTCGAAAACTTCTCCAACGGCATCACTGTGGTATCCCTCTATCTCAAGCCAATGGCAGGTGCTGAAATCTCTGGGAAACATCCACCCATCGAAGCTGCTATTCACCAAATCATGAAGGAGATTTCTCTGCTCTACTGCATCCCTCAAAACAAATTTCAGGGCCACTTTGCCAGCGGCCTTCTCAGCTTACAGGAGACCATCTACGCTCACTGCGTCTGGGTGTTTGTGCAACAGTTCCTGAACCGCCTGGGATCCGAATATACATCCCTCACCGCAATCCTCGACTCGAGCAATAGCTCCCATGCAGAACTCCTGGCAAAGATCAAGAAGAGACTCCGTACCGAAACTTTCACGTCGGACTATATCCTTGAAATCATCAACAAGTATCCCCAGCTCATCCACAAGCTTTATCTTGATTTCGCACAGACCCATTACGTTCAGATGGTGGAGGGTGTCCCCGATGACTTCCTGCCAACGCTGAGTTACCTGCGATTGCAAGTCGATGAACCCCTGGATCAAGAGGGACTTGACAAGCTCGTCTCCAAGACAGTCGTCAGCGAGAATGACGAGATGGTCATGAACTCATTCCGCATCTTCAACAATGCAGTCCTCAAAACCAACTTCTACACCCCTACGAAAGTTGCCCTGAGCTTCCGGCTCGCAGCAGACTTCCTGCCGGAACACGAGTATCCCCAGCGCCTGTATGGAATGTTCCTGGTCATCAGCTCTGAGTTCCGCGGTTTCCACCTGCGCTTCCGTGACATCGCGCGTGGAGGTATCCGAATCGTGAAGAGTCGTGACAAGGAAGCGTACGCTATCAATGCTCGATCGCTCTTCGACGAAAATTACAACCTGGCCAATACCCAGCAGCGCAAAAATAAGGATATCCCAGAAGGAGGCGCCAAGGGCGTCATCTTGCTCGATGTCAATCACCAGAATAAAGCTAGAGTTGCGTTTGAGAAGTACATCGATAGTATCCTCGACCTTCTCTTACCACCGGCTAGTCCTGGCATCAAAGACCCCATTGTCGACTTGCACGGACAGGATGAAATCCTCTTCATGGGCCCCGATGAGAATACGGCAGATCTGGTCAACTGGGCTACAGAGCATGCTCGCAAGCGCGGTGCGCCTTGGTGGAAGTCCTTCTTCACGGGCAAGAGTCCCAAGCTGGGTGGTATCCCCCACGACAGATATGGCATGACCACTCTATCTGTCCGCCAGTATGTGCTTGGCATCTACCGCAAGCTAGGGATCGACCCATCAACCGTTCGAAAGATGCAAACCGGTGGTCCGGACGGTGACTTGGGCTCCAACGAGATCCTCTTAGGTAACGAGAAATACTGCGCTATCGTTGATGGGTCCGGAGTCATTGTCGATCCGCAGGGTCTAGATCACGATGAACTAGTCAGACTAGCAAAGAAGCGCGCCATGATCGTTGAATTCGACAAATCCAAGCTGTCACCTGAGGGTTACCGTGTTCTCGTCGACGAGAGCAACGTCGTTCTACCCAGCGGTGAGGTGGTGCACAACGGCACCGTATTCCGCAATACTTTCCACTTGCGCGAGGGGCGGTCGTTTGACATGTTCGTTCCCTGCGGCGGGAGACCAGAGTCCATCGATCTTAGTAACGTGTCCAGATTGATCGAGAATGGCAAGACGACTATCCCGTACATCGTCGAGGGTGCCAACCTCTTCCTGACACAGGATAGCAAGCTCCGTCTCGAGAAAGCGGGGTGCGTGATCTTCAAAGACGCCTCCGTCAACAAGGGCGGTGTCACCTCTTCTTCGCTCGAGGTCCTCGCTTCCCTCTCCTTCGACGACAAGGGTTTCGAAGAAAACATGTGCGTGCGCGAGGATGGGACCATTCCGAATTTCTACGTCGAGTATGTGCGCGAGGTGCAGGAGATTATTCAGCGCAATGCGCGGTTGGAGTTTGAGGCTATCTGGCGCGAGCATGAGGAGACGGGGATGCCTAGGAGCATGCTTAGTGACAAGCTTAGTATCGCTATTACAAAGTTGGATGAGGAGTTGCAGAAGACGCAGTTGTGGGAGGATCGGGAGCTGAGGAAGGCTGTGCTTAGGGATGCGTTGCCTAAGCTGCTTTTGGAAAAGATTGGGTTGGAGACCATTTTGGAGAGGGTGGGTGTTTTTTTTTATATCCTTTTTATATCTTTCTTGGCCATTGGATAACGCTGTGTTTTATGAACGTATGTAATATTCGACTAACATGAGGTTCACCCCCAGGTCCCCATCAGTTACTTGCGCTCCATCTTCGGAAGCTACCTTGCCAGCCGCTTCGTTTACGAGTACGGCAGCAGCCCGAGCCAGTTTTCATTCTTCGATTTGTATGTATTGGGACCACATCTCACCACCACCACCACCACCACAAACAGTGCTCAACCCTGATTCAGTTTCTTCTTAAGACCATTAGCTAACCAAACCACCTAAAACAGCATGAGCAAGAGATCAGCGAAACTCCTAGAGGAGAAACAGAAGCAATGAATTCATACATAACGTCCAAAATTTTTACTTAAAGGTGACGGGTAAAAATAAAAACACACTGGGTTTTACAAAAAAAAAAATTTAAGAAAAATAAGAAAAAAAAATAGAAAACAAAATAGAAAAAATTAGAAAAAAAAAAATAAGAGGAAGAAGGCCAGACTGCTTCTGATGTGTTTTAAACTACAACTGGTGTTTTAATTAGCTAGCTCTCTTACTTTCCCCTTTTCCCCCCTTTCATGTTCATTTTTATTTCCTTCAATTAAGACCTTGTACTATCTTAATTTTCTCTCTCTTTTCTTGCCTGTGTTCTAGCATCCCCATTTACGCCCTTCCCACTCCTTTCTTTTTTAGTATTTTGTCTGTTCCCCGGCTCCTTGGTCTATTCACCTCTAACCCCTCGCCTCCGCCGTCCGTCCTAACCCATCATATCTCGGTTTCAGTTTCAGTTTTTCATTTTTCGCTCTCTTGCGTCATTGGGGAACAGCATTACAACCAAAAAGCACATGAGGATGATGATGATGATGACGATTAGCTATATGCTCTTTGCTAATGTGGTGTAGTAGTAATTCCGATAAGGAGGATGACAGTGGAGTGGATGTCTGTATACAGTTACGATGTAGTGTTAAAAAACGAAAATGATGTGTTTTTAATTGTATAGACATGTCTTTTACATCTCGCTACCATGGGATGGATATGTTGATTGATTGTTCCTCTGATCTCTTTTCGGAAATAAGAGTTCTATAATCATTCCATACTAAAAACTTGCTAAAAGGAGATGAGAAAACCACAACTGCATTGTTCGGTAAATGCGGTCGAGCTTGAAGATACCAAAAAAGGAGGCTTAGAAGCTGGGGAACTGGAATAGCATTTTAAAGGGGTCTTGTACTGTGTATTGTGTACATGTACATGGGAGAACCCCTTCTATTGTTGAAGTGTTGGTTTCAACGAGATGTGTCCTCGGAGTCCGTAGCAAGTCACCTTCGTTGGGGCGGGGCGGAGTGGAGCATGGCGGGGCCCCTTTGTGCACTATCCGAATTTTTAATCAATGGAGCTGCCCTGTAACTAATCTTTACGGGCTCTGTTACTGACAAGTTATGAACTTTGTGTCCAATCGTTTCCTTTCTGTAAATCCCTCTTCTCGTTTCTTTCCTATTGTGTTTCTATTGTTCATGGAAATAGGCGTCTATCACATAGCTAACTAACGTTAATCCACATTCGAAAATCACCACCATACCCCCACCTAGCTAGATTTTAATTCAAATTATCTACACTCAACCATCCTTGATTAAATTACAATTACACTAGGTTCAAGGGCACCTTATTCTTGTATATCTGAGAGAACCGCAATTGCCGCAGCCTTATAGGGCTCATAAGTGTGGTAGAGACTCGGAGCATGGGGGGCTATGGAGGTTGAATGACAGGCTATTCAACAGGTTCAGTGGGTGAAATAATAAGATCCTGAGCTTCTCCTCTAGTTAGACCTTTCTGCGCATTGAATTCTGCAGACAGATCTCTTGTGTTTGTGCTTCGTAGTTCATTAAAATTACATCAAGTTTTTAGTTATATAAACGTATATCAATTCAATTTTCTAATGATTCTGATTTTGAAAAAAAATTATATATTGTAATAGACTAATGTCTAGATGATAATCTTTCAATAATCAAAATTCCTCACTCCTAGTTAGTTTATTATTTTTCTTCTGATCTAATCTGTTTAAAACTTTGCACTCATTTTTATAGCTTTTATTGGTCTTTTCTTCTTTTAACAAATTTGTCTTTTTGTTCTATAAGAAAGTGCTAGAGCTGTTTCAGTAGCACATCTATTATTATAAATTTACTACAACCAATATGAGTTTATTTTTTTACTTTTATTCAATCTGAAGACTATTAACTTTACCAATGAAATACCTAAGAAGTGTGATACTACTCATAGCTCAATATAATCAGTAGAGAATATTGAAAGTAAGCTAAAGCTTTTATGACAATAAAGATTAACTAGTTAGTTAATATAAATGAATATATATATATAGAAGTTCAGTCTTATAATAAAGTTGAAAATAAAGTTTAATTAGGTCTTAAGAATATATGAACATATTAAACTTTTTTGAACACTTAACTATATCATGTGCTTTTTTGGCTCATTGCATGGCAGGAAGGGGAAAAGAGCTTCTGATTAGCGGACAGATTCACGGCTGTCAAGTCCGTAGTAAGTCATTCAGCATATATATGCATAATTTCCTTAAGGCCATGGGGCTGACGTTGGAGGGCAGTATCCCAAACAGAAAACAAACATGTAAAATCGACACGGGCTGGGGGAGATGAACAAAAACCCGATTGGTCTGCTGTCACATAGGTAATCAATTGACTGATTTGTATTTATTTTTGTTCTCTAGAACTCAAGCAAAAAAAAAAAAAAAAGAAAACAACCATTCATAAAATGATCCGGACGAGACATTAAAAAAGGGGACAGAGAACGGGAAAGAGGAAGGTGATAGATAGGGATGAAAAAGAATCCCAACAAGTCGACAAAATATTCCACAGCCATTTCTCTCATATATCGAAATCCCCTTGAGTCATCATAGTTGCGGTTTTCTGAAAATTATATCTTCGTTCCCTCCATGGCTTTGTCTCGTTCTGTGGCACCTTTCTGTGCTCCCTTGTTAAATGATAGCGACGGGGTGTTGCAGAGATTTAAAAACATTTAGACATTTTTTACTAGGTTCGTATGGTTCGTAGGAGTGAACTGTTTTCGATATACGTGTGCGGGCGGAATAGATGCGATTTACTGGGAGCAAGGGTAGGAGAAGATTTCACCGGAACTAATTATATTGGTTAGCTTCGTGTCTTTTTCCTTGAGTGCAATTTAACATGTCCGTCTTTCGAGAGGTGACTTCGTATAGATTTGGCTTGTTCGCACAATGCGGTTGGAGCGGATGGGTCCGTGATCCATTTATCCATATACATATATGTATGTATGTGGGTGTGGGATAATTACCTTGATGAAGCCAATATCGGAAGCCTTCTCACGGAAGCACTGCATATCACAGAAAGAAAGAACGTTAGCAAACCAGATTCCCAGTTCAGCACTGCCTCTCTCTCTCTCGTCTTCAAATAGAAAAATTTCATGATCGGGAACCATGATTTCCTTACCTGACGGCAGACAAGCAGACCATACTTGCGGATCAGACCGGCCTTGTGTGCGCAGACACGGCTACATCGAAGAAATTCCAATAATCAGCGAACCACTCTCTAACCCCCCATGTGTTTTCCATCCTGCATGTCCAATATTCCACGTTTCCCTTTCTCCGTCCGTATCTCTCTTTTTAATACCATCTATTTTCCATTTCCAATTCATCTTTTTCCCCGCCTCTTCCTCATCTTCCTCCTCCCATGGGCAGATGTTGAAGTTTAAGATACTTACCACTGGCGGCTTCCCTTGCCGTAGGTCCTGGGACGACTGTAGTAAACGGACTCGTGAGTCATCTTGGCGATCGAGCAGAAGAGATGGAAGGAGCTGGTGGTTTTGTCGGGCTCGGAATCGTCGCCGTCGTTGTCGAGGAAGTGCTTGAGCTACAGTGGAGATAATATTTGTGGTTAATTTGCGATTTCTGTGTGTCTTTCGCTGGAGGATTACATAAGGGATTTGGCGGGTTGTTGAGTGGTTGAAAAGGTTTAGCGAAGACTAAACCATTTTGGGATATCTGAAATATATATATATATATATATCACGTGACTATGCAGTTTGATTGGGCGAAGAGGCGGGCTGCTGGCCGGGGTCAGAGCCTCATTTTTGGGGAAAGTTCACTTTGAAGATTGCTCCGATTGAAAATGGCTAATTGTGAATAAAATCCATATCAGGAATATGTTAGTTGTGAGCAGATCTGTCTGTTCTTCTCTTCGGGGCTCTGCGTCTCTTGAAGGAATTAGGGTTTATGCCCTATCTTGCGGTGGAGAATTGCCTAAAACGGAAATCAGCTTGTGCCAGTGGGCCTTGTGTCGTTTTCGTTCTGCTAAATTTTCTTCGTTAAATATTCTTTGCAAAGGTACCGGATGCTGCCGGGGGGGTTGTTTGATGATCGCATCAACCGGGCAAATCGAGATATTCCCAGGGACGGAGTTGGAAATACTTTAGTTTTCCAGCTATTATCAGAACCGTTAACCAACCCAACCGCCGTGACATGAGAAATTCCAGCCTGTGGAAAAGATGGACATCTCTGTGAGATGGCAGGGTTAACCCAGAAGCTACATAGGATTCAGGATCATGTTCGTATTCATGGGAGTATTGAGCTGCTGGTATTATTGCGGTTTTTTATCTGTTTTTGGTTGTGACGAGGGGAAGGACTTTTGCCTCTCGAACTGCAACATTAGCATCCCTAATCAGTGCATGGATAAGCTTTCTTCCCATTGAAACACTCCGGCTTAGTTATTTCCGTAGTACAAGGACCTTTGTTTTCCCGTAACAGCTTGGTTAATCGTCTCAGCTCCTTAACTACTGTCGAAAGAGTCGTTGAAGCGGGTGGTTTCATCTGGAGAAATATATAAGTTGCTCTTCCATATGCCACAAAGCGTTGCAGCCATCTGGTTAATCTCTCCCACAAAAATAGAATGAATGTCGTGGTGCATCAACCGGGAGGGTCACGACGCTCAGTCAGACTTATCGAAGCCTGGAAGATCCCTGAATATAGGGGGAACCTTAAGCTGGAAATGCCGCCTATTTTAACCGTAACGTCCTGTGTGCTGCAGGCTCTCACGTCCAATGCCCTTGGCTAGCCATTATTCATTGAATTCTCGACTATGCCGAGTTGTATTCAACCCAAACGCGGGAGAAAATATGTTGGATGAAAAAGGATCCCGCTGCAAAGGGAATGGCAGCACCAACTGCAACTAAAAAGAAGTCATTTTGGGAATGGATGTGAATGGAGGGGAAAAATATGAGTACATATTTACCCCAAAACAACCGAAAAACAAATCCCCATAATTTCCTTGGTGGTCATGGGGAAGACCAGTTCTCTCGGGCTTCAGTCGCTGTGCCACGGGAAAAGTTGGTTGGAGTGTTGTTGGCTATTTTTTTGTTTTTCATTATTATTAACTATTTCAAGCCCCTGAATAGCCTTGAAATGTTTCCAGCAGCTGAAACCCTTGATTGAACAGCAGCGCATTTTCTTTTCTTCCGTAAACCTCCAACCCCCCTCTGCACGTTCCTCAACTCTTTCAACATCAACCACACACTCTTGCTGCTCTGTATTTCACATCTATTTCCGAGGATCTACGAGTGCGAACATTTGATTCATCTCCTCCTAGCAAATTTGTGACAAATCGATAGTTTATTCCACGAAATCCATCAAGGTAAGAGGCGACTTTTTCCGTGTTATGATGCTTAGTCCTTGACAATTGCGCTGTTGTTTCTTTGATTGCGCTGCATCCCACCGCAAACGATGTTAAAACTACCTGCCTCCATCACTTCCTGTAACACACTCTATGCTCATAGTCTTGTTTTCTTTCTGTCATTTTTCACGACTTTCCTCAAATTTCTTTTGAAAGGATTGTACAAAGATTTTTTGTCGCATTTTGTAAGCTTTTCACGTGCAAAGGTATGTTGTGTTGTTGTTCCTCGTTCTCCGCATATGCCACACCTGCGACCCCAGTGGTGTGTGTATATTTCTTTTATTCAATTAATCTTTCTCTACAAACCTCTACTCAGTTTACCTTCCTAATTATTTCAAGACTCAGTTCTAACCAAGCATCATAGACAAACTTCAATTTTCAATCATATACTTTACCACGACAGAAGTCAATATCGTGACGTGAAGTCAGAAGTCAGTATTCATATCGCCGAAGAGAACTTTCATTCAAGCCCTAACAACAATCACTCAACCTGCGTCTCTCAACCTTCTAACAAAGGAGACAGAAAACCTAAACAGCCAAACTAAAATAATAATGGCAGTTACACGTGGCGCAACCGGAAATGCGCGTCCCCGCGTCATCGAGCCAATTCCCACCTCCCCTGCTATTAAGAAGCGTCGCAACACCAGCAGCAACACTGCAGCAAAGCAAAAGGCTGGCAACGAGACGAAGCCAAAGGCGACATCAACGTCTTCCGGTGCTAAGCGTGGCCCAAAGCCCAAGGCCTCTGCTTCAGCGGGCGTCACCAAGAGAGCAGCCATGCCCACCACTGCGAAGCCCAAGGCTGCAGGCGGAGCGGCGAAACCTGGCAGAAGGCCAAAGGATCCCACAGCCACGACGAAAAAAGGAGTGAAAGCGACTAAGAAGGAGAATGCTTTGAATGCGGCTGTTGAGTCTGCTGTTGGCTCTGGGAACGATGCTGCTATTGCTCCCACAACCGCGCCCGCGCCGGCTGCCGCTGAAGTGATGGCAAATTAGAATCCACGGCTGTTGTTTCTTGGCATCTGAGACTGGGAGGACGAGAGAGCAAGGACTTCCTGTACGGGGAAGATGTAATGGACGACTCCTGGTCGGGTTTCTGTGGTGTTGTCTTTCTTGCGCTTTATCCTTTTATCTGCTTTGAATCTTTTTACATTGGTCCCATGTTTCACTGAAATTATTTGTGGTGGAATCTTCCCAATCCCTTGTTCTACCTCCGTTTTTCTTTCTTCCTCTGGGTTTGTTGTTTTTGTCTCTTGAAGCAAAATGTATATTTTACTGTGGCGTGGTGTGTGCGAGGTTTATCGTAATGGGAAATGCGTGTTTTAACTTGATTATGTTTTGCTGGAGATATCCCCACGGGTTTAGTGTTTGTATATGCGTGCTATCAGCTCCAAACTGAAGTGATAATGGTTACCCTTAATGAGCCTTTTTTCGACGTCATCCTTCCCACCTTTGTTTTTCTGCTTCCTCAAACAATTCATGTATTTGGTGAAGCGGATTATAAATTGTCGCAGCTGTAACTAACTGGGCCTCGTTTTTACGGCCCTGGAAGCTGATTCGTTGTTGGAAGCAAATGCATTTACAATCTCCATTGGACTCCTCAGCGCTTCCAGGTTTATTGTGCTGTGTGTTATTTGTTTCACTTGATTGTCCTTTCAGAGGCTGGAAACTGTGTTTTTTGGGGTTGTGGATATGGAAAGGGGGCTCTTAAGGGAGGTAGAGGAGACGGGACAAGGGACGAAGGGAGAGGGAATGGGGGGAAAGAGAAAAGGCTTTAAAATTATATATATATATATATATATATACGCTCTTGAAAGCGATTGAGTTATCAGGAAAAACATATACCAATCTTCGATAAGAGATTTATTATATTTAGCTAATCAGTTTAGCTTATACATTTCCTCCGCCTAATCATCATAACTAGTTCATGCGTAAAACCTATCCTCAATATTCCATGCAAAAATGATAGAGACATCTACCTACATAATATACAAAACAAATCAATAAACACGCATGCCCATTTCAAATAAGGCAGGGAGAATGTCAACATCCCAAAATATGCGGCATTTCATTACGGATGTAGAGGTACATGTACAGTACAGCTCTACCAACCCATGAGCACTAGGACAATAGTACAGCGGCACACAAGATACAGGCAGAACCCGACAATCAAATCTCCAGACTGGAACGAGCTCTCTTGTTTCCGTTATTTCTTCTCTTCTACTGCACTACTGCACTTAAGATTTTTATCCTTGACCTTCATCGGATAAAACGAACGAGCGAATTCCATCGTCTTCATCCGTGATCGTAGGTTTCTTTTCAAGTTCAGTCCACAGGTGTGGATAGGTGACCCTGGCCCATGACTCGGCTTGGTCGCGCCATTTTTGTGTCGGGAGAGAGTTATAGAGTATCCCAATGCTGTTGAGGGTAAAGTGAGGGAAAACATGGTTAGCTAAAACAGTAATTTGTAAATGTAAAAGATAAGGTTGGGATGGGATCTTATTGGGAGGGATGTTATTGGGGAAAATTAGTAACGCACGTATACTCCGTAGGGTGATTTTCAGTTTCTGAATACATTGCATTGATAGTGTCCGCAGCACGCTCGAGCTCACCATGCAGAGCAAGAGTGCGGATATAATTGGTGTATGCCATCCTATTCAGGGGAACATCAAGTGATTTCAACTTCCTAAACATCTGGTCCGCTTCATCTAGGCCATGGCGGAAGTTGCCACACAGCCGGAAGAAATATGCCAGAGAGTTTTCAGAGGGACCTTCCTCCGAATGGAGAATCTCTCTGAAGAACTCCATCGCTTTCTCAGGTTCTCCGCATGCATCATATGCAAGCACAAGACTGTCTAGAAGCGGCGTGGTAATTGCTATTTCGAGGTCAAGTTTCAACATGTTGTGGATGAGGAAAAGGCCTTCAGAATAACCCGCTTTAGCGATACCACTGAAACACAACGCGTATGTTGAGGATGTAGGTCGATCGCACGGGGCAGTCTTTTTACGAATGTGGCCAAAGGCTAGACATGCAAGATCCGGTCGGTCTCGCTTGAAAAAATCAAGCATGCTTTTCGTCCAAAAGCCCACAGGCGCATACGGGATTAGGCTGATTAGCAGCTCGTGGACTTTCCAGGCAGTGTCCGTAGGCTGATTCTGGTCCGCGATAAAATAAGAGAACGGTTTTAGAACCTGTGAAATTCCTGGTATGCTGTAAGTACTAGCGAACGGTTTCAGTAGGTCCGCGATGCCTTCTATGTCGTGGCGGGAGAGTAACATCTGGCAAAGTGCTTCCAAGGTCGCAGGTTCAAATTGGCCGTCTAGCTCTAAGAGTCTGTCGAGAAAAGCGAGGACGGTCTTGTCATCAGGTTCATCTTTCGCTGCCGAACAAAGATATCTCACAATTCCATTCCACAAAGGAAGATTATCCCCTTCAGTCAGCTCTGTTGAATCCAGTTCCTCAAACAAATACATTGCACCATCAATATCGCCATTCCGCAAACGTGCAGTCACCCTTAACATGCCAGTAGTTGTATCTGGCTCCAAACCCCATGCTTCGGCAAGGGCAACAAAATCTTCCACATCGCTGCGCTCGCACTTTGTAACTAGATACACCAAGATTTTGTTGAAAGTGGATATCGTTAAGCTAAACTGTAATTCAGGGTTCATGACACGAAGGTCAGTCAGCTCTTTCTCAACATCAGCAGCTCCGCCTCCTTCTTTGACCGCTAGTAGCAAAACAGCATCCCTAATTTCTGGGGTCGGGCTCTGGCGAAGAAGCTTGAGGAGCCTGGAAGCCCATTCTGCACTACCATCCCAAATTGTAGCGTTCGCAACAGCAATTGTGGCAGCGAGAGTGGGCTCTACTGAGTGGGTAAGGCTCCATTCATAGACAGATCTAGCTGCTTTGCCATTTCCCTCTTTTGCTGCTGCCAGTGTCAATATTTCATGGGATTCTTGATCTAATCGAATACCTCGGCTTGTCATCTTTTCCAGGACGTTAAGTATCATGGACTCGCCTTTGTCTTCTTCTTTCAAAGAACCTTTTGCCACAGTTATCCAAGGCAACGTTCCTTCGTTGACGAAAACATTTTCCCAATGCCCCTCAATCAAGCGCAGTGCTTCGCCAGATTTCCCAGTGGAAGCCAATATATATAAGTATGGATACATAGCCTCCGCACTGGGATGTCCCGTATTACCGGGTTCTCTGGCTACCCTGGAACAGATCTTTCCATAAGCCAATCTAGCAAGAATGCGTACGTCGTCTTGGGCATCCGCCTCCCATTCTGATTGTGATATTGCCTTCAGGATATCTATCAACTGTGTGATATCCGGAGCCAAATGTGTGAATTGCTCTTCCCTTGTGGCACCATTTAAATAATGCAATGCCTTTTGTAGGAATCTGACTTGGTTCGTTGTTAAAGTCATAGGGTTTTCCAGTCGTTGCTGGATGAAGGACGAGAGTGCCCTGGCGATAATATCTGGTGGCGGGGGACGAGATTTCTGCTCCAATGCTTCCACCAACTCCATCATTCGTTTGGCCCCATGATCTGCAGAATGGCCCTTTTTGGTTTCCTGTTGGGAAACTGCCTGGGTAACACTAGGAAAGCTGAAAAGATATCTTCGCTGGATGTTGTAGAGCGACTGGCATTGGGCGGTTCGAGCGGGAGCGAACAATCCCAGCCGCCTGCGGCATCGAAGGTGAGTCCACGGTCTGTTCTCTACAATCGTGCGGAAAGTTCTCTGTGAGAGATGGAATCGCATGGTTGCTTATTTCTGCTGCTATATAAAATCAGTTCGGCCCATTCCGTAGAGTGCATACATGCACTGGGTGAATTGGGTGCAATGAGCTCACCAAATGCACATTTTAAACCATGCCCCAAGAACACAAACAGCATAAATTAAACCGAGAGAGAGGAGCTGTGGAGTGGCGAGTTTCAGCAATTATCCCCAGATGTCGACAACTGGTCAATACATCATTTGATGGAGCTATTCCTCATATTTCGTTGAATTTGCGATAGTTCAACTGTTGAACCTTAAAATAGTTCAGGGTCGCTATTTTTCTGTTGCCCCTCACCGCTTTGGGGAAGATCTTATCATCTTCAAACTCCTCCGAGTTAACTAAGCCCGCATCAAAAATTTTACAACAATCGTAATTCGACTGAGTTTTCTAGCATTCCCCAGCAGCGTCTGTATTGCCGCAATTCGATTTCGGGTGGGATTGGGGGATGCACAATGGCGTCCAAGACCAGTCGAATATGCTCTTTTTTCCGTCAGATTTCGCGCAATCCTACCCTGCAAGCGCCGCAGCAACGATGGAATTCATACAGTCGATTTGCGGGTATGTAATGGAAAATTGTCTTATTATAATGTTCTTGTCCAGCATATCATATAACACCCTCTCACAACAAGTGACCTTCATGCAGAAAGAAGCCAACGTGAATCGATGAAGAAGCAGGCCATGAAGGAAATTTTTGAAAGGCAGGCCATCCAACAGCAACGAGCCCGTGCTTTAGAAAGGCAGCAAAAGCGCTTTTGGGAGACTGGCGATGTGTATTCGCCGCACGACCTGAGCCCTGCAGAAATGAAGAAATGGAAGAGCAAGAAAAGACCGTCAACTGACGCATTCGATGCGTTATCCCTGAACCCTCTCCATCTGTACAAGGTATGTAGTTGGTATCCTAGATTATGTTATATATCCCATTACATATTATATACCATTTCACGTCTTATAGTTAAATTTAGCTTTAGCTAATCGTTTCCTGCTTGTCAAACACTAGAATTTTGCCGTCATGTCTGAGTATGTAACCGAGATGGGCCGCATCAGACACTCCTCCGAAACTGGATTACGACCGGTCAACCAGCGCAGGATATCCAAAGCCATTCGACGCGCTATAGCCCTGGGGCTTATGCCTAGCGTTCACAGACATCCCGAAATTCTGGCTGCGGAGGCCAGAATGAAGATACAACGAGGGCTGATCCCTTGATATATATGCTTGTATACTCTGGAATTGGGGTTAGGGTTTTGGATTTGTGGTTCGCACTATTGGAGATGGAAGACTTATCATATCTGTATCATAGTGTTTGTAGATATTAATTTCGCTATCGCCTTTTCTTTTCTTTTCTTCTTTCTTTCTTGCTTGCATGAATCTTCAATTGGCTTTACTGTTGACTGTTGGAGAGGCGGCTCACACAGTTAGTTATTGTCAAGGGACCTCGACCATGGCAACCCACTGGATAATTAACCCCACCATAGTCAGCAAGGTTTCAGGGCTACGCAATCGTCAACAACTCAAGAATCTGTATCTTATGTTCAAGAATCAAACCATTGTTGCAAATTTCTAATAAGCCATCTCTTTAATTTTCCGCGAAATGTCCATTGAAAATGGTATGGACTGTTCCCCGAGACTTGGTACCAGGTTGGCATCATTGCTGACGCCTTTAGCATAGAATTCATCTTGGCCCCGAGCCCCTCCACCGCAAGAGCACAGCCAACACAGCTTGCATGCGACTCGAAAGGCGAGCGGTTGGCTTATGCGGTACGTCAAGAACAGAATAAGATTGGTTTCTCCGTTTACTATTCAACCACTCGAGACTCTACACCTCATAACTGACCTTTAAGAAAACCTAGTCGAACAAATCCATCTTCCTCCGATCCATCGACAACCCTTCAATTTCGAGACAATATACAGGACACAAGACACCAACAACAGTCGCGCGGTTCTCTCCGTCCGGCTACTACGTTGCCAGCGGCGATGAGGCAGGCACAGTCAGGGTATGGGACTGTGTTGGAGAGGGCACTACGAAAGGGGAATACTTCATCGTGAGCGGTCGAATCAACGATCTAGCGTGGGATGGGGACTCGCAACGGATCATAGCGGTGGGCGATGGAAGAGAGAAATATGGCCGTTGTATTACTTCAGACAGCGGCAACTCTTGCGGTGAAGTTACAGGCCACTCTCGGAGAGTTAATGCCGTAGCGATTCGGCAGCAGCGGCCAATTCGCGCCGCGACTGCTGGAGATGACATGTCTGTCAACTTCTACCATGGAGTGCCGTTCAGGGTAAACACGCGAGCGAGTGAAAATCATGTCAATTATGTTTGCGGACTTGGGTTCAGTCCAGATGGTGCGAATCTTGTCAGTGTTGGATCAGATCGGCGAATTTGGCTCTATGACGGGAAAACGGGGGAGACAAAGACCCAAATAGGGGCTGGGAAACATACGGGGAGTATACTGGGCGTCTCCTGGTCACCGGATTCTCGCAAGTTTGTTACAGCGAGTGCGGACCAGACGGTGAAGGTTTGGGACGTTGAGCAGGGGAAGGTTGTCCAGAATTGGAAGATGGGCGGGGACGGGGCGGTTAGCGTATCGGATCAGCAGGTCGGAGTTGTTTGGCCTAATGGAAGAAGTGATGGCCTGATTATCAGCCTATCTCTCACTGGTGATCTTAACTACCTAGTCGAAGGCAATGAGAAGTTAACTCGCATCGTCCAAGGTCAGCAGAAGGAGATTACCGCTTTCGCCAGATTTGATGTCGGTGACAAGCAAACTCTCTGGACCGGGGGTATTGATGGCAAGGTATACAACTGGGATCTGACACAGGGGTCCGCAGAGCGTGTTGATGGCCAGGGGCATCCTAATTATATTACTGGCCTAGCAGCTACGAAGGAAGGCAAAGGTCACATTTACAGTGTCGGGTGGGACGACACAATTCGCGCCGTCGATGCATCTTCCAACACATACAATGGAAGCGCCACCAAGCTCGCGAGCCAGCCAAAGAACGTTGTCACCGCAGGAGACAACATCGTTCTTGTTGCAAAGGAGAACGGTATTGAGATTTTTAAAGACGGATCGAAAGTGGGGGATTTCGGTCCTTCAAAGTCAACTATCAATGGAATTGCTGCAAACGGCAACAGTGCCGCAATCGGATACGCCGACTCGTCCGTCCAAATCTGCTCTATTGCCAATAACATCCTCTCCCCTTCGGTGGAAATAAAAGTTTCGAGAGATGCCGTCACTAGTCTTGCATTCTCGCCCCATTGTTCAATGCTGGCCGTGGGGGATTCACGCGGGCGCATCGTGGTTTATAAGACTGCAGATGGTACCATTGTCACCGACCGGTGGACTTCTCATACCGCACGGATCAATTCTCTCGCGTGGAATTCTGAAGGCAGTCATCTGGCCAGCGGAAGTCTCGACACGAGGATCTTCGTCTGGAGCTTGGCTTGTTCAGGGGAATGGCTGACTGTGGCCCACGCTCACCAGGAAGGGGTTAACGGGGTGGTGTGGATTACTGATCGCACTAAGATCGCATCTGTTGGAGCTGATGCTGCGGTTAAGATATGGAAACTGGAGAATCTAAAATAGAAGAAGAGAGTGAAGTCTGATGAGCTACCTGTGTGATTTTCTCCTTGCTCATATTGAACACGTTGTGGATTCCAACCCAGCATCGAATGATATTTAGTTAACTACTCGATTCCGAAATACACTAGTTGCTATATATCCATGAATACATCACGGCAACCTAATCGTGGCTTTCCCAAGCACGACATCACCATTAAGTTATTATATATTGTTTATTATACGAGTTTATCAGCTTAACGTTTAGACCATACTATGGCTTAATAATCTTATATTGTTGGCCCCTGCCGTGCTGCACGTGATCTATATAGCGTCTACACAGCGTTCCCGAATGGCAGGACAACGAAACGATCTCCGTCATCATATCCGTCATCATATACATATGAGGTGGTGTTTAACAAAAGCTGGTCTTGTTTAACTACCTGCTTTTTGCGGCTTGACAAAAGAAAGCCCAATTGGTAGTTGTTGAATACGAGACACCCCCACACCGCATCTATGTAGCTACCCCATAAACGCGGCGCATTAGTTACTGCGTAGTTGAATTTAGTTGATTGTTTCACCAGTTAGTTAAAATAGGCGCCGATCTGCGCATTCGTCAAGCTTTCTTATAAATGCTATGGTCAAGGTGAGCCTCTGCTCCTGGCAGATTCTATCTGCTCCCCGCCCATGTTTACCTCCAAGCCATGACGAAAATATTCCAGATGTGATGTCACCATCCAATGCTGGTCGTTTCCCCAGACCCAATGTAACTGCTCTTGACCTCTGTTGACGGCCCAGTAGAGCCGCTCCCGTTTTCGCAGAATCATGCTGACCGTGATCATTCTTCCAGCTAAACCACGTCTCCTTCATCCTTCCTCGAACCGGGCAACGCCTAAGGGGCCTTCTCAACTTATTATCCTACAGAGAAAACGATGACCAGGAGGAACGTGAGCCACTGCTTGAACGCCGCGCAGCTCCCCAGTCGCAGACTGAAAGCATCTGGCACAAATGCTATCAAAAATATATAAGCCTCACCCATATTCTGCACCCATATATCACGTCTGAAATCGGCAGGGGTGTGCTGAAATGCAGCATCGCATATATGATTGGCACCCTTGGGACATTTCTACCGGCATTTGCGGATTTCCTTGGACAGCAAGATGGAAAACATATGGTGGCTACGGTCACCGTTTACTTCCACCCAGCAAGGACGAAGGGTAGCATGATATTGGCGACAATATACGCATTCTTGGCGTTTGTTTATGCAGCTTTCATAACGGTGACTAGCATGGGGATTTCGGTGTTTTTTGAGGACAAACTCAACCTCCTCCCGCTTGGCCATGCGATCGTTCTCCTTGTTTTCTGCGGTGGAGGCCTGGGCTTTGTGGGATGGGTGAAGCTCCGGCGCGCTGACCCGTTGGTGAATGTGGCCTGCTCTCTTACATCTTTGGCTATTATTAATGTTTTGACAAAGGAGGGAGCTGTGCAACAGGGCGACTTATCCCTAGTTAAAATCGTCCAGGTTCTGAAAATGGTCGTGATGGGGGTTATAGCTACGACGGCTGTTTGTTTTCTGATATTCCCCGTATCAGCTAGGACTAAGCTTCGAAAGGATCTGGTTGAGATGACAGCCTCGCTGGGTACTATGCTTGCGATCATCACTGAGAGCTTCCTGCAAGGCTCCGCGGAACACCTCGAGCAGGACTCGTTTCAAAGTGCTTTGAACAGGAACAAAAAGGCATATGTAACGGTCGAGAAGTGGCTCAAAGAGGAAAAAGTTGAACACTATCTTGCCGGAACGGAAAGGGAATATCGTCTGGAAAAAAAACTCGTTCGGGCTATTCAGGATATCACTCAGAATATCGGAGGACTTCAGAGCGCCGCTAACCTTCAATTTGACCTTCTGAGACAATCACAACAAACTAATAGGAATGTCACTCCAACGCCGGAAGAACCATCATCTTATTTTACCACACAATTATGCCATTCAATTTTCTTACCACTTCCACGATCCGCTCACGAAGAAACGAGGAGAGTGATACCTGGTCTGGAAAGGTTACAAAGCGACGAGCCAGCTGCGGGTCATGAGCAGGATCCGATTGGGACACAGGCACCCGCAGATATTTTTGAGAGATTCATTGCTCAACTTGGGCCTTCCATGGTACACACAGCCTAGTCAACCTCGCTGTTTTTCAACTTTTGCCTATTTAGCCATGTACTGACGATTTTCTTTTTGGCGATAGCGATCGTTGTCATATACAGTGACGGAAATTCTTAGAGAGCTTCCTTACGGCCCCGGTCCGGAGTATAAAGTTGCCGTTAATTGCAAATTTCGGATCAGTCTTGATCGAGCTTTGGATTTATATCGCAATGCGCGAAATGATGCACTGAATCTCGTTTATTTGCAGAAAGATTCTGTTAAGACTAAGTCCGTTGAGATGGAGGCGGACCTGGAAGAGGTTGCGGCGAGCTGTGGTCATTTCAGTTTCTCACTGCAAGCGTTTACTGAGCAACTCAAAGAAATTCTGGAGATATTAGACGAACTCCATTTGGAAACGGAAGAACGGCCCAACGGGAGGTCCTGGGGCTGGCTTAAATTCTGGCGTCCCACCCCGCCCGACCATACCAACAAGTGGACTTCTGCCTCCAGTAAGTTTATTTGGCCAAGTAAACAGTTGTATCCTTGGATAATAATGATAACAATCGCCTTGAACAGGGTCGGCCACGGAGCGTGGGGAGACAAGTATCGCTCCTGAACGTTACAGCATCCCAGAAACTACCACATCGCCAGTTGATCTAGCTGAGCTATCAAGGAAAGGAAAAGTTAGGTACAAAATATGGAGAGCATTGCGTATTTTTCGACGAGATGATGTAAAATTCGCTATCAAAGTTGGTGCCGGAGCGGCCATTTATGCGCTCCCCTCCTTTATGCCATCGACGCGGCCTTTCTATTCATATTGGCGCGGGGAGTGGGGCCTGCTATCTTACATGCTTGTTTGCTCCATGACAATTGGCGCATCTAATACTACGGGATTTGCTAGATTTTTTGGAACAACGTTTGGAGCAATATGCGCTGTTGTTGCCTGGAAGGTAACTTCTGGGGAAGTGTTTGCCCTGGCATTTATCTGCTGGGTTATGGCATTCTGCACTGCCCACATTATTTTGATTAAAAACCGCGGTCCCATGGGTCGTTTCATCATGCTCACTTATAACCTCACCGTTTTATATGCCTATTCTCTCTCACGCGACGGTATTGACGATGGCGAAGATGAGGGAGGAAGTACACCTCTGGTAGTAGATATTGCTATCCATCGTGTCGTCTCTGTTCTTTCTGGAATTCTTTGGGGGATCATAATCACGAGAGTGATATGGCCTATCAGCGCACGGACGAAATTAAAAGGCGGCTTAAGTTTGCTGTGGTTATGGATGAGCGTGATCTGGAAACGAGAACCCCTCTCTACGATGGTGGATGGAAATTCAGCCATTGCATATTTTACCCCCAGGGAGAAACTTGAGTTCCAGAGGTTCATGGTCAGCCTAGAGACTCTTTATAATTCTGCACGATCAGAGTTTGAGTTGCGCGGCCCGTTTCCGGAGGCAATATATATATCACTTCTTACTCGAACGCGACGGATGTTGGATGCCATCCAAGCTATGAACCTGGAGATCATGAAAAATCTGACTGCTTCGGAAGGAGAGGCGGCCATGTTGTCATATACTTTGCCAGAGAGAATGCAGCTCTCTGCGCGAATAAGTCATTTGTTATCCGGTATGGTTCAGCCATATTTTCTGCCTTGCCTGACTGGTGTCTGGGACTAACATTCCAGTGCAGTGGTTGCATCCTCCATGAAACTCGAATACCCTTTGAATGATGCCCTCCCGGAAATAGATCATGCTCGAGATAGGCTTCTTGCGAGGTTGCACCGGTTTCGCCAAGATACCAACGCATCTCGATTGACCACAGATGAGGACTATGCTTTACTCTACGCATATGGTATGTTTGGCTGTCTCCCCGGCGCTTCTGCTGCTGCACATTCTCCATATACGACACCGGTATGCTAATGATTTTGAACACTGTATAGCTCTAGTTACGGGACAGTTAGGAAATGAAATCACGGCGATTATTGGGGACCTGAGCAAGCTTTTTGGGATATTAGATGAAGATGTTTTGAAGCTGGAGTAGCAGAGGTTATTCTTATAACGTCTCTTAAAATTTGTCTAGAACAATAATAAAGACACCAACCTGAACTGTAAATACCCACAGTCTATGAAAAATGTTCCTCCTACAGTTTGTAGCTAAAATGCATATTCCTGATGTTGGTGGGTTGTTTAATGTTTTTTGCCCTCTGAATCTCTAAACCCACGCACTTTTCCAGTTCCACCCACAGTCTCTAAGCTTCACTCAACGTCGCAATACGGGACCCAACCAACCAACGAATCATCATCCCATCACCCATCGCGGTTCGGATATCTCGTATTTTCCATCGCTAAACCACCCTCATCCATCCATTCCATCCACTATCTGGTATAGATCTGTCTATTCTTTTTGAATGAGGGCCTAATCCACCATTCCATCACTTCCACTGGCTTCAGCCCTCGCGGCGGGTGGTCTCGGGGTCTCGGAGCACAATGCAGATCGATCCCGCCGCGCTGACTGGGACAAACTCCAGCTCAACATCATCTACTGTACCTGCAATCAAACACCCCATTGCACCGCCTCCGGTAACTACGCAAAAGACGGCAAAGGCTCTCATTTCAGTTCCGCGCCTGGATCTTGAGCCTGTTTACACTGAGTTAAAGGCCGCCATCGGCATACACTGGACCGAGTATAAGGAGACTATAGCTCTTTTTCTCATTGGTACGTTATACATATCTTATCTGGCGGGTTACCCGGGCAGAGGAAATTATTTTCTAACTTTGAAACAAAAGGCCACCTGAACCAGAATGAATTCGCTTTGCGAGTCGACCATTTTCTCTCTTCCGACCCTAAGATTGAACACCTCCATAACAACTTCGTATGCGCAATTATTGGCAATCTCACGAGGGATCTCCCGGACCATGGTGTTGCGAGCTGGGTTTCCGCGAATGATAAACCGACAGTTGTATCAAAACCCGTATCGGGTGACGCGGCGGAACAGCGCCTTAAGACGGAGATCAAACAGCTACCCCCTAAGGAGAGACGGAGATTAAAAGCTATTCCTGAGGTAGAGTTTTCTCCAAGCATAATGTTTAAAACGGGATTTAAAATGGCGGTGATGATCTAACGATTACATGGTTTTATATATTTAACAGCCGGACCCTCACTCCATACCTAACCCACTTGAAGAGTATCACCAGGCCAAGCAGATTCGGCTTCCGGACCAAATACCTGCAAGTGCGGGAGGGCTGAACAAAACAAGTAAGTGGATTCTAGTATACGATTGCCAAAATCCACGAAGAGCCGAAGTTGACGCTATGGTAAGACTGGGAACTTGAAATTCGGAAGCGTTATGCTCAACCTCTAGCCTCCGAAATTGGGGAATTTCCAGACGCAGATTCGATATTTGCGCGCATGGTTCCTATATGCTACGAAGAGTCCGTGGTTAATGGGGCTTCATTCCCATGCGCAGTGTTTATGTCAATAGCAACTGAGAATTTTGTCAAGGAGTTCCTCTCAACCGTGTTTTCAAGAACAAGATTAAATGGACCTTCGGGAACAATCAATGGAACCATGACACGGAAATATCGGCGGCAGCTAGAGCGGGAGGAGATGGCGTTCACCCGGGGAGAGCTGGTGAAGCATTCAACAAGCGGTTTCCTCCCCGTTGAAGCCAAGGAAGCAAGCACAAGACAGGCACTTGGTGTTCCGGACTTAAGACTAGCCCTGGAACTTGGCGGTGGTTTGTTGGGACACATGCCACTGGTTGTTGATGAGATATTAGGCGGATACGTCGAGGAGGAACTTGAGGCTGAACGACAAGACTACATGGAAAGCATCAGCCAGATAAGCAATAACGTAAATGGTGTCGATGGCTTCTCTGATGAAATGGACACTGATGAAGCTGATTGGGACTGGGATGGAGCGAGTTCCAAGGATCGAATGCAACTGGCAAATCTCCTTGATGATTGCCTTTCCATGGCTGCGTAAGATGGATTTTTAATTTTGTTTGCATTTTTGTTTTTCCATCCTTTTTCTTTCTGGCCGTTTCATCTAAGGGGGGATTCGATATGCATATACCATTGGAGTGGGTGAATGTTCATAGAGGCGTTCGGGACAGGTTTCATTTATTTCACCATATTATCTCCATTTTTAGTACGTTTATCAACACTGCCCTCCTGTTTCAACTGTGTCCTCCTCGAACCTCATTTCTGCATAATTACTACTGAAGATAATTCTGGTGGGATGATTATTCTATGTGGTTTCGATATCTTCAGGCGGTTGGTGCACAGGTGATTAATGGTTTTGGGTTTTTCTTCTTCTGGTTTCTTCATTTGCTCTTATTTTCTGTATCTATAGTTATACCTTGACAGGATGGTTCTTTTGTATGGATTACCAATGACAAAAATTATCCGTCATTCATGATAGTCATTTCTTTCTGTTGTTATTGTGATCCGCTCAATGTCATTTCTATGCTTGGTAGTTACAAGTAAGTTTTGCTTCAACGAATACTCTTAAATAAGAGCTGTTTCCCAGGAGCACTACACTCCGGATATGAAATCTGAACATGTTAGTTATTATTTTCTCAGCAAAGGTATACAAGACGTGTTTCCATGCGAATATCGTCGGTATAGCCATCATCGTAGTATAGCAAATATGAAGGACATAATTGTATTTCGCTAGATTTCCCGTGTCCAGAACTCCCCAGCCAACAACACCGATGCCGCCGCCAATTAAGTTTCAAGCCATTAGAACAAATTGATAATACAAATATAACTGGAAGGCCAGGAATGAAGGAGTGCGTGTGCACTAAAATGGAAATTTTTTCTATTCCAAACGCGCCGCCGTGAGTTTCAGGATTTCCTCCGTCGATTTATCCGCATTTGCTGGATCCTTTGCGATTGACTGCCAAATCTCGCCGTGCTTAGGCTCGCTTGATACACATTTGCTGATCACGTCTTCTCGTTTTTCCTGTTAGCCAAGCAGGCACCAAGTTAGTAAACAATGAAACAAGACGATGATCAAGTTGTGAGGGGAGTGGGGAACTATATATTCTTACATCAGTACCATGCTGCAACAAAAACTTATAATACCACGCCCACACATCCCCCAAATCATTATTGGAGACAATGGCCTTCTCAAACCATGTCATCGCCTTATCGAGTTTTCGCTCACCCCAAAATATACGTGCCACTGTCACAAAGAGGATCGGATCGTTATCGACCTTCTTGATAGCTTCCAAGCTTCGTGGCTTGCGATGCGTACGCGGTTCGAGATTCCAGATACTCTCACTCCACAAGAAACCTGAATTTGGTACCTCCTGCAGCGCTTTCGCCATGAGCACTTTGGCCTGACTGATATTGTTTGCGCGTCGTTCCACCCGCACGGATTCAGTCCAGAGCTCTGCATTCTTGGGCACCGCCAGGCGGGCTCGGTCGAGAATTGATCGGGCCTTGACGACGACGCCTGCTTTTTCTTCGAGGCGGGACGCGAGGAGCCAAATGGGTACGGACTTGGGGCATGCGCGAGTACCAGTTCCGTATGCTTCTCTGGCTTGGGGGTATTTATTTTGTTCCTCGTATATCTGGCCCTTCATCATCCAGAGCTTATCGGCTTTAGGATAAAGCTGGAGACCCTGGTTGACGAGATCGAGGGCTCGGTCTGTATTTCCTAACTGACGCTCAAATGCAACACTCTTGATCCAGACACGGTCGGTTCCCGCCTCGCGACGTGCAGTTGAAAGAAGTTCCCTCGCATGCTCTGTTTGTTTTGCATCCGCCTCCAATTTTACGGCCGCAAGCCAGATATCTTCGTTGTTTGGATTTTGGTTAAATGCCCTTCCAAGGACGCGTCTTGCATTGTCGATTTCTCCTGCTTGCCACTTCTCCTTCGCAAGCTGCATCCACAAGCTTTCGCTTTGCGGGCAAGCTTCTACCGCCTTTTCAAGTAGCTGCCAAAGGCTTTCCTTAGTCCCGTTATTACGCTCCAGGTCGACAGCAGCAAGCCAAATAGACTTCTTATTGACGAATACGCGCAGTGCATAAGCATATATAGCTCTTGCTGTTTCATACCTTCCCCTGGAGATGCTTCCCCGAGCATCTTCCATCCAAATATCCTTCCTGTCATCGTCTTCATCCAAGCCCCAGCCAAGAGTTTCACGAATAATGGCTACGCATGTGAGAACCGCACCCTCTTCCTCGCATTTTTCGGCCTCTGCGATCCATTCTTCTCGTTTTAACATAGCGGACTCTCTCGCTAACTCTTGGACAGCTCGCTTCATCACGTTGACTTTGCCGGCAGTTCCCATCTGTTCTTGTAGTCGAGCAGCTGCAATCCAAACCTCATGGCTAGTTGGAACCGCCTTGCGGGCGGCGTTCAGAACCTTTTGGGCATTTTCAGGGGTTTCGAGACGAGCCAAAGCCAACCATAGCTCGACAGAAAGTGGAATCATTTCTGTTGCCTTGGCTAAAAGGAGACGTGCATCGGCCGGGTCCTCTTCAAGGTTGACTGCTTCCTTCCAGATGGCAACAGACTGTGGAATGTGAAGGATTGCTTGCCTGAGAACGTTCTTTTTGGCTCGCGGGTCTGATTCAAGTCTCATAGCCTCGATCCAGAGCCTGGTTGAACGGTCATTACTTTTAATCGCATTAGCTGCAATGATCTTCGCATTGTGGTTGTCGTTTAGCCGTATATTTTCTAGCCACGCGTCCTCACTTTTCGGACATAGCTCGCACCCTTTGGCAATATAACTCCTCGCAGCCACAATCCTGCCAGCAATCTCTTCTAACCGAGCTATTGCGATCCAGCCTGGGGCATGTTTAGGGTTTGTTTTTGTGACCGATTCCAACAATACCCGAACTCGTTTGATGTCTCCTATTTCTACCTCTCCAGCTTTCATTTCGGATTTGGTGAGGCTGGTCAAATATCCCTTTGGATCAATGCTGGTTGCACTTCCAGCTGCAGCGTCCGCTGTTGACCCTTGTGCAGCCTGATCAAGTCTCACCTGAAGGACTTTATCCCTCGCAGCACCAATCTCCGCAAAATTCGTAATTGTACCGTCCATTTCCCCACGTGGCACTGAAGTCTGAGTTCCATCCTCAGCAATAGTGGTTTCGAATTCCGTAGAATCTCTTGCGCTCGCAATGACGCTATCAGGCACGGCGTAAAATCGACTTCTTAAATTTTGCTTTTCCCGTCTGTTTTTCCCCGTGAGGTCGCCAACCTCCGGGATATTTGCCCAGTCTTCATCGGTGACTGTAGCTAAGGATCGCTTCAAGTCCGCAAATTGCTGCTGGATTTTAGGGTTGTTACGTTCGTATTCTTCACGCTCTTGTTGTTCTCGAGCTTCCCTAAGGTGGAGAAATATAATTTTTTTATGTCGGCAATCTATCCAGAACGCTTCATGGAGATACGATAAACCCAGAGCTTTCACAAAAATAGGGAGCGGGGAGGTATTTCGAAGAACAAATAGTAAAAGGGGCCGACAAACCTTCTTAGTTTCCGTCTTCTATCCATTTTCTCATCCACTTCCTGATATATACGATCTGCCTCATCATCATCCCGGTCGTACTGCCCATATGCAAAAAGGCCAACTTCGTTTTCGGGGTCCTGAAACCGGTCATCCTCTTCCTCCTCTATCACCTTCTCGGCCTTGTCTCCTTTTCCTTTTTCTCCTCTATGCGATGCGCCATATGCAGTTGGAGGAGCTGTGCCAAGTAGAAGAGCGCGCTTGGTAAGGGCTTCTTGTATCTGCTCCGGAGTGGGACCCTCTCTCGCTGGGCCCAAGTCTGAGCGCGTGGTGAATCCAGTGGCACCTCGTCCTAAACCGGCCACATAGTTCTCTGGTGCAGGCTGGCTGAGGAAATCTCTCCGTCCCGTCATACTGTATGGAAAGAAGACACAGAATCCAAACTGTAAAGAAGAACAAAAAACGAAGTAAGGTGGTTGTTGCTTGGGGTGTGAGAGTAGAGCCATCGCGGAGGTTCAAAGTGAGAGCTTCTTTCGGAGCCCGCAACAACGTAAATCCGGACAAGTGTTATATCGTCGAAAATTAATCATTGCATCACATCGACTTTGAGATGCGAACGAGGGCAAACGTGCGTCCGTTATTTCCTTCTATTACCACCATTACTACCTGTGGCCGGAGGTTTAGCAGCGTAGAAATGCCGAAAGCGCCCTACAAAAAGCGTAATAGCGCTTCTAAGGCCAGCCCTTATGCCCAGGCCGCTGCGAAAACCAAGGCCGCAAATAATGTCTTCCGCATGAACACAGACATCGGTCAGCATGTTTTGAAAAATCCGGGTGTTGCTCAGGCTATTGTTGATAAGGCAGAGCTGAAGCAGAGTGATGTATTTGCTATCCCACTCTTATATATATTCCAAGGGCACCGTTAATAATAATAATGTTGGCTATTTCTATAGACCGTTCTTGAAATAGGCCCTGGTACTGGCAACCTGACTGTCAAGATACTGGAGAAAGCGAAGAAAGTTATTGCTGTCGAGTTGGACCCGCGAATGGCTGCAGAAGTTACGAAACGTGTTCAAGGGAAACCGGAACAGAAGCGGCTTGAAGTTCTACTGGGTGATGTTATTAAAACTGATCTACCTTACTTTGATGTCTGCATCAGCAACACTCCATATCAGGTACGATAATGACCGGGCTGCCCCTGATTGTAAAATTTTCTATGACAGAAAAATTAATATTAGTATAATGACTACAGATCTCTTCTCCTCTAACGTTTAAACTCCTCGCCACCAACCCTGCACCACGAGTATGCATTCTCATGTTCCAACGAGAATTTGCAATGCGACTCTTCGCCAAACCCGGTGACAAGCTCTACAACCGATTGTCTGTGAACGCACAGATGTGGGCAAGAATTGACCACATCATGAAAGTTGGAAAAAACAACTTCAAACCACCACCCGCTGTAGAATCCAGTGTGGTTCGCATCGTTCCCAAAAACCCCCGTCCTCAAATCAGCTACGATGAATGGGACGGCCTTCTAAGAATTGCGTTCGTGCGGAAAAACAAAACGATAAGATCCAGCTTCCTTGGCACCACTAGTGTTCTCGACATGCTAGAGTCGAATTACCGAACATGGTGTGCCCAAAATAACATTCCGGTCGAAGATGGGCCTGCCGAGGATTCCGAGAGTGAGCCCATGAACATAGTGGAGGACCAAGGTGAACCAGATGAAGGACTGGATGGTACCATGGACGTCGATGATGATGATGACATGGACGTCCATGAATTCTTTGCGGACGAGCCGAAATTAAATTCGAACGTACAAAAAGAAAATCCAGGCCGCAAGAAGAAAGGAAAAGTACGGGAACTGGTTAGGGAGAAGGTCAGACAAGTTCTCGAGGACGACACTGGACTTGCAGACAAAAGGGCCAGAATGTGCGACGAAGGGGACTTCCTGAAGCTTTTGTGGGCTTTTAATCTGAAGGGTATCCATTTCAGTTGATCTCTCCAAGTGGAACACATTATTCGGAAATTTTACATATATTAACGCCACGTCAACATATGATTCTATGTTGGGGTACCTTGGCCCTTCCAAGTGCCGGTATATTTGGAAGTAGCAAAATTAATCACATTTTCCCGCGCCAGAGGGCGTCCCAACGCTAGAGCGGAGATGGGCACTCGAATCCTGAAACAAACTCTGCCATATAAACGCCTCGCTCAGGAGAAGCTCAATATTTTTTTCGGTCCAATCCTTGGTGGGAAGGGCTTGGATAAACATCATGATTTCCTATGAATAATTTAACAGTTGATTTTTTTTGTTTTCATATTTCTGGCACAGAGCAGGGAAGCTAGGAGAAACAAACCTGGAAATCCATCTTAAGCAGTTGCTCAGACCACTTGACAAGGAAAGCTGCGCATACGTAAAGGTGAAACCTGGAGAAGCCTTGCTCTTCGGCCTAGATGGAACATGTTAGGCGAATGTAGTCGAACGCAGGTCGAGGGTGATAATACTTACCATATAGGTATCCCACATCCTTATTGTGTTTTGGATGCTGACCTCTCTCATCAAAAGACAGTTCATCCACCGGAAGCTGAACTGCATGAATTCAACGCCCTCATTTTCTAAATGTTTTGCAAGCGTGGAATCAATCCGCATCGTGAGATCGCGCAGAGCACCGACTTGTCTGTGTATACCAGGTTGAGCATATATATAATTATCTTGAATACCATCGAGAAGCTTTGTTAAACACCAAAATGAATCAGCCTCCACGGCATCAAGAACAGCTTTGGGTAGTTGCCCTGGATCCATTCCCTCCTCTATGTTAAGATCCGTAATATACGACCCTAGAAAAACCTGCCAGAATGGTGTGACTAGGTCGTTTATGCCTTGCACGTATCCACTTGCGGGATGGCGTATAGCCCAAGCATATAAAATTCTTCCTAAGGATCTTTGCGTTGCCTCGTAGCCATATAGCGGAATATGAGGGTTTGTCCGGGGAATATCGATACTTATTTGATGCCAGATAGCTTCGTCCAAACCTCTTCCATTCCCAACATTTGATGTAGAGCCCGTTCCTCCTGGTTTATCAACAGTTGAGCTGGCCCTTTCAAAGGCCTGTCGAACACCATCAAGGTATTCCTTCCGTTTTCTATCCAAAGCAGCGACCCGGCGCTCACTGTTTGTTGGCAAATATCCGAGCAGAAGCTGCCAAGTCATCGCTCGAACTTCATCTGGAACACCAGACCAGGCTAGGTCGCGAAGTTCTGGAAGCGATACGGTACTTGCTTGGAGAATTCGTTTGAACTTGTTGATCCTGCTAATGCGACTCAAGTGAACTTCTAGTTCTTTGGGTGAACCGTTTGTTGGAGGTGGAGAGTGATTTATTAGGTGTAGTGAGTTTGCAGGATCTATTAAAATAACTTGTCAGTTTTTATTACTACTGTTGATAGGAAATGCACACTTACCTGTTAGTATCTCCTTGTACTGAGGACGTAAGATCTTGCCGTCAGCTCTCTTTGCCGTTGGGTAGGTTAGGACACCTCGTTCCTCTGCAATATCAGAGCTATTTGCACGTAGCCTCAAAGTGCCTAAATTGGGTGCCAAATTTGAGGAGCCATTTGATCTGCTCTTCGATCTACCCCGCCCATAATTCCCTTTAACCTGGGCCTGTTGTCGAGAGGGAGCTTTCGATTTCTTTTTCCGCATGCTCGTAACGCTGGGGAGCCCAAACTCGTCCTCATCATCATCATAGGAGAGTTCGTCTTCATCTCCATCATCATCATCATCATCGTGGCTCCAGTCTTCACCAGCTTGTGCCATTACGCTCGCGTACGGATGACGAGGCGGTGATGTGATTCCTCCAGAGTCCGTTAACAGCATAGAGCTGCTGCTACTCCGGTTGTTACTGCTAGTACGTGATAGCATTGGCGATGCGTGTGTTCGCGAATAAGGCGATATGTTCCTAGCAGACGTGGAATAGGTTAACTTTCGCAACGGCAGCCTAGGGTACGGGTTGAGCGTTTGAACTCACCTCACCATGTCTGCATGGGAGTAAGATGCTCCTACAACTGTATTCGGGTCAATTCCCCCATGAGTCTTTGGTTGCTGCGGCGACGATCGAGTTTTCCAAAAAGGAGAAGCTACCCGTCTTTATTTCTGTTAGTCTGAGGGACAAGAAGAGTGTAGAATATTCAGGCGTGGGGAAATACACACTCGGTCTGGTCTAGCTGGCAAATGGACGGCCGATAGTTAGCAAAACTGCAAGCTCAAAAATATTAAAGCCGGAAAGAGCAGTATCGTTGCAGCAAGGGAATATGATTTTTTGCAAAGTGATATGCAGTTACGGACCGACCTGAACCATCTCCTGTTGAGAGCAAAGGTTGGAATCAGCATAGGATAAAAGGACCGTTTCGTCCGTTGATGAGCCATACCTGCTGTTGGGTCTTTCTACCCGCCATAACTGGATGCCTCCTCAGAAATCTAGAAAGAGAACGGATGGAGCAACCGAGAGAGAATCCCCAGTGCAAGGAAGAGGGGGTGAGGCGAGGGGTATCGTCGTCGTTGTCGCCGTCGTTGTTATCGCTCGTCGTATAAATAGAATGTGGTTGGGCGAGTTGTTTAAGGTTTAACGAAGCAAGGGTGATAGCCCATGTGTTCTATACGGACATGATCTAGTATTGTATTGTCACAATTCCGGCCAAAATGGCCACGCAACTTAGAACATATATACAATCGAAATACCAACTTATCCAGTGTTATAGTGCTGTATGGGGACTGTGGAGGAATACAGCTGTATTGAAGCATTAATTATAGAATATTTTTCTTAACAAAAATTTATGACATCAGTTGAGTTGTAGAGAAAAGAGGGGAAAAGGTCGTTGCAAGGCTTGAACATTTCTTCCTCAATTGTGGTTATCTTTACAATACCATACTTATAAGTGAAGGCAGTTTAAATGACCCAACCCAAATCGGGGCTAGTCTGCCAAGACAACACCTCCACTCGCCCAGGTCCTTTTTACCTTCGTTTCCTTCTCAATTTCATTCGATCGTCAACATTTCACTCTAAACAACAACCAACACAACCTTCATCTCGCCCGCTGGCATCTCTATACGGATCCCGGCTGAAGCTCTAGAGCTCCTTTGACACAAGACATCCCTTTCAGTTCCATTTTATTCCAAAAAGTCACCATGACTGAGCCAGAGGATCTTGAGGAAGATCTCTTCGCTGACCTGTAAGTCTTCTCCCCCCCTTCCTCGTAAAAGAAATATTATGATACGAAGTTCGCAAAATGACCAGAAAGTTATAAATCGCGTGTACTAAGGCTTGTTTGGATAGCTATGATGCAGATGACACTACTCAGAGCGCAGCGGCCTCAGCTGCCCCAGCTGCTACACCCAGCTTTCCAGAGCCCCAAGAGTCGCAACTGCAACCACAAACTGAAGTGAACGCGGAGTCTGTGCCTCCTCCACAGCAACAATCCACCGGCAATGGCCAAAGCTACCATCACGACACACAGATAGAGCAACAGCATCCGACGAATGGGGAACAGCAAACTGGTGTTAACGAGCCAACTCCAATAACACAGGATACTGAGCATCGTGCAGCCAATGTAGAGCCAGGTAGTCATGGAACGGGTATTAAAGAAGATGGGTAAGTTGTATCTGCATATATTCTGAATATCTGCGCTATTATTTTCACCATCTGTCGCTGTAAGAGCATCGAGCTGTCATAAATGCTGCCGTTTGCATGGTGAAATGGGAATCATCGCATTGTGGCCCCGGTTATAAGTTTGATGCCGGAGTGTATATGAGTCGTCGTCTCGATCTCCATTGATATCTACCATGTCTTCGATTGGGATTTGGAACAGTCGCTGCAGAAAATGTGATCTGGCCTTCCATACCATATATATAAAATATATGTACACCTGCCTCACTTTTGAAACCAAAGCCAGGTGAAAGGGAAAGGTGTGTCATCTCTTGGCGGCTGATGGGGACATATGCAGGGTTGTCGGAATTGGGTTGGCTGCGGTATGCTGCTAAGGTTAAGCGACTCGAACCGGGAGTGTTGACACTTGGAAACATGGGAGTGCAGGAAGGGGTATATCTTGAAAGGAGGAAACCCTACATAGTTTCTCGGCAAACCAGACATGATCAGAACAAGGGCATCGGATTATCAGCCACCGCGTTTTGAGGAGAAGTGGGAGTCGAGAGTCTTAGACGAAGGCCATACCAGGCGAGCCAGTTATTCAAGCGACTATAGTGCAGCTGCTACTAAGAGCTTCTTGTCAATATATCTTGATAGAACAGAGCAGGAAGTAGACACTTCGGCTGTCTTGAATTCTGGGATATCGATCAGCATTACCTAGCTTCGGACTTTTAGAAAGGCAGAGAGGATCTTCGGGCAGAAAACAGAAAGAAAAAAAATACACTCGTCACAAAAATATTTTACAACTGCATCTTATACTGGTCAGAGCTGGCCCCAACTGTGCACACTTGCATATCCGACGAAGCTCCTCTGAGCGCTGTGCGTCTTCACTGTCAAACCGTCACCAAACCCCGCTTGTAAAGGAGCTATCATTCCTCACTCAAAACTTTCAATGACTCCTATATACCCACCTAGCTCGGCCCTTACAACCAAGTGTCCCAGGAAAGGAAGACTGTCCGATCAGTTCTTGGTAGTGAAAACTAAAATCGAGAGATCGACCTTCATTTAAGCATCGCGGCAGTGGTGATGGACAGTACTATGTTTCGATGATGCCACAGCAATGATGCCGTGTTTAAGCAGCTCTTTGATTGGATGCTCTTGACATTGTGACATTGTATCTTTATGCATAGTTATTTTTTGATATTTGATTTTTCGATTATAGCACCTGTCCCGTCGATTTTCGCTCTATTATTGAGGCAACCATGACTAATAGATCTATCTATATAGCAAAATGTTCATCGGAGGATTGAATTGGGAGACAACTGATCGTATGTATCCAATCCATCTCCAGAGAACCGGATCTAGAAATTCGTTTTACCTAACTGTGAATTTCTTTTGTTTTACCAGAATCACTCAAAGATTATTTTTCACAATTTGGAGAGGTCCAAGAGTGTACAGTAATGCGTGATGGCGCTACGGGACGATCAAGGGGATTCGGATTTCTCACTTTCAAAGACCCCAAGACAGTGAATACGGTGATGGTGAAAGAACATTATCTGGATGGTAAAATTGTAGGTATCTCCTTTTGTAATCACCATCCTCAAGCGAAGCAAGCGGAGAATACAGCATCAATCTGGCGTGCGTCAAAGCTTCGATTGAGAGCATCTAGGCTTACAAAGGGAACCAAACAGATCGATCCAAAACGCGCCATTCCTAGAGATGAGCAAGAACGGACAAGTAAAATTTTTGTTGGCGGCGTTAGCCAAGAGGCAACCGAGCAAGATTTTAAACAGTTTTTCATGCAATTTGGTCGGGTGGTGGATGCTACTCTTATGATTGATAAGGATAGTGGCAGACCTCGAGGGTTCGGGTTTGTAACATTTGACAGCGAAGCAGCAGTCGAGGCAACCCTCTCTGGACCTTTGGAAATCCTCGGAAAACCTATCGAAGTCAAGAAAGCACAGCCGCGGGGAAACATGCGGGATGATGACGATAGAGGCAGGGGGTCCCGACGTGGCATGAGGGATCAGGATCGCTATAGCAGGGACAACGAACGCTCTGCCGGCCAGGATAATTCACAACAGCAGCAGCAAAACAGCCAGAACCAAGGAGGTCTAACAAGTGGCATGAGCCCGCAGATGATGGCTCAGTACTGGCAGCGTATGCAACAATATTTTGCTTTAATGCAACAACAAATGGCAGCCGCCGCTGTTCAGGGCCAACCTGCCGGAGGCGTAATAGGAATGGCAGGTATGAACCCGGCGATGTTACAGCAGATGCAACAGATGCGACAGATGCAACAGATGCAACAGATGGGCGGAGGCGCGCCTCAATCAGCGATGAGTACTGGCTCTCAGGGTCCCGGTCCTCAAACGATGCAAGGGATGATGAATCCAGCAATGATGCAGCAGATGCAGCAGATGCAACAGATGCAAAACCAGGGCCCGAGTCCGGGTCCTGTTGGGCCTGGGTTTGGAGGTGATGGGATGGGAGGACAGATGGGCAATGCCATGGGACCTGGACCTGGCCCCGGTATGGGAGGTAACATGGGTGGGAATATGGGTGGTGTCGTGAGCGGGGGTCCACCTGGTGGAATGGGCGGTGGCGGAGGTGCAAATATGGGCATGAGCGGTTCGGGTGGTAACTTCTCAGGCCACCGAGGAGGCCCCGGCTACAACGCACAGGAGCAGATTGCCTTTGAACAACAAAAGTACGAACAGCAACAAGCACGCCGGGCCATTGAGTCGACTCGTGGATTTGCACCATATCAACAAGGTGGCCCCACGTCCTGGGAAGGAATGTACGATGATGTCCCGCAGCCGAATATCCCTACCGGCCCACAGGGCGGGGGCAACATGGGTCGAGGCGGTGGTGGTATTGGGCGCGGAATGTCGCCAACTCATAATATGCCGACACAACATGGTGGTGCTAGACCATCTCCTGGGAGCAACAAGAGCATAACGCCACAGCCGCAGAGTGCTCCACCTGCAAACGCGCCCACTGGGCCCCGGAACGCTGGGAAGCCGGGCGCCAATTACCGTGGTGGGGGACGGGGTTCTCACCGGGGATTCCATCCTTATGCTCGCACATGAACAAGAATCTAAAAAGCATGTTGGTATAACCAATCAAGTGCTATGTTAGATCCTTCAATTGTTGCATACTCAAACAAAAGTCTGATTCAATTGATCCAATCGACATGCCATCGACATGCCATCGAACCAATGAGCTCCTCTCATACATGCGGACAAGAAGTTTCTCTGGGCCTGGTGATCATGCACAAGAGTTCTTGAATTCTTCCATTTCAAAAACATATTTGGACAAATAGCAACGAATCTTCACTCTGCATATTCGTCCTTGCTACTTGTTCCACCAATCTACTTAATCTCAATCTGCACACTCACTACGTCTAGTATTGCCTTCAAATGTTTTCTTGCTTTTTGTTACGAGGACGGCAGTGTTTCCCCGTATCCTCTTCTGTTCCAAGGTTGTTTAGTTTTTCCCTGTCTCAGTTTTCGCTTGTTGGGCCGTTGTTCTGATCAGTTTTAAGTTGGTGAAATACTCCAAAATGGACCCTCTGCAAAGAAAAGCAGCAACTGGGGTCCTTACTTATGGATAATTAACTACCTCACTGATGTTTATTATGTTAAAAATCCCCTTAATGTTCATATTCCCTTCTTCATTAATTCGTCTCCTTGCTATTTCATGTTTCCTTACTTCCTGCTCCGTCCTCTCAGCCTTGGTGCGTCAATAACAACCCTCGCCTCCGTTCGCCTCTTATGGGTTTGTTTATTTAATCCTTTTTAAATTCTCAAATTCTTTCGTTCTTTCCATTTCATTTCCTGTGAGGCTTTACCCTCCCCTTTTCATGACTGACATAATCCAAATTTTCTCTTCTTGAGGTGTAATATCACAATCTTAAAAGGACAAAAAAAACAATTTAAAACCCATTAAAAAAAACAGGGCTATTGAATCCATGTTGTTCAAAACCAAATTGAGCATCATGACATTTGCCATTTGGCTCCGGAATAATGTAGTCCTTACAGAAGATATTCTTATTGATGTACGTTAGAATAGTTAAAGAACGTATGTACAGAGACCTCAACATCGAAATTGCCCCTTTGTTCCCGATGGGGCTTTCGTGAGAGGGTATGGCTAGCTATATACAAGGATTGACTGATGGTAAGTAAAAGCACAAGTGAGTTGAAAATGAAAAAACAAATAAAAAGAGAGAGAGAGAGAGAGAGAGAGAGAGAGAGAACGTGCGTGTGATTGCTGCAGCCTCATTAAAAATCAAATAGCGGGAGAAAATAGTTTCGATTAAAAAAAAAATTAGAAAAAAAAAATAGAAAAATTATATCCAGTAGATATGAAATAAGGAGCACGCGCTGTGTACCGTATATGCAACATGACTTGTGGAGAGTGTGTAAGAGAAACAGACATACTGACAATGAGATATGATGGGTCAGAACTCGCTAATTGAAGAATGGCTAACTCTAAAAGAAAAGAGAAAACCAAGCATATGAATTATAGGATCTAACGAAGGGGAGGAAGGGACGAATAATCCGGAGTATGTATGTTTATGGACAGGTTAATGCGGGAATAGTGAATGGAGAAAGGTTCCATGCAGGGTAGAAGGTGGCAGCAAGGGTATACATGTGATGGGGGTGCTGCCCGATGAAAACATACGAACGCAATAAACGAACTAAAGCAAATAGAAATCAACATATATTTCTGCCTGGTCGGAATCGGCAAAGGAAAAAGAGAAGAGTGGTGCTTCACTCAGTACGCTCGACCGACCACTGGTAGCATGCTCTGTCTTTCTGGCGATGGCGACTGATTTGACTGTCGCATGTTCATATAGTTGATGTTGTTGGCATTATTTGAGAGGAGAGAATCCGCACTCTCTGTGTGTATGTGGCGGGGCTTCTCAGGGAAGGGAGAATTGAAATACGGTTCGTAAGGGGCGGTGCGGTTGAAGAAACCGGTATCCTTTCTAGTTGAGGGATGGCGCTGGGCCCTGTTTGAACGTTCCAGGAGGGAGTTTCGTGCATCAAGAGGGGTGAGGGTATCCAAATCTCGGTCCATTGTTTCTGTTGTCTGTTAGTTTGGGTTATATTTTCGGAATTGGAGGTTCCATAAAAGGATAACACTTACCAAGATCTTTCCGTTGCCTTGCTTTGTGCGGGTTCTTCCTGAAGCAAAGGATTATGGCATTCACCGCGATCAAAATGGCAAGGATACCAGTGAGGGCTGATTGAACTGTAATTAAAACGACACCAGTGATAGTTTGTGTCGTCTGTGAGACACCCAATTCTTGGACGAAAACGAGAATGCACACAACGGACAAGACCCGAACGACCTGAATTGATATATTGATCCACTGGCCAGATTTTGCCTCGTAGGGTCTCGACCAGAGAAGGAGAATAAGCATTACTGCCTCCACAACAAGTTGGCCAGCGGTCTGAGCCAGTCCGTTCCCGTCGCCTCCAGCAATGATGCAACCTCTCACGAGCATGTAGATAATGGTGGGGACAAAAATCCACCAGTATCCCTTTTTGTAGTTGTCGTAGAAAAGGCTATACTTCCGCCACGTTTCATGGTCCTCGTACAGTGCGGCGGCGGTACCGTCCACCTGTTTATATTTTCGAGCTATTCTCCATATTTTGAATGTAAAGAACGCAAGAACCGCGGTAAAAATTGCAAGAGTGACGCCTGCGAGGATTTTGGCCGCCCACGAGTCGCCTCTAGTGAACTGGAAGACGCAGTAGAGGGTAAATATGCCGTATAATATGAGAATCAAGTTGGTGATTGTTCTCGCAATTATACCCCAATAATCCTTACGGAAATTTGACAGTTTCTTCGGGAAAGATGTGAACATCGCCCAGACCTCCAAAATAACCTTAAAGAGTAAAATTCCAGTTGCAATAGCCGCAACGACAACAGCGAATATTAACAACACCGTCATGAACGTATTAGCTTCGGGAACTGAGAGCATTTCGACATATCCTTGGATTCCCTTGACAACATGATTCAAGCCACCCTCGTCACTCTCACCGCTGCCGCCAGTGGATGTTTCGTTGATGGAAGTGGTTATCTCTCGCGCAACAAGATGTGTAGAACGGAAAGTAGAGTCCAGAGAACGTTTTCCAAGGCTAGAACTATTTGAACCGTCTTGGAATATGAGTGTGGCATTTTGAAGGAAGGGAAAATTGTTATGTGTCAAATTTCCTCCGGTCTTGTTCCTGAAATTATCAATCGCGATCTGCATCTGGTTCCAGGGAATTAAGCCAGTGCTGAAGGCGAAGTTTTTGGTGAAGCTGCGGTACATTGGCGGATAGTTGACGCTCAGCATGCCACAGGTTGCCATAGTCTGAAACCACCCAACGACCTCTCCAAAGGTTGGACTTGACGTAGCCGCTCCTGGATTCCCACTCGCCGCTAAAGCTGCTGCACCAGACAGAGCTAACGCGGCCGCTGCAATTCCGGCAGCAGCATATGATACAGCGGGAGCTTCCAATGTTTTTCCATTGCCTACCTTGGAGCTGATGCAGGCAAGGGTTTGGCCTCCGTCAATTGCCTTTAGCTGCAGGGTTGCATCGGCCTGGAGATCGGGGACAGCGAATGCGATGGATGGAATTTTACTCGCGAAATCTGAGGGTATTTTCTGTGTTCCAATAGCCGAAAACTGTCCCGCGGGAACTGTAGACAAAAGATGAGCAAGATGAAAAAGAGCATGATAATAACTAGCCGGTATACGTACCAGGGCAAAGTTGCTCGACTTTGGTTTTCTCGGAGCATGGGTTGAAATCTTGTGTGAACCGTTGGCCATAGGCTTCAATAGCCAACACTGCCATCACACTTTGTGACTTGTTGCTGCTCCCTGCCACATCGAATTTGAAGCTATTCGTGGCACGGTCGAACTCAAGATTAATTCTATCGACCCTGATATCAGAGTTGCCCAAACATGTGGTGAAGCCATTGTTTTTTAGGACGTCCGCTCCATCAACATGATTTAAAAGCAGGCCCCAGGCCAGAAGAAGTGTTGCTTTTGGCAAGCGTCGGATCCGCATATCGATTGATGAGTCCGACGCAGGGTAGTTTCGAGTCACGTCAGGTATCACTATTAAGCAGTTAGCCAAAGGTATATATGTCATCCCAAACGAGAGCAGGGTCGGGACTGTTTCTGATGGAGACACCTACTTCAACAGTTATTCAGAAAATTGTCTCTCAGAAGAGGAAAGAAAGATTCGGTGGGTGTGACATCAGTCGGCAGTGGGAATATCGCAAGAAATGGAACAAACGAAATAGAAATGCTGCTAGGATTACGAAAAATTGAAATGAAGGGAAAGGTAGAAGTGAGGATTCGAGACTCCAAGAGGAAAATGATAAGGAAGAATGGTATAATATGAAGAAAACTCCTAGGCAAAGCTGGCGGTATCATTATTTACCGCCTGTTGTTTATTCTATTTTACTCCTGCCCGTGAAGCGAGCCAGGCGTGTACCAGACGGTCTGTAAAGGCTGCATTATCCATTGCCGCCCCCTTTGCTAATGATTGTAACTGAGAATCCACTTTTCACCCCTGCAAGTGTGAAGCCTGCAGCTCCACGTAGTTTTCCTTTCTTTTAGGTTTCCTCTCACGTTTCAGCCCTCCTTGTTGCTGCTAACAACTGACGAGTCTCACGACTTGACACTCGAGGAGCAGGGAAGCTTCAAACTAGCCCAGAGAGCCCTTATTATTGGCAGACGTTGGACCAGTGACAGGCCACGAATGGACACTGATCGGTAGAGACTGGGGAGTCCATGTGCCACAAGGATCCACAACAGTTGGCGTTTGGTGTGCTTCGCCTTTGAGACATAAAGACGGGATGTTGGGTTTGAAATATTGTTGTGGGTTGTTGCTCTTCTCTTTGAATATTGGTCTCAACGCCATGCCAAACTTGTGAATATGTTCCCTGTGAGATCATATCTGTCCTCAATGTATGTGTGTTTGTAGGCAAATTAGGATCTGGGTCGTTTATTAAACTTCAGCGGAATTCACCACTGCCTGGGCCGTTTTCAATATCGTTGTCAACATTGGGGGGACATTAACTTGTGCTGGCCGCTCAGCTGCTATTGAACCCGATGGGGCAAACTATTTCAAACGTTAGCAAATCAGAACCAGGCCAGGTACCCACAGTTGTCCAGATCCTTGGCCTGAATTCTGGAATAGCTTCAATACAAAAGGAACCGGGAGGGTCAAAGCCACTCCACTTCCTTTGGGGCTGCGTGAGCTTGAACTTTGTCCTATGATCTCTCTATCTTGCAAGCCGCAAGAGATTCAGCCTTGAATAAACTCATAGCAAGTTTGCAGTCATCTCGATCTCATGGGGCTATGTATTCTTTCGGCTCACAAATGCATAGAAACTTGCTGAAAAAATTTTGTGCATATGGATTTTGTAGAAGCACGCATGGGTGGATCCTTGAGGCTCTTCCGTCAAACATCCTCCTATCTTGTACCCGTTGCTTGCTTCTACCAACTCCCTCTCCACCAACAGTGGGGCACACGGCACGACCCTTAATAGAATATTTTGCTTGGGACAAGTCCATTTAAGTGCCAACCCAGATCATTTCAATACAAATATTTCATCAAACGTGTCTCTCAGGGGAAGTGAATTCTTTTCCTAGGAAGAATTCTCTGTATAAAAAAACCTAAAAACAGCATCAGCAAAGGCCTCAATTAAGGCATGCCAACAAACAAAACCCGCAGCAGAAGTTTCCATTCGCTCATCCTTCTCGAGAAATACCACGGGCAACCACGTTATTCCTCCGATAGCTACCTACCTACTAATGTATATGCCGTGTATACACAAACCAGGCTAACCATGGTTCACGGTCCGGGTAGAAACAGCGAGAGAACCACTCATCATGGTAATTTCTTATCGAACAAGTATGGATGCCCCTCCCTTTCTTTAAAGGGAATTCATGGAACCTTGCTCTGGCCACCCGCCAGCTTAGCATGTTGTCAAACGCCCGCAGCCGTTACCTGCTGTGGCTTTCACTCAGGCACAATTGGACCAGTCTGTCCGCCAGCCAGGAGCAACTGGACTTGACTAGAGAATTAAATCATCCATGTTCCGGAAGGAATTGCTTTCTTTGATTGGCAATTGTGGGATTGAAACAAACATGAGGGAATGATTGCAAAGAGCATTCCGTAAACTTGTAATTAAAAAATTACACATTTACCTTCCAGTGTAAAAAACTGCAGATATCAGCGCATCTCCTGGTGGAGAATGCACAAAGGGACCGTTGAAACAAGAAAATAGAATGGCCCATATTTATCGACATATGCAGTCATATGTATGTATGTATGTATGTATGTATGTATGTACAGCCCCCATCCCAAATTCTCCCCAAAAAAGCGGTCGTAAATTATCATTGCTTTTGCGCGGCGGCCTTCTCCCGCATCATCGCACGAGCACTTCTGCTTCCTCCAAGCTTCGGACCGCGTAAAATATCGGGCTTGGTGGTCTTGGAAGTCTTAGGTCGGGCCCCACGACGTCGGGAATGAATGGCATCCAAAAAGTCACGACGGAACTTCTCTGCGATGCGGTCGTCTGCTGCCTGGTCGTCATTTTGCTCAGTGACAACTTCGGGCTCATCGTAGACGTCGACTGGAAACATTTGGGACAGGATGTGTGTTAGTGTTCATGTCTAGGAAGATGGATATTTTATGTACAGTCAGATATAGTTGACAAGTAAACTCACGTTTACTCTCCCGAAGAACCTCCTCAACAAGCTTATCTCGCCGGATATCTTCGCTATTGCGCCTCTTCCTACCACGCCAATTCTTTGCATCCTTGACACCTGGTCGGGTTTTCTTCGAACCGGCATTCTTCTCTTCCTCATCCTCGTCAGGTACCTCGTCACCCGCAAGCCTTCTCGTAGCTGCTTCAGTTCTTTCGATGTTACGCAGCTTGGCGTCCGGCCCCAAGTCGATCTCATGCAGTTTGCCCAAAGAAGCTGGCTGGCGTTGGGGAAGCTGGAGATCTGACATAGGACGAATGAGACCGCTCTGCGCGGTGGATTCGGATGTCTGTTCATTACTACCAGAGGCGTTGGCATTGTAGTTGTATATCTGATGACGTTTAGCCATCTCTGACTCTATATACGCCATCCTTAATCTTGTTAGCCGTTCACTACGTCCTCCCAAAGAAAAAAAAATAACGGGCAGCCGTTATATTAGCGTATCGGAGAAAACGTACATATGCTTATCCATATCTACCTTCTGGCCTGTATGGGCAACGAAGCGATCTGAGATACGTCGTATAACCGTATCTTCGGGGTCCTGGGTGGCAGAATCAGCCTCTTGTAGAGATTCGCCATGGTCATCAGCGGCTGGTTTGGACGCGGGGGTAAACTCGACGCCGCCCCTTCGAGTTTTGAGAGCTTTTCGACGACGGAATATGTCTGTAATGCCAATGTCGGTTTCCTGGGGCTCATTTGGATGGGTTTCTGGCCCTGCGCTGTCTTGTCCTGCGGGGAGGCTGTAGGAGACGACCTCAGGATCTGGGGATTGTTGTGGTGGCTGAGGTGCGTCTGGCGATGCTTCATGGCGTTTGCGCAGGAATTTTCTTCTCTTGACTGGCCTGAATCGCGGTTCTTCAATTTCCATGGTCGACATAGCTGTATAATACCGCGAATATTAGTGTTGAGTATGTTCTTCGTAGTTGGTGGTAGTTGAGAGTAAATAGTTGGAGGTGGGTGGATGGTTGTTGAAGGGTGGTTCGGTTCCAGACATGAGCAATTAAACATTTAAGTCAAAGGAACAACCACCAACATCTATCATTTTTGCCCGCCACAAACAACTTACTTGGGACTTGGAAGACAACGCAAATAGCTCACCACACCTGTTCTTCATATCTCAAGCGCTACTTTTCAATTCGTCCCTTGCATGCGATTGCACTTTCAGAGGCTCTTCCTCCGCGCAGAGTGTGTGTCGGCATTGCGCTGAGCCGCTGCTTGCTTTGCTCTCTCACTGAGGATTTCCAGTCTCGCACACACGTTACCACACAATACTGCAGACCAAGATGAGCTCCCAGGTACCTCCTGCAGCTGCTGAATATGGCGGAGGTATGTCACGCGCCTTTCCTGCGCTTCCAAGCTGCTCCAAATATCCAAAACACAAACACTAATTCCGTAGACGAGGTGTCCGCAATTATCCTCGACCCGGGATATTCATCCGTACGCGCTGGCTTCGCAGGTGAAGACACTCCAAAATCCGTTATCCCAACCTTCTACGGCAAATACTCTACAGATTCCCAGGAAAAGTACATCTATGGCGACAGCATCTATGTTACCCCGCGGCCAGGGCTTTCCATTCACAACCCCATGGGGAGGGAGGGGTTCGTGGAGGACTGGGACATGGCAGAGAAAGTGTGGGAATACTCATTCACATCGCGACTGACGGGAGCTAAGTCCGGGAACCCGATGTTTAATGGACTAAATGACGTTACCAATGGCGACCTCCCCATGGATATGGATGTGGTGGAGGCGGAAGAAAGACCGCTGGCTGATAGTCCGCTCCTCATGACGGAGTGTGGCTGGAATCCTGTCAAGGCGCGAGAAAAGACGATTGAGATTGCAATGGAGAAATGGGGGAGTCCAGCTTTCTACCTTGCTCGGAATGGGTCATTAGCTGCGTGCGTCTTTAATTGTTTTCGCCTCCTCCATATCCTCTCACATAAGATGGTCTGTACAGCGCTAACATATGTGTCTTTTCTAGATTTGCTGCGGGCAAAGCCTCAGCCTTGGTCGTTGATGTTGGTGCATCAGGTGTCTCCATCACCCCGGTCCACGATGGCCTAGTCCTGAAACGTGGCGTCCAGCACTCCCCGCTCGGGGGCGATTTCATCTCATCTCAGATACGTGCACTCTTTAAATCCCACACCCCTCAACCCATAACCATCACCCCACACTATCTCGTCGCTTCCAAGACAGCCGTCGATGCTGGCCAACCTGCCCAAGCGACCTACAGGACAGTTACTCCTGACCAGGCTCCAGATCCATCTTTCCGTCGCCTGCTAGAGGATCGAACGATCTCTGAATTCAAAGAATGCGTAGTCCAAGTGTGGCCGGGCCCACATTCGCTATCCAGCACAGGCCCTAACGGTGTCTCCAACGAAGAGATTGCGCGGGGGAATCCAGGTCGCCCCTTCGAGTTCCCCGATGGGTACAACCAAGTGTTTGGCGCAGAGCGATACCGGGTCGTAGAATCTCTATTCGATGCACAAGCTGCTATCCCGGATCCAGACTCAGATTTCCCCGCACCAACCGTTGCGCAGACAATACCAGAGCTAATCCGTAGCTCATTGAACCAAGTTGACGTCGATATCCGGCCACACTTACTTGCAAATGTTGTCGTGACCGGGGCGACGAGTCTGTTGTATGGGTTTAATGATCGGTTGAACTTTGAGCTTATGAACATGTTTCCCAGTCCGCGGGTGCGAATAACTGCTGCTGGTAATACGGCGGAAAGGAAGTTTGGGTCGTGGATTGGAGGCAGCATTGTTGCGAGTCTGGGGACGTTCCATCAGATGTGGATATCGAGGAAAGAGTTTGAAGAACATGGGCCGAATATTGTTGAGAAGAGGTGCAAATAACGAGATTAATTATTTTTGTTTCTTCTTTATTGCTTTTGTCTCCTGAAATGTACTTTTTTTTTTTTTTTAATTTCCCTTTTTTTCCCAGTCACTTTCTATTACAAGAAGTGTGCTGCTGTTTTTTGTATGGTTGGCTTTTCTTTCTGTGAACGGGCTTGGCTGCGATGCTTAGTTAGTTATCAGGCGGAGAAACAAAACAATGAATGTATGGTTAGATTTTGTAATACGAATATGATCTCTAGCAACATCCATCCCCCCCCTCGACTTAATGCTCTGATATCTAGCTAGGTTCTATACCCGGGAATGCTCTATTCATTTCTCTACTCCAATCAGGAAGTATAAATCTACACACGAAACCACATGACCGCGCTGCCTTACTAATCGCCGACACGCCTCGCTCACGCGCCGCCGAATTGGAATCTCAGCCGGCGCGCCGCCTGGAGACTTATTGCGCCCGCTTTTCCGAAATTCTTAGTTCTGAGATAGCATAAAGGGAGCAAGAATCCCCCCGACCCGAATGCTTCGAAATTTTGTGATTTCCATCCTTCGTAGTTTTTCCGTTCGTTCTCCTTCCTGTCATTATACGTCCTCTGATATCCGCAATTTCCCCAATTTCACGCCAGCCATTCTTCTTCAAAACATGTCTACTACATCCCGTAAACGGGATGCCAACCACCTAAGTGGCAGTGACGGTGCTGCTGCTGAAACAGATGTAAAGAAACCAAAACCTAACGGGAACATCGCCTCTTTCTTTGGGGCACAAACGGACAAAAACTCCGCTGCCCCCGGTTTAACGGATATTGCATCCTCCCAGCCAGCAGCGAAGTTCAACAAGGAAAAATGGGTTGCTGGCCTCACAAAAGAGCAGAAGGAGCTGCTTCAGCTTGAAATCGATACCTTGGACGAGAGTTGGCTGGCCCATCTGAAAGACGAGGTGCTGACCAATGAATTCCTGAACCTCAAGCGGTTTTTGAAAAAGGAGGTTGCGTCGGGTGCTAAGATCTTCCCGCCATTCGACGAGGTGTATTCATGGTATGTATATGGATTTGCATATATCAGAGCTCTCCAGATAATCATCTTTTGTCGAAACTAACACCCCCTTGTCCAGGTCCCGCCACACCCCCCTCCACACCGTCCGCGTGGTAATCCTCGGCCAGGACCCCTACCACAACCACAACCAAGCGCACGGCCTCTGCTTCTCCGTCCGCCCACCAATGCCCGCACCCCCATCCTTGAAAAACATCTACACAGCCCTGAAAAACGACTATCCTTCCTTCGTCAAACCCCCCAACAACGGCGGCCACCTAGCCCCCTGGGCAAACCGTGGCGTGCTCATGCTGAACACCTGCTTGACCGTTCGTGCGCACAATGCCAACAGCCATGCGAACCAGGGCTGGGAGAAGTTTACGCAGAAGGTCATTGACATCGTGGCGAAGACGAGGACGCGTGGGGTTGTGTTCTTGGCCTGGGGTAAGCCAGCTGGGAAGCGGGTTGCACATATTTTAAAGGATAAGGGCAAAAGGCATTGCGTGTTGCAGTCTGTGCATCCTAGTCCGTTGAGCGTGCATGGCGGATTTGTGGGTTTATACGTTTTATTATTTCTCACCTTTTTTTTTTTTTTTTTTTTTTTTTTTTTCGTCTATCTTTTTTTCGGGACATGCTAACACAGTTCAATTCTTTCAGCTCCAATGTGGCCATTTCAAAAAGACCAACGAATGGCTTAGTGAACGGTACGGGAAGGACGGGATTATTGATTGGAGTCTTGTTGACGAGGAATCTTCCGTCATAACCTCAACCTCAACAACAACAACAACAACAACAACCGCTGAAGCTGAAGTTAGCATTGACAAACAAACCACGACTATATCTTCCATTGTCAAGGCCACAGACATTGAAGCCGAAGAAAAAAAGAAGACTACTATCAGCGTGCCATCATCATCTTCGTTGCCAACGCAGGGGGATGAAGATGATGCGGATGCATTAGAGGCGCTGGCGGAAGCGGAGTGTGAGCTTTCTGATTGAAATATCTAGCATAGGATGAATTTTTTTTTTTGATTCAAGAGAGGTTGGGATGCAATGTGCGAGTTGTCCAAATATTCCTGCTTCCTACCAATCTTGGTATACATGTGCTCGCTGTGAGGGAAAGCAGAGCCGTTTGAAACGGTGTTGACTCGCAAAGTTTTTTCTACCCTTTATTTTAATTCATTTTTTCTTGTCCTAATACTCTCCCTTTGTTTTTCATTTGTTTCATTTCTTCAGCTGAGCTGATTTTTTTTTCTTTTTCTTTTTCTTTTTCTTTTTTTTTTTATTTTATTTTCCCCCCTACACTGTCTTGTTCAGTCAGTTGAGGCTGCATATATGTGCTGAATCTGGAATGGATAGAGACCTACCTCATAGAACAACACTATCCCAATGTTTATAGGGATTCATTCATCAGCATGAATACCCCCCCCTTACCCCCCTTACCTACCTGCCTAGTTAGCAATAACGTAGACTCGTTAATCATGAGATATTTCAGACCCTGGCTGGACCCGTTCGAATCAGCCTCCGATGTCCTCAGGGCAATTCCATTTCCATAAACAACAGATCTAGGACTTTCTGGATTGTCAAGTGAAGGGTTTCCGATGGCTCTACCAGGTAATGAGATGGCAGACGGCAAAGGCAGATTCTTATTGATTGTGGGACCAGTGTAGAATCTCGAACTCCTGGGTCCGGGGGTAGAATTTTATTTTAACATAAAAAATAGAGAAGATATATAGAGACAAAGCACCTAAGTTACCAGCACGCATAATGCCTCACAAAAATCCTATACTTTTCCCCTTTGTTATTTAGACTCGCTGTAGAAAATAGCTACATGAAGATCTTTTAAATCTTTTCAAAACAAAGCAAGAGCACACAAGAAAATGAAAATTACAGCTCCTCATGACGAGCACCTTCAGCAGCAGTGTCCTTTGGAGCTGCTGAGGATGTAGTCTTGGTCTCCTTCTTCTCATCTGCAGCTTTGGTGGATGAAGAGCTGGGAGAGGCAGGGGTTTCAGTGACATCATCATCCTCCGTGACCTTCGACTCATCATAGGCGTCGACCTTATGCTTGCCATTGTCCCGGACAAATTCAGCGAGACCTTGGATGGTTCGCGAACCCTGGTAGTCGAATGGCTTGTCCTTGGAGCCGGCGGCGAAGAGCTTGACGGTTGGGAAACCCTGGATCTCTTCTGGGACATCGTTGGCGGTGGCATCGATCTTGGCGATGGTGACCTTGGCGGCGAACTCGGGGTTGTCGGCGTAGAGTTGGGCAAGTTGCTCGTATTTAGGTGCGAGGCTGCAAGAGATGATTTTTGTTTAGTAAACGGGAGATATGGTTTGAAACTAATGCTGGGAGAGACTTTGGGGAAGTGATAACCCACGCTTTGCAGTGGCCACACCATGGGGCGTAGAACTCCAGGAGAACGTCCTTGTCGTTGTCAATGACGAGTTCCTGATAGCTGTGGGCAACGACAACTGTGACTGGGCCCTCCTGCTTCTCGGGAATAGGCTCGGACTTGATGCTAGGCTCAACCTTGCCATCCAGGACATCCTGGACGAACGTGGCGATAATGTCATGGGTGATCTTCAGCTCCTGGTCGAAGGGGTATTTCTTGTTGTTTACGGGGTCCTGGATGGCGAAGGCTGGGAATTTGTCGACTTTAAGGTTCAAGTTTCCGGCATGAGCTCCGAAAGTTTTAGCGTCAATGGTGGCAATGTTGATGGAACCCCTCTGCTTTTCCGCGATGGGTTTCAACATCTTGCTGAATTCCTCACGCTCCTCGGGGGTTTCAGCGAAGATGTAGGCAAGTGGAATGCCAGCCTAGGACATTGTCAGTACTGAATACCAGCAGTATCTCAAGGGGTTTTGCGTGTGCAGCTCTCCAACTCACCTGGATATAGCGAGCATAGGTATGTGGTCCAAGCTCGCCAATAAGAGGCGTGCTGGAAAGCTTAATGAAGCTGGTGATCTGTTCTTGAGTAAGTTCGCCACTATAAACAGCTTTGCCCTCGTCGAAGTCCTTGTACATGACAATCGATGGTTGCTTAACGTCTTCAGCAGCGGCCAACTTGGCATCATCTGTGGCACCAAAGAGGAATTCGTCACGAAAGGCCTCAGCCAGAGAGGTGAAGGTTTCGTTCGTGGCCTTGTCGTCCTGGGCGAAGAATCCGATAATTGTAACCTTGTCCAGAGTCTTCACATCCTCTAAGTTATCGACGGTTACGACGGTGACTGCTGGAAGGGACTGTTTGACCATATATGACGTGATGCTAAGAAAGAGAGAGGGGTCGTGTGTTAGCTTAACCTGCCTGCATCAGCTACGGAATTAGCGAGGGCAGCAACATACGATGCGGACTTGCGAGGTCCAGAGTACGGTTTAACCTGTTCCAATCCACGGAATACCTTCAGCGTGGGGTAACCTTCCACGCCGTACTCTTGACAGAGCTCAACCTCCTCGGTGCAGTCAACCTTGACAAGAGGAATTTTCTTCTCCTTGAGTTGGGTAGCGGCAGTTTCATATTCGGGGGCAAGAGCCTTGCAGTGGCCACACCACGGGGCATAAAACTCCGCCAGGACTAACTCATGCTCTTTGATAAAGTCCTTGAATGTGGACCCGTTGAGGGCATGCACATCCGATACAGCAGCCTCATCAGCAGCAGAAGCCATGGCTGCGATACCCAGGCCAGCTAGGCCAAAGGCAAAATGTCTAAACTGCCGCATGGTCAAAGAGTACCAGGCAGGAAGACACGGGGTTCTATGGGATTTAAAAAATATTAAAAATAAAACAATAAAACAATCGACGTGGTGTAGGAATGCGGAGAGAGATAGATAGATAGATAGATAGATAGATAGAGAGAGAGAGAGAGAGAGCTACGGAAGAAGGACGCTTATGGGATGTCCCAGTGTGAAGCGACAGCAATACAAAGAAGAATCAGCAAGGATGGCGAGGAGTTTGAAGCCGATACAACCACAGTGGAGAAGGAAGCTGGTGTCAACCCTGGTCGAGAGTTGAGAAACTGGAGACTGTCAGTTGTCGAAAAAGAAATAGGATGGGGGAAAAGGGTGGGTTCTAGCGAATATATATTATTATTATTATTATTACCTTCTACCCACGAACAAAGCACAAAGGCCAGCTCAAGCCGAGATGAGGCCAGTTTGTTCTTTCCAGCCGAAAGACTATTAATAATGCGGGGACGAGAATACCGAGCCGCTAAACCGCTCCTGGCCAATAGTGGGGGACGCAGCGCTTGAAGGTTTTGGTGGATCTCGGTAACTAGCGCCCGAGATTTGCGGATTAACTCAGCTGCTGCTGCTGCTGCTTGCTGGCAACCCCCCCCCTTTCCGCTTTTGGGACGGGGGGCCCTGTCGGGTCATGTGACCTCGAGTCCTTGCCTTCTGCGGCTCGCGCGAGTCATACTGGCTGCTTACTCAGCGCCTCTTGCCCCTGTTCTTTGTGGATTCAAACGTCCAAAACCTCTCCAACAGTTATTACTCTTTTCTCAAGCATTGCTAACTCATCCTTTTCTCTGCACCCCAAGAACTGTCCGTAACGCTGGACCCCCCCCACCCCCCAGGTCTTGCGCGGGTTTCCTCTCCCTCTCTCCTTGGTTTGCCTATGTCATCCCATGCGCTGTGACCTTCTTTAGAGCCCGCGATCAATCTCGGAGCATCCCTTCCCGACCCCCATTCAGTTCTATCCTCCCTTGGTCTCTCCTCCATCGTCCGCTTTGTCAATACAATCCTGTGTCGCTGTGTTGCCCACTGCGCATACATCCATACGTGCCTTGAGGTCGGCGGGCCGCCACTTGGGCGCGCCACTTTGACGTCGCTCGCTCAGCAATGCCGGGTATCATCATGGATGCTGTTAACGCGAGTGGACCAGGGCGGGAGACCACCCGGCATGACGTTCTTCAAGGCGCTGTCTCAAACACTTCCCTCCCATCGCAGAATAACGGAAACTATTCAAACGGCCCTTCTCATACGAAAGATGCTACCAAACCCACCGCCAACCCTTCACTCGACGATTCCTTGCCGCTTGAGTTGGTGCATATCAGTCAGGGATTCTTTCCCCTCGGTCAACTCATCAATCGGGCCGCCCAACAGTGCTGGAATGACTTGACTGATCTCATAGCTGAGCTGGCCGATCCGCAAACAACCACTTTGAATTCCTCTTCGCATGCCGCATCCGCATCCACATCCGCATCCGCATCCGCATCCGCATCCGCAGCCGCAGCCACGGCCACGGCCAACGGGAAGTACCCTTCCAGCCAGTCCGCCGATAGTGCCCAGAAGAAATTGCGTATTCTAGAATTCGCCCAGTCGAAACGGGCTGATTTCATCAAGATTCTCGTGCTTTCTCAGTGGAGCCGGCGCGCAGCGGATGTTTCCAGGCTCATAGACATTCAGGCTTTCATTCGAATGAGGTATGATTGCTATAACGGCGCCATATTGTCTATTGGCGAGATGAAGCGCGACTTGATCAGAGCTCAGACTGCCAATCCGGATCTCGCGATGGCTTTGGAGGTTTTATCAACTGGCAAAGTTGCTGCTATGAATGAGGTAATCTTGACCTTGGTCCGCCGCCATCCCTTCTGTAGCTCGTCAATGCTGACTGACCATTTGAACCTTGCCCTCCTTCTGTCCAGTGTTCATTTATCCCCCCAAAACCCCTGACGCCGAAAATGATGCTTAAAACATTGAGGAGAATTAATAAGGCGATCCGGACAAGGCTCGTACTACATGACCAAGTCCCCGCTGCGTTTACAAATTATGTGGTCCATGATGGCAGGGTCACATTTAAGGTTCCAACGGAATTCGAAGTCGATTTGTCCATTGCGCAAGAGGATCGTTCCTCCCAATTTTTCTTCGTCGATATTCGATTTCTCTTCTCCCCTTCGCCGCCCAAACCAACAGGAAGACTCTTGGATGAGCTCGACAATAGAGTAAATGCCATGCTCATGCACTCTGGCCTGACAGGCTGTTTTAACCTGTTGCATAATTTGGTGTTATCAAACAAAATCACCATACTGTTTCACCAAGCGATCGAGCTTGCTCGAGGTCCCTGGCTTGATACTTTACGTGTGGAGGTTTTGCATCGCACTCTAGTCGTCCAATACTGGATTAATAGACCTAGACCGAAGAGTTGGATCGAGATCGGTATAAAAAGTGGCCGCCGCAAGATTCAGATACAGGATTGTTCGACTCCGGCATCGCCCCTGCTAGGCTTGAGATGGATGAGGGACGGCAAGGAAGTACAGTCGAAGTGCATCAAATTTGACCTGGAACTTCTTTCGATAGAAGCCATCCTCCGCAGCGTTATCGCTCTGCATATTTCATACCTGCTCCAATCAACATACGCCGGATTATCGCAAGGACGTCTCTACGCCAGTGGAGCGCTTTCTGTCAGCCTTCAAACATCCATGACGGAGCCAGGAGACTGTTTCCTTGACGTTCAGCTCACAAAGGGCCGGGACCTCAGAGTGATGATTGAACCGGTTTCTGGAACTATCATATTCCGCTCAACACCTCTACTATTAAACCGTCATGACATGGATCGAAGTTCCGAAAAACCTGTCGTCGATGATATAGTCTTTCGCATCTCTCGTCTTCGATCAGCAGCTGCCGTAGATGAAGTTGAATCATTGTCAAGCGCGTTTGGCTGGCAGACAGTGAACTCACGCGACATCAGAGGCGAGGACCTTCGGCGTATTTTCCCTGCGAATACCCTTCGATCTATCCTTTTCTTTCGCAAATCCTGGGAACGCAATTGGGGTGTTGCGTATACCTGCAGTATGGACGGGGATCATTGGTGGGTTGTTGAGTTACGTGCGCCATCAACCCAAAAAGGCCCCTTCTCTCCTCAATCCGCTCGAATGGTAACCGGTAGATATGGGGGGTCGCCGCATCGGTTGAACTACGGTTCCTTTGGCCAATTGGATCATGCTCTCTCGGGGGTGCTTGCTATCCACGCTAATGCTCGCTGTCTCTCGGAGCTTCATGGAATCCACCATTTCCCTTCCCTGTCAAATCTCGTTTTGGGCCCGCACCTTCATGTCCCAAATATCTTCATAAGGTTCCGGACCGTCTCCCTCCCACCCGCGCTACAGATTTCTCCCCCTATCGCAAACAATGGGAAACCCCCAATTAAGGACACGATCCGCCTATCATTCCGGGGTATCGATCCATCATCACAGTGCGCCATAATGATAGCTTATGGGCATTTCTCGAGAGAAATAAAAGACATTAGTCTTCTAGCCGTTCGCCTCGACCGAAGCATAGCATTCCAGCCCAAGGGTCGTGCGTTTGCGATGCGCTTCCTGACTCCCGTAGGCCAACCCGTAATTATCCAACTCCTCGCCCGCCTACAACAGCTAGAACGTATAATCTCCACCCTCGAGATCCTGAAACGAAAGTCTCTGAAACCACTATCGCTCACACTCACCCGCGTAAGGTTTGCATATGCAGCAGAAGAAAACGCTCGCGCCAGCATCAATTTCAACTACCACGAACAAGCCATACTATCCGACATCGATTCCATCACACGATTACCTAAACAAACCCCGCTCATGATCCTACGAACAACCATGGACTTCCACCCTCAAAGCCCCCACCGTCGCATCAAGGAGTCGTTAACTGCTATACTTAACGGAACACTGCGGCCCCGAACGTTTACATGCGTAGACACCGTCCTGCAATTGCTCATCATTACACTACCAGTCCTCAAGGCTTTGGATCACATTTCCATCGACCCACATACCGATCTACCAGGAAACTCCAGACTCCAGATCATCTCCCGAAGCTCAAAGATATTCCACCTCCGCTACCCCTCGGTCCGCTACCGATTCTGCATATACGCTGCCCTACGGCGGGATCGTCTCGTCTGGGTGTTGAGGGATGTCGCCAATCCAGCGGAGAAGGACGCCCAAGAGCCTCTGGAGGGAAAGTTGAGAGAGACCATTTATAGTGCCCGCCGGGATGGATGGCAAGGGATGGGTAATGGTGCCCTTGCTGATTCGGAGAGCGTTGGAGCTCTCCTCTCCGCGCTGCATGGGGTTATGACGGATTATCTTTCTTCCATGACGGGTATTCCGGTGGGGGAGGGAGGTCCTAGTGGTGGTGGCACACGCCCGGATGGGGAGAAACCCGTTCATAATAATTTCGCTGGTAAAGATACGGATAGTAAATCAAAGCCACAGTCGGGCCAGGCGGGTATGACGGGCTTGCAGGGACATCCTGGTAGTATGGGATGGACAAAGGGGCTAGCAGCAGCAGCGACACAGACGACAGATAATAGCGATATTGGGATGGGAGGGCACGCGCCATCCGATCTAGGAGCGATGAAGCAGAAGCTGACGAGTGCTCAGAATAAGGATAATAGGAATATCGCCGCGAGACCTACCGTCAACGGAAATAATAAGGGCATCAGCAACGGCAACGGGGTGGCTTTTATCACGATTGACTGATTGAATTTCTTTTATTTGAAAATTCAAATATTCCTTTTTTCAGGTACAGAAGGTGAGGGAATCTGATAAATAAACTGGGATAAAAAGGGTTGTCATGGGTATTTTTCTTTCTTTCTTTCTTTCTTTCTTTCTTTCTATGCCTCTGGGTGCTCTGATATCAGCGTCTTTGGCGTCTTCTGCGTCTATTGGTGCTCATTTTTTCTAGTTTCCATTTTGTTTTCACTCTATGCGCATCAGCGAGCTTGCAACGGTCCTAATAATCTCAGATTGCACTTTTGATTATAGATAGCTTTGCCTATCTCTTCCCCCTTACCCTCCCCCCCCTGCTGTTTTTCTGTCAAATAGCTAAAGGCCCATCCTGGATTATGGTGCTGTGAAGTGTAATTTCTTGTTATTATGTTTTCATATCACGTTAGATACCAACAACCTTCAGAGGTGACTGAGCATTCTACATGGATATGTTTTCCCCCTAAAACTTACCAATTCTCCACGTATAAATGCCCAAAGAAGTAGATAAATATATATGCAAAATACTCCACAAATCTCTGATCGACAGTGTCTAAGTAAAAATAATCCCAGCCATTAAAGAAAATCCGGAACGCAGCCCAAAACCCAAAACCATCATCCCTCTAGAGGCTCAGAAAACAGGAAAATAAGAAGAACTACACTATTCACATGAAAAATATTCCCTTCAGAACCGCTCCTCTTTCACTCTCCCCTTCTTCTTCGCCACGTCATACTCGATCCATCTTACCAGACTCCTGCTCCCTTCCGGAATCAGCCTGCCAGGATTCATAACGTGGCACCCCTCATAAGTAACTGCAAAGGGTTCCGCATCGGAATCTGCTAGGACCATAGCAGTCGGTAAGGGGTACAGATGTAGGACAGACGCATAGTCCCAGAGGACTGGTCGGATGTGTTGTGGGAAAGGGGAGAGATAGCTCTGGTCCAGGATCGTTTTGACGAGTTTTCGGGATGCGTGGAGATTTGTTTGGTTTGTGGTTGAGGTTGGTAGTGGCTTTCCTTGGTTGATTTGCTTTTGCTGCTGCTCTTGCTGTCGTGTTTCATCTCCTTCAGGAGGCGGAGGTTCGTTATGATCTATGTACTCTAGATCCATATCCTTATCTGTTCCTGTGGGCTCCTTACGGGTCTGTGGAACCTCTTGAGGCTTTTGAGGTTTGAAAACAATCGAGGTACGTCCTAGTCGCTCAGAGATGTCATCTCTAAACACGACGAGTTCATGGACGGGCCCGAAAAGGCTGAGCCGGGTGGGGTTGGATGTCCAAATCGCTTGTCCCGGCGTGTGGCGTGAATTTGGTAGTTGATGTACATTATTGGCATTAGTGAAAGCACGTTTCACTCTAGACGTGAATAGATCAGGGATAGCATCCCTAGGGGATGTTGTGGAAGCACCGGCCGAGTAGGCGGATGCCCAGGGGTCATTGTCCCCTGGAACAAACACAAATGTCGAATTTTGCAACAGACGTGGATATTTTGATAGGACAGAAGCAAGAATATCGAAGTATTCCTTGCATTCGATGCTGCCGCTGCTCCCTCCGCCTGACATGAGAGCATGTTGGAGGAAGTTGCCGATCAAAATAAAAACCAACGGTATTTGATGCTCTGGAAATGAGGTGTAACTTTGGAAGACATATGAGAGAGCTTCCACCGTCTTTGGAACGTCCAAATTGACCTCACCCATTACAACTATTTGCTTTCTGACCTTTTCCTGCTCCTCCGGCTGGCCCTTATGGAGACATATCTTTTCAATTTGTCGCATGCGAGGGCCTCTGCTGCGCTCACTCCCAACACCCAGGAAGTCAACCCAACCAAAACCGCCTTCGACGGTCATATCACCATCTGCAACTCGATGATGGGCTGCGCCAGATGAAACTTCTCTGCGCTCACATGGAGGTCCACCAACAGAAGCTACAATAAACTTTCCACCAATCGTTCCGCCAACTCCACCGGACCCCGTCAATGTAGAACCACTAACGACCTCCTCTTCTCTGTAAACACCGTCGGCAAGAACTATCATTCCTGGTGTGAACCATGCCCCATCTTCTGGCACAGCCCGAGCGTCCCTGATATCAAGGGTTATGCTTCCCGTCGGGTCTGATATGGAGAGCTCTCCGGCTGGGGACACTGCGAGCAGACCGAGAAGTAAATGCGATGTGCCAGACCTCCCCAGAAGATTCGCAATGGAAGTGACTTTATACGATCGGCTTGCACTGGAGTGTGATGAATTAGACTGCTGAAGAGGTATTTGAAAGGCTTCGTTGCGCAGCAGCCGCTGGTAAATGAGATTGTATCGATCTCTGAAAATATTGGCTCTTTGAGACGCAGACGGGAATAGGGAGGGTGGGGTTGTAATAATATCAAAATTCTTTTTGTTCACGTTATACACAGGACGATTCTGTTCGAATGCGCTAACAACCCTAATCCATCTTCTGGCATCATGCAATGCACTATCCTCCCCTATCTCCAACCTTTCCTCATTGGAATCTGGCTTCCCTTCCCTCGTACGACTCGTCCTACTTTGCCCACCTTTCCCAGAGACTAATGTTGCAGCTTCTGAATCCTTGGATGGTTCCCAAATGATAACTCTCCCACCATTCATCCTGGGTTCCAAATTATTAAGTATTGATTTCAGCAGATCAGCGTGAGTTCCGCCGTCCTCGACGATTACTCCCCCCCCCGCTTTCTTCCATGTTTTCGCGATCTCGTCAAGGACAAGCTCCGCAAGACCTCCCTCCCGCCATTCTGAGCCGCAGTTCCTCCCCACAAAGGTTGCGAGTGACTGTAGGCTCGATGCCGTAATAGTCAAGCTGTGCTTTTTCGTAAATATTCTAAAGGCAAGTGGACGGAGAGTTGGTGGAGGTAATAGGATTGGGAGAATGGAGGTTGTAGAAGTCGGTGCTGCCATCCCGCGGGAGATAGCCGAAGTTGATATTGCAATTAGTTGTTATCGTCGCATTTTCTGAAGTGAGTATAAATCATTGGGTAATGTTCTCGCAATGTTTTTTATCGACTAAACCCTGATGTTCGGCCACTCTGATAGAGTTGTCGTTGATTGTTGATGATGATGATGCTGAAGGTCTCTCTCTGCACGATCCGATCTCAAAATGTTGGAAAACGCGACCGTTGCGGGTGCTTGCGCTCAACGCGTTTTGACACGTGACGGCATCAAGTAGTTAATCAAGCCGGCTTCCACGGTTTCTCCCAGAACGAAACTGAACAACTCTTAACCTCAGCATATATTGATTACATTAATTGGCCTCCAGGTCCTAGCCAACCCTATACTATTCAAAACTATCTACAATACTACGCATTTATTCGTGGCTGCTCATTTCGAAGACAACTTCTCCCTCTTTCATCTTTGATCCACCAACCATGGCAGACGCTTCTCCCCAAAGCTGCGCTCCAACAAATGATACAGATGCGTCAGCTTCAGAATCGTCTCCCGAATTGAAAGGGGCACAATTAGCGGATCTTATCAAGCGAGCTGCTGCTAAAGATGCCATTAAAGACTACGATACTGCAGCGGACCTCTATTCCCAGGCGACAGAGCTCCAGGCAGAGCTGAATGGTGAGATGTCTGTCGACAATGCGGACCTGTTATATTTGTACGGGAAGTCATTGTACAATGTCGCTGTGAAGAAAAGCGATGTGCTTGGTTCAAAGGTGGCAGGACAAGCATCCACAGCGCCCAAGAACGGGATACCTAGAGATGGAGCGACGAATACTAGCACTGAATTACCCAACAAGCAGTCCCTCATTGGCAACGCGATCGCTGAGGGTTCTGCAACAAGCGAGAAAGCTGCAGAGGGCATAACTGAAGGGACGAAAGTAGGATCATCGTCACTGTTCCAGTTTATAGGAGACGAAACCCTCGACTCTGATTCTAATGAAGAGGACGGTGGTGAGGAGGGCGATGGAGCTGAGCAGGAGGACGACGACGAATTTGCTAATGCGTACGAAATGTTAGACTTGGCGCGCATACTCCTCTTGCGAAAACTGGAAGAGATGGGATCCGAGAAGCAGAGCGAGGAACGCAAGATCAAGGAGCGACTGGCAGATATATATGACCTACAGGCTGAAATCTCTTTGGAGGGTGAGAGGTTTGAAAATGCTGTCGCTGATTTAAGAGCCGCTTTGGACTTGAAAACAAAACTTTTCCCATTGGAGGACCCTAGTGTTGCTGAATGCTACTATAAGCTTTCTCTAGGTCTTGAGTTCTCGTCGATCATGCCAGAAAAGGCGGAAGACGGCCAAGACACGACGGACGCGAAGGTCGCAAAGGTTGACATGAAACTGAGAGAAGAGGCCGCAAAGCACATGGAGATTGCGATTCAGAGCTGCAAGTTAAGGATATCAAAGGAACAACAGAAGCTTGAGAGCATCACTGAGGAGGAAACTATTCTCAAAATGAAACAGAGCATTGATGATGTGAAAGAAGTTGTTTCGGATATGGAGCTACGTGTAAGTTGCCGTTTACATCCTTGGTTTGCATCACTGGAATCAACCAATACTAACATAATACCCAATATACAGCTGATTGAACTTAATCGACCCCCGGTATCCATAAATGATGCTACCCGAACCCTCGATGGTTCCAATGCCTTAAATGGAATCCTCAGCCAGGTGCTACGTCAAAATTCGTCCGCTGATAAAGACTCTATTTTGCAAGAGGCCATGAAGGGCGCCAATGACCTTTCGTCGTTCGTCAAGAAAAAGAAACGGGCTTCTGGGACACCAGAGTCGTCTGGTAAGCGCCAATTAGAGCAAGAGCCAGAGGTTGTCGATGAAACAAGTTCAGCAAAGAGAGTCCGGCTGGATGACGACGGTTCCGGCGATTAAACCTGTTTTTGGTATGTGAGGCTGGAGTTCTGCAATAATCAATATCCTGAAATACCTATCGCATCGCCAATTTGGTCCCGACTCAAACAAACCATTAATGATATTCGAAAACTTGACTGGCCACAATGATGTGGCAATTGATGATTATCTTTGGGGGCAATGTAATTTTATTTATTAGATGTATTATTTGGTTTTCATAACATGGGATGATACCATATTATCGTTATGAATCAACAGAAACAGTCATCCGTTGACTATGAGCGGAAAGGATATCGCTCCACTAACTCCAGCATTTGGTAAGAGTAAAATATGAAGAGGAAGGATTTTCTCTGCGGAATTTGAGCTACAATAGAATGAGAAAGTTGTCCCATACGCTGCGTAAAAGAACAAACAACACTAACAGAAGAACTGAACCAGAGACAGTAAACACCCAAACATCCCACCCATCACCTCCACCTCACTTGACCAATGAATGCCTTTCAAAATTCCGATCCCGCCTTCTTCTCTCCGCTAACCACGGACTCCATATTCCAGAGAACAAGTCCTCACACTCCTCCTCATCCTGGCTATCAAACTCCACATCATTGCCACTTCCATTACTCTGAATCGCACTACTGCTCCCAGACGACCGGTGTGAACAAAAACAACCAAACACATCGCCGTTATCATGATAGCAATCATTAGAATTACTACCTTCTTCCCAGGACGAGCAGATACTGATCCCCTTCGTCTCCAATATGAACTTCCCAATCTTATATTTCTGCGAATCTTCCTCTGCAGCCACATACTTCCAGCCCAGGAGACTCCCGCAAAAACGACAGGTGATGTCACTGACCGTATGCGCACCCGTGACGAGCTGTCTTGGTAGCGGCTGCTGCGTAACTGTGTTGGGGAGTGAGGTGCGCTGCAGTGTGGACGACGGGCTTATGGAGATCTCATCCGTAGACGGATTGGCAGAGACGAGATAGGCACGTCCATGCCGCCCTGTAAAGCCCTTGCTGATGATTTGAGAAGTTAGACAAAGCTCTGCTGAGCAACGGGCACAGCGGAGGTAGGATTTATGCCCGTGGAGAAAACCAGAGCCATTGGTCGCGGCGTCGTTGCTTGAAGGAGCAGGTGATTGTGGTTTGGAGGGGGTCTCGGAATCGCTTGGTGTGGAGTTGGTATTTTTAGTTGTTTTCACATCGCGCTTGCGGAAGGGGATGGAGTGGAGGAGGTAAGTTGGAAAGACGGATGACATGAATGATGACGATGACATCATGTGCAGCGGTTTCCCCAGCTCATTTTATGCAGATATCGACTCGCCTGATTGCCGGCATGCCGCAAAGGACGCTGACCTGTTGTTGGTCTTTTAGGCGTGACGATAGCTTTGGTCGACTGCAGCTTCAACAAGCGTATTACTTACTTCGATTATAGCTGGTTAGAATATTACTTGAGGGAATCATAAATGATCCGGGATCCCCGCTTTTTGAGTTCCAAGGGTTTGAAGCCCGTCGGGCTAGTTAGGTAAGCAACCATGTCCCCCATGTGGTTCCAAGGATCACGCTGGGAAGCCCCCGATTGATATCGCAGATCAAATAGAAAATATCCATTTATAAGTAGCAAAAGCATTAACTAACTGATTTGTGTACATCGCTGGCATGACATTTAGCATAAAGGCAATGAGGACAACAGACAGTTTCAAGACTAGAATCGTCAAGCAAGATAAACATCAGATTTCCACTGTCATAAATAACCATTTACCACTGATAATAGCCTCCTTCAATGGAGGAACTACCCAGTCGTTCAAACTACTTAATTCAAATCCAACCCAGCCTAAATTTCGCATTGCAACAACTAGGTCCGCTGCGTCCATCGATCGATCAACACATGCAATCATTTCGGAGCAATCAAGCTCGGGACTGCTGGCGATTTCGAACAGCGCCATCAATCTACATAGGTTAGCCGAGGAAAAATGAGAAACTTCAGGGTCATTAAAAGGGAAGAAAGTAACCATGAAAGGGGGAAAGAGGTATAACGAACCCAGACTTGAACCCTTGCCCCGCACATGTGTGATTGTCGAAAAATACAAACAGAGTTCTCCGGTCGCCGTCGGCAGCAACAAATCCTCTGTAGATCGTGTCTCCAGGGTAGTCCCACACTTCAATACAGTTCTGAATCCGCCCAGATATCTTTGCATTCGCTTCGAATGCGCTTACGTGTTTATTGTTATTAGGTACCGCACCTATCACCAGCGACTGTTGTGGAGCAAGTTGCCTCTCACCAAGGAACAATGTCCACAATGTGTCGCAGAAGAGCCTCTCACACTCTTCCGTGATAGTTTGCACTGCCTCCCCATTGAATTCCAGTCCCTCTCGCGGCGACAGGAATTCATCAGCCACCACTGCTGTGGCCGAGTATTTAGTGGGAGGACTTGTCGGGGGGAATTTATGCCCTGAGGGGACCTCAGGGATACCACTGGGCCCCTGGCATTTCGGAAAAAGCTTTCCGTTAGCAAGGGAAAAAAAAATCATTATTACTTTCAAAGGTGTGGGCTAGGAAATTTTATCAACTCACCTGTGCCAACTGTAGTGCAATAATGGAAACTGCTGAGACTCCCGGTGCAGGGATTGACAGAGTAGCAGCTGGCGAGAACCTGGGTTTGGCGGCTCCATTCGAACACTTGTTGATGATTCGAATTATTATTCTGATTACTACTTGAGATTCCCGCCATAATCACTGGAGCAGCTGTAGTTCGGAGAAACTGAAGATGGTTGTTGTTTGTGCACAGAGCGTCAAAGAGATGATGAGGATTGATAATGAGCTGCAGAACGTCAATATAGACTCAGAAATTGTGACTGCGAAATAATAACTGAGGGACAATAAGTTTCTGGGATGCTGTTGGATGGAAATAGCGGAGTTGTGGGATGAAAATGTTGATCTGGGAACGATATGTCGTTGCAATGAAGGAGACAAAGACATCAATCACGAGGAAGATCCGAGGCAGCGAGTCATGTGTTCATGATATCATTACGTCAGCATAAACCTTCTACTCGCGATTCTCGGGAACGACGTATTTGCTAATGAAACCCATGTTGGCAATAATATCCCTTCAGAAATATCATTCTAAATACCGGTCATGGACCTTATCCTTCTGATCAAGATTCCCATCAAGACCAAGATAAAAGAGTTATATTCAACTAACAATGAACTATATGCCACCTATAGCTCAAGCATGGCTTGTTTAACCAGCTGAAATTCATTGGATTATTCACTAAATGACGATTTGAGATGCCACTTTATCTTTACGGGAACCCTCTTCTTTTCTTTTGAAGAAGTTATTTCCGTTCCATTTCGCCCACTCCCAGGGGCGGCGTTGCTGAACACCCGCGTCATCAAGGCCCAGGACACCAATAGACAAAACGAATATCCAAATAGGGGGAAAGGAGGTTTCAATCTCCGGGAAAGTGTTACTTGACAATATATATCGTTAAGTTCACAGCCAAAAGGGCGGTCTTTTGAAATTACTTGTGCACAAAATGAGGAAATCTTGGGGAAGATTCGTTGCACAGACTGTCAGGAACAAGGGGAAGTGAGATCGATCACAGTGGATTTGGATGTACGCAAAGATATTAATCAGCATAAATGGGGATAAAAGATGTGGCAGAACAGGTTGAACACAGGTTGGATGCTGTCGTGTTGCATACAACCCAATCTGGTGATATGTCGAGGGACCACGAGCTGCAGGATCTTGCATCTTTTGTGTTATCATTCCGACTTTAAAACCCCAGCACGGAAAAGGTGGAAAGTGGCAAATAAGATTGGCAAAGAGCTGTACAAATTTTATGCGATGGGACTGGAGGGCAAATGGCCGCCAGATGCAGCAGTGGTGGCTGTGAATTTTGGCATGACCTTGCAAATGTGCATAGTGATCTTAAACTGTATGTGTCGTTTTTGTCGTGCTTACGCGAATACCCAACTGGCAACATATCTTCGGATATTCACGTCTCCACTGCTGCAGTGGTCGAAGAGTTGGTAATGAACCTAATACAGAAACTCAGTCTGGAATAGTTGACTTGGGATCTTACTGAGACTACAGGATTTTGTCCGAAACTCTACACAATCCGGAGCTCAATACAAGGAGAGACCAGTGAGATTTTTTTATGACTGTGACAAGTAGTGTTCTTTTGGGTGAGGAAACGGAAGTGGAAACAAAAGTCACATGCTGGAACACTGGAAAGCTTAACATATGACAATCGGGAAATCCAGTCCCACGGATAGAGGCACCAAACCAATTTCACAAAACCGTCAATCCAAAACGATGGGGTGAACTGTGGTAGTCTTATAATAGACATGCCGGTGTTATAAGTCGAACAACCCACTCGTCCGATCCTCGCTGGTGAGAGCGATGGAGCAGGTGTGCGAAATCAACGAATATATCAAAGAATTGGAAAATGAACGAAAAAATAACCACTGGCATGTACAATTATGGTACTACACCTTTGGGTCGGTTAATATGCACTCCCAACTATGGAACCAAAAAGTGTTTTCAAGTTCAGAGGAGCGCACATGAATCATATGGAATGGATTGGGAGCCTGCCCAAGTCAAGATAGAAAACCCAAAGCAATAGAATGGATGCATCATTTGAGGGAGGCAGTGATAGAAATTATCGACCAAAATGACAGGGGGAAAAAAAAGCTCGGTTCGAACTCGGGAAACCCTAGTAGACGGGTGATGGTTTGAAACAAGAAAAAGGGTTCAAAGTCAAAGATTCTAGACAGCTTGGCTGAGTCACGAATTCAAGAATGCAAGAAGTAGATGTTGATAGGTTTGCTATGAGTATGAGAGTGACGGAACGGGAAGAAACAGGTGGTCGACCGTCAACAAGAGTCAATGTGAAACGCAGAAGGAAAAAAATTAAAGCCGCTAGCTACAGAGGATAAGAATGGTTGTTGGATGTTGAAGTCAAGTTGACTTCCTCGTTACTCCGAGTCCGAGGCACACTCGATCAGGGATAAAACAGGGTTCTATTGAGGCATCAATTTGCATAATGCATGCGTCCGTTTTATGTCAGGGACAATGTGGGGATTTATCCGTCGCATAATAAACCTTAACCGCTGTCAAACCTCTGAAAGATGTTGTGGTGTGCCAAGATATAAAAATATCCCCGGCGGCTACAGAAATGGGCGGTTGGGGTGGGGCGGTTGTGTTGGAGAACGGGGCGCAGGCTTCAATCATTCGAGCCCTGTTTTCTTTCTGGACCTTCGAAGAAGCTGTTGCTTGCTTGCCTCTTTCGGTCTTGATTGTGATAGCTAATTAGCTCGTGACTCCATGGTTTGTTTTATGAGGCTTTTTGAATGACATCGCAAAATATCCACCTATCTACCAGGGAAACAAAGAGGTCTGCTGTCGCAGCAGCCTGGCTAACTTCCAGCTCAAACACATTTTTTTTTTTCGTCAGCCAGAGAGGTTCCCGGTGAACTGGCAGAGTCGAAAATGTTTGTTTATTCTAGAAGATGCAAAAACAAAAGAAATGTAAATATTTCAGGCCACAACGAGGCGTAAGCGGCTGATGATGAATAACAATTCTGCTAACTAGTTAACTAACTACCATATTATATTACGAATCTCATTGCCTCTCCAAGACTTGTCGCTGGTGGCATGAATTCCTATCAAAGAGATTATGCAATGGGAGATGAAGCAAGGATTGAAGATCTTACCAACATGTTATTTTTACTTCTTCGGGAATGCCAGCACATCTTCACTTCGTGCCCTCTTGCCTAATAGCCGGCGAGATCCAAGGATGCAAATTTGCTATGTACAAGATCGTTTTCGCCTTGCTGCAACCTAGAATAAATAGCAACACCGAGACAACAAACTACCAATGACCCTGCGAAATCCTAGACATGGCCAGAGGGAAACACAGCAACGCATCTCTGCCCCTTGTTGCTGCATAGAGGAGACAATTTGATTGGTCTGCAGTGCTGTGAAGAGCTGTTGAACCGGGCAAAACAAAGACAGTTGCGGGAATAACAAATATATTGGGAGACAAGGCCTTGGGCAGAGTCTGGTAACTTTTTAATTAGGGTTGTTTAACTTCCCCAGTCCTTAAGCGCTAACTAACTACCTCTTTAATTAATTACGGAGTATCAGGTCTCTGTGGATCCTCGATTTCATAAGGGATCATCTTCCAAGAAGAGAGGGCATCGAGCAAATAATAGAAACATTTACCAACTCAGAGGTTTTATTATTTCATACAACTGAGCGCGAAGACAACGGATATTTGCTCAGGAGCTGGCAAACAACACATAGTCAATCAAAGACAACCCCACAAATAATCACTTGCCAGGTCTCGATGACTATGGCAGATGGTTTGTTACAGAAGCAGGATTCTTTTTGAGAACACGCGCTATCATTGGGCCCCGCCACATCCACAATGATCTCGATTATTCTTCAGGAAAAAATTAAACACAAGTCGCTCGTCCTTTTGCCGAGAGAAGCCTTAACCGGCGTCCCGGTTGGAATAACTCTGTTCGGCTGCTGAACGATGATCCCCAAGCAGTTTGTTTGATCTCCCATTTCTCCAAGCTCCCATCTTGTGCGCCCCCAACCCCAACCCCCCCAATCCACCCCCTCCCCACCCCCCCGCAGCCAAGGGTGCAGCGCTAAACTCAAGACAAAACAGGCCCTTTTCTGAAACCGGGTCAAACCTCCTGATGCTTGAGGTCGCCCTCCTGCAGCAGCGAATGGGCATCGAGTTTTGGTAATCCCTCTGAAAGAGAGGTTAGTCACGTCCCTTGGGGAAAGTCTGTTTGACTCGCTCACAAGACTCGAGGCTCAGATTTTCAAACAGGCCTAAATTTCTCCATGGTGATCTTGAGAGCAATGTTAGCATGCTGCAGACTCCTGCGTTGTTCATGTTTGTGTATCTCTGTTGTTAACGCTGTCACCGCTTCATACCCCGGCAGTGGCCTATACTTAGGCCACACGTCAGATATCCAGTCTGACTCTGTTGGCCATTCGACGGTATCCAGCCGCCCGCCCCCCAGACGCCTATACTCTGCAGGGCTGGCTAGATCCAGATGCTTCCGTGATTATTTTTCTCTCAGTTCCTGCCGATCTACCTGGCATGTCTGCGTATTTATGGAATCTGTCCTCCAGCTCTGCCCACTCCTTTCACAAGACTTAGCCACATGCCCCACGGTGTTTCCTAGCCTGTTTACCAGCCTGTTTTCTTCAGTTTGTTGTTTTCTTTTGCATGTTAATATATTATAGATATTTCCTCTTCTATTGTTCTTCACTTATTGTTTTCTTTCTTCACTATTTACCACCTAGACGCCTCCTTGACGAACCAGTGACGAAATCTTTTTATGTACCCAAGGTATCCTACAGGGGTTAACTTTCTGCACCTTTGTCGTTTCGCGAACGGCACCAACGACGTTTAATTCGATTCTTCCTGGAGGAGAGGCAGCAAATTGTTCGAAATTCCATGTTAGTAAAACAGTTCTCTGTTCCAAGTTGTTTGGACTTAAGCAGGAACCCAACAGTATTTTTTGATGGCTGACTCCGATTTTGACCGCTTCTGACTGCTTCTAGCAACCATATCCAGCCTTTGTATTTGTTCCTGGCCACTCCCAGACAGGTCTGGAAGTTGAACTGCAGTCTCCAAGAGAGCACAAAAGCTCCTGTTAACACCGAATCTCTTCTCTGGACGGAGACTTGAACATACTACCGATTAGTCCATTTACCATCTTTTGAACTAGACTACAGTTGGTTCATTCCTCTGCGGTGTACCGACCATCTTTTGCGTTTGGCACTGGGCAAATCTACGATAATATTGTTTGACTGGTTCATTTTATACTTATTTTCTTGAATATCGCTTGGGGCTTTTTGACGGATTCTTTCCCACTGTGTTTACCAACTGGATATCTCTTTGCCAGCAACACATACTGTCTAGACTTAGGATTTGTATAGCAGACATGGTGCAGTCCACGTCCTCCTACAACCGGGCTGCTCTGAATGAGTTTGTCACGTTGCCAGTTTCCCGAGAGATGGTTTTCTACCTTGCGGAGCAAGCTTCACTGGTCATCCGATGCGAGGAAGAGGTGACACCCGTGACCCTCACCCAATCTAAACCTCATACTCCCCCAACAACACCCCCGATCGACGGTTCCGAGAGCGCCGCGCCTCGATTACTGCCTCCTCTTCCATCTTTGGCCGAGTTTATCTGCTCCATTGTCAATCGATCACATGTCGAAGTCCCTACTCTTATGAGCTCTTTGGTCTTTCTGGGCCGCCTTCGAGCTAAGCTTCCAGCTATGTCCAAGGGGATGCGATGTACAGGTCACCGTATCTTCCTCGCATCACTGATCCTTGCAGCCAAGAATCTGAATGACTCAAGTCCAAAGAATAAACACTGGGCCCGCTATACAACAGTTAAGGGTTTTGATGAATTCGGATTTTCTCTTCCTGAAGTCAACCTGATGGAACGTCAGTTGCTCTATTTGTTGAACTGGGATACCCGTGTCACAGAAAAGGATCTATTTTACTATCTCGAACCATTCCTTGCACCGATCCGCGAGCGTTTCCAGCTTGAGGGCGAAAAGGAAATGCTTCAACATGAACTCAAAATGGAAGAGCAGCAACACCGACAAGCTAATGACTTCACTAACGACTCCCGCGAAGCGCTGACAATGGCACGGAAAACTCGGTCGCGACTCGACACCCATCACGTCGGCCAAAAGCGACTCCCATCGCCTTACCGATCCGACCGATCTGTTTCTCCTCCCTCGATCAAGGACCTACCACCGCTCTCCCGTGGCGGGTCCAGGGCACCGAGCTCGTCATCTCGTTCATCTAGCCTCGCCCCAAGCTCTCGAGGCACACCCTCCAGCTTCGGCCCGGGCTCCTATGCCGTTGATGACGTTATAGTCGCGGAAAGCCATGCCAGTCCAGCGTCAGCAGCAATATCCTGTAGTTACGTTAACATCCATACCCTTCGACCGAAAGCCAAACCTCAGCAGCACCATCCCCTTAGCTCGATGGCTGCGTCCCAACAGCCTGCCAAAAAGGCAAAAACGGCTGCCGGAACTGGACTGATATCGAGATTCTTCAACTCCGCTGCGGGAAATTACATGGGCGGACGGATGGCGCGAGGTACTTTGCGCGCTTAGGCAATGGAAGCCGAAAAAATCCAAGATTCACAACTACCCAATTCAGTCGCTTTCGCCCTTCGTTTGGTGGCTTCCCAATTTCTACTCTCTTTTTCCTTTTTTTTTTTTTTTCACATTGCCGTGATGACCTTGACGATTTCGTACCCTTTCCTCTGACGCTGACCAGCATGGTGGCGCAGCCACAAAGAGCTGGTCTCCTGAAAGCACTACACACTCTCTCAGACCTCCAAAACAATCCTAGATTCGTTGATAATACCCCTGAATGATATTTCCTTCCGACTCTACGGCAGGACCCTGTTTAACTCCTCAAGTGCCCTTGTTCTCATGTATCAGTGCATTGCTTCTTTTAAATGTTACCATAATTATTTTTGTTGGGGGTGTTTCGTATCCATTTATTTGAACATAACACAGCATTATCAAAGGGCGTTATTGGGAGCTATAACACTAATTATTCACTGTTGCCTATTAAACTAGAGATATACTGTTTGAAACCTGTATTCTTTGTCTTGTGTCCAGTTTTACTCCCCATGTTTTATTTTAAGAGTATCTTTCTGTCATTGTATGATTTTGAGTGAAGGCCAAATGTATGAACAATGGATGATGAGATATGGGGTAACCAGAGGATCAACATCCAGGTCTCAAAAGGGGTAAATAACTACCAAACGATTATTTATTAAACATGTAGATGCACTTATCTATCTGCCAAGAATGATCTATTTTATATCTCTGTACGCACATATAATATACAATCGTCCTTAGACGTATGCATGAATAGCTTTCTCTTCAACCCCCCTTAACATTCCCAATGATCTGCGGATATCTTTAGCATCAACAACTTTCTGACAGCGGTCGGTGCAGATATATAAACAGGCATCCATTTGACGCAGCCACTAACATCGCAAATGAGTAAAGGTAAAACCAAGACTGCTAAGACTGCTCCATTTATACCGCCCATGCAATGATTCAGTACTCAAGGAGCATCCACTCATTTCGAAAAAGCTTCCAGTCAATCGATATCATGAATACCACCGCGCTTCGATGGCCGTATAGATTCTCCTTGAAAGTAAGGGAATGGGCGCAACAAGCTCTGATCCGCCAGGAATGAAAAGCAGCGCAGTAATGTTGGTATCTCGCATTCGTCCCCCGTCGCAAAAATCCTACAGGATCAATGCGAAGACAAGTGCCAAAAAAAAAAAAAAAAAAAAAAAAAAAAATTTGCTTCCAGCGAAAATAATCACACAACTTCTTCCAACACCCATACATCAATTCTACTCCATCCTCTCAATGGGTAACTCCATGCCCACCTTCCTAGCTGTCAACCTAACGCGCTCCTCCTCACTCATATCCGCGCCCGGGTTATACCGTTCCAGCAACGTGACATATGTCCTCTGCGCTCTTAGATACTGAATAAACTGCTCCGCCTCGTCGAGCTGCGCTTGTGCGATTTGGCTTTTGCTACCATTTTGCGAGGGTTCCAAGGCGACCCGGGAGCGTATTCGGGTTTTTAGCGGTGATGGAGATGAGAGGGGTCGTTGGGGGAATTCGCGGAGGATGGACCGGTAGATGGAGCGGGCTTGGATGGGAAGTTGAGATGCCATGGTTTGTTCCGGGATTTTCTTTTTTTTCTTTTCTTTTTCTTTTCTTTCTTTTATATTTTTATTCTTTTATTGTTTTGGGGAGCGTTATATTTAAATTTGGATGGGGTGTCTGATGAAGAAGCAACCCCAGAAATGGCCGGTGGAAGTTATGCTGAGGGTAATTAGTATAAGTGTATGTCCTTCGACGGCTCTTGAAGCTGCTCAAGTTACAGATAGTTAGAGTTATTGGGGGAATTTGTGATTATATAAGCGATATTTTCTAAGTTAGTAACTAGTTAACTAAACCAACGTAACTAGTTAACTTTAGTTATGTTAAAAACAGATTAATGCAATCCACAATCTCACATTGATGATAATAGAAAATTGGTTTTATTAAGAACTAGCTAACTGATATCCCCCAGTGAACTTCTTTTACTTTATATAGATATCCCATTCCGAACGCTTCGAGGATATCTGCTGCATAACTTCAAGATATGATTATTTGCGAAGTGTGCTCGAATGAGCCGTCCAAATATCGTTGTCCGGTATGCAGTGCGCAAAGGTAAGTGGTTATTGACATTCATTTTGTTGGCAAAAGTTTGCAATACACTGACATATTAATTCTCGCATGCATGCATGCACAGCTGCTCGCTTGCTTGCACCCAGGCACACAGGATCTATTGTACTCCCAAAGCCCGTGAGGAACACGCGCAGGAGCCGAAAGAGCAGAATGGACTGAGTGATACGTTACAAAACGGCACCGCTGCAGCTACGCATGGTGGCGGTAACGATGGAGTTGATTTGAATTTACAGCCTTCTGACATTACTGCGACGAATCCACCCCGGAACTCCAATTCTGCGAAGGAAACCCTCAACTTCAGCTTCAGCGATCTACAATCATCCCAGGAGCTAAAGAACTTGTTCGTCCGATATCCCGCCCTGCGATCCAAGCTACGAGATATATACAGGCTGACGCTGGAGGAAGAATGGGTGGAGATGAAACATAACAACTATGGGCGTGGGCGCGGACGTGGCCGAGGGTCATATGCTGGGCGGGGAGGGAAGAGCAGAGGGCCCTGGACGGAGGAGAAAGGGTTCAACCGAGGGCTATGGAAGGTGAAACGATTGCGAGAGAGTTTGGAGAGCAGCAATGGGGCTGCTGGCGGCGCTGATGCTGAAGGGTTCGCGCAGTTCGCTTCCTTGGTCCTAGCAGCGGGCGGTGACACTGCTCCGAAATCTACGCAGTCGCAACCCGAAGGATGAGGATTTATCGACTTAAAAGATAACGGTGAGGGATTTCCCGGTAGGGATCATCAATCCACCCATCCATCTGTGGGCTTGGGAGATGATGGAGGGGAGATGTCGACATTATATTCGACATAATAATTTGCAAAGGCGGTGCGCTGGTGCTGTTCAGAGACATTTTCCCGCATGCCATGCCGGTCGGCTAGCCGCTTTATCTTCATCAATAAACAACCGGTCAAGAATTGTTGCCTGCTCTACGTTCTGCAACGAAGAATGGTTGCGTTAGCTTCGAACTCGGGATCGCTGTTGATATTTCCTGCCTCCACAATCAGGTCGTTAACCTTATCTGGACTGGTAATACATCCAATGATAAGTAGTCCTGACTAGCGAGCTAGAGTTCCATAACGATGTTGTGAATCCGTCAAGGGACCTAGGTAACTTTAAGTATCCATGCCATGCAGGTTTCACCCACACATCCAACGGCTCTGACAAGCAATCAGTGCCCAAAGGAGAGAAAGCATCATATTTTTACCATTACCATGGGGCTCGCCCCGGAAGACTGAAAGACCATGTCGTGATATCCTGTCCCTCCTTTTAACTATTAGAGACACCGCCTCAGATCAGTCACCTTTAACCGGGTGATAAATAGCTGGGCTGTTCCGTAGCATTCTCCGCGGGTCAGCAGCGCACAGGATCGATCTTTGGGAAGGTGATTCAGATTCATCCGACAAACCTCGGTATAACCTGATATCTTACCCCCTAATTGGGTATGGCAGACAGCCTTGTGAGACAAGCACGTTGTAAACGGTGCAAACGGTAACCGTTTTACAGGGTTGCGATTAAAGAATTGTTGGCCTCCTGGCGCGGGGGGAAAAAAAAAACAGGCATTGATGATGCGTTTTGGTGTTTTAATAATGTAGGATTCCCAGGTATTTGTCCTAGTATTTGGGAACTCGCACTAGCCGAAGCTTCTATGTAATATAACATCCCGCTGTCAACAGCGCGCTGTCGACAGAGTCTCCAGATAAAAACTTCCAAAAAGCCAAAGCCATGCCCACCACATTTTGCCAATGAAAATAAATTTCCCCACTAAGTTGCGTATAAATAAGAAATTATGCATTTAATCCCGCACTGTTGCAACAGAAGAACAGTCTTAACGAGAAGTCTACCCAAGGAATGGTAAAATTGTCCGCATGACACCACTGGGGGTGCGGTGGAGCTGTCACTTTGCTCGGGGAGTCCATGCGCAACAGTTGCTCGATTGGAGAGCTTTTTGGTCCTGCGATTGGATTGCCACTGTTGCTGACTCGCGCTCTAGGTCTCGAGATGTTCTGGCGATCAGCTCCAGCTCTCTAGGATTTCTCGAGAGTGCCGAATCCTTGTCTGGAATCGCCTATAGGAGAATCGATTTAAGAAGCTGTCTGGAGGAAGCTTTGTGAGGGCGATATGAGTGGTTGATCAGGTTGTTAAGAATAGATATTATATAGTGTATTTGCTGTGTAGGGTATCTAGTTAACGTAACGAAAGAAAAAGGGTTTATTAGTTGGCTTCGCAAGTCGGAATGTCAACTTTTCCCTTTCACCCGTTTGTTTACCTGCGAACCAAGGCGTAGTTAGTTAAATATATTCCTCCTCCTGGATAATACTGCACATGTAACTGCCAGTGCTTCTCTGCCTCTCCCGGTATATTACCTGTTCGATATATGTGTGGATGTTTCTCTGTGAGAGAGAGGCGCTAGATGTTGGAGCCCAGACTTCTCGCCTGCCTGCGCCCAGCCCACCTGGGGCAAGCCTCCAGCGTCCACGACAGGCAACATGAGCTCAACCCATCACCATCGCCTGCCACCCTGCACTCTTCTTCGACGTCCCCGGTAACAGAGCTAAAATATGCGTCCATATCTTGCTGCTGTGCTGCTGTACTTCTCACCAGCCATGCTTTGAGTCCAGCGTTTCCAACCGCCACAGAGTTCCGCACACATCCCCCTGCTGATTCCCCTCCACTCACAGTTTTTCTTCGCAAGAGCACGGGCACCAACACATTGCTTGCTCTGTCCTTTTAATCAGATTCCCCGCTCAATACTTAAGCCCTTCCCCGTAGTAATAGCAAAGACGATGCCTTTCAGATAAAAGTGCTCTAAGCTTCAGGATCAGGATATGATCTGCCCTTATTTCCCCGCTCCCGCACACAAATTTCCCCAGACCCTGGGCCGCTGTGTTTGTGTGAATGCCCCTCCGCTCGTTTTATATATATACATACAATGTCTGCTCCACGTCCTCCCAGAACGCGTTCCACGAGCAAGGTCGCCCAGGAACGGCCTACCCCCCAACCTCAACGCCCGTACCTGCAAAGCCGCTCCTATTCAGCGCCTTCGTGGGACATCTACCCACCAACCATTCGTCCTAGGGGCGATGATATAACTAGTCCTGTGCTCGAAGAGAAAGAGATGCCTTCTGCCACCGCAGACAAGATAGATGGTCATGTCTCAACTAATGGTTCGGTTGAGGTATGCATCGTTCGCGTCTCCTTGTTCTCCTGCGAAAATTCCCGTGGGGACAATTTTTGTTGTTTTTCGTTGCTGACACCACCTATGGGGGGTTGCCATTTAGATCCAACCCGCGACTCTTAGGCCTCGTCCTGCCCAGGTCAATTTGGCCGTTGTGGGTGCACAAGGAGTGGGAAAGTCCACTTTTGTGCAATGCGCATTAGATCTTAAACAGAGTCCCATATCGCGCTCCTCAATGAAGAAGATGTCCCTGGATGGAACCATCTACCTCGTGCGATTGCTGGAGATCACGAGCCACATAATCTCATTCGATGAAAGCAGTCGCATCGTTTGGCCCAAGTTTCTAGGAGATCAGGAATTGCCCATAATTGACGGCGTCCTGGTCCTGGTTAATCCAAGTGATGCGAGGGGCGTGACTCAAATTGCTCGAGTATTTAGTAAGTGGAAGAAGTTTTTATCAAAGTTTTACCCCGTCGCCATCTTACATTTAAGTGCGGGCTTCTGTCGGTAGATAACTTATAAGTTATTATTATTTATCCCATATTCATTTTACTTTTCTATCCTTTCCCTCTTTCCGAGCGGCGATCTCTAGCCAAGGCTATAAACCAAACAATTGTGAAAACTAATTCCAATGACCCTTTGATAGGTGCGCTGTCAAAAGCTACAATTCCATTTATTGTTGTGGGCTGTAGACGGGAGGGCCAAGTCCCGTCTTCCCGGATAGACCAAGAAACTTACCATCGAGCCGGTCGAATACTGAGCGGTATTGACGTCCAGGACACGTATTCTGATGACCCAGAGTCGCAGAAGAAATGCATTTCGAACATCCTCAGGGCTATCATAGACAGAACCTCTGGTAAGGATTTTCAGGTGGCTGTGTTCCCCACCTTGGCAATGCCGCAAAACAGCCGTTTTCCATTCCCCTGCCAAAACCCTAGTCTAACTTTTCCTTTTTGTCCCAAGCGTTTTCGCCTTGTTTGGATATTTTAATTCTCTTTTGAAACTTTTTTTTTACACGCTAGCATCCACCTTTGTCAGATCGCATTTTGGCTCTGCCAATAACCACCCCACATATATTGGGCTGGTTGGTTGGCTTGCTGTTTAGCTATTCTGCGCTTGTTGATTTCCTTATTTCTGCTGCGCTAATGGCCCTCCCGCTTCTTCCCCACCGTTTTAGTTGTCTTATTTTGTGGTCTTAGACTCACCTATATCTGCGTTGGCTGACTTTCTTTCAACGCACACTCCCCCTATTGTCACCACCCATGGGCTAGCCGTTCTCGTCGATGAACCGGGCTTGACTGTTGCGTTTTAAATTATTTTGCCGGCTACTTTTTATGACTTGCTCTCTTTTCACCTCGATTTAAGACCACCGACAAAAGTCAATGTGGTTGAATAATCCTTACATTTCGTCGGTGCTGACCATCACTTAGATGTAGCTGATCTACAACCGGCGTCAACTTCTGCAACGCTCTCTTCTGCGTCTAGTCGAGCAACTCGTCGTCCAATCCCTTCACAAAACAGGCAGCATATCCGCGCTAGCTCCGAGAACCCCAAATCCACTCTGGCCAGTGCGCCTGCCACTGACCGCAGCAACCATCGAGCCAAGAAATCCTTAAACGATTCAAACCTGGCGTCCACTGCTCAAGGATCGAGAAATGTTCGAAGCAATTCACAGCCTGTGCCTCCCAGAACTCCTCCTGGGAACCGGTTGAACCGTGGGGAAAGACTAGGAACGAGCATCGTTCCCGAAGAAATATCATCCAATAAAGGCCCATATCAGCGATTACAAACGACCTGGCGACACAGTGGTAGCTCAGACGCGTTTAGCAGCTTCTTGGATATGGAGGATGAAGGTGATGATCTCAAGGGAACTGGGCCTCCGTCCAGCTCTGATGCTAGCACGGACAAGTCTATCGACCCAGGTGTGACATTCGATGAGCTTGTGGATCGCCTTTTGGCACCTCCCATGTCCAAGCAGGACGCAAAATTTGCCAACATGTTCCTGTGTTTATATCGAAAATTTGCCACACCTGCAAAGCTCCTCTCGACTTTGCTTGCACGCTTCGAAAGCATTGGGTCGGCACCGAGCCCGCTATTGGTGCAGCGTGCAAACCATCTAAGGTTGCTTAATATCATGGCGCAATGGGTATCGGAATATCCAGGTGATTTTGCTGGCTCAAAGACACGGAAGCGTCTGACTGATTTTTTACCTTCGCTGGAGAAGAACTACGTTTTCGCTTTTGCCGCAAAAGAGATGAGCTCTTTTCTCGAAAAGTTTGTGGATGATGAAGATCTATGTTGGGCTTATGAAGACGAAGAGAATGAGTCTGAAAATGTCGAAACATTCCTGGATACATCTGTACAGAGCTCGCCGGCAACTTTCGTTGCTCAATCCACCGATGGTACCCTGAATAATATGAGTTCATTGGACCTAAGCGATAATAATCATGATCTGTCCTCGAACCTCTCCAATCTCTCAACGGCTTCGAGCGTTTATAGGTCGGGCAGTATATCCAGTCAATCATTCTTGACATTGTTGAGTGTGGAGTCTGCCCAACAAGAAGCCCAGCGACTAGAGTTGTCTCCGAAACACTTCCTCACAAAGGAGCAATGGAAAATGTTCATGGCTATCTCCGAAGATGAGTTTGCGCGGGAGGTGACACGTATCGACTGGGTCATGTTTAGTTCTTTGGGACCGCGAGATCTCGTCCGGCACGTGAGCGTATCTGCGGATGACAGGACTTCAACGAAAGGTCTGTGTAGTGTCAACAGGATGATAGACGAGTTCAATCACTTAGCATTATTTGTCGCAAGCATGGTCTTGTTTCGAGACAAACCCAAGCATCGAGCGCAGGCTTTGGAAAAGTTCATGAACATCGCAATGGTTAGTGATTTGGCCGCCATAATTGTTTCCTATACGTATCCGTCCATTTACTGACTTGCCTTCCCACTCAGAAATTGCGCCAGTTAAACAATTACAATTCCCTTGGAGCCGTTATTGCAGGGCTTAACGGGACTCCCGTCTTTCGACTTACACAAACCAGGGAGCTGGTATCCCCAACCGTTCAGAAGCAGTTTATGAGTCTGGTCATTCTCATGGGCACGGAAAAAAGCCACTTCGCTTATCGACTAGCTTGGGAGAACTCATTTGCAGAAAAGATCCCATTCCTCCCTCTCCACCGACGCGACCTCGTCTCGGCAGAAGAAGGCAACAGAACATTTATCGGTCCTGGCAATGATCGCATCAACTGGAAAAAATTTGAGATCATGGGCGAAGTTGTCTTGGGCATTCATAATAGCCAACGCACCCCATTCCCCTGTTATTCGAAAAATGATGATGTTCAGCGTCTAATTCTGGATACCAAGTTTTCGGGAGATCAGGATGTAAGATTTAATCCTCTTCCCTCGTTTTTGGCCATCTCGTCCCAATTCTAACCTCTCTTTTACCATCTCTAGGAACTTTATAATCGGAGTACGCAGCTTGAACCCCCATCAGGAACTGAGCCGCCCCGCAGACGATTCGGCTGGCGTCGAGCTTGAGAATCTCTTTTCGTTGGACCTCCAATGGCCTCATTTATGAAGATTTACGATCGATTATGTTCACGATTTCCCCTACCCCAACATATAGAGATGACACTGCCCAAGCAAACACTTCCATTTTTTCACCCCATGACCTGTTTTACTTCTCTCTATCCGCTCCATCAGTTTGAACTCGTTGCGCTCGAGTTGTCCCCCTAGGGTTGCCAGTTTGATTTCATCTTTGCTTTGAAAATTCTCGTCATTCTGATATATCCACTATATGCGCTGTACATGTGATATCTCCCCCCCCGTTATTTCGCTCTTGCTCGTATATACCCGCATAGCTATAAACCGAATCTGGCTCTGTGGCGTTTCACACCGCTTCTCTCTCTCTTTCTTCTCGTCTTCCTTTTTCTTGTTTGGTGTTTTGACCCGAACGGGTGCGGGGGGGATGCGGTGCCAGGTCCCCTTCCCTCCAACTTTTTTTTTTTTTTTTTTTTTTCATTTATACTTTTGATATCTTCCGTATCTGCTGTGGTATATGCTATTAACTTGCCAAGTTTCGGGGCTACTATTGCAAAGCGGGAGGAAAGAAATCATAAGATGAGCTTCCCCCTTTTTTGGTTGTACTCTTTTTCATCTCTAGTTCGTTTCAACTCTTTTGCTTAGGAAGAGGGATTTTGTTATAAAAATTTCCAGGTATACCATGACATGACGAATGCCAATAACGCTTTTGGGTGTTATCTTTCGATCTTCCTTCAATGTACGAGGATCCCCTCTGATTTGGGTGCCCAAACGCCGATCTGGTTTTCTAGCAGGATAGACTTTGTGCCTTCCACGTCTTGTTATTTTTTTAGTGTCTATCTATTGTCCAAATATTGAAATGAAAAATATTGAATCCCTTTTCCCAATATCTGCCTCAAGTGAAGAACATAAAGCAAAGAACCATCCATTGTGTTGCAGATCATACCCTGAAACGGACCGTCGTAGCCTATCGAATGTCGCCGTGATAGTCACCCGCCAGCCTTGCGGATACCAATCGCTATTCACATTCCGGTATGGCTCTGATGTTAATGTTTCCGGATAGATGTTATGTGGTAGCGAACAGTCTCTTCCTACCAAGAACCAACCCAACAATGGAGGGCACAGGCTCCATCACGTGATACTTCTCCGCGGAAATCTTCCCTTAATTACGTCATCTGCACATCGGCTGTAGTTGTCTACGTTAGTTGATTAACGAGTAAAAGTTGCCGACCACCAAAAACTTTCCTCTTCCCATTTCCGTCCAAATAGCATATATATATCACTTTTAGATAGATGTATGTATCTATATTCACGATGGCCACAAAAACTCTATCCAGAACATTCAAACAGTTGATCTTTCGATCACGGCCCTCTAGCCGCATTTTGGGGCCGGCCCTGAGCCTCCGTGGACCGGAATGCGCCTTGAGCGTGCACACTGCTGCTGCGAAAATTTCGGGACTTACCTCCTCACCGTCACACCATAGACCAACGCTGCGTCCGCAACATCAGCCCACTGCACCGGGGACGCAGCTAAATGCTCCTGTGGGCAGTCGGAGCATATTTATACAAACTGAGAATACTCCTAATGCTGATGTGAGTGGGGAACTCTTGGAAACCAATGTCTTTTCGGCGAATTTAAGTTCATTGCTTAATTGCATAACGGATACATCGATGCGTAGTTGGAGCGAAAGTTTTTCTATTTTAATTATGTTTTATTTATTTATTTAAATATATATATAAGAGAAAGAATGGAGCCATCAGCTAACATCTACCGTTTCCAATAGGCATTGAAATTTATCCCAAATCACTCCGTCCTCCCAGAAAACTTCCCAACCACTTTCCTAGAATACCTCTCCCCACGCTCGACCCTCGCACCACCTTACCCCTCCCCCTTAGCATCAAAACTCCTCAATGTCGATGGCGTATCAGCCGTATTCTACGGGCCCGATTTCATCACCATTACCAAAGCCGGCGACGCAAACTGGGCACATATCAAACCGGAAGTGTTCAGTCTGATCACCGAAGCCGTAACTGCCGGCGACCCAATTGTCACTATCTCCGAGGCAGGGGCTGGAAGCAAAGCCCAGGAAGAAGATTCGCTAAGCTACAATGAAGACGATGACGAGGTTGTTGGTATGATTAAAGAGTTGCTGGAGACAAGGATCCGTCCGGCGATCCAGGAGGATGGTGGCGACATTGAGTTCCGCGGTTTTGAGGATGGGATTGTTAATTTGAAGTTGCGGGGTGCCTGCCGGACGTGCGACTCTAGTACGGTGACGTTGAAGAATGGGATTGAGTCGATGTTGATGCATTATGTGAGTGGAGTTCTAGAACCTTTTTGCGCCCACTCTGCGTGGCCTCGCAGAGAGTTCCACCCGCCTCACACCTTCTTCCACAAGCTTGTTAGAATTTTACAGGAATTACTGACACCCGTTTTTTTCCTCCCCTTCTCCCATTCAGATTGAGGAAGTTAAAGGAGTCAATCAGGTGCTGGATCAAGAGGAAGAGATCGCCCTGAGTGAATTTAATAAGTTCGAAGAAAAGTTGCGGCAGCAAAAGGGTCCTCAGGCGACTGTGTCGAGCAGTCTGGAAACGGTTAAGTGACCAAGATGGAGAGAGCGTTTTAAGCCCTCTTATCTCTCTTCGCTGCTTGCTGATTTTCGTCTAAAGCATTTCCTTGGGTCTCCTCTCTGAGACTTTCTTTCGATGTTTCTATAATCAGATATATCCCGGGCAGCGTTTGCGTATTGCCTACGTTTGCCTACCGTTTGCCTTCCGCTTTCTCATATATGCTCTGCTGTACAACAAACTATGCGTCTACATGCATCCCAACCATTCAAGCCATGTTATCTCTTTGAAATAATTATGAATGGGGTCTTTCTCTACGTTTGATAAACTGAGGGAACTTTTTGGTTGCGCAGGATCCGCGGGCTAATTTACTTGTTGAAGCTTGTCTATTCTCCAAACACCCTTTTGAAGTCAACCAACAAACTCCTCTTGATTAAAGAGACACAAGTTTTTGCCCACTAATGCCTGAAGAGCTGGCGATTAAAACAAGTGTGACAAAAGCAATGCAGAGACATATGCCCAACCCTAGCCTGATATCCAACTTCCGCGGAGTTTGTTTTTCTAACCTGACGTCATAGGCTAGGACCCTTCCCTTTTCAAAACACTTCTGATGACCAACCTGCCCCTGTATGGCTTCTGTTGGCCTAATCTCATCGCCTCGAAGCGCCCCTTTCCCCGTTCCATCGTGCTGTGGCTAAGCCCTTGGTATGCGCCCCTGCCATTCACGGAACAACCTCTACCCGGAGGTTACAATCCAATCCCGCTTGACTGAGCTCAATAGGAGTAATTGCGCAAATTTTCGTGCAAGTGCTATTCATCCCTACCTTTACAGGTCATGACGTGAATATGCGGCATGTTTAAATATGGACAAGCGGACGCCCGCCCTCTTCGCCATACCAATCAGAAATGAGGCCCAGTTTTGGCCTCTGCTTTTTGTGCGATGTTACATCAGAAGCAAATTGAATCCAGTGATGGATATAACCGCCAGCGGAGAGAAGTTGGCACCGTCGTATATTTGGTTGGGAAGTTGAACCACCTTCCAAGGGGACGAACCCCTTAGGGAACTTTCCTCCTATCAAACGGCACATGCACATGCCATCAATGACATATCATGAACCCCGTCTCTCCCCTTCAGCCCCGTCCCGCCACCGCCAAGTCCTCCTTGCTCACATCTTTCTCCCTTTCCTCCGATGAGATGGGAAACAAAGGAAAGCAATGGCACCCCAGAGGGTGGAGGGGGGGGGGGGGGGGGGGGGGGGGGGGGAAAACCAGCGCCAACCCCCACAATCGCTCCGCCCTGCACCACATCCGCACAGCGGACACAAAACTTCCACTTTGAACCGCATTTCCCGCTAGCTGGGTAGCTAAAAAAGAACATCCCATTAAAGTTTAAAATAAGAGTGGTCGTACCTGTACAACCGCAATGCAAGAAAATGAAGCATATGGATGGAAAAGGGAAAAATCCACAGGCAATCGAATCATGAGATGCGGGAGCACAGGATCCTGAAACAAAAACGGACAACTCGGACCGCGATGGGTGCTTTTTCTATTATTTATTATTTATTTATTGATTTATTTATTATTATTATTATTATATTTTTTTGGGAGGGGGGTCGGCTAAGCCCCGCAGCCGATAGGATCTAGGGCCTGGTTGGCGGTGGCGGATTTGAAGCAGTAAGGAGAGAGAGGGGAAGGGGGTTAGGCCGTCTTCTTGCTTCAGAAGCTGGTGGGGTGGATGGTCTAGCGGATCATATGATAGGTGGTGCACAGGCGGTGGTGTTCGATGGGGAGAGGAGGAGTGGAGGGTCAAGAAGAAATTTTGGCCTATTATCGACCCGGGGGTGGCGGAAGAAACGTCCTGAGGAAGAGCAAAAGAAGGGAAAAAGGAATAAGGGAAAAAGGAAAAAGGGAAAAAGGGAAAAAGGAAAAAGTCCAATGTCTTTCCATTTTGGAGTTCCATATTTTGTTGCGCAATTAACTAGGTTGCACGTTATTAATAATATTGGATTTATTAACTAAGTATATTATCATCTCTTGCTCGTCGTTTTACTTCTCGTCTGTTGTCTCACCGTTGAGGATCCACAAGCATTCACCATCTCCAAAATAACTTACCAGCTGAGAAATATCAAGTAGAAAATTATTCACAATGGATATATATATATTCTCTGGTGAATTTGCTGAGAATGGGTTGGTAGTTAAAAAGAATAATGCCCATTAACCACCTGTATATCAGGAGAAATAACATATATAACAATTTGCTCAAAACGGGAACAAAAAGCCAGTCTGAAAAAACAATGAACATACAAAAAGGGAAATCCTCAGACAAATGTTTTCACCAAGAGAACTTCATAACAAGAAAAGGGAGCAAGCAAAAAAGAAGAAAATGAAAAAAAAAAAAAAAAAGGGGAGTGTCAAAAGTCTCGATGTAGCAATCTACTGCACCCCGCAGTTTTGGACCAGCATGGCCTGCATGAAAGCAATGCATCAGAGCCCATTCCCATGATCATTCCCGAGGACCAAAATCATCTCCCATCTCTGTTCCTCTCAAACATGCAATGGACCACTTGGTGCCATTCTTGCGTCCATCCCCTCAGGCTGCACCAAGGTCCCTCGCCTTTCCTTGCCCTTTGATAGGCTTCCCCCGACTGCCTGCCGCGAGGAGGGTTTATGCACAACGCAGAAAAGGTTGACCTGCAAAAAGCTAAGTTATATGCGAGCTTTTTTCTATGCACTCTAACCCAGGCATATTCCCTGGCTCTTGGAACTATATCGCGGGTACCCACGGACCACAACCACACACCCCCCCCTTCTCTCTCACTCTGGGATGTTTTATTTACTATTTTTAAAATTTTACTTTTTGTTAACATTCCGGTCTTGATTTTGCGTTTCTATTGTTGAGGGTTTAAATCTTTCTGTGTGATCTTCCGCGGAATGTTGATTCGTCAATTCCAATGAATAATGACGGGGTTTTCAATTTTTCCTGGCAGACAACTAGATAACCATGCGTAGTTTAAATCAAAAGCATGAGCCAGTCCAATTTGACTTTTCCTCTTTTCCTGCATGTACCTAGATGAATATGTAGAGCTTTTCTTCTGACAACCCGCTCTTTGATATCTGTCTTATGGTGAGATCTCGAGTTTCGAGGATCAAGGATGGTGGACTCCCGTGCTGACCAAATGCCTAGGGTGTCCGGGAGATTTGCACCTTGGTCACGGTGGAAAGGGATCTGAGGGTCCATCTGCATACAGGACACCGTATGTATGTACAGAGTAACGGAGAAGCAAGTAATATATGGGCCAGTAGAGGAACATTAGTGACATGAGTGCATATTTACTAGATATTGATAATCACTACGGAGCACCGCCCTACCTTTTTCTTATTTATTTATTTTATTGAAAAGGTTAGCTAGTTTACTGTCGTTGTTGTCGAGGGGAGTGCCTAGGCAGTTAACTAACACAAAGGACCAACAACCCATCCTCTCCTAGAAGGAGGAAAAGTGGTGTTTATTCATTTCTTCGATCAACCTTGACGACTTACAAGCGGATGGAACCCTGGACTCTGGAATCTCCAGGCGAAAAACAACGGGCAGATCAGCGATCACCGGCTGGAGGAGGCCCTGGTGAGTCGTGACAGGTGTTAGCTTTTCTCCGTTCGCCATGTGTGCTTGTCACAAGGCTGTGTGCCTCTCCACCGTTCCTTTGTACCTCATGCACTTCGGGGGTTGACAACAATGAAGTTGTTGAGTATGTCTGAGTTTTTTTTTTTTGAAACTAGACCTTCTAGTGCAATTATGATCAAGCCCCGCCGCTTATCTTACGCCGATGGCTCTGGGCTGGGGTTGAGGGGGGATCAACCTGGACTGACAACCATTTCCAGACCGTTCCGACAACGCTGACTCGTCGGATTGTTGCCGCATGGCCTCGTATGATCTTGGGTCGAGGTCCCGTTGTAAATGATTGGGTTGATGCTTGGTAGGTTCCACCCAACATGCCACAAAATGAGGGGACGGATTGTTGAAGATGACTTTACCTATATCCATGGATAGAGGGACAAGACTTTTTGGAGGATTGCGGGCACGGTAGTTACTCTAAAGGCACTGTTAAAAAAAACAGTATTTGAAAATTGAACAACCTTAAAGAGATCTATCTCTATTTAGACTTCTACCAGCTTACATTGAAGTGCTGATTCGCTTTTGACAAGGTTGGTGTGCAAAAAGGTTAAAAGCTCGACTGGGCCCAGGAAACCATGGTTTGAACGACGCTTTATGGAAAAGGGAAATCGGGGTAAGGCGTACTGCTGAAACCACCAGAAAAAGTCTATGGTCCTTCTCTCCAGCTGCCTTTTTGGCCCATTTGCTTTACCGGAAGCCGGAATTCCAGTCCAGTAAGGAATTGCACCCGAAACTCAATTACTTTCTGCTGCTTGTGTGTGGATGGGGGGGAAGCAGTAGGACATCAGTTATCACTGCGGAGATTTCGGACAAGGTTGAACAAAAGCATTGATTGCCACGACTGATGAATGTCCTTTGCTCAAAGCCGCGATTCATCCGGGCTGCGTGGTTCAAGTGTTTGGTGTTCACGATGGATGCTCTGCCCTATAGCTGGCCTGCTAAGGAACCAGGATAGTTGGTCCGCTCGGCGAGACAAGTCTCCATTCTACCAACTGGCAACCCAAGACGAATGATGCGATATGGCTGTGATTTGCCCCAGTTTTTGGGAGCAATATTTCCCTCGTGCAAACTTTTGTTTCTGACAGGCCTAGTTATTATAACTAGTCAATCACCAATCTACAAGCTCATGAAGGGGTCTTGATGTTTGAAGTAATGAAAGGAAGGATAGAGCTTTAGAGCTTTCCCCGCCACTATTTTATGGGAAGAGCATGCCCAAAATCCCGTAGCAAGACGTTACGGATGAATTATATATCCTTTGAAAATTTGGAACGCGATGAAGCGACGGGCTGGGCGGGCTTTTTAGTTAACTACCTCTAATGCGCCCCCGCCACGCTTTTCTCCGCTTTTCTCCGCGCTCTTTTCCTCTCTTCTTTCTTTTTATTGATTTTCTTTTCTTTTTTGAGGGCCCATCCTCTTTGGCATCAAGCCGTTGCTGTCAGAGGGGTTAATTTTAGAGTCCTTTGCTCAGCTGGCCGGCCTGTGAGTGGTTCCCCTCTTCTGTTCCCAACTGTTCCTGTTCCAACCCGAAGGGGAGCGTAACCTGCTGCAGCACGATGGAGTTGAGGACTCCAGAAACTTCACGTTGAATCCATCCACGAATCGAAGACCACGATCTCCTTGATCCTTCCCATTCACTGATAGTGGATCTAGGTGATGATGATGATGATGATGATGATGATGATGATGATGATGGAGAATATGGGCCTTCAGCTTTCAGGCCTGGAGTACTCTGGAGGAGGTAAGAGTACTGCATATAGGAATTGTGGATACAGCTCTAACTAAAGGCCCCACTGCTGGTTGGTTGTCAGGGGTTCCAAGAAGATGCACGCACAAAAACAATCAGGCGTGAACTGCTTTAAATTTTCCTATTTGTATCTTAAATACGAAACGGATATTGTAGATGCAGATAATTCAAATCCCCCCTAAATACCTGTAGAATTTTCCTGATCCTGTTTCCCGCATTCCTCTGCGTACTTCATAGCTCTACGGTGGCTCTTAGCCGCATCCAGCGATGGTTTCCAGGCCCGTTTAGACTGTATTTAACACCAAATGATAACAGGGCTAACCACCAAAACTTGTTTGCGACTAACCCCATTAGTTATCCCCTGGAGGCATTAGTGATAACTAGTTATTTAATTAAGCGGTTAGCCTCCAGCGTCGTCCCAGAACTTAGAAGCAGAACTCTCCAAAGCTCTTCCTCTCTCCGCAAAACTCTCCCTAGTCTCCAAGGACGGATCCGCCCCCATACGACGTAGACGGCAACTTTAGCTGTCTGCCCACATAACTTTATTCCCGCAGTTCGCTGGTCTCCTCAACTCTCTCTTTAACTCTACTCTCTTCTCAACTCTCCCCCAACTCTCTCCCAACTCTCAGACTACACGGAACGACTTTATTTCATCCACCTTCCTCTTCTCTGATTGAACGCCATCCTCCGCCACCCTACCTGCTATCCCAACTATCCCTGCTATCCCTACCACCCTGTTCTTCTTCTACAGCACCCCAAATGCCCCCGTCGTCCTCCATCGTCATCAATTGTTCCTCCGCCCGATCGATCATCTGCGCGCTGTCTGGCTCCATCTTGAGGATGCGCTTGGTCTAAGGCCTGTTGCATGGCTTTGTTGATGGCAGTTTACTCTCTTCCACCAGTACAAGTATATCAGCACCATAGATAGCCCCCCTCCCATTAACTACGACGACATACTACAACACACCACAACACCGCGCCCGCATTCCCGCATCGCGAGACCCTCCCACCCCGCCTCTTCTTGACGCCTCTCCTTGACCCCTCCCCCCCGTGCGAGTCGAAAGATTTTCCTGACCCCTTTTCGCCATCCGAATCCACTCTCGCGGCGCCCTCCTATATACCTATACCTACAGAATAGCCCGCGATTAGACGGAATACCAACCAATAAGGAGAAAGAGGGAAAAACAGAGAGAGAGAGAGAGAGCGAAAATCAGAAGGAAGAATTATAAGCAAGAATTACCGAGTTTGCACTAGCTGCGCTCAAGAAAACAACGAGAAAAAAAAAATAAATAAAAAAATAAAATAAAATAAAAAATAAACCTGCCGGCAAGGGGGAAGCCGCTGCGTTCTTACGCCCTCCGGTCCTGTCCTGCATAACAACCTACACAACTACATCACCCCCTTTGACACGCCATCGCCACTCGGCCTTCTTCTGGGCGAGAAGTTTTCGCAAATCTACCTAACCTTGCAAGCACTGAAGCCTGGTCGCTTCGTTAGTTTGTCATTACTTGTTTTCTCAAAGGTATTGACGGTTGAATCCATCTCGCCTGCCAACTCCCGTGACTGTCGCCAACTTCTTTAAAACATTTGAGTGAGGCTCACCACACCAGGACCAATCCTCGAGCTGTGAGTTTTATACTACCTTGCCTAGTTTTATTTGTTCAGAGGAAGATATCTTTTTTTTTTTTTTCCCGGCCTACCATGCCTCAAAGCTGAATGCTTGCAACTCTACATAGATCAGTGTTACGCGCGACAATACCCAAAAATTCCTATCTACAATACCCCACTTCGTCTTTTCGTCCGTCGCATTAGCTAGAAGATTACTTTCTGGGTAAGCTCCATTTTTCCCGTTCTCTCTATATCTCCCCCTCTTCTATTGTTCGATATATGCGCATTCCACCCTTCAGAGAACGGCGGATGCGGCGGATTTGCATCCTTGATGGAATGCCCTGCCAGTTCCCTTCGAGAAGGAGTAGCAAACACGGCCTGAATATATATCTATATAAATCTGTGAGCTCCGTCATTGGGAAACCGCCCACCTATCCAGAAGCCCGTTGATGGAGACATTCTCGGGGTTGGGCACGCTACCCAGCGACGGGAACTTTGGGAACGGGAAGTTCCGTGATTGACTGGACCAGATGTTCGCGATTAACCACTCTATTTGATGGTTGACGTTGAGATTTCTGGCCCTTATCTCAATCTGGGAGGCGAAGTTCCATTCGCCACGCTTTACTGAGATGTGCAAGGTGGAGACTGTTGACTCAATGTGCCATGTACATTGGGATAGCTCTGCTCTAACCGTTGGGCTGAAAGGGTGGCCTGATTATCGAGGGGGAGCTTAGCGACTTCCTTTTGAAGGGCAACCATCCCTCCTGCTCCTCCTGCTGGCTCTGACGACGTTGGGAGATTTATGTGGCGGATATCATGCAATACTGGATATGTGTGAATGTGATGGGCTAACTCTTCCTTTATGTATCTTAATGATTTAGATTCTCCCCCTCTCCCCCCTCCCGCCACTCTCAAGTTATCACGAATATTGTGTATAGTTTCATCCACCCCGTCGACCCACCATTCACGACATTGATCCTCAATTACGAATAACTACGCTTCGCAAGAAGACCCAGACAGGCCCTGATCAGATGTGTTTGACTTTATACGTATAATCTCTGTTGAAATCTCTCTCGATTGTGAGATCGAACATTAACATCCACGCCATCATTTCTGCAGAGAAGCTGCAATTACAGGTGCTCTATTGGTCGAGGAGTTGTACGTTTATCTTTCTCTTTTCCCATTCTACGTGCGTACATTTCATACGTTTTGTGACCTGAATTCACAGGCGGTGGCCTTCACTGCTTGTGATTTGGCTACCTTTGCTCTTTTTTTTTTCGTGCTTTTGAGTTTTCTTTTTCTTTTATCTTCCCTGATCTGTATTTTTCCCTAGCATCTGTTCTAATTTTTCGCTGTAAGTTGTGATATTTACGTTTTATATCCGGTTTAACTGCCACTGCGCTCTTCATGATTTATTTGAATTGTTGTTATTCCCTTCGTTTGATATAAACAGTTTCCTTCGTTCTATAAATGCTCTACTGAATGGTTGTGGTTCCATATTCGAACATGTGTCCCCAAGGACCTCTGTGATTAGAAAAGCGCTGACATTTGGCTAACATTACAAGTTCTAGCAGCGTAGAACATAGGCTTTCTTCAAGAGTCAACATCAACTTAAACGCCTACACCCGATTTCTATTTCCCCCTTCATACTATAAATCAATCAACAATCATGGCTTCGTCAAGCAGAAGTAACTCAAGCAAGGGTACAACACCAGCTGCGAAAAGCCCGCATACCGCATACCCACCTCCTGGCAATAACGCTTCAATATTGCTCGAGAAAACTCGCCAAGGTGTTCGAAAATCTACCCCTGATTCGGAGGTTTTGGCTTCCTCTGACGATGAAGGAGATCATCACCCCACCCAAGTCGCAGCCGCTCCTGTATTTAAGCCTACGCGACGCACATCATGGCTCAACGAAGTTCCCACTTCTTTGGCTCGAAAAACCTCACTGCCAACTGGCTCTTCATTTTCAGCTACAAATTCTAACCCGACAACGCCAGCCGCCGCCGAACCGACTTCATGGGGTAGTGCGACTAGCCCGGGACTTAATGCACCGCTTGGTTGGGGATCGTCAGGCGCTGGATCTTCCCCGTGGGGAACTGCCATTTGGAACTCAGAGACACGCAAAGAACCCCCATCAAGGCTGACAGAAGTTCTCCAATCACCAACTTCGAATGTGCCAACTTTATCCTCAAGCAACAACGGAGACGACGTTCTCAGCCCTCTAGCACGAACCATCTCTGGGGACTCCAACATCCCCTTTGCAATTCCTCTTCATCCTACCCCCAAAACATATCGTTCCCAGTCGTACTCTGTTGGCCAGCTAGATCCAGAATCAGTCAGTTTGCCGACTTCTACCGCTGGAATACCTACTCCAACCACACGCAGAGGGCCCAGTGCCCAATTCTCAGTCCAGCGCCGCTCTTCTCGACCTAGCATGCTCGGGGAGCTGGGACATGATCCTGCAACCCTTGGGCGTGTTCGTGAAGATGAAGATGACAGCCATCACCACCTCCCCAGCACCTCCGAAGCTGGATATAATTGGGCCCAGACACGTCGCATGGAACAACTCTATTTGGAAAATGCTCTTTTACGCCAAGCAGCATCTAGCCAACTTGAAAACTCTAGGTTCCGCGATCGTGCTATGTCTTCAGCTTCTGCAACGAGTGGATTCTCCATTGCTCAAGGCCATAACCCCCATCGTCTCCCTGGAAGTGTCCCAGAAGAGAGAGTGGCAGTTGAGGATCATGACGAGCTGGGAGAGATTCCTGGATACAGCAATTCCAGGAGCAATGGGCGGAGAAGGCTCAGTGAACATTCAACTAACCTCGAAAAGCAATTCCCGGCTTTTAGTTCCTTGGAGAACCGTACGCTAGAAAATATTAAAAAGGCCCACTGGCAAACCTCGCTTGGCTTTGGTGGTATTCCAGAGGGACCCCAGAGTCGTCGCCACTCTTTCGCTGATATTCCCATGAGACACCCATCTATCAGCTCTTCCACTGATTCTCAGCAAGCTGCCATTGGCTCCGTGGGTAACCGAGAAGATAGCCTCGGAAATTATGCTGATGGAACCCTTACTTCTTCCGTTGACAACAATCGTGAGTATCTCCAATTTTGTTTGAATCATCACCGTACAGCCCATACAACAGGACAGGATCGTTTACAGGCCCGTCTACATGCAGCTTCTTACTTCAATGGACACGATAACCCCCTCCGCGCTCCCGAAAATATCGCTTCCTCCGGGATGTCCACCTCCCTCCACCAGGCATATGTTATGCCCAACGCCTTTGGCCGTCAGCACTCGAACTTGGCCCAAGCGCACCATAACCAGCAGCTTTTCATTGTCACATTCAAATGCTACAGGGCAGATGTGTTCTATATCCAGGAAGATACTGGATTGCAGGTGAATACCGGTGACCTTGTCATCGTTGAAGCGGATCGTGGCACGGACCTTGGCACAGTTAGTCACGCAAATGTAACCTGGGCAAAAGCTCGCGAATATAAAGAATATTACGCAGAGGAACATTACAAATGGCTTATGCTATTCTCACGCCAAAGCCAGTCGGGTGCTCCAAATGCAGTGAATCCGAACGGCGTTTCCTCCAACTTGAATGGCGCCCCTGGTAGTGCTGTGGGCGGTATGGGCCAACAGAGTCAACATGGAATGCAAGAACCACAGGGTGGAGATATTAAGCCCAAGCTGATTAAGCGGCTTGCTCAAAGCCACGAAATTGAAACTCTCCGTGAGAAGGAGGGGAATGAAGCTAAGGCAAAGCGTGTTTGCCAGCAAAAGGTAGCTGAGCACCGGCTTAATATGGAAATTCTGGATGCCGAGTTCCAAATGTAAGTTCGATCCAAGCACCCGTTTGGATGACCTCAAAGAGGGAACTGACCATATATTCTGTATGTAGGGACTGGAAAAAGCTCACATTCTATTATTTCGCTGATACCTACATCAATTTCAATTCCCTTGTCACAGATCTGTTTAAAATCTATAAGACAAGGATCTGGATGTCCGCCATTAACCCAGCTTCCTTCGTTACGCCAACTGCTGGACTCACTAGCGCCATGGGGTTTGGTCAAGAAAACCACCCAGACCGACGCCGGCCCCATGACTTTAAACCGTTTACTCCAGGCGCTGGCCAAGGTGTGACAGGGGGATATGCAGACGCTGCCGCCAGAGATATTACTGGAACCGCGCGGAGCACGTACAGGGACCCTTACCAGGCCTTTGCTGCTGGCCGACAAGCTGAGCTGGGGCTGTCTAGCTTTTCACAAGTTCTTCAACCGCAAACAGATCCGTTCTCTTCTATCCCTTCAACCAACTACGGGACTGGGGACCCGAACCTGGGCGACTTCAACAGTGCCGCTGGGTTGGGACCAGCGGGCCGCCAAACCCATCCCACACAAGGCGACTGGACAAATCGCTTCCAAGGCCTTTCACTCGGTTCATGATGTACCCTCGATTTATACCCCTCGACGCTGTATGGCATCGTATAATATATTGCATTCGTTTTCATTTTCTTCTGGGAGAAGCAAAGAGTCTCATGTTATCGCGCAGCGTTATGCTACAATACCCCTTTCGCTTCCGCCTCCCTACGGACAACACCCAATAACTCCTGTTATCTCCCGCCCGTACGATTTCGACATTTACATTATAGCCCTGTCGTTTTAAAGGATTTTTTCTTTCTTTCTCTTTTGCGTTTCGACTTCTCGATTAGATATACCTTGTACGCCAGAAATCGATCAAGAAGATCAGGGATGATGATTTTATGCCGGTGTATGGCGCGCGAGTCCCAGGCCTTCTCGGAAACTTGCTGTTTACTTTATATAGACTTGTCCCGACTCACGAATTATGGACCCTGTTCGTTTTTCTTGTTTTATTTTACAATTGCTCAGAGAGCAAGTTATCTCGGAAATATCTGCCTTTGAGATTACGTTTTATTTTCCCCGTTCTTTTCCCATTTCTTTCCTATACCTGCAGGCTGTTTCATTGTTTAGTGCATAGGCCATATACATGCTAATGAGCTTACGATGAGTGGGTAAAGAAAAAAAATAACCAGGATAACACAATGCGATGTTCAACTTGTAATGGGAAGTTGTTTTTGATATTTTATCCCCCCTCAGTTCTTTGATTGTTCAGTCTTGTTTTTTCTCCCTTCTGTTCCTCTCATTCATGTTTCTGCATGGTGTTTTCCATTTTCCTAAGGTTGAGGAGAGACGAAATTGATTTCCAACTTCTTGGGTGCATGTTCTTTTTCTTCTTTCACAGAATGAACTGTTATGAAAGAGAAGATCTAAGTTGTCAAAAAAAAAAAAAAAAAAAAAAAAAAAACACGGAAGACCCTGGGTGTGATACCAAAGACTATTTATAAGAGCGGATATTGGAGAACATTAGGAACTGGGATTTTTTTTTTCTTTAAATTGGGAGGACTTTTGTTTATCTTGCTTGTAACTTTTGCTTTTATCTGTTTTTCCATTCTTCTTTCTTCCTGGAATTTTTTTTTTCCTTTTCTTTTTTATTAACATTCTTGCCTCGACTTGTTATGTTCACGGATGATCTTTCAATCGCTCTCTGCAAAGCACTACTCAGTGCCCTTGGCCGTCACATTTGCCTTGGACTGCTGCAGACCCCAAACATGATCTTAACCCGTTTGACCCTTCTTTCATGTAACAACTTAACTTCTTTTCTTCCACACTTGTAATTTTTCTCCACCCTTAACCGTTGTCGATACACTATTTTCGATTCACGAGACTTTCAGGTTTTGCATGCTGCCTTCTCTGATGCTGCGACTCAGTTTTCAACCCCCACCCCCTTCTTTTCTCTTCTACGTAATGAATGATTTTGCGTTATGTTTCATTGTTTTCTTACCACTACTACTATTTTTGCGTTCAGAGGAATGGCCCATCTTAGCTTCCTTTTCCTCCATCTTTTATTCATGCAGTTAACTGGGGGATTTTTTTATATGTTTGTTTTTCCAAAATTGCGTTCTGGAAACTAGAGCTGGAATCTGGAAATTGGTGCTGGAACTGGGATATAAATTCTGCCTTTTTGTATTGCCTTTCACTTTCTCTAAGATATAATTTGACAGACTTTCGTTAAATCTGTTTTAGTCCACGCTTTTTCCTTTGTCATTTTTTGTCCTTTTTCACAGAGGACCTTCTATTCACATTCAATTTGATATTCTCATATTTACTTATATTAGTTTTCCCCTCTTTCCTTTTGTTCTCTCTTTTCTCCTATGGGATTTTGTCGTTGGAAGAAATATGAAGAGTGGGCAGAAGAGGCAATGCAGAGTAAGACAAGAGCACAGACTCGAGGCAGAGATTTTCTCTTAAGACGGATAGAATGGGAATATTAGGTATAGGAATTTGATGAATATATTGTTATGATTACTGATTTTCTAGGGTACCACTCTTTGTCTCTCATCCCTTAATTCGTTTGCTTCGGCAGTTGCTTGGACTAAGAATCTTGGGTCACATGACCACTGCCCCTTAAACCGACCTGGCAGATCAGACCAATCCAACTTCACACCCTCACATCCATGTCATACCCCCAATCAATCCGTGAGACCTTGGTTCAAATAAGTTGATAATCACTATCCTGAGGCAAAATTTAGTTGACCTGAAAGATTTGCATCTTCATCCGGCCATGCCTCGTGATAGAAAGAGAGCTGGTGAGCCGAAATGAGGGTTTTCCATACCCCCTAATCTCTCCCTTTATACAGCTAGTCCAGTTCACTTTGCCTCACACTTATGTACTTCCCCCGTTATGAGTTGTGAGGAAAGAGTTAACAGCTAGAGTAGCAGGTACAGCAGCAGATCCCACGAGCAAAGGAGCTGCTCAGGGACAGAGGAAAAGAATGCGAGTTGGGGCTGGGATTAGAGGGAAGAGGAATACGCGTGCGGCCATCGGGGAAAGCGAAGAGGATTCGGAATATACTGTCCAGTCCGATGGCGAAGATGTGGATTTGGATCTGGATGAAGATGAGGACGACGACTGGGAGGCGGAGGCGACTAGGTAAGAGAGCAGATAACATTATAGAGCGTCCTATATCCTGTACTCTTGTTGAGTCGCACTGCAATTGATCGCGTTAAATGTTGACTGGGTTGGGGACGCGGAACAGGAAGGCATTGAGGGATCTGCAAGCCGCGATGGAGCGTCCTGAAAAGAGGGACAATTATGCAAAAGAGTTCGAGAAGTGCATCAGTGAGGAGGAAAGAAGGCTTGTTAGGTTGGTGGACTCGGAGGTTCGAGAGAGGTGTGTTGCTTGTTGAAAGTTTTGGCTTTATTTCATCCCGCCCGCCGTCTCTCCCCTTCTCCATTGAGTTACACTTCAATTTCCCCTCTTTTCCCAGCATCTAATCAATAGATAATGGGGATTTTCAGGGAGGCTGCATCCGAGGTGTTCCGCTCCCATATCGTTTCCCTCCTTAGCACAGCTCTAGCTCCTACAGGGGCGAAGACGTCCGGAACGACATCAGGGCCTTCAGGATTAACATCCAAAGTGGACGCTCAAAAACTCGTTCTTGAAGATGTACCAACAGGCAAACATCCTCTGTACCACAGAAGCCAAGCTCTGCTCCAATGCAGTGAATCGTTGATCCAAGAATATGACAAGCTCTCCACGTTCATCTCCGACCTCGAAGCTCCCGCAGACCCAGCAGAAATGTGGGAACGCGATTGTGCGGAGACTCGCCGTGTAATTGCTGTCGGTGTGGCAGCGTCCCAGGCTGAAATTGAAAGGCTTCTAGTGCGCAAAGATGACACCAGAGAGAGGAAGATTAAAGAGAAGCTTGCCTCGAAGCACGACAAGGGATTGAACGGGAATAAGGAGAAGAGTTGTTTTGAAAACGATCAGCAACTTCAGGATATGTTGAATATGGGAAAAGGAAAGGAGAATTTTCATAAGGAGCCGTATGGATGGGGGAAGGTGGCACATCAGGTTGTGAAGGGAATGAAGGCTCTCATCAAGGCTTTTCCTGTTGAGAGGGGGGGTTAAGCGAAAGCGAAGTGTGGGTGGGTGTCATGGCTGCATAGCAGCAGGGTGTCGAGAAAAAAGGGGTAGTTATGATATCTGTATCTATCTATAGCTATATCTGCACATCATTATTTTGCAAGAACACAAGGAGTCATGAGTCATATTGCAAGACTTTTCCTTTCTACCAGAATTTGCGATTCGCAAACTGCAAGATCTGGAGCAGTTTCATTCTTTATAATGAGCTCTAACGAAATGGTTGTGTTGTTTCCCATTTGTTAAAGGGGCTTTGGAGACGTGGATGACTCAGCAGAACCAATCAAATAGACGTGATTTACGCCAAGAGTTCTATTCCAATTAGGCTCGCTTATCCCGCTAGCGTCTCCCACACTACTCCTTGAACAAAACAACCAAAGAACTTTTCGCTTTTGCTGTGTTTGAAGCATCGAACAACGACCACGACCACGACCACGACAACCACCAGCAACGATTCCACGACGACAAGGTACGTGTCCCGGGTCCCTATGTCTTGTGGTGCTGATATACTGCTATTTGGCTTCGATTACCTTCCATTGATGCCCCAAAGCTTACAATTTGACTTGATAGATGGGTGCTCTTAAATACGTGGAGGAGCTTCAAAAGAAGAAGCAGTCCGATGTGATTCGCTTCCTCTTGCGCGTCCGATGCTGGGAGGTGAGACCCCTCGATTACCCAAGATGAAATCCTCTCTGGAATTGAAGGAAGGAAAGGAAGACAGAATAGTTGGAATTAAAATACGTCCCAACTTCTCCCCTCTTCCGGCCAGAGATATTTATAACTGTGGCACAAATATTATTTTGTGTCTTGCTATACACTCGTTGAACTTTGCTGAGAGTGCATAAATATAGCTCCGTCAACTCAATGTTATCCATCGTGCCTCCCGTCCCTCGCGTCCAGATAAGGCTCGTCGTCTCGGCTACAAGGCCAAGCAGGGCTACGTTATCTACCGCATCCGTGTCCGACGTGGAGGACGCAAGAGGCCAGCCCCCAAGGGTGCCACTTACGGTGTGTCATCATCTTTAATCACATGGGGAATCAAAGTGGCGGATTGATTCGTAAAAATTTTGTAAATTTCTAACACGAGGAATATATCCAAATAGGCAAACCTACCAACCATGGTATCAACCAGCTCAAATACCAGCGTTCTCTGAGATCCACTGCCGAAGAGCGTGTTGGCAGACGCTGCGCCAACCTGCGCGTTCTCAACTCTTACTGGATTAACCAGGATTCCACCTACAAGTACTATGAGGTTATCCTCGTCGATCCCCAGCACAAGGCTATCCGCCGCGATCCTCGCATCAACTGGATCGTCAATCCAGTGCACAAGGTATGCTTTATCCTAATATATTTCTGCGACAAGTGGAACGAACCATACTAGGCCCATTGTATGCTAATATTGTTCACTTCGTAGCACCGCGAATCCCGCGGCTTGACCGCCACTGGCAAGAAGTCCCGTGGTCTTGGACGGGGCCACAAATACAACAAGACCACTGCTGGCAGACGGAAGACCTGGAAGCGCCTCAATACCCAGAGCTATTGGAGATACCGCTAAACGTGGTGATGTGGAGAAGGGGCGGTGGTTATGGTTACCGAGATATGTGTGTGGATGGACAGTGGGTGTCGGTGTTGGAATTACGTTTTACATTGCGTCTATTTTGCGGTGGTGGGCGACTTTGGCCAACATCGCGCATTGCCGACCACCAATCCATCCATCAGGAGTGGAGAGAAAGCTTTTTCAATTTTAATCTCCGCTGCAGCACCAGCAGAGTGCATGGTTGCCACGACTTTTATCAATTTGGTAATGTCTATAGCAAAATGGAAAATCCTCAAGATTCTTCTATTGCCTCCACTGTGTGCTTCAGGGCGTTCATTTAGCGTTTAGTATAATCCCGGATTAATATCCCGGATTTCTGTTTCCTTCGGGGGTTTTACACACGCACGAGAGTTTTGTCGTCATTTGGGGGGTTCTTGTTTGCATCCCCGTCATAATCGACTTGCTGTTTAAATTGTTTCCTCTCTCCTCAAGTTACATCTTGTTCTCGGGTTGTTTTTGTCTATGGTGCTTTGCTAGCATTGCCCTGTCCAAGCTACCTTTTCACCGCGGCAAGGCTGGGAGTCGGACTGAAGCCCTGCTCTCGTTCGCTCCGCTTTAACCTTAACTCCGTCGGCTGTGATTCTATCTTAGATGTGTGCGGGGGGGTTAAAACCACTTTTCAAACTTTTTGATTTATTCTTATGTAAAGACTTCTGCATGTATGTACATGGGCTCCTTGCTCCAACCCTTTCATTAACACTCCCCCAATGCGCTCAAGTCCTCAGAACTGCTATTAGTTCTACCTGATTGCGCCGCATTATATACCCATTGGTCCCCACGGGATCTAAGGTCAACACCTCAGCTCCAATTTACTTTCTGGGTCGCACCGATACCCTCTAAACTAGATGTTATGTTTGAAGGTATTTTCAATGGAATCATTGGTCAAAATACCGCCAGCTGGGGGGTTAGCTGATGCCAGAATAAGTTGAGAGTTAATCCTCTCAGTTAGCAGTAGGAACTCTGATGACGGTCAGTAACGCCTGCGTCGAGGTTTGCATACTGGCAGTCGGCTGCGGAGGCACCGATGTTGGATTAAGGTGGGTTCCTGAGTTGCAGGTTCAACTGGCAGTTTCGACGGTTGTTTTCCATTGGGACATCGAAGGAAACGAGTGTGACGTAGCAGACGACGTCAACAGTCCAGCCAAAAAAAATAGCCGGAGGAAATTCAGTTTACGGGAGCTGAAGCAAACCAACGTCAACCGCATCCACAGTTAACCCAGTAGCGTTGATAAATCACTGTAGAGATATCCGTAAGAGAATGTATGGAGTCTCAGTTCCGTAGAGTGGTGCCCATATCGGCAAACTCCAAGTAAACAAAAGGTTCCTAATCAAGAGTTTAGCAGTTCTTCCTTGTGCTCGGTACGTGCAAGCAATGGGTTGTCTTCTTGAGTTCCAACGGGTGGGAAATTGATGGTTGACGTCAAGTTTCAATCGTCGGTAAACGGAGAAATATCTCTACCTCATCCACGTAATCACCTCCACCACATCTATTCACCACTTACCATCCCAAACCATGGGTATCATTGTCAGACCTGACACTTGGTTGCTGCAAGAGCGGCTCCACCCAGCCGTTTTCCTTCTCATTCCAGTCCCAATTTTAGAGATATAGGCCAATAGCCGAGTCCATTTGGCTCTCTTAGTCGCCCCCATGCCTTCCTTCAGGTCCCGAACAAACCTCTATTCCCAGGACAATTGGGCTTTAGCCATAGGACTGTAGTTCTGAGCAAGGTGTGGCCCGTTCATGTATGTGCCGCACACCCTGCAATGCTCGGAATGTCGACAAGGATACATGCTAACGTTGGCATTGAGCACCGTAGAGCACGTCAACGGAATTCTCAACGTGGCAAATTTGACACACCATGGAGGCGTCATGAGGAGTTCCTCGTGGGTGGTGTGTGGGTGTGTTCTGGAAACAGGAAGGCTGGAGGCAGCACGTAGGAAACAAAGCATGGCTGAAATGCACCCCCTCCCTAGTCTCACTTCTGTTCTGGATGGACCGCTATTCGATTCCATACGCCAGTTATTTTCGTTGGCCAAACCCATCCCTTCCACTATCATAGGATACTTCTCTCGGCTTCAAATTGGTAACTACGTGCATGTCGCATGATAAGGTCATCACTTATGTGCAGCAAGTATCGGTGGTTGCGAATTTGGGACGAATAAAAACACGCTGCCCTATGGTTTTGCAAATGAGCTTGGTATAAACTGCTAGAGAATCAAGAGTGGATTTGATGGTATATCTTGCTGTTCTTACTTACCTACATACTAACTATCTGGTCCTTGAGCCCCAAACCTCCTCAGCATTTAAATATGTTCATGGCTTAGCTTGCCGTTAGCTTCGAGCGAAAATAACAACACACACACTGGACCGACAGCCACACTGGGAATCTAGCTGGGAGGTATGCGTAAGCTTTGATTTAGAATGATTGACAGCTCCACCGCCAGTGTTTCTTAGTCTAAGACAAGTTTTGTGACAGAAAAGGTACCGAGCAGGATGAAATCAGGATCGGGCTGTTGGAGCTGGATACCAGGGGAGTCACATCATCTTCCACATGAGCCCACCCCCGCCAAGTTCCCCAAACCTCCCTAGAGAATCAATAGGCACTCGACACCCTTGGGGGCAATCGACTTTTTGAAAGGGAAATCCCTAGGAAATCGACATTGGCACACTCATGGGGAAGAGGTGCGGCGTCAACAGAAAGATTGAATGCTGCACAGCGAAGAGCTTTGGCTGGTTGGCTGGCAGAAGATTGGATACACACATATTTCGGAGGTTGAAGTGAAGAAACATAAGTTTAAGGGGTTCACTGCGTAGGCCCTCGAAACACCGCTAGGAGATTGCTGTCGCATGCTGAGAAGGCCAATTTCCACAACCAGAAGATAACTACTAAAATGTGACAACAACTGAGGGGTGATAATACCAAATGCTTTTATGACTTTGATGACGATGTTGGTACTCGTATTATTGCAACAAAAACTGCCAAAGATGACTTGTATTACGAGGCGCGAGAAATCTGGAGCAACTTGCTGATAGTTCTTCCAGGCTTGATTGAAATAGATCCTTTCTGCTTTATGATTGGGGCTTGTCTTGCAGCAGCATGAGTAGTCCCCGATCCGGCCCGAGACGTGGTCGAGGATGAACAGCGTATCAATCGTGAGTTTGAAACTTTTCAAAGATATATGACGGCAGTGAACGGGTAGGGCAACGGAATGAGATGGGTCTGTTCCTGGTTCGGGAGTTGTGTGGTTGTGTGGGTGTCCACTTGGATGGGGTTCTGTCCAGCCTCAGCGAACCACCTTCCAACGTACATTAAGACGGCGATCTATTTGGGAATGGCATCCCTAGCCTAATGGGGGGTTTGGTGCCTATAACAGCCCTCCAATCTTGGTTAAGATCGGTTAGCCTCATGCCCCATCCTCCCAGCCCGGTAACTATGTCTCTATAAACCACTCTCTCCCCCTAATTATCAGAAGGGTTGGGGACGGTTGGTTGCTGACACATCTTATGTTATTTTAAAAAGCGCCCAATAACTTTTCCAGACCAAAAAGCTGTAGTTACATATCTAAGGCGATTCTGTTTGAAGGGGTCTTTGTTTGGCCGCTGCTCCGTAGTTACTATGCATGGACTTGACCGCGTGATCCCCCGGTTCTGATCAAGATCTTGCACTTCGTCCACCGTTACATCTACATGGCCAACTCCTTTGAAACATATCCTGTGTCCGCGAAGGTTGCGGGCACTGTTGTAATAACAAACACAGAGAACTTTGAGGATATACTTCATTCATTCAGAAGCTGAAGCTGAAGCTGAAGCTGAAGATGACAATGGAGATGGAATGTTGAACTCTATTAGCTTTCACGGGCTGTCCCTGCTCCCAGCAAATCAACGGCGAAGCAGCAGCAGCAGCAGCAGCAGCAGAGCAGAGCAGGTCCAGCCCAACTTCCACGCCGCCACCGGCTGGGCTGACGGTTCAAATAACAACAACAAAACCAACTGGTAGCTAGTTATCAGTGATTGTTCAGTGGCATGAGGCACTACGATTAGCTCCAGTCTCCCGTCAAACAGGGCGGGGCAGATACAGGCCTGCTCCCTGACCGGAGACTGGCAGACAGACCTTGGTTGGTGATCAGCTCCCAACAATTGCAGCTGGCGCCAGTATTTTCAACGATCGAAGTGGAACGCCTAGAACAATTTCACCTGCTATTCCCCCCGCTAACAACTTCTCTGTGGGTTCTCAGTCCCATGTCTGACATTTGTCGTTAGCTGTGGGTTCCGTCTTTCCCCTCCTCTGGTCCCACCCAGGCGGAACAAGAAAGGTAACAGGCTAATTTATCTGAAACCTTCATTGGATGCAGCGCCAATCAGGGTTCCCTAGCTTACCTGCAGATCCCTGGAAGAGTCAAAGCTCTCTGGTCTGCAGAATCACTTCACGATCCCGATGTCTCCACCTTGGACATCCCGCTTCGAGTCAAACCCCCTTCCATCGGCGTCAAAGCCTTCCAAGAGTGTCTCCTCGTCTCCGTCGTTGGCCCATGATGGCAACAACCTACCAAAAACTCCGCTAACATATCGCCCCGAAACCCCTCAAGCTCACCCTCACAGCTTTCAAGATACCTCTTCCATGTCGACTCCGCCGCGTCGTACCCATACGCGCTCAATTAGCCATCCATTCCCCTCGTTGTTTGGCTCTGGGAAGAAAAGACAACAGCCAGCTGGTAGAGATGCATGCACAGACTTTTCAGATGACGGCCGCGTACATCCTGGGCGGTTGTCGAGGTCGACCAGCCCGCGGAAGGAGAGGGTACATGCCAGTGGAGGTGAAGAGTATGTTTCGCGAAGGTGCATCACTTGCGACCATACCAATGCATTCCCGCGTGGCATGAAGGGCTTCAGATGCGGCAAATGTACCGCAATGAATGACCTGGAGCCACGACACGATTCTTTGAATGCCCAGTTCGGTAATGCTGATGGCCACTCTGTTCCGCACTTTAGACCAAACGGTTGGTTTCTATACCTCAATTCTTTTTATTTTCACTGCTTACTGGGGACTAACTATCTTTAACCGTTGCTTTTTTTTTTTTGCCCCCTTCTTTTCAACAATTAGTGCCGTACTTGTCTCTTGAAATTACTCGGGACATCATTGAACGATGTCTCTCTTCGTATCTACGGTCGTTTTTAGATGAAACCGAAGAACGAGGCCCCGGCCCCGTTGTCGCGCCTCCATTTTCGGGCAAGTCCGCCGTGTCTGACGCTTCCCACCAGGGAAAGGCTTCGGGTGCCAAACAATTCCCTGCAAGAAGTCCATCTCCCTCCCCATGGTCCAATTTCGAAACCTCGCGTTCGCACTCCCCTGGCTCTCACTCCCCTGCTTCTCGAGTGTCTTCTCTTGGAAATGCAAGAGATTTGGAAGGCGATATGCGGGGAATGTCTCTGTCCGACACGGAAAAACCATCACACCACGCTAGACACATTCGCGGATCGGACAGTTTAGTTGTGCCGGATGGGACGCGTGCTGTTTCACAGTCTAGCCAATGCACATCTGGCAATGAAAACAGGCCAGGTGTAGGTCGGTCAGCGTCCATATTTCGCCCCCTGGAAAACTATATTAACGCTTGCTTTAACGGCTGTGATACGATCAATCACTCATTTTTGACCGTAAGACCACACCCTCCTCGAGTGGCAAGCGAGGGAAATCCAACATCGACAGGCTTACCCGCTGATTCACCTACTAACCCTCTGTCAAGTCCGCCTGTTTTTCAATTTGATGCAAAGACCCTTTTGCTCAGTGACGTTGCAGAGAATGGCTCCTGGTGGACGGGCAACCGCACGCATGTTAATCGTTCAAGTGAAGACTATCCGAAGGACAAAGCTTTCGGAGCAAATAGCGGATTGACTAGCTCAAGGACTCCGCGTATAAATTGGGCTGATCTTGCTGGTTGGTACCAAGAGCTTATCCACGCTGGTGAGTCCTGGACCCAGAAATGGAAAGAAATGAGGCCAGATGGAACAGACAGTCCGGAAAAGATAGCGCTGGCCAAATTATGGGATGCAACCGATGTTTCTGTTCTAGACCAAGAAATTAGGACATCGCGACGACATGTCCAAATTGTCCTTCTAAAAGCTACGGAAAACTTACTCCAGAGACCAAGGCGCCCCCTGAAGCGTCCGGAAGATATTAGATTTCTATTGATTTTGCTTGCAAACCCGTTACTCTATTCCTCCAGCCTGAGTGGCAACCCACAGTTGGCATCAATTTCCAAGACTCAAAGACGGCCTGAACGCCATCGGCCTGAAGACCGTGGAAGTCCTGCGAGCAATGCCGCCAGACCAGTCCTCCACTCGCGTTCGGCCTCGATTTGTGCATCAGGCGAATTACCAGACCGTCGCCCTCTTATCATTAAAAGGATTCTAGGCCTGCTCTCTAATTTGCCCACGGAATGTCACCACATACTCGTTTCCTGGTTTTCGAGATTTTCCGAGAGTCATATCCGCCGCATTGTTGAACTAGTAGGCAGTTTTGTCACGTATCGCTTGAATAGAGAACAGAAGCGGCGACGGACCAATCCGACCAAACTCAGAAATGGAGACGATTTGGATGACTACGTTCCTACCTTTTCATCTACTGGTAGCACGACTCCCGCCCAGCTTCATTCTGCTATCAACCGCGAGAATGCCCCAAAATCTCCTGATGCAACTCAACAGGCCATTACGTACAGTAAAGATTGGCAAATCAGAGCGGCAGCAAAGGTTATGGCACTTCTATTTTGCGCGAACAATATGACCCACAGTCGGAAACGTGACGGAGTACGAACTGGAGCGGAAGAGGTATTGAGACCCGATGGCCAGAGCAGCAGGCACCTTATTCCAATAAGCACGTTTTACAACACGCTGCTGGATTATTCTGATCTGATTGCAGACTTCGATGCATGGGAGTCTCGCAATGGTCAATTTTCATTTTGCCAGTATTCATTCTTCCTGAGCATCTGGGCGAAGATACGCATTCTCGAGCACGATGCTCGACGACAAATGGAAGAGAAAGCGCGAGAAGCCTTCTTTAATAGTATTTTGGGTCGAAGAGGAGTAAGCCAATATCTAGTGCTGAAGGTGCGAAGAGAATGTCTAGCAGAGGATAGTCTGCGCAGTGTTAGCGAGGTGGTGGGTACTGGACAAGAGGAAATCAAGAAGGGTCTGCGGATCGAATTCCTTGGTGAGGAGGGTGTTGACGCTGGCGGCCTGCGGAAGGAGTGGTTTCTCCTCTTGGTTCGAGAAATTTTTGATCCTCTTCACGGTTTGTCCCATCACAATTCCATCCCTTTCTGCGAAGTGGAACTGACATTACTAATTCTGCTGATTAGGACTTTTTGTTTATGATGAGCAATCGCAGTATTGCTATTTCAATCCATTTTGTTTTGAGTCATCGGAGCAGTTCTTCTTGGTTGGAGTGTTGCTTGGCTTGGCAATATACAATTCCACAATTCTGGACATCGCCTTGCCGCCCTTTGCCTTCAGGAAGCTTCTTTCCTGTGCACCTTCAAATAATGTGCCCGCCCTGTCGACTCCCCAACAGGTCTTTAAATGCACTCTACAAGATCTCGCGGAATATCAACCCGCACTTGCAAGGGGCTTGCGCAACCTCCTGGAATATGATGGCGACGTGCAGGAGGCATTTTGCCTGGATTTTGTTATTCAAGTAGATCGATACGGGAAGAAACTTGAGTTGCCGCTACGCCCTGGAGGAGAAAAGAAACCAGTTACCAACTTCAATCGTCGTGAATATGTTGATCTTTATGTCAAGTACCTGCTAGACACAGCAGTGGCACGCCAATTTGAACCCTTTAAACGAGGGTTTTTCACTGTTTGCGGAGGAAACGCCTTGCACCTCTTCCGCCCTGAAGAGATCGAACTTCTAGTACGTGGTTCAGACGAACCGTTGGATATCCCCTCGCTGCAAGCCGTCGCAGTCTATGAGCATTGGCAATGCGAAAAGCCCGAACAGGAACCCGTGGTGATATGGTTCTGGGAATTCTTCGCCAGAGTCTCACCCGCCGACCAGCGCAAGATCCTCAGCTTCATCACCGGAAGTGATCGCATTCCTGCTATGGGCGCGACAAATCTTATGATTCGTCTTGTGTGTCTGGGGCAGGATTCGGATAGATTTCCGACGGCCAGGACGTGTTTTAACATGGTTGCGCTGTATCGATATACGACTCGGGAGAAGTTGGAGGAGAAATTGTGGAGGGCTGTGGTGGACAGTGAGGGTTTTGGATTGAAATAGATTATTCATAGCTTATTTATAAAATCATCCTGTTTGGTGACGCAGGTTTTTTTTTTTTTTTTTTTTTTTCTTTCTTTCTTTCTTTCTTTCTTTCTTTCTGGCGCTGGGATTCTGATATGCATTTGTTCGGCTTTCCCTACCTTAATTTTGGTGGTATTGACTCGGTCAACCTGCAACCAAGCACTGACCTCATTGGATCATCTTCCTCTTGGATAGCTTTTGGATAGGTGTTGGAGAGGGTTTCGGGACGATAGAGCATCGTTTGGATTGCGTGGTGTTCCGATTTCATTTTTATGAGGTGGAGCTTTGTCTTTTGCCATTCTGCGTTTGGAGAGGAGGAGGGTGCCCTTTTGTTTAGCAAGGGTGTTTGGTTATGCGTATAGACAGAATGGGGTGAGAGTGATGTTATTTGGTTGCTGGGTTGCTGGGTTGGTCTGCTTCTCTTCTCCTCGTTTTTGTTTAGCGCGTTTGATATTGGCTACGGATTAGTTTACCTGGTGATTAGTTAGACCTTATTAATGGGATTACTGAGAAGACATCTCTTGTGGCATTAAATGCTGGCTTCATTGGACATGCATGGGCTGAGGATAGTCCTGGTTTGCTAGGGTTTCGTGTGGCCTTAAGACTAGCATCACTTCCAAGCCCACGGGTCTGGTACAGGGATAGTCCAAAGCTCGTTGTGAAAAACCTCCCAAGGTTCCTATCTGTAAGGTAACACATTTTAACTAACTACTAAATTCCAAATATCAAGATAAGCCGAGATAACTAGTTAATTACTTGGTCCAATAGAAGCGGCCAAAAGCTTCCGAAGTAAACTTCTGCGCCCGGCTATTACACTGGCAATGCACCGGCTCCGCTCCAGCACCTAAAGCACTACTAGCATGTACACTTGGGTTGAATATCTTACTTTTGCTATTCCTCTTGCTCTTCCTTTTGCCAGCAGAATAACCAGATGCTACGGGGTCCACGGGGAATGGTTCATGTGGTTTGAAGCGCTCAACAGCTCACTCCAGACTGTTCCAGGTTCCGCGGTTGAGGCGCAGGGTTGCAGCCGGGGTTGGATGAACGGGGTTGAATGGACGGGGTTGAATGAACGGGGTTGAGGTTAAGGTGGCCAGTCCAATGTCATGTGCCGCAGAGGAATTTTCCTTCTAGTTGTCAAGCAGTTTTTGGTTCTAAAAAAAAATGTACATGTTGGTTATTTCTTTGCAGTCCAACGATCGATGTCAAGGTCCAGTGGAATTGCTGCTTTCTTAGAGTTGTTCTGTCGATGCCTCCCCTCCTTTGACGCCAGGGAGAAAACCATCCATCCCCCTTGACCCGCTCAGCAGTTGATCGAATAACTACATCGGGAGGAATCCAACAACAAGCTGCTCTCGAGGATCAGCTAGTTTTGCATGTTGTCAAGTGCCCAAAAAGTAAACCGAAATACTTTGTTGGGTTTGCTCAACTTGGTACCTTTTTTCATCTACTTGTTGAGAACCAATGACAAGCTTTTTATTTAGCCTTTCGGCCACATGGTTTGCAGCAGAGCGACGGTTCGTCTTCCTTTTCCTTTTCCTTTCCATGCAGAAAGCAGCGGAAGATCTGGCCAGACGTGACCGCTAGAAAAATGGAGATATTGTTTTAAATAAATAATAATTAAAAATTTAAAATTTTACGAGATGAAGGGGAGGGCGAATAATGTGGTGCGGCAAAATGATGGCCGTAGGCGATAGTGGGGCAAAAGAGAAGAAAAAAAAAGGAAAAAAGCCAACTATGGGATGCCATGATGCTGTCCTCTCAGTTCAACACCAGAATCTCAGCTTGGTGATGTTACAAGTTGCCGCCTCTCTGCTCCTTTAATCCACAATGGGCTCCATAGCTTAAGGAATCCTGGTCCATTTATCAAGCCAGCAGCCCATACGGGATATCCCCACAGGTGTTCCAATCATTGTTGCCACGATCACAGACGACACACTTCTAACCGTCCCGTGGGCGAATGAACGGTATGCAGGGAGTCGAAGGGAACTAGAAGAAGAAGATGTCAAAATGGCTGACCGTTCCAGATTTCCAATTGACGTTTTAAACTTTCGGCGTTCTCTGCGATGGCGTTGCGCCGCCATTCCAAGGACCCCAGCGGGGGACCTTCAATCGGAGTTGGAAGTAAAATTCCCTCCGTCACCGGTACCTGGGCTAAGAGCCGACTTCATCCAGAGTTTTTTAATCGCTCATTGCTCTCCCCAACGTCGTGGAATAATGGTGAGATTTGGCTGGTTTGGTATTTTATTCTTTTTATTTTATGTTTTTGCTGGCTGCTTGGTGGACGGCGCCGGTGGATTTCCTGCCCCCACCATGATGAGACCGAACAACGTTAGTCATGTTCTCGAGAGGAAGAAATAATATTTCCCTACCCATAACCTCACCGATTTGTTCACAGTCACACTCATCTTTCTCCTCCCCTCGCCTCTCCCCTTTCTCTTCTTCTTCACTTCCCACATCTGCTGCCTGTTTCCTGGGTCTTCATCACACTTGCTCAATTTCCCCAGAAGATTAGGTATGGCTGGAGAGACCTGCACGCAGCTTGCTGACATCAGCGATTGTCGGTGCTAACTCTTTGGACCTGACCACAGATCTCAATCGTTGTATAAGCTCGGGAAACGATCAATCCTCCTCACACACAATGGCCGGCCAGATCCCCAGGACTATGAAGGCTCTCCAGTTAGTTTTCTCTCCTTGCTTGCTGCCCCCCCCCCCCCCCCCCCCCCTTCCATGTCGCCACGTCAAGATGCCAACATGCGCCGAAGGCTGGAGACGGTTACTCCTGAAGCGGGATCATAGGCGTGTCCAAAACAAAACCGGATTGTCCTTTTCTTCGTCTCTAGAACGCCTGCTAACCTCTGGGTGTCAATGCCTCCAGATACTCCAAGCCCGAGGAGTTTGGACTTGTCAACATCCCCGTCCCAACGCTGCGTGAGAATGATATTTTGGTATGGGAAATCCTGCAGGATCCTTCCCTCTCTGATGAAAGCATCTTGCATCCCGTGCTGGATTTCCTTTTCTGATTTCGGGGTTTTCATGCATTTTTCTAGATCAAGGTCAAGGCCTGCGGTGTGTGTGGCACAGATCTCCATATCCACGAGGGAGAATTCTTGGCAAAGGTAAAACTCCCCAATACATACATCCCTATCTCCTGTCCCTTTTGGCTGGAAACTGACCGAGTCGGCATTTTGTAGTTCCCTCTGGTGCCTGGTATGGAGAATAGCCTTTGCTCCTCTGCATTTCCCTCGCGCTGTGTACTAAAATTGTGAACGTGCAAAAACCAGGTCATGAGACTGTTGGTGAAGTTGCCGCCCTGGGCCCCAAGGTCAAGGGTTTCACCATTGGTGACCGTGTTGTTGCCGACAACTCTGAGCTCTGCGGAACATGCTTCTACTGCCGACGCGGAGAGGAGTTGCTTTGCGAGAATTTTGAAGCTCACGGCGTGACCATGAACGGGGGTTTCGCTGAATATTGTGCATACCCTGGTAAGAGAATATGCCCGTTGATATATTATTTCCATTATCATTATCATCATCATCATCATTATTATTATTATATATATCCAGTGGGGATGGCAATGGAGATCCTGACACGCTTCTCAATCTATATAGCTGGCAGGGTATTCAAGATCCAGAACCTTTCCGATGCTGACGCCACACTGCTCGAGCCCGCATCGTGCGCTGCCCACGGTCTTGATAAGATCTCCCCAAAGATGGGCTCAACCGTCCTCATGTTTGGCGCCGGCCCGACTGGCCTCGTAAGTTTTCACCTGCATCTGGAGAACAAATACTATTCATTTAATTATTTGTTTATTTTTATTTTTATTTTTATTTTTATTTTTATTTTTTATTTTTGGCCTGGCTTCCTCACCTACAATTTCCTAGGTTCTCGCTCAAATGCTCAAGCTGAACGGTGGATGCAAAGTTGTCATTGCTGCCCCTGAGGGTCTGAAAATGGATTTGGCCAAATCTCTCAACGCCGGAGACGAATATATTTCTCTTTCACGGAAAGACCCCAGTGCGCAGTTTGCCAAGCTCAAGGCCGATAACCCATACGGGTTTGATATTGTCGTTGAGGCCACTGGTAGCGTGAAGATTCTGGAAGACGCTATCAACTACGTCCGTCGCGGTGGTAAGCTCGTGGTGTATGGCGTCTACGCTGCGAAAGATCGCGTCACATGGCCACCCTCCAAGATCTGTATGTCATTGCACACCCACCCCCCCCTTTTTTTTCATCATCCAAAGTGCTCGTGTTGAGTTCGTGGTCGACTGACGTTCTCTTCTCCCTCCCTTAGTCGGCGACGAAATCACCATCCTCGGGAGTTTCAGTGAAACTTACAAATTCCCTGCTGCCATTGATTACCTTGATTCTGGCAAGGTCAAGGTTAACGGCATTGTCAACAAAGTCTTCAAGATCGAGCAATGGGCTGAGTGCTTGGAGTCGATGAGAAACAAGTCTGCCATTAAGGCTGCCATTGTCTTCGATTAAGATACCTGCTCTCATATTGGTTTGTCTTTTTGAAGCTGTGCTGCGTTGGTCACATCTAGTTTTATGGCAATAGAGAAATAGAAGGCATAATTTTTACATAAGAGAATGCATGGGCTCTTTTTTATGGAGAATAGAGCATGAATATAGAGGAATGAAGAATAATCAACATCAAAATGGAAATGAGTGTGCGTTGAGAGACGTGCTAACATAAGAATGTTGATCAAGTTGATGACTGGAAAACTTGTGCTGATGTGCGGGCCCTGTCCAAGGTATATAACATCACATTTGAGGACCTTGGGGGGGGGGTGTAAATACTTCATATTTAGAAAAAGTATTTTGTACTGCCCACACTAATCGGGTGGGTCAGATTCGGTGAGTTCAATATCACTGAAAGTTTATCCCGCAAGAATGAAGATAGCATCAAGTGTTTCAACGTATTCATGTCACACACTTCGTCAAAATTATAATGACTCCGTCTCTTATCTTGTCAACCGATTCAATATTTGCCTTCATGAGGAAACCAATGCAGAGATAGAAGGAGCATAAGAAAAGAGTCCTGGGCCTATAAAAACAGCATCATCCACAATCCCCAGGAGATATGTGATAAGCTGCTGCGTGAGCATAGATTTTCATTCAGCATATAATGAAAATACGTTTAACCTGACGCTGAAACACATATGGTTATGATTAGCAGTGGCAGTCCGTCTCCCTCAAGGCAAAACTGGAGAGATAAAGAAGACCGAAGAGAAAACCAAGATCTAGGGCCATCAGAAGATTTAATGGAGGTCCGATTACCCCTGGATGCATAACAAAACCCAGGCATCTTTATTTTACTCAGGACGCCGTTTCGAGAATCGGTGTTGGGTCAACAATCCGCAGTCGATCTGCAATTCGAAGGGTAAACCGTGGCCCCCCCCCCCCCAATGATCGGTCGAGAGGCGCTTCTCAATTCCCTAGCGTGACTTTCACCCTTCATCCTCTACATGGAACCACCGATCAAACGTTGATGCCACCATTGCGTTACGTGTAATTATGGCATCCAGAACAACTCCACAGCTTCAAGGTATTGGGAGCAGCGTGGACGGGTCCACCAACGACCAAGGGCCTCGTTAGAGAACGTAATGACATCAGTTTCTATTTTGGTAAAACTTCCCAAGAGAATCTTTGGATCACTCTGGTGATAGTTATTCCCATGAACAAGAAAGCACCATTCGGGTTTATATTAAGAGATTGATTAAATATATCCAATTTCGTTGGCAGTTAGTGTCCATTGAACATCGTGATGAGAGATAGGTCGAAGACGAAGTTTGCATAAATGAATATTTCATCGCTATTGCCTTCGGTTAATGCTGGTAGCAGCCATGAACTGGCTCGAAGTGATAATCGTTCGCTGGGCACATGGCAAAGTTTATCGCCCGTTTAAATATCATCTGCGCTGACTCCAAACTCCTTCCAAATAATTCACAGAATATGCTCGTCTCCTCCCAACGAGAGGAACCACTTTTTTTTTTCTTCTTCTTCTTCTTCTTCTTCTTCAGTGGGTTGATCTTACGCCAGATTTCCTTCTTCGAATTGAGGTAGAAAAGAGCCATGCTAGAGTCATTAGCCGTGGACAAAGACATTTTTCAATTTGTACCCACGAACATACATTGTTTTAGAAGCGTAAGGGTCAGGATCTTTTTTATCTAGAAATTGCGGAGTCAACCCCCAAGGTTGTTATGGCCAAATGCCTCTTATTTGAGCGATCTTAATTGCTATTACTACCTGTATCCATTTAAAGGTCTGCTTTTGCTTAGCTGCTCAACCAATAGAAAGCGAGGCGTGTGGTTAAAATAGGGTTGTCAGCCGCAATTGATATCATCTGAGCTTCGAAGCTTGGCGGAACCCTTCAAGCCAAAATAAGTTAGTGCTGGGCTGACTTAACCTGAGTTTTTTTTAAGTTTACCTTAACAACCTGAGCCGTTTTGATCGAACCTGTCTCTCATATTTCTGGAAGAATCGTACCAAAGGGGAAAGAAATCAGCAAACGAATGTAACGATGGTTAAACCACTGACATTTAAAGGTGATAAAAAACCCAAAAAGCGCAAGCGTCAACAGACCGATTCCGATCCTTATGAGTCTCCTTCCCGAAACCCTGATCGCCAAAGCGCTCTCAAAGGTATTCCCGATGATTTCTCAGCTGCCGACGAGGACCAGAATTGGGTCTCTGCAGACACACCAACGGATATTTTAGGTCCAGTCGTGATTGTTTTGCCGTCTAGCCCTCCCACGTGCATCGCGTGCGATGGCAACGGAAAGGTTTTTGCTCATGAGATAGAAAATATGATTGAAGGCGATCCGGGAACGGCAGAGCCGCATGATGTGAGGCAAGTGTGGGTTGCTACTAGAGTAGCGGGTACCGAGGGGATTAATTTCAAAGGACATCATGGGCGGTGGGTTCCTGTCAATATTTTCTTCTTCTTTTCTTTTCCTTTCTTTTCTTCCCCCCCCCTCTCCTCCAAATGTCCGATTCATGGAGCGAATTTCGCTAACCACCAGAGACTTTTGATAGATATCTAAGCTGCGACAAATACGGAATTCTAAGCGCAAATACCCCCGCCGTATCCGCATATGAATCCTTCCTTCCGATACCCTCACCAGACCTACCGGGTACATTTTCCTTCCAGGTGGCCGGTGGCGACAAGGAGGCATTCATCTCCATAAAGGAACCCCGAGGAAGCTCTGAATCTACAACAGCGTCAGCGATCGAGGTGCGTGGCGATGCCTCAAGCATCTCGTTTAACACAACCTGCCGTGTCCGCATGCAGGCACGTTTTAAACCTAAATTGAAAGCGTCCAAGGAGTCTAAGGCCCTGGAGAAAATCAGTCGCAAAGAATTGGAAGCTGCCGTGGGGAGGAAATTGGAAGATCACGAGGTGAAGAGGCTGAAAAAGGCGCGAAAGGGAGGGTCTTACCATGAGGAGATATTGAATGTTAGGGTTAAGGGGAAACATGACAAGTTTGCTTCATGAGGGACTTCACCATCCAGCAGCCTTTTTGAGACTAACATGTGTTGCCATGAATGGACAATTGAGTCGGCCGTGTTCTTGCTGTGTTGGTTCCTTATGGAGTTATGACACCCGTGAGGCAGAACCACGATGAACACCATCAGTTTCTGAGGAATGGTGTGCATCTGCACCAGGACGAGACCCGGAACGCATATATGAATGTACATGTCCCTCAAACCGAATGCTCCAGCTTTTAGCCATACCTCTCCGTTTCGACTACGTCTCGCCATATATATATATATTTGCTAGTAACTCACAGGCTTGGCTTAGGACAACAGGGCAAAATGTTGGTCCGCGGTTCTTAAGGTCAAGGTGACAAGGTGGATATTATTTGAAAATGGCATCTCAACATATGCTAGCCCAGAGCTACGATTTGTTTCTGCACCGCACATGATGCGCTTATTGCAAGAGGGCTTCTCAAAACCACTTATAAAAGGGGCCGCCAACCTCCTGCACATCGGATTGGAATGCGCGCTGGATATTGAGCAAGTCTATGTGCTTCAAAATTGCGATGTCCTCCTGCTTCGCTAATTCCGTTTAAATGCATGTACAGATTTGTATTTTAAAGGTGGTGTCAGCTCGTCTTAATAGATATTTACACAGCAAAAATTAGCAAACCTACTTGAGAAATGCAAGGTAACTCAATAATATTTAAAAACTTCTAAAAATGTAGTGCTTCGGTAGAGAAACTCATAATCAGATATCCCACATTTCCATCAGTACCCACGAACTCTACTCATTATCTTCTAAAACATTCAAAGACCATTTCCGCACCTCACTCGAGACAAATATTATAATTATCTCCCGGAATTTCCCTACATGGAAGCAGATGGACAGAGAAGAATATGTTTAGCAATGAGAATATATAATTTGGGAACAGTGAAGTGGTTTGGGAGATTGGAACAGAACATCCATCTTACCCCCAGGGGATTTCCGCATCCACAAAAATTTAGGAAAAGGGTATCAGCCACGAGGAAAGAATAAATGAAAAAAAAAAAGTTTAGAAATAGGAAAGGGTAATTGAGTAAGTAATTGAATGCGTTCAATCTCCCCCTGAGTCGATTCAGCTGATTAACGCCTGTGGTGAGAACTGGCTCCGTGGAAGAGCAAAATATTGTGCAGAAATGACTTGAGCATGAGGCGAAAAAAGAATATATATGAATATACACCATCGTCAAAGATTAGATAGGTATGACGGGTATGGTTTGTTCAAAATTTCATAGAATATGTTTATATATCGGAAAAGAAGTAGCATGGTGAGCTAGACATGGGTCAGTGCGGAATAGCAATATAAATATCTAGCCTACCGTATTGCCGGGAATACTTTATAGAGAACTTTAAGCCCTATAGAAACAGATATATTAGCACGAACCACAGTGCCTCGGCCGGACGAAATATTATACATAATAAGAGGATATGTGACATGGATTAGGATGTTTGGAGCTGGCGTACATTTCGACTGGGGCAAGTGTCGCGCCCTCTCGCCATCTGCAACCATGGGATGACCACCTAACATCTCCATAGCCCTCACACGCGTTTCTTCTTGCAGCTGTCTCGAGGGTCTAGAATTATCTAGGTGCTGGGAGGTGGTTGTAGATGGAGGTGTAACTGTGGCTCGGGCGGCATTTCTCGACTGCCGTAGCATATCTGTAACTGGATTGCGGAAACCGCTGCGTCGTTCATTGGCTCTCAGCTGGGGTAATAGGCTGAGAATCATCATGACCCACCCTGTGTTGCGATTTTGAACCTCTCGAAGCTGGCGAGCAAGCCGTTCCTGGCGAACCATGACATGGGTTATTTTCTCGGGGCAATATCCACGGGGAAGAACACTTTTCTTGCAAACTGGGCAGAGACTGCTGTTCTGTAAGAGGAAATTGTCGATACATTCTGGATGGAATAAATGCTGACATGGAAGTTGGCGGACTGTGGTTTCGCCGCTAACATAGTCATCGAGGCAGATAGAACAGGTGGTTTGTGAGAACGCTAGCTGATTGTGGCCTCGCTGGTTGGTACTAAAAGCCGTGGTTGGTGATTTTAGTGAAGGTGTGGGCAATGATAGAGACTGGAATTTCTGTGTAAAGAGAGCCTGCGATGCACTTGACATGCACTTCAAAGGTGATACCAGCTGAAGGAAATGTCTCTTCTGATCCACGGGGCCTTTATGAGATTCCTCAGAAGGATGATTTGGCATTACTTCTGTCGTTGGAGGTGGCGTCAGAAATTCATTTTTGCCCAATTCGTGATGTATGTAGAGTGGCATTTTATCCAAAATGTTCTGAGGGACATTCAGCCGCCGAATACCCAATGTCTCTAGATCAACTTCTCCTGCTGCGACTCGCCTTTCCAGAGCGCCGCGTCGGTGGATTTGAACTAGCCGCACGGCGATGGATAAGGAAAGGATAATACCAATCAGAATCCCCAGCACAGCTAAAAGGAAAACCCAGATGCTTGGGAGGCTGCTGCCATTGCTCCCTAGACGTATATATATCAGTTTAACGTGTTCAAAGAACTCCATGGATATGACGAAAAGTATTACTTAGGCCAATTTTTGAATACAACCGAATAAGTTCATCGTCGTCAAATGTCCTCGCCAGGTCTCTTCCATGTGGAACCTCAGCCAAATCCCCAGAATACTCGCTCAATGCACGCATCAACGTCGTACCATATTCACCGGGGATCGCGTAGACAGGGAATTTATTTGCAGCTTTCCACTTGTCGCCGTCATTTAGATCCCAGATTGGATCGTCCATTGGAGGAGGTATGTCAGTCGATGCATCTGGTCGATAAAAGATGGACGCAAGTGGCGAACTTCGTGACTGTGCTGCTAAGAAAGATAAAGTACACGTGGGAGAGACCCAAGGAGCAATCGATATCAATATATTTACATTTGGAAGATTGGATTTTCGAGTCGCATTTGCTGGTACAAAAGGGGCTGTCATCTGTTTACACGGATCTTCGGGATCGAGGTCCGCTACATAGAGCAAGCCTCGGATATCAAAACCATCCCCTGCATTTGTCGTTGACAGCGTTCGGATCCTACCGCCAATCCTGAGTTCAAAGGAGATGCTGGCCTGTATTTTGTGTTTTTACAGCTTTCGTTAGTGTCCAGCTTTAGAGGTTAGACGAGGGTCGACATATTCCTCCTCACATCTAGTTGTACTGGAGTTGCTAACTGTGATCTTTCTGATGAGGGGATAGCGAAGACCACAGTGTCAAGAGTATTTGCAGCTAATAATATATCAGCCAAGGATGTATCATATCACCACTTTTCTTCAAATCTTGCAATTTGCTTCGGAGAGATCTCTACAAATTTTCCGAAGGTAGTCGTGCCCTGGGTCCAAGGGTGGAAAACTTACTCATCTTTTAACAAGAATCCCGTAAGACTCTAGTGACAATAAAAACGCTTATTAGGGTATATGACTTGAGAGCTGGAATTAGAACAAGTATATCGAGCAGTTACGTAGTAGTGTGGTCAAAAATCGCAATGCGGCTGGAGACTTTTGCCGCTCACAGTGAAAAATGCATATAACGATCACAACTAGACATAGATTATTTATCTCATCTAACAGTGAAGCAGGGGAACCAGCAAAGCCTTCTTGCAGTCCTTGTCCTTTTGAAGGGGGAGTGGGTATCAGGATAGCGACATCCCCAGCAGCCTATCTAGATACTCGCACTGAGACGCCTTTTTTGGGGTCTTCGGCGGTGCGGGCGAGAAGTGTTTTGTTCGAGGTTGACAGGGTGCGCTTGTTCAAAGCATGGAGTGGATTGTCTTCAACATCATGAAGCTATTGGCATTTGCTCGCGGGTGCTGTTGTCGTTGTTGTTACATGCAGTGATTCTTCAAGTAGTCAGCTGCTCCCTAGCCTCGCACCTTAGTTAAGTCACTAATCCACAATCCCACTTAATGTCGCATAGACATCTCGTATCTGACGTCTCTCAGCGTAGATCTGGACCCCAGACTCTTGCTCTTGTCCATTTTGGCATGGAATGGTTTTGTTTTTCTTGGAACAAGATTCCCCACTTTGGGAACATATACAACATATAAGTACCCTGATATGTTTTTTCTTGCTCTCTGGAACCGAGAAATGGATGTGAAAAACTTCCAAACACTTTTCTGTACTTCCCCAAGCCGGCATAATTGCCTACTTTGGCACATAACCTATTCCATAGCTCTCCTGAGGTCAACTGAGTATGGATCGTTGTTCTAAAATTAATTTCGAGGCTTTCCTAGGTCTCATGCTGTGACTGGTTGACCCTATCCAGCCACAGGGCTGTCGATGGGTTCCGCGGCATTGGAATTTTTGTACTGTGCAAGTTGTGATTTATGATTTGTTCAAAGGTTAATAGGGCCTCTAAGGGGTGTTGTTGCAAACACCACTCTCCAATCATTGGCTCAGACTCGCCTCTGAATTGCCCGCAACCGATATTCTCTCGTCTGGAAGCGCCTGATACCGGGGTTGTGCTTGAAATTCCATGGTCCCTATCCCAAGAGGTCCCATTTAGTTGACAAAATATCAGTTAGCTTAACCCCACAGGTTAGTTTCAGTCACGGTAGGGTAGCCATCAAGCTACATAAGTGGCCATAGGGCACACTTTGGCCGTCCTTTGTTAATCGCCAGTGGTACAGACTGTTAACAGACCACCACCCTCACTAAGACGTTGGAAGGTGGAACTCATCCTTGCGAATAATAGCGGTCCATGCAACCACAAGGGTAAGGTCAAATTTTAGGACAGCGCCGCGACTTGTGATACATAGCAGATATGTAGACTATTTCTTCCTGCAAGTCTCCCGAGCAAGGTGTGGCACCTCGGATTCCGCCTCTTCTAGAAACACATTCGCACGGTATTTGCTGTGGAAGGGGCCGGCCAAGGGAGAAAGGAAAAAAACTGCAGAGGCACAACAGATGCGCCCCCTTGTTAGTTAGCTGAACAAACATCCAATGTTCAAATGGGAGATAGTTTGAGCTGAATGTCCTCTCATCATTCCAAATTTCCTAACCACATAGGCAGCTTCTTAATCGAACGGGATCGGATGATTATCCCAAAGCGCAGAAGCTAAGCTCCTTCAGACAATAAATACCATACAAAATCCTGATTGACGAGACATTCAGAAGTTACATTGATTAGTTTCTTCTCGACACAAGTAGTTCCTAGAACTTACATTACCCTCTTCGGGACTAGCATAGCGGACTCGAAGCGTGCAAACTCTGGAGATGAAGGCCAGAAGATTGCCAAAATACCAAACTATTTCTCTATCTTCAACCTGTAGCTCACAACTTTCAGCTGAGTCCAACCAACCACCCAGTACAAAAGAGCAGCGCTAAACCAGATACGGGCTACCTCCATATCAAGTCACGTGATATATATGACCTCAAGTTCGCGAGCTAACTTTATCCGAACGGCGAAAATTGATGGGCCGAAGAGCATCGCGAAACATGCGCGACCAACCAGCTAAAAAAGAGACATCGTCGAGATATACCAATTGGAGAAGGCTGTGCAATTTGCGCGCGAATCAACTCTTCCCATCCTTTGTGAGCTCTTACCCTGGGACTATATCTGTCTAAGAGACCATCGAGAGACGCTCTCTGTGGACGATTCGATTCGCAAACTGACTTTCTCGGGGTATCTCTCAAGGCGTGGTAGAATAGCCCGTCGTTGCAGCAACAAGTTTGAGAGCGTCTCATACCGTCCGTCCCTTGTCTAGACGTGCTGCCATTTTCAGTCTCTGAACTGTGAAAGCAAACCTCCATGAGGTATCGGCCAACATGCCTCCGCCGCTCGCAAACAAAGGCAAAGGAAAGGGCCGCGAGGTCAGACGATCTCGCAGTCGCAATACCACTCCAAGCTCTGTCAGCACTAGCACCGTAACCGGTATTGGTTATCTAGACAACGACATCTCAAAGATTCTGGTTTCAACCTCCGTGCAGTATTCCGACATTCTCGATAAGCTGGGCGGAAGTGGTCAGATCCCCGAGCCAAAGGCTCTTGAGTCGTTGGTTGAACACCTCAAAACTCTGAGCCAGTTGGCCGAAGTCAGAAGCGATGCGTGTAATGCGGGAATACGGGATCTATCGCAGAAACGCAAGGAAGCATTTGAAGAACTGAGGGAACGCGAACAAATAGACCGAGATGCAGAAGAACGATTGAGAATGAAGAGAGAGGCAGACGATGATGAGGACATGGGGCGGGCTTCAAAGGGAGGTAAATTGAAGAAGAGAAAGGATAGAGGGGCTGCCAAAGAGGAGAGACCCTTATCACATGGAGCTCATACTGTAGCCAGACAGGATGGAGCAGATATGAAGTCAGACAGTAAGTCCATATTTCCTTGTCTTAGCTCCAGCCATGCTGTATTTCACTTAACTTCCTTTTGGTGTTAATAGGATCTAATCTGTCTCTTTGCATTCACACACTCCTCAAATCTGTGCCTATTTGTTTCCGTCCAGCTCTTGTTTTCCTATTTTGGATCTAACTTAGCATATAGTCCCTCATCGTCGCAGTGGGAAAGATGCAACCAGAACAGCTTCGCCTCCATCGAAAAAATCAAAAATTATCGTGTCAAGCACTTCTTCTCTCTCTCCAACACCATCTCCAACCGCCACCGGCGCCGGAGATCAGCTCTCGGCTGCAGGTTCGCCTGACTCGATGGATAGTTCTGATTCCCATCAGCCCGAACCTGCGCCCTCTGTTCAGCAGTACCAATTTTTTGGCCCTGATCCGCTTACGTTTGATGATCCCACCATTTATCATATCCGAGATGTTACCGTTGACATGACAGACGAGGAGAAGAAGGAGATATATTGTGTCGCTCAGTTTCCAAAGAGCGATCTTAGCCATTTGATGACAGGAACCCCTCCAGACAAAGATTTCAGTACTTCAAAACCAACCAACCAAGTCAGCGCCAATACGTTTGCTACCTATATTGAGCCGTATGTTCGTCCTCTCACGGAAGAGGACATTGCGTTTCTCAAAGAGAGAGTAAGTTGATTGTCAACACTTATTATAGGTATTTTTCTGTGACAATCCACTAATTTTTGAAAATCAGGGTGACCGCACAACTCCTTTCCTTATGCCACGCCGAGGCAAGAAACACTATACTGATATCTGGGCTGAGGAGGATGGGTCAATCAATGTTGATTCGTCGAATCAAGAGCGAGAACAGTTACCTCTGAATCAAGGTCGCGGCAGTATCGACCAAGTGACGGATGAAACCGCAGAAACTCAACAAATCTCTGCGCCACCCCTAGTCAGCCGCCTGTACTCGTTGTTGCGCTTCGAACATCGCACACTTCCAGTTGAAAGTGCTGCTGGATCTACTTCTAATAATGAGGATACTAACATGAATGGCACCATGAATGGGGATGCAATGGATTTAGACAATCTGCTTGGGGTAGAAACTGAGGCCAAACCATTGAACTCTGCCACCACTTTTGCTGATGCTTCCCCGAACGGTTTCAAAGTACCCGCCGCTAAGCTTGAACACGGACAGCTCGACGAGAGACTGAAAGCCGAGCTTCGATACGTTGGGCTTTTCGGACAAAATGATAACCCAGACTACGACGCGCACTATGACGATGATATCGCGGAACGTTTACGTCTCCTGCAAGCAGAGCTAAAGAAGCAAATGATCATCAACGGGTCTCGCAAAGCACGTCTACTAGAGATCGCCCGTGAACGCCTTGCATACCAAGAATACAGCACGATCCACGACGACTTGGATTCACAGGTGCAGCAGGCGTATCTCAAACGCACGCGCACGCTTGGCAAGAGCAAGAAAGGCTCGCAGGCTAAACATAGACCGGGCGGAGCTGGTGGCGGAAGCCATCTTGTCGCATCCAGTGCTTCGGGGATTGGCGTAAGCAGACCTGGCATTGGCGATGTGGCACGCACGCTGATGGATCGCCGGAAGCGGTGGGCTGATTGCATTGGGCCTGTGTTTAAGGATTGTAAAACGACAGTGCCAGGGAAGGATGAGAGTATTTTTGACCCAGTGGTGATGGAGGAGTATGAAAAAGCGGAGGTGGAGGGTTGGGATGAGGAGCAAGAGTAGGCGGAAGAGATTTTCTTATTTTTTTTTTCTTATATTTTTCCTTATTTTTATTTCTTAACAGCGATATGTACAACTTATCTTTTTTTTTTTTTTTTTTTTTCTTTCTCTCTCGTCTGGGATGGGATTTGCGGTATGGAACTTCTGGATTGGGTGGGATTCTCGCTTTTCATGGCGTCCGGTATCATTATCATGTTCTTTGTAGTCTTATGCCAGCGGTTGGCGTCTACGGGCAAGTTTTGGGATGGGCTTACTGGGACCTGGGCTTTGTTATCAAAGGAAGGACTCGATCTTCAGTGTGCAAAGTGATGGCGTTTCAAATATTATCCGCATTTTAATACAAGATCTCTTGAGTCTTGTTCGTTTCTATTTCCACCCACCTCACATTTTATGTGCTCCGAAAAGTGACATTCGATATCCTCACCTTCCGCCAACCTAAGTTGAGAATTTCTAGGAATTTGGAAGGCTGGTGGCAAATATCCCGTCTTGAATTCATGTGTAAGAACAGCGGTTTCCTATACTAGCATGAAAGCGTGCATCCGACCAGGTGTAACGAATATATACTCTCCCGCATGGTAACGGGGGGAAAAGCAAGGATCAGCTACTAGAACTTGGAACTTCAGTTGCTACCCTAGCGATCAATAATTTGTACTTCATACGGATACCTCTTCAGCCGATTCGTAAGTTCCTTCTCACTAATTTCCAGCTCTGTGCATATTTGATCAAAGCAGTGCGCCCCATCGAGATATTTCCTCAATGACCTGTCATCAATCACAACCTCCTCGTCGTCCTCCAAATCATACCCATCTTCCCTATCATCCTCAACGGCGATGTCGTTATCGCCATACGAGCCACGCGATACAATCATCGTACTGACATAGTCGTTTCCGGATCGTGAACCTATTGACCGATGACTCCGGGTAGATAAGCGACGTCCTCCTCCTCCCGCTATATCTACACCACTGCCTGTAAAAGACCCATTCCTAGTACTTTGTGAAAGGGAGGATGATGGCGACGAGGACGGAAGCTCCTGACGACTCTGTCTAGCTGGCCGTGCAGGGGATTTCGTTGCATATGCATATTTATGCACACGGTACAAAAACCCCTTTATCACACCAAATGTAATGAAGCGTCTGAGATCTATGTAGGCAAGCTCGTGCAAGTGTTCGATGTACCATTGCTTTACAGTCTTGCCCTGCCTAAGACTAGCGTAAAGCTCGACCAGCCCGACTCCGTCAACGATGCTGCCGCATTGGTTGGCACCCATGATTCCAGATTTGCCGGTAAGTGGCCACATTTCATCATAATCTAGGTGTTCGTCATTTTGGGCCTTCGAACTGCATCTGGGGCCAGATGATAGGGAAGATGGCGTGAAGGGTGTGAATGTTTGTGGTGCTGTTACACTTTGGGTGCGTGCGAAACGTGTGTTTACATATTGTGCGCATTCGCGTTGCATTTCTTCATCCACTGCGATGGTTGAACCGAACTGTGCTGTTGGCGCATATATCGCATTGAAGGAGAAGATGTCTAGGAGGAATATGCACCCGTAATAAAGGAGGTGTCGGATTGCACTGCATGTGAGGGAGAAGTCTGCGTCTGCAAGTGTGGCAATTATACGAATGCTGTTGACGCCGTTGATGAAAGGTACGATCTGACAATTAGAAGTAAGAATTATTTATCCTCCTAAAGAATCAAGATTTGAGCTCACGACTGATTGCCGCGAGAGAACTCACTCTCTGCATTGTTAGATCCCAGCTCTCATCCACGAAAGCTTCGTAACGAACAGTAAAGAGTGGTACTTGCCACGCCTTCACCTTTGGTGGTGAGGGATAGAGAGGAAATAGTTTGATATTCAAAGTGTTGAGTTCATCTGGGGAGAGCACTCAGTTACTGGCCGGATAGGAAGATTATAGAACAACCCAGGAAAACAACTGGAAGGCATATTTTTAAGGAAGGAGAATGCCATACCAATTGGGATCATGCATTCGCAGTAATTATTCAAATCCTCCATCATCGTCTCACAGAGACTGTAAACTTTTCCCTCCCCACCTTTTGAGAAATCTCTCGACAAAAACCCAGACTGTTCTTCCAGGCCGCACATCAAATGCGCCAGCTTCTGCACTACGCTTTTGAAACTGCCAAATTGCTCATCTTCAGCCAGAACAATGCAGAAGTTGAATATAAACTCATTTCGGTCGTAACGCGGTGATGTCATGCAGACTGGGTATCCGAGGATGCGATATCCGCCCAAGCAGACGTGAATCAGGTTGCCGCATAGCTCCTGTCGCGGAATCACGAAGAAGGATATGTCGGAAAAAGAAATCAGTGGAGGCTGGTTCGGAGGCGCTGTTGGGGATGGTACGATGGCTCCATCGGGGACCTGATGAACAACTTTTGGGCCTGCGTTCAGGGGCGTAAATAGTTATTAGTTTTATAATGACCAAATGTAAACAGTTGGCGCCTAGATGTAAGTTATACGACCGATATCTTACCTTCCTGGGTGTCAAACTTGCTGTAAAATATTGCATGTATCATTTTTGCTGCTGGAGATTGTATAGCATTATAACTATACCAGTCGCGGAATTCCCTCTTGCGTCATGATGAGGTCTTCCTCAGGGTAGATGACCAAAGATTACAAAATAGTTCAGCTTGCCCATGATTGACAAGTGTCTGCTATTGTGTTTTGTCAAGCAGATATGGCTATAAATAGTAAAATATAAAATATGTCCATACTTGCTGAAGGTTTTGTCCTTGATGAAGATGACGAGAAGCTTAAGTCACATGTCCCACACACCCAATTAGTTCTAAGGTGAAAGCCAGTTTCTAGCTCATGCAATTTGTTGGAGATGTAATTTTCATTTTTACTAACTGAGATACAGTAATGTTAATTTTGATGTTGAACTCGACATGCCCCCTTTGCTCAGTAGCCCCATATGCATCGCAAGGAGAATGATAGGCGTCTAGCAAGGAAAAAAGAATTGCGTAAAGAAATAAACCAAAGCCTCTTTAAAGGAGAAATATCAAGTAATCGAATCGACGACGCTCAACACGCTATTCCCTCAGCCACATAAACACATAGGAGAGATAAATCACGGACTGGCTAAATTAGCAAAGCGCCTCCCGGTTACATAAAGTTCGAGAAAATTAAAAAGAAAAAAAAAGAAAAAAGAAAAAAAAATCATAGAACAGAATTTCAAATGGAAAATGGAACAATGAGGTTCGCTGAATCACTTGGAAAGTGCAAGCAAAAAGAGAAAAATCTATTCGGGGAACCACCTGTAGAAACGCGAGGGTTGGAAATGATGCAGAGAAGCCGTAACGATCAGGGTGAACGCCAGTCTAACAAGGGTAGGAATGGAGAGAAAGAAAGGAAATTGAACAAAACAGAGTGGAAATGGGTACAAATCATAAAATGCATCATGGAATAAGTATGTTAGCCGAGCCATCCATCCAGGGCGGGCAATCAGAAATTATGTTTTCAGGAAAAGGCCAATAGGATGCCCTCTGTTGATATTGGTAGAGCAACTGGCTTTGAGAGGCTTATTGTCAGGGGTACCTCGGGCCCTACGTGGCGGGGCTTGACGACGATCCGACAGCGCGTCTAGTGGTGATAGAAGGGCTCAGTAAGGCTGGCCCAGCAGTCCCAAGCCCGTTTGATATTGGGGCGGATCTCTGGCTGGAATTCGTCGGGCGTGGGGTTCTATGAGTGTAAAGTTCACCCGTGCTAGTTGACGATGAGGAAGAGGGTGAGTGTACTGGCAAGTTGGTGAACGTCATGTTCAGTGGTTGACCGGTTCTGATTGCATCGATCATCTCTGTATATCCATTACGTTCTGAGGCTTCTTTCAGCCACTGCTCCCAGTCTTCGTCGAGGGAAACGTCGGCTCCCTGTTGTCTGGCTTCTGCTGCCTGTATCAAACGTCGGTTTAACGTAACGCCATAACTTTCCATTTCAGCGCCATCGTCGCTTGTTTCTGACTCATCTTCCTCCTCACTTTGTAGCTCTGATATGATCTCCAACTCTGGGAATTCGCATTCAACTGCTGGTTCTCGAGCATGCTGATCTCGAGGACTCTCCTGCTCGTATGAATGAATATACACAGATGGTGGTATTGGCGGGGTCGCGGCCCTAATGTCGTCTGCTGTAGTATCTCTCACTTGGACCGCCTCATCCCGTTCGTAGCGATCTCTGGCGGACTTTGTACCCTCCCAACGGCAGAGAGAAGCAATTTCAGCTTCCGTCAACCCTAGTTCGTCAAACGCTTTGAACAATTTCCGATGCCATGTGAAACGACCCAACCGCATTCGGTGTGGCGGATATGAATAGTCGAGCCCCGGATATTGAGCTTCAATGCAGTCGAGAGTGCCATAGAAAGTCGACGTTTCGATACGAACCTCGGGAACCAGATGCCGAGTGATGAGGGACGCAAATGACGAGGGTTCGTTCGTGCGAGGCTTCGGGAAGATCGCGTTGTACACAAGTTGAGACAGCGAAGGCTTATGCATGGTGGGTGAGCAGGCGTTCGATGTTGTCAAGTTTCAAAGAAAGGAGAAGGCAAAGGCGAGGTAGAAATAAAGGGGATAAAATTTAAGCTCTGAATGAGATAGATGGTCTCGGAAGTATTTAAGATGGTTGTGAGGTTAATTTTCTCGAAGTTAAACCTTATCGATAAATAGGACGCGTGGAAGTAACTTAGGTTTGGGAGCAAAAAGAATGTGGATAGATCTAGAAGTCCACGTAAGTTTCCGGCTACAATCAACTCTTCCACATTGCTATGCATTCACATCATCGAGGAAATTCCTAAGCTCAGGTGACGATATAATGATATGTAGAAAGGGAGCTGGCGGCCGCAGCACCAATAACTGGAACGAGAAGCTCCTGATATTGTTCCGCTGTTCCTACAATTCCCGTCTCTGCCAATTTCTGTTCCGTATCTCCCCTTTACCAGGAACTTGGGTATAATTTTTCAGTCTCCAGCTTCTCGTGAGGTTTTATTTCGGGTTATCTCAGTAAACGGAGTATCACGAGTTGATAAAGCTCACGGGTTGTTTCGCGAGTCAGGTTGCGCTGAAGATCACGCCAGACACTCTGCAACTAGCGACGGTAGGGTTGAATGATCAAGTTATTTTAATCACTTCGTTTATTCTGATGGTCAAAGAGGTATGTATCACTTCCAGAAGTGGCTCCTGCGAATACTGCACCCGCGAAATTTCGAGGTCCTGGCGTTTGAGATAAAGATGGCAATCTGGGAAGTTCGCACTGTACCCGGGTTTTTGAGGCAACTTTGGGGTGTTCTCGTCTTCGGACTGCTCCTGGAGATTGGCTGGATATAAAGCCGGATTTCGTGGGTCTGCAGGAGGTAGTTAGTTAAATAACAGTGGAGGCTTGGGTGGTCGTGGTCAAGACGTGGTTAGAGTTGCTGGTGGAGAGTTTGCCGATTTGGGAGCCCCAACCAGCGTTGCTATTTAAAATATTCGCAAAACAAGACCAAAACGGATGTGCTCTGTGGGGATGATTCCAATTCCAAGCACATCACACCCCAACGGTCGAGCAATCCTGTGAGACAGGCGCTTCAAGGAACACAGTCAACCCAAGTGAAATCGATTTTCGCGGCTGATTTATATATAGAGCCGTGCTGGCTAGACTCTCTTCAGCGATATGTGAATCATTGCTCTAGGGACGATGGTAGTTACCGATAAACTAGTTAACTAATCACACCTGAAGGAAAGATTGGCCAACAGTGATTCTAGCTGAGAAAAGTGCCTGGCCCAGGAACCGTGAACTTCGAAGTCTCACGCTGAACCTGACGAGAGAACCGGAGGGCATGGGTTATTATTTAACCACCTGAGCATTTAACTATATGCAGAGCAGACGGCAGCATGGTGTTGGCAGCTAGTTAGTTACATGCAGAGTTGGGCTCAACCTATCGGAGCCTGGCTGGTGCTGCTGCATATCTAAGCATTCAGGTCGGTCACAGCACATGTTCGCAAGAATGTCTGGCCCGCGGGTTTCCTTCTTTATATTTTCGCACCAGCATCGGCAAAATTCCAGAGGCTCCAGCTCATCGTTCCGTATCCAATCATTCTTGTGGCGGGCTCCCTTGCATTCCCTGATCCTGGCTAGACATGAAAGCAGCCGACATGCCACCCAGCCTGGGCAAGGCAGTGGATAACTAAGCCTTGTCGAGCAACTTTATGGTTGTGACGCTCTTCAGGACCTTTCTATGGAGTTCAACTTTGCATAAAATATCCCCTCAAAGCATAATGGGGCGACACGTGTTGGCCAATCTACGAGAATATTATCCGCCTCTATCGTGTCCGAGTCATTTGAAGGTCAGACTGTGTTGGCCCGCCTGGATGGAGAGCCCGCCCGTCGATGCGTTCGATCATGCAACAATCCTGCAACATACCCATTTCTGTGCGTACTTGGATTTGTTTCTCCAATGACAAGTGGTCACGTCTTTATTAATGCTACTCCAGAATTTCACTTATTGTACGTTAAATATTAGAGTCTCCCTTGCTCCCCTCGCCATAGGACTAAAAGGGGAATCCATTCATCTTCGCTTGGATGTATGGACTTCATGATTGGTTAACTAACTGACTAGCTACAGCAGATTTCCAGCTTAGTGGCAATGTATGGTCATAATTCTTTCGTCCTACAACGACCCGGGTATGTCTTCTTAAGCTGCTCTATTCGATTTCCACCTTCCATGCATTCTTATTATTAATGCATCCAGCCTCGAGAGCGGAGAGCACAGTGGAGCAATTGGAAAAATCCCTTATTATTGTCCGATAATCTCCCTAATCTCCCTTTGATACCCTTGGAAACCAATATATTTAAATGTCACTGGCGTACGTCATCTCCACGTGGGATAAATTATGCCCTTTCATTGCTAGTGGTAGCGGAACAACGGCATTACAGAGAGAAACGACTTACCCGGAATTAACACCACCTTTGGATTCGTTTGAGCCAGTCTCGGACATCCGATTGTGGTCCTAGGCTTCTTGAATACGTTGTTGCCTATAACTATGCTATTACCTCTTCTGAGGGGAAATTTCATATATTTCCGGTGAACTATTCTGAGCCCGTTTTGTGTTGCATGGAACTCCCCTTTGAAGAGAGCAGTGATGAACAGTTATGGAGGAGTTCAAGCAAAAACTTCGAAATGCCAAAGCTGGGTTCCGTCTCTCCAAGACCAGTAACTACTGGAAGCTGATGAAAAAAAGTCTCTCATATGTTGCTTTGGCCATCGCCTTTGCATTTCAATGGGCATTTTCCCTGTCATTAAATTTGGCTGTGTTCCTCTGAAGCACTCGGGGCCATGGTGAGGCGCATCCACTTTATGAAGGAATCGATATAGCTGCCACCTGGGGCAATATTCCCCACTTGGTTTCTGCAAGAAAGTAAGATGTTAAACAGAAAACGCAACGTATTTGAACTAAATAGGACATCTTTGCTCTTAGTTTCGTTAATATAACACACTTCTTTACGTCTGTTGGAAGAGGTCAAATCCATTATCCTCCCCCTCCCCCCTCCCCAACACATATACCAGTAATTCTAACCACAATAGGTATTCATGTTTTGGTCGTAGGTGGTGAATCAATCTGCACACTGTAGTGTAGTAGGTTTATGTCTTTCGGTCAGCAGTGGATGATATGTAGCCAGTTTGACAAAGTGTTTGCAGTTAGATGCATAGCCAGTCATCCTATCTCCTGCGAGAACATTTAGGGGGACCGTGGTGTCATCACTATCTTGTCCGTGGTAAATGTACACTGGCTTGACTGATTCGGAGATAGTATCCATCAGGCAAATCTAGCATCTCCCCAAGGCACCTACAAACAGCAGCACTACACAAAGTGGACTGCCAAATACGAACCGTTTAAGTCTCCACCTAAAACTTCACCAGCCCTTGTTGCCAGAAAATGTCAGCCAACCTAGATCGTTAGATATGCCTACATGAACAGAAACCAACAGAATTCGCATTTCATTCCCCCCTCACTTGATTTAACTAAGGCAGCGCTGCAAGGACCTCCCCCTTAAAATTAGAAGCAGATTCCAAGAGGGGATGATCCCTAAGAACTGGTGATGACATCACCAAGAATATTTTGAACTTTGATGACAGTACATAGAAATTACCCCAAATAAATATGTCCTTCAGTCGAAAACCCTCTTTTTCTAACAACTTAGTGTATTTTGGTTATTCTCTGGCTTCATAGTACGGAGCCCTTGAACTGCGAGTGTCGATATACAAAACACGTGATTATGATTCTGCCTAGAGAATGTGCCCAAGATAGATAGACATTATCTGTCACTCGTATAAATGGTGAAATGCATGGCTCTCGCTGGCATTCCATCATCCGAATATTGACAGCCGCATGAGAGCTTTTACAAAGCCTCTTCACAGCTGCCAAAGTGCCCAGTGACGATGTCAACCTTCGATGGCATTGTTGAAGGTTAGCAAAACCCCTGAGAGAAAATAGCTGAATGGACATCCAACATCACTTTAATCTTAGCTAACACGGGAAGCAGAGTTTCCACAAATTCGAAGTAAAAAAAATCCAGATTTTTTTTGTCTTTTCTGGCCTATTGACCAAATCGATATATTGACCAGTACCGCTTCAATTGAGCAGTCGATTACTTTCGAAAGAACCCCAAAAGACCGGCTCCGCTGGCCTGCTTTCTGAGCCATGTGCATAGCGACCACCTTCAAGGCTTAGAATCTTTGAGAGCACCTTTTATTTATTGCTCTGCTGCTACACGAGAGGTAAAGTAACCTTCTTCCCTTCTACAAAAGAATATAAATTAACTAACCATGAAAAATAGATCCTCCTCCGGCTTGAGAAGCGCCCCCATCGCATAAATTTCAGCAAGGGGATACTGGAGTCGAGGAGGCAGCATTACAAGCATCTCTCCAAATTATTGGTGCGATCCTGATATCTACGCCATGGCCACGAAGTTACCCATGCATTAACATATGTTTTAACCAGCGCCCAATCCCACTTCAAGTTCCAACAGAGATAGAGCTGAGCCCAAGAAACCATGTTCGAGTCACTCTGTTCGACGCCAACCATTGCCCTGGTGCGGTCATGTTTCTTATAGAGGGAAACGGCAAGACCATTCTCTATACCGGCGATATTCGGGGTACGTGCTACTTTTAGCGTTTTTATATATGCTCTCTCTGTTACGACATTGCTATGATGGGATCTCTAAATTTATTTAATTCTTGATCTAATTTGCCATATCGCTCTCCGTAACAATTGACCATACTAATTATATTCCATATAACATAGCGGAATCCTGGTGGGTGGGCAATCTTATTCGGAATCCAGTCCTTATTCCATACACCCTTGGAGATAAGCGACTTGATAAGATCTATCTAGACACCACCTTTGCTACGAAATCTGATGTATACCAATCGTTCCCCTCTAAAGCTGAAGGAATTAGAGAACTCTTAGAAAAGATCAACGCCTACCCAGAGGATACAATATTTTATCTGCGAGTATGGACGTTTGGTTATGAAGATATCTGGTTGGCCTGTCGTCGGCGCTAAACACCAAGGTAGAGGGAAAAACTTCATCTTTAATCACCAAAGGCAAAAGCTAACAAGCTACATCAGATCCATGTCGATCAATATCAAATTGAGTTGTATAAATCCCTCACGCCACGGGCCACAAATGGTTTTGGAGTTGACAAAACGGCATTCCTTTGTGGATTCACCCTGGGCAACGCGCATGCCCCCGGTTGCTTAACTCACGATCATAAATCTCGAATCCATAGTTGCGAGCCCGATATGCGCTGCTCGACGATCTCCAAAGGCCCCTCCGTATATATTACTCCCATCGTGTCGCGTACGAGCGATGGTTCTGAGATCCCCGAGCTTGGAGCTGGCGGGGGCCAGGGCGACCTTTACCAAAGCCATGAGCTCGATTTATCGGATGGCGCTGTATTCCAGCAGCTTTCAAATATATGCTTTGAGCGTATTAAGGATGAGAAAACTCGTTCGTTGGCGCTAGATGCTTTGTCAGATGCGCATCAATCGAAATCGAAATCGCTATCTCTCGATGCTTATGGCATAAAGGATGTTGGTGAAATTTCCGTGAAGAAGCTCGTGGGCATTCTAAGCCGAGAGCCGCCAAAGGTCAATCTATCGGATCTGCCAGACATCTCCAAACCCAAGATACCCCTAAACATACGGGGCAAATTCGGACGTCCACTCCCAAACACAATTGTGAGAAGATACCTACCTGATTTCATACTTTTGTAAATTAATTTGGCTTCTCTCATTTAGCCCATGAGGGAGGGTGCTTTGAACTAATATATGAACAGCGTTTCCCCTACTCGCGCCACTCTTCGTACGACGAACTCTGCAATTTCATCAGGGCATTCAAACCAAAAGACATCATATCGTGCACTGCAGATGTTGCAACTTGGGACGAGGACGTATCCATGCGAACTCTATTTGGTCATTTGTGTTCTGGCACTGATTTTACCCACGACAAGTTGATGAGGGAGTATGTCCAGCGAGACTCGCGTCGGTCCCGAAAACGGATGCGACTGGAATCTAATACTTCATCACAACACCATTCAACCCAGCAAACAGATTCATATATCGAAGAAAACGAGCTTCCTCCCATTACCCCATCAACAGCCATTGAGGCCCGCGAACCAGATTCCGATTCACCTTCACTGCGAGAAATGCAATCTCAACACAACAATACTCTCCCTGAAGTTTCAGCCGCTGCATTCCAGGAAACATTGCAGGATATTATAAGCCAAGACACAACCGATGGTGCCGACACGCAGTCTTCCACAAACTCCCAAATCCTCGCCATAAAACTAGCATTGAAGGAAAAACACCTAAACCGGGAACTGGATTTTCATGTGGAATCTTCATTTTCAGATCTAGAGAACGAGGATGACGATACCTCACAAGAAACTTCTCAATCCTAGTGCGTTTCCCAGTACCAATCCCAGTCCCCTCCCCCAAAAAATTACTCCACCCCTTCACCTCCCAGTTTCACAACAACAACAACTACAACAACACCAACACTCATCCCATGACGACAATAGTCACACACCTACTAGGAATAATAATCGCGACGCGACCAAGACCCATCTGACACCCCCATCCGACCGCGTGAGCACATGTTCCCTCTCTTCATCGGCCTTTGGCTCCCTGCAAACAATCACTTCTTCCAGGACCAGGTGCCGCATGACCGCATACCGTGCCGCTCGGAGCGGGACCTATGAGGCATGGACAAGTTTCGGCTCGCCCGTCAGTGCTGGGAATAATCATACAGAGGAGGAGGCTGAATTGTGAGCTGTGAACTGTGAAGGTTTGAAGAGTGGTATGGGGGCGTCGCTTGCTGTAAGATATGTATGTATGCCTCTTTTGCTTCTCCTATAATGCGAGGGAACTTGCAAGGACGGCGTGCGGTGTTTGTTCACCTTTCTTTCCACTTACTGAAGTTGAAAAGGGGTGGTTAGGGAAACGGGTGGCTGATGTTATTCAACTATTCCCCCCCCCCCTTTTTTTTTTGCGACAATATCCAGTAACTACATTCTATTTTGGTTTTAATTTTTGCATTTGCTCAGCTGAATCTTTCTAACATCTTCACCCGTCTCTTATTGTAAGATTAAAATATAGAGAATATTCAATATCAGTAAAACAAGAGAGACAGGGGAGATGCATGACTTTATTTTCTATCATCTGACATTCTTTTTGCTTTGAGATATAGAGGGTAGTTATAGTTTTATATAAATAAAGTGGACTTGAAATGAAACGGTGAGGTACTTTAATGGGTTCATGTAGTTACAAACTTCAGAAAGTCGAATTGATGAGAAGAACACCGTTAAAATATAGGTAGCTCTGTCAACTGAAAGCCATGGCAGGATATCGTAAAGAGGAGCCCCTAAATATTAACATACTTCCCAGGTTGACAAAGAACAATGATATTAACAACACCATACCCAAAAGAGCCTCTGACAGAATTACCGCTGCCTTTTAGAGAATGCCTTATCAGAGAAGAAAGTGAGGTGTCTTTCGGGGGTTTAATCCCAAGCAAAATAAGTTAATCTTCTTGGCTTCTTATTTTTCAAGACACCTCAGAGTGTTGCCTAATGGGGGGTAACTGAGTACGGGTGCTGTTTTCGGGGCGGAATGCACCACACTGGGTGGATTTGTGTACTACGTAGTGATATGGATAAGAGTGCGTGGAAGTCAGCGCCCGGCACAACAACCCAGGTGGCTGCGAACCAGCGTTGGGGGGGCAATGTTTGTTAACCATTACCCCAACAGACCAGAAGTAACTTACTTGAGTTAACTAAAGTTTTTAGCTGGAGAGTCGACCCTGATGGGAAGTTGTAGCGGGGCCGGGAAGGGGGGAATAACGGAAGGTTTCAGGTGATTAGCGGCAAATATTCCTGCGCTGTTGTGTCAAGTTGGGTTTGCTCCTCTGGTGGTAGGGGCCGAGAAGATTTCTGTGTCTCTCTCACTAAAACTTCCCTTGGGGGGCGAAGCCTGCAGACACACCGGGATCAATACTCAACAATATTTATGCTGCCGCCGCATTGGGCAATAATAATAATAATAATAATAATAATAATAATAATAATAATAATAATAATAATACACAGCATGTATTTGCGCTTAATTTGGATCTGCTTCTTAGGCTTATGTTTTGTTCTGCCGCCCTTTCTCACTCCATATGCCTGTATGGAGAGGATAAGGAAAATGGAAATGCCAGAGAAATAATATAGCTGCTGCGAGTGCAATTTTCCATTTATTATGATGATGATGATGGTGGTGGTGGGTGTGTGTGTGTGTGTGTGGTGAGGTGAGGCCTTATATTATTCAGTGTAAAGAAATAATAGGGTTTGTGTGATAGTGGGGTCAACCAGCTGAGCCGCCGAGCCGAGAGAAGGGGGTAAAGAATTGCAGGCTTGGAGCCAATAGCAACAGGCACTGCGGGGGGAGGAGACGCCCAGCCCATGCAGCCTGCAGCGTCCTGCAACTCTCGGGGTATCACAATAACTTAGGGCAGAGCAGTCACCCATTATAACTAACGAAATAGTTAACCAAAAATAGTTAATCATAAGCACTCACTGGCAGTAACCCTTCGGGAACCCCCCCCTCCCCCCTCCCTAGCCTAGCTTTGCCGAGACCGCCAAAAAGCAGCGTTGGCTTGGACGGGCTGGGTTAATTAAGAAGTGGCCTAATAACCGCTTGTCTTTGTGTGTGCGTGGACAATGTGTGTGAGGGGTCGCTACCCTGCTAGCCCTTGCGCCCTATCAACCTCGCCAGCGATCCTCACGCCCGGCCGAAATTAATATTTAGGTGTCAGCCCTCCCCCCAAAGTCATTCAAATTTCTGCTTTCCCTCTCCCTCGCTTCCCGCCTCACGCCACGCCTGTCGATACACACTGCGGTTATACACCTGCATTCTCCCTAGTTATTTTTTTCTCACCCTTCGCGCCCACACCCCCAACAAAAAAAAAAAAAGAAAAGAAAAGAAAGGAAAAGAAAAGAAAAAAAAAAAGAAAAAGAATTGCCTACTTATACTTCCCTCCCAACCATTTAATATAATAATTATTCCGCTGCCTGTTCAGTAGGCAATATCCCAGCGCTATAATCCTCAACACGCACAACAAGCAGTGCCATCTTAAGCTACCTACCTGCTTAGCTACTGCTTAGAGCATCGCGGTTCAAACCAAGATGTCGCGCAAAGAAGACAAGAATAAGGATAGCACTGCGATTGTGACTGTCAACATTGATGACTTCACGAGGACCCGCGATAGTGTAAGTTGATTTGAACACTGATCATTCTCTGGAATCGTCCTTGGTGGCTGGCGCTGTGTATGATTTCCTCCTGCCCTTTGTTTTCTCTCGCGAATTGAAGGGGTTTCCTCTTCTGTTCCATGTTGGTTGTGTGGTTCCCCCCCCGTCATCTTTGCCCCTAGGCAACGCAAACAGCAGCGACCACTAATCAATCACCCACAACCTCCACGCCGCCACCCAAATCCTTTGGGGCAGCTGGCCTTGCCTATCTCCTTCCACCAACCCCCATTGCCCTCTTATCTATCTCATTAACCTTATTAGCCTTCAACCCTCCTCTTCCCTATCGAAGCCCCGAAGTCCCAGTTATACTGTTGCCAACTCCTCACTGCACTGTAATACCACTGTACCCACCCTTCCTTCCATCCTTCGTGTTTCTCCCTTATACCCCCGCCCCGCCGTCCCTCCATCCTTCACCATGCCTTCACGTGCCGCAACCCTGGCCCCTCCTCCATCTCTCATCCCCCCATCCCCTTTCACCCAATCCCTCCTCGATGCCATATTCAATGTCAGCAACCCCATAACAACAGCCAGCCACACCCTCAACACCGCCACAAAAACTAGTCCCACCGACCCCTCAGCTCTAACATACATCCAGGTGATCGTCTCCCTCGCCACCCTCCAATCCGCCGTCTCAGATCTCTCCCGCGCCTACATCAACCATGCCAACACCGTGCTGAACCGCGGCCCCTCAACCCTCGATCTGGGCAGCATCACCTCCAGCCTCTTGCTCGAAAATGGCCTCCTGGGTGGCACCCGCGGTCTTAGTCCCGGTCGTCCGGACGCCCTGGGCGCCGGAGCTGGTGGCGCTCCTGTGCCGGGGAAGATGAAGCGCAAGCGCGCCCCCCATGATCCCAATGCGCCTAAGAGGGCGTTGACGCCGTATTTTTTGTATATGCAGCATAATCGCGCGACGATTGCGGAGGAGTTGGGGGCTAATGCGCGCCCGAAGGAGGTGGCGGATGAAGGCACGAGGAGGTGGGCGGAGATGACTGAGGAGGAGAAATCGGTATGTTTTACACTTTCTCCTAATATCCCTACACAATTCTGCATATTTTTACCTGCCCTTACGGGGAAAAGAAAACATTGGGACGCTACTGACATCAACATCTCTCTCCCCAACAGATCTGGAAAAAACTCTACGCAGACAACCTAGCAGTCTACCACGAGAAAATGCGTGCGTACAAAGCCGGCCTCCCAGTCCCGGACGACGACACAACTCAAGCCGCTGCCGCCCAGTTACACCAGGGCGTCCACCACGCCACCACGACCGTCCTCCCCACCCACACCCATGAAGCGTCTACAGAGGAATCTGACGAGTCTGACGAGGAATCAGCGGACGAAGATGAGGAAGAGGAAGAGGAAGCCTCACCTGAACCTGTCAAGGCACCTACGCCTCCCCGCTCGAATAAGCGGCGTCGCACTGCTGGGGGGACTGTTGCAGATGCTGGGAAGCCGGCGATGCCTGCTGGTGGGGTGAGCGGGAAGAAGGGGTCGCCGGAGAAGAGGAAGGGGGCTGGAAAGAAGGAGAAGGAGGAGGTGACGGCGTCTGGGACCAAGTCTAAGAGGGGCTCTACTGCGGCTACTGTGGCGGCGGCGACGGAGATGCCTAGGGGAGATAAGAAGGGGAAGAAGAAGAGGAAGAGTGAGGCTGCGGAGTAGAGGGGGAGGTTTTTTTTTTTTTTTTTGGGGGGGGGGGGGGGGGGGGGAGGTGGTTGAGGTTGGGATTTGTGGTTAATTTTCCCTTTGCTTCTTTTCTCTCTCTTTGCCTTGGGAATTCCCCCTTTGTCGCTTTGCTTTTTGTCGAATGGTAATGTGTTTTGCATTTTGTGCGTGTGAGATGGATGAATTTGATGGATGGGAGTTGGGTTTTGAGATTTGGGAAATTATCTGGTGGCTTTTTATTTCCCTTGATTCTCTTTGCAAATTGCAATGAAACGCTTTCTGCTTGTGCTTGTGCTTGTGCTTATGGTGTATGTTGAGTATGTCCGTGACTGAATTATTTCACCACACACATGTCCCTCCATTCTCTGCGTCACTTGTCCGTTTTATTTTTTTCTGATTCCCAATTGCAGGCTTTCCAAACTGATGATATGAGTATTGACTATGCAAAAATGGGAACCATGGGGAGAAAAAGCATTTTTTATTATTATTATTTTCTTCTTTTATAATTTTCTAATCCTTTCTTCAATGAGAGTTGTTTAGTTAAATGAGGGCGAAAGCTGGTGGGGGGGCTGTGAGGGCGAAAGCTGGGGTGCTGAGAGAAGATTTGGAGATAACTCTTCGAGTCCTTTGACTGTTCTCGAACCCTTGAATTGATTAATTTGAACTGCTGACAAGGCCCATACCAACCATCATGTGTAGACCTTTCGTGGAGTGTCAACCGTTGACAGTTGATGGTTGTGGGGTTTCATGGTTGAGCTCCTTGCCTTCAGCGGATTGAGCACCCTGGAGGGAGGGAGGTTGAGTGAGCGCAAGCACCAAACCCCGGACTCTAGACCCAAAAGGGTCTTTCAAGAGCCTTGCGAGAAAGAAGAAAAGAAAAGAGGGTAAAAAAAAAAAAAGGACCTGATAAATAAGATAGGGTATTGATTATTGATTTCTTGCAAGGTTTGACTTTCCCTTTTTCCTTTTCCCACGTTCTTCACTGGCTGCTTTTCACTGGTAGCTTTCTGTGTACATGTACAGCCGGGTTTGTGTGTTACGCGTGTATGTGCAACTTCAAATGTTAGTTAGGCCTCCTGCGGGAGAGAAGGGATTAAAAGAGAGAGGGGGGGGGGGGGGGAAGGGGGGGTTGTGGGCAGGACGTTTTCGTAGGGATTTGGGTGGGTGTTCTAACAGGCTTTAGTTTTATTGAGCTCCGCTATGAGTGAGGGCCTTGCTTCATTTATGGAAAGAATTAGCTGGATATTGCATACATTCAAGCTTTTCTTTACTTTGGTGTGGTTTTATTATCAGTTCTTACCATGCATGCTGCGACAAGGTTGGCTGGCTACAAGGCTCGCATGAGGAGTTGCTTGTTTGATATTTTCTGACAATCCCAAGCTTGCACGGTTCTCTGGAGATAGAGGTTACTGATTTCACTTTCATTAAATAAAATTTTAAGGGAAAATCTTCGAAGTATTTTTTTTTTTAGTTAAAAATTAACACTTAATACTTAACTAGTAAATTTATAATTTTACTTATATTAATTATAAAAAATTATATATCTCTAATTTTGTATTATTAAAGCAATATTTTTCTTTGTTTTACAGATCTACTTTCTTTTTCTTCTTTTAATAATTTTCAGCTTTGTAATTAATATATTTATATTTTAATTTGTATTTTAAAATAAAATTTTTTATACTGATATATATATTATTTTTTATATAGTAAATTATGGACTTCCCACGCCATACAGGGGCCTCTTTTAAGTCCAACGAAGACCCGATGACGATCAGTGTTGAAGATCGTAGAGGGGAACCAAATCTTTTTAAGACCAACCTCTTTAGCGCATAAACAACTATGCTCGAAACTGATTGGCATAGCTCGATTCGCAATGGAGAGAAGGCGAAATGTTTCGCTCCAACAAACCTCCAAACGGAGCATAAAACAATGACGAATACATTCGAAATGCCCAGACGGTTTGCGCCTTTATTACCCCACTGATACTAGTTATGCATCAGAGCGCTCACATGTAAAGTGCTTAGTCTACATCTTGGTGCAAGTACATTCGCAGGTTTCCCAAAATTATGATAACTTGTAACGGTTGCTTAGGTGCCGACGCAGAGGGCTGCTGCTGCATGATTCTGCAGGTCCTTCTGGTCGCAGAGCGGGAGGAGGCAGAAATTGCATTGACGATCACTGAGATGCGCCGGCCGGAAAGTGTCTCAGGACATCAGGATGCCTGGAGTACCTTTCTCCGACACTGCAAGCAGAGATTTTAGGCTTCTTGGCATGTCGGATATTGCTCTTCGCCCTCCCGGCATTTTCTCCTCCCATGATAAGGGTGATGGCGCGCATCTTCTCTGGTTGGATATCCTCATGGAGAGCCCCATCGGACAGCACTTTTCACTTCGGTCGTTCCTCTCAAGGGAGACCACCCTCGGGGAAGTCACAGCACTGCCTCACGGCCTCTACACCTACGTTGCGCCGTCGCCGTTCATCTTCCAGGGGGTCCGAGGCTGGCCACGTCAGAAGCCCCTCCAGAAGGTTGGACCAGTGCTGACGGCATGTCATAATTCCTTTTACAGAACCCGTTGCACGGGCCTCATCGTTGACGGCGGCCAAGCCAGAGAGCTGACGCTCGATATCAATCACGGTCTGTTTCTCTCTGAACTCTTTTGCGCATGGTACCACTCACTCCGTACCGCACCCTCTGTCGTGATCTGTCCACCTCCTGCTGCCGCTCCTCCAGCAGAGGAATCAATGCTGGGGGCCTAGTAGATTCCTTGGCATTGTCCATGACACACAAATCCTGACATGAGTGAATTTTCCTACTTGGAGGCTGACTATGGGCAACTACTTCATAATTATTCTTTCGTTTCTGGAAGAGCCATAGTCTTTAGCATAATAAGAAAGGCCACTGGACCTACACCCCTGGCCTTGAATGCTTGGCCCTGATATCAGTTACTCTAGACAAACAGTCTGGGCCTATGTGCATCAGTTCCCGGTCCTTTTCCGGTCCCCTCTATCGAGCCAGCCGCCGAATCTCAGTTTCACCAGATAGCCCAGTCCCGTGGAACCGTCTTCTCGCACACCAAAGTCTTCCATGTCTCCAAGGATATGTTCAATGTACTCCCCCGCCGCAGAGAGGTGAAGAACATGAGCAATGGCGCAGTGGATAGCAAGGAGCCGGGGGGAAGGGGCATCTATGTGCCGGTCGGCAGCAAGATAAAGTGAGCGGTTGACAGGAAGATAGTGCAAAATCCCCTGGGGGAGAAAAGTATCAATCAGATAAGTATGATCTTGGCCAGGAACAGCCTGAAAGAAGACCTCAAAGTTCCCGAAATAGGTATGAAGATCACGCGTAAGGCTCATGGCGTTGAAGGGGCGGTCAATATTGACACCGTCTATGATGTGTGAGACATCGTAATCGAACATCTTCAGGATCAAGAGCGCGGCTTTCTTCGAATCGTCCTAAGCAAGCCATTTAGCAACAGGGGCAACTGCAACCATGATTCATTTCTCTACAGCAATGGGAACGTACCAGCTCTGCATTCGCATTTGCCTGTGTCAAGGAATGTGGGATGATATGGGCCACTTCTAACAGCGTGCTTGACTGTCCATGGAGCGGGTGTCCTTCGTCATCCTGAGCATCAACTCCATCTCGTCTTATACGAGTCAGAGCCTCTTTCCCGTCAAAAGCACGTGAGATCACACAGCGGTTATGGTCCCGGATTAGACAGGAACCTCGAAGAACAGATAATCGGTCGGTTGTCGCAATAAACTCCTGTGGGCCTCTCAATGCTTTTTCGATCACAGAGAGGTGGGCTGGGGTGGGCTGGGCGGTCTGAAAGCCACAAGCCTTAACTAGAAGCAGGTTGGTCAAGTTCGCCAGAGGTGGATATAGGGACATAGTTACGTGGTAAGAAAAAGTTATCAAATAGAAAATCAGCAAAGAGATTCAAATTTGTGTGCAGCTCATGTTTCACGGCTTCGTTCTCAAGATTGATATTGAACTTGGCCTCATCCGCCTCAGCAATATCCCATTTCATAAATTCGAAAAACGCGCGCAGAAATGTGTCTTGCGATAGCTCAGAACGTGAAAACTCGTAGGTGTATCGGACAAGAAGTGGTCTGCTGTATTCGGAAGGTCTTTGGTTACTAGGCGGGGGACCGAAAGAGTCGACGATGCTGTAGAAAATCCTCATGGCCCTGGCACGCTGGGTTGCTATCAAGGGCCCTGAAGCGGAGACATTGATAATCCCCTCCAAAGAGGCCTGATGAGGATGTCGCTGTGCCATTTTTGCGAGTGCTTGTCCTGTTTCCCCCGAGGGAGAGGGAGCTCAAGAGGATTGAGGAACTGGGGAAGAACTGATAGAGCACGCACTGATGGAGGACTGTTACAGCCCCGCCGCGAGGACAGAGGGGATCTCGCCCTCCAAGAGCCGTTGCCGCTGTGTTAAGAGTAGAAGTAATAGAGGCAAGATCTCAACGATGCTAGCTACCCTCTGTTACCTGACGTATTTCACCACCGAGCGGTTCAAACCATCCAAAAACAATCAAATTCATCAGCCCACCTACCCTCAACACACTAATTTCTCGTGTTTTTCACATATCTCGTGATACACCTGTGCTAGTTAAGCATAGTGCTTATAGGGTATTACCTCTATATTAGGGGGGAAATGGCCTGTCTATATACAGGCCCCCCGCCCCCTTATTGTGACCAGTAATATTTAGGTATTATTTCTTAAAGATAAACTGCCTATCTTTAACTAGCTCTCTCCCTACACACTTCTCCTCCTCTAGGGCCTCTATTCCTTAATCATCACTCATAGGCCTGCTCAAACTGCCTCTATAAACCTAAGCAGGGCTTTATACGGCACCCCCAATGCCTCTGCCACTGTATGTTTCTTGGGCCCAGAGCACCCTCTGCATCTCCGGTAGTCTTGGGTGCTTAGAGATAAACTATGATACTAGTTAGTTATTAATTATAGTTATTATCGAGTTAGTTACCCGTATTGCCCCCCCAATGAACCTGAGGTGGTGGGGAGACAAAGGCTTCCTAATAACGGATAACCACGTCTCAACCGCTGTCAAGCCCATCGGTTGGTTGTTTCAGCTGAACCAGCTCAAACCAGCCAACCCACCTCCCGTAGTCAAGTCTCGTTGTCAACTTCATCGGTTAGACTCATCTCAACATCCAGGTACCCATGTGGGGTAGTTCATCGTCCCTACAATTGTGTTTCCAATCATTTCAGCTGCCTCAATTCGATTATCATCTCAGCTTTGAAATAAATGTCGACGTTTTAATATGGCCTACCCCATCGAATGATATATATATATGTATATATATTCTTAGTTATATTTAAATATCATAGTATGTTCATGAGAAATCCGTGGGATTTGTGGGTTAGTTGCCTTGTAAGAGGCTTGCATTGAGTGTGGTACGTGCGTTGAGTGGCGAATCACGTTGGCTACTGTTGTACCATTTATGTCATTGTGGCCAGCAACAACAGAGGGTTTTAATCATTTCTTCCAGCGTTTTTATTTTATTTTAGTTTTCTTTACTTACTTATTAATTAATTTAATTTTTTTTCCTATGCTCCACTAGGTGCTGCAGAAAACCAAGCAGACCTTGTGAACTCAACTTCCCAGCAGGCAAATGCGGTCATTCTACAGCTGAGGGAGAGAGCAAAGAATAGTTGATTGCGGTCCGGAAGATGCAGTTGATTCCGAGAGAGGTAATTAAGATACGTTTTGGTTTATATTCTCGAGTCTTCTTCTGTGTCTGGTATAGCTATGGTTTATGCTCAATTCCTTCAATGAAGTCGAAGGATACAGCACAATCCTGGAGCTTCCCTCACGAGCTATTTATGACTAGTAGTTAACTAGTTATTGCTATCGATGCGGTTTCGTAGCTGTTCCTTGTTGCTGACCTCTCCTCTCGAACAGATAGACAAGCTCACCATCTCCCAACTGGGCTTTCTTGCTCAACGACGTCTGGCTCGTGGAGTCAGATTGAACCATGCGGAAGCAACCGTCAGTGGGCCAACCCCCCCCACCCCGGGCCCCAAGACCCCCGGCACCCATTATATGGAACGACAATACCCGTTTCCACAGCTTGCTGACTTGAAAGGGAAGTTTAGGCATTAATAGCATCAAACATACAAGAGGTCCGTTATACCCCTTCCTCCTCCTCTCTTAACCTACGATATGAATCTTCATCTCCACGATAAACAGAAGAAGAAGAAGAAGAAGAAGAAGAAGAAGAAGAAGAAGAAGAAGCATCAACAGCTACATCACCAAACAGGGCTGAACGTATGCTGACCTTCCACAGCTTATCCGCGATGGGAACCATACGGTTGCCGACCTGATGGCTCTAGGCAAGACCATGCTGGGACGCCGCCATGTTCTGCCATCTGTGACCTCCACTCTCCATGAACTGTTCGTCGAGGGGACTTTCCCCTCTGGCACGTATCTAGTAACCGTCCATGAGCCCATCAGTTCCGAGGATGGTGATCTGGAAAAGGCACTGTATGGCAGCTTCCTGCCAGTACCTTCAAATGACATCTTCCCAGATCCTGTCCCGGAAGACTATCACCCGCTGAAAATGCCTGGCGCGGTTATTCCCGTTAAGCAGTCCAAGATCGTACTTAATGGGGGACGGAAGAGATTGAGCCTTAAAGTGACTAGCAAGGGGGATAGACCCATCCAGGTTTGTTGGATTTCTCTAATCAGCACCTACCAAATTCCCCTTTTTTTGGGGTTCTGCGGCCTGCTGACATACGGTGTTTTCCCGCTTGTCAAAGGTTGGTTCCCATTACCATTTCATCGAGGTCAATCCACAGCTGGATTTTGACCGTATCAAGGCATACGGCTACCGCCTCGATATCCCTGCCGGAACTTCTATACGGTTTGAACCGGGAGACTCCAAAACGGTTACCCTCGTTGAGATAGCCGGGGAAAAGATAATTCATGGGGGCAATTTCCTAGCAAACGGAAAAGTAGACCTCGGTCGAGCGGACGAGATTATCGAGCGGCTTCAGCGGGCTGGGTTCGCGCACACTCCCCAGCCTGCTGGGGATATGACACATATCAAGCCGTTTTCTATGAATAGAGAAGCGTACGAGCACATGTTTGGCCCGACTACTGGAGATCTTGTCAGGTTGGGCTCAATGGACCTGTGGGTGAAGGTTGAGAAGGACATGACCTCGTATGGAGATGAGTGTAGTTTTGGCGGAGGTAAAACCCTACGAGAAGGCATGGGCCAAGCTTCGGGGAGGGGTGCGGATGATGTGCTTGACACCGTTATTACGAACGCACTTATTATCGATTGGAGTGGGATTTACGTGGCTGATATAGGTATTAAGGGGGGTGATATTGTGGCCATTGGGAAGGCGGGAAACCCGGATATTATGGATGGAGTCCATCCGAAGATGGTCGTTGGAGCTTGCACCGATGTCATTTCTGGTGAAGGGAAAATAGTGACTGCCGGTGGCATAGATACTCATGTCCATTTTATTTGTCCACAGCAGGTTAATGAATCTCTGGCCTCTGGCATTACCACTATGTTTGGAGGCGGCACAGGCCCCAGTACCGGAACGAACGCAACGACGTGTACGCCTGCGCCAAACCAAATAAAGCAGATGATTCAGGCCTGTGACCACTTCCCGATGAACTTTGGAATCACTGGCAAAGGGAACGATAGTGGACCTAAAGGCCTACGGGAACAATGTCGTGCCGGAGCCGCAGGCCTCAAGCTACATGAAGATTGGGGCTGTACTCCTGCAGCAATCGATACGTGCCTGGACGTATGCGACGAATACGACGTCCAATGTCTTATCCACACCGACACTCTCAACGAATCCGGCTTTGTCGAACAAACTACCAAGGCATTCAAGAACCGCACAATCCACACCTACCACACAGAAGGAGCGGGGGGAGGACATGCTCCCGATATCATCTCCGTCGTCGAACACCCCAACGTCCTTCCAAGCAGCACCAACCCCACGCGCCCATTCACCACGAATACCCTTGATGAGCATCTGGACATGCTCATGGTCTGCCACCATCTCTCCAAAAACATACGCGAGGATGTCGCGTTCGCCGAAAGCCGCATTCGCGCCGAGACCATCGCGGCGGAAGACGTACTCCATGACCTCGGCGCCATCAGCATGATGTCCTCGGATTCCCAGGCCATGGGCCGTTGTGGAGAGGTTATTCTCCGCACGTGGAACACAGCGGATAAGAATAAAATGCAACGGGGGCCGCTGAAAGAGGATGAAGGTACCGGCGCAGATAATTTCAGGGTCAAGCGGTATGTTAGCAAGTATACAATCAATCCGGCAATTGCACAAGGGATGAGCCATGTTATTGGGAGTGTGGAGGTTGGGAAGGTGGCCGATCTTGTCTTGTGGACTTTTGCGAATTTTGGGACGAAGCCAAGTATGGTGTTGAAGTCTGGGATGATTGCCGCGGCGATGGTGGTATGTACAAGCTCCCTTCCTTTCTCTACCCCCTTTTTTTTTGGGGATCATATACGCTTGATTAAGAAGATGGATGGCTTGCATCGGTTATATAGAAGGCGAAACATATTTACTAACAACTAAAACAAAAGGGTGATCCAAACGCATCGATTCCGACCATCGAGCCCATTGTGATGAGATATATGTTTGGGGTTAGTTTTATCATCCCCTGTTTCCCCCCGCTCCTCTCTCCTGCATATGTCATTCACTAATACAATTTTCTATTTTAGGCACGCGTGCCCCAAACATCCATCATGTTCGTCTCCCAAGCATCCAAGAGTTTGGGCATCATTGATTCGTACGGGATCAAGAAACGGGTTGAGGCGGTGCGTAATTGTCGAGGTATCGGCAAGAAGGATATGAAATATAACGACGTCATGCCAAAGATGAAGGTTGATCCGGAGAGTTATGTAAGTCCATTTATCTCGCTGTTTCTTGTCGACATCATAATACCCCATTCCACACCACATCCCACACGCGAAGCCAGCCCGAACTGTTCTGTGTCAGGAGATACCCCCCCACCCACGGTTCTCATTAGGGGGTGGCGTTCCAATTGGTATTCGTCTGTATTCTCAAATTTTTCATTCTGGAGCTCCTACAATTGTTTTTGCTAACTCAATGCCTCCTCCCATTTTCTTCCGATATAGACTGTCGAAGCAAACGGGATGCTGTGTGAGGCAGAGCCGGCTTCTCGATTACACCTGACGCAGCAGTATTTTGTCTATTGATGGATGATTGCGGTTGCTGTCTCTTGGAGAAGAAATTTGTTTTCCCATTCGTGTTGAGGAGTTTTGTTATATAAGTATAATTATTTGCCTGATGTAAAGGGGGCTTGAAGAGAGGTTGTTGATAGGAAGGAATGGAGAGTAAGCGGGACATGAGTTCCTCCTAATGTGTAATTGTGTTTATATCTTTTGTAATTGTTGGAATATAGACCTATTAATTATCTGCGTATAGGCCTATTAATTAACTGCGTGATGTCAGTTCTCATGATTCTCTGCGATTGCTTGAAACTGCTGTTTTGGGTACTGCACCAGACCCTGGAGTACCCAGGAGTATCAGAACTTGATAAACCAGGCGTGAACCGACATCTTCTGGTTGGTTTCCAGAAGGAAACGCAAAACCCAGCAGCGGATGATTATGGGGAAGGAGAATATATGTCGTAAGAGCAGGGTGGAATCTTTCTTTTCCTTAACCAGAACCCCTTAAAAGCATGGGGTCGGTCTCCTTAATAACCAAATATCTGCTCCTACTGCACCGATTTCGATGCTGGAATCTTCAATGACCACACTTGCGGTAATTGGAGGCTCTGTGATCTGCAAACTGGAAAATTGAGAGATAGGTAATATTGGGGGTTTTTTTTATACGAAGATTTGGGGCTTTTCCCATAGGAACCTATCATCTCCGCTACTACTCGACATTCGCAGGAGCAATACCCATTTCTTTCAACCCGGAAGAAGAGTGCATACACAAAATCTAAGTCTGGAGATGTTAACAAGCCAATTGATATTCATACAAAGCCTAGCGAGAACGGTCTGCCATTCCTAAATCTAATAAGTGCCATATGTTATACCCCCCAAAAAATGACCGGAAATTGTTGATGCGCCTGAGAGTTCCGCGCAAACCCTAGAACTTGTAAACCTGATCCTTGGTATACCCAAGATCCTGCAGCATACCGGTAAGCTCTCCTTGATCCTTTGGACTGACCTTCGGCCCACTGATGGCCTTGTACATCCCCGGAGGGCCGCAGACAAAGATCTTGATATTTTCCGTCTTCGGTTCAGGGAGCACTGTCTTGAGCAATTCCTTAGTGATGAAACCAGTTCCCTGTGGCCAGTCCTTGGGCGGTTTGTCCAGGGTGTAGAATGCACGGAAGCGTCGCGGGTAGGTGTTTTCGAGCTTTTCCAACTCTTTCTTCAAAAGGATATCATCCTCTGTGACGTTTCCGAAGACAAGGGTTACCTTCGTCTTGTCATCTGGGTTCCTGAAGATCTTGCGGATTAGTTGATACATGGGTGTGATACCCGTGCCTCCTGCAATCATGCAGATGTGGTCGTGCTTGCTTGTTTCCCACGGATACTTGGGGATGGGGCCCTTAAAGTCAAGCTGTTGTCCAACCGCCATGTTGTGAAGGTGCGTGGACATTGGGCCGTTGGGATACTTCTTCACCAGCAGCTCGAGGTAGCCAGGTTGGTCTGCGATGTGCGTCAGAACATTTGCCGTTAAAATCGGTCCGTTTGGGATGTCTTTTTTTTTTTACATACCTTCGTCACTGATGGGAGTGTAAGGACGGATAGTTGGTTTCTCGTCCTTAGGTCCCTTATATTTCGTCAGAACGGCGGCTGTTTTGCAGATCCAGGTTAGCTACGCATAATATAACCAGAGAATAGCTGTCCCAGAAAAGAAAAATAGTCTAAAAACCTACAAGAAACATGAACTCCAGAAACGCTCTCGGGATCCTCAAACTCAAATCGTAATTTCTTGACATTATGGCTGACGTTCTCAATGCCGACCAGCCTCAAGCCAACCCATCCTTGATCCCCTCCTTTAAGAACTGCGTTTCGTTCCTTCAGCTCAACCACTGGTTTCGCGGAGATATTTTGCCAGTAATAGAAGCCCGCGCCTGCTGCAAAAACAAGACCGGTATATAGGGAAGTCCGCAATACATTTTTTGCGGGGGCTTCGGATGAATATTTCCGCACGCTCTACGCGCATGGGACGGTGTCAACATATTGAGCCTGCAACGGGGAAGGGGTAGAGTTGATTTACCTGTGCTAGAGGCTGGGCAGATCGGAGTGTGTATCGTGCGAACATTGTGAAGAGGAATTAATGTATCCGGGGGAACCAATGGACGGGTGGATGCGGAGGTTGAATGGAGGTTGGATGGGGTTTTGGTTTTTTAGTTTCGGCGGGTGCTTATAGTTAGTTACAGCAGCACCAAGCATTGGAGGCATGACGCAATTCAGGGAAAACTTGCCATGTTGGGAGTGGATATTGGAGTTTTGGTTAACCACAACGAGAGCGTATATAGAATGCCGTGATCTTAATCATTTTGCTACAGAAGAACTACGAAATATTGATCATTTTTGCTACAGAAGAACTATGAAATACTGCCTGTAGCAGTAATGCGATAATTAAGGCAGATTGTCAGTCGGGCAGTCGGGGGGCGTTCATGAAATTTTGGAAATTATAAAATTGAGAAGAAAATTTTTTGCTCCATAGACTAAAACAAGAGAATGACCAGTCGGATCTCAGGGACAGGGTAGTATTCGTCCCAACCAGTCCATCTACCCAGCATAAACGTGCAAGCAGCCATAAACGCAATTCATTGATACTCCGCTGCTGACAGTTCCCACACCAACAAAAAACCCTATATTCACTTAAGCAAAAGTCGAAGGTCTGCGAGCCGCAAACAACTTCTTGGTGGTAGCTTTGGGAACGCGGTGGGGGAGGGGGAATTTTAAGTTCTTGGTGAGGAGCTGCTTGATGTATGGGCGTCGGACAAGGTCTTTCTTCTCGATTTCGACAACTCTCAGTATCTACAAAGGGAAACGAATGAGTATGTTGCAATCAGATGTGATAAGCAATACATATGAAGGCAGCTGGGATTTTTTACATGGATGGACCGGAATCTGGCACGGTGGCGGGCGGCCATATCCTGGTAGAGGGACTGGACGGCATCAGTCCGCGACATTTCCCGGTATTCCTTGTACATGTTGTGTGTGCCGGAGCGCGAGTCGTAGCGAATCCAGATGCCAAAGTTCTTAACCTTCAGCGGGTGCTTCTCGTGGATCTGAAAGAAAGAAAGAAAGCTGACTTTAGCAGCCTTGCCCCGGAACAACGATTTCACATATCTAGAAATCAAAATTGGCAAAATTTTCCCGGGTGGAGGTACATACCACATTGAGGGAGACAATTTCGCCATTTGCCTTCTTCACTTTTCGCAGCTTCATCAAGAAATACCAGAATCTTGACTTCGCGACCACAGTGTTAGGGGCGAAGATGCGCATGCGATACAGCTTTGGCGTGGGATTTGCCTCTGTGGGCAAATGGCGCCCGATGACCTGGTATTCCGTTAGACGCCCTAATATGACACACATATCATTAGACAGTGTCCCAAACGTCTGTATTTGCAATCATCGTAATCGATATAAAACGGTGCACGCCGGCATCGAAAGCCCATCCAAAATTCTTTTATGCCCCCTTAAAACGGGTTCGACAAAAAAAATAACCTGGGACCAAAAACATGTTCAAGAATCGCATCCTAGGCTAAAAATATCCCATCGAAACAGAGGCACACCATTCCTTCGGAACTCGCAAGAATCATAATCCTCATCAAGTGCTACTTAAAGAATTGGGGATTTGGATTTTTGGTGTGGAAGGATAATTGACAGGCTCTCACGGGGGAGGATTTGGGCAAGGCATTACACGGCGCGGAGCCCAAAGCAAAGGGAAAAACTCACCCATCTAGAATATCGTCAGCAACTAGTAATCCAATTCATCTATACAGGATAAGTACTTACTTTGTCTGGTTGTCGTACTGTGTCGTTAGATGGATTCCGTCGTCAACTCCTAGAATTTCAAGATTGTTGGACTTGTGTTCTGTGGCCCTTCGCTTAACCCCCGTGACTACCTAGGTGGATTGTGGCGCTAACCGGGTTGGGCAATGCCAAGACTTGATAACCTAATCTATGTACATTCCCTCCCGCAGGCAAAATGATAAAGAGACCAACAAACAACATGCAACAGAACGAGCACATCAGACATCACAGAAAGGGAAGATTGACCAGCCTCCAGAATTTCTTTGAAGGTGATACATGAACTAGTGGATTTATCTATTTGCGTTCTATCGGTTGTTGGTTTGCGGCTTCCACTTAGCTGACTTCCACCCGCACCGGGTGGTTATTCCAAGAATGAGTGCAATATTTGCTGAGTTCAAGGCAGCTCAGCTGGTGGGCTCTGGCTCTGCACTGGCAGCTACAATTACTCCTGTCGCTTCCCCAAAGGACCCAGATAGGCTTCGAGATTTCTATTATTTCACAAATGCCGCCAATGTTCAGTCAGATGTCCGATTTGCTGTCCTTCAAGACCGTTCAACGGGGATCAAACTCCCCAAGCAAGAAGGCAATGCGTGGGTGGATGTTTTTGTGGCGTTTTGGAAGGCTGTGGCGGAAATAGTTGAAATTGAAGAGTCTCCTCAGACAGGGAGCTGGAACAAAGTATTCAATGCTTGGAAGCAGGTTGCCAACCTTCTCATACGCGGATACACGAATGGCGGGTTCCAGGCCTGGACATTGCCTTGCTTATATATCGTAGGGAGATACCTTCGGATATTCGCAATGGAAGCGGATTCCTGCACGTCTCAGGATTTAGATACGTTTAATGACAGCTTCCGGGATGATGTTGTTTCTGATGCCAGTAAAAATGCGAAGCTGGAGGAGTCGTCTCAAATCATCAACAGGATGTTCACATTATGTCTCCATGACAGGTACGCTTCTGGTTGAACATATCATGTTCTCTTGGCTCAAGCCCATTGTCTAAAATTTCATTTTAGGGCACCTCTCGAAGAATCACGTAAATGGGGCGTATATAACACAGTGAACCTTTCCTTCAAGACGTATTTTAAGGTATGGCGTCCGGAAAAGCTATTATCTCGACATATGTGCTATCCCCTAACTCGTGATATGTAGCTCGGAGCAATTTCATCGTGTAAGAGCCTGTTGCGGGCCATCGAAGCCTCGCATGCAGATTTACCACCCATATCCGCTTTCCCCAAGTCTCATATTGTCACTTTCAAATACTATCTTGGAGTGATCTGTTTTCTTGAAGAGAACTATGCAGAGGTGCGCACGATTCTAGAATGCATTGAATTACCCAAATGCTATGATATAATATTGACCATTTAGCTATTTAGGCTGAGGTGCATCTAACCTATGCCTGGAAAATGTGCCATCCTGAAGCGAAGAAAAATAGAGAGTGGGTGCAAATACTCCCCGTCAGAATGACATCGGTGCTAAAAAAGCCATACTTAGACTCATCCTTACCTACCTTATCCCCTGCCACATTGTCACGACTCACACGCTACCAACACATCGACTCCTGGCCCCCTACCCTCGCCTAGAGAGCTTATACAGCCCCTTGAGCAAATGTATCAAGAAGGGCGATCTCACAGGCTTCGATGCAGCTATGGCCGCCGGAGAAAATGAGTTCGTCAGAAGACGTATCTATCTACCTCTCGAACGGGGTCGGGACATTGCGCTGCGCAATCTCTTCCGCAAAGTTTTCTTGGCTGGAGGATTTGATCCACCAGTTAATGGTCAATCACCTATCAGACGCACGCGAGTCCCGGTTGCAGAATTCGCGGCTGCCATTAGATTGGGGAACAAGGTGGATGAGAAGGCGCCGCTGGACATGGACGAAGTTGAATGCTTCCTGGCTAACTTAATATACAAGGTGGCTGCTAACTCCATTGATCAACAATTCCGTCCTAGTCCCCGTGGGGTCCTGGGCCCCGACACCATTTGTCTGCTGACCTACTGACTGATTTAATTCGCAGAATTTAATGAAAGGGTACATTTCCCGTGACAGAGGGATTGTCGTGCTAAGTAAAGGGGGTACAGCCTTTCCTGGAACCGGTGTCTGATACGCCTATCTCTTTGGCCCCTATACCATACATGGCATAAGTCTTACGATATGACTTATGCACACTTCGCTCGTATTCTTGACTATCCTGATATCGTATGAGAAGGGGGAACTGATGAAATCGCGTACCCTTGACTGTGTGCCATTGACGATTGAAAGATCCTGGTCTCACCGATAACTCCGGAGCTCGCAGTTTAGCTTATTAGTCACCTCATTCACCGCTCCCCAGGACATATTCGAGTCGTCGCATCCGTCGTACCCACGTTATAATACATCAGCCACATCCGGATGGCGCACCTGATATTCAGCTGCCGTCCTGCGCACATTTGCCAAAATCATATTTGGGATCCACGCACAGAAAATCTATCCAATCCGACTTCGATGCTGGATGTATCATTGTTCTGTGATTTTGCAAAATCTTCCCAGCGCATGGCCAGGGAAGTCAGAGATATGCCCCGGAAGGGGCACAGTCAGGTCACGTTATCCTGAAGTTGAAGTTGTTCTGGCATTTAGCTACAAAGTCCACAACCGCCAGCAAAGCTACAGATGTCATTGGCCTATTAAAGGTGAGCGTTGGGCGGTTGGTTCCTTGCATTAGCGAGGAAGTGTGGCCAGCTGCCCCGCGTAGTTTTGTTGGTTTTAATTATATCAAGAGAAGAGTTACGCTCCTTTGTAAAAATAATCTAATTCGACTCCAAGGCTTGAGGGCCGAGACGTTTCACTTCACCGCTCGAATGCCATCGCCGTCAAGGCGCTCCGGATTGCTATTGGGGGTGACAAAGGTTTCTGGGTTTTATTTGGCCATTGAAAATAGCCAAATGTCTCAAATATCTCCCTCCGTATGTGCACTTAGCGACCTGTTTGCCTCATTTCCTTATATAAAGGTAGTTGGTTTCCCTTCCATATCAAATTCAGCATCACAGAAATTATACCCCTTTCATCCCGTAGAACAATCACTCAATTACATTCCCTATCCTTTGTTCTACCCTTTTCATCTGCTTTTATCGCTCAGCCGCTGGGTTGTCGAGTTCTATGTACTACTTGGTGATGCTGTTGGGCACCGGAAAGACAACACCCGGAGCATACAAATGGAACTAGAGAAGAAAGAAAAAAAAAAACAGTGTGTTTAGGAAAGACGGTATAGCTTGAGCTTGAGAGATAGATCTCGAAAAGGGGCAATGAGCGCAGATGCAGAGGAGATTTTGCGGTGTGTAGTTAAAACATGGAAGTGGTATGAAATGGCAACATTAACGGGCAAATAGAAAACTGTTAAGTGCATGAGAGAGCCACATGAAGCAGGAGGAGGAGGAAGTGGAAGAAAGTGTAATTTTTTTTTTTTTTTTTCAAGTACGGAGCAGCAGGTGGGAGACTGATGTATGAAAGGGGGAAATGGGGAATAGATCAAAATAAGAAGAAAGAAAAGAAGAAACACATAAAAGGGAATTGACAAAACGAGATAATAGTAGATAAAAAGAAATGAAATGAAATGAAATGAAAATAATGTACAGAGGGTGCACAAGATTGATAGGACTATGGAATAGGAAGATGGAAAAAGGAGATGGAATATCTTTTCTGCTTCCAGGTTTTCCTCCCCATTTTCGACCATGGGACCAGTGCGGTCTTGGTGTAGGGATACATTATAATATACATGATAAGGTAAAAGGGATGTCAGTGCTGACCATGGAGATCGGACGGCGAGGAGTGGCGAAGTGATTGAGACTGAGAGGGGTGGATCGTGTGGATGGGATGGGATGAGGTGAGTTGAGTTGAGATGGAGTGGTCCGGAGTGGAGTGGAAGGTCCATAGATGGATGTGCGGTCGTGATCCAATCCGATCCATTCAAATTAGTGGGAGAAGGGCGACTTGGAGGCATTCGTGAGGTCATCCTGATACATAGATAAAGTCAGCATTGGACATCTATTATTATGTTGAATATCCAAGGTCACTACCACCCCTAATAAAAAATCGCCATCCAACGATAACATGAAAAAGCATCAAAAAAAAAATTATTAAACACCCCAAACTCACCATATGATTACACATAGCCACAAACAGATCAAAAAACAACTTGCCCCCCTCCTCCATCTCCATCTGCATGGTCCCACTGCGCTTGAAGGTCGATCGACTCCGAATAATCAGCGCGAGATAATGTGCCCGCAGCTTCGAGTCGTTATCGGGCGTGTTTGCATAGGCGTAGCGGGCACTGGATAGGATGGTGCTGCACTGCACGGCTACCTGGAGACCCTGTTTACGCAGCGCGAGGCGCTTGAGGTCGTCCAGGTCGTATTTTTCGGCCGCGCAGCTACATGGAAATCGTTGTTAGCGCTGGGGACAGAAACACAAAACACACATATGTATATATATATAGCTAGGATACTCACTAAACGGCTGTATCCTTCAGAATCACACTCCCATCCACCTGACATACAATCGTCGACTCGATACCCTGCTGCTGCATCCTCCCCGAGGCGTTGTGGCTAGCTCCATTCTCCAGCTCCCACAAATCTCGACGCTTATTGTGCAGGAGGCGCGGGTAGTAGTCGCCCTTGTACAGGAACTCGAGGATGCAGGAGAAGATTTCCGGCTGTTCGTCTGGGAGGTTTATGCGTTTGGAGTGGGATTCGAGGAATTGGCTCCGACAGCATGTGGCGAAGAAGGAGGAGATGCAGAGGACGTCTTGGTGGGCGGCAAAGAGGCGCTGGTCGGGGCCGACGCAGAGGGTGATTATTGCGGAGGAGAGGTTGCTGGATAGAGAGGAAAAGGGGTGTTAAGGGCGATGGGTGATGGGTAGTGGGCATTTGGATGAAGAGGCACACAAACACAAGGACTTACGGGCTTACTGGGGGGCTGCTGCTGCTCTCAGGGTTTTGAGATGTGCTCTCTGCCCGTCTGACGCTTGTTGAGGGATCTCTGAAGGACCGCTTTGATCGAGAGGAGGAGGATTTACCGGCTCGATATTTGGAGGAGAAACTTTCTCGATGATGGCTTTGGGAGGATCGTCTGATAAACATGGTGCCCTGGCTGGATGTGTGTTCTGTTTGTCTCTGTGGGAGGTTTGGGATTATATGTCTCTTCTGGATGTTCCCGTTTCTGGCTTTCTATTCTTTCTACTTATGCTCTCTTTTAATGCCTGTCTTTTCCCCCAGAGAAAGGAAGCAGAAAGAAGACAAGAAGACCAGAGAACAGCCAGGCTTCAAAGATATATCTATCTGTCTTGTTTGCCTGGTATCTACTGGAGACAGCGAGGAGAAGATGAGAAGAGGAGAAAGGAGGAGAAAGGGAAAGGAATGAAAAATTTTCTCCCCAGTCAGCCTGGAGGGTGCAGAGGGATCTTATATAGGGATATGTATTGCACAGTAATAGCAGTAATCTGGAGTAATACAGGTGCACTGTCCCCAGGCCTAAGCTTGCTGGCTATGTATTATTCCTAACTAAAATATTTTCTCACATATGACAGGCAGGCGTCCCGAATCAAATACAAGCAAATTGAGGGGGGGGTGGGGGAGAGGGAGGAAACTGAGCCGCAGCAACGACGCCGAATGCGTACTCCAAAGAATCCATACCATTCAATCACCCTCACCTCCTCGCCTCCTCACCTCTCTGTTCCCGTCTTCCCCGAGTGTGTCTGTTGTATGGGCTGTTGTCTGCGTTAGTGCAAGCAAGCGTTTTGTATCCGCAGGAATGTGATAGCGGGCGACGCGGCTTGCGCTAGGGCGACGTGTAAAGTGGGAACGCGATTTCAGGTGACTCACACGCAGTCACGTGGACACCAGTGAGCAGCTAATTCCAGTGCTAATGGCATCCCAGAGCCAATCAGAGGCGGGGCCAGTCCACCCCACCTTTCCCCACAGAGGGGCTTGGCATCAGAAGCGGAAGGAAGCTCCTTGGGGTTGATCAGGGGTAATGCCCAGTTATGGCAGGTATTGGACAGGCATTGGAAGGGGCTGGCTGTACGGTACCATACCACAGCTACGCTAGGCTGGCGGCGGGGGGGGATATCTTAATATGTGATGTATCAGTGTATCAAGAGACACACATTCTAGGAGCAGATATGAAAGCCGGAAGTGGGTAAACCCGCAGAAATGGATTAACAGAGAGATTAGCCAGAATCTGTCAGAGACAGGCAGGCAGACAAAACTCTCTGCAAAGGCCTGTACCGAGTACATGGACCAATCTGGGCCTGGGCACGATCTGCAGGAATCAGCTGCTGTATCGTACATATCATGATACCGATTGATGCAATCCCCCCATAACAGCCAGTCAAAGAGAGAAAATGCACAATCCATTATCACACCCATGAGCCAGACAGACAGGCCATGAAGCCATGGGAACAATCCCAGAACTTCGGCTCCCAGGATATCCAAGCTTGGCCTGCAGCTAGAAACCAGCTTGCCCAAAGCAGGAGGAGACAGGGATGGATGGGGGAAAAGAAAAGAAAAGAAAAGAAAAGAGGTTGACGGTGAATACATGATGGTTTCGTCCATTTCTTTACTACGGATTAAGACTCATTACTACTTCAGACTTGCATTTATTTGCCGGTTTTACGCTTGGTAGAGGCATTGTTTATTTATACAATATGTCAGGGGAAAAAAGGAAAGAAAGAAAGAAAGAAAGAAAGAAAGAAAGAAAGAAAGAAAGAAAGAAAGAAAGAAACATGCCTGGATGTAAAATAGCATCAACTCAATGCTTTGGAACTTTAAATGACAGATGCCACAGGTACATGGAGGGCCTGGCTCCGTACTTTTATTGGTAGATATGCTATTTACTTTCGGTACCACATTCGAGTAATTCGGGTTTGTCGCATCTTCTTTTGGAGTTGGAAAATCCCATACATAAGAGCTTCTGAAGTTGGTGGGCCTGGCAGCGACGAAGTTAGGTTAGGCAACTAGAGTCATCGCCGGTGAAATCGTGGTGGAAGGCAACTTACAGCCGGGAACATATATGTCAACTGGCACTATCCTATCACAACCTCTTGTGACTGAGTAGCTGTAATGGTAGTAGCCACCTCCATTTGCACAGCTTCCCATGCTGATCACCCAGCGAGGATCAGGCATCTGGTCATAAACCTGCCTTAATGCCGGTGCCATTTTGTTGGTCAACGTTCCGGCAACGATCATCACATCCGATTGTCGCGGAGAGGCTCGGAAAATAATACCCAGTCGATCCTGGTCATAGCGAGGAGTCGACAAATGCATCATCTCCACGGCACAGCAAGCTAGCCCGAAAGTCATTGGCCACAACGAGCTCTGCCGTGCCCAATTGGTGACCTGGTCGAGGGTTGTCCTGTGCAGATGATAAAAAATATTAGCTCAATCTCAGAGGCACAAAGAGAGATAAAAGAGAGATGTTCGGATTTGCCATACAATGCGAATTGCATCGCGCCACCCTTCTTCTCCTGGCTCGGTAGAGGAACTTCTCTTCGCGGTTTGCCTGTTGCTGTGAGTTGGGAACTGGCATGTTCTTGTTTTGCAACGGCTGTCGAGGCATTGCGAGTTGAAAATAAAGCACCGGGATAGATGGAATACCGCAGGACGGAAGTCGATGTTGGAGAGGCGACTTCACATAGATTGAAGATCAGAAGGCGAACTTTTGACTTGATGATTCGGGGACACTTACTGCACGGCGCTGCCCACACTGATGCCTGCTTTAGTGAAAGCATTGTAAAAATGTATTTACCCTGCCTGAGGAAACGCAGGTCAAGGGAATTCTGTCAAGGCGGGTGCTGCGGGATAATTCATAGAGAGAGACCTAGGTAATCCATTGGATGCTGTTGGTGCAAGTTTCTACAGGTAGATAAAGAGGGCTTAGCGCCGTATGAAAGCCGGAGGTAATTACAAAGCCATTTCATGCGGTACTGTGTATTGAGTTATGTACAGTACAGTACCTCTGGGCGAAGCACCCAACCTAAAACATCTCATTTCAGCAGCGATACGGTAGGATGGTAATATATTTACTGAGGGAATGCCGCAAGTAATTAATTAGTGAAGTTTCATCCAATTTCCATCCATCAATAAACCTTGACTTGCTAATGCACTGTATGGTGCTATACACTTCTTCATACTCTCCTAAGCACTCAAGATAGTGTCAAGAAAACCATTGGAGTCATGTTCATAGCATACATATAAGTAAACAGCAAACCAGAAGCAAACGAGAGAATGGGCTCCCCCTCCATCGCTTGCATTGGCATCATTGGAAAACTTGTAAGAATCTGATGCCTGTCCACTGTCACCTGCGGGCAAGATTTTTTTATTTTATTTTATTTTATTTTATTTATTTATTTATTTATTTATTTTTTTTTGACTGACAGCTTGATGGTACAGAACGAGCCTCTCCATATTTCAATATTCCCACCCCATGAAGCCTCCAGGCTCGAGCTCTCACTTCTCTTAAACTCATGTCTCGACCTCTTTGAGATACGCCGGAAGCACACATCGGTTGATCAGGATTTGGGTTTGTTGCATGCCTTTGACGAACGATTCGCAGCCTATGGCTGGCTCACAAACACCGATGTGAAATTTTTAATAATCGTGGATATGAGCGGGCAACCCGTATCGGGAAGGGATGAGAAGAAAGTCCCACCCCTTGTTGGCCTTCGCGATTCAGATTTGAAGCCGGCAAGTTGATAATACCTCCACACATTTACACAGCCTGCTAATGTTCCTAAACCAGACTTTCCGGGCATTGCAGTCAGCATATATTAAGCTGTTGCAAAATCCCTTCTACCGGGCCGATGATGGCACTACACCCCTAGGGAGAACCACCATGTTTACCTCGGAGCATTTGAAAATGGCAAATAATAAATTCATTCAAGAGATTCATCACATTGGTGAATCTTGGTCTGTTAATACTAAAAGTGATTGAATTAATCAAGTATATTACTTTATTTATTACTTTATTATTATTCTTCTTCATTTCAAGTGTATGCAGTCAAAGACTATGATATATCTAGTTCAATTAGATTTGACTATCTTGTAAATCTGATATATATTAAATACAAATAAAAACATACAGCATTCCATTCAAGAATAATACAGTATTTAAACCTGCACTGTCATCTAAATGATTGAATTTCTCTTCCAACCATGCGAACTTGTGTCTGATGTCAAGATAAAAAAAAAACAACAGAATCAGGGAAATCAAAAACAGCTTTTACAATCTAAGCATGACTGTTCTACATGTCAAAATACCCTAATTCGATTAAAACTTAGCTCAAAGAGATTACATAAATTACATCAATATAGCTAAATACCGCAGATCTGGATGTAGAATTAGTTAGATCACTGTATTTAATACACTAATGGACACACTAAAAAAACTGCGCTAAAGATTGCAAGTCGCCTTATGTCAAGTACGCACTTGGTGTCTAAGTTTGCCGCTATCCTCAGCTAACGTAAACCGCCACACAACGCACGCCGCCACACAACGCACGCCTCTACAAGCAAGCAACCACCCAAGGAATTCCACCAATTTCTCAACCACCCATGAATTTATTTAATTTAAATTAAAAATATATATCTAGTAGAAGGAATAGATCATATAAAAATGTATAGTTAATCCAAAAATCTAGATGGAAGTCGAATAATGCGGCCACAACGTGATAATTGCGGGGTGGGCGAAGAAGGAATTGACGGCGACGTGGAGGAACTGCTAGAAGAAGTAGGTCGTAGGGAGCTTGCTGATAGGCGTGTAATTGACTGATTACCGGATTGGGAAGGTTGTATAGGGTTGGCCTGGTTAGATTTTTCGCCAGGCCCCTGGCTTCGTACGGCCTTTGTAGGGGATTTGGCTGACCTGGCTGATCTGGCGGCGGCAACGAGATTTTGATCTCTAGAAAGCTTTAACTCTCTAGTAGCTTGCTGAGCAGCTTCCTTATCAGTCTTCTTTCGCTCAGCAGCTAGTTTACGAGCAGCCACGCGAGCAGCAACCTCAGCTTTTTGTCTCTCTCGCTTCTGAGCATTAGCCAGCCTAAGAGCTCGAGTTGCAGCTTGCTTTGCAGCTTTTACGATCGCTTTCTCTTGACGTAATATATCCTGTTGAAGCTTGCCTGCTGCTTTTTCAGCAGCCTCACTAATCTTAGCAGCCTCGTCGGTCTCAAGCTGCTGACGTGCTGCCGCAATCCTAGAAGGTGAAAAGAATTGAGCAGCACGCGAATTCTCTTTATCCACAAGACCTAGAGGCTTTCCACGTTGGCGGCGCTTCTTCTCCTTTCGTAAAGCTTCGTATAGAAGCTTATTTTCATGCTGCAAAATCTCTTTTTCAAAAACTAGTCTTTCACTAGCATGAACGATTTTTCGGAACCCAGTAGAGATTCTTCGCCGTTGATTTAACTTCTTAACTGCCCGTCGCAGTCCTCGTATGGTAGTGGGTGTGACTGGCTCTGCTGTGACTGGAGTGCTTGGTCTAGCAAGCTTGCTAAGCACCCGATCTGGTGAGAGAGGATAAATGCCAGTAGCAGCAAATCCAGACTCTATATTTGACTTCGTGACAGCTTGCTTCCAGGCGTTGTGGAATAATAAAAAGAAGTTGCGTTTTTTAATGGATACACCTCCCATTGCTGAGCGTAAGAATAAATCCACCTGCTGAGAGTATGCCTTTGATAAAGGTCCAAAAATACCAACATCCAAAGGCTGCAAGCGATGAGTTGAATGAGGCGGCAGTACAGCAAGGATAATACGATTTTGATCAGCGTAGTTGATGAATTTCATATTGACATGAGAAGAATGGCCGTCAAGGATGAGCAGGCGCCAGGCTCCATTCCTAGCCTTTGTATGAGGATTAAAGACCCGTTGCAGCCAATGTAATCCATATTGATCACTGCTCCAGCCGTTCGGGGAGGCAGCAAAAAAGACCTCATGCTCTTTAGAATCAAAATCTTCTAGCCACGTATCTTGCAAATCCCCGGAGTCTGACTGATATATAAGACCTGGCGGCGTTGACCTTCCACTGGCTGATATGGCGGCTAGCAAAGAGATGAATTCTCTACTCCCATCCTGAATCGTGCCTAGCAAGCTCCCGCTCTTAAGCTGCTGTACAGAGACTATTCGCTTGCTGATTTGCATGACGCCCATAAGAAAGCCCTTCTCATCAAGATTCCACGTATTAGATGGTCGAATGTTGAATTTTTTGACCTTTTCGTCTAGCTAAGATGCTCAAGCATTAGCAACCCCTCATTAAATTGCAGGCAATGTAAATAAAAATCAATCAAATACAAGCTGGAAAAAGTGCTGAAAATACTCAGAATTATCAGCTCTCTTGCGTTTTTGATCAATTGCTCGTAAATATAGGCTTTTGATGCGATCCTTGTGGCGTTGACAAAATCTAGAGATCCAATGCTCGCCAATCGGCTCCTGAAGGATTTCTTCAACTAGATTTTGAAGAATTCGAGGTGTAGGAGGAAAGCCACGGTCCGTAAGACGATTTATATATCGAATAAGCTCTTCCTCTTGAGAGTTCGTAAGTTTCTGTCTATATAGGGAGTCGGCAGTTTCTCGAGACACTGATTTGCCCGTAACGCGTCGCATAAGCGTAGTTCGATGAATTCCGTATTTTTTTGCAACAGTAGTATAATTGCCAGCCTCTTGCGAAAGGAATTCAGCCACTGCGAGCTCTACAGCTTCTTTGGTTGGCATGTTGTAGATGATTGAAGGTGGAAGGTTGGGTTCAAAAATCGGCTTTTTGGGGCGTGCGTTGTGTGGCGGCGTGCGTTGTGTGGCGGTTTACGTTACACCCAGCTAGTTCTACCGTAGTCTACAGAGATTATCTTACACTATGCTCTACAGGCACTTTTTCTGTCATGTCTAGACAAACTTTGGTGTGGGTATGAAACTGAAAGAAAATCAAAATCAGCAGTGTTTTCATGTGAGGCAAAACATGAATTTTCACAGCAATGAGTAGGTGAAATCTTTTGATATTTGTTAGAGTTTATTTCTGAAGTTCAATGTCTGCTACTGGACTGCAGAACTGGCGTTGTTTGAAAAGAGAAACTGCCTAGCAATGGCATATAAGAAGATCACTCTCCAGGCCTCTTTTAGAATCACCTTAGTATTCATTTATATAGCTTATCTAGTTGGCAATCAAACACCTGTTTATCTATGCTAGATTGAAGTTATAATATATCTCTTTCATATTTAATATCCATGCTATATACATCAAGTATTATAGATTGATGAAAAACTTTTGATGATTGTCTACATTTTGAAGAAAAGTATATTTTCATTAATCACATCTATAATTCTTATCTAAATTTTATAAAAATTAAGAGAATAATTAGTTTCAACAAGAGCTGTTGAATAAAAGTATTTTTGAATTAAATTTTAAAAAGTTGACTGATTTTTAAAAAACGTATTAAATATGAAAAAGATAAATTTATCAGAAAGAAAAAAGAAAAGAAAAGAAAAGAAAATAAAAGCTAGAAATATGAAAATGTTTTACACAAATTAGATAAAAAAAATTTAATCTACATATCAGCAAAATAATTTAGTTACAGAATTTTGATTATAAAAATTTTTCAATCAGATGTTAGTTTACTACAATTGTTAAAATTTAAATAAAGAATACTTTAAATTGAAAGCTTTTGTTGAAATCAATCATTTAATTCTCATAAAATTTGAATAAAAATTATAAATGTAGTTAATAAAAAATATTTTGATATTAAAATATAAAAATATTTATGTTTTTTCACCATCACTCTATAATGCTTGGTTTAATAGTATGAATATTAAAATATAAAAGAGGTGGTTATTGAGAAAAGTCTTAAATTTACCTTGTATAAAAACGTTGCTGGTGTTGATTTTCTCTCTTGCTTCCTGCCATCCCAGCAAACATCTCTACTCAGACCTCGTCACACTTCGCAAATTCCCAAAACTCAACACATCCCCAATCCTCCTCGCCCCTGTGAACAGCATACACAGCCGATCAACCCCACACCCCCAACCCCCCGTCGGCGGCAGGCCCCACTGCAACGCCCGCAAGTAACTCTCATCACCAACCTTCCCTCCCCCTTCTCCAGAACCAACGCCACAACCCATCTCCTTCCCCTGAACTCCAACCTGCCCCTCAAACTTCCTCCTTTGCTCAAACGGCGAATTCTCCTCCTCGTACATATTCATCACCTCACGCGAGTCGATGAATAGCTCCGCCCGTGCAGCAACCACCTGCCCGCATTGGGGGTGTATGAATGACTTCGAGAGCGGCGAGAGGCATTCTGGATGGTTGATGATGAGGGTTGGCTCTTTGCACTGGGGCTCGAGGTAGATGGAGCTTAGGCGGTTGAGGAGGCGGGGGAGGGTGGGGTTGGAGGGGAGGGGCTGATTGAGATGGTTGTTGAATAGCTCGTGGATTTGGGTCGTTGGGTTGTGGGTGGAGGTTGGGGTGAGGTTGGGGAGTTTGTGGGACATTGCTTGTTCGAGGGCCGGGATGAAGTCGAGACGGCGGAAGGGTGTTGTGAAGGGCGCTGGTGGTAGGGAGAGGGAGGATTGGATGGTTTGATGGAGGGTGTGGATGTGTTGGGACAGCCCTGTTAGGAGGGATTCAGTGATGGAGATTAGTGTTTCGAGGTCCGCGTAGGCGTGGTAGAATTCGCAGGTTGTGAATTCGGGGTTGTGGGTGTTGTCTAGGCCTAGAGGGGGGCGAAGAGACGTTATATCCCAGTTAGGATGGCCAGAGATACATAATATCATTGGAGAGATAAAGAAACGTATGTATGGATAACGACGTACCCTCATTCCGAAACGACGGGCCAATCTCAAACACCTTATCGAACCCGCCAACAACAAGGCGTTTAAGCCATAGCTCCGGTGCAATCCTTAGCGCCAGAGGTCTGTCTGGGAACTCAGTTGCGCATGTCTGAAACGGCCGGGCTACCGCACCGCCGGCGACAGAAGCAAGTATTGGGGTTTCCACCTCCATGAACGACCGATTGAAGAAGAAGTTGCGTATGTATTGGATGATGGCTGACCGGGTTCGAAGGATATCACTCGCTGTGGGGGAGGAGAGCAGCTGAACGTGTCTATCATACGGAGAGGTTTCTTGCTCTTTGACCCGCAGTGGGATGTCGTGTAGACATGGTGTGATGAGCTTGGGCAGCTCGGAGACGGTTACGGACAGTTCACCGCGGCCCGTTCGGTGAGGGTTTCCTATGACAGCTAGCTCCCAGCCAGTTCGTTAATGTTCAATGTGTAATGTTATATAGAAGAAAAAATAGCAGAATTGAGGTGTAAGAGAACATACATAAAACATCTCCCCGCCTTAGTAGATGGTAAAACTGCTTAAACTTCTCCGGTGTCACTCCCATGGCATCCATATGCCGCTGATTGCACAGGATCTGCACCTTCCGGCCATTCTGCACGAGGTCAAGGAATATCAACTTGCTCCCCGCACTCCGCGCAGACTGGATTCTGCCTAATCACCTAAAGTAAGCAATGACCGCATGCCCTTTTTGCTTCTTCAGATCAAATATATATATGTCATGCATGTCCTGCACATACCACAGATAACCACTTTGTCCTGCTCTGCGGTCTCGTTCGGTGCTAGGGAGTTATATCTGGTGTGGAATTCGTCGCAGCTGATCGACCGTTTGTCAACTGACAGCCGGGGATATGGATCTGGATAGACATCTCTAAGCTGTGCGATTCGATCTTTCCAGCACGGCTTATTCTCTGATCTCAGTTGGGTGGATGTATTAGCAGACGACCAACGGACTGAGCGAAAGGCTTGTGTCGTTATTCTACATGATGACGGAACAGGGGTCTGTGATAGTGAGCACCGCGTGCATCTGAAATTTTGGTTTCGTTTACATGGTCAGCAATTGTCCTTCAGGACCGGGAAAAAGAGTGGCATCCATGAGAGAAAGGCGATGTAAAATTTGCATTGATTATTTTCAGAGAGTACGTTGTCCTGATTCCTCTGCTTGGTTAAAAAAGGGACTCGATGATGAAATCCCCCAAGCATTATCTGCAGCGGTTCTGTAAATGTGCTGTCTCATCGTCGTAGATTACCTGGAGGTCGCCAACTGAGCGAGAGAGATCTACAAACATACCTTGAAAAAGACCTATCCAGGTTCGCCTGGGACACCCAGCGAGAGCAGGAAGTCCGCATGTGCTCAGCTGGCAATGTTGCCTCAATTGGGAGGATCAATGGCTGGAGAGAAGGGAATTTGGGACATGAGGTGAATGTGTGTGTGAATAGATATGCTTGCAGGAGGTCATCGTAAATAGGCAAGTCTGTTGATTCTAATTTACTATTTCTCTTCAGCTAAACAAACATCTCCAAGTTTTTCTGCTGCTCCATCCCTCTGCGCTAAACCCAATTGCGTAGTCATCTGCAACGGACCTTTAGAGACTTCATCGAGAGCCTCGCGGGGCTTCACACGGCGTCACCGACAACCAACAGACAACCAAGCCCATATGCCACACGAGCATCCCCTTCCATTCCAAACTTGTTTTGGCTCGACACAGATATCCAAATAGAACTTCTTGCAAGAAAATCCTCCACCGGCGCATCCGCCGGATAATCCTCTTTCCTCTCGCAACCCATACCGTGACCTCATAAACCCCCAAACTTCGAGATGTCATTCCTATTCGGAGGCCAACCGAAGTTATCTTCGGAGGAGAGGATCAGCAGAGCTGAGATAGAGGTCGAGATGGTCACAGATATGATGACCCGGTGAGTTAACAAAAGACACATTACACATAGAAAACCCCATTCACTCTCCATTTCTCTCCCCGTCCCGGAACACCAGCCGAGGCCGTTTACACACACACGCACACACACACACACATATATATATATACAAAACGCAACATCCAGAACCCCCCAATATAAAAAGAAAACACAACAATTGCTAACCCATCACCTCCTCCCCGCACCACCAGCCTCTCAAGCTCCTGCATGAAAAAATGCATACCGCCCGATTACCGCGAGGGGGACCTAAACAAGGGCGAATCCGTCTGCCTCGACCGCTGCGTCGCCAAGTTCTTCGAAGTCAACATGAAGGTTTCGGAGAGGATGCAGCAGATGCAGGGACAGGCTATGGGACAGCAGAGTGGTGCAGGCAGTTCTGGTTTCGGAATGTAAAATATATATATATATATTTACCCAGTGAAAAGAAGGGACATTATAAAATTGGGGGGGGGGGGGGGGGGGGGGGGGAAAAAAAATAAAAGGATGATGGGGGGGGGGGGGGAAAGGAATCTTCCTTGTCTATGACGATGCGGGCGCGAGAGGTTTGGTCTGATGAGTCGGATCCCATTTACTCGGCCCGATTCGCTGGGTTACTTACTAGGTATCAGCGCAACAGCTTTTATGCCTTGGGATCATGAAGGATTTGACGTATTGGAGGATGGATCTGGTGTTCTTGGCAGGGGACCTGTTAGGAGTAAGGGGGAAAGGATTGTGTGGAAAACTGCTATGGTCCTTTACGAGCATCTTCCTTTGTCGCATTTCTGTGTCAATGTATTCATGTGTGAAGGTTGTCATCCATGGATATGGGGGTGGAGAGAGTCTCTTGGTTTCACATCTTCTCTATACGATACCGCCATCTACTGGGGCATTTTGCTTTTCAATCGGAACCAGCAGTTCTTTATGTGCGGTTTATGTATTTTTATATAAGAAAGACTTTTTTTTATCATGTCGGGACGGTCTTTTTGCCTTAAGCAGGGTTTTGCATCGATCACATCTATCCACATCCTGGGTCATGTAATTGCAGGTTGTGTGAAGGATATTCTCATGGTAAACCTTGTTGATTCGGTTCGCTTTCACTAAGTTATTGACCTCCATGCTATGCTACGTAACTATGTGTACATCAAACTCCGAGTATATGATCACTTCTAAATGATATGGCTAATAGTACAGCAAAAAAAAAAAAAAAAAAAAAAAAAAAAATTGGTAACTCCCAAAAATACCTAAAAGGTGAAAGCCATTATATACCCGCCTTCATGCAACAAATAACAAAGACAAATGTTGAAAGAAAAATAACCCTCTCCTTGCGAATCTTCTGTTGACTTCCATCACTGTCCCCAAAACTCACGAGCCCAACTAATCCACGACTTCCTTGCCTTCCGCTTCTCATCCATAACCAGGTCCCGAACCCTATTCTCAAGCCCAACAATATGTCTCTCAAAATCACTCACGCTGAGCTCCACATCTTCAATCCTCGACTGCAGCACGTTTATCTCATAATCAAGCTTCGCACCGAGCAGCTCAACCTTCTTCGCCGCCTCCAAGAGCCCGGACCCCTCGACCGCAACCAAATCCGCAGTGCGCGTCCGGAGCATGCCGAAATCCTCGGTCTTTTCTTGGTAGGTGGAATTGAGCTCTTCCAGTCGCGCCTGGGCGCGGGCATCGATGTATTCTACAGCGCTAACCTGCTCCTCGACCCAGGGCGCAATCTTGTCGCGTAAGTCGTGGATCTTGCAACCAAAGTGCCGCACGTCGGAGGCGAGGATGTCTTCTCGCAGCATTGCTGTGGCGGGGGTTGCTTCTTTTGCGGTATTGAGGGTTGGGTCCCAATCTGCAATGCTGTTCCAGACAAGAATGGTGTCTTCCACGACACTGAAGGATAGATGTCGGGGCCAGCGGGAATTGCGTTGGGGATTTGAAACTTTTGAAGGAAGTATGTCGAGGCTTCGTGGGCGTCGAAGAGGCAGGTCGAATGATTGGGTGACACCTAGTAACTCTTCTGGTATCTCCTGGACTTTCTTGAGTGGAAGGTTGCCGCCTCTTTCGGTGGAGATAGCAGCCTCTTGGTCTTCGCTGGGTTGAAATTCACCCGCATCTGAATGTTCATCATTGGAAATGAGTTCATCGTGGTTCGTGCGATGTTTGGGAGAGATGGAATCGGTGATAGGGCTTGGTTCTACTGGGAGTCGTTCGCGCAGAGTTTGGGCGGTATCGTCCTGATGTTCCGGTCGTATTACTTCCTGAACATTTTCGTCTGCCAGTTTGATAATGGGTAATCCGGAAGGGTATTCGACATTTGGATGACCAGACAGGTCAGTTTCAAAATCAGTCCCTTCCCTAGATCGTTTGTGGTGATGAGATCGGAGACCAGGTAAGCCAACGGCATCCCGGAATCTACCAAATCCGGCACGGGCGTCTGATACCTTTCCCGTGACTGTACGCTTAAGGGCACCCTTTAGTGGTTGTTCCTTGTCATCATAAATATGGCTTTGGGAGTCAAGTAGTCTACCGGAATGCTCTGTTTCGAGACTTGGTCGTCCAGAGTTATACTCTGATGTAGTGTTGCTCCTTTTCCTACTAACCCACTTGTATCCGCCACGATCATCGTTCGTAAAGACCATCGAGTCTTCACCAGAAACGTGACGAAAGATATCACTGCCTGTTTTGCGTGGCTTGCCATGCCATAGCCATTTTGACCGTTCTCCACTAACCAGCTGCACAAACCGGTCCATATCTATTGTTTCAACCTCCGATATCCCAGCTTTGTCACGCCCGCCAACAATACCCATCACCATTTCACCACCTTTGCCTCCCAGTTCAGCAACGGTGGATTTCACTGCCCGCGGTACATTCCAACCATCCCCGCTCGCAGCCTTAGCAGTAACACGGTGGAGTCGATCTAATGTTTGTCGATCAAGCCTGCGAGTCCCGTCGAGCTTTTGGGACTTTTGAAAGCTTGCTATTCCCCGTTTTAAGGCAGCCACATCAAAAACGTCTTTGGGAACAGGAGCGCCATAGGTATTTAGGCGATTTCTCGCACCCATCAACGTCCCAAGCAATGCGGAAACTGTGGTCGGCCCTAGGATTCCATCGCTTGGCTCGATATTGAAGAAATCAGTTCCAGTATCAGTCCACCAATCATTTATGGCTTTCTCTGTCACATCACAGAGCAATCCGTCCGCATACTCGGGGACCAGCTTATCGAAAATCGTCAATGCAATCTGGCACTCTTTCACCAGTTCTAAGACTGCTGAGTAGAACGGCACACGCTCACTCGTCCTGTATAGCTGATAAAACTTGGCTTGCGTAGTAGCAGTCGGCTGCCTCAAGTTCATCCCAGCCCGTCCTGAACAACAAAGACGCTTCAGGTTCTCGTTAACAATGAAATCATCCCTATGTCTCTTAACATCGCCATCAGGGACGGGTATCACGGTCAATGCGGACGGGAAACTGCTGAGATTCGTGACCATCAAAATACCAAGGGGAGTTTCTCGTTTTCGGGCATGGAATTGTGAAATCGCATTGAAGTAAACCCTCAACCGAGGAGACCAGGCATTTTCGTCCGTAGGAACACTGAGAACCGCCACAATAGCAGAATGAGAAGGATCGCCCGTATATGTGTTGATAACAAACGTAGGATGTACCCTGGAGCACGCCCATTGCTCCACAATGTAAATTTCATAGCCCGTCAGGGTACGACGTCGATCCAGGACTACCGTAGAAGGATCCTCTTCCAGGTAACGGAAAGCAACAGGATCTGTAAATACAAGCCTTTGATGGTTGTATTTAGGGGAGGGGCCTTCTGCCACTTCGATATGATTGGGAGCTGTGGAATAACCTCTGCCATGGGGAGTTCTTATATCGAGATGGGCACTGGCGGTGCCTGACGCTGAGGGAAAGTTGCTCAGGTCGCTGGGATAGGCCATGGCAGATGGAGAAAATAACGAGGTGTCTTTTGTGCAGTGCTCTTGCGGACAAATATCAATTGCCCGTGGAGCGAGGGTCAATTAAAGCACCTACTGCAGCAGCCAAACGGAGAATGCCCGCCAACGTCTTTGAGATGGCAGTAGAGGCCTGGACAGGGAAAAAAACAGAAGCGAACAGTGAAAAGGGCCATCATCAGTTGGATGGAGGATATCCTAGCCTGGGAATAAAGGCAGGCATCCTCAAAGAACGGATGATAACAACAGTTGTGGAATACTAAAAAGTATTTGTCTGTGAAGTAAACGTGAATGTCTTAATGAAAGTCAGAGACGAAACCACTGATGTCACAAGTGGCTGTGATTGTCACAAGATGGGGAATGACTAATATAGTTAGTTAAATACGTTACAATACGGTACATGACTATTGCACTGGGTTCACGTGCCAAAACGCTATTTTCCAGTGCAAGTAGTAAGAGTACAGCACAGTACAATACTACACTACTCACCTGCGCCACAGCCTGGTGCAATGTCTCTCGTGGTTTCATTGTTACATGACAGTATGTTACAACGGCTTGCGAAGTGGAGCTCGAACCAACCAAAACCTTGGGGAACTTAATCGCTCTTCAACTTCTGATGACCTTAGGTACCTGCTAACCGAGCCAAACTACTCATGACCTGGAGCAGCATACTCCGTCTAGAGGGGAACAGTCATTCAAACAACAGACCGCTGTTTATGTCTAGGAGTTCGTCCGATAGGGATTCATCGATTTCTATGACCTCGATGCCAAATCCTGAGCTCCCCGATATGTCCGCCGTTACGCAAAACCGATAAGAGCTCTGACCAAAGACATCTCCATTTAATGCTGACTTCCCCACCACACCACCGGCGAACATGGATTTATTGCAGAAGGAACATCAGCGGCTCTGGAAGCGCGCCCAGAGCGGAAAAAGCATCAAAGATGTCCAGGCGACAATTGACTTGCTCCAGGAGGCTAGGGACAACATCGCAAGGGGTGAGCTGATCCACTTACATAAATATACATACACACACACACCTATAACCATACCGGTATCGATATTCAGATCTCAAGGGATGGTTTTTTTTTTGGAGGGCGTTATGCTAAATGTTCGCTCTGCCTAGATCCAAGCTCAGCCTCCATTTATTTGGCAAAGCTACAGAATCCCGTCAAAGCCTCTTTCGATGTAACTAATGAGAGCCTTAAGGATGCCCACAGTGGACTTAACAAGTATACCAAAGCTCTGGATAAAGTGAGCTTGGACCCTCACTCCCCCTCTCTCCCCTTTTTCTCTTTTTTTTTTTTTTTTTGTGTGTGTGTGTGTGTGTGTGTGGTTGGAATGCAGAGCTGATCTTTTACTGTTTTTTATCGCATAGTTATTCAAAGATAAGCCTTTTCCTTATGACGCTCTATCAGCGCAGCCAGCGCTCGTCAACAGAGCTATTGCCATGCACCTTCTACGAGAGGGTCAATTTTCCGTTGCCTCTACATTTCTATCAGAAGTAGCCAAGAACCCAACACCCGCACAACCGGCTTCTGAAACTTCAGACTCCGACTCCATCGATGTCATAATTGAAATGGAGCAGATGCAGTCTGGGGAGATCCGAAAACAGTTTGTTCTCATGTATCAAATATTACATGAGTTGAAAAAACAGCAAAACCTACTTCCAGCCATACAATGGGCGTCGGAACATCGGCATTTGCTGGAAGCAAGGGGGAGCAATCTGGAGTTTGAACTGTGCAGGCTGCAGTTCGTGTGGTTGTTCCATGGAGGCAAAAATCCCCAAACACCCATGGCATCAGGACGGCAATTGGCACTGGAGTATGCCAGGAATGAATTCTCTACATTCCAGACTAGGCATCTGCCGGAAATTCAACAGTTGATGGGCGCCATGGCATTTTGCCCTAATCTGGAAGCCTCGCCCTATAGAGCCATCTTCAACAACCCCTCCGCCTGGACCGATGTAGCGCACTCCTTTACCCGTGAGTTCTGCTCGCTATTAGGCCTGTCAGCCGACTCCCCTTTGTACATAGCAGCCACAGCTGGCGCAATAGCGCTGCCAACTCTACTCAAACTGCAGACAATTATGAAAGAAAAACGGACCGAATGGACGTCTCAAAACGAACTTCCCGTAAGAACATTTCCCTTCCCCCCACTCAAGAGGCTATTTTTCCTACTTCCCCGTAATTCCACACACTAATCATTAAATAAATGCAGGTTGAAATCCCTCTTCCACCCTCCTATCAATTCCACTCGATATTCGTCTGCCCAGTATCAAAAGAGCAGACGACAGACGAAAACCCACCAATGATGATGCCCTGCGGCCATGTCATTGCTCAAGAATCTCTCATGAGGCTTAGCAAAGGGGGTAAATTTAAATGTCCATACTGTCCGAACGAAAGCCACCCCAGAGAGGCGCAGAAGGTGTTTCTGTAAAAGGGTGGAAAGGGTCACATATGCATACTTTCCTCTTATTTAATCTTTCCCCCCTTTATATAAATTTGCATATATTTGGGCGTTGCGGGGTTTGCTTTCCCTTTGACCGACAATTTGTTCGGAACGGGCGCATGGAGTTTGCAACAGTTGCGAATACTTGGGGACAGGGAAAGTTGTTCTGGCCGAAGCCATGTATGATATTTAAAATTAATTTCCTCCCTACTCTCAATCTTTCCATTCTCATTTATTTACATCGGTATCCATCTTTATCGTGACAACTCCAATTAAAACACTTTCCACCCGAAGATATCTGACTGTCGCCTGTTATACTCCCGGTGACAACAACATGAAACTTGTAAATGCGCGTATCCTAGAGGCTACAGAAGAAAATTGTCACGTCAGCAACAGGCAAAGCGATGAAGAAAAAGCAAATCAGAAATGACAAACTTACACAACCCCATCCTCGCCTGCCAGCCCGCTCCCAGCATCACGAGAAATTCAGAATCGCTCAACTAATTCACCTTCCAGATCGCGGTAAGATTGTAAACCCTCTTCCACTCCTCAAGCTCCCTCTTTGTCGGGCGTTTCTCATCTCCCTGATACCTAATGGGTGTCTGTTCGGGGATTCGTCGCAGCTTGAACCTATGCAACATTGACGGTTTGTCCAGAACCTCCATCCCATGGATATCATAGAGCCCATCATACCGGAACCCCATCGCGGGCCTATAGGGATTAATCTTTGGTAGCTTGCAGCTACGCAGGACGCGAATGGGGATTTTCTTCTCGAAAGATTCAATTAAGAGCTTAGTCCCACTGGAAGCCACCCCATCCTTGCCACGTGTGCCACAGTATAGGATTGTATCTCCTTCGTCAACGTCTGGATATCCGTTTCCCGCAGAGCCGAGGACAATGGAAACAGCCCCAAGGCCACTCCGGCCAGAGATTCCTCCTTCAATATTACCATGTGCACCATCGCGTACTGCAATAATTTGCAAGGGAAACCATTGACCATTGTACAGGTCATTTTTACCCACAACAAGGCTGTTCTTTTTGAATTTGAACATCTTGTCAAAGCTGCGGGAGGTTACGAGTTTGGTGGTTTTCCCAGCCGACTGCGCTCCACTAGTCGGGGGACCACTAACCTGGCGAGTGATGATGCCACGAAGCAAGTCTGGGTCAAAGTCTTCATGTTCCCAGCGGTTGAGAATAGCTTCACAGTCCAGCTTGACATCCCAGGGAACTGTAGAGCTTTTGATGATGGCAGGGAGACCAGTGTCCTGATCAAGGAACTTTTGAAGAACAGAAGGGAATGCTGGCTCAATGTCATAGAATTGGAGATGATGGACATGATCTCGAGTTTCTTTGAACAGAGTAGCACGTTCTTTCTCGGATGCAGTGGCTGATTTGTTGAAGAGTGCGAGAATCTTCAGAACATCATCCGCTGATCGCTGGAGTCGAGCTTTTTCCTTTGTCGAAATGAAGCGTGTGCTATGTAATAGTTAGTCCGGAGTAGTTATGACAATAAAAAAAAAAAAAAAAAAAAAAAAAAAAAAGGAGTCGCCTTTTCTTATACTCACGATGAGCTGAGGAAAGGGGTTCTGGTTTTCTGCTGGCGCTTTGGGGGATGGCCAAGGGTCCCTGAATTGAGTCGGCAATCTGACACACCATCCCTTGCAGCTCTGCAGCAGTTTTCAGAGATAGCACATGTGCATGGAAGAGGATCAACAGGCCTCTTTCTCTTTGGAATTTGCCCCGGCTGACCGGCTGGCTTGTCATTCTCTTGGAGGCTAGCAGCCGACGTAGCAGTCTCCCCTGCCTCCAGGTTAGTGTCTGTGGCGACGGCGACAACAGTTGCAGTCTCTTCTGCTTTCATGCTGGTGTCTGCAGATGACTTCACGTTGGCAGCGCGCTGTTTTCTGATTTCCTCAAGGCGCGCCTCGAGTTTTTGATAGAATGAGGGAGCCGAAAAGGTCACCCCTGGCTGTTCGCTTGACTCGGACTTTACTTTGTCGGAGTCCATTTGAAAGACTGTTTGGAGTAGTTAAAGAGTGGAATCTCGATTTAAAATGAGAAAGCAAACATGAAAGACTACAGTATGATAGTGATGATAGTGATGAAGTGATGAAAGAGTTGAGACAGTTGCAAGTGTGCAAACTTGTTATCTGTTATTTACATGTTGTATGTTGTTGTTGTTGTTGTCATTGTGTTGCTGTGTCGAAGAAATACAAATCTATAACAAGTTAAATATAACTATAAAGAAATGACTAGTTACAGGCAGGCTTCTATCTTCTCTGTGTTAGAGATTGATTCAATCATTACTTTCAGTAAATTGCACATATGAAAACTAGAACTGATCTCGGCTAATTTATATCATCGCATAAATTGTTAGAGTTTTTCTCAGTATAAACAGTGATTAACTGCTCCCCCGGACCCATCGCATTCCCCACAGTTCCCTGGTTCCAAGCTGAACTTTAGCGACTTAAAAGTGCAGAAATAGGCGCCCCCGCTCAACCACTGTTTGTTGGTTTAAAGCCTGGAATCCAATGGGATTGCATTGTAGGAATAGGCTCTACTCAAGCTATCATAGATGAAACATTTTAAGACGGTGGAGATAGCCGATGCCCGATGCTTCAACCCAAGACAACCCTCCTCCAAGGCCCCTGTATCCGCATATTTAACTAGGTTTGATAAAAAAAAAAAAAAAGGGATCGCAAGAGGTGGACAGGAAAGCCGAAACCGATCTAAAAAAATGAATTCATCTGCGTCCATCCCTGGCGACCCAGTTACTGTGAGTCTCAAAGAACTCGAAGAAGGTAGATCCATTTCTATAATTCTTTCTATGTGACGAGTCTCCTAAAACAATTTCCATCGCTGACGTTCTATAAATATATATATATATATCTAAGGCTCTGTTTCATTTGAAACATTAACTGAAGCCTTTGGCCCCTCATCTCTCGGCATCATCATCGTAAAAGACCTCCCCGCCCGCTTTAAAGAACTGCGCGCTGAAGCCTTGTCAAATGCTTCTTATGTAGCGACGCTTCCGCAAGAGGAGCTGGGTATATCCCTGATCATTGAATCAAAGAAACAAATTGCCTAGGAGAGAAACGGAGCTGACCAAGCCAACCTTCCTCACCAGACGCCCTCTCGAGCCCGGCATCCAAATACCTCGTGGGCTGGTCCTGTGGCAAAGAAACCCTCCGCTCTGGCCGCTTCGATACACTCAAGGGCTCCTACTATATAAATTGTGCCTTCTACCAGGACCCATCTTTGCAAAATGCGCCGGCGGATGACTTCCCCGATTTCCCGCAGTACACGGCCCCCAATATCTGGCCGGATCAGCGACGTCTGCCCACCTTCCGCAGTAGCATTGAGCAACTGTGTGCGTTGGTCATTGACACGGCGGCATTGGTAGCGCGCGCCTGTGATCGATATGCGCTGGCTAATATTGACGGGTATAAACGGGGGTATTTGGAGCATGTTGTCAAGACAAGTTTGACGACTAAGGCGAGACTATTGCATTATTTTCCTGTGGTGGACCAGGGGAATAGTAAAGGGGAAAAGAGCAATAACGATAAGGAGGAAGATGAAGACGATTGGTGTGCCACGCATATTGATCATAGCTGTCTTACTGGACTCACCTCTGCCATGTTCGTTGATGAAGAGGCACATCCACCCTCATCCTTCGTATCGAGCAATGGTCGCGACATCAGGAGTATCCCCGAATTGCCCAAATCCCCGGATCCAAAGGCGGGGTTGTATATCCGCTCACGCACGGGACAAGTTGTCAAGGTCAACATCCCAAAGGATTGTCTGGCGTTTCAGACCGGGGAGGCGTTGGAGCTGATTACCAAAGGAAAATTCCGGGCAGTGCCACATTTCGTCAAAGGGGGAGACAAGAATGTGAAAGGGAAGGTTGCAAGGAATACCTTGGCAGTGTTTACGCAACCGAATTTAGGAGACGAGGTGCAGGAAGGGAAGACGTTTGCGGACTTTGCGAGGGAAGTGGTGGAGAGGAATCATTAGGTGTATGATAATGATACATGAATTATAGGGGTATGTATTGTATACTTGCGACGTGTTTGATATAATCTTTTCCGGATTGTTCGTTTAGCTCCTACGATGAATGTATTTAAATATGATTAATGTATTTAAATGAGATTTCTCATTGGAATGCTATGATCTGGTCGTCCAGGAATTTGTGCACATCATCACTGCACATCATCGCTGCAGAAAAGGAAGATATCGTCACAAAAATATACAAATAAATAATCAAACAATAACGTGATCTATTGACACGTTTCCCGTCATTTGCAGGAGGTGCTGTCGTGCTGAAGGGGGATAGTATACAGAGGTATCTCGCAAATGCAGACAATAAAGGGTAGAAGAAGGGCAGAGCCGAAAGCAGAGTGCAAGTTAGGGCAAAGGAAGGCTCATGCCAGAGAACACCAAAGATGGAATACAAATCGAAATGGGAAGTATCCAAGGCCAATTCGCTCATGAGATATCACGCCTTAAACATGAGAAGCCGATCGCATAGCAAACAAACGCCGCACTTTAATGCAATGGGAGAAAGAGTGAAACCCGCCACCCCATGATAATGAAAATAAGGATTCACATGTATTTAATCCGCTTCGCCTGTGGCCCAGTGTTGGAGGGTTTGTAGTCGCCGCCTTCGCTCTCTTCCGTTCCACCACGGACCGTAAGCATCGACGGAAATCCGCTCGCCAACTCGTCACTTGTCTCGCTCTCAGAAGAATCCGCGGAGTCCAGTTCCTGGACATCCGAAGCAGGAGCGGACGTAAGATCCATAGGGCTAGGGATAATAGAAGCCTCTAGCGGCCCAAGCGCACTTGAAACTAGGGTGCTCATCCTGCCCACGCTTTCAAAAGTGGTTGACGGAGTTCTGCCACCAATGAGCCCGGCCCGTGGTCTGCCCGTTGTACGGGTGATTTTAGCATCCCTGAGGTCCGCATTGGTCGCCGTTCCATCAATTATCCTCAAATTTGAGCGGAACATCTTTACATCCCTGGCGTCATCATATATGCCCACTTCATGCTGATTCAACGTTTCGAGGGCGAGAGCCTCAACTCTGGAATCCCCGCAAAACCACTTCTTTCCTGGACTTAATCGTTGATCAGTTGATCGACCATACTCACGGCCGTATTTCACGCCTTCAAGATCCAGGCCCAGAGAGAGATCGTCAAACATTAGGGCCATGAGCTCTGACTCGTAGCAACGACCAACAACATGATCTAGGGATATCTGAATGCTATGCCTTTTTGGGTGCATACGGTACCATGTTCCGTACCCTCGCATTCCCACGCATTCAAATGAATCAATAACCTCCTCTTCAGTAAGTGGTTTTGGGGGGTCGATCGATTGTGGTTCTCTATGAGCATTTTTGGGTGAAAGGGTATAAGTTTTACCCACGAGACGAACTGCTGTTGACTCACACAGTAGCGGAGAGGACATATTTGCGTCACAGTTTCGGAGCTTGACGTGAATGCTCTCTATGACTAGCACATCGGTAACTTGGTTGTATGGGCCTGCCGAAGGCGTTTCTGACCGCGGCATGAGTCGAACACCGTCGCCTTTGATCAGGAGTTCGGAGCCAATGAAGATTCCTTTGCAATAGACGGTAGCGTCCGGCCATTTTCCCTTAAAATGGTACTTATCCAACACTGAGAAAGAAGACATGATCGTGAGTGCATTTTGAATAGACGGGTGGTAGTCGCCGGGGGGGATCCCCTGCAAAAATATTTGCCAATAGTTAAGAGGCCGGATGCAGCTCAGTGGCACGTATTTGTATTGGCTTGAGAGGCTCTTATCTGTACTATTTGGGTCCGGAAACGTCTCCACCCGGAAGCCAGACATGTTGACAGCCAATTTCTTCTTTGTTTCCGTAATTACGTCTTCGAGAATTGGAGCTTCCATCGCAGTTTGTGTAACAGTTCCTGCTCGCCATTCAGGGATTCCAAGGAATTTCTTCGTTTTCCGACAATACATTTCGAAGCTCTCAGTACGTGGGTTGTATTTTAACTCTGTTCCCCGGAAGGAAAAACAACATAAAACAAGTTCACCAATACGCGGGATGAACGAATGTTGCATAAATATTCTGGTGATATGGTCCTGAAGTTGACTGCGCTCGGCTCTCCAGTCCATACTTAACGGTTCCTTGATCGGTTCATCTAGGGTAACTGAAGCTTTCAACTTCATTACGAGACTTTTGAACACATCTGGCGTTCCCTCTTCATCTTCGGCTACATATTTTCTCATTTTGTGACGCCCTATATTCATAATCTAGCGTTAGCTGCCACGATCCGATGAATATAGACATGATAGATTTCCATAAAAGGGCGGAAATGATCTCTTACCTGGTCTTCTTATTCCGCCATTTGTGGATATGTGATATTCACCTAATCTGGGTTTAGGTTTAGGCCCAGGCTTACGTCTCTGGCTTCCCATTCCAGACCCGTCGTCAACTGTCAATAACTGCTTCTTGGCTCGACAAGGTTCGCAGCGGCATGGAGTGGCACCATGATTCATCAGATAGTAAAAATGAGGCCAGAATCGATTTGGAGAGTTGTAGTAATAGCCTGACGGGTGACCGAACAGATATTTGTCCCGCTGATATTATGTTGCTAATCAGCTTCTGTTCATGCATGTACATCATTCCAATTCACTGGAAAAGATACTACTAACAAGATCAGGATGGTGTTGACGTGCCCGGGACATATACACATATCCTTCAGGCAGTTGGTCAAGAATATAATGTTTCCCTATACTTAAGCGGTTATGTGTTAATTGGTAACATGGCAACTATTGAGAAGGGAAATCGACGTGGCAGCAAGCCCGATATATGAAATTTTGAGCTGAAAATGGATATAGATGAGGCTCTGAATTATATGATATAATAAGAAAATACATATTGTTGAAATTAAAATTATTCTTGTAATCTTCCCCAATAAAGTGTTCCTTATCTTGGAATAAGGATAGAACCACGAGAGAAGGGGTAAACAGTACATCACACATCACAATACATAATCCAGAGAGTCACAAAAATTCAACTCGAGGATTGAAAAACAAAATAGCTCGACAAAGGAAGTTGCATATTTTATATGATTAAAGGATTAGAAGCATCATCACTAACCTGTTTTCGCCTCCCCTCTCTCCTTCATCCACAAACTGGCGAGTTTCACGAGGTACAGCTTAGGATCTTCTTTTTCATGACGCTCATGTGTCGGCCAGATAGTTTTATCCCCATCACTAAAAGTTTTATCGATCGGGATTTCGATGAGGCCGTCCTGGTCATCATGCGGCAAGTTGAGAGGCGGCATGGTTTATCAGGGAAAAAAATGTATAAAAAATCACTAAGCTAGGTGGTTGAATTTCCTTTCATTTTATATTGCTTCGTTCTCTTGAAATGATGGTGTTGATGCGTTTTTTGAATTGTTTAAGAAAAAGGAATAATAAATGAAGAAATAAATTGAAAGTCATTGAATATAAGTCACGTGAGGAAATGAAGCAGTTATTATGATTGGTCGACTCATATTTCAACTTGAGATTGCTGAACTTCAGTTCAAATGAGACATGTTTCATCCCTCAGGCAATGAGGAGCAGACCCCTCAATTTCTTACTTTCCACAGTGTTTTGACCCAATTTCTTTATGTTTATTTGATACTAGAATTTGTCTGCTTCCATTTAAAATCGTACCACTCATTGATCATTAGAATGGTCGTTCTCAGATATAACTCAAAAGAACTGCCATATAACTTTCCGAGAAGCAGAGACTTCTTTTTTTTCACCGTGCGCCTACATAGAACCCTCATTCAAAGCTATCGTGTATGTGTGCTTGTGCCTTCATACATGTTTGTTTCAACATGTATGATCTTGCCCGACAGGGTAGCCGCCCATTGTAATATTATTAATTGGACAAAGTGAACTAAAGCGGTCCATCAACTGAGCTACCATCTTTGGATGAGAGGATTCTCCCCCCGATGAGACCACTGTGGTAATAATCACCAAGCATGATTAACTACGTCGCTTTAAGTGTAATTGAACATTCATCAGGCGTCATGCAATGAAGATTTTTAATTCTTTCTCGTTTAGAATTTCTAATAATTCAAATCTGCGTCGGGTAATACCAGGCATAAAGGTGTGTATATACCTAGGTATCAGTCGCAAGAGAGTGACAGCGGGGTCGATGCGTTTGGGATTGACGTGAACTGCTCTCGTGGGTATAAGATACTCATTCTTCCTCCTCATATAGAGGTTGGTTATAGAAGATATCACGATTCTTATTGTCATACATTAGCTGGCAAACTATAAAAATGGAGAGAGTCCATGCATCTGCATGGGAGCAGGTAAGTTGCAATGAGATCTCACCAACCAAATGTATACTAATATTTGACAGTTCATCAAGAAATTGGCAGGGACATGCTCTTGTCGGACTCCACTGTTGAAGAACTATGACAGAATTGATATCCTAGCACGCAAAACATCACATCTAAGAGGACGAATTACCATCACAATGATTTCGCCAGAACCAGAGCCTGTCACTCTCAAAGCCGCTTGGCTTCGGATTTAAACACCCGTTAGCAACTGGTGACCAGGCTATCGTGGTTTTCATTCATGATGAGGGGTTTATCATGGGAAGTGTGGAATCTGTATCGAGGATTCTGTAGGATGGCCTGGGTTGATAGATTAAGGAATTGCTCGTTTTTTTCTGATATCTACCACGCTTGAACCAAGAAAAGGATAACTGTGACATTTAGGCTGTCTGCTCTAAAGCCAGCCCCGCGAGAATGGACCTATCAGCGTTCATAAATATCCCGGTTCACTGATCGCCACTATGCCAAATAACTAACCGTTCATATTCACAACAAATCGCCTTATCATAACTTGCTACCTTACCGGCCACCAACTTGTCTCCAAGACTCCTAGTGCACAGAAGTTCTCCTCCTCATTCTAATAATAAACGGCCTGTCAGGGGGCAATGCCCCTGATACGTCAAAGTTTGGTTGTGGCATTCCATTCGAATGTAGGGCTTCTTTATTAACCTCCATCTCAAATGTCGACAGCATAGTCGCCATACCAATAATCATTTCATACATTGACAAGTTTCTTCCGGGGCAAAGCGTGGTGCCTGCTCCAAAAGGACGCATCCAGTTCATACGTTCTCGCATTTCCCTCGACCGTATCTTACCAGGGATCGTCATCGCATCTGCCGATAGCTTCACCTCGTTTTTGACGACAAGATCGCGTTTAACTTCATCTTGAGAATTAGTATGCCCAATAGCTTCAGCTGCCATGTCTCTATCGTCATTGCATTCACTGTCGATAAACCTCTCCGGCCAGAACTCCAAAGGCCCCGGCAAGGACCCGCCAGCGGACCATATGTTTTCCTGCATTTGCAGTTCTCGTCCCGGAACGATTATTGTTCCTCCCTTGCGAAAGGTGTAACCCTCAAGTTCAATTGTTCCTAGAATTAACCGTAGTGAGGGTGCTGAGACATATGAGCGCAGAGTCTCAAGAAATAGGGATTTGATGAGCTTGTCCAAAGCTAAACTATCAATATCCAGCGTGCCGTCTTGATTTTGAGCCGAAGCGATTACGGAGCGGACTCGCCGTTCGAGGTGTGGGTCTAGCAAGCAGTGCATCAACATCCACACCGCGGCTGCGACTGCGTTGTTAATTGTTCTTATTTCAAACGATAATCAGCAATTTAGCAGATGGAGAGAAGAAATATACAACGAAAACATCACAACGTACGCCCACAAAACTCCCAAGTGAAAAACGGCTCGACCCCGTTTGCTGACACCATTGTTCAGAAACGTGCGGTGCCTTTGTCTCACCAGTCTAGCCCCCCAATAGGGGTCCCAGGCCGGATTTTCCGATTCCACTGCAAAGAAATCTCGATGTTTGTATGCTTCACTTTCCCATCGTTCCATGATAGAGACCATCCGGTCTCGACTAGCGGATGCTTTCGGGATTAATAGCCTAGGCATGTTTAACGTAAGCGTCAATACGTGGGTGTCAAACTCCCACATGTCTTCATAGGCTCGGGGCCAAATCTCCATCAGACGCGTCCCCATTAACATCGGTATCGAAGCAAGGGTGAGGTGCCGCATGTAAAATTCTTTGAGATCAAGCGTTACCCAAGACCCGGTGTCGACACCACTTTTCCTTGGAAACTCCTTTTCTAAGTTTGCGGTCAAGATCTCACTGAATTTAGATATCATATGCGGTAAAGCTGGGCCATTAAGACCGGGGAAATGCTGTCGATGGAGCTCTGGAATTATACCACGGCCTGCGCCATTACCATTCTGACCGTCAGTAGACCTTGGAGGTCCATTCGCAAGAATATCAAGGTCTGCTTTGGGAGCTCCAATAGCCTTATTCACGAGTATCACGATGGGATCGAACGTGAACACCTTTGGGCGGCGCTCTATCTGGCTTGCCAGTTTTAGGTCGAAAATAGGATACAAATAGTCCCCTGCGATTAACGTTCTCAAAACCGGCACATCGGGATATTTTTTCCTAACAAAAAACGGGATCAAAACGTGATAAGCAAAAGTCATTCAGTGATGGACCACACCATTACTGGCATCTTCCTTTTTCTCTCTCTATCATTTCAGGTTCAGGGAAAGTATATCGACTCCAGCTTTCCAAGAAGAGGGACGAGGTTCAGGTTTAGAATAAGTGTACAGGGGTCAGTGATTAAGGGACACCGCAGCCGGCTGGAGGAAGCATGATTCCACTAACCTAACCCAAGACGAGAAATAAGTTGTGCCCCGACGGAAGAAAAGGCCGTGGCCAAGCCATGGGATCGTGTATGGAATCAGTGGAGGCTCGCCCCCGTTTCGGAATCCCCGCCGTGCCTTCAGGTTAGTAAACAACCATGTCAGGAGGAATGGAGAAGTGAGAAGAACAATGGGTATCCAAAAAATCCCCGGAGGGATGATGGATTGAATATTCGATAGCATCGTGATATAATCCTCCTCAGTAAGTATTCCGCTTTGTCCGATCCTGTGGGAGTCGCGGGTATGCAATGAGCTATCCTGTGGCTTTAAATTATTAAAAAGTATATATGTGTATGTATAGATAAATTCCCTTGTTGGGCTCGCTACATCGATATGCCGCGGGGCAACATAGATTCCTAAATCGACTAAAATGTCTCTAGAGGAGAGCATAATACAGATATTTATATATTGACATAAATGCCAGCTGACGCTAGCCCGTTGAGCTTCATGTTTAGAGAATAGAGCGTAATTTCCGATAGGTATGAATGAAACTTGTGTCATGATAAAGCCTGGCTGCTCTTCCGTAGATTCCAATTTCTTGATTTTGTATGATTCGCTGTTTTCTCATGACTTCAGATAAATGTCGTTTCTTATGCGAAGAGGGAGGGCAGAGTGCTAATTTTCTCTCCGCCTGTTGGCTGCTTATGCTGCACAAGGAGGGCGAATGGGTGGTAGGACCAATGTTTGAAAAGACGGAACCGGGATGTGAGTATGTTCGGCTGCGTTTTTGCAAAGAACAATTTGGCTAAACGCTTCGCTCGCTTAACTACATGATCCAGTCATCGGCGAGATTACTCATTCAGGTATCATACGATGTTCAATGGATTTGTTCGGAAATGCAAACGGGTTTTAACTGGAATAACAATATGCACGTTAGTTACGACAGTGCACCAAGAAAATGTAACCAGCTACAAAACAAGTCTTAATAATAATATGTACTGCACAAATACAAAGCCAGATACTAGTGTTCATTTTAAAGAAAGCGATGCAGATGGTCTATTCTATAGCACCAGCCAAAGTCTCCACGGTGTCTGTATCTCCCTCCGTCCTCATATTTGATGTTGTTCGATCGTATCTGCCTTGCCTGCTTGATAAGGAGGGGGAGCTAGTTCAGCCTCGCCAGCCTCACTCTTAGCCACCTATACTTTACACAGCTCGTCGTTTATTTCCTGCTTCCGAACCTTCCACGCCTCAACCTTATCCAGTCGTTTCCTTAGCTCCTGTATCTCCTTCTCAACGCCCATTTTCTCCTTCTCCGTTCCGATCCGGTCGATCTCCCATTCGGTACCATCCTCTCCCAGGCCAAGCGTGAGATTGAATGTGTGGTATTTCTTAAGCGAAAGGCGCGTGGAGATTGTGATTAGGGTGATGTTGCGTCGCTTAGCTTGTTCGTAGAGTAAGCCTTCGACGTCAGAAGAAACGGCAGAGGTGGCTTCGTCGACAAACGCATATCTAGGTTCGTGATAGAGAAGCCTGGCCATGCCCATGCGCTGTTTCTCGCCGCCGCTCAGAACATCTTTCCACTCCTTGCGACAGTCCCAACCACCTTCACGGTCAGGCAAGTAGCCGAGATGGACGTCGTTGAGGACTTGAAGTAGATCTGCCTCGCTCTTTCCATCCTCTCGCATGTCCATTTCGCTGTGGGGGTAGATGACTTGATCACGAAGGGTGCCTATGCTTAAATACGGGCGCTGGGGAAGGAACATTATACCATTCGCACCAAAGTTTCTAGGTCGGCTTACTAGGCCACGGTAAACTGGCCAGAGCCCAGCGACTATGCGAGCAATAGCAGATTTACCAACGCCATTGGGACCGGAAATCAAAAGGTGCTCACCGGAATGAACAATAAAGGATAATGATTCGATAAGCTCGTCACCACCTTGGGGAAAGAGAAAGGGTGCCACCACAGGAACATGTTCTAGACGTACGCCATCGAAGCCACTATGGATCGTGCCCTGCACATCAGAAAGGGAGTAAAGTTCGGGGTGAGAACCACGGCGAGGGGCATATGCATTAGCGTGCACGCGGTGGAGAGTTGAAATCAGAGTGTATACCCGGGAAGTGTACCCAGCCAATTCCGAAAGATCCTTAATGCTGTACATCATGCGACCACCTGCATCTGCTAGGGAGAGCATAAGACGCTTGTTTGTGATGAAATCTTTCATTCGGTCCCTCTCCCTCCCAGAAGTTTCCGAAGAGAAAGCCATCTCAGAAACACCCCCAAGACCGCCCCAGGCAGGTAGAAATATAGGAAGCGATGTGATGAGATATCCAAAAGCAGACCAAGAGTACTTAAGGATCATATCTTCAAGCATATTATAGCGGATTTTCAGGCTATATATTCCTTCCATCCATCGCTGCAGATCCTTGAAACTCTTGGTGAGAAACACACGTTCCATCTCAGCCCCGCCATAGAATGCCACCTCCTCAGCATTTGCTAGGAGTCGAGAGTGGAGGGTTCTGAAATCTCCCTCTTTTTTACCCTCGACCGCTGTTAACTTTCCAAATGGTGGGGAAACACGGCGGAGTATAGTTGCTGTGCCGAAATAGCCGCTCAGAATACCCGCCAGTGCGAGAGGTCCAAGTGAACGATAAAGTTGATAGTTGAAAACGAAGAGATCCACCAGAGGTTTCCCAATGGAAGAATATAACTTCGCAGAGGCCGCACAGAACCGTGTGAGATCCTGGGTGATAAATTGATCCGCCGATTCACCAACTCCTCCATCAAGATTGGAAAGTTTGTAGTAATTTATGTTATCGTTAAGGTACAGGTCATGTATATACCTAGTGAGCCTGGTTCGAAAGGCAATCGATACTTTGGATTGGAGGAATTTGATCATGGCATTCGTATAAGAAGCGAAAGCTCCAATGCCACACCATTTGATGAGGCCCCAGATGAAAGCTCTTCCTCTGCCAGCAACTAGATCCCGCACAATCTCTCCGTCAAGTCTCGCTACAACAAGAGATAGGTACGTCCGGAGCAAAAGGAAAACGCCATGGCCGATCAAAAACCCGGTTTCTTTGCTGCTCCATCTCGGAATCATGATACTTAGGAGGCTAAGAAACTGGTGCAAGAAGGCTAGATTCAAGCCTGGCTTGGTGGAGAGTGGCGGGATTTGTGACACCATGGACGATACATCACCGAGGCCAGCCGCTCTGGGAGGATTCAAGAAAAGCCGCCGGTGGGCATCAAATGTAGTAGGTTTCGTCGGGCGAATAGTGACTTTTGAGGTATCGGAAGAGGAGACGGACGATCTGTACGGGACATATATTATTCGCGAACCATCCTTGCCGCGAATGCCAGAATTCTTTCTCAGCAGACGGTTCCCCTGGGCCCGTTCCTTCGACCATTCCTGCCACCACCTATAACCTCCATATCCACTTCCTATTATCGACAACAGAAGAAAAGTAGTTGCGACTAACTTTGTAGTTTTGGAGGACTTCCGGAACCGAGCGCGTAGCAGGTTTGAGTAGTGGGTGTACAGGAGGAGCAACGGGTCTTCTCGAGGTTGCAACGTCGACTGGACAGCCATTGTGCCAGTATATCAAGAATGGGGTATGGAGTTCAACGTGCGGTTTCTCGCATCCACCGGAAGATGCGCCAAAATATACAGTTTTATCCTTCTGCAGGAGATGGCATTGTCAGACTCAACAAATCCACGTTGAGGCCGCCCAGGTTCTCGAGGTCCCTTGAATCAAAATTCTTTTGCCAAGTCAAATGCGCGGACATAAGATACAGCTGTCGCTAGTTGTTTGAGCATTGTCAGTTCCCAGGTTGCGGTAAGAAGGAATTACTGGCTGTGCCGGATTTATGTTGAAGGCATGAAGGTTTGTGGAGGGATTTCATGCGGGCGCATTTTGGCGACATGTGACGACACTGAAAATCCGGGGAGACCTTGGGCTCACATGACGATAGTATCACGTGATAGCTATTATTACTGGCGTTTGTTGCTGTATCGGATGCGTAAAATACTAGTACCAGTGTAATAGGCGTAATGGACGTAATGTAATAATACCGAGTAATATACGCAGCGTAGAAACTGATCGGGTCCGGTCATTTGTTCGTTGCGTTCGAACACTCATTCTCGACAATCACTCTCGACCAATGGGGATCGAATACACATCGCTCCTTGATTTCACTAAGACAGGTCTCATGAACAGCATTGTCGGCAATGCAGTTTGATTTGTGGAAGCATATCCTTGACAGGCTTTTACTCTCAAGTTTCAAGCGACCGACGCCTGCTGCCGCTGTGTCAAATGTTCCGCGAGCCATAGCTTCGATGACGGTCCCCGGCCTACCCCGAAGCATAACATGATGCACGCATCTGCAGCCCATTAACTAATCTTTTATGATTCGCCTGCCAATAGTTTTAATTTTCGAAACTCTTCAAATCCTTGATGTTTCTCCAACCAATGTCTTCCGCGGGCTTTGGTTCAAAATAGAGGGTTGTCGCCTGCCATATTTTGGCAGAAGCCGAAGCTGACTCTCACAGTGGAACCAAGAAACTAATGGTGGATGCCGAGCTGCAGTGTCAGACCTTGGCCATCCTGCTAGCGGTAAACTACCCTGTCATCGTCCTGATGGGCAAAGACGACGGGTGCTGGTTTCACCCTTCCGCAGAACAGGGTTCTTTTCAATCCTGATTCCTGCGTAAGCGCCGTGAAGAAAGACGCTGTCCAATGATGATGTGATGAACCCCAGACTTGGCACGGATGGCACAAAAACTCGGTCACTTTCTTATTCATCCTCGCGAAGACTGCAACATATGTCTTGGCGATATTGCTGTTCTGTCTGATGATTACCATCATTTATTGACCTCGCTGAATTCTCACATGCATGCCTGCCTAGGTATGTTTAATTTACCCAGGACCTAGTTAGCGACTTTGCGGCGAGAAGTTGGAGCTATGCCAATGTGCTAGCGGTAATCGTGTTAACAAGAGTGCGACTAATCTCGCGCACAAAACTAGCTAAGTAATTGTGTTACTTTTAAAGAACATCTGATCAGAACACAGGGAGCAATCCATATCCCGGGTTTTGCGCCTGTTTCATGAAACAGCACTTAACTTGCTGAGAATCCCATACCTTTATATCTGAATCCCAGCATGATTTGGGACCAGGGAAGAAATCTTTGTGCGAGAGGGGTTAGACTTAGGTGGTTACACTGTGAGACCAATTTAAACTACGAGAGCGTCCATCTTTTCTCGATGGTGCACACAGCACAGACACGGGAATATACATGCATGTCCTTTCGATGAGCAGGTCAGGGTTTCAAGGTTGCTTGATCCCCTCACGTGCTGCACAACTCTAGATGAGAATGTGATGCTCCATCTGCGGACATTCGATTTTGAGGTTGCGATGGTTGAGAGTTGAAATTGCTCGCCCCGTATGATATGATACAGGTAGTTAAGCACAACAGCACACTCATCTGCTAGTTACTGCCGACTCGAACTGTGACAAGGTCTAGGGACTCATGCCTCCCGGAAGCAGGCAAGGGTTTGAGTTGATAAGCTTATACTGGCAACAGCTCCGTGGTTGGAGCTTTTGACATCTACCAGAGAAACAGGGGCGACATTTACTCACAGAAAGCGGACTGGACTGTTGTTATGAAATTCTAGGTTAATCTCTTCTAGATATGGCAATGCAGGCTTTAGAAATTTATGCCAGGCTTTCATAGTTAATCCATTGATGGGATCCCGCTTTTAACTTTTGATGAATAGTTATTGTATCGAGCTCGTAACACGGTATATGATGTTGTTAACGAGAGTAAAACTAGACGCCCATCTCAATAGCGAGATCACTTGGGTTGGATCCATGGGAGAGATTGAGGTCACGTGTATATGTATTTTTAGAAAATGATGGTACCACGTACAAGTAATAATGTAAAATTGAGGTCCAACTGCATAGAGTAATATATTACGCACCCTGAAACAATACGCGCCGTACTATTCCGTACGCCAGCCAATCCATGGATGCAACATGAATATTGATTTCACCACTTTCAGCCACGACTTTGGAACCTTGGGAAGGGTCCAAGCTATGGCTGTATCCCAGGTCAGCAGTTCTGGACGTATGGAGGGCAGATCATCGTTTGGTAAATTATAATACTTGCGGTCGCAGCTGTTGGCCGTAAGTACTAGTACCAATACCAACCCTGGTCGACCAAGCCACAGAGCCCCCTTTCCCTTTCTTACCTAACCAAGCCTGACCCAACCTCTCTTCTGATGCTGGCGTTGAACCGCCTCTCCTCCGCTTAATCTTTCTTCAGCACCTCCTGTAGACCGTAGACTGCTGTTTTCCCGTCAGTCTCTTGTCTGTCCTTGTGTTTGTTTCTATCCTGCTTGTCAACCTCGTCTTCCTTGCCCTGAGTCGGTTGGGCTGGTTCTACGTCTTGACGGTTCCCCCCATTTCCCCCTTGGCCAATTCGCTGGTGCTAATCGAGATTCCACTTGAACTCCCGCAGCTTTTCTGAGTTCAGTCCACTCCGAACGGGACTATTCCCCCTTGGGTTGCTTACTCGATTCCAGCCTTGGGTCTCCCCGAACATCGCAAGGATTGTCTTTACCTCCACGGAGCATCCATCGACCGCATCACACCGTCTCCTCTCGTTCACATCCTGCTGGAGATATACGTGAAGCTTTATCGATTGATTTGAGAGTCTGCTGGGAGACCACTTGGTCAAATCTCAACGGTTGACACCATTCGTGCAGGCGCGAAATACGCGAGGTTGGAGAAACTGTGTCGCCTCTGGAATCCTCTGCCCCAACCACCGTGACTTCCTGCTTTAGGCCCCAAGCCATCGTCTGCTTGCCAGCATTGATATATCAGCGCAGGTTGGAAAGGCAATTTACCAGAGGTGCTGGTTTCTCACGTCTTTGCAGGGGGTTCCTGAAGTTGATTGAAGCTAGCCTTCGTTGTCGCGCCCACCATTTACAACGAACCTCCCACCATCCTTAGTGTGATAGGTGCAGGAGGAAAAAATAAAGCGGGAAATCTTTTTCTTGACCGAGTTCTATATTTGATATCACGAGTGATACAGGGCTATTGAATTTACAGCTGTGTCCATGTTACTTGTGCTTGTGTTAAATCGACATACATCTTCCTATCCTGTCTCTTGGGAAATAGACTCGTCATCCTGTCTCTAACTAGAATTAGCTTTCATAAAACACAATCCATGACGACCTTACCTAAAGGCTCAGGGTCCAGTGAGTATTCTATTCTATTCCGCTAATCATCAGTCATCAAAAATCTCATAATGCTAATCTCAGCTGTCCCTTTCAAGACTCTGCCACACCTCTTCCAAATGATGCGCCTACAAAAAAAAATATCTTGTCAACTGAACCATCAATTGATGAGGGCCCTGTAGAACGGCACACATCACATGCAAACTCGGTACAGGATGCTTCCACCCAAGCTGATCGTCCGAGGAGAAAACGATCATTCCTTCACATCCCATCTCGGTCATCTTCTAGTATAAAACTACGAGGGCAACCAACCGCTCCAGACAAACGCGAAGATGTCGCTGAAAACAACGCCGGAAGCAAGAAGCGAGCCAATAGCATGGGAAGCAGCAAACGATCCAAGCGTTCCAATGTTCCGGATGCTGTGAACACTCCTTCCAAAACTAAAACTGCCGATATGGATGACAAGCCAAAGAAAAATGTATCAAAGAGACCTTCGAAGCTGTTTTCTTTTCTCAGCTGCTGTAGCGCATCGAATGACGATCAGGAGGGTGTCAGCCTACCGCCAAAAAGATCCGTAAAGCCGCTCTCATCTCATGGTAGACAACCAACGCCTGTCGAGAAGGCAGAAGCCAGTGCTGCAAACTCGAGCATGGCAGATTCCAGAGAACTGGCTTCATTTGATGAAAAAGTTGCGTTGAAGGCTAATACGGATCGGACGGAGTCGCAAATTGAGGTGGAAGTCGCCGCAGCGCGGGGTGAAACGTGTTTAGATCATTTTACCAAAACGCACCCTGGGGAAGGATCAAACCTACCCGTGCTAACTAAGTCTCCCTCGTCTTTCAGCTTTGGTTCTGGTTCTGGTTCTGGTTCTGGTTCCAAGCCTTATCCAGCTCGAGAATCGGAATCCCGCAGTTTGCCTACTATTGCTGCATCGGAGAAATCTGCAGTTTCAAACGCAGCTAGTACTTGGGCTGAGAAGAATGTGCAGCCCACCGAGGACGTCCCGGAAAAGCCCAATGACGATAACGATGCTCCCATGCAAGATACACAGTCAGCGGATAGTTACATAGATGAAGATGTGGATATTATACCTCACGAGGAACCGGTACAGCGAGCGACTGAACTTCCCCCTCCTCCCCCCTTAGATCGCAATACGGAACCGATCAACAAATATGCTTCCCCCGTTCCAGCGATCCCGCAAGACAAGCAGCAGTGGTTATTACCACCTGTCGAGCCGCACCTTCAGAGTCGTAAATGTCTAGTGCTCGACCTCGATGAAACGCTTGTTCATAGTAGTTTTAAGGTAAGAAAAGTGTTATCGGCTCCCATTTGCTTTAGTAGTCAAATACAAAATTGTACCTAACCGAAATTTCAGGTTCTTGAAAAGGCTGATTTCACGATTCCCGTGGAAATCGAAGGACAATATCATAATATCTATGTTATCAAGCGTCCCGGCGTGGATCAGTTCATGAAACGAGTGGGCGAATTGTATGAAGTCGTGGTGTTTACAGCATCCGTATCAAAGGTTCGTCTTCTCTTCATGGTAGTCAGGTGCTCATGATGATTAGCGACAACAACCATAAAATTAACATTTACGTTACAGTACGGTGATCCTCTGTTAGATCAGCTAGATATTCATAAAGTCGTGCATCATCGGTTATTTAGAGATAGCTGTTATAATCACCAGGGAAATTATGTTAAGGTATGCTACGACCTCGCTGCTTGTTCTTGAAAGAACCCGTGGATAATACATGTTAACCAATTTTCTCCCGCTCAGGATCTTTCACAAGTAGGACGCGACCTACGAGATACCATTATCATTGATAACTCTCCAACCTCTTACATTTTCCATCCGCAACATGCCATTCCAATCAGCAGCTGGTTTTCGGACGCCCATGATAATGAGCTACTAGATCTTATCCCTGTTCTCGAGGATTTGGCAGGTTCTCAGGTTCGAGATGTGAGCTTGGTTTTAAATGTTGCGTTATAGCGATAGTGGGTAATTTTTTTGACGACGCCGTTCCTCTTGGAATGGACGTTTTCGTTTGCCGGATCACTAGTACGATCTTCCGTTCTGGTCTAGGATAAAAGATCAGTAGGAATTCTACTTTGGCGTCGAAATCGTGGTCATGAAGTGTTCTTGCTACTCGAGCCCTTCCTATCCTAAATATTCGGTTGATGGCTCTGAACCCAGGACAAACCAGAACAACAACCCCCACGACAATTGGAGGAAGAACGGATATTAACAGGCTTCTCAATTTTACGTCGAAGGCCGAATGAGCATCTACCTACTATCAGGCTGGTTTTCCCTAGACGCTGTCCATATTTCCGTGTTCCAACTATATTATTTTGCTTCTTCCAGTTTATACCTATCGCCCTTGACTGATTACAACCCCCTAACTGGGCTGATATACCTCTCCGAGTGAGCGACTTTTCCCTTTCGAGTATTTCCTTGTTGCATCGACCAGGCGTTTTGTCTGCCTTCCATTCGCAGACTATAAAAAAATGTCCTTGCTGGTTACATGTGTTCATTCCCATCTTATTTACGCCCAAGTGGCGTTTACACAAAACAAAAGCACACCCATACATACACACACACACACACACACACTCTCTCTCTCTCTCTCTGCAACCATGCATTTCATTTGTTATTTCCTTCTTTCCTTTCCTCTATTTCTACTCTTCTCCTTCCTCTATGATCTGGCCTTCGTACATCATCATAAATGTTTGTATCCATTTCTCCCACCACCTTTCCCATGATCAAGGCAGCGATTTTTGTGTCAGTACTGTTTTGATTAATATTTTGCCTTTGTCTTTGTTTTTTTTTATTTTATTTTCTGAGATATCACATAAGTAAAGCCATTGATTTTGCGCGTTCTTTTCATATTATTTACCCCTTTTTTCTTTCTCTTTCCTCTGTTCATTCTAATCTTAGCCAATTCCCCTCTCTGATTACCCGATTCTTATTACTATATATTATTAGCAGGCCAAGCTCTGCTGTTATATTATTTCTGTGCTCCTTTAATCTTTTTTCCTCAAGGATAATCTATCTTTTTCTTCTTCCCCTCTCTCTGCTTTCACCTCAAAACAGCGTCAGAATTCCCCATTTTATTAGCATGCTATCTGTATCATTGTATGGTCTTCCTTTCGTGAAAGCAATGGCATTGAATTGAGTTTCTGCATCTTCAGGGGCTTCTTCTACCCCCCTTGCCCCTATCAACTTCTTTTATACTAAGCAGAGAAACTCCTTGCCCTTTACCTCCCTGCCTAGTAGTTATTACTGGGCTATATATAATAACAGTTCCAAAAGACTTCTTAGCTAGATCATTCATCTTTTTTTTTTTTTTTTTTTTTTTTCACCCATCGTTTCCTTCGCACGTTGTACCTATTGGGAGGCTGAAATCTTTCTCTCAGTTCCCATTTCGTCGTAAGGACCTTCATATCTGTACGGAGTATTCTTCAATCATTAGCATGTTATTATTAAGAGAAATATAAAAAATACGTCCAATCATCGTTGTAATTTTTAATACATACTTGCCCAGTTTATCGTTTATCTAATCTGCATATGACCGTTGAAGAAGTTACTTTATATGAATCGTCCATCGAGTCCGTAGCGGAGAAATAACCTATGGCCCTGTGATGTAACTAACCATCCAGAGCCTTCTGTGCTTCAAGTGAGAAAATCTGATGTACAGTAGATTTTATCAAGAATTTCAGCCGTTTGTTTTTGCTGCTGCTGGTAGCAATTTCGTCTGGCTGTGTCCAGAACACCCACCCTCTCTGCAAATAAAGACGAGAGAGCAAGGCTTGGCTGACATCTTCCACAACTCCACATGAACTTTAGTTACATAAATAACTACAACTTTTCATCCAACCCTGATTCCGCGACAGAAGTAAACCCAATACTATTTATTCCTTTCTATTACTCCCCTCTCTACAGGCACCTATCGCAACCTCTCACAAATTTCACTACCCCAGAGGAACTATTTCTTCAACCTCCAGGCTTCCCCTCTTTTCCCCCTCACCAAAACATAGGTGCTACATGAATGACGGAATCTAACCCTCCAATCTCCGCGAGCTCGACGTCTAACACGTCTCAAAACAACGACATAAACGACACACAAGGCAGCCCAAAAATGAGAGATAGTAAAGGCTGGGATGGCAAGTTGCGTGTCGAGCATCATGCCGTGCTGGCCAACCAAGGAGATCCCGAAGATTCAGATGAAAATGCTCCACCTCCACAAGAGATAGATGCGGATGAAGGTATATATATCTCCTAGAACAGAGATATTGCTGTCATTTCCATCCTCCTCACGTTGCTCATTTTCCTCTTAATCGGTTTTATAGATACATGCTGATATACGTCTCGCGTTTTCCCGTTTAGATCTGCTTTCGGAGTTGAGCAATGATGTTGACGTATGTGGACACCACCATTCCCGGCCTATCCACAGACTAGAAAGATAATATGAGTCAGCTGTAAATGAGCCATTGTTTATACAAACAAACAGGACATCGATCTGGTCCATTGCCGCATAACGTCCCTTCCAGCACTTCATTTGGAACGTTTCACGAATCTAGAGGTGCGTACGCCCCCTCAACATTTTTCCATTGGCTGTCAACTGAATGAAATACACTCAGAAACTCTGCCTCCGGCAAAACCAAATATCCCGACTCAGCTTCCCCGAAAACCTTGGCCCAACACTCACCGACTTAGATCTCTATGACAATATGATATCGCATATCAAAGGGCTAGAACACCTCTCCAAACTCACTAGCCTGGACTTTAGCTTCAACAATATCAAACATATCAAGAATATTTCTCACCTGGTGCATCTGAAGGATCTATATTTCGTGCAGAATCGAATACAGAAGATCGAGGGGCTGGAGGGGCTGAAAGAATTGAGGAATTTGGAGCTTGCTGCGAATAAGATTCGAGTTCGTGCTGAACCCTTTTTGAGCACTATACATCTCTTTGCTGGTGGGACCCCGGATATGGATGAACGAGCTGTGCTTATCAATATTGTTTTAGGATATCGAAAATCTGGACTCCCTCATAGCTTTAGAGGAGCTCTGGTTAGGAAAGAATAAAATCACCGAAATCAAGGTATGTGAATAATGTACCATCGATCCTTAAGCGACTGTCTTTCGGTCTCTCCTATTCGCGAGCTCCATATATAACCATGGCACTCTAACCAACCCATTCAGAATATTGACGCCCTCGCCAACTTAAAAATCATCTCTCTCCCCTCAAATCGCCTAACAAACATTTCCGGCCTCTCAAACCTCCCCAACCTCGAAGAACTCTACGTCTCCCACAACGCCATTACCGCCATATCCGGCCTAGAAAATAGCACCAACCTCCGCGTCCTCGACATTTCTAACAACCGGATCAGTATACTAGAAAACCTTTCTCATCTCTCCCATCTTGAGGAGCTGTGGGCATCTAACAACCAATTCGCCAGCTTTGAGGAAGTGGAGCGCGAGCTAAAGGATAAAGAGGAGCTTAAGACGGTATATTTCGAGGGGAATCCTTTACAGACGAAGTGTCCGGCTTTGTATAGGAATAAGGTGCGGCTGACGCTGCCGCAGATCCAGCAAATTGATGCGAGTAAGTTTAATTGCCGTTGTTTTATTTTCATCTACCAGCCTCTTCACGTGTGCTTTTACGCTTTTCATTTGACTTCACTTTGGGTGCCGCTGAACCGGGTAGTTTTGAAACCTAGAACAAAGTAGTGAGAGAAGGGCCAATTTTTTTTTTTTACTAACTACCTTATTTCAACAAATGACAGCGTACGTCCGTGTGTCGTGACAAGTGGGTGGTCGAATTAACCCCCTTCCCTGAGTCGAACTTGTGAAATCGATAAGAGAGTAACGAGATTTGCGTAACCGGTATCAGCGATTATGGTTTGCATTCATGACAATTTATTTCCTTATGATAGATATTGAGCTATAAGTATGATGAGAGACAGGAAGGAGGGTTCCCCCCTCCGTCCAGATTAAAATGAGATTGAGATGAACCATCCATAAGCATGAGGTTCTATTTCCTTTCTATGTCCATACTTTCTTATTAACTACTACAACTACTAAAATCTGCTATGGATGAGGAACATGGAATCCAATTTGATGTTCATGTACCTGGTGGAATTTTCCGACTCTTTTTCTGAACTCAAGACTTTCCATTTCATGAGTTGCAGGCCCAACTACCTTCTGAAGTTGCGCTAAAACACCTTGTCTATTATCCGCTATATATACAACGCAGAGGATTAATGATACATGGCGTAGATGCTACATATATTCAAATGATATATACTCTTCCTCCCTCCTCTCTTCCCTGGAACTCATCTTCCAGCCAAGATTGCTAGAACCCAGGATGGCACTGAAAATGTTTAACTCCAAAGTTGATATTAATCATCCATTGTACCTTTCTGCATTTCTTAACCATCTGACATGAGAAAAACGCCGGTTGGGCTGGGCTGGGCTGCATTATTTTAGCATTCGCGAAACATTGCAGAGTAGATCATTTGGACTTGATGTTCCAGGGATGCAAACGGATGCAAACAGCACCTAAACACATCATAACCTAACCAAAAGTCCTTTGATATTTCGAGTAAAGGCGAGTGAGCAAGCGCAATTATATGCGAGCCCTTTTAGAGTGAGGCGCGTCAGGGGATACTTTCATTTTAGTTTGTGAATCTTTCTCTTCCCACCCCGTAGGTTTTCGAATATGCCGGTTGCTCAACCAAGACCCTTATCCCACACTCTTTTCTAATTCTCTCGATTCTCTTTCCTGCTCTTGCTCTTGTTCTATCCTTTGCCCCTGCCCCTGCTCCTTCTCCTGTGCCATTTCATTCGCCTTCTTATTCGAAGTCATAGCTTTCTTCACTTTCAACTTTTCCATAACCTCCCTTCCCTCCCGATACATTCGCATAAGGGAATCCCCACAAAGCGTCTCCGCAATCCGTAAGACATTACCCTGGTGACGAAATGGGAACATCCGTTTCTTCTTCGGGAAACAATCCATATGTTGTAGCCACGGGGGGGGTTTCAGGACTAGATCGCCAAGGCTCTTAGTGGGTTCCTCACTATAGCCAACTCCTTCACTGCAATTAGTAGCAGTCTTCATCAGATCCTGGACCTCTAGTAAGTTGGTCGCAATGTGGAAGGCGTTGTAGTATGGATTCTGCATGACAGCAACATTGTGGTCATGGTGGGATGGTTCAACGTAACAGAGGATTGATGGTGCCGGGGAGCTACCATCACCATCATAATCTGCTAAGTTTTGCCTTTTTTTTTTGGCTCTTTCTCTGTTTCTTCTTGCTTCTCTAGTTCTGGCTTTGATTCGAGGTTTGGCGAGGGTGCTTTTGGTTGGATAGCTCTCCTTGCCGGAGTTAAGCATGCTTGATTCCGGCAAAAGTTTAGATAGACTAGGAATTGGAATAATAAGTGGAGAAGCTTCCACAGCAGCGTTTCTGGCATCAACTGTTTCGAATATTACTAGAGCAGAGCGCCCGGTATTCATGGCTCGTGGCGACGGGGTGTTCTAGGACATGTTCTTAGTACGCAATTTGAAGAGTACGAGATTATGCTTGATAGAAAGGGTAGGAGAAGAGCAATAAACGCCCCAAAAATGCTCTAAGAGGATTCCAGCTTAATGCCAATAAACCTCATATCAGTGTGATCCAAAAGGTGGGTGCTTTTTCACATTACAATAAGAAAAACAGTATCTTTGTTCTCGCTCAGGAGACGAAATCAAACCGATATTAAAAGTATTCATCTCCCAAGTCTGGATGATCTAGCCTCGATACAAACGAAGAGACAGAAGGCCCCTTCACCCACTCAATAAACTAAGAACCAAAAATTAAAGCCACAAAAGAGAAATCAAAAGAGAAGTCATAAATCTTACCTTCAGATTCAGGAAATATGACACTTCCCCAAACTTCCGCATCGCCCCAAGAACCAACTGGGACTCTACGAGCGTGCGCGGACTTGGTACCATTTTAATATGGACCTGCTTGAGGTTCGCAACCTGGCGGGCCGCGTGGGTAGCCATGGATATACGTAGATAATATTATAATCTACTACTGTGCCTCTTGTCGTTGTCCCTTTTTGACTTTTATCAAAGGCTATTCAGGCTCCTTACTTGCAGCCGGTGTTGCAGTATTTGCTTTGGATCCATGCAGTACGCTTTCAGGGGCGATGACTCTTTTGGATGGTAAATTGTGCGTCTGAAGTATTCTTCTATTTTTGGCGTCTTTTTTTGGACGGAGTCCTCTCTCCAGGGCCCAGGGGTAGTTGATTGAGGGTTAAATCATGCGATTGGTAGAGGTGTATATATGTAGATGATATAACATTCATTTTTAATGGAATGTCGTTCGAGATGTAAAAAAAAAGTTTCGGGATCGTGTCATGTGATTTCCCGAGTCTGATTTGGTCAGATATTGGGAACAAATCCGGAGATCGGAAGCATTACTACGTCAGCCAACATAGGGTATCTACAACTATGTCACCTATTCGCCTCTCTTGTAGAATATACATAGTAGCTCCAATGGTTCAATGAAATAGATCATTAGCACGCTTTTCCTATCTTCCTAACGTGATTATAATCCTGACGTGAGATAGACTCAGTCTGTATGCCCAAATGCTACTGATGCATCTCGTGAGCAGGATTGACCTGCACATTAAGAATTTGAAGTTAAGACATTCGTATAGCAATTGTGCCTCCGCGCTCGGGTTATAGAAGAATACATTGTACAGCCAAGAGGATGCAATCGATCTATTCATTTATCCTCATCACCAGATGCATCAAGATTAAATTTCTTCCTCCCAGACCCAGTAAGATTCCTAAGTTTCACCAGATTGACCTGAACATCCATCTTCTTTTCGATATTCCGAATCTCCTTCTCCGGGTCAATAGCCTCCTCTGACGCAAACTCCAACACAAGCCGCCTACCAAGAAGATGGGTATGTTTCAGCGCCTCCATGGCATTCTCCGCCTCTCGGACACTTATAAAATCAGCGAACGCAAATCCACGAGCCGTGCGGTCGAATTTCTGCGGCACACGAACTGAGCGGAGTTTGCCATATGCACCAAAAAGGTTCCTGATATCCTTTTTTGTAGCTTGGAACGGTAAATTTTTTATGAGGATTTTGGTTCCGCGCATAGCTAGTTTCTTAGCATTGTCCTCGCGCCTTCTCTCTTCAGCCGCATCCATAGCTTTGTGCGAGGTCTTGATGACGAGCTCATGTTGATCCAGTTTATAACCATTCATCGTTGCAAGAGCAGCGCGTGCCTGAGCACTGGTTCGGAACTCCACGAACCCGAAGCCCATGCTAAGAGTTTCCCCTGGCCGCTTTGGATTGGGTTTGGTTTTCACCCTAGCAGACAGGAATCCGTCCAAGGGTTGGAATACCTCTGCCAGGCGAACATTTGTGGTAGAAAAGTTAAGATTTCGAACGAACAGAGTCGATGTCTCCAACGGAGTCTCGTTTTCGTCCGCTTCACTCGCCTTGAAAGTGTCAGATGTTGAGAATGTTTGCGAGACCACTCTTGGAGCAGGGAGTACAGCGTTGGTTGCGATCGCCTTCTCATCAAACAAGTCTTTTGGTGCTCTTTCCAAAAACAGTATCGAATCACCTAGTTTCCGATACGCAAGCCCCTTAAAGGCCTTCTGGCACTCATCCGCCAGGGCGAATTCAACAATGGCTATCGTGCCGCTCGGTGGCATAAGGAGCCTTTTGATTTCCCCAAACGATTCGAACAGCTTCCTTAGATCTTCAGCTTTCACGCTAAAGGAAAAGTTTTTAACGAGAATCGCAGTGTTACCTTGTTCTCGCTGCTTGAACGAATCCAGATTGACCCCATTCGATGAGAAATATGCCTTTGTTTCTTGAATGACATGCGTTTCAGCATGGGCTTGCTTGACTGCGGCATCAGAAGACGTGGGGTCAAGCAGTTCAGATTTGGAAACCCCTAGCCGTTCAGATATTGATGACATAACTGCATCAGCCTAGTCAAATTGTTAGATTACGTTATGTATTGCCAACACAAATGACAAAGTGCATACATTCATATAAAGAGAGTTCCAATTGAAGTTTGAAGATAAAGCTTCTTGTTTTCGTTTAATCTGCTGCTGCTTCTTTAGAGGGAGCTTTGAAAGCTCATATTCATCCAGCTTGTACGTTTTCTTTGGCGAGGCTGGTAAGATGTGCAGGAGACGACCTTCGAAATCCTTCCCGTCAAGGACTTGGTAAGCCTGAATGGCAGCCTCGGGATCTACGTATTGTATGTATGCAAAGCCTTTGCTTTTAGATTGTCGTGTATCAAAAGCAACATGAATCTATAATTTTTACAGTTAGCATCCGATATGATGAACGAAAACTTGATAAACCAGACGTCGGAATACTTCAACGACAAACTCCTCAGATCAAAAGAGGCATCTACTAAAATTCTCTTTCCAGGTGACATCATTTGCATAGCATAAGCTGTCCCTATCTGGAAAATCATCATTGGAGGTCAAGCGGCGGCTAGTTGCACGTAGAAGATGGGGTGAGGGTTAAAAAAAGAATGAGAAATGAAAAGGAAATGAAAAAGGAAAAAGGAAAAATTTTAGGAAAAAAGAGAAGAAAAGAGAAAAAAACTTGCCTCGTCAATCTTTCCAAAAGAAACGAATAAAGGTTCCAAGTCACTTTCACTGGTGTTATAGGGGAGATTCCGAACGAACAATCGACCGGTCTCACGAAGTAGACCTATATTTGCGTCAAAGGGTTCTTTGTCATCGGATGGATTGGGAGTTTCGTTTTGTCTGGGTAACGGAGACTCTGGACAATTTCTTCCCATGACGATTTCGTGATCACTGCCATCGCTTGCTTCAATTTCCCGTACTTGGGGAGTTACGGCGGAACCATCGTCATCGTCTTCTTCTTCAACCAGGCCAAGAAGTCGACTCGTTCTTGATCGTAACCAGTCCATATCGGACTTCGGCGCTTCTTCGACGGATTCGACCTGTGGGTCATTTTCAGGCTCCACAGATCTAGGCTTTGGAGTGGCTAAACTATCCTCAGTGATTTGATTCGGCCGCTCCATCTGCTTCTTCTTAACAAGAGATTGGTGATCAAGTTTCAACCGCTTGTTTTGCACCTCAGATTTTTCAGCATTGATAGACGGTATAATTGTAGCATTATTGGCTGGCACCGCGTTAGTATCAACCATTATGCTATCATCAGCCCATGTCTTTGACTTCATTGGCGGTTGCATAGCCGCAATATATTCCTGAAGCTTAAGATCCTGTTTCTGTTCTACTTGGTCATGTTTGCGCTTGAGAGATGTGGAGTTGGCAGATGTGCCATGTTTTGAATGCGACTTCCCAACTGTAGGGGGTTCAGCATCGATCTTAAGTCTCCGGTCAGTTTCATGAATCCCTTAATAGGTCAGCCTTCGACGATGGCTTCGAAAGTGATATCTGGGAGGGAACCGATGCGAAGGGGTCCTTACTGGCCGTGCCATCTCCACAGCTATTTTCGACATCCTTATATATGACTTGTTAAAGTAATCAACAGCATCCTGTGCCAGAGAAGGGGTTTTGAAGCCAACAAAGCCAATCCTTCGTTTCGGAATGACATGAGCGTCAGTAACCTGGAAACGGATCGAGAAATGTTTTCGAAGATCATCATTTGAGAAAGTAGGCGGCAAGCCTGACACAAAGACTCTTGTGTTCCCTTCCATGTTGATTATATGAGAATGACCAAGGATCTCTCCTTCCCGGATGCTGACAGAGATTGTGAAGAGAATAATAATAATGGTGGGAAAGGGTAAAAAAAAAAAAAGAAAAAAAAGATAAAACAGCCAAGAAATGTGTGGAAAGATGTCATTGTTTTCTGCCACCCAAGGCGGTGAGGTTGTCAGCAGTTTAGCTTCAACCACCCCATATGGAGCTTGTCGCAACAAACAATAGGCGCAGACGTTCATTGAACAACGTCGGAACCATCAACCAGTCTGTTTTTAAACACACCACCATCTTATACGCAATTTCTGCAAAACCTCTTGTCCACCTCATATCACACTCGTGGATCTGACTTGGAATTCTTCGACCCTTGAACCCATATCTACAATGGCCTCTGAAAAGCGAGAGAAACTCGAAGGTATCAAAACAAACAGACAGCATACAGTTACCCCCTGTTTTCCCCTGCCTGACCTACCTACGACTACCACAACCATTACTGACAAGATATGGAACTGCAGCCCAGATTAAGTCTGCTGATATGGTAAGCACAAAAATCTCTAATGACAAACCTTCAAGAAAAATGATTGTTAATACGTCGATCTACTGTTGAATGTATGTTTGCTAATAGCCAATCGGGGATCTAGAGCGAGGACATGCAGCAGGAAGCCATTGAAGTTGGTACGTCAGAATCTTGCATACCATTATAACACTCTGGATGCGAAAAGCAAACTAATACTGGATGCTCTTTCTGACAGCAACGGAGGCCATGGATAAATACCATATTGAAAAGGTACAACTTATTCGATGAAGATTGAGGTACACATCCACTGGGTTGATTCTTTCGAACTAATGGGTATATCCCCTCATAGGATATTGCCCAGTATATAAAGAAGGAGGTGAGTAGCAGTCAGGAAATCTCTTCTCAGATCTATATTAAGTTCCTCCTTAGCAAATGCATTGTTGCTTACTTGAAATGCAGTTCGACTTGCGCAAAGGCGCTACCTGGCATTGCATAGTTGGGCGGAATTTCGGCAGTTTCGTAACGCATGGTATGAACACCCTTCCCCCCTCCCTTTTCCATTCTATGTAGGAACCAAACCAATGTTCGTTCAAGAAGACTGATCCCTAGCTGTCGCAACTCCAGAAACCAAGCATTTCATATATTTCTATGTGGGACACTGTGCCATTTTGCTCTTCAAGACCCAATAGATTATTGTCTCCTTTGCTTTCCTCGGCCCAAATACGAGCGTCAACCCTCCTCGTATACCACTCCATGCTATCCATTGTGACAGTATCGGGATGATTTTCTTTTTTCTCCCTTCGGACTACTTCCTAAACGACGCGATATTCCGATGGAATAATATTCTCAATACATATTTGTATGTGCACGAAAGAGAAATTAAATAAAACCAGGATGATGTGGAGCTTGGAAATGAACGAATTACGAACACCCTTTTTTTTCATAGTTTCATCTTGGTTTAGTCATTTCTTCTGATGTATTTTGTCTCTTCGCTTCACCAGCATTGTATATCATATATATCTCCCTGCGTGCAAATGAACAAGCAGAGAAAATGTGAATGATGACTAAACAGGTGTAGGCAGGTATTTTGTGAACCGAAGCTGGTTCAATTAGAATTATACCTTCCTCCAATATACTAACCCTCCATTCTCGTCTCCTCTTCTTAATATAAATCCTGGTTTATATTCCAAAAGAGTGACGAGGAGTATGAAAGAGAACTAGATAAAAGGCCAAAACGTGCCAAAGAGCAAGTCTTCATAAACATTTGGGTATGTAGGCGTATAACAATGAAATTGTATGTTTTGAACCCAGGACAATATTAAATTAATCCATACACCGTGTAAAAGAAAACGAACTCAAAGAAGAAACAGCAACAAAAGCAACAACCGAAGGAAAACAGCACGATAATCATAGGGAATGTTCATAAAATAAACAAGGGCAATGCGACCCAAACAACCAGAAATCACAATAAGAAAAGAGGGCAGAAGCAGTCCCAAGGACAAATATACTCTCCAATAGCCCCAATTACTTATACACGTAACCTTGATGTGCTTGCACAGGTGCTCCTGGCCCCTGAGGTCCCCAGCCAGGATGCCCTTGATAAGGTGCAGGTGGAGGGGGGCCCCCTCCACCAGCTTGTGACTGAACGTCTGGTCGTTTGCTGTGTAAACTAAGTTAGAAGGGCATAGGCGGACGGAAATCAAGAAACATGGGTGGTGCAGAAGAGAACAGAGAAATCTACCATACCTTAGATCTTGCGCGAAACGGCATATGTGGCATGAAACTTCCTAAAATCCAGGAATGAGCGCTGGTTGGTGAAGAGAAACATAGGGGTAATATATCAAAGATGAACCTTGTACTTGTGAGTTGATAAGGGAACGACGGGCTAAATTAAGAGTTAAATGAAATTAGTTCATGCAAAACAAAGATCGAATTGGCTCAGTAGTTTCTCCGCGAGCTGAGAAAGATATGGGATCGAGTGTATTTGAAAAGCTGCCTTACCACAAAGCAAACTGTGAACCAAGGCCTAGAGAGATATAGTTAGATTAGGGAACATTTCATTTTCTTTCGTTCTTCAATGGTTCCCCCAGCATGCAGAACCCCCGAATCCTAATTTCACTCAACGCTGGTTGGGGAAAAGAAGGAAATTCTGTGCACTTACCACCTTGTCACGCAATTCGCAGACCAGTTTCCACCTATTCAGACCAGATAGAAGAAGTTAAATAATGGTTTTCTCATACTTGCAATTTGACTCAATGCCCAGTTTCATCAGCAGCATTACAGGGGTTGCCACACTCACAATTATGACATTGAGCAGTGACATTTTCATATCCCTGAAGGCGGGATGTGAATTCTGGCAAGACATGTTAGTGGAATGTTCTTTTTGTGTCCCATTTCAGCTGCGGAGGAACCAGATTTTACAGATATCGAAACATGGGCCAAGGTTGAATGGATAAAAACATACCCTGAGTTCCAAATGTGAGGCAAATAGCCATCTTCACTTTTTTCTGACAAGCGTGCTAAACTGAGAATAGCCTGCGCGTTTCTTCTCTCTACCCTGCAAGAATATATCTCTTGGTCTGTTCCAGTAACTTTGGTATTGATTCGCTCTTTGTCTTTGCCAATAGGGTAAGCTGCCAATCTGGATTTCAAGGCTTTTGAGAATAGATTAAGAAAGGATATACCTATATGGATATACACTGTATACTTGCTCGGTAAAACCAGCCTATAATAAGAGCAGGAATCGGGATGTAACTTTATGTGTGGGTTGAACCGCCGTAATGATTCAGGAAACCAGAAAGCTGGTTAACATGAGGGTTGCAAGGTAAGGAAAAGGCGAACACGACAATTAAATCTAGGAGAAAAGCAAACTTTGTTATGTTGGATGATTGAAGGTGCGAGGTTTCTTAGAGACTTGATGACAGGCAGATTGGGGAAGTCTGGAGATGCGGAGCTTGCTGCATGCGGCTCTTGTGGCAAGGCAATGATGAAGTTCTGTGTGGCTGTGTCACATGTCTGATTGAGGTTTAGAGTCGGAGTTAGCCAATTTTCCCTACTTCCTCGGCCACTTTGTACTATCACACTAATTTAGTATGGGAAATTACTTGCTGAGTTTGTCTTGTTTGTCTTAGAATACTAAATTAGTTGTTGATGGCTGGCGGAGTATGTGGCTACGTAAGCAGTGAATATGTAAAGTCATACATAAGAAGTCGAACATGAGTTATTAAGTTGAGCTCACTTTTTAAAATCATGATCAACTCTGCTCAAATTTCAAATAAACACAGCTGCAATCTATCTCTGCAACCAATATATTATAGATCTATCCTGAAATAATTTTACCCAATCACTAAGTAATTAAATTAAATGACCTAGGTTTAGAGCATCTAGTCCTGCGTAACCAGGCACATGCTACTGAATACGGCTCTAGCACTTCCAATAGTTAGTTTTACAAAGGACGAATTCCCTTACGGAAGGAATTCGTAAAAGTGGATTTGTAAGAGTGAAAGATTTTGTTAGACTCCCTGCTGCAAAAAGGCCCAATCGCCGGTAGTCTATACTTGGACTTAAGGACAAGCATATTTCCGTAGGGGGGTCACTTGATCCCTACCAGATCTGGCGTGAGAGTCAAGAGCGGAAGCCTAAAGTTGATTCTTTAATTGGAACTCGTCCTGAACTTTTCCTAATTGGGAAATATATTTACTTCCGAGGTTCATTCACCGATATATAAATAGACGCCTTCAGAGCTTTCAAGAAGAAAACAAGATAGGAACCCATTAATCAAACATCTCAAGACATCTTACGTTAAATTTGAATGAAAATCATGAGACTTCTTTATTGATATAACTGAAGATGTCTCTGGCTATCTTTGATATTCCCCCACCTGCGGATTTTTTGAAAGACTGGGGGTTCACGATTAAATGAACGAGAAAAAATATGCTCATCGAAGAGAGTTGAATATGAATCAACTAGATAATTACTCCGTATATAATCGTTATATTCTTAAATCTTTGGGTATATATATCGTATATATATCATGCTAACCCTGCAACCAATCCTCTCGATAGCTGAACTTCCCGATTAACCCCCAAACTAACAACAAAAAAAAAATAAAAATAAAAATAAATAAATATCTAAACATCTAAAGCCTCATAAAATAAAGCCAAGAGCTTAATACGCACCTGTCATCTTCTGCCCACTCGGCATCTTCGTCTCAAAATCCAAAGTCAATTTAACCTCCTTCCCCTTTTCAAGAGCAAGCTGCCACATAATCTCCCCACTTTTCAACATCGTCACTCGCTCAGATCCCCAGATAGCCTTAGCAGCGCTACTACCGGGGACTACACTGACAGAATCCCCTTCCTTACTCAAACCCTTAGGTTGCAAAATATTAACCTGCAGATCCTCGGTTTCGCTGACCGGGACCTGGTCAAGCACCACCAATGAAACAGCTGTCGACTTGGTATTTCCAATCCAGCACGAACGTGTGAATACTGTTGACTCTGAACTCCCCGTAAAACATCCGCCGGAGGTCCGGTGCACGACGGGCGTGGCGTAGTTTACTTGTTTCCCCGGGTCAACGCCAAGACTAAGGCTAAAGGTAGTGTTTGGGCGGCTGCCGGGAAGTACAGCGACTCCCATAAATGTGCCGTTGAGCGTGAGGCCAACGTTACCGCGCAGAAGTGCCAGTGATGATGTATTAAAGACCTTGGCGCGGAGAAAAGCAGCAGGGCGGAGTTTTGGGTTGATCACGTGGGAGAACTCGACTCTGGGGAAATCAATCTCCGCGATTACGTGACGGCATTTCAGGGGTGAAGGGCGGAGGGTGCGTTGACCTGGGATGTCATAGTTGGTTGTTAGGCCATAGTCTTGTCGGAAGATTCTTGAAAAGTGAGAGCATTTGAAGTGTCGGAGAGGGTGGTGACAGCATCTGTCAAATCTGCGCATATGGTGGCGTCATCATCTTCAGCGGTAGTTTCAGGCAGGTTTCCTGATGATGCTGGGATGGCTGCTGGCGGAGGAGGTGAAGGCGAAAGCACAATCGCGGTGTGGGGAGGAGGTGGAAGCATCCTCTGAGCTTGTGCAATATTTGTTAGTTGCCTCTGTTGCTGCTGTTGTTTTCCAAGCAGCAGACCCGTCGAATAAGTCGCCGGTGCTAGACTTGGGTTCGTTGTAGGAAACTTTGGTATATTGTTTCTGTTGAATGCACGGTTCTCCAGGCCCACCCGGGCGTTGAAGCCAACGTGATTCTCTAGTGGATTCCTCCAGCCGTCGGAGCTGCTTGATCCTGGAGTATTCTCCTGGACTAATTTCACATTCCACGGTTTGAGCAGTGGGAGCTTCTCTCCAAGACCTCCAAAGGAAGTCTCTGAGGTTGACAACACAACTTTTGCATCGCGCCAAACTTCAGAGCTGAAGTTGTGATACTCTGCCAGATACACGGCTTTCCCAGAGGAGGTCAGCGTCGTTAGGTTTAATTCGTAACAAGGAACCCATCCGGCCTTCTTTGTCACATAGGTGATGGAAAGCTCTACTTTCCCTGCAGTTTCTGATGCGCCAAAAACCGAAATGGTTGAGTTTCGCCGACTGGAGCCCGGAGTGTGATTCGGAAATCCGTCCAGATATTAATTGACCACTCCTACTTGCTGTGGATAAAACTTTGTTTGGGCCTCTCGACGTCTTTTCTTCTCGGCAACAGTAATATTGTGTTCATGCTGTTTTCTCTTCCTGTTTTCATGCTCAGGCTTTGCTGCAGCGTCTCGAGCGTGACTGAAGGCCGCTTCAAGGTCACGCATTTTGCGGCACAATCTGCTTTTCCGATTAGAAATGTCAGATATATTGCCTTCACACTCGTAACAATAATCGTCCAGTTTTAACCGCTGAGTCTGATAGGTGCGAAGATATTCTTCAAGTCTCGCCACTGGGGTATCACCTGCTTTCATGCTCTTTCCATAGTCATCTAAAAGTTCTATGGATTTTCTAGCTGTCTCCAGCTCTCTGTGGGCAGCAGCAAGACTCGAATCTAAAAGTTTTAACTCCTTTCCTGTCTTTGAGAGTTCGGACCTGTCAACTCCAAAATCATCATCTGGGTCGTCATGGTCAACATGATTGTCCTCAGGTTCGACTTCACAGCCAGGAAAAAGCTCCTCGAAAGAATTTCTCTGTGTTACAGTCGTAGTCTGTATGTCAGTGATGGTGCCAGGACCCTTTCCAGAAACACGAATCGAGTCAGGATCAACTTGGGGGTCTACGCCGTAGATGGTTATTTCGTTGGCGCCGGGCTGTAAAAGAAATCAATTACCTGGTTGGAGAATATGGTGTCAGCTACCCTGCACAAGGAAACATACCTTAATAAGGACGCCCGAAATTTCCCGGACAATGATAGCCATCTGAGGACCCAAGGTCACTGATTTTGTGGAAATGTCCACTAGAGATATCTCAATAGCATGGACAACCTCAGTCGCCATTATATCAGATGACAAATAGGGAGAACAACTATATCAGTTTCAGAGTGCAGGATAACTAAAATATCACATAGAGTCAAGAAGGGGAGATAGGGAAGACGAAATATGGATGTGCCAACAAAAGGCTAGGGCTATTTAAGAAGCAAATGTATGAGAGCTAGATGATGTATAGAGCGCTCAACGAGCAATTTATGAACAAGACTGACTTATCGTAAGCATATATATGACATAAAACAGAAAATTTTTTGAGGGAGGTCGCTAAGATCGCTGAGAGGACGGCCGGCTTTTATAGTTAGGGAGGAACAGGCACCAAGCTGGGTCGCTGCTCCAGGCTGCCTGGGCGTCTAAATATAGGATGGAATGTCAAGGGGTAAGCGAAGGCCACAGTATCATTCTTTCACTCGTTCGCACATGTAGAATTATTCTGATGAGTTGGTATAGGGCGAGTCCTTGGTGAGAACTACATATTTACAGATCAAATCTTATTTGAGCTCTAATTGTAGCTGTTAAATTTCGCGGGGATTTTGGAGGGGTGAGTCTCCTAACCTGTCAAGAGGCCGTCTAGTTGAACCTCCCACTTAAGCAGAACGCTAGGAGCGCAGATGAAGGGCAAATTTGACTGTTCATTATAAGGGCGATGTGGGATTAGATTTAAGTAAACAAGCAGTTAAAGCGTTGCATACATACATGCATGCATACGTCCAACCTCCTCCTCCCTCCCAGTTCTCTGCCATTCTATCACGGAATGCTAGAGAGCATCAACACCCAAACAGAAACTCGAGTCAAGGACAACCGTAGGGGAAACGAAAACAGAACCCAGGACGTGAGAAAATATAAAATATTATATATTATTTAAGACATGAATTTCAGAAATAGAAAAATACACATCCACAGCGGCCTTAAGGGAAAACAAAACAAAATAGCTTTTGGTTCCTGGGTAACGGTAGGCGTGCAATTCCCCCAACGAACTGCAGGCGAACGGGAGGAAAGGGAGGAAAGGATCAACGGTAGATAAAGATCCAGGTGGAAGAAGAAGAACTCAGGAGGCGAATGAAAACATGTACTAGCAAACCACGTTTCAGGTAGAAACAGAGCAACGGGTGGGAATATTCCACTCATGCTCAGAGCTCTCCCGTTCACCCAGTCCGACCATGACCATCGGTAGTTCGGTAGGAGACGTTCGGCAGATATTGTGAAGCAGTAGATGCAGGGTATATATGAACTCAAGAAAAGACCAAGAAGAGAAAGTATGACCAAGTCCATCCGAGCAAAATGAAATGGATCTGCAGAGCAGACGATTTAAACCTTACAAAATACCTATTCTACCTCAAGCAGTCATATCGTACAGACCTCTTCGATTAGACTTTTGATCCGCGATAAGTAAGAATGGTATTGTCGAGGATACGGCATCGATGGAGGTTGAGTTCAAAATGTTTATCCAGAGAATTTCCGAGTAACTTTGGCAATAACTGCACAGCAACTCATGTTAGTTAAACTTGGCGAGCAACAAAGGCTGGCTCAGCACCACGGAACATTATGAAGGCAGAGAGATATCACATATTAAGGACAAGAGAGAGCTGCGCCAACAAAACACATAAAAACAGCGGAGCAAAACGTACCGTGCAAACCAACAACTGAGAATATAAAGCCCAAACTCAGCACCAACACCACAACCGGGTCAACCTTCAACCCCGGGCTTTCGTCCGTATAGAGCTTTAGCATAGTCCCAGAGGAACCTCCAGCACCAGCAGCTCGTGTCGATGTGGGGCGCGCATTCCGGATGGATTCCTTGTGGTCTGCAGCAGCCCGACGGCGCAGAGCTGTCCGTGGTCCGCCCGGGGGAGTGGGTGATGAAGGACAATTGAGGGACGAGCCGGCAGCGCCGGAAGCGCTCAAGGAAGCCTTGGTTCCTTCAGCTCCTGAGTCGGCGCCAGATCCTGAGGCCTGCATTTTTGGAGATAGGTAGGTTAGTTGTGTTTGTATCGTGAATTGCGCTTTAGGAGACCTATTTGCGCCTCTAAGGGTGGGAAGAATTCGATAGACAGAGTAAGGAGCAGAGAGCTCCAGTGGATGCTTACCATGGCGCGGTATAGAGGGTGTTTGGTGAGATGAAAGGGAGGGAAATTAGGGGGGGTTAAATCCCGCAGCCACTTAAAAGAGATGAGAAGATGAGAAGAAAGGAAATGAAATGAGGTGTAGGATTGGCGTTGTGGAAAAGGTTGCTGCGAGGAGACAGCGAAGTAACTAGAGTTTAAGCCGATCTGAAGTGAGATGTCCAGAAAAGGCCACAATGATGTATCATGTATTGTCATTCTTGGCGTAATATTACCACTGACCTGCATAACTGGTATGTAAACTTACAATCCCACGATGTTCCAGGTAGTTATCCTTCACTGCGGATACTCTACACATATCATTTATATGATATTTAGGGAGAAAATATAAGTTTGATATTGAATCGCACATTCATAAAGTTATGATCTATTAATAAAGTCTCTATCGACAGAATCCACGTCATTACCGCAGCAAGGGTGGTTCCGCTCTGCCCAGAGATATAATAGAGATAACCCTCCGTCCTCACCCTTCAAATGTATGAAGTTGCGTATATATCCAAGGTTCACTAATGCCTAAGATAAATGTTATCGCCGGTCCCGTCGCATGTCTCTGGACTCTTTGTCAGAGTGCTAGAGAGAGACTGATTTGGTGGTGTTCAGCCTCATATCAGGTTAAACGAATCCCCCTTGCGAAGGCCAGACCCGTGTCGTAACTATTATTCCACATCATTCTTATTAAGGATTCCCTCTTTCATTAGAGAAATCCAAGTCCGAGTATCCTTGTGTACCCTCGTCCGCTACTTCAGTTATATCGACCACCAGAGCGTGGGATGGTAACATTCCAGGGTATGTCAATCATAATAACCCTTCGTTTGCTAAGTCTAATGAGCGTTAGGTTTGAAAAACACCATCTTTCACACCAGATTTAGAATTGCCCAATCACCATTTAATTATCTAGAACCAACCATTTTCAGGATTTGTTGGTGATGGGCCATTAAGGGGAGGTGTTCCCTTTGAGAGAAAAAGTCGCATCCTGCCATAGCAACAATTATCGTACATTTTTCTCACACGCAGATCTAGCCCCACGGGATAGTTATCATTCTATGTGATGGCAGAATTGTGGGCATTTTGGACTGGGCACTTGCAGGCTGGTATCCGGAGGATTGGGAATGGACAAAAGGCAATTTACACCCCGAGTATCAAACTTAAGCTTTCTCCCTATGAAGAGAAGCTTATGGCGGAACGCTTTCTTTGGAATCTTTACGACGAACCAGGAAACGTTTCACGAATTGAGAATTTTCCAATCAACAAATAGTCACAAATATTGAGAAGGGGTTAGGCATTCATGGCATATTCCAGTACAACAAGCCTAAAACCTTTGATTTTCTCGCCATGAAAATTCACGTTTTGCATACTTATTGCGTACAGTCCTTCAGGTCCAGTATGGCAGCTCTCTCCAATTTCTTACCTGGCAAAGCAACACCCACTGAGGCTATGCTCCCGTTCATTTCTGTGGTTCTTGGAGGAACGTTTCCAATCATGACACCACCAAATAGCCGCTCACAATCCATCGATCTCTCGACAGGTCAGATCTGGTGCAGTATTACTATCCAGTTTAACGCCATCTAACACATAATATGCCATGTTGATTGCTCGCTAGGAAGAATGGGATAGCATAGGCTGGTGGATGAACTGCTGAGATTATTCCATATATCTTTAGGAGTAAACGAGTGGCTATCACACCGTGCCACCCAATGCTTGATCCGGAATTTGCTAAAGCTCGTTCTTGAGAGCGCGAACAGGAAAGCAGAGTGCATACGCTGTACACCAGAAGAATCATTCCGAATACTGGATGATTTGAGAGCTCCTCGGTGATTTCAGCATGAAGGAATGCGGTCTGAATTCGAAGTCCAGCGAAGCTCTTCAAGCGTATCTTCAACAGAGCGCTGGCTTTAGGCCAAACCCCGCTTTCTGTGAAACGGGCTTTTTGAGCTTCAGGATATTACCAAAGGCTCTAGCTGCACCTATTGGTCGTCCTCAGATGCTGTAGCAGCTGCAGCATCTCTCATCAACTCTCTTTGATTGCCTGTCTCTTGGTGCTTTTCGCCAGCCAGGGACAGGGGATCTGTCGGGACTCGAATTTCTAAGGCCAGCTCATATCACTCCATGGTTCGCTCAGTCAATGCCTCTTTTATCAACCATAACGGCATTGATATCGCCATCATTCACAATATTGGCATGACACATGCAAAATCTGCCTTACAAGACAAACAAGAAGAGTTCGAGATTGTCGAAGGGGAGCATCTCCAACAGCGGATCCATGCCTGAAGGGAGAGACGCGAGATGCAATGACAAAGTCAATACCTGTGACATTATCATCCAGGAGGGAGGAATGATGTCAGTGTATAGAACATAAATTTTGGGCCCAGGAATCTTCTGAAGGATTATCAGTTAATGTGAACTTCAAGTCGTTGAAACGTGGATTTCTGCAAATATATCTGCAGACGATGAGCAGTGGTACCACCTTTGGGGGGAACAAACAAATAGTATCACATGACTCAACTCGTATCTGTCCATATAAACTTTTTTTGCAAAATCGAGTCAGATGAACTTCTATTATTAAATAAAGTGTGGGAAGAAATGTCTATTCTTGTTCTTACAATGGATGAGGGATGGTTAGGAACATCAGCAGTACTCAACCTCTCTCACGGGACACGGACACTTTCAAGGTACCTCCTCACCTCAACCACCTGTGGGCAAGGATTGCTAGCAACCTATGCATCATCACCCCGCAGCACTCTGAATAATGATATTACCGAAAATCAAACCGGTGTAACCACTCTAGAATGCCTTGAAGTGCAGCAGAACAGAGTTTTGCACGGAGTTCATCTTCAATCCTGCGGGACTTGGAAAAGACTGAGCCAAGTGCTGGTCAATGATATCCTTGCTGTCAGCCATGAAATGACATGAGACCCAGAACATTGACATATTATTATTACTGACTACTGCAAGATATTACTACATCAGCGGGCGCATCTGAAGTCTGTGCGTAAAAGATACCACAAAAGCCGACAAGACGGCCCGGGGACGACAGAAGATAGGATGCGAGCACGGTGCAAAGTGACGCATATTTGGGGTTAATAAAATTTAACTATTCTGGAGGCTGCTGATATGGCCTCCGCCGTATTATCGCGGAGCAATGTGACATGAAAGTTAATACTAAGCTCACTCTGACATGAGAGCGACCCCATCTCCAATCGATGAAACTTGCGAAGGCACATTTATTACTAGCCGAAACCAACCGGTTCAGTGGACTCTAGGGGTTTATGAGTTCGATGGCTCGTTCATCTGTGCTATCTTCACCCCATTTTTATCTTACTCCATTTTAATGACAGCAGCAGATGTGGCAGTCGCCAGTTTTTAAAACTGTTGGAATATTGTCTGGATCGCTTTCGGTCTTAGCTCTGCTTCCCTCTTCAACTTATGGTAGATAGACTCGAATGCGTGTGGCCAAAAATTATCCCCTCCCTTCAACAGAAAGTCGCAAAAACAAGGAGAGAAAGAAAACAAGATGTTGCCGCTCTTGTGCACTACAAACATCATTCTTGGAGTTGTATCTCATCTGCAGCTCTTCAAACAGGGCGAATGGGAGCGGCATGTTCCAACTCTTGCGGCAACCTATGCCTATGCCATAGGCCTCCTCAGCCCTATTGTGGTCCTTGCACTGGCGAAGCTGTCCGTCCGCGATCCGCTGTTATTGGTGTCGGCCTTCTGGATAAGCTATATGACCGGGCTTTTTGGGAGCATTAGCCTCTACCGTGTTTTCTTTCATCCTCTCAAGGCATTCCCGGGTCCGTTGGGTGCGAAATTAAGCGCGTGGTGGACCGTCAAAGTCTCTCTTCCTGGGTACAAGCTACCCATAGAAATAAACAAACTTCACAAGAAGCATGGAGATTTTGTCCGCATTCGTTAGTTACACATATTCAACACACTTTTACGGGGTAGCGCTAGTTGATGTATGGAGTCCAAGTTGCATACGACTCACTACTTATGTATCAACAGGCCCACGAGAAATCTCAATCAGCCATGTCGATGCCATTCGTGATATTCACGGCCCAGGGACTGTGTGTATCAAGGGACCATTCTACGATATCAATTATCCTTCCCGATCTCTGCAAATGATCCGCGACAATACGGCTCATGCAAGGAGGAGGAGATTATGGGACCGTGGACTCGGCATGAAAGGTGAACAAGCCATCATCTTTGACCTCTCCCTGTTAGCCACTCTCATATTTTAATCAGCCGCATACATATTAACCCGAGTACAATAATTATCTCCAGCTCTGTCCACGTACGAGCCACGGATAGTGGATTACTGCACAGAACTCGTTTCCCAGCTGTCCGCGAGAACACGGAATGGCAAGCCTATCGAGATAACCCAGTGGATGGACTTCTTCGCCTTCGACGTCATTGGCGATGTTGCATTTAGCAACTTGTTTAACATGGTAAAAAGCGGAAAACCAGGTGATATTCTTATAACATTAGCCGAAGCTAAACCCCTGCTTGGAATCCTCCTAAGCCTCCCGTGGACGTACATTCTTTTCCGGACTCTTCCCATCATTCGCGGGTTGTGGGCGAAACGTTTAAAGCATAGCGCGGGACGGCTGAGAGAGCGGATGAAGGTAAACTACTCTATACATTCTCTTTACACATAACGGAAATACACATAAATGCAGTGTGTAACCATTGTTAACTATCACGACCAATATCCAGCAAACAACAACCCTCCACGACCTTTTCACTCACCTCCTAAACGATAACTCCCCAGACTCACCCTTCTCCTCCCCCCCGCTCATCTTCGACGACTTCTCCATCCCCAGGGACCTGTTCTTTGAATCCGAACTCGCCATTGTCGCCGGTAGCGAAACGACTTCTTCATCCCTCTCCGCCCTCATCTATCTCCTAGCAATCTGCCCGGAGAAGCAATCACTGCTCCAGCAGGAACTGGACGGCATCCTGACAGACGCTGAGGATCTCTCATATCAAAATTTGTCTGCCAACAGCTCCCCGTTCATGGACGGCTGCATCAACGAAGCTCTCCGTTTATATCCCGCGGTCCCCGGCAACATGCAACGCATGACGCCGCCCGAAGGTGCATGGATTGCAGGCAAATGGATTCCCGGCGACACGCTCGTGTCCACGCCTACATATACAATGCATCGGGGTAAGATTCTGTTATTAGGACCAAAATGGTTATCAAACAATTCACCTTAAGAGCTCATATCACCCCATTCCCATTATTAGTGCTGTACGTACAAAAACACATGGATCTAATATACCTTACACACAACCTAGACCCTCGCAATTTCGAACACCCAAACTCCTTCATCCCCGAACGCTGGCTCACCCCCAATTCCACCTCCACTTCCACGTCCCCAACCTCCACCACGGACGCCAGTCTAATCCTGCACAAAGAAGCCTTCCACCCCTTCCTAATCGGCGCCCACTCCTGCGCCGGCAAAGCGCTAGCCTTCATGGAGATGCGCCTAGTGACCGCTCTGCTTTTCCGGACTTTTACCGTCCGCTTGCACTCAGGGGAACAAGCGCATAAAAAAACCACCTCTGCAAATGGAACCGGTGCATCCCGATTTTCCCTCTTCGATGAGCAGGAGCCGGGCTATCGTACGTATTTCACGGCGAAACCGCCGCCTTTTGAAGTTTTGTTAGAGAGGAGGGGTTAGGGAGGTGAGGTGAGGGGTGCGGCGTGGTTTGGTGGGTTTGAGGAAATGAGTTGGGGGTGTGAAGATGAGGGTGGGGATGGAGATGGGAATAGAGAGGGATCGTGGGCAGTGTGGAACTTGGAGGATATGAGGCGTCGGATGGGGGTTGGAATCATTTCTCATTTGCGTGACTTGGAATTTTAGCTTTTAGTTATGATATGAATATGATATGATATCATAACATGACATGACTTTGATCGCGAAGTTAGGTGCTGTATGAATTTTGGACATGGATTTCATTTTCCTCAGTCAGTATTAATATCATGACCTGTTCTTCTTTTTCATCGAGTTCGACTGAACAGTCGATTGGACAAATAGCCCTCAGAAGAGAAGAACTTTGTGCCATATAAAGTCAAGCATGTCCTAGACATGTACGTCATTTTGTGTCAGGATGGGGGAGATATCTAATAAATAAAAAATCGAGAAGGAATTCATATATCATGCACCAAGTTTTCTCTGACAATCAAAAAAGCACTAACAATCGATAACGTCCACTATCAATATATATTACCACCTAACTTGAGGAATCAGAAGATTAAGAAAAAAGAGAACAAAAAGGAGTTGATTGGGTGCTTGCTGGTATGAATAGAGTTCCAAAATCATCCCCAGCCAAAACAACCAGAAGGGAAAAAAAATATCAATAACAGAAAGCCTATCATGAAAACTGCTTAACATCAAGCTGCTGTCGTTAGTATAATATTACTATGACATGGTAGGAGTATATTACCTAGAACAGGACGGACACATTATCCCATTCAGCAGAAAATCAAAAACCAGCAAGAAAAACTTGTTCAAAAATCATAGGCAACCTGGGGGAGATATGTATCACAAAACCAATTCAGAATAAAATAAAATAACAAATCTGAAGATAGACCCACTCCAGGTGGTTGGTTGATTTATTTAAATGTCAATGAGTTGCATCTGGGTATTTGTTTCTCTGCATATTCTAGCAAAACAAGCAAGACGTGGGTCTGAAGTTGAGAGAGGAGAAAATGGGGTGTTGTGGGGTGTTGTGGGGAATAATTATTATGTAGTGCGTATATATGTGTTTGAGGAGAATTCCATCCCCTTTCTTTCTTTGATTCTTGCAATCCATTTTTTCACAGCAGGGTGTTGATTCCAAGGTTTCTTTCCCCTCCTGCACACTGTCCAATCCCCACAGAATACAAAAATAAACAAACACCAAAAGCAGGGAAGCACATGTAGACGGAAAAAGAAAAATGGCCAAAAAGAGTAACACACAACATACACACCGGAGGAAAGGGAAAGAAAACAAACAAAAATAAATCCCCTCAACCCTTTTTCTCTAATCAATCGTCATCCTCACTGGCAACAGCTCACCAACCTTCATATTCGTCGACAACTCCGTCGTATTCGGCTTCTCATCATCGTTATTAACCTTGCGGCTAGAAATGTGCGGTTTCAAGCCCTTGTTGAAGTTGTTCGTGCAGATACAGGCGTTGATGATGGTCATGATGATGAGGGCGATGGTGATGACGGTGAAGAAGGTGAGGGATGTGCGGGCGGCTTTGTAGGCGTCCATACGTGGAGGGGTGTACATGCGCACAAGCTTGAAGAGGAAGTAGGCTAGGCCGCCGTGATAGAGGAGCTGGGGGGGGGGGGGGGGGGGGGGGGAATGGGTGTTAGTTGAGTTGGTAAAGAAACATGGATTTTTATGATGGGGATAGGATGAGGTGCTTTAAGGGGAGGGTGACTGGTTGGGGTGCGGCTTACAATGGTGATAATCATTCCGGGGGTATTTTCGCGACGGGTGGACCAGGCTGCGCTTAGGAGGATTAGGATTGTGCAGGGGATGGCGATGATTGTGAGGATATATTCTGTGGCCTTTTTGTCGGTGACGATAACTACGAATTGAACTGTGAAACCGAGGAAAAAGAAGAAATCAAATTTCAGGAGGGCGATGTAGATCTGGGAATATCAGTCTATTAGCAAAACCGGCAATTGTGCAAGAGTCTTTTAAGGGTTGTATAAAATGTGTATAAAGAGGGCCCAAAGAAGAGCGTTTTTCAAATACCTGGTATGTTAGATACCGACGCTTCATCCGCAAATCAGCGCTAATATGTTTATATATAGTCCAGGCGAATTCATCATATAACTTCCAAGCAACGAACATCATGAGCACGGACCCAATGCCGATGATAATAGGTATAGCAACGAGAAACGGTTTCACGTCGGGCCAGATTTTCTTGTCGATATTGTGTCCCCTGTTTAGGGCAAGGATGGCTTCCCGGATTTGGTCCGTTTGCACAGCACCGTATATCAGCAGGCCGACATTGCAGAGACATATCCCGATGACTTGGATGGTGTTTTTCAACCGTAGGGCATCGTAGGTTAGGATGAGCTCGTATACGAAGCCGAAGATGTAAAGGGTTAGGAATGTTGGAATTGTTCGTGATGTGGCCGCAGTGCCGTAGTTGCCTCTGAGTTCGCTCTGGAAACGGGCAAAGACGTATCTGCATTTTTGAGCAATTTGGAGTTAGAATGTTGCACATATAAAAATATATATACAAGCAGATACGTGATTGCAGGGAAATGAGCAGCGGCACACTCACGACTCAAATCCAAGAATAATAGCAGCTTGGATGCAAGTTATGATAACGAACGACCACGTCCAGCGTGAGTTTGGCCGATACATTCTGGGCTCTTGAGGGAAGACGTTTGTATAGCCGTCTTTGGCACGGAAGCCGGGGGAGGATTGGTGGATGGAGTAGTCAAAAGCCCGCCCTCCCAGGACCGAGGCGCGAGATGGGTGGTAAGGAATCTTGGCGGCTTCGCTCCTGGACGGAGCACGGCGCCTTTCAGGAGGGTATTTCGATCAATATTGGTGAGATCAGTGCAGCGGAGGGTGGTTGGATGGACGATAGATGGGTCAGCCTCAGATCCGCGGGTGCTGGCGATCCTGTTGCGAAGGGTACTTATTTTTATGGATGGTGAATGATGAGGATGGATGAGGTGTTCGACCAGGAGGGCAGGAGGTGATAATAATAGAAAGATATGTATGAATGGTATTGGGATTGGCGTTGGTATGGGAATTAAATCTAGGTCACGAGCCTGTTGTTGACAAGCCCAGTGAGACCAGTTGACCAACGCCCTCCCAGCAACCGCAGCGAGCAAAGTGATGAAAAAGAGAGAGAGAGTTGGATGAACAGCAGCAGCAGCAGTCCGTGGAGCCCAGGGAGAGGAAGTAAATAATAGTGATGAAAGTGTGGAGAAGGAGGTGAGAAAAAAAAAAAAACTATCTTGCACTTGTCGTATGTTAGGTTGGATTAAGTTTTGATCTCGGCTGGAGCAAAAATCCCTGGCGAAGGGGAGGCCTGAAACACAATGTGTAATGGTGGCCAGGGGATGCTGTAACCAAGCGAACCGGGGATGAGACGGTGGGTGGTTGGGATGGAGCATAATAGTACTCCGTATAGGCTGACCTGATGCAGATGCAGCCAGTCTACCAATAGGTTTAACTAATAGTTACTAGTAGTTATAACGGATTCTTAGTTGTAAGTTTAGTTAAGGAATGGTGGATGGGGATGGGGACTCTCATTTTGCGCATCACTGGCAAAACACTGGATGTCAGCAATTAACGATTAACGATTAACGACTTCGCTGAGCAACGGCTTGGATGGAACTAATACTTATGTACTCCGCATGTCCCTAACCGTTCTTCAACCTGCTGGTGCTCAGGTATCCCAGGAAGGACATACAGTATTTACATACATGGAGGATACATTCTTGTTTTCCAGCGGGTTGTGGGGCTGAATCTGAAAAAATATCCCGGCTTCGCTGCCCAACTTCACAAGGCTGACAGAACGGTCTTGATCAAGAAATCCGGAGTGTTCTGCTAACGAAGCTTACCGAACCTGCAAAAGTCCAATGCGATGGCCATTAGACCTATTTATTTATTTATATATATATATATTGTTTTATATTTTTTATTTATCACAGCTGAAATTTTCAACCGGAGAAAAAACCTTTTTCTCCCGGACCTTAAAGTCAAAAGTTGTGTGGACCACCCATTACTCTATTTCGAAAAACTGAACATAAACACCACAAACCCCAAGGAGGAATCGCAGTTTTCTCGCCCTGTGGCTAATTTTATATTATCCCCTGCGTCTGCAGAAGAGCATCGATGCATCGACCCGCAAAGAAACGACATAAGAAATACCAAGAATCTCTTTCCGTGCTGTCTAGCTCGGTTACTGCATTCGTGGGAACAAGCAGTGTTTATTTTTGACTCGCCATTGTTGTCAGGCACAACAGCAAAACTGGAGCCATGGTTCAGTCTGAGACCTGCGCTTGGGCTGGTCCGTGGCTAGTGTTAAACCTTCCATCCCCGACCGATCCATTCCGCGCGTTAACCCTTGGATTTGTGAGGGGATTTACCCGGGGTGGGGAGGGGAAGATAGCCAGAGGCCAGAAACAAGATCCCAGAGTTTCCGCTTCTGGTGGCTGGTGGCTCGGTTTGAACACTCTTAATTCTTCTCCGCCGTATGTTTTATTATTTGCAGGGTTATAAAGCGGATTAGTCAAGTATTCCCTCCCTGCCGTGTGGCTGGTGAGGGCGAGGCTGTGTAGTTATTCTTCAGGGATTGATGACGCTGGGATAAATTAGACGACATCAGGGGCCACACAAGTGACACCTCGCGGGAATTAGTGATCTTGAAACAATAGACATTGACAATGAAAATGCTACATCAAAACGTAGTAGTTATATATCTTGACCCCATTGCATGCAGCAGTTAGTCATGTACAGCTTCATCATCCCCCCCAACCCCCGGCAGGCCAGTTAAATACAAATCAAAACTGCTCTCCTTTGGTCGAGAAGCACGCAATTGCAAGCCTTGCTTGAACATGGGATGTAAAATACCCCAGTTGCTGCTATTCCAGGGCATTAACCGATTCCTTATCCTCCACGATGGCAATCCTGCTCGGGTGCGCCTTGCTCGATATGAGCGGCTACTTCGTTAGGCTTACCGAAAATGCTGCAATATGCTTGTGAATTTCTGTAATTCTCCACCCCCCCCCCCCCCCCGGTCTGAACCCAGCATTTGAGAGAAATGCAGTCCTTCTGTGGCGATTTCGCTTGTGAGCGCTGTTTCGAATGACTCGGTGATGGATTGAAAAGCGGGGATTTACGCTGGCAGTTTACGATTAACTGCCCCCTCAGCAAGATATCGCCACATTTCGTATGATACGGAAAGGCAAATATATGGGGTAGGGGTATCATGGAAACAGAGGGAAACTAGCTAATGATGGCTGGACTCCAAGGGAAAGCACACCATTTGCGAATGCCATTCGGGGCGAATGTCCGTTTCTCTCGACCCGAATTTACAGTTCGGACAAGCTCAGATTTGTAGTAAGAATGAGAAGCTAGCTCTGAGGAAGCTCTCGTTCCTCTTCTAACTTTATTTGACGAACTGCCTTTTGCCTTCCAAACCCTGTGAAAAAAGATTCGCTTGCTACACATAAACTTTGAAGCGAGTGGCTGGATGCTCCGATGCTGCCATTGTTTTGCTGCTCCACGGAGCAGCAAGTTGTCAGCAATGATGGCCTTTTGAAAGAGAACTCGAGAACACATCTCGAATCTCACAACAAGTTATCGGTTGGCGACCGGAGAAGAGCTTTCAAGAAGCAGAGTAGCAATTTCACTGCTTCTTTTGACTCCCTCTTCATTTTCTCTGCCATCTGGGGACAGGCGCGAGACAGCCGGATGAGAAGAAAAGAAAAAAAAAAGTGGAACAATGCATCAATGGCCAGAGAGATTAAGAGGTGAAGAATATATATACCTGGTAAGCCGTGAACAGGAAAATGATAGTGTCCTTGATTTGTTGTATTACAATTCCTTCAAATCTGAGCAGCAGCACCATAAGATTACCTACATGAAAGATCTGTGAGACGTGGCTGAATAGTATCTTCTATACTTACGGAAATGAATATATAAAAGCACACAAATTCAAGCATGCTCGGTTTCATCAAGATATCCATTGGGAAGTTTGTTCTGTCATGAATTTGAAAGATTCAATACACCCACGCGGGTCAGATAGGCCAAGATACAGCCCTTTCCGGGAGCTGCTCACAAGAGAAAAGAGGATGAAATATCATAGTATACATGTTCAGAGCAGAATTTCAGAGAAGAATTCTTTCCATAAAAATAATTCATCCGAGAACAAAATGCTGCAGTCATACTCATGTTTCCGTCTTGAGAGACCATACGAGTGTAAAAGGGTGAATAGAGGTAACCATATCTAGAAGCATAGTATATCGATTAGGTATAAACATATACATTGATATGGACATTGCTGGATAGAGATCTTGCTCCCAGGTTGCCCTGTGAAAACCAGTCACCGCAGCGAATCTCCGCGTCGCGATAGGAGAAACCAACGTGTGAGCCCTTATCAGCACATCAAGATGTTCTAGAAAGAAGGGAAAAAAAGGCATCTAAGAACGCGGTAACAAGACATATTTGCCGCTAGATCGGGTTGAGTAAATATACGGCGTTCCAAGGTTCAAAGGAGGGGAAAAGCCGATCCACCAGACTTGAGCCTAAGGATGCGTCAATATTATTGCGGATACGGGAGAAAAAGATTGAAATCCTGCAGATACCCATAGACCTACGGGCCATTTCTGCACCGGGTAGCTGTTCTGTACATACGCACAATGCATCATCGCAAAGATAGGTGACAAGTGGACAGCTTGTCAAAGAGACGGATTGGTGAACGCAGGTTAGTTAGAGTTATCCCGGGTGGGAATATGCTAGCTGGCAGTGGGCTGCTTCTTCCAGTGGTTCCAAGGTTCAGGCACAATGAGGCAGAAGGAGTTAGTGCCCCTGCTGCTTATCTGCAGGGACTGCAGATCTTGGGAGATGAAGTGGGTAACTAAACCAAGATTGATTAAGCTGTACGTCTATCTGTCCTGTCTTGAGATTGAGAGAGAGGGAGAGGGCGTAGGTAGGACTGAGAAGCAACAATTGATATTAACTGGTGACAAAACCGGTTCGGCTCTACCCTGGACAACAATGCCCCTGGAGCGCGCCCTCCTTAGCGCGGTCAGGTGTCTTCAACCTCCACATCACCGGGCGCTTGCAGCCGCTGTCAGCCCCTGTGGCATCAACCTCGTTTCGGCGCTTCGGCTGTTCACCTCCCAACTCACTAATAACTGCATCCATCCATGCTACTTGGAGTATTAATATTCCAACGATTAGGTGTCGTTTCATCACACCAAAAAAACGAAAGAAAGGAACTAAACAACCCGGTAACGATCTCGTGGCACATGCGTGCGTGCGTCTCTGAACCACTGGTCGATTTATCCCTTTAGTCACACTTGTACTACCCTCCATTGCATCCTTGGGAAACGCTTTCGTCGCCTGCTCAGCGCTTCCCCAGTCTCAATTCGCACATCATTCCATGAGGATCAGTTGACTTGGCTCTGTACTGGTTCATAAAAGCCTCCAAGAACCATGTCCTTCTGTGATGGAGGCGCTGATTTATCAAGACTCGCCTTTAGCTAAATATCTGGAGGGTATGCGTTGAGTTAATTAATCTTTCTCGCCATGAATCTGTTGTCGCGCTTTTCGACTGACTCTGCCACTCTAACAGGCGAAGGTGAAGGCCAGGAAGACTGGGCGCTACAAGAGGACCTCAGCCCATCGCAACCTCCGCTGGATTCATCGACAGCTAATTTCGCACCTCGAGGACCCCCTACGTTCCAAGATCGAATACGAAATAGACTGCCGGTACCGCGACAATTGAAGCCATTGGCGAAACATCAAACTCTGGCTAGAATCTCTGACTTCTGCAAGGTATGGGGACGCTTTTTCCGTTTTCACGATGTGGATTTCCCGTTGCTGACTGGTTATACTTTTCGCATCGACAAGGCAGTTGTTAGTACAACAATAGGGAAAAGTGAGAATGAACGGTTCCTCGAACAATTTGGATACATCATCGTCGCCTCACAGCTCCTCAACGAACAGTGCGCACCGTCGTACAGTGCCATAACGGGATTGCTATCAAATACTCGCAATAATGAGGATCAGTCAAGCACACGAGCAGCAAATTTTGGATTGCCTGGGGCCGTATTCACAGCCGGTGCATCCTTTTCCGTGGTCTGGATACTCCACTGGGCTCGATCGCGGCAGGGATCGGATTGGAATGTCTGGAGGATATGTGTCCTAGTGGTCCTTCTGCTGGCAGTAGCAATATCGTTTTATGCGTTTGCAAAGCGCCAGTGGTTGAAATATCTTCGTCGCCAGGCAGTGGATGTTGCGTCCGTGCTTGTTGCAAACGCGCAGTCCTTTGATTCTGCCGCTTCAGCATCGGTTATCTTGATACAGGAGGTGGAGCTGGTTTCCAGAGGATATAGATTGTTTGTTACCAATTCCCCAAAGCCGTTTTTGCATAATGTGGTTCATTACATACGTTAACACTCGATATAGAAGCACTCCCATGCCGCCGATAACCCGCCTAGAAGAGCAAACGCAAACAAGGCGTTGTTTGAGACTCCGGCGCATTCTCTCAGAGTGTCTTTCGGAAATGCTGGAGCGATACTTAAAGACGAAACGACATCTGCGACTACTTGCAGATACCGCCAATCTGGAAAAATATTATGATATTTATGATTTCTCCCCGGAGGAACTCGAGGAAACAAATGCACTGTTAGCGGACAGTGCGATGGAAGATGGGACCTCCTTACGAACCCTTCGAAATTTGTTTTCCAAAGTTTATTCCGTTAGAAAGGCTACTTTATGCTGCTTGCTCGCACTCCCAGCTGAGGGTGGGGAAGCCGATATTGCAAATTGGAGTACCGCCATTGAGGAGATGCAGCGTCTCGTTGCTGCAGATACAGGTTGCGTAGAAAGACTGGTCGCCATCCTCAATGAGCAAGACCGTAAGTAGAGACTTCATGAAACAAAATATGCTGGCAAGATATACACCCATACTAACTTGCAGCCTAGATAATATGATCCCACCGAACCCACAAGCCAAACTAGCCCCGAATAAAGACCATCACCGCGCGCAACTCCGACGCCTCAACTCCCTCTCCCAAGGAATCCGCAGCCTCCACGCCAAAATGCAACTAATCCGCGAGGAATCTGACGCAAGCCTCGAACGAGCGACGGACGACACAGACTTCGGCACCACCCTAACGACCCTCTACGAATCCATCGGCACAGACCTCCGCGGCATCCTCCAGGAATGGGAAGCCGGAAAATCCGCCCTATTTGCCACCCTCGAAAACTCAGGTCGCCTCTCGCGACCTACGAGTTCCCTCAAATCTCCCGCGTCGCCGACATTCAGTCTCAGCGGCGTGACTGCAGTTGACGGCGGGCCTCCAGAGGCTCTCCGGGCGTTGACGGGTGAAGATCAACAACAACAACAACAGCAGCAGCAGCAGCATCAGCAGTCCCTCCAAAGTCCGGATAACAACATGGACGACGATGAGGTTTTTGAAGCCATTGCTCTACCCCTCAAGCGGAATTCTATGTCGCGGGAGGAGAGGATTGCGCGAATGAAGGAGGAGCGGGCGAGGCAGGCTATGGTGCGGGAGAAATTGGATGCTAATACGCACATGCTGAGAGAGTTAGAGACTGTTATCAAACTGCGTCCGCGTGGGAGGGCATCGCAGCGGATTACGAGCATCTAAGCATGATGTACTGCCTCATTTCTTCTTTTTCCCTTTTCGTCCCTTTTCTTCTCTCCTTTTTCACTTTTCATTTCTTGCTTTCCTTTTTTCAACCGACGGGCCTGGTTTTGCCCGTCGTCGCCTCTGCCATTGCCGTTATATCAGCATTTTGAGCGTTTTTATTCTCTGAGAAGATATTTGCATTTTCCGGTTGATTATCCAACACACCTCCTTCCTGGAGTCCCAGCTACGCATTTGATACCCTGTTCAACGGCGGACGGAAGTCATTTGACGAAGTTGAGTTCAATATCATTATAATTCGATCAACTATTTTCTTATTAATGACTTCTCTATCATTCTTTAATGAGGCCCCCTTTTGTCAATTGTTTAATTTCTTTTTTCTATTAGGTTTGAATGGGTTGCTGTTGAATATTGCATAATGTGTAATTTCTATATTCTTATATTTTGTCTTTTATGTTGGAATACTGTACGGCACCATAGATAAGTAGTCAATAGGAATAATTTATGTCAATTTGCAAAATCAATCATTTCGAGGGTGCTTGTGCAGACTTGCTGCTCTTTTGTGTATTGTATGAGAGCTGGTTATTGTTGCCTTGTTGCTGGTAGATTCGGTTAGGTAAGAAGGCTAGCTCGAATGGGGCAAGATTACCTTTGACCCGACGCGATTCGTGTCTTGCGACGCGTCGGCGCGCTCTCTGGCCCCGCAAATCTTCGACCGCCAAACTCCAGCTCCCTTCAACATTGCACCGCGCACCGCTTTCTCCCACAAACGTTATACCCAATACCCTATACTCAGTACCTGCTGACACTCTCAATTTCTCGTCTCTACAACCGTAAACCCTCCCAGAATAATCCCCTAACTGTATGCCAGACTAACGGAATAGCCTGGCAGAACGAACTGGTGCCCAATACTTACGTTCCACCATATCACCTGCGACAGTCCCTCTTGTTCTTTCGTTTAATATTTACCCACCTCAGTTGACAAGAGTATGTGATACGATTCCACTGGTAGGAAACTGGCCGGTTCACTGACTTGGAATTTGACAACAGTGTTGGAAGCACGGCTAGAGCAGGCCAGCTTGTTGAAGAAGGTAAAGGCGATCCCACACCAGTCCTCACACACATGCACCTTGTTCGTTCAAGACGTGCTTAACCCGGACAAAACCACTTAAAAACAAAAAAAAAAAAATTTATCACATCCAGGTCGTCGACGCCATCAAAGATCTAGTCCAAGACTGCAACTTCGACTGCAATGACTCCGGCATCGCCTTGCAAGCTATGGACAATTCGCACGTTGCTCTCGTCTCCATGATGCTGAAAGCAGAAGGGTTCTCCCCTTACCGCTGCGACCGCAACGTTGCGCTGGGCATCAACCTGGTCTCGCTCACAAAGGTGCTACGTGCGGCACAGAACGAGGACATCCTGACACTAAAAGCCGAGGACTCACCTGACGTCATTAACCTGGTTTTCGAGAGCGCGGAGACGGACCGGCTTAGCGAGTATGATATCAAACTTATGGATATTGACCAGGAGCACCTGGCGATCCCAGACACGGAGTATGCGGCTACGGTGGATATGCCGTCGGCGGAATTCAGGAGGATTTGTACTGATTTGGGGAATTTGTCGGAGTCTGGTATGTTTCATGGCTCTCTATTGTTGTCATTAATTTGCCAACTACGGAAATAAGCAGGATAAATGAAAATTCGGACAGTACCCCTCATCTAACCACCCCCTTCCCCACTCAACAGTAATGATCGAAGCCAACAAGGACGGCGTCAAATTTTCCTGCCAGGGCGAAATCGGTAACGGTGCCATCACCCTCCGCCAACACACCAACGTCGACAAGCCAGACCAGAACGTCTCCATCGCCCTCTCTGAACCCGTCTCCCTCACCTTCTCTCTCAAATACCTTAACAATTTCTGCAAGGCCACGGGTTTATCAGCAACTGTTCGTCTCTGTCTCTCCCAGGAGGTGCCATTGCTCGTCGAGTATGGGTTGGGCAGCGGCCATTTGAGATTCTTCCTTGCGCCAAAAGTATGTCCTGTATATCTGAAATACTGGAGGGGTGGTTGTTTTGTTTTGCAATCTATTCCCCGCTCTTTCTCCTGCAACCCCCTTTTACCCCAAACTTTTTATTTTTATTTTTTTTTATTTTTATTTTTATTTTTTTTTGCATTCCAACTAATAGAACGGTTGCTAATTAATTTTGTTCTATAGATTGGAGACGAGGAATAAATGGCCCGAAGACAAGAACTAAACATAAGAAAAAATAGTAAAATCCAACATTTTCAAGACCATCATCCATGATTTCCATTGCCCCGTCATGTCTGTTGTAAACTGGCAAGCTATGAGATTCCAAGATGTTTTGCATCACGCTTGCTGTTACTCTATTTTTAATGGAAGTAGGGGAAGGCGAAATAATGAAAAGATTTGTTTATTATGAGTTATATATTATGATTCAAGCAACGTAACTTTAATGCTTTTTTTTATTTATTTTATTTATTTATATTATAAATATATATATATATATATATATATTTGGTTCTAAGCACAAGTGGCTACTAATCATGGAGTGTGATGCGAGTTCGTAGCAGTGAAGAGAATGTAAATCAGGTCTAGTTGTCTTTCCCGAACCCATGTCAAGGGCCATTCCAACGTCAACCCTGGAGCGAATTGAGCCCAATTGCCAACTACCATCTACTGGCGCCCATGAGAGGCACTCCCTCATACAGCCAGACCAAACTGCACTCGGAGAAATGCGTTGCTGAACCACGATATAAATAGCCCTTCGCCAGTCCGGCTGATAGAAAATCCCTGCAATATAGTATGATCCCAAAAAAAAAAACCACAACCTGGACGACCAACAAGAAGTCAGAGGAGAGCAATACATAACGTCGCACGGAATGAACAAAAAAGGGACGTCCGATCCTCGCACGGCAGATGCAATAAAAAAACACACAACAATTAGCAGTATCCTTTGTTCAAAAATTCCAACCGGCTCCCGCAACGGAGCAAGATGAACAAACAAATATGATAACCACGAACCTTTAAAAAAGTAAAAAGTGAAGCGTCGTCCTCACCAGAGTAATCGGAATCGAATTCATACCAGACCGCTCCCTCTTAAGAAGAAAAGAAGAAACGGCTATCCTGGCACGCTGCGTATTGCACTAAAGTGTCATACACCGCCAACCCCACCAACCCATCCCCTCCTAGGAGAGAATTTGAAGGGGCGGAGGCGGTTGTACACACAATCTTCGCAACGGCTCTCCCATGGGGAAAATTGAAAAAATCTAAAGATGCGCCGAAGGACAAGGGGGTTTTACGCCCGCCCTCAGCGACAACCCAAAATTTCTAAACCACCCCGATGTTTCTGATGCCTAATTGCAGACGTGGTGAGATTCACGCCAGGCCCTCACGGGCAGTACCGACTCACTAACTCGTTTTATTTGCCCGGTAAGGAGCGGAGAAAGAGAGTGGGTTGGGTAAGGGTTCTTTTTGAAGAGTACTCCGAATTTCTCATCTGCATGTTCCCGCCCTTTCTTGTCCTTTTCTCTGCTGGTTTTTGGGGGCCAGTAGAGAGAAGGCAAAAAGGAGAGGGGATGGGACAGATCTGTTGGATCTGACGTGTGTAGCAAAGAAACGCAGCTTTGGTGAGGACGACGCTTGGAGGGAAGAAGGGAGAACGAGAAGGAGAGGAATTTTGGCGAGGTGGGAGCTTTTCATTGCTGGAATTTTAATTTGGGGGCGTTGGAATGAACTTTGTGCATTTGAATACGCTAGTATGGATCTGGTTAGGCTGCTGTACGTTCATTCTGCCGTGGGTTGCCGCTTTTTGTGTTTCTTTTTCCCCCTTAATCATCGCTAAGTTGAGTGAAAGAATTGTTTGGTGAAGAGTATCAAGTCAAATATTTAAGGCTCTCTGTGGATGTTGGGTTACCATGGGGTCAAATGATCCTCTGACGTTTCTTCAACTCCGTCTTTCATGTTATGCTTCCCCGTTCGTGCCAGCATCTGTTGGAGAGATGATTAATATCTCTATGTTTTACAATGAAGTGAAGCCGAAATTAGTACGGAGAATGTGAGTGAACAAAGCTGCGAAGCGCAATGCCTAGGTACAAAGTAGCATTTTTGGATCATCAGTGAGGATGACAACAGTTGAAATACGGTTGAGGGTGCTACCCAATACTCAGATATACGTATCCCTTTCATGGTGTCGGGATATCACCAGCGCCCAACTAATTACACCCTTAATTGGCTGCACGATTTATCCCGGAACGGCGTGTGGCATACGGCTCAGGCGGGGAAAGCGGGATTTGTCCCCCGTACGGGGTGTTCAGTTAAATACATTCATCCGTCCATTGCTGAGCTGCCAGAAATGGGCATATTACGATCGATCATTGGAGCTGGTTTATATGACTTACATGTACCTAGCTGGCGCCGTGGCAGTGTGGATTTTGCGGGAGTACGGAATGGCCACGGTAGGTGGGTTCTATGTCGGTGGGTTTCACATGTGTGGGCTGGTGAATGGGGTCCAAGAATGGTTTCTTTACGATGATGGTGGTTGTCGACGGCTATGGTTTCCATCAAAATTTTGGAAGAAGTTTCATGATTTTGGATATTCGATGATGGTGTCAAAGATGTAACGACAGGACTCTTTAGCAGGTGATTTACTCGACGATGTTGACTAACAATCGCCTTATCCTGGTATGCTCACTTGCTTGCAAGATACTGTAAGTGATTATTTTATGCGCTGAGGCCCTTCACAGGTTCAACGCAATGGGGACTTGGATATCTGCTATACTCTCATTCCCACGATAGCGACATCATCACTCACTACTAATATATGGCGTAACAACTAGGCTGTATAGAGTTCGCGTCAACACCTTTTACAGAGTAATGGTACATACGATGACATCTCGGAGTCTCTCCGCAGGATGCAAAATATTGGTTGATGACGAGAGATATTGTATGCAGGTTCAAGGGAATATCAGGCAGTTGGTCCATGTCGGGGTCCGCCTCACTGTTTTTATTTTGTTTCCAAAAGAGAATAGAAAGAGAAAGAGAAAAAAAAAAAAAAAAAAAATAGAGCGAGAGATTCAACTTGATCTTGAAAAAGTATCCAGCGCGGAGCAAAATGCTAGGAACGTTAAGTTTGCCAATGGCATCTTGGGCTTGCTAGCCGTGTAAAACCGTAGCAGATGAACTCTGGCACATCTCTCAAAAGCGATGTTGCTGCACAACGTAGGAGCAGCCATACATCTAGGTTTAATTGCTAAATTCCCTTTCATGGAATCGCATGGGGTAAAGTGCCCGATGCATCATGTCCATCGGTTTTCTGTCCAAAAGTCGAAGAGGCAGAGCCATGACACGACTTTCGTACGGTTGCCCCGGGCAACCGTACAAAACCCGTTGTGGTAAATAAACAATGGTGTCATCATCGCCCTAAAGACATTGAGGATCGTGACGACATCAGCAGAGAGTTTCACTACCTTGGAGCTTTGAGCTCAGAGAAACATTCGTTATGAAGAAATCAACATATATAAAGCATCGTGTTTCATATCTATTCAGTACACTCCCTCATAGCCTCTCAAAAGTTGCTCGTTGTCCCTAATCACTACCCTAAAACTTTCATATGGTGAAGTTTGGCTTGATAAGGTAAAGCACAATTGGCAACCATTTAGCCTCAATCCGTTGCTAAAGGCACCTAGACCCCTAGTACTCAAATTTTGATATCACCGTTTTGGCCCCCTACACAATGTCGAGAGGATACAGTGAAGCTGCGACTCCGTGTCCCGCTGGATGGAGAAGAGGCAGCAAATCGCCGTTCTCCGGTAGCGGCAAGAATCTTAGCGATTTCGACAAGGAATTTGGACTTTCCGATGGTGACACCGCTGCAATCGATTTTACGAAGGACTTTCATGCTCCTTTAACGAGAGTTAAGCCAAGGAAGGCGGGGAAAGCAAAAGCATTTGATATTCACGCGGATGAGCTGGGGAGTTTGGGGCCTGCGTTGGAAAAGAGAGTGGAATCAAGTCGGTATCCAAGGGTCAGGCCTGCGGCCAAAGGCTCTTCAATGTTATCGCAGCCAGCACAGAGATTCCAGCGACCCCGAGTGAGCTTCTCCGTCGCAGCATCTCCTAAAGTCGACGAATTTACACCTCCACAAAATCCCCCTCAGTCGCACAATTCAGCCGTTATAAATGAACGCAGCGAAATGGCAAAAGAGCAGCGGCTGCCAGTCGCTGCTGACCCTCTGAAAAAGTTAACAAGGCGAAGGACGATTTACATTCCTTCTGAAGACACAACTGTTCCCTCCGTCTTTATGGGTATCTTCAGTCCTGTCAAATCTTTAAAGGTCCACGAAGGAAATAAAAACGCCATTAAAGATTCCGAAATAGGAAGCTTGGAATCCAGAATTGCTCGAAAGCAGCCGGCAAGAGAGTCATTCGCAATCGCCCCCCGGCGGGCACCCCTTCAACCGTCACGGAAGCCTCCACAGGAACCAAGCATAAAACATGATATCCCAGGTCAGAATGGTGGGAAGGAGAATATACCTCCAGGAGGATTGATTGTCTATGATATCAAATCTGGGAAATCTGAAGGAGCATATTTTCCTATTTTCGATGTTCCACTCGTTGAAAAACGGAAGAGTGTACCTGTCGCGGAACCAACAAAAAGAGCTTCATCTGCTGTTAATCCAGCAGCGAGAGCGAAGCTTGAAATCAAGGGAAATCCTCTATCCGCGAACAGGAAGGTACTTGGAAATAAAGCAAACGTGGTCCCAAACCCTAAATTGCGTCCCCGCGAGGAAAACGTCCTGGCTCCAAAGAGCACAGTATTTAAGACTCGCCAGACTCAAGGCCCAAAGGTATCATCCTCTCCTCCAATTCCTAAGCCACGGGTGACGAGAAGGCCGGCAGCGAAACTTCTGGTTCCCAACATACCTTCGTTAACAATTGAGGAGAAATACCCCCTCCTCAGCGAAGACATCTCCAATCCGGCAATGTATGAGGAAAATTGGCTTGCACATCAAGAGGTAGCTATCACTCAACTCGTGAATGGGCTCTTCGATTCCGCGCGAGGCACCTCAGGCCTATATGACAGTGATACCCTTAGACACGAGCTTTTGGAAATATACCAAGAAGCATCCTTCTCCTTGCTGTATAAACGTGTCCAGGCGTCTCTTCTCTATGGTGCACTAGGCATACCCAAGGACGTTTTGGCTCGCGGAAACTGTTTAAAAGAGGACATTGGACGGAAGCGCTCTTTTCTGAACCTTTGGATAGAAACATATGATCTCTTCGCGCTTCGAGCCGCGGCAGAAACTGTGATAGGGCGGAAAATACCTGTCCCAAATAGATCTGCCAGACCCAGTAATTCCGCGGCCTCTCCTCCACAAAGTGAGGAAAGACAATTTCGTCGTACATTAGAATCATTTTTGGAAACATTCATTCTACGAAATGAGGATTCCGGAACAGGTTTTGCTGGTCTGGATGGGGAGGACGTTGGCACACCTGGGTGGTCTTATCGCAGAACTCTCTTGCGCAGCATTATGATGGTAGTGCTCCTAGACAAAGCAAGCCAAATTTCAAAGACCACATTGCCTCGATGTTTGTTCAATCCATCGTCAAAATATAAGTCGTCAGCAGCGGTTCTTCAGGCACTGGGAACAATGCTTCTTCCAGCAGTTGGTGACATCACTCGGCCGCTGAATCACCTCGACTGCCAGGTGGACTACAAACAGAATCCTCTACAAGAATACGATTACCACATTAACAACCTTGCTATCGATCTTCGAGATGGCATTCTTCTTACCAGGCTTGTCGAACTACTTCTGTATCCTTCTGCGTCGACCCTGCTCTCTCAACAGGAGGGCTCTGATTCTGCCACTATAACAATGCCAACGGGAGAAATTCTATCCTTATTGCAAGGAGAGGAAGACTGGATACTCTCGCAACATCTAAAGATACCATGCATTAGTAGAGCAACGAAACTGTTCAACGTGCAAATAGCGTTAAGTGCTCTGCTAGGCGTTCAAGGCATTGGTGTCATTGTCAAAGACATCCGTGCAGAGGATATCGTTGACGGGTACCGCGAAAAAACCATAGCGCTGCTGTGGGGCCTTGTTGGGAAATGGGGTCTGTCTGTGTTGGTTGACTGGGACGATGTGAGAAAGGAAATCCGGCGATTGAAAAAGAAACTAGAAAGTCGGGATGATAGTCAAACTGAAGACGGTGTAGATGATGATGAAGAGACCGAGGAGGATTTCGATGCAGGATATGAGCGGCACTCATTCCTGCTCAAAAAATGGGCTTCTCATCTTGCCCATCTAAAGAGCATTCGACTTGATAACTTGACGACAAGTTTTGCCGACGGACGGATTTTCGAGAGCATTGTGGATGAATATGAGGGGTACATAGTTGGACACGAGAAAACGTTGAGTGGTTCGGGAAGTTTGGACTCGAGGCTGCGATATTTGGGTTGTAGCAGCCAATTCGGTAAGGATAGGTCTCATCCTGCTGAAACCCCCGTTCTGGCAAGTTCCCGAAGTAAAAGGACATGAGCTAACATCAGATTCAAAAACCACAGCCTCACTTGTAGCTCCAATGTCCTCATCACCATTGTCCGCAACATCACCTCATTTTTTCGATCGAGATTTCACTCTCGCAGCTCTCGCGTTTCTTTGCTGCAGGCTTCTGTCTGCCTCGAAAAAGGCACGAGCTGCGGTCATTATTCAGTCTGCCTGGAGGCGCATATACACACAACGACAACATCAGAAACACGTCCTCGCTAAAGGAATTGCAACGGAGTGTATGGCCGCTGTTCAAGAGCGGGAAAAGCTGAAATGGGCGAAAAGGGATTATTATTCGCTGGTGGAGAATCGTCAGGAATAGAAGCAGGAAGAGGTGTCTTGCAAAAGGGGCAGGAGGTTCTAGGAAACATCTAGCAAGAAAACAAACAAACCATAAAGTCCCTACAGATAAGGAGGTGTCTCGAAATGGGAGTGCCAGGGTCGCTTTTGCGGAGGATATTGATAGTGAGAATTGTCAACAGGGGCAGTAGGTGCGAGGTGACCTCCAGCCTGTCAGAGAGGACCTTTGGCTTGAGGACCTCTGATCCGCAGCGGGCGCTGCGGATTTTACTATTGTTACTCTCGTTTTACAAATTTTTTGGGCTTTATTCTTAATGACTGTGGGAAGTTACTTAGGCGTCATAGCATAGCCATGGATACGGTCCTTTAATATGAGATTAGGATTTTTCCTCGTTCCTTCTACACAGGATGCCACGCAACAACAAGATTAAAAAACATTACAGTGTGAAATAAATCCTAGTAACCAGCAGCTTTAAATTAAATGACCTTGCCATCACAATCTCGAAAACTAATTCGGGACTCCTCTCCTAGAAAATGTTTTTTGTACATTTGTTATTCCTCTACTCGTTACTCCTATACATCAGAGAAACGGTCAAGATGATTCTCATACTTCTAGAACTCATGTTTGACCTCAATTCTCTCTCCTTCAATTACTTCGATAAAACAAAGGCGCATTCCAGAAGTATGAATGTCTTTACTTGTCATTCTTATAAAACCAATCGGCTCATGAGCAAAACTCAACAGCGCTAGATTTGATGTTATCACTTTTATATAATGAGAAACTCATCTCAGTCAGAGTCGGCCTCTCAAAGATTGAAGCAGTTACTGAAAGAAAATCTTGACCAATTCTTTACAATAGATATAACTATTTATTATAGTATAATTTACTATTAACATAATTTCTTAGTACATGATGCATCAAATTACAACATTAAATTCATGTATTAATTTACCTAAAACATTTTTAATTAACATCAAAAACTAAAATTTTTATATAGAAATAGAGAATAGAATTTAGCTTACAATTTCGTTCTTATAAAATAGCAATACAATATAATTATAATGAGATAGCATCATGACATAGTGTCAATAGTAATATTTTATAGAGTTGATAATAGAAAAAGCTGAATGATTGAGCTTGACTAGTTAAAAGGCAGATAAGTTTTTTGTATGTAAGAAATATTTAGAAAATCAAAAGTATAAATTTCCTCTTTCACACTAGCCCTATTTAGGCCTAGCCCATACATCCACACTGGCTATATCTTCAACGCGTAGAGAACTTCTTATATATTATAGAATATAACAATTCAATTCGTTCTTACGCAGGTTTATTCGACGGATGGGCAGTGGCAGAACTTGTTGCTTGATAGTCTGCACTTTCAAATACGAGTTCCAATTTCGGTCAGTTGCTGCCAGGACCAACTATGGCAGTTTCACTAATAAGGTTTCCAGGCTAGATGAACAGGCAACACAACCATACCATGGTAATAACTACATAAGCGAATCTCAAAGTTCAAGTTTTTTAGTCACATCATCTCTAGACAATTAAACGCAGAGTTTTAAAACGTGGAATATCCAACCCATACATCACAGCCATCCACCGCCGTCGCTTCTTTCCAACCAGGTTAGATGGTTAATAAGTCGGTATAAGCGTGGATATAGCAAATGGTTTCAGTAACATATACACCACTCCCCACTGGAACAGTTATTGCTGTACTTTTATCCGGACGATTGGATATCACAAGGTCACTTGATATAGGGATGATGTGCACAGGTTCCCGATTGATAATAAACCTGGTGCGATCAACTATTTTAAAAATTCTGAATTTTGAGTGCTACCATGCCCATCAGTTTTCCTACTAGCTGTGAAGCAAACGAATAACACTCACTTTAGCCTTGACTGCGCGTAGTATAGTTTCAACTCTCGAATGATCTAGAGGTTCCATGCTCTCCTTCAGAGAAGTAGATAGCGTTTGCCATGACACGGTTTTATCCACATGCGTTTTTAGATAGTTCAGATCATCGTTGCAGCCCGGAGGCAAGGGACTGACGCTCAAGTCTTTCTTCGTCTCGGTCTCCATTTCACTTAGAAGACAGATATGGCGCGTTCTGATAATGAGGCGTAGAGAGGGTCTGTTATTCGTGTTTAAAGGGGTTGTTTGGCTGGATATGGTTCGTAACTGGCGCGCAGAAGCTGGGAAGAGCTTCGCAGAAAACAAGTTCTTGTCAGGCCTGCGAAAAAGCTTTGGAGGGGCATTTAAGCCCAACCCCACCATCATATGACATGGATCCATTCTTGATGACGGATATGGCGTTCGTCGATCCTCCCGTTAGGGAGGGGAGGGAGGCTAGTTCAGCTATATAGGGGGGGGGGTCCCTAGAATCACGTGGAGCAAGGGCGGAAGCGTCAACAACTGGTTCATCTAAACTTTAATCTGAATTAAATTTGATTCTATGAATTCTAATTCAGACATCAAAGATATCAAATCATGTTGCCTCTTTAACTGCCTCACTCAAGAAAATATATTCAGCTTCATTGAAGCTTCTTTGAAATTTCTAAATCAAGTTAAATGTTTTAATATGAGAGATCATTTGCCATACTACTGTCATCGTCTTTTCACTACTATGTTTAGGGTAAATATCTGCAATCTTAGAAGAGTAAAAATCTTAATTGAAATATCCATACTTTTTATTAAGCTTTTACGCAGGAGTTTCATCTTAGTATAGTCTAATTCAATACTCGTAAGATTCAACTTTGTATGCTGTTAGTGCAACGGGCGTGCTACCGAATATGGCCCTAACGCTTCCTTATAGAACAAAACGACAAAGTTGTTAGAAGGAGAAAGGGAAAGGAGAATGAAAGCTCCGAAGAAGGTTTGGGCGAAGAGTTTTATGCAGGTCAGGGCGGAAGAAAACTAATCCGGGTGCAAATGAAAGGAAGAAGAATAATCCGGGCGTAGCCCTGTTTTGGTTGCGGAGAGATTCTTCACTAAGGTCATAATAGTCTTGTTCAAGTGAAAATCAAACAAGTCCCATTTAGGAAATTATTGAATAGAGTTATATATCACGTGGGTGCTAAAGTGGCTTAGAATGTGGTGAAATACGTAATTAACAAGTTAAAAAGTGTTACAAGCCATAAGGAGTAAAACATGGTTTAATAATACTGAAAGTTATCGGTATAAATAGGTAACTAGTGAACCCCAGATCAGGAAGATACATCATAGCCACGGGCTGCACATCTATTGAATAATACTTCTAATACTAGTTTAATACTAATGCTAATACTCCATGCTAAAAACAATAAATAATGGTGGCTCCCCAGACCTTTTTCAGTTGTGCAAAAGCCCTCGATTCAAATTGTGACGAAACAAAAATCTCAAATATCAGCCAGGCCATCGCCTATTTACGATTCTATCTCAAGAGCTGACAATTCGCTGTTCCTGCTATTCCATTCTCCCTTTCCTCATCGTCCAACTCTATCTATCTTTCTCTCTCACCAACATTTCTCCATCTTTCCCAATCCCAATTCTACACAATGCGTCTCTCCATGGCTGTCCTCCCCTCCGTTCTCGGCCTCGTCGCCGCTCAGGGCATGAATGGGCTTCCTGAGTGCGCCGTATGTCTCCTTAATACCACCTATATTATACAATTATATCTAATTTACCACTACCCCAACCCATCCGTAGCACAACAATGATACTATAAGGCCAAACAAATACTGAACTAATGAAATATCCCACTAGAGAAAATGCGCGCAAGACAGCATTCCCCCGATGTGCGGCCTGAATATCCAGTGTATCTGCTCCTCTAATGGCTCCCTCATGACCATGAGCTGCTGCGTCATGGATCACTGCTCAATGGAAGATCAAAACAGTATGTTGCATCTATCTATACCATTTTATCTATCCAAGTCCCATAGATACACTCCAATACCTGCAAACCTACAAACCCACATACACAACCCATATCTGACAAACACAATCCTAAACCCATCCCCAACAGAAACAATCATGTTCGCAAAAAGCCTCTGCGCCTCCGCCGGCGTAAACAGCATGCCAGACTCAGTCGTTTGCAATACCACGCAGTCGTCTGCTACCCCTACTCCTAGCCCCACTCAGGGGCCGTCGCAGAACGCGGCAGCGAAGATTGGAGTTGGCGCGGGACTGGTACTGGTAATGGCGGTTTTGGGGATGTTTTAGGTGTGGTTCGGGGGCTTCGGGGGGTTCGCGGGGTTTGGGGGGTTTGGGGAGGGGTTGAGGGTTTGATGGTTTGAGTGAGTGAGCGAGAGGGGGTGGGAGGTGTATGTTATTCTTGATTAAATTTCTTTCTTGTTCCCTTTTTATGTCTTCGTTTTATATACCATTGTGCCATGCTATGCGATGTGCTGGTGTTGGTTGGAAAAAGGGAGCGGAAGTAGGATAGTTCTTGTTTCGTAATTCATATGAGAGCATCCGTTGAAGCTCTGTGTCTTATTTTGTTCAACGAATGTTATGGATGATGGAAACACATTTCTTTTCTTTTCCTTTTTTTTTTTTTTTTTTTTTTTTTTTTTTTTTTTGGTGTTGTTGTTCTCCGTCTATTTGCATGTTCAATGGTCTTTTCAATCAAAATGTTGTATTTAATATGTATGTGCACACCTACATTCATACAATAGGATCTGGGTCTCCTGTGTGCTACGTGTTCAAGGCAAATTTCTAATTCCAACACTGTAATGAGTCTAATATTTGTGCATGTATGTATGAACGTACTTCATGCTAATTAATCGTAATAGTTCTTGGAAAAATATTTACATATTGATTTATTCCGTAGACCTTGTCAGAGACATGTATGGGCTTGACTGCCCTCAATCGCTGATCCCTTCTCGATTCCATGCTCGAACCACTTCATCTCCCACTTCGCAAGTCCCCTAACCCTTAATCTCCAAAAATAGATCCTACCTCCTGAACCCCTATTCCTAACATACCCTATTGCACCGCCACAGTCGTGCTGTGGAACGAATGTCCCACTGCACGTAACTACCAAGAAAGCCACAGGATCAAGGAACTTTGAGCAACCAAGCTCCAACACTACCCTTAGGGAGTCCCGAAATGCTCATCAGCCAGTGGTTTGTTTCAGCCTGCATTGCGTAGCGTCGTATAAGGTTACCTCGCACTTTTGCGATTTGTTCCATTCGCAGCCCCGAATGACGTTGCACGGTCCGGGTGAAGGGAAAGCTGGCAAGGACAATCTTTTTTTATTATATTTTATTATTATTATTATTATTATTATTATTATTATTATTATTATTATTATTATTATTATTATTATTATTATTATTATTATTATTATTATTATTATTATTATTATTATTATTATTATTATTATTATTATTATTATTATTATTATTATTATTATTATTATTATTATTATTATTATTATTATTATTATTATTATTATTATTATTATTATTATTATTATTATTATTATTATTATTATTATTATTATTATTATTATTATTATTATTATTATTATTATTATTATTATTATTATTATTATTATTATTATTATTATTATTATTATTATTATTATTATTATTATTATTATTATTATTATTATTATTATTATTATTATTATTATTATTATTATTATTTTATTTATTTATTTATATTTTTAATTTTCCTAGAGTAGCTGTATTGGGACGAGGAACGGAACCAAGGACGTGTGAGTTGTTTTGATCGTGTCTATGAATACTTAGGGACCTTGGAGTTTATGGTAGAACTCGGAACTTTGCTTTCTCTGGATCCTGGTGGCTAACTACGGGTGCGTGTCTTACAATAGTTGGAGCGTGTTGCTTTGCCATCAAGTTCAATCGTTGTATGGGCGTAGTTATATAAATCGAAGCCATCAAGTTCAACGATCTATCTTCCACTCTCAGGCAAATATGAACCACAAATAAAGACCGATGAATGATAGAGAATAGAACTTTTTAATCACGGCTGCACCTATGATATCTCTTAAGCTTTCCTGGATTGTGGAACCAATGTCATCCAGTTATGATATATCTATCAACCTAATAATAACGCCCTTCTGCTGCTCAGAAAGATCAAAACCAGCGTCAATGGCTTTATTATCGTTCGTGAAAAGCCCAAGCTCAAAATATACAGGCTGATTTAGAAATGAAGCTTAAGCTTATTGCGATATTTATAACAAATCCATATAAATTCAATAGTTAGTCGTAATAAGATAATCACTGCCATCTTTGCTACGGTCCGACGGATGGAATCGTGCTGTATTATCTGACACCCCCCGCGAGTGAGAACCGGAGATCCTTTTTTCTGATAACAAAAGCGTACAAGTTTTATCACCTCGGGCGTTTCTGGTCATCAATTCTAGCATGTATTATCAACTGATGCAGCGAGCCGTCTAGCAGGTCAATCTCGGGCCGAACTGGAAATTCGCAGCTTTCATATTCTTTCCACATCTGCTTTGTCCTCGGAGAATCTGGATCTTTGTACGGTTTGCTAGAGAAGATCTAGGTTAGCGAGAACCATTGGCAGCAGACGCTGGATTAGATATATTCCGTACTAGAATTTATTGAACACGGTATTGGAGCTCACGCGCAGATGATGACGGCTGGCCGAGCGAGATCCGCAATGATCTGCTTGACCGGTGCGCTAGTTAACGAAAGGGGAGAACACTATACACATGTCATCGAGTTCTGCAAAGCCCCCAGCCCCATGATCCCCTACAACTTCAAATCCAATCTGCCGTAACACATCCTTCTTCTCAGTCGAGTAAAGCGGGTCTTGAGCAAGCAGCCTTACCCTTACGTCCCCCGTTTCGGCATGAGAACGTGTTACGTCGGCCACCGTTAACGCAATCGCATGATGTATCAAGGACGCTTCTATCACGCTTGTTTCCGGTTCTTGTTCAGCCGTTGACTTGGAGCTGTTCTGCGCCCTCCACCAATCAGGCGGCTTGCAGTTTCAAGTCGCCTAACCCAGAACACACATGATCTTAATCATCTTCTTCGCATTCCCATTCCCGCATAGGAGATTGCGAATCTGTGACGTGAAGGCCTCGCAGGTCGCGCTGTCGTTCCATTGGTTTCGAGACTTTTCAAACAACGATCGCCCGTTCTCCATCTGTCCCTCGTAGTTGGGTAGTTACCGTCTCATTGTTCCACTCTACGAGGTAGGTGCAGGAGTACATCTCGGGTGGACCATCAGGTGTGGTTTGGACGAGATGCCAGAACTCTTGAAATTTAACATATGGCCTCCTGAAAGGTGATGATGATGTTGCATGTTAATGGGACGACTGTAGGCCCTACCAGATTGGCTTCTGCACCCCAAACATCGGATTCCTTATGTGAATGGCACTACCGTCGATACGGCGGACAGTAAACTTCTCCTTGGTACGGGAGTGTGCAAGCTGTTGTTCGATATCTGCAAGATCCTCTTTTCTCCATAGCTTGACTCCCGAGTCATGTAAGTCTGCGGCGCACTGGCTGTTTATTATCCAATGAGAGCGTCTGCAGTCAAGCAGTTAATGGTTCTAGGATCTGGTTTTGTTCATCCTGTGTTGAATGTGACATATTGAGGATATCGTAAATGTTAATTGCAACATATTATTTAACAATACAGGTGTTAGCAACAGCGGAGACAATTCATTCTGGCGTTTTAAAGTCAGTCGGGCGTCGTTATAAACAGTGTCCGGCGCTAACTGGCCTGAACCTAGGGAGGAATGCAGGTAGCATTTTGGGGAATTCATATCCCTAGAGACTTTAAGGGGTAGTTAACTTAGTCAAATCAAATTTTGTGATTATTATGCGTTGGCGGTACAGGGGACATCTAGGAGATGTAACTAACATACATATTTTGAATGTTTGTTGTCATGTTGCCTTGAGATGCGCCGCCCTCACAGGATTTAGTATTTCGCCATCGGGTGGAGTTACCCCACTCTAAGCGCTCCCATCATAAATACATACCATGGAGACATACCCACTAGATAACAAGGATCCTTCTGAGTCCTGTGATTGGCTGATGTCAGGTTATAAGCTTAGAGGTTAGTTAGTGGCTATTGCGGAGATCGACCTCGGGAATGCCGTCCCGTCTCCAAAATCGGTGGATCAATCTATGGTTCATACGGATGAACGCTCGAACTGTAGTATGCATCTTGCGTATAAGGAAATAGAGAATGCGGCGTCGGGGAGGCAACTGCACTGACATATGCCTGGGAATTCCGTGGTAAGTTGAGGTAATTCCAGAGAGCAGTCTTCGTCTTCCCTGTTGGTTTGATCACGGAGACGGTCTGGTCTGGTGAGGGGAGGTCGTGCTGGTCCTTGTGATGGCCTAGATTGGAATTCTCTGCTAAGAGCCAAGTTGTTCTACTACTGTGGGCGCTAGTTTACAACGTGGGCCTCTCCATTCTTTGTCCCGAGCATCGTCCCTCTTGGTCTTTGGATATGGAAAAGAAGAGAAGCGAAGCCAATAAAGATAAAAATACAACCGAAGGAAGGCTAAAGAGGGTATGTAAGAATATGGGATATGAACAAAGGGCGAACGACAATATGGTTATGGAAAGCTCAGAGCGACGCCTAAACAATAAATCAAAGAAAATCTATTCCACTCTTCATCTTGCTAGACGGATTGTTTCTTGCCCTCCTTTAACCTATTGTATAACGAAAATCAAAAGGTAAAAAAGATTTCCGGAAAAAAAGAATCATTAAGTCTTTTGTTTAAGACTTATTTGTGTACTGTACCTAAGCTCTAGCTTCAAGGTGAGTGAATGATATGGTATAGGAGAAAGTTCCGCGCTGCAAGCTAGAAAATTCCATCACTTCACTTCTTCAGCCAAATTGCGAACATTATGATATGAAGATGAATTTATCACCAGCGCATGGATACCATGTATTATCGTGAAGCCCTCGATAGTAGGGGTGGAGCAAATAGTGAAGAGTCTGTCCGTCGACGTTCGTCTTTGAGTGAGAGAAGTGTCTGGAGTGGAGCAAAGAAATTCAGCAAAGTTAGTTAGATGGAAATATTGGCAATCCAGAGCAGCGCATATCTATCACCCACCGAAGCGGAGAACATCATTTCCACAACTGCATATCCCAGCACCACTTTATTTTTCAGATGGTTGACTTTTGCATCCAACGCCGCAGCATCTTGCATTCCTGCAGAGGTAGCCGGCATCCAGACCTCGGGGGCAGAAGCGTAGATTCGTATTGATATGATAGAAAAGACAAGGCATCTGGTTATGGCGAGGAGGATGCATATGTGCGTAAAGAGGGAGGTGAAGACCCGGATCATCTTATTAGCCGCTGCGGACATGGTGGGGGAATTTCCATTGGAATCGAAGAGACGGCTTATTATCAAAATCATTTGATTTATTAAGGGGAGTTTGATGGCTAGGACTAGGTCGAAGAGGGCGAATGTTAATAGGATAACACCGCAGTAGGCGAGCGGAGAGTGCGGGCGTGTGAATGTCGGTGTCGCATCCTGAGGCATCCGGAGATGTAAGCGGAGAGGATCGGAGAACGAGTGTGAAACTTTATTTGAGGCGGAATGAAGTGAAAGGGATCGGTGAATGTGATCATGTCGGGTTGAGGGTTACGGAAACTGAAACTGAAACAAATAGTTAGGAACTTACGATCCGGATAACATTGTTGACGTTGTATTCCAGGTCCCAGTCTGAAATAATTTCCTGGCAGTTGGTGAGGTAAACAGCCAGGGCAAACTGGAAGAGAGCATGCAGCTTGATGTAGCTTTTCGACGACAACCGGCCCATGATGAGCCCGTAGCCCTTTGGAAGAGATAAATTCCCGCAGTATCTTTAAGTACCTGGGGGAAGCTGAAGCACCATGTCGCTCACTCCGTGTTGTGTTTGGGATATCGTCTTCGAATTTGAATGCCGCAGATTTGATTCTTTGAGATAAGGGGACTTGCTGACTGATTGGTGCTGACTAATGAGTTATGTCATGTCCGATGGTTCCCTAACTCAACTAGTTGACTAGTTAGTTTAACCAACAAACATTTTCCTTTTCTGTTACTTGAAATCTGATGGCATATGTTCCATATTGCTGTTTATGATTTATGTTTCGAAATAGGATATCTCGTGGCATAGACGATATCCAATGCTTTGCTGATAGAGTTGTTGTGATTTTATTCACCATCTTTTCGTACCAAGGCGTTTAGATCTGCCATTTCTTTGTCGAGGCCGTTTAACCCCTCCATCACAGCCATGACAAACCCCGCTGAATCCGCTGTGCTACGGAAGGATCGCCAAGTCAAATACTTTATTCGCTGCCTCAAAACTTTTCTCCCACATCAGTATACCTCCAATGACTCAAGTCGAATGACCTTGGCTTTTTTCACGATTGCTGGGCTTGATCTCCTTGGCTCCTTGGATGACAACCTCCAGCCATCAGAGCGCAAAGGCTATATCGATTGGATCTACCATTGCCAGGTTCCGTCTGGTGGCTTTCGGGGATTTCCAGGGACGATATTTGGAGATTCGAAGAGGAACCCTTCCAATGAATGCTGGGACCCAGCAAATGTGCCTGCCACGTTCTTTGCGCTCATGACTCTAATTTTATTGGGTGATGACCTGCGTCGTGTCAAACGGAGAGAATGTCTACAGTGGCTATGCAGTATGCAGCGCGAAGACGGGAGTTTTGGAGAAGTATTAGCAACCGAAGGAAAATTTGAAGGAAGCAGTGATTTGAGATTTTGCTGCTGTGCAGCTGGTATACGCTATATACTACGGGGACAAGATGCGGATTATCTTAGAGATATTGAAGATATCGATGTAAACAGTCTGATCTCTCATATTGAGGCCTGTCAGGTAAGTAACAGTGAGTATCACACAAGAATGTATAAAACGGAATAGCTAACAGAAATGGAAATAAAAGTCATTTGATGGGGGGTTTTCAGTGTCACCGTTGAACGAATCGCATGGTACGCATGTTTACGCTCTACCAGTATGATAATCAGCCTCCCAGCTTACATTGTAGTAGCTGGCTTAACGTACTGTGCCCTTGCGTCGCTGTCATTTCTCGGATGCACACCTCCTTCTGCCCCCCATGCAGTCCCCGTTGTTGTCCCCGGAACGGCAAACTTCGAGAATTTAATTCGCTGGCTGGCCTGGCGACAGACAACGGAATTCGAAGAGACTGACGAAAGCGATAATGAAGATGAGAGGGGGAGAGAGCGAGAGAGACTCAACTTCGACGAGTTGAAAGAATCCGATTGTCGATCGATTGATGAGAAAATATCCTCCCTACCTGTTCTATCCACGGCGGCGGAGCGGCCAGAGGAAGATCTCCTCTGGGCTGGATTTAATGGTAGATCAAACAAACTTGTCGATACATGTTACTCCTTCTGGGTAACAGGTACACTAAGTGTAAATACCCACCCCGCTCTTATGAAGAAACAATGTTCACAAGAGACTGATCTCTGTTCTTTAGATATTGGATCGTCTCAACGTAGTAAATGTAGACACAAACCGTCGCTATCTGCTTGAGAAAACGCAGCACCTAATAGGTGGCTTTGCAAAATGTGCCGGTGACCCACCAGGTGGGTTCCTTACTCCTTACCCCAAAGATTTTGGCCTTTTCAGTTGGTCGTGAAGTTTAATGATTGACGCCTGTATAGATCTCCTCCACTCATACCTTGGGTTGGCGAGTTTTGGCCTCTTTGGTGAAGCCGGCATTGCCACTGTTGATCCAACGTTCTGTACTAGCAAACGAGCGCGCCACCATCTGGAGTCTCTGCCCTGGTGGACAGGTTCTAAACCACAATCATAGGAAATGGGGAAAGGCACTTTGTTGTCAAGTTGCTAGAACTTTGTTTTCAGGTCGTTAACTGCACGCATTTACGTGCTAGAATTATCGTTACTTCAGGACAGCGTTTTAGGGTTGGGGCTGGAAATATTGCCCCTCGACCAGATGGGGGAAGCAAGGACCCGAATCTTGACTCTTCATATAAAAGACGATACCCATGATGGCTAGTATTTTCTCCATTTATCCTGGAATAATCCCTTGGGTTCTCTGATAGTCGAGTGGCATGAATGAATCTAGTGATGGATACCATTCTAGATGATCCTAGCCTGAGAGGCGCGATGCGTGAACTAACCACCCTTGTTCTCTTAAACACACCCTTGGGTGCGCAGTGAGCCCTGGGTGAAATATTCATGATTTCTTATCTCCTATATTATGCGCTGGGTGAACTACCTGATCATCACAGTTCTCGATTCACAACTATCTTTCCGGAAATGTCTTGCCCTGCAAGCAACCTGATTGTCAAATTGTTATGCAGGTACCATTTCGATCCGAGGGCTTTCACTTCAGTGGATTTGTTGACCCTCAATTCATACTTATATAGAGATATTCCTATGTAGACTTCCTGGTTTGATAATAATGCAGATAGTGGGAAATGGCAATTAACTACTAATATCTAGCCTGCTGCATATATCTGCGGCAACTACGGTATCCATACTACTAGAACACAATCCCAAATAGACTCTGAGAAAACTTGGAAGCGGTACATACACTATCCAGTCATCCATTGTTACATACCGATTTGGTTCCTCAAACCCAACCATATCTTCTTCTGATGGAGGCTTTATCATCCACTCATCTTGGATGAGCTTGTACAGTTGGCCCTCACTTCCAGATCCCAAGTTAGTATCTTCCGTATGAACTTGAGAAAACTGGTCTTTTTCCTCGCCAGGTGGGATTGTGTAGACGAAGTCCTCGAAAGAGGTTTTGGGGATGTGGGGTTCGGACGCCCTGTCGCGTGCCTATGTGGAGACTTGGATAAGCTTCTTTCATGTAGCCTAAAAATAAAGGCAGACTTTCCAGTCCTTCCTGATTTCGGGCAAATGCGACTGGTAGATGGGCAGACTAAACGGAATTGGTGGATGTCTGACTTAAATGGAGCCCCAGAGCTTCAGAAGTCTTGGGTGGGTATATCCTGTTGAGTGGTCCATTGGTGTCATGGTAAATTTCTAGGAGACAGGTAAATACTAGTAGACGTGAATCACGTTCACCCTGTAATAGTATGTCTAACTCAAGGCCAAAACAATCACACACTTAAGTTCACGGAAGGGAAACATTTATTTGACCCCATTGATCTGGTTAATATGCGCTTCCGTTGGCACTGGCTTAACATGTATTGGATATCTGAATCTTCCACCGTTGGAGATGATTCGCAAAAGCCTCATCTTTTCGACGTATTTTGATGAACTGGGTAACTGGGAGGCCTGAAAGCTCCAGCTTAGTTTTCCAGAGACCTGTACACGGGAGCCGCTCCATCAGTCGTGATGACAGGGTCGCTAGGATCCCGCGGCTCTTGGTCCTTAATGTCCTTGAGGCTGTTATCACCCTCGAGTTGCATCAGAACATTCTGAGGTGACATGTCTGCTCCAAGTATGGTAGTGGGTAGATGCAAAAGGTTTCGCCATCTCGTTTCAACCTACCAACATGGATGACACCGCAGCTCGAATGAAATAGTTGGAGGAAAACCACAAGCGGTGTATGATGGATTTCACAAGAAGCTTGGGCAGGATGGCATTTTGGAGATGTCTCCTGTAACACACGAATACTCTGGCTTTGGGGTTTTGAGAAGATGCAGTAGTGTCGGCCATAAAGGGAAGCTCCATCGACTTCAAAGATATCGTCTCATGACGCGTAAAGCCCAACTGCCGGGAGGTTGTATTGATCCCCGTCTCAGCAAAAACTCTTTAAACGCCGCAAGCGTATTAGTCTCGTTACGAATTGGGGAAGATTCGGCATCATGGCTAACGCACTCATTGAGTTAAGGGTACTGCTTTGCCATATAGAGTGGGTGAATACTAGTATTCCTGACAATCTTTCTCAGGAGCAGATGGGATCTGCGAACATCTGATCCCATGCAAGTGAGACGGTGGAATACGCACCATATCCAAGCTTTGCAATAACCAGGTACTGGTGGTCTTTAAACTCATCGCCGATTTTGGCGGGATAGTAATGCCTTTCGTGACACCGGGGCAAGCTCTGTTCTTCAATTGCTTCTCCTACAGCCATCGCATGGTTTGGTCAACAAAACGTCTGAAGCACTTGCAGGGAAACATGGTCGTTTGAATCGCCATAATGATCCCAGCGAGAAAGACGCTTTTGATTGGGGAGGTCTCCCCCGAAACATAACATCACCCCCTTCTGTTCTATATCGTTTGTCGTCGTCGTGTTTTTGGGGACATGGTTTTCAACTTGGCTGGTTAGCCGCCGCCAAGCCTGTGTGGTAACTTTCATCTGCTTAGGCCTAACCAACCTTGGGACTGAGCTAATGAACTGGGCTTTTTTTTTTATTAGTTGGTTTTTAACCTGTTTGCTTCCTGCTTTTGGCTTGTGGCTTAGTTTGGATACGGTGTTATCAATTGTGCTCTGATTTTGCTTTACTTGTGAAGTGTTGGTCTTAAGGTTGTTTGTTTTGCATAACCGCACCGGCTGTTGGATATATACGGATTATTTATTTAACAACATATGAGCAACATTTTGATTGCAAATAAACCTGCCTCCTCTTCTCACAACTGACCCTTGATGGACGTGTCTTGAATCGAATCGCCCCCATCCCCACTGATTCTCCAGACAACAAGCAACTGGATGATCAACTTGGGTTTGCGCTAAGAGAAGCCAGGCTGAAGGATTGGCATCGACTATCACTCGATCGTCAGTGATTGGATATCCGACCTTTGGACTTTGTTCACCCCCTTTCCCAAAATGGGATGTACTGTCAAATTTTGAATTTTGAGGCGCTTGAGACTCGCACCAACCATGGATTGTGGCATTATGCGAGAACCCTTCAAATAAGATGAAGAACAAAGCTCTGCAGATTTCAAAGGCATTACAGTCGCAATGGGAAGTTCGACACTTCCATTCCTTGGTAGAACAGATGAGGAACAAAAATGACTGTGACCTCACGTTTCCAATTTCGAGTTCAAAGATCATGCTGTACTTTTTCAGCATCTAGCTTAACATGGTTCATTTCAAAATGGGCCCTCGTATATCATGGCCTGGGACTGGCTGTTCCCCCCTGCGAATGGGCCCGACATATTGTCATGATGTATCTTTCTGTGTCGGCGGATCGGCGGGCCGTTCTGTTTTTCACAAATTGAAATCTGGACCCCTCGTATTGAATCCTCGCCGTATGTCCATCTCTTTTGATTTCCCACCCAATTGCAGTGAGATTTACAACCACAGTGGAAGGGCAAGGGAGTGAGGCTCTTAATGGCGTGTTTGGAATGAAAGTTAGCATGTCTCTCCGCCCAGATCCTTAAATATGGGCCTCAGCCGCTCTCCTTTGCTTGAGAGATTTATTACTCCCTTTTCCAAGGTTGTTTCCTGAGAATTGAATCTCCGCCGGACCCCCTTTCGCTCCCTTCTTGCAGTCTCTTTTAACAGTCGCTCTTTCGCTCCTTTGATATACATAATTTAATATTGATACCCATTCACTCTCGTTCTTAGTTCATACCACAATTAAAAATGCATATCTCATCCATTGTGCTGTTTGCCGGCGCTGTTTCGGCAGCTCTTGTGCAGCCCAGCCACAACATGGCTGCCATGGCTCTTCAAAAGCTGCAGAGCCGACAATTGAACCTCTGCAAGCCCATCAGGCGACCATATAGCTGCGCGAAGTCTTGTGGCGAAGGCTATGAGGAATGCGGAAGTTTCCCTCATTGTTATAACCCTACCGTAGGCGAATCATGCTGCACAAACGGAAGTAAGCACATTCATCCCTGCACAATAAGCCTTCTCTCCGTCTTCAGCATCGGGGCGCTGAATTCCCAAAACTAACGTACCGTTTGCGCTGGACAGAATACTGCCCCAAAGGGACCTTCTGTACAGATTCCGGTTGTTGTCCCGAGGGCAGCTCTCTTGCAGATTGCAATGCTACTGAAAGTCTGACCGCTCCTCCCACCACGAGCCCGACAACTCCGGCTGGGGATGACAACGATGTCTCATCCAGCTCGTCCACTACTTCTGATGCTTTCAGCCTCCCCACCCCGACTCTCCCATCATTCACTCTGCCAGGTGGCTCCGAAGCCACCGCAACAGAGCCCCTTACAAATCCTACCGGTGCGGCTAACAAGCTCGGAGGGCAAGCTGTGTTAATTGGTGCGGGTCTTGGGCTGTTGGCAGTCCTTTAAATTTGATTAACTGAGAGTAACGAATGAGAGGATTGTCCGCTTAATATGGAGCTATTGGCTTGCCCTTCGCGGTCTTTGTGTATGGTACTCTTGTTCTGTTTATCGAATTCAAGTTGAGTTGATATAAGGTTTAAAAGGATGTTGAATGTTTTCATTCTATATTGACTTCATAATGTCGGAGAAGCTTGGCTATTTATATGTCTAGTGATATTTTCATGTACACTTTTTTTTCTGAGATATATTACGCATACATTTTTCATTGAATGAGATGCATATTGTGTTTCTTTTCTTGTTATTTAACATGCTTATCACTTCTACTTCTGAGTGATTATGCATTTCAGGTTTCAATGTTGGATGCAACTGAGCAACTAAGCAACTAAGCAATACGCTGTAAGTAGCTGACACAAACAGCCCTTTCTATTGCATGAAAATGAAGCCTGTTCATATGGCTCTTCAGTACATCAAATACACAGTCTTCACTTTGATATTTAGTGATGTAATTGAATAATAAATATCACGAAACAATAATCTGTTGCAGAGAAAGCTACGGCACAGCAACTACATATTAGCTCTTTACTTCTTGGTGACCCCTGATAAGAAACATATCGAGTCTGTTTCACATATTCTTTTCTTCATTCTGGGTGACAAATATGATGGGATCTGGGGACTGCTCAACTCCCTGAACAGGGTTCCTCCAAAGAGAGCATCAGGAAAACTATCTTTGAATGGCTGGAAGCAATGTTGGAGTTGTTCCGAAGGCATCTAGGACATTTCTCAGGGGGTTCCTTGAAGTCTGTCAGTTGTCCATGTGATGAACGCGGCAAAGCTTGGAACCAGTGCAAGGGTAATCATAAATAATGGTACCATATCAGCCACCATTCAAAAACCCACCATTCAACCGCCATTCAACCTCCATTCAACCATTGTACCACAGGCAGATATCCACAGTTTGTCAAAGTTTGAGACCTTTAACTTCAAGAGCGCCGTAAATTTTAAGCCTTTCCCTTTGTATGAGGAGGTTTCCCTGTTGAAAATTTAGGGCTGCTCTTTTCGCTTCCTAGAAATCCTGAACTCATGATGATGGGCGCTGGAATCTGTGAAAGCCGCTGATATCACTGCCTTGTACGCAGCAGCTGAGAGTTCGAAATAGCAGCCTCTCGGTTTCCCCTGTTCTCACGGTAGGTGAATTTCTAGTTACATCTGCTTCGTTGGCAAAACCCAGTTTACAATTTTAATCTTTCCATCTTCCAATCGGTCAATGATACCCCATTTATTTAATGCTAGATGCGTGTTTGTGTTGGGTCCCCAACAAGTATAGTAGTAGGCCTATAAGAATCTACAGCCACATGTTCAAACCACTTAAATACCTGTATGATAAGTACACATTCTTAATGTCCTCACAGTTGTAGATCGGGATCAAAATTCACGCCGAAGCCATAACTATCATTCCAGAGCCAAGAAACCTCGCCAGCTAGCTTAGTATATCTATCTGCCTGAGAAACCTCAATCTTACTAGCTAAGAAAGATGAATACCAAATATTTGTATTGAATAAGTGGCTTCGTTGGAGTTTGGGTTGTACTTTTACATTGCTCATTGCCGTAGTGGCTTGTAGGGGCCTTTTTTTTTTTTTTTTTCTCTCAGGGTCCAGGGCTGACCTTGCGCGTTTCAGTCGAATTTATCTGCCCGCGACTACGTCAAACTCCAGACGTCCGCCTTATCAACCAACCACCGACAACCATCGCAGTTTTATCACGCCGCAAATCCATCCGTTGATGCCCTCTATCGTCATACACCACCTTAAGGACTAATATATGATCCCTGTTATTACATGGCAGACCTGCGGTAGCTTGGCCATCCGCAAGCAAGGAGGAGAGGAACGCGAGGGGCAGCTTCAGATATTTCTCGTGCCCATTCTTCACACATGCCGGCCAACAAGTCGAAGCTTGAGTCCCAGCTTCATAAGGATAAGGTGCGTGGTGCTTGGATTGATTTCTATGGTTATGTTATTCTTGTCTGTTTTGGAATCACGGTTTGACTGACATCCTTTCCCGGTGTCGCATAGCTTGTCCATTCTTACCAAGAGTTACTAGAGTGGGTTTCCTCCTTTATGCCTTGTCCCGTATAAACCGTTTTTGGAGTCCCATATCTCTATATTCCACGAAACACGCATTTATATTGACTTTGTACTGTTCGTCTTTATAGAGAATTCTCCTCGAAGGATGTACGGAATGTCGGAAACTACAACCTCGGGAAGCTAATTGGCAAAGGGTCCTTTGGAAAGGTCTATCTCGCGACTCACAAACTCACCAATGGCTCCAAGGTACTGCGAATACCACGTCTATGCCCCTGAGTGACAATGTTCGGGTTTGAGAAACTAATATATGAGATGGTTCAAACGATGTAGGTCGTCCTGAAGTCATCAAATCGAGAAGACGCAAACCTTGCGCGAGAAATCCACCATCATCGCCAATTCATTCATCCCCATATTGCTCGACTGTACGAGGTTATCGTGACGGAGAAACTTGTTTGGCTGGCTTTGGAATACTGCCCCGGTGATGAATTGTACAATTATCTTATTCGCAATGGGCCGATGCCTCTTGAGAAGGTCCAGCGCATATTCGCCCAGCTGGTCGGGGCTGTTAGTTACGTCCACAGCAAGTCTTGTGTACATCGTGATCTGAAACTGGAAAACATTCTGCTTGATAAGCACGAGAATGTCAAGTTGTGTGACTTCGGTTTCACCAGGGAGTATGAGGGAAAGGCTAGTTATCTACAGACATTTTGCGGGACCGTCTGTTACAGCGCTCCTGAAATGCTCAAAGGCGAAAAGTATGCTGGTGAAAAGGTTGACGTATGGAGTTTGGGCATCATTCTGTTCGCGCTTATTGCTGGGGAACTACCCTACGATGACGATGATGACCAGGTTACGAAAACCCGGATTTTAACGGGAGAACCCACGTATAATGATCGGTTTCCCGAGGATGCAAAATCGCTGATCAGTCAGTTACTATCGAAACGTCCACTTCTCCGGCCCACATTGTGCGAGGTGTTGAATCATACATTTCTCGCAGAGCATGCCCCACAGCAACAGGCCATTCTGAAATTGGCACGACCTCCTCCATTCTCGACACCTCTGGAGAAGACGACGCTGGAGAGGATGAGGAGTGCTGGTGTCAATATAGATCAGGTCATAGAGAGCGTTCTTGCGCAGCGTTGTGATACCCTGGCAGGCTGGTGGGCACTTCTAATCGAGAAGGAGGAACGGAAGGAGAAGAGAAGAGAACGAAAACGTCGAGAGAGGGAGGCTGAATCCAAGAATTTACGCCGACTGAGCGCAGCTAGTAGCCGCCTAGAACGGATATCCGCTGCTCTTGTCGAGGTTGATGAGGAGGAAGGCCACTCGACGGAGCCACTGAGAAGCAGGGGAAGGAGAGATAGGAGAAGCATCACAACGCGTGAGTGTACGTTACTTGCCGTCTGTCCTGTCATCATCTGAACAGTCATTGATAATATCACATATGCAGCTCAAATCGTAGTTCCGGACCTTCCTAAGCTTCCGGAAACCGCCATTGCCTCGTCCCCTGCCTCTATTCTCCCGCCCCCACCAATAGAGAAGGATTCGTTAGTCCGATCTTCTAGTTCATCCCGCCACCGACCGACTCCCCCACCAAAAGAAGAGAATCGAAGATCCCGTGCAAGTACACTTCACCTCAGTGCATCTCAGCCTGATTTGTCACATCCCCATGGTATTTTGAGACGGCATGGCACACGGCGTAGACAGCATCCCATCATCAGCCAGCTTGCATCGATCAAGCACTGGTTGATCGAATCAACAAAGCGTGCCAAGTCACCACATTCGAAGGCGTTCTCTCATGCACCGTCGCTCAAGTTTCTTACAGACAAATCCATTCCGCCTAAGAATAAGGAGCCAGCGACCAAACAAGCCCAAACAAGCCCTACGAATGACACCTTTACCGGCGCCCAACAAACACCAGTGCGGGTGAAACGCTCATCTACAGCAAGCAGCCTTACGCCCAGCAATGCATCTTATCGTGGCGCTGCTCGTTCAGGTTCAGGCTCCCTTTCTCATCAACCCCAACCAATTAGCACCTCAAATGTGTCACATCACCGCAATTCCTTATCACCTTCGCCTCTCACCCCTCGCAACTCGTACCGTCGTTTATCTGGTTTACATGGGAGAAAGTCCACTTCATCGTCCGTCTCATCAATCCGGAGTATTCATCATGCTCATTCGCATTCGAAAACATCTTCCGTCTCCTCTAACAGTATTAATACAACATCAACACCGGCAGCCACTACAAAACAAACAGTCACTCGATCTCCCCACTCCTCCGTTAAAGTTTTAGCCGCCGCTCCAAGCTCCAGCACCCCCTTCCCAAGTAATATCCGAATTGTCCGAGGTGCTGGACCTTCATCTGCTCCCCACCCGGGTCATGGAGCAATCTACAATGCCTACAACGAAGCCGCTCCCAGTTGCCTCCTTTCCTCGCCACCATCAGGTCTTGTTTTCGCCCGCCGAAAAAGATCACCGTTCAAAGGCCCCTTTGTTGCTACTTCTGCCTTTCCGCTCTCAAGCGGTCCCGGAACACCGGGGTTGGCAAAGTCGAGGGAAGGAGTGATTGGTGCGAGCTCTGGAGCTGAAGCCGCAGGATCAGGAGCAAGAAAAAGCCAAAATTATTATGGAAGAAGAGGACGAAGCAGTGTTAGATTGTGACGATGAAGATATCGAGGAGGTAGATACCTTCAGTACCTGCGACGAGACAGCGCTGATCTTCCGCGATGCTGGAAGTTTCACCGACGATACCCCTACTATTAACACTGATCCGGGACCAATCTCCCCGTCCGATTTAGATCCAAGGGAATCGCTTGATTTCGCACGGACACGAACCCCATGTGGACAGTCTCTCGAAGAGCCACAGCTACTTCCCGACGCTGATATTCAGGAGTCGGCATGCCCACCGTTCCACCCCGCAGGACAGCCAGTTGGGCCAGAAACACCACATTCTCCACGTTCCTTGTCGCTAGATGAGAATCCCGAGTCTCCAAACCCTCCCCATAGCGATGACGCCTCGCTCTCCGCAGCACCTGATCAGTCAGCTCGCGTTGCGGACGACCCGACTACACCAGAATCCACTAGTCTTTCGCACTCGAAGGCAACCGTTGCGGACGAATGACTCAGATTTGGTCTGGTACATATATGTATTTCATGTCATCGGAAACCACAGACTCCGGGGATTAACGGGATAGTCCCCCACTCCTAGGAGGAGAAAAGCCACGTATTTCTCCTGGACAATTGCTTGCCGACTAAATATTTCTTCGTATTGCAACTGGTAGTATTTAATTTTTTGTTCTTTCTTGGAGTTTTCTTCTTCTTCTTCTTCTTCTTTGGAATATATTAATTTATCATACCCACTTTATTGCCTTTTACATTTTGTCACCCTTTCCACCTTTCTCTTATGCGGTCCTATTGTAATATATCACCAATTTGGCCTCGGCTGAAATTGTGATTTCGTATGCTGGAGCCGCTTTTCTATTTCCCCCATTTTACTACCCATCTCGTTTGATTTGTCTATATTCCCTAGAAATAAATTCTCTACATAATACAGCTGTTTTTGCTACATTATTTTGTATTATTCACTATTCACATTTTTGAATTTTTGATGTGGAGTATTAGTGGAGTCCCTATCCCCGTTTTACATATTTTCTCGACCCTTTTTTTCCCTCACGATTTGTTTGTTTAACCTTACCACATTTGTGAAACTTCATTATTCATCTAGATTCCCAATTATACTCTTCCATCCTGTCATATTATATTTTATTTCTTGCCTGTAGATCACTAATTCCCATTCCTCTTGTTTCTGATTGATGGATGTATTCTCACTCTGAAAGATAACAAGCTAATTTTAACTTCGTTTTCGACCTTTGGCAATGAGTTTTAATTCTTGGTACTCTCAAAACTGAATTCAATCTGTAATCAATACGTTTTCATTCTGTGATTTGATGCTCCATTTAAAAGGCGGCGAAAGTACAAGGGGATCAATGTCTTATATTACCTGGGTACAATACAGAAGAGCCATGTTGCAAGACTCTTCGCTGCCAAAGCTAAACTGGCTCACTGACATCTAAATATATATTAGTGACACGGTAAGTCGGAGAAAAATGACAAGTCAATCTATCATATTATCTCAATCTTCAATTCCCTCAGGTGTATTTAATCCTGTTTGGTCTGCACCTCCCCAGATCTCACTGTGACTTGTCTTTTCTTCTAATATATTTAAACATCTTTTTATGGCTTCCTCCCCTGCACTAACTAGTATTACCGGGAATTAATTCTTCCTTTGTCCCTTGATGAGTCCATCGAATACGAGCAGCTGCTGAACAGAGAAGCACATGTCCTTTGATGTTAGTCTCTCCCACCTCAATGCACCCTGGAGACCATGATTTAGCATCGTTTATTGCAGCAAGAAGGTCGGACCGCAAAGGTGCTGGACTCAGGCCACTTTCCACTTGCACTTGGGACATGAGAGTTGTTGCCGCCACAAGGTTAGCCTGCATAGTAGCAGTGCCAAAGAATTCAGATCCAGATATCGTGAGTCGTACCAGGTCGTCTTCATCTAGTCGCAGTATAGCATTGTCATGGGGCGGGGTAGGTATGAGTTGCGAGGACGGCCATACTGCACGCCAAATTTTAAGAGACATTTCTATCACTATTTTGTGAGAAAACGTATAAGTGGTTTCGTGCAGTGCGGGAATGAAGAACGGAACGTGGAGAGCCGACATATAACGAATCATGATGAAATCTACTACCTGGATTTGAAATCGGGAGGGAGAGAGGCCTGCTCTTGAGATATGTCTTTGGAGGTTCTGGCACAGTTCTTTATATACTACTGCCCTCAGAGATCCACCAAGGCGAAGTGTTTCCTCATAGGTACCACAGGATCCGAAATTATTCAAGAACTCAGTGATCATCAACCGAATCGGAAATGTCGCACGAAGGTCAAGTGTATCGTCCGGCACCGGCAGGGCATCCCCAACCATTAGTTGATCATCATTGAAAATTACCAGGTGGCTCGGTATCAAAGCTTCAGGATCTCTATGGCAACCGAGTATAGACTGCTGTTCTGAGTAGGGGTCCTGCTGATATCCAGATTAGTATCCCACCTACACCCGCTTTTTGTCGAGCGATTAAAAGCAGAGCATTGGTCTGGAGAGATTGAAGGTTTAATCGTGTCTTGAACTCAGGATCTGAAATGCAAGTTTGAGTTTCGTGGACCCAGCGAACGGCCGAGGCGCGCAGCGAAAACTGCTTATCGTATGTGGCAGCCCCGATCTCAAGAATCAGCTTGAGTTGAACCAGGAATGCCGTATCGGGAGTTAATCCAGCCGCCCACACTGCTTCATAGTCCTTTCTGAATGACGGGGCATGCAGCGTACGATAGACAGTCTCTGTTGTCCGCAGATAACAGGCGACAAGAATATCAGCTACACTCTTTGGGGGTAGTTCAGATGTTGGTGGCGGGGGCCAAGGAGGTGCCCACTGTGCTTTGGTGGCCTTAGCTAAAAGCTTACACCTTTTCATGCTGGAGGATGCCTTGGAGCCATGTTGTATATGCGGCTCGACGATATCTAGAAGATCTCGAAGGAACTATTGCTGCTGTTAAATGACTTGCCTGGAGATAGCAAGTGCATGACTGACCTGCTTAGCTCCGTTGATCCAATGGCTCTGGCCGAATAGACGACTTTTACGTAAAACACTTCGACTAATGGCCCGGGCTTCACCGACCATGCGGCTATCACGATAAACAGACAAAGTTCCAGCTCGTGATGAGGATGTTGTTTCTATGTTTGCGGTCGACACAGAGGTCAAAGGAGGAAAATCAAAAGTCTTCTCAGCTACCTGAGACAACTGTTCTTGAAGTTGTCTAACCTTAGCTCTTAAGAGCTCCAATAAATGCAAGCTTTGTTTTTGGAGCGTGCACAATTACTGCGAGGAGACTCTCGATTACACCGAATCTTGCGTGTTCTGCAAAGAGTGCATGAGCTATACAACTCTCGCTGTTAGGATGAAACACAATAGACTTAGCCAGGTAACTATATACGCACACTGGAGGCCTTCTCCGCCAACGTTCGGGGTCGGTCATAGTTCGCCACTCTACGATCGAGGATTATCCCCTTTTGCCGGAAGATTATCAACCATAGGGTGACCAGGGAGAACTTCCCTATGCCATATTTCGACGGACTCCTACCTTTCACTCTTATTTTTATAAAGAGGAAACTTAAGGAGTTTGAAGGTTATGAAATGTCAGTCTTCCGAATAAGGTCGGCATTTGCGTTTTTGGTCCGTAGTTATGCCTCGCTATTTGCTGAACTTCTTTAACACGCTACTGGCTAGAACCTCGGATTCACTGAATTCAGGGGCTACATACATGGCGGGGAATATAATAATTTAATTCCAGCATATTTTCGTATATAAAGCATTTCATTATCTAAATGATTTTCGTTTAAGATGTCTTACCAGATCGCAGCACGGTGCACCAAGCTCGGAAAGCCCTCCTCTTTCCCCATCTCAACGCGTATTCCTGAGAGAACCATGGCAAGCACAGTAGCAGAAGTTGAGCTGAATAAGGAAAACGGGCAGGGTCCAATATCTATGAGTAAATTCGATGAAGGAGACACCCGAATGGATTAAGGAGAATCACCGAATGGCGGAATACAGGCGTGCCTTGTTGCCACAGGGCCATCCCTCATTTTCCTTTCGACAATTGGATATGCGAATTCGTTTGGCGCCTTCCAAGAATATTATCTGGCCCACCTCCTCAGCATGAAAACCATGTCGCTTGGATTGGATCCCTGTCAGTCCTTTTACAGTTCTCCATGGGAGTAAATCGTAGGCCCATTGTTTGATCGATTCTGTGCATGGGTATGCCTCCCTCGTCCACCGCGATTCGAGCCGTGTAAATGTAGGTTATGGTTCCCTGGCGCAAATCATAATCAGCTAATGAAAGAGTGAAGTAATTGATCTACTTTGAAGATTTGTCTGGGAAGAAAATTGGGAAATGAGCAACTGGTGGAAGAAACAAACAGTTGCAGGGAATAACTGTCTCCTGTCTTCATATTATGTATTGCCAGGTAGCTTAAGCAGACCATGAGTGATAACAATCAAATAACACCATAGTTTCCCGATATTTGAAGACCCAAAAAGGCTCGGACACTCTTGACCGGAGTATCGAGCTTGTCATCCTTTCCCACCCAGAGGTTATAGAGAGATTTGAGCTCCATGGGAGTCGTATTATAAGTTGTTTTGTAGATGTATGGACAAAGTCATAACTAAGGAAAGTATAATATTTTGATGTGTGCCTTCGTGTCCCGCCTACGTTGAGGCAAATTTTTTTTTGGAAGTAATAGAAGCTATGAGGGTAGGTTGACTTGTGGTATTTTGGGCAGCCTAGTCGATGGAAGCAATATTCGCATAATTGCATCGTGAAGAGCCGAGTAGTAGGTCTTTAGAAACACTACATACATACTATACATAGCGTGAGAAAGAGCGAAGGAGATATCTGTAAAATTCTTGCTCTCAAAGAATAACATGCCATATTAAAACAAGCATTACAGAATATCTTTGTTCAAAACAAATTATCCACTCTAGCAAGAAGGTGTGAGAGCACGATCATGGCGATGCTCTGGCGGCTGGAAAATATTATATATTTTATATATTATCACTTTTGCGATGACGTTAAAACAGAAGTTGGTCTGTGACCAGACTATGCTAATCATAGTTAGTCTACCCGTAGTTGTGGGGCATGGGTACATTTATGCTTAAACTTTATTAAGATGACGTCATTATATAATGATTTACTCTCTCAACAGCAGCGCCCAATATTGCCTGTTGAAACCTTCATAACCGTCTCTTAGAATTTGATTGCGATTTAATTCTAACAAGTTTCACTATCCACCCTTCATCTATTAGACAACATGAGTCTGATACGATTTGCTCAGCATTTTCTACCTTCGATTTCTGAGGACCATATATCCAATGAGAGCCAATATGGCGGAATCCGAATGTCTTTCCCAACGTTTTTCATGCTCTCTAGCTAAAAAAAATTTCATACGGAAGGAGAAAATTAGAAAAGTATTCAAAAGGCTGAGGTTCGAGAGAGTCCTTTCCCGTTTCTGCTTTCGTTTTCCTCAGGTCCTGCCTTGCGCTCTGAATGATCACTTTTCTCAGCATTCATCAGCTCTCATCTTAACACGCGTGTCACAATACAGCAGAAGCTAATACTATGGCACCTTTATAGTAGCTACTTCGGCCGCATTGTGGAGGAAAAGATGGAGGAGAAGAGGCAAGAGGCTAGACTGGACGGTGAGCTACTTGAAGAACCCAGGAACTATATCAAGGCCGTGGTCTAACTTACAGAGAAGTGGAGGCGAGACTGATCAAAGACTGGTGGATGGACGAGGTCAACAAAGACTCCAAATTCAGAATCTGACGCTTCGTCACTACCCTGATGTACTATGGAAACATTCACGTTTCCTGCCGGAGACTCGTGTTTGCGGAAAATTTAGCACTTTGCTCAGCAGCTTCTTGTATGTCTCGAGATGAAATCTTTGACGCCTAATAATTTATTTTTAGTGTCACTGCTAACCGTGAGGTGCCATTAGCGTTGTGGTATATTCCCCCCCCCCATTTTCAAGACATCACATTCGGTTTCACGGCTTTGAATGACCCACTGCGTATCTGACACCATATGACATAGAGAAAACGAAAAGAAATCTTGAGTGAGTGTGATACATTAATACATATTTTCGCATTTTTTAATTGTGGCAAAATAGAGCTAATGGTAACTCAAACAAAGCTCAGATAAACGATATCTTGAAACACGTCAAGTTCAAATTGATTGTTACACTTGAAATCTCAATAATCAACTCCATCGACACCATGTCAACAGGGACACGAGGAAGGATAACGAAAGAGCAAGCGACTGTTAAACCTGAGGCCTCTTGAGATGACAGCTCTTGTGAATCAGGTGCCTTGAAAAAATGAGAAGTAATATGTGAGACGGAAGTTTGGCATCTTGCTTCAGAAGTTATGCAGATTTTGTATTATTGACAAGATGTCATCATTTGAGATGGATGAGAGCTGAAATAGAAATTTTGTGACTATTCAACATCCACTGATTGAAGTTTTAGAGGTAGCTAGTTACATAATTTATGAATTGAAACCTTTGCTGTTTCAGCGAGAGCTCATCAGCCAACTGAAACAGACAACTCTCATGTTTGATGTTTTCTTTAACATGAAGCTGGAGGAGGCGAGCTAGGTTAGATTTACCACGGGCATGGTTGATACGGATATGGACAACTCCCACCGCAAGCAGGAGTTCTCACAAAGCTTACGCTGTTGCATGACGAGATATCCTTGTAGAAAAGGGTTCATTTGACTCTGCCCCTGTGCGAATGGAATGCCCTGACCCTTTCTGAGCATCTTCCCGACGAGCTTCCTGAGAAATTTGTGGTGCTAGAGCCGGGGAATCACTGAGCTTAGAGGTTAACTCTTGGGGAGAGGAAATGGAATCGGTAGCTCTAATATCTCAATAATCTAACAAAACATGATCGCATAATTTGCAACAGTCACCAACAAAAGATACAAAAACATCGAAAATCCCATTGAGCAGGGACAAGGAACTATCAATTGACCGGCAGTTGAGGACGTAGTATATACTCAGCGACTACAAGCGTTCGACGTAAAGGACATGCAGGGCGGGATAATCCATATCTTGTTGATTGTGGTCAGCAGCAGAATGCTTGAGAGAGCATCTGAGGCTTCGCAGGGCTCGTCGGGAGCCAGGCGAAGCCGTGTAGCAGCAGATATGTGATATTATCAGAGACGCCAGGAAAGGGCCAGCTTGCCTGACTCAAAATAGATGATGCAGAAGCCCAGAATGCAGACATTGAGAGCGATGTCTTAGTAAGGCCTATTAAAGTTCCCAAACATTTAACTCGGGAATCATCAATCCAGCTCTGAATCTCTTTAGGCGAAAAAATGAAGAAGACGAGCCCATCAATACCTCGGATCCTTGTCGGTGTAGGCGTATACTACTGTGAATTTGAAGAGCAGTTCGTGCTTTACGATAAGCAGGGGAGTGGCAGCAAAATTGACCCAGAAAATGAGAGCAAACAGACATTGTGGAAGACTGGGGAGGGGGCCTCAGGGGCAACTAACTTATCCATTCCAGAGAGAATCTGATCTCTAGAAGATAACTAATACATACATACATGCATGCATGCTGATTTCATGTTAGCCACCCAGTTATCTCTCAAATATGCTGTGTCCTAACATTCTGATAATCCCGAAATCTTTAGTATCCTTGTCTAATACTCGAAAGATCTTTGATCTGCCTTCCCTCGGAATCGAAATTGTCAGCACTCAGCCACCCCTGAAAACCTCCTCTAACCTTTCCCTCCCACTCCCTATCGACAATAGAAAACCATGAAGAATCCCGATTCCGTCCCTTCACAATCATATGCTGTCTGAACAAACCCTCAACACAAACCCCAACCTTTCCGCTGCCCGTTTTGACGGTTCATTCAAATCACTACACTTCCACTCACACCTGCGAAAATTCAACTCTTCAAACACCCATTTAAGCAAAAGATACATGGTTTCTGTTGCTGGTGTGGTACGCTGTAGTTCGCGTGAAAAGGTAACGAAGCCAATTTCCACCACACGATTCTTGACATCGATGCGGGGAAGGCTTAGGAATCCAGTTACCCTGCCACTATCACGATTGCCGTTGGAAGTGCGATCAACGATGCTGAAGAACAGAGGGTCCTCTGACTCAGCCTTTTGTGAAATAAAACTGTTGAATTCTTTCTTCGAGGCGAAGGGGCCATCAGCCATGTAGTCCCATATTCTCAAGTTTTCGCTTCCGCCGAGGCAGGAGAATAAATCATCGGAATGTGCCGTGCTGAGGGGTTCTAGCGTAACAGTTCTCCCATATAGGATTTTATGGGTAGGTTGGATAGCGGGGTTATCAGGAACGATAAAGCCAATGCGGGGCCCCTCCATCTTGTATTGGGGTGAAAAAATAAGTGACGCAGCAGGGCCGAGCTTGTTGGTAATCTGGTGTGTGGCATATTAGAGTAATAAAGTCTAAAATTGAATATTGGCCATATTGGTAGTCGTTCCATGCCATTTATGTGAGCTACAGTACGTGGAGTACTTATAAAGCCAGGTTGCACGAGTCATTAAAGGCCAAAGGAGAAGAAGTTTGGCGACTCACAGGATTGTGATCGTGTAGTTAGAGCCGTCGCAGGACATTCAAGAATTGAAGATACTTGCAACTGAAATTACACTGGATCCAAAGTGGAATACATTAGGCGAGGAGAATATTATGCCCATAAGGCTAGCCATGAGTCTAGGGAACTGTTAGGCCAGCACATAACTGAAAATTTAGGCGACAATAGCCTTAACCCTTAACCAAATGCCTTAACTGCTGATAGTGGACAAAAGCTTCTTGGTCCTTTCTTGAAGGATAGATTGTCATTACATTGGGGATAACCCTTTAAATGTAACAAATCAAGGTGTATTAACCATTCTGCTCAACTTGCACGCATTTTCCAATAATGAACAAGAGAGACTAAACCACAAATGCGAGGCCAAATGCATTTGAAAACCAGTTTCAGCAGCGAGAATCGAGTATCAAGAAGAAATATGATGCAACAAAGCGCCCTTGTTAGTGCAGAACATGAAGTCTCACCCAACCGACCCATTCCTCATTTTGAGAATAAAATGGCAACACACGAGAGCTTTTCCCTAGCCAGGCATAGCACCACGGTCGCCCAAAATGATGGCCCACCTGCTATCGCACCTCATACTCCTGTCACCACCCATAAGACCGAAGACAAAAAAAATCAAAAACCAACAAAACAAAACAAAAAAAAAATGTCTTGCAATAATAGTGACAGAAGGGAAGCCAAAGTCCGAACATGAATGTTGATGACGAGGGAGTCGTAGTGGTAGCAATCCAACAAGAACTAACCAAGAGACACAACAGTGAGGACTCCAGGATTCTACCAGCATTTGAACTTCTGAATTTTGAGTTTTGATATAAAGCATAGGGATATTGATTGAGTGCTGAGGAAATAATAGACGCCGGGAACAAAGGTACGTATGAAGAAAAACAAATGCCAAAAAAAAAAAAATATGAAGCAGAGAAATTCGGCGCGCTGCGCTGAAATAATTCATAATATAGTTATATATGACACGGAAGTTCGTTAAAGAGCCAGCAACGGAATTATAAATTTTCCGTAAATTTAGATTGGTTCCCAGAAGTGTTAGTCACCGACGATTGTCGTGAGGTAGCCTTTGGAGCCTCAGGAGGACCCTCTGGTTCAGAAGCGGCACCAGCAGCGAGTGGGGCAAAATTGGTTGTGGCGGTCGTTGCTTGCACAATGGTATGCTCCCGTTGTACTTCGAAGGAGCCGGGAGCGGCTTCAGTACCGGACTTCCGACTCGATCTGCTGAACAGACGAATATGGAACTTTCGTTTTCGAGAAGAACGTCGCGGCAAGACTCCGCTCTCCCCGTCCTTGTGCTCCGTTACCTCCCGAGAAGTTTCGGTAGTTGAGCTCCATTGACGTGCGACGGGCCTGACTGCAGAGGGTCGGTGCCTACCGTCAGTAACCAGTGGGCCATTCACTTTATGTCCCTCGGTTGCTACTGCAGGAGCGCTTTTTCGTCTCTCAGGGCCCTCTCCTGGAGCAAGCCGGGTATCCGCTACCTTAACTGTCATCTTGAGAATATTGCGATCTTGATCCTGGCTGGGTTTAACATCCCTAGGAAATAGCTTGAGTGTTGAGCTAGCATTTTCAGATACGGAAGACTGTGTTCTGTTGGAACTCCTACTCGATTGGTGGGACAGAACACGAAAGTGGGGTTCTAACAGTATTGATCGAGAAGACTCTCCTGCACTGCAAGTGACGATGTGAGATCTAAATGGAGAATTTTGCTGCTGTGAAGCGCTGGTCATGTCTATGACTTCCTCTTCATCTGACTGAGCTGTGGTGCCATTTGCTAGGTCACCGGGAGCCGGAAGCTCCTCCGTTGCTCGAGCTTTCCCCCGGGCTTTTGCAGATTTTCGTCTAAACATACTGGCCCCTGAATTTCTGCTGATGCGATTTAGCAGTGTTTTCCTTTCTTTTTCATCCCTCATGAATTTCCTTTCATCATCTGTAACGCGTGTTAGCAGGATAAGTAAAGGCAACCAAGGAACCAGGGAGGACACCAACCTTCTACATACTGAACGGTCTTTTTCATTGATTCCTCGCGTTCTTTCTCTAATTGATGCTGGCGCAAGGCTTCCCGTTCATCAAGCTCTTCCTCTAAACACCTTGCTCGTTGCTCCTCGATTCTCTCCATGATGTCATCAATGGTCTGCTTGGCTTTAGATCGGAGAACACGATCAACTTCACCCTCTTTTACAGATTTGCCTGTTCCAATAGTGACTACATCGTTTGTTCCCCCATCGATCGTTGAGAAATTTTTTAAGACACGGGAAGATGATCTTGGTCTTCCTGTAGACTCATAGATACGTTGATCAACGTCATCTATTACCGCGTCCGCATTTTTTTTCGCTGTTCTCATCAGAGCCTCATGGTCCCATGCCATTTTTTCAGCATCAACCTTTGCCATTCTATGGTGGAAATCTGTCATTTGCGATCGAATCCTTGTAGACAGCTCTTCTTCCTTGTCGGTATCAGTGCTTTCACTGAAAGCGTGTTTTCTTAGTTTCGCATACATAGAAGTCGAGCGCCTTAGTACATGATCCGCATGGTAGTAATCTCTGGGAGCCTTTTGTTCATTATGCATCTGTGATAATCTCTCTGACGCTAGTCTTTGGGCGGTCTCATATAAAGAAGACCGTCGCACAAATGTTGTAGGCTCCTGGTGGTGCGAGATTACGGCGGATACAGCATCTTCCACCCGGGGCATGATGGAGAACATCTGACGGGCCGCTGTCATAGCTTCTATGTGTTGTGTATCAGCCTGGATATGCAGTTCGCGTCGGGCATTACCTAACGCCGCTTCATGAATCTGGCGAAGATCGAACGCTGGCTCAGACTCTTCCAGAACCGTTTTCGGGCCCGAGAATACTCTATGGCATGTAGTAGCTGCAGTGAGAGAATGGGTTGAGATAGGATTGCTAAGGGGAGTGGGAGCTGATTCCGATCTCTTGCGGTTTTTAGAAAATGCACCAGTTGCTGCAAATCTTGCGCCCTCACTGTCTTTGGGGGCTTCTCCTTTATGGTCTAAAGCTTTGCCATCCATCGTTTTAGTATTTCTGCTGGCCTGAACCCTCCCCGCTAAGCTTGCGGCCTGGTAACTTGTCGTACAAAGCTGAGGGTCTCTCAAGGGGTGTTCAGTCTCCACTTTGTTTATCTCACGAGCTGTATATCCCGCATATGCTAAGCTTGCGGCAGCACCAGCAGACGCAGATTCTTGATCAGCAGAAGAAAGTTTCGATGGGTCGAGATAGCCAGATGTGTCAGTGGTGCCGCCGGTGCCTGCTAGTTAACATGGGTCAGTTCGTATAAATTCGTCGGGGCCCAGATAGGGATGGAAATCCTTAAAATAGACTCACCAGCACGGCCAGTATCGTTAGCGCCTCCAGTCGCTGTTGGTCTCGGGCGGACAGCGTGTAGGGCGGCAGAAGCGGCTGTTGAGAAGATGGATTAGAGGGTGCAACTAAAAGACTGCAAATGCGATCCTGTCAATAGAAAATAATTCACTCACCATGGCCCTCAGTTGAATCCGGCTGATTCCTCACGTGAGAAGTTATCACGGCAGACATGTCGGTGATCGTGAATTAGTAAAAGAATAGACGTAAATTGTGTAAATTGTGGTTCTGGCTAAGGCAGAAGACATATCTCTCCAATTTCAGCAGAAGGGCACGGGATAGTTGGAAGAATCTAGTGGGAAAAGGAGGGTTGGTGGTTGATGACAACACAGTTGGCGAGAGAGTTCGTTTAGCCATATCCAAGTCGCCAGGCGCTTCCCAGATGCACGCTGCGGGCGGCAAAATGTCATTTTCTGGGATGGGCTCAGGGTCGTATGTTCCGGTCGTGTGACGTAGGGCTGCGGCTAAATGGGTTTAGCGCGGCTGTTGGCCTACACCGCGGCTGCGGCTAGGTTCTACTGTATCTAGCCCCTAACTAACCCAAACAGGATATGGGCTTACCCTCCAGCTTGCCAAGTTCCAAACCCGGAACTTGTAACAATGAGAGAGGTTCACATGATAATTGATTGGGGCGGGCTTCGACATTCTCACCATGGCGCACCATGGCAGGAATATAGGGGAGAACGGTGTACCCTAGGCCCGCATCTTTGTAACAGAATCCGCAAACTTCGAGAAGCGCAAAGAGCATTGTTCTTTTGTGCTAGTTCACGAGATTAAGTACTATCGGACAAACAGGAACAGCATAGAATCCAATTTAGTGAATCACCGCTGTAGTTCAAACCCGGGGGCTTTTTTTTTTTTTTTTTTTTCTTTCTCTCACCTCATATCTGCGGATTTCACCAGCTTTTATAGACGTGGATCATTCGCTCCAACCACAAGCTTATCTATGGCTAGCGTCGGCTGAATTACATACAGAATATTTTTTTAAAGTGGCTGCTCTTGGGGTTTGGGTTTGCCCGGCTGCCGTTAAGACAACTAACATCAATATCAAACTTACTAACTAAAGGGGAAAACACTTTTCAATGCTGATCATAACACAGGAATTTCTGAGAAGATTTGGAATTGAACAGGGATATAGTAACAATGTCTCATGTGACCCTCGGGAAATGCTACTTTGCGGTGGACTGACTGCAAATTTCCTGATTCCGTGGTCATTCTGTGTACTATGCGAACACGATGCGCATTTCTATTCCGGTACTTCCAAGTCTAGAGTGGATAATAGACGTACTAAGCGGTACGAATACAGAATAAGGAATTGGCGGTGTTGTTCCCTGGCAAGCCGGAAACACAAAGATATCGGGAAGGGTACAAACTATTCCACAACCTATGGAACGCAGGGGTTCCCTAATAACAGCGCCTACCACCAACCAGTATACTCTCCATGCTAATCACTTCGTCGTCTTGATGCGGCTGCTTGTTATTCAATATAAACGCAGGTATCGTTCTACATTATGCAAGTTGGTATTCGCGTTTCTTTCTACCGATGGCAATAACCGGAATGGATAGCCAGTTAACTGAATTGATTTAAATATGTAACCGTTAACTGGTTACTGCATCAAGGCAATCGATTTAGGGCTTAGTTAGTGGTTACCATCATGTTCCAGTTTGCCTCGTACCATGGTTGAGTGGTCGAAAGAAGTTACAGTGCTTTCGATAGTTACCGTGTTCTTTTAGTAACTCATCCGAAGCCAACGTATGTGAAACGGATCGATCATGAATCGATTGAACTGTAAATAAAATGTCCAGAGCAGAGCGGTAAGATTAGCCAACATTGTAAATCCATATCTTGAATTGAGTGCTGCATAACTGCAGTGAGATAGTTACACCAACAAAAATGTGGCAGATTCTCAAAATAACAACAGAATAGATTCCTAGAAGCAATCTCCTTCTAACTACCAATAAACATGAGGATGGCAGTTGCTCTTGAAACAATTTAGCAAGAACTGCATCTAATTTGAAATATTGTTGATGAGCAAGTATCCACACCAGTTTTTAGGATGGAGAATAGGCTCTCTATCGTTAACTAACCAGTTAACGTAAGCCGACACCCTTTTGATCACGACACCTATTTGATCAATCTTTCATCCCAGCCCTCCCAGGTCATTAAATTATTCATTATGGCAACCACCCTCAGCAGAGAAGCTTCTCATCAAGAAGCTAAACTTTCATTAGCTATTAAAGCCTATAAAACGAATTAAATTTCAACTCTTAGAGCTGCTGCTAAGTCATTTCGCGTCCCCTACTCCTCACTATGTTATAGGCTATACGGAGGCACTACGCGTTCAAATTCTCAACTTAACAATCGAATGCTGACCTCTACGGAAGAACAATCTCTAGTTCAATGGATAGTATCCATGGATGAGGGATGACAGCCTCCCCGAATCGCGATCGTACAAGATATGGCCAATCTACTACTTTCAGCGCGAGAATCTGCTACTACAACTACTGCGGGAGGAAGGTGAGTGGAAAGATTTATCAAACGGCACTCTGAACTGGAGACTAGATTCTCACACAAGCATAACTACGAGCAAGCTTTATGCGAGAATTTAAAACTTTTACATGAATGGTATACATTGGTGGATAATACTATAAAGAAGCATGGAATTGTGCCGGAGGATACGTACAACTTTGATGAGATTGGCTTTCTAACTGGAGTTATTACAACGGCCTGGGTGATTACTAGAGCTGAGAAAGAAGGCAAGCCATCTCTTATACAGCCAGGAAATAGAGGATGGGCAACCGTGATTGAATCAGTCAATGCTGCGGGCTGGAGTCTACCTCCTATGATAATAATGAAGGGCAAGCTTCATCAATCCTCATGGTACGAGCAACTGCCAGCGGATTGGACAATTGGTCTTAGCGAGAAGGGTTGGACTACGGATGAGCTTGGCTTAATATGGCTGCGAGAGGTATTCAAGAGACATACTGAGGCTCGTACAGCGGGCAGATATAGACTGCTGATTGAGACTGCTGATTATGGATGGACATGGCAGTCATGCTACAGCCGGACTTGACAATTGAATTCATCATCATATTATAGCTCTTTATATTCCTCCTCATTCCTCTTATCTACTGCAGCCACTAGATGTGAGCTGTTTTTCGCCACTAAGGAGAGTGTACGACAAGAAGATTGAGCCTCAACAGTTCCCAATTTATATCTCGGGGTTGCCCGTTGATGGTCGCTGTGTTGTTCTAGCCTAACCTGGTATGTAGAATAGTAGCAAAAGTTGGACATGAAGGTGGAAGTGTGAAAATTCAAGATATTGGAACAAAACAAACCACCATCACCAAGAAGAGTATGAGTCAAAGGCAGCACCAACTATAGTTATGCATTCAAAGCTGGTGGAAAGTCTGGGGGTGGATTTTAAGTAAGTAACTAAGATTAAGTTGAGCTGCGGCTCAGATTAGTGGGAGGTAGTGAGTGCGCGTGGCACGGTTACTTAGTTAACTGGTTAGTTAACTAACTTAGTTACACAGCAGTTACAGCTTAATTGCACCTTTCCTTCTCTTCACTATTTTCCTGCCCCAAGAACACCAATTCATGTGTCCTTGTAGCATTTGACCAAACTTTTATTAGAGCTACTGAAATCAAATCTTCATTTTGATGTATGTATCTAGAATTGAATTCGTGAGTTTACTGCTAATAATATTTTCAGGAACTTCCGAAAGACGAAGCGGTCTACTGAGCCTCTCATCACCAAGTGGCTTCATACACTCTACAGCAGTTAGTCTGAATTCCAATATACGATATTCTCGAGTTTGCTGTTAAATCAACGACATCATATTTTGGACGGGAAATGTGCTTCTAGCAAGCATTTAAGAAAGGAACAAAAGAACGAGAGAATGTATCATGCATGATCACTCCATGCTCGCGAAACTCCCTGGTGTCAGCTCGGACATCAATGCTAGCATCATTGATTATGGCAATACACAACACCCTGCTACGGAAGGGACTAGTTCCCCACATCCTCCATTTGATAATATTCTAAATTTTCGTGATGTGGGAGCATATGTCAATCGCTTATGCGGATCACGGTATGAAAAACCGCCCCAGAAGGCGACCTCTCCCCCGGTTGGCCTTTTAGCTGTCGTTCTGGTTCAACCTTTGGGTATCTGCTACGCAGTTACAGCACTATGGTTACGGAAATATTTCTATAATATCATCCAATGACCGTATGTCCTGTTCTCATATTGCTACCTGAGGAAACTGACAGTTTGCTCCATAACCACAGTGTTCTGAAAGAAGGTATCCTGTTCCGAAGTGCTAGGGTAATAATCTCTCCACTTTCCCTTGCTCTCCGTTTATTAATTGTTTCTCTCTAAACCATCTTTTATTTTTCACTTTGCGCTACGTACCAAAATCCGCCAAATACCTTCTAGTGGATATATGGCGTTCTACCATTGCTGCTCCGTCTAAGCACCCTCAATGGTAAAGCGAATGGAAAGCCATGTTTCACAAAACTCAACAATATTAGAACGTATTCCAGAAGTTTGCTAATGATAAGAATTAAGCCGGACGATGCCTCACAACGGGATCAGGAGCGTTTAACCAATGAGCTACGTTTAGCTTCTATTATTGATCTCAGGTCAACGTAAGGACATAATCCCTCATATCTGATGTGTATATCATAGTGTCCTTATCATACCAGTTCCAGTTATTTCATAGAGTAGCCACTCTTTAATCCCACGGGACTTAGTGATGATTCGATGTGCACGCATTATGCTGATCTACTACATGCAATCCCAGAACTGAGCATACCATGGCGGCCAACCGACGTCTTGCTAATGAACGAATCGCTGCAGAAGAAGGAGCAGAAACTTCTCTGCAACCAAAATCAATAGCGAATGATGAGCACCTCGTGAACCTTCCGGGAGTGCGTCGAATCATGCTCAGCCTGGCCGGGTGGAACTTCGAAAAGACATTGTTATGGAGATTAAGTTGGTTTAATATACTGTGAGTACGCAATATTGAAGTTTTACATGCATTTGTTCAAAAGGAATCAAAGGCAGGTATGGGAAATCAATCACATGTACATGTACTTCTAATTCTCATCGCGATCCATCTTAACTTGCAGAAAGTTCTTCTCCCTCCTTGCATCTGGCTACCGTGGTGCCGCCACGAGATTGATCGTCGAGCAAACTATTGTTCCCCGTGGCCTCAATGGGCTTGCCCGTGATACGCTTACAGCCAGCCAGGCAGAGATCAAAGAACTGTTCGGATATCTAAGCGAACCCAGCATATATCCAACAGTCATACATTGCACGCAGGGCAAGGACCGCACGGGGTTAGTGGTTATCCTGCTCCTGTTATTAGTCTCCTCTGGGGAGATGAAGAGGGAGGAGAGTGAAGCAGAAGCGCCCGGTGGAGAAGCATATGCAGCTCTGGGTAGGCCTCAAGGCACGGTCGTAGTCACAGGAACAGGAACAGGAACAGGAACAGGCAAAGCCAAGATCCCCCTCTCTGTAATAACGAGCGACTACCGCCTTTCGGAGGGAGAACTAACCCCCGAGCTAGAAGAGCGTTTGCGGGAGATGAATCAACTGGGGCTTCCGGATGAGTTTGCAAAGTGTTGGGATGGGTTTACGGAGGACGTTGTTGAATTTTTGGAGGAGAGGTATGGTGGCATTAGAGGCTATCTGAAAGCTGTTGGGGTGGACGCGGGGGCTGTTGAGATGGTTAGGGGCCTGTTAGGGGCCTGCTAGTGGCCTAAGGGCTAGGTTGCTGGCAGCTGGTTGGATTGGGTTGTTTAACTGGTGTAAGTTAGTTACGGTTGTGCGATGATACAGCCTTGGAAGAGCGTAGAGCCCGAGATTTATTGTCTTCTGGCACCCGTTGTCCCGGTTTGCGTTCCTTGTTGTTTATAGTTCCTTTCTTTCCCGCTGCCTTCCAAAAATTCCACAGCCCAGAAATTGAAACATTAGGACAACAAACATTGGACCGGGCAAAATCCTTCCTGTCCTTTCCAGATTCAAAGATGGAAGTCATGTGCCCTGGAATCTTTTATCTTCTATCAGATTACCATTGATAATTGGACATGCAATTTCAAAGGCCAGAAGACCTTCTAACAATAGCACCATCTTCAAATGAGATACACATCAATCAAAAACACACGAAACTACTCTCCTTCCGGTGGTCCGTAAGAAGGAAACGAAATAAAAGATGGAAAACCACAGTGTTCTGCCACAATGAACAACAAGAACAGAAAAAATAAAGACAAAAAACAACAGAGAGATTCTTATGATACAATAAAAGGAAACAGGAGTGTGATCCATTGCTCCCGCTCTTAGCGCAGTAAGGATATAATAATAAAAGCGTACTTCCCTTCTTTTCCAAACGCCCTCTGTTAAAGAGAATTGAAGACAAAGACCCAATGCAACACTGTCAAGTCCATCCGTTGATTATCTCCTGCCGCTCCCCTATCGTTCTGTCCGCGGGTCATGCAACTGGCCAGATGGCACATAACCCCCAGTTTCCGCAATAGCTGAGGGTTCAGTTACCCCTCCGTTGGCGGCATGTTTATTTATGATATATCTGTGATCAGCGTTTCCCCTATCCCCCATGGAGTCAGTGGTTAGGGGTTGTTCGTAATGGACATCGACTTGGGGTTGAGATGTTTGTTGCATTGCGTGTATTAGGTTTGTCTCTGATATGCGTTTGCCCTGAGGGATGTGGTTGCGGGTTCTAATGGAGGGAAGAAGGTCGATTATGAAGGAAAAGACGTAGAAGGTGAATATGTATCCAATAACTGGTACAGGGCTCTGGTTAGATTTTCTTTTCGTGCAATTGAGAAAAGGACAAAAGATAATAATAATAAAACTCGTTGACTTACCCCACTCCATTACTGCAGCAATGTTTTTCTTTTTCTCCTGCTTGCCAGTAACTATAAATGTAATAGCAAGGGAAAACTCAACGAAGATAAATGCAAGTTTGGTCCAAAAGCTTGCCGCTAAAATAGTGTGTTGCCGATAGTATATCCCGAGTCTTTGGTATTCTGCACATACAAAGACTGCACTCAGAATATATCCTCCCCTATGTCTCAGTTTTGTTTGATTAGGTCATATTCTACAGATATATTCTAGCACGGACGCAAACATAGAGGAGTTTTTATGGGATGGGTGAGGGAGAACTTACATGAAAAGGAACAAACATCCATTGTGCAACATGGGAAATCTCAAGGTATCAAAAATTGACAAGAGAATCAGTCCGAGACCCCCAAACATGGAAAATACTATAGAGGTGATGGCAAATCCCTTATCCCACTTCCCCTTATTTCTGGCAAGTTGGCCGGTATGTCGAAGCCATCGTTCCGACATGAATGAAAGAGTGAAAAACACGGATGTAACAGTGCAAGCACCAATAAAGAGAGGTTTCAGTCTTTGAGCACCGACATCTGAGATGTATCTGTGTTCGATGTATAATCTGTGTTAGAAACAAGGAGATGATGAATTGAAGGCTAATGGGATTAACATCTTCCTTACGCTATATTCTGGTATTTTCCCATGCTGTCATAATGCGGGTGTCCTTCAACAACGGCCCATCGTATGAGCAAGGTAAGAAGTGTAGCTATTATTTGAGACCATGTTAGCATTTATCAGTATCTGGGGTTATAGCTCTTCCGAACTACCCACCTAGCCACATGGAGGACCCAATTACAGGGAAAACCCAAAACGATATAATCCACATATTTAAATCGTCTTTTTTTTTTTTTTTTACTCCCGCACAAGGGAAGACGTGGCCTTGACCCGAAAAATATTTGCAAAACAGAGAGCCCCGGGAGATACACCACAACGGAGGTGTTACTGTGAAGGACAGGCGGGATTGTCGCAAATGGGCAGTGTACGGAAATGCAAGACAGGTGATAATTATATTAACTTAGAAAACGCGGATAGGTTCAGACTGGTCTCCGAATTGATAAAGGAGATGAGTTAGCAAAAAGTATTCAGGTTGTCAGTGGGCGATGGAATATCAATGTTTAGTATAACCGCGCAACAAGCCCATCACCTTCTTACCTCGTCATGAAAAGAAAGAAAAAGAAAGGCACCAAGACATCACTGAGAGGTCACCTGGATTCCCTTCTATGTGATACAGGGGCTAATAAGGCCGAGCGCAATTCCTGAGTGATGAGGTTGGGAAATGTAGAATTCGAAACCGGTGCCGGCATAGAGGCTGTTAGAAGGAGGTGGAATGAGCGGGAATGACCGGAAGGGGCGTAAACAGGAGCAGGACGAGCGAACCGCAAAGATGGCTAGCAAAGAGTATATTTATGGAGGTTAGACGGCGAACCCTCAGAGAAAGTCTGGGACGACGTCATCCAAGGTACCATCCCCAGGTTGAACAGGGCAGAGGCAGCTCGGCATTTCTGAGCTTAACGTCACGCCAAGTAAATAAAAGATACGTGTGGATATGTTCCTCCCCACCAAGATAACGCGCGGAGATACCTGGGGTAGCGTTCCCCGATGTTCTGCTGCAGCTTCCATATGGGATGCGATATTTTGGCTCAAAATATCAGTTCACACGTGATTCATAAAATCATGCCTATGTCACTACGTGCAGGCGCCGCCCTCTCTCTCTGCTGCTAAGGGAAGCGGGCGCATAGTCAGGAAGGACGTGCATTTGCCCCAGCAGGTAATTATGTGGGCACATTTAATAATAGAGGCTCCAGGGCAGCTGAATTTCGTCGTGGCGTTTGTTGTAGAATCGAAGCCCCGTTGTGTCGATGATGTCGATGCTTCCTGAGGAGTTTTGTGCTGCTGGACGTAGACGGAAACACAGGAGAAGATGAAAACTATTTTTGAGAGCTTGAAGATTAAGAAACACATCTGGGAATCTCACGCACTGTCGCTGACGAGCATAACCCGTGTGTTCTACGTAAGAAACCAATGCAGTTCAAACGCAAGGATTTCTGACTTAAAGGGGCAGCCAATTCTTGTTTTCTATGATTTAAATCTAGGACTGGGATTTTAGGGTTCGGGCTGCCACGTGTGATATAACGTTAGTTAACTATCTGTAGCGGCGCCCGCCTGGGTGGCGTTGCCCTAGCGACCGCCCCGCCCACACGTGATCGCGATCGCTTGTATGTAATATAGCAAATAACCTAGCTAGCTCCTCCCCAAAGGAAGCAATTGACTGGCTTCTCAGCACAGTAAGAGGAGCTACGACCTTCTCTACCTGGTGCACTAATACCCGCTTCTTCATCGACATCCAACGCCGCTACTAGAACCTGTTCAACATCCGACTTCTCCCTCCCCCTCTCTCTTTCCTATGCTCCTTATATACATTTCTCATCACCCCTACACACCACCCTAGAAGCCCTTGGCTTCCTCAGTCCCGTAATCTTCGGCTACTACGCCATTCAGAACCTCCAGGACGGGGGCTACTCTGTACATAGACTCTCAAGAGGGCTTCGGCCGACTAGACATGTCAGGCAGCAGACTAGCTGCTGCGCTGGCACGCCTGATACCCTTAGGGAGGTGCTGTGGCCGCGACGGCAGATTATTCTTAGTCAGCTGATCACGTGCCTCCAGGCGTTAAATAAGTAATAATAATAATAATAATAATAGCTAGCTCCTCCGAATAGAAGGTTCAACCATCCCACACTATCCATTCTCGGCATGATGTCATTAAAGTCAGCCACTCCATATTCACTACCATCTACAACTGTGAATGCGATAAAGGCATACATACATATGTAATTAATTCATACGATGATAATATTGCAAAATTCGTGCTGATGAGATATTGATTCGTTTCCATGTTCGAGCAAATGAGGTATTGCATGCTTGCAGATGGCTTCTTTATGTCACAACAAAATCAGCATGATCCTCTCTGTTTCCTTTATATGGAGCAATGAATAGGGACTTTGCCTATAGTACAACTCGGGATGTGACATCAATAAATCACTGCATATAATCTTCTGCTTGAAGCCTCTGAATACATTGCAATATTTGCATCAATACAGAACTGAACTGTCTTCAGGACAGTGGCTATTTCTTCCTCTTATTAATTCTGAGCTTTTAAACTGCTAACTAATTCTCACAATAAAACCCCAAACTCTGTGTTCCTGCATGGTTTGGCTTTTCATTCCTGAATCCGCGTATCTAATTTACAATGTTGAATGGACATTGAAATCGTAAGTTGAAAAGATAGAGCGGACATGAGATCATGTTCGACATGGGAAAATGCCTTGCTGACTTCCATTCTGGGGGAATGCCCATTCCATCCATTGTTAAAGCGATTACGAGGTTTCACGGTAAAGATCTAGAGATTGGATGGTATAGATATTATGTAACTAATCTAGGAGATTTGCGGGGGTTCGGGAGGCTGTTACGGGATGCCGAAAACTCAACCCTATCGAACATTACGTGTAACTAAAACGCTACCTATGGTTGTCTGGGGTATGCTATTTCGGTTGAGTAAATGGTTTTCCCACAGAGTCCCCTGATGATTCGCTTTCCCATAGTTACGAACCATGCAATTAGTTTAATAAACCCCAGTAGATCTACCCGACTGCAGCGGCTATATACTAGTTACTACTACACATGTTGGCAACTTGATGGCGATGGGCAGGACGTGTTGGTTTGCGTGACTTGAGTTTTAAACATACATGAATCCATATGTAAGTTTCCTTTTTTCAAATGAACCTCACGCATAAATGTTACTCACCGGAACAGACGGCGTATTGCAGTTCCGGTTTTCTCTGGCTGTGGACGATGTGCAGTGCTTTTATGATGGTCCATATCATGCGGCGAATCTTGAGAGACAGTTGGCCCAGCAGGTGGGGGATTGGGATTGGGAGTGAGGCTGCCGCTGTGATTTTCTGCGGGGCATGCCATTGCCTTTCCTTAGTTATACAGGTGTAAGTTGCGACCTTTGTATGCGATTGACATGGGAGAGCGCACACACACACACACACACACACACCCAAAAAAAAAAAAAAGTTAATAATAAAAAATAATAATAAAAAATAATAATAAAAAGTGCACAAGTTACGACATAGGACTGCATACAGAGTTTGTGTATAAAGATATTGTTAGATTTAAGAATTAAGTTCTCTTCGCTGTACAAACGGAATTCATCCAGGATATCCCTGTACATCTTTATCAGGGGCAATATGGCTCAACTGGAACGCAAGAAGGTTGAAGTGCACTCATCTCCAAGGTTGGAAGGTTGGCTGTCACAAAGGGATTTTGTCAAGCGCAAGGATATGATCAAAAGACAGGGAACTATTAGGAAGCATATTCTACCAGTGCAAAAGGACATACCTCTTCATCAGCGGTCAATCCCATTTACAGGTAATGAATATTTTGGATAAAATCAGATCCATTGCATAGAACATGTTTAAACCTAATCAGCCACAAAACACAGGGGGGAGGTATGAAATAGAAAAATAAAACAAAGGTTTTAAAACGTCATTACTGTCTACCACCTGATATGTAGCCGGAACCATCCCTTTATGAAAGAATAATAGACCGCAACAATAATAATATCAATATGCAATACGCCTCAATCGGAATAAAAACAAGAAGCCAAAAGAAGGAAAATTAAAAGGCTATTAATAGAAGAGAAATCCAAACGAAGCCACCCGATGCAAATAGTAGCCGTATACCAGGTACTGGGTTTCCCGTGTTTTTCCTCCTTTTCTCTGAGTATTTAGAAATTACCAAGAATCACTTACCAGACAAGTCCGATAAGGAAAATAACCATAAATGGGAAGGGAGAAAAATTTAACTGAAGGGGCACGAGTTGGTTGGGGAGAGAGAAGACGCAATAATAGTGGGCGGAAAAAGGAGAAACGCGACAAACCGATGACAGAAAATAAATAAATAAAAAGACAAAAAAGAAAAAACAAGGGTAATTGTAACGCCGCTCGCTCGAAAGAGTCTATTATTCCGTTTTATAACCGAAGCTAGGTATAATGACGATAGTGACAATGACAACAACAATGACGATGGTAGATAAATGTCATGATAATGATAACGAAGGTGGTATCATAGATAAGGAGCTAGCGAGCACGACGCTTTCGCAGGAGCGTACGACAAAGGCCATACCCACCACTTGATTTTCGCAATTCATATCCACTTGGCGCCATGGGGCTCTCAATCATATCGACCTGCACGCCATTGTCGCTGCTGCTACTCTCGCTACTCCTTTGCATAGACCGTGGTGACTCACATTGATGAGAAGCATGCTGGACAACGAAGGGATCAGATGGTGAGTATGGTAAGTGGTCCAGCATGTAAGAGTCGCCGGATACGGAGCGATAGACAGGTTGATACGGGCCTATTGGTGGCGGCGTCATATCTCGATGTGGATGGGTCGAGTAGCTGTAGCGCGGGTCAATGGAAGCTGGGGGATATGTTTGGTAGGGAGAGTGGTGGTGCATTGGGTAGGAGAAGGTAGTCGAGACCGATCGAGAGCGTGGCGACCGGTGCGGGCCACTCGATAGTTGCGGTGGAGCTGGTTGATAGGAAGAACCGGGTCGAACTGTTTGATCTTTTGGGACGGTAAATGGCAGAGACCGTTGGTACATTTGCTGTTGTTGGTGACTGCGAGGTGGTGTGCCTGGATGCTGTTGCATCATGGATGAGGGTGTCGAAGGAGCTCGCGAACGAGGTTTCTGCGACGACGAGCTCGATGGTCGGCCTGGGGTTGGTGAGAAATGCCCAGGAGACTCTGTGGCAGAACTATATGCACCCGGCATGGTCCGCCTCAGTTCAGGATATGCTTTCGGGGGCGACACATTCGGAGGTTGTTTGCCCGCGATCTTTGGCTTGACCTCGTTTGTTGGATGGTCCTTAACCACCGTGCGTTGAGAACCATTGAGGTTGCCATCAAGTTTTCTTTTTTCCTCCAATGCATCAAGTTCCCGCTGCGAGAGCTTGACTTTAATTTGCCCTTGCATTTGAGCTCGACGTATTTTCCCTAGAGCCCGGTCAACAAGTTGTAATTGTTTGTCTCGCCTTGCCAGCTGAATGGCGTAGGACATCGTGCTATTCGGATCCCTATCAACGAGGCCATATTCGTCCTGGTCATCATCACTCGAGAATTCCTCCTCCTCTTCATCATAAAAATCATAGGTTCCTTTCCTGCATGCGCGGGACTCATAATCAAGAGGGCCCAGCATCCTCATCTCCCTGTTACCCGACCGGTTTGGATCGAAAGGTAAACCAACAGGTCGTGCGCCATGATCGTCATCGTCATCATCGTAGCCATCATTATCTAGCTGCTCTATTCTAACAGACTCATCCAGTTGCTTCGCCCAACCCCCCTTGTTGGATCTCCCCATTCGTGCCCCTGAAGGTCTTCCCCAGAGGGGCGAATCATAAGGAGTTCGCGGCCGACCATCTAGACCGCCTCCTCTGAAAAAGCATTCTCGATCGGTTTGTCCATAAAGGAAGCATGACCAAGAACGGTCACGCCAGTAGCCCCAATGAGCCACAGTGCTGTCGTTAATGGGGAAGCCCAGAGACCCATGGGTACGCAAATGACGAGTAATGTCGTGTATAATTGTGATGTTGTAGCCCGGAACCCAGCGATTTCCAAGTCGCGTCCCTCCAACTTACCAATTCCGTACGAGCCACCAATAGCTAGGAGGATGACGAAGAGAAGGGTGAGGTTCGTAAGCAGACTGTAGATGCTGAGCATGACAAAGACAACGGCATAGTTGCTGGAGAAGTAGCTCAGATTGTAGTTCACACGGCTCTGGATGTCGGCGAAGTTGGCTGGCTTGGAAATCCGTTTGATGTCGAAAAATTCGGAGAGGGGTTTGAGATTAGAGAAGCGGGAAGTAAGAGACTGCGAGCGGACGCCGGCGAACCTGTCGGACAAGTTGAACCGCGAGGTCAGGGTATCGAGCGGTATCTGGAGGCGAGCCATTTTGTGACTGACGTTCGGGGGAAATGTGATAATTGGGTTCTCGAAAATATTTCGATGGTTCTCTATCGAAGCACAGTATTAATATCTCTTTAAAAAGCATAAAGACAAGTTTGTGACAAGGTTTGCATTTCGAATCCAAAACCGGGAAAACAGTCACGTACTCTTGGAATTTGGCTTCTACTTGCGGTAGAATTGCAGGTAAATACGTCAGATACGAGTTTCTTTGCAATACTGCTCGGGGGGTGTATAGTTCTGGAATAGACCGGGGAAACAGGTAATACTGCAAGAGATGTCTATGTGGTTGTTGAATAGAAGATGAAATCGAGATAAACAGGCAGAACGCAATTTTTGGTCTCATTTGCTCAGGCCGAAAACATTAAAGCTGAGCCGCAATTGTGGAGCCTGTACGCTAAACCAGAAAAGGAACGATGACTCAGCAGCGTTTTGCCATTAAGGGGTAATGTGTCACGTGCGAAAAAGCGCCTGATGGTTGATCAAATCTCAGAGGAAAAGTAGAGGTTGAGAATATGAAAAAATGATGAAAAAGAATGAAAAACAAACAAAATAGAACAAGATATAAGAAATGTATTTGAAGAGACAATTAGAACTTGGCAAGAGAGACGGTAAATCGAATCGTATTTGTAAGAACGTTGTCGTCGTTCAATCTCTGTATCTACTCTGCGTATTGCTGAAGTGGTTGGGTCCCCGCCTTTTAAGCCTTAGCTGGGCACCCTGAGAAGAAAATAGGCCAAATAACCTCCTCCAACTTAGCCGCCGCCGCTACTCGTTCTACCAAAACACAGAGGAAGATAGCATACAACGAGCGGCAAGGGAAAAGGAAAGGAAAAGAAAAGAAAAGAGGAGCACAAGGGGAAGACAGGGCGAGGACTGCCCATTTAAATATTCGAAACCCGTTCCCGTCGCCATTGTCGTCGTGTACTCGTCTGCCCGCCCGCCCTGCAAATTCCCACATTCTCATCACAACAGCGTTGTTTATTCTCTATGTCGACTTGCCCGCTGCAAGGCTGCATTGGTTGATTGGTCCACGTTGAAACCCAGCCTGTTTCCAGTGGAGAAAGAAAATCGGCAAGGACAGAAAGGTCTCGATAAATAAAAATAAAAATAAAAATAAAATGGAAAGTTGAAAAATTGAAAAAGCAATAAGGCACAGGGAAAAGGAACCTCACACTTCTTCCGTTCTATTAATTTTAACACTGCGTGACCGCCTTTGTTCTCCTGTCCTTTGACTCCAACTACGAATCCCCGTTTCGTTGGGCCGCCAAATTTCTCGTCTGTTGGCAATCGGACCCCGAGTTTCTTCTGGCCCAAAATGAGGCACTCGCTGGCAAGATTCCTACTCGCCCTATCATACCTGCTGGTGTTGGTGGCCGCGTGGAGCAAAGAAGGTTTGATACTCATGTTCACCTCTAGGCCCTTGCTTGAACCTGTTCTCCTTCTTGCCTCACATGAATATCTCGTACGTGATGCTGACTACTGTTAGACCATGAGATATTCCGTCTGCGAGATGAGTTGCATCAGACTGAAGGTTCCAATGTTACTTTCTACGGTGCGTACCCGACCCTATTATACATAAACACCTATTCCATTGAAATTGAGGCCAACAATGCAACCATCCCCTCTGCATTGGAATAGAAATAGGGAAACTTTATGTTTAAAAAAATGGCAACAAATCCAATCCACTAACACAGCCCCAGACTTCCTCGGCGTAAAACCCACTGTCTCTCAAGCAGATCTCCTCAAAGCCTTCCGCCAAAAATCCAAACAGCTTCATCCCGACAAGGTCAAACGTGCCTTCATTGCGACCTATTCCATCAAGAAACACAAGCAATCCCGTGATTCCAAGGGCAAAAAACCCTCTGTGCACGTCTCCCGTGGACCCTCGGAACGCGAAATCGCCCACGTCGTCAAACTCGCTACAGAACGCTATGCGCGCCTAGGCGTCGTCAACAATATCCTCAAGGGCCCAGGGCGCGAACGCTATGACCATTTCATGCGCAATGGATTTCCTACGTGGAAGGGGACTGGTTACTACTACTCTCGTTTCAGGCCTGGCTTAGGGACTGTATTGATCGGGTTGTTTATTGCTTTTGGCGGGGCCGCGCATTACGGTGCGTTGATTTTAAGCTGGAAGCGGCAGAGGGAATTTGTGGATCGGTATATCAGACATGCCAGACGTGCGGCGTGGGGTGATGAGTTGGGGATCCGCGGGATTTCTGGACTGGGTGAATCTAGTAGTGGTGTCGGTACGGGTTCCGGGACAGATATAGGTGAAGGCGCTGTGGCTGTGAATCGTCGTCAGAAACGTATGATGGATAAGGAGAATCGCAAGGAAGCCAAGAAGAGTGGTAAAGCGCGATCATCTGGATCAGCGACGCCCAGCGAGGGCGTGATTGGCCCTTCTGGCGACAGGAAGCGCGTGATGGCGGAGAACGGCAAGATTCTTATTGTTGATTCTGTGGGGAATGTGTTCTTGGAGGAGGAGAATGAGGATGGGAAGAAGGAGGAGTTTTTGTTGGACATTGAGGAGATCAGGAAGCCAACTATAAGGGAAACATTTGCTGTTAAGGTGCCTGTGTGGGCGTATCGGAAGACTGTTGGGAAGTTGATGGGTGGCGGCCATCTGGGAGATGAGGGCGGAGAGGTGCTGGTTGGAGGGGGTGTGGATGCTAACGTCGATGAGTCTGTGGATGTGGGCAATAAGAAGCGGTCTATTAACGGCACGCCGAGAAGAAGGGGGAAGAAAAGTTGATTCTGATTCCGATTGGGGTTGGTTGATTGGTCCTGCGCGTACCTGTCTAGCCTCCTTTTTGTTCCTTTTCTTGGTTCCAATCTAATATTAAGCAATGCCTTTGATAAAAGTTGGGAGATCTGTATTATACATTTTGCTACGTTCTATATATTCTTCTTTCTCCATGTACAATCAAGCTATAGATATCCCTCTGTATCGGCCTTGGGTATGAAAACTGTGTCGTTAAAAGGCGAATCAATTATATATTTTTATTTCTGTTTCTATCGCTGTGGATGGGAAGATGGAAAGAAACGCATTTAAGTGAAGCAGAAAATAAATAGGAATAGGAGATACAATGTCAAATAAATAAATAAATATACATTCTCTGATGTTATACTCCGTAGGAGACACTTGGCTGGTGTTGACTGGTTGTCTGCTGCCCTTGTTAAGCTCCTGGCAGGACCTTACACATAGAAATATCTAGTTTTCATTTCACATGGTCATCAATTCTTTGGCTTGTCATAAATTCGTTTCATGAAAATTCCACCAAAAACAGATAATCAAAAACGTACAGAATAAAAATATAAATAATGCATTAAAAACAGTCTTGATGCCGTGAAGACTTTGTGGAAAAAACGGTAGGTTCTTCCAAACCCCCTTCCGCCAGATCCAAAGTACATACATGTACATGTATGTATATTCATCCACAGCATAAGCGTACAATCTGCGGGCCCTCTCAGCGGGCCACTCCCGGAAGCTAATATGTCTCCTTGTCCCACGAATTCCCAAATGTGCATCCCAACACTCCGGAATCCATTTACACAAACAACTTGGCCAACGACACCAACCCACCTACACTGTCACCCATCCCACCCCAGCTTCCCCCACCTCCGAGAACTGAATCCAACCCACCCCCGTTACTACGTCCTTTGTAACCCCCTCCCCCTCCCAAGGACGGCGGCAGCCGTATTCCAACCACAGACAACAGCTTCTGCAGCACCCCACCCGTAATCAACGGCACGATAACCAGCAGAAACACCTTGAGAGGCCGCCGGCGCGCATAGCGCAGGATGTCGCGGAACAGCCGTCTGATCTTGCGTAGCACGCGCGATACAAAACCCAAACGGGGCTTGGCGCGGCGCGATGAGGACGAGGCCTGGCTGCCAATTGAGAAGATTGAGGGCGTTGAGCGGTTAGCGTGTCCGCCTATACTGAAGAGGGAGGAGGTGGTGCTGTTGCGGTGGGGGCGGGAGGTAGTTGAGTGTCTGTCCCGACTGTGCTGGATGCGGTGACTGCTGGTACTGCTACGGCTGTTGCTGCGATTGAGCCCGCTGAAGGGGTAGAGCCAACTCATTGTTTCGTCAGGGTGGAGAACTGCTGGTTTAGTTATTTGTGGTGGTATTGGAATGGGGTTTTCATGCAGGGAATCGAGGCTGCAGGTGCAGTTGGATTAGGTTAGCTGACTAGACCGGATAGCCTGGTTCTCATGCAGGGGAATTGAAATTCTTTAAATATAAATGGGGCTTAATATGGAACCATTTGTGTATGGCTGGAGTGGAGGACCCGCTGGAGACTTGGCGCAATTCAGGGGGCTGGCGATGGAGTCGGAGAGGAGCCTATCTTGATTTCTCTGTCCATGCCATAAACTGGGCGGCTGCTAAAGAGAAGAAAAGCCAATTGATAGTTTGACGATGACATTGAGTATTGACATGCAATAATATGGAGTATGCATCATGTTCGTCTGTCGAGTGGTTCAAGTGTTTATGGCGAGGCTGGGGAGTTGGATAGAACCAGCTAGTCCTATGATAGTTAGCGCTTATTTAAATGAAGTTAGAGTAATCACGTGGTAATATTAAAATTAAGGTTCTCATGTGATTTATGCCAAGGCCATACGTCATACGTCTAACCAAGATATATTCAACCCGAACAAATGGATGGAACCTTTCTGGGGCTGGTAAACACTAAGCAATATCTTCAACGCCATATATTAAGTCTTAATGGTCAACTATATCTAATATATATTTGAAATTTGTTGTTTATATTGTCTATTATTTATCTATTTAACGTATAGTTTCTCTCTGGAAGTTGGGCCGACTCATAATGGCAGGTAAGAGACTCTCCTGATATATCTACATTCTCAGGCGCTGATGATTATCCAACAACTTTCAGGACTAGACTATTGTATGTTCCCTTGTATTTTTATTCCTTTTACCCTTTAAAATTTACCTGCTACTTACCATCAAATTAGATAAAATCCTAGAGATAGATCCCTCCGCCACAGAACAACAGATCCGCGTTGCCTATAAACGGTTTGTCGTAGCCCGGAAACTTACCCCTTGCATAGTGGGAAAATTCTCCCCCCACCAAATTCAACTGATGGGAAGTTGTATATAGCGCCGCTCTAAAATCCCATCCAGACCGCGTCCCCGCCACCTCCCCCGAACGCCCCTCCCGCGAAGAAACCTTTAAACAAGTCAACGAAGCATACTACGTCCTCTCAGAACCCACCCGCCGTCGCCGATATGACAACGAACGCCAACGGCAACAACAGCAGCAGCAGCAGCAAAAACAGCCAGGGGAACAGAGAAAGCCCCGTCCGCAACCCTCCTATTCCCCAGGCCCGGAAACAGAGTCCGCTTCCTTCGCCTCCGACCAGTTTGGCACCATGTTCGAAGAAATGCTGCGCGAGGAAGGTCTTTCAGAAGAGGATACGGTGAGTGGAGGTACGAGGCCGACGGGCAGCTTTTGGGCTATTGTGGGCGGGCTTAGTGGGGCAGCGCTTGGGTTTATTGTTGCAAATTTCCCCGGGGCTTTGGCAGGTGCTGTTGCAGGGAATCGGTTGGGTGCTATTAGGGATTCTAAAGGGAAGAGCGTTTACGAGGTTTTTCAGGCGTTGCCGGGGGAAGATAAGGCGAAGTTTTTGGGGGAGTTGGCGGCGAGGGTTTTGAGGTCTGCCGTTTCATGAATTTGAGGACTGATGGAATGCTCTTGGGTTGGAGGTCGTCGACTCTAAGCTTGTGGGGATGGATGGCTTGGGTCGTTATGAAGCATTTTGTGGGTTACGGGTTTATAATGATACCTAGGTAGGTATATTCTTTCAACGTTGGTTATTGACATTGGGTTACTTGATTTGTCCGTTCGATATCCGGATATTATGTAGAGAGTTATAGTCCACCTTTTTAAGAACATTTTCACACAGATAAAAAACATCACCAATACCTGTATGGAGGTGTCTACAGGCTGCAGGCAGGAAAGAATAAATCGCGCATTTAGGAATTCTGGATAGCTTAAAGGCTTGTCCTTATGCTCCCTAACCGTACACACTTAGTATTTGACAGGGTGATTATATTTTGAAGCCAATTGGCAAGTTTCGCTCTTGAGCTGACAATGCATGAATTGAATTGGCCTCGGAGTAATAAAGTTTTTCGGAAATAGTCTAACTAAATCTCCGTACTCCATAGGTACGAAGCTCGGAGTACTCTGTGTCTTCAGTTGTATTGTGTAAAAACAAAAGAAAGTAAGAAAGAAAGAAAGAAAGAAAGAAAAGAGAAGAAAAGACCACTTCTTCAAGACGAATATGTCTAATTTACTACGTAAATTTACTTTTATAGATGTGAGAACTAACTATAACTAACATTAACTAACTTAGTTAACTAACTAACTATAGTTAACTAGTTAGTGGTTCTAAGCTTAGTAATCCGTTTCCACCCTGGGTGAGATAAAATATTGAACTTGCACGGCTTTTGGTGTATATCAACACCTGCTGTCAGCATCTGCATGCAGCAGATGGCGCTGGAGTGCTGTTTCTTGACCCTGTTTGCTGTGTTAATCACTGACAGACAAAACAATGGAATTTTACAGCTTTTGTTGTAACTATATCAACACATGCTGTCAGCTTCTGCATGCAGTGGACGGCACTGGAGTGCCTTTTTTTGACCTGTTTGGCTGTGTTATTCACTGACTCCATCCTTTGCAGGGTCGAGGACCATCATACAATGTAAGAGTGAGCTTGATATTTGCCAAAGGGTATGGTTCTGAGCAAATCCACTGCACCCCTTGCTGTGGACGAGGAAAGTTCAGCCTCAGTCGGCATCGGGGTTCAAGGCATAAATCCATCTACCCCAAGCACTTAGATCATACTGGGAATGGTTCTCAGGTTTGTGTCCAGGATGGCTTGGAGCATATTTCTCGCTTGTGGACTGGCTTTTTTTTTTTTTTTTTTTTTTTTTTTTTTTTTTTTTTTCTTGCTGCTTGTCACAGCCAAAACACGAGGATTAGCATGACGGTATCGGAGGCTGGAGAACCAACTGGATGCGAGGAATCTCAATCCCCGCAAGCGACTGACTTCTATCTCGGGCCCCCTGATTCTTCCAGGCTCCGACGGACGCGAGGACAAGTTCATGTTTTATTTTCCTTGCCTTGGATGTGTAGAATATCGATTCTTCTCCTCGCTGAAGCCTGCGACTGTTGATAAGCGCAGAGAATCTTCGGGACCAATATCTGACGGTTGTGCTGGAGATTTGCTGGGCTAAGATTGGAGTCGGCGGGCTGTTCACCTGATTTTGAAACCAATCCCAAATATCCTTTGCATCATATCCTTGCATCACTGGCTCATACTGATCTCATAACTCCTTTTCCTTAGCTTCGTTCTGCTTTTTCCGCTAAATAATCTCATCAGGACCACACATGCCATTGTTATAATTTCGTCAATTTTTCCCCTTTGTGGCTCAAGGAGATTGATCTTTTTATCTGCTTTCTGAGGTTCTTCCCATTTACACCCCTCAGGCACCTGAGAGCTAAGCTTGGCTCTTTTTATTTTCTATTTTCTATTTTCTATTTTCTATTTTATTTCCCCCCCCCTGAGAATGCTTCATAGTTATTCTGGAAGTCCTTGAGCCTCCCCATCGTTTTATAATATACCGTCAATAGTGAAAGAGCCTCCCTGTTAGCATCAGCGTCCCTGCTCACACAACAAAGGGCTATATCTTTTTTTTAAAAGATAACCATGGAACCTGTGAATTCTCTATCATCACGCGACCCGAAACCAACCACAGACGCCAATCATGCATCTGCCTCTACTTCCATTTCAGCCCTAAGCAAACTCCGTTCAACTATCGAGCCGGAGAATAGAGAGGGACCTTTGCAGGATCCAACATCTACTTCACAGATGTCACCAGATCGACCGGAGAAAACAGCCCTCGAAACCCTGGATCCGCAAGCGGAGAAAACGGACGAACCAGAAGTAACTGGAAATGATGGGATAGTCTACCTCCGAGGCTATCCGCTCTTTATTATCGTTGTTGGCTTGTGCCTTTCTTCTCTCCTCGTTGCACTGGTAAGCGTGAACACTCTTTATTTAAACTCCTTGTTATATGTAGCTACAGTATTTGCAGTGGAACGCAAAAGATTTATTTACCTGATTTTTCCATTTCCACAATCTGTGCAGGACAACACCATTATTGCTACCGCTATTCCCAAGATCACAGACCATTTTAGAGCTCTCGACGATGTCGGGTGGTATGGAAGTGCTTACCTGCTAACAACATGCGCTTTTCAATTGATTTTCGGAAAACTTTACACTTTCTACCCGGTTAAATTGGTTTTCTTGGCTGCAATTATTATTTTTGAGATCGGATCAACTATCTGCGGCGCTGCCCCAAACTCTGAGGCCTTGATTGTGGGTCGTGCCATCGCTGGACTTGGATCGGCTGGCATTTTCAGTGGTGCTATGGTTATCATCACTTATTCAATCCGATTGGAGCAACGGCCTCTGTGTAAGCTCTTCTCCTGTTTCTCTCGAATAGTTCAGCCTTGGTATTTTGTTGTTTCCATCATGATCTTTCTAACCCGTCGAATTAGACAATGGCCTACTAGGCTCCACGTATGGTATTGCGTCAGTTGCTGGACCATTGATGGGTGGTGCTTTCACCGATCGTGTCTCTTGGCGATGGTGTTTCTACATCAATCTCCCAATTGGTGCCATTACTGTTTTAGCTGTTGCTATATTTCTCGCTCCACCCAAGCAGACCCTGAAGAAGCCAGAATCCTGGAAAGAGCAGATAATGCAGCTGGACCCCTGGGGAACAACAGCATTCATGCCCGGTGTCGTCTGCCTCCTCCTCACACTTAAATGGGGAGGTACCAAATATCCCTGGAACAGCGGCCGTATAATTGCCCTCTTAGTCCTTTTCGGTATTCTAATGGCGATATTTGTCGTCATCCAGATATGGGCCGGAGATAATGCAACGGTTCCACCACGCATCCTACGTCAACGAACCATGCCCTTTGCAACCTTTTTCGCCTTTACGGTAGGCTCCTCCTTTTTCATCTTGGTCTACTATGTTCCCATCTGGTTCCAGGCGATCAAAGGCGTCTCTGCAACAAAGTCTGGCGTCATGACTATCCCGATAGTCCTCTCTATGGTGGTTTTTTCAATCATATGTGGTACTTTCATATCTACTATAGGATACTATGCCCCGTTCTTCTACTTATCGGCGATCATCGCCTCTGTCGGTGCCGGCCTCCTCACAACCTTTACACCGACAACTGGCCACCAGAAATGGATCGGCTATCAAGTCATCTATGGCGCTGGGATTGGTCTCGCTTTCCAACTACCCATCCTTGTACCGCAAGTGGTCCTGAGCCTGGAAGACGTCGCCATTGGAATCGTCGTTGTGCTCTTTTGCCAACTACTTGGTGGAGCGATCTTCGTCTCAATCGCCCAGAATATTTTTACCAATAAACTTTTCAACGGTATATCCCGCGCTGCACCAACTGTGAGCCCATCCACCGTTTTGCAAGAAGGCGCTACGTCGCTGCAGAAAGTCATTCCTCAGGAATATCTCGAAGCCGTGCGTGTTGTTTATAATAACGCGCTGACGGATACGTGGGCTGCCTCGGTTGCGATGTCGGCGATAGGCCTTCTTGGGGCGTTTGGTATTGAATGGAAGAGCATAAAGGCGAAGAAACTCGATTCTGTGGCGGCTGCTTCTTAGAAAAGTCCTGTGCTCTTCGTTGAATAATTTCATTAGTTGTAGTTACTACTAAATTTTGTTATTCCTCCTTGACATTTCGCACCCGCCGTCACATCCCCTTCCTTTTTCATATATAGCCATTTCTCTTTTGTTCCCTTATTAAGTAAACTCGATATTTTACTGATACCTTGTGCCAGCCAACCCCGTAATATGTATCCATATTTGGCTGCTGGCCACCCTCCACTCTTCAATTCCTAGCATGTAATACTGTCGTTTTCCTTGTTCAAAGTTGCACCATCCGCTATTACCTTGGTATCCAAGACGGTGACAAGAAAAACTGTCAGGAGATGTGGAAGATCTCCAGCACGAATATTCCATTTCCTATTCTTGTGGGATAGAGAAGTTGGTCTGGATAGAGTTTGTCTATGTCCTCCCTCTAGAATGGCAGATGCTCCACTAGAAGCTGCTGCCCAAAAAGAAAGAAATGGAGTTCTTGATAGTATAATAATGTATTGTTATGATAATATTCAAGACTCAAGAAAACACAGGTACTATTATGGAAAAGGAACTTAAAGCAAATGGTCCTAATTATGTATCAGATATATCTCTTAAAGTTTAAAGGATTTAAGTCATGCAAAACATCCATTTAATAATCTAAATTAGTATTGAATTTGGAGTTTGACGTTAAACTAACTTCGTATCGATGAATGCGTACTGTAGTTATGTCCTCTTGATTGAATGGATGATCCAAGCGCTACAAGAAAATCATATATACAGCTAGTCTTTTTTATTTCGTCGAAAAGTGAAATCAAGTTGAAAATAAAAAAAAATTAATAAATTAATTCATGGACGGAGTAATGTGTCATGTTGGAAATGGTAGCTACGCCTCAGACCGTATATATTGTATGTTGTGTATTCTAATAATTCCATAAATCCAACGCATGTGTGTAACTATCTATCCCAACCAAAGAGACTTCATGTTACAGCGCAGCACTGAATTTCTCATTCATCTTCTCATCCGCAGGAATATGATCATTCATTTCATCTTTCTCAATATCCCCCTTGCTCTGATCGCCCATACCCCCGTCACTAGTATCCCAAGATGTGGCATCAACAACCCCATTCCCTTCCAGCATACAGCCTGTCTCGAAAATGCCATAATGCCCTGCAAATTCTTCCAGCATGGTCTCAAATGATTCTCTTTCCAATTCCCCGAGGTTTGCAATGTCCAAATTGTCCAATATGGCCTTGGATTCAGGCTCCAGTTCGAATTCCGTCGAATTCTGCAATGGGGTCGTTCGCTCCGTGGAGAACTCACTAAAATTTTCCGAATTGCTGTGACCGGGAGGGGATGTGACATCCCCATCAGCATTCGCGTTTACTGTTTCATCCTCATCCTCATTCAAACACCTATTCACACTTTCGTTTTCATTCCCACTCTCTGACTCTGAAACGCTGCTCCCCTCTCTCACTAGTGGGTGCTTCGCAATAGAATCCAAAATCATTATACTAGGCGGACACGGCTTTGGCGAGGACATGGGGCCGTAACAGTCCCTGTCAACGCTGGAACGGTAATAATAATCTGACGACAAAACTTCGCCTTGTGTCCATGGCTTGCAAGTGTACAACTGTTGCATGCCCATGACCCCCATGATCCTTTCCAACGAGTTGGTGAGAGCGTCCGCCGCCGGATAGATTTCCCGGAGACGCAGGAGGGTCTGCAGACATTGCTGTAGTCTGTTCAAACTGTTTACTTTTATCCCAGGGCTCGGTGATGCCAAGTCCATGACGTGGGTTGCGACGGCGGAAAGAAGTGGTGTGGTACCATTTGATGGAAGGTATCGGGTTAGATTTAGATGGTGAAGATCTTGAGCTATGGAAGTAATTTCTGCTGCGGTTTGTCGGACTTTTTCGAGAGACCCTTGCTGTAACTCGCAAGACAGCAGTGTATTGGGGAGGCCTCGTATGATCTGTGGGAGATGCAATGTACTGCGTATAGCTAGATAGAGTAATTTGAGCATCCCACGGTGAAGGTGGAGTACTTCCTCTCCTTCAGATAATTCGCAACCAAATCGTGGGGAGTATCTTGTTTCTTCAGGTATATCGGCAAACCATTCGTCCAGAACCTCATCATGGTGTTTTATTTGGGAGATATCCACTGACTCTCTCTTCGGAACGAGTACCATTTTCCCGCCTCCTGTCTTGTGACGGAGGATGCGATACTGTACGGAGAGTACCTGCTGCAGATGGCAACATAGCTTTATCTTTTCGATGAACATAAGCACTAGCTCTCTTTGATAATCTGGGCTACTTAGGATTTCGCTGCCGCCAATCATCTGCTGGAGGTGGGCCGGAAATGATTGAAATTCAAAATCATCGGTGCTGACCATCTCCACGTCATACTCATCCTCTCTGATTCTGGTAGGACGCCTCATCCCAAGCGCAATAGTCTTGTCTCGACTGTATAAGGTCCACCAGATACGTCTCCAAGCACTCCTTGTCTTGGTGTCCATTCCTGACGTAGTTATATCAAGATGTAACCCGTTGAGCCTGGATAAGGCTAGGCTGATACCTGTCCAGTGCCAGCTATCTTTTTGGTCATGTGGGGTTTCAAACCAATAACTCATAAGCAATAAAACCTGAATGACAACGATTTGGTCATCTTCATAGTCGAGGTCATAGAGAGCCTGGCGTAAACTTATTAGCTTCTAAGCCTTACAGAGCAAATTTTGACAACAAAGACCGAACTTACCCTTACTCTCTGAAAGAAAGCCTTCCGCGCTTCTCTCCTAGATTGATATCCTGACATGCGCAGGTGTTTCATGTCAACGAAAGCTGTCCCGGCAAACATCACTGCCTGGAAAAGCAGCAAACTTATCTGCTTTCTTCCATTGTTCTCATAGATGGTTTGAAGAAAGTCTTCGAGGTCAAGAAAGGGCATGTAGACGTGGACATAATTGACAAAGTTTTTAAGTAACTCGTTTCGTAGCGCGAAATGAGGTATACTAAATGCTCCTTTTGTTTGAAGGTAATTCAAATCGTCCGGCTGAAGTTGCGTAGGATAATGTTTGATGTAACGGGGAAGCTCAATTTCCGTCTGTTTATTGACAGGATCGGGGATAGGGCCAAAGAGCTGGTGCATGATGGAGAACATGTTTGACAATACCATGTCATGGGCAAGGATTGGATCGGGTATGGATTGCTGTTGAAATTCACACACATTGGTATCAAACCCTTGAGCTTAACATACGGTCAGCCATCGAAATACTGTCTCTGGTAGTTGTTGGGGTTGATTCTTCGATGTGGAAATAGAGGTCTAGGTACCGTGACTTTGATCAACACTCCCACACTCCGGTATTTTGATGAGTTCCTCGCTTGGCGTCGTATTCCCTGCATTCCAACCCTTGCCATCTGCATCTCTCTGCGGCTGGCCAGTCAGGAGCGTTGTGCCATCCGCCGTGCGAGCGAATTTTGTCCGCTTGCTCTCTGCAATGGCACATTCTCCTCCATCCAAGCGGCAATTCGTGCAAGGGATGTTTTTTATGAGCACATCGCACCGAACTTTCCGAGCACGACAACTGCGGCATGCTGCTGAAGCTCTCTTTTGGGCTGGCTTTTTAGCATTAAGAAGACCATTGTCATCAGCCTTTCTTTTCCTTTGCAGATGTGCATTCGGCGCTGTAGCTATTGTCTCCATAGTAGCCTGGAATATGATTGAATTGAAATGAGTTGGCGGAAATGTTTGATGTTTTCTGTTTCCTCTCATAACGCAAGGGACTGGGGAAGCACAGAGAGCTCTTCGACTAAAAGGGATTGATGGCGGGGGTGTTTTTAGCCTGCTTTTTAACCCCGTAATTTGCTTTCATGGCGTGCTGCGCCTTGACTCCGTGGATCCTCACAAATGATTGGCCTGACACGGGAAGAAGGTCAAATTCACCCGGCTGGCTTAGCCTGGCTGGTTGGTTGGTTGGTAGTTATCCCTAGTGGCGATAAATGTCAGGATTTATGACCGAGATCCGAGCACGCAGTAAATTTGGTGTGCGGTCAAGCAGCGCCATGACTTCTCGCTACTAGTAATTGGCGCAATTCCATCAAAAGGATGGCAAGATTTAATCCGAATATTGATTTATCCAATGATAGCCTGTAGTTACTTCTTCGCGCTACTCAATTTGAAGGTGAGTGGGCTGTGGGGAAGAAAATATGCCAAAACCCTGGATTTCAACAGCTGGATTATCATTCCCCGCACATACGAGTACCACAGGGGAAAAAGGAGTATTATGATCCTCTTTTTTGAGAAGGCCTGGAGCAAAATAAGTTATTTTTCTTCCGGAGTTGAGAGCGTAAATCGAACAAGCCTCCTCCCCTGTGATTTTCCCGCCAAGATATGTGGGGCTGGTGTCTCAACGAAAGCCCTGCAAACAGCTGAACGGCGAGTTTTCATAAAAGTCTCAGAGCGGCCTATGGCTGATTCCTGTTGTTCCGGAAGGCAAATCCACCAAGTGCAGGAAAAGTCCTAAGGGCAAAACATATCCTGTGTTGCTAGATAAAAGAGCTTTCCTGCGGTGTGAACTTGAAATATAGGTCACTTGCCCAGCGAACGAGTCTTGGATGATAAGAAAATTGGTTTGCCCAACGACGCTGGCGGTTCCAATTGCCATTGCGGTAGATATGGTAAGGGAGCACCATCCATATTTACCAATCATAGAGTCCACATTTGAAGCACGGCGATAGATTCTAAGGAATGGCCGCCTTACCGGCTCAAGTGAAATGATGATGCGAACAAGGCCAAACTCGCCGAAAATTTCGATTTGCTTTTGTGACTGGGGATATTTGTGTCTGTTCAAGAGGTCGTTTTGCCGGAAAATTGAAACATGCGAACGAATGAATTCTCCACTATTGTTTCCATATAAACCGAAGAAAGCACTCTTCCTAGACATCTCAGATGTGACCGGGTGTCACGACCACAAGAACCTTGGGAAGGTTTCAAAGGATTACTGGAACCCACCCACACGCCAATTTTTCCGGAGTTAGTCGTTTAGCCCAGTTCCGAAGCGGGCTCTTGTCACCGGTCAAAAATCCAGTCATTTTCGCCGACCTGCATAAGCAGTGCTATCCTGAGCTTCTTCATTAGAGTTTCTGTGTTCATTTGTAATAGTAATTAAATAGTTAACTAACTAATAAAAAAAGGTTATATTGCTCTTATAGGCGGGAGTGCACTTCGACAAGCGTATGCCTGCTTGCTCTGAAGGAAGGAGAGAAGTCAAGAAAAGAGGTGAGCATCATGAGATGACGATGACTTCATTTTACGTTAAAGTAGTGTAGCAGAGTCCGGGTTTCAACGGATCTCAATACTGTCAACACCCAGGACAGACAACCAAGCGTTCTGCCTTGAGTTCCACTTGCATAACTCCATATAAGGAAACTCAAGGTTTGATTCTGCCTGGTCCCCTTCCAAGCATTGCCCTGACGCTGTCTCTACCCGGGGAGGATTCTTGACCTGGAGGCCGGGAGGACAATGTGGGTTGTGTACGTGCGTCAATAACAGTGCCATTAATTGCCCTAGCTCGTACGCCGTATGTTGTCCCCCCAGAGCTTTCTTTGAAAATTTCTGTAGTATTCCCTGTGGACCACGATCTGCCATGCATGGATTTATATGTCGCCTCGCCAAACTGCGTTGCATCGTATTGGGATGAGCCGGTTGTGAGAGTGTACGGGGAGTAATAGTCAAGTTCAGTCTGATACGTAAATTTCAAACAGCGAGATAAAGAAGCTTGGATTTCTAAACCACTGGTGGTAGACCAATATATAGAGTGGACTTCCAGTGGATAAGAGCTGGCTGTTTCACTGACAATGATGTCGCTTCCGTAGGATGAATCAAGCGATTTTGATGTAGCATCTGTCCTCTGATTACTTAATTGAGCCCTGCCTTGCTTGGAAAACGACCCGGAGTTTGAAAATGCGTTGTTTTGAGTCCAAGATGAGGAAGGTGAGATGACGGATAATGACCTATATACTTGGACTGTGTACGAAAGAGTTTCATTGGCACCTGTCCGGGGATTCTGCGTCCACTCGTGCATGATATTAGATTTCATCTGCGTCGAAACAACGGGAATAGAGTTGTCCTGTGGAGATATCATACTCCGTTTCGATGCAGATTCTTCGTCGAGATAGATGAAAATCTTCCCCGTCACCACCCAATAGGACCCAACTTGTGGTGACAGCTCTGCTACGCCGTCCTTGATGTCCCCTAGACCAACAACATTAAGCCTGAAGGAATGGGGTTGACCATCTGCTAATACAGGTAAAAACGGAGTAATATCAATCTCTGGCTCTCGCAAATCAAAAGCATCAATCCCGACAATAGGTCTCCAGAAACCGGGAGCAATTCCTCCCGTGAAAATAATTGGGAAGGGCCATACAACTCCCGCTAATTGACCGTCGATGAGCAGTTGAACTTCGCGAAAAGGGGAATATCCATATAAAGGTCCAGTTGTTTGATTAAAAGTATAAGTATCTGACGAGAGGACGTTCGTGTACCAAAATTCCTCAGTAGATTGACCACAGGCGGATATGGATACAACTGCCCGGTAGGCATCGTCAGGTATACTGTGTATGACACTCGCATTGCTATCTGGAAGGTTGAACGCGCTCGGTAAGTCTACCTCTGAGCGCTGTGCGGAAATAGGAAGAATAACATCTGCCGTTCTGATGTCACGATTTCTTAACGAAAATGCTGCTGTCAGTGATACGTTAAAGGGACCTGTGTAAGTTTCATCGATTAGGTTCCCGAGATCGAAGATAAGTTTTTGAGGTTCCATCCACAGAGCCTTGTAAAGGGACACGTCCTTGAGATATGTCCAAACAATCCCATTCGGCGTAGGCTCAGCCGTTGACGTGCGGAAAACCTCAGTATCACCGAGAAACATAAGTGCTAATCTATCAAACTGGCGACCCTTGGATGTGACCGTCAGGTTCATAATCACAGTGTCAAAATCGCACTTGGGAGGCACATAGTTTCCTTTGTAGATATATATCAATGAACTGGCACTGGACATTTCCATTCTCGGTCTAGACTAGATTATTTGAAAAATAAAATAAAATATAAAAAAATAATAAAAAAAAAAAACCTTACCAACAAAAGGATGTCCATAGCTAAACCCAAACTCATGTTTCATCAATAAAAGTTCCCTATTGCATCCCTCTGATGGGTCTTTGTTCGGTGGACCACCGGGGAGTGGTTTGTATAACTGAAATACTTGGAGCTGTGTCCCATTGGTCTGAGAACTCCATTTCCCCAGTATCACTGAGCGGGGGAGGAAGATAAATCTATAGAAAAGTGCAAGGAATATCGCGAAAATGCAGACTGTGCCCTTGGAATGTCGGGGTCCATTCTTTCGAACCGATGTTATGGGGCTCACGCTTTCAGAGTTGTGATGCGTTGTGCCCTTCTCACTCGGGAAGGGCAGTGAGTTGATATCCATTGCAAAGGGCTTTATTGATGATGGATATTGATCCGCCCAGTAACCAAGTGATTATCGAAGTTGGTTTATCTTGAAAACTGAGATCTTGTGCTTGTCAGAACAACCTTAATCATTGTAGACAATAAACCATCGTTAGTACTTTTAAGCTTACTTGAAGTACACAAGTACGGAATATCGGAGAACAGTTTGATGAAAGCTTCAACGCTTGGAATTGAGGTAAACTTGGAATTGACCCGTAGATCCGTCCTTGGGATTATATCAACGGTTTAAGTCACCTGATAACTAGTTTATCATACGCCCGGGTGCCTAACCTTGAATAGGAGATTTGGTGGCTGCCTCTTATTACCCAGGTATACCGTATCATTGGGGAATTGCCTTACATGGTTTAGCGCCATCCTGATTGGGTTTAGCGCAACATCGCCGCTTTCTGGAGGAGGTACTGGATAGAAGCACGAATGACATCTGACTCTGTATGAAGTAAATGGCTCTTTTCCACCCGAGGCATTCGCTCCTGAAGAGAAGATACATTGGCGGGAAGCCGATTTCCCGCAACCTGAAGAAGGATGCTTGCGTTCTCTAGCATGAAAGCTTTGGGAGCATCCATGCCAACTGTTGATTGAGCAGACGCCTGGATCGTGCGGTAAGTGGCATTGTTTGGGAGAGGTGAAATAGAAAGACTTGGAAGAGGTTCCCAGAAGGATTCAAGAACAGTTTGTTGCGGCATCCTGTGTCCTTATGTGTAACCTCCAGAGTGCAAAATGACAGTAAGACTAAAGAGAAGCATCGCATATCCTAATGAGGAGCTGGGAAGGAAATATGTGATTAAAGTATCTCTATATACCTCCAAGCACCCGCCTGCCTAAAGTTAAGCCCCCAAACCCCTCATTTTTGGGCGCTTTAGCTCTTGCCGCGCGCCAACAACCTTCCCCGCCAGCTCTGTCTAGTACCCCAATCCGGTTAGTCCATGACTAGCGGGGCTGAAATACATTTTTAAGTGCGAGCGAGCTGTTCATTTCATTTTGATGTCCACAACAGTAACTGCTGCTTTCTCAGACCTTTCTAATTTTCCAAATTTCCAAATCTTGCACAGCCATGACTTATCAACTGAGTGCTTCCTACTGTGCTAGATACAACAAGTCCAAGCCACCATTATCTTACTTTCCTGGGCAAGAGTTTTGCATCCACCCTCATACTCCACCTGCTCCCGCAAACAGGTTGAGGTCGTCTTATCTTATGAGGGGCATCGGGAAAGGGAAAGTACGCATCCTGTGGATCGTTGCATACTTCATCCTCCATTGCCTGGATTGACTGGAAAGGGTACTATTCGATTAAAGGTTTGTTGGACCTGTCAGAATAGGAGACCAACACAGTGCTCAACTTGTTACCGTCTACATGGTCGATAAGACTCCAGATATATTAGACTCGATACCAACTGATAAGTATCTAGTCGCTAAGCTCTGCGATCCCCTTTACTTTGACCATGAGCAAGATGATGTGGATCCTTTTCGCTATACGGACCTAGCATACTCTCATGAAACCGCAGCCTACCGACTGCTTTATCCACTTGAAGGAACTGTCATTCCAAAATATTATGGGTCCTTTACACTTGAACTGCCAATTCTGAATAAAAAAACTTCGCGATCTATCCGGTTAATCCTTATCGAAAAAGTACCCGGGATCTCAATGCAACGTCTCAATCCAACCAACCATACGCGGTCAGAGCGTCAAAATATTTTGAAGGCAATTGTCGATGCAGAATCTATGCTGTATGCTCATGATATATTACATAGAGATATACACCCGAGGAATGTTCTTGTGCTGGATAGCGCTCATCGGTGTGTGGTACTCATTGACTTTGGATATTGCGGGATTGGTCGAACTCCTTCAAACAGCCCTGCCGAGTGGAAAGCCAAATACCTTCTTGGTGTTCCCATATCCCCCATTGCTGCGCTGGGATCAGGGTTGGGGCCGTCATGCGAATTTTCATGAATGGATTGACTGGGACTGGCAAACTTGGCTTGAGCACTGTTATGAATTCACGAGAGCATCCATAACGGAACACATGCGGTCGATTTGGCTTCCAAAAATACCGCCTATATCATCGCCTCCACGTCCGTCCGCATCTTCAGTGTGTTTCCCCGCTCCTTTGCCGTTCTCCGGCTCCTAGAATTCCAACGTGCCCTTTTTTATCGACTAAACCAAGAAGAACAAATAAGCAGATGGCCGTGGTTTGGGCTTGAATATCAATGCATGCGTTTTGCCCAACTCCCTATGGTTTATGTGATATCATTTTTTTTTAACAGGATATGTGAAGAGGGAGGCCCAGTGGTGCCACCTTCATTTTTGGACAACTGTAGAGGATCACGGCACCTCATTATAAATCAAACCCACGTTCCAAGTGCGCGACATCCTCCCATCTTGACAGCCACTCTCCCTGCCCACCTACCCATGAAACGGACGGAATTCGAGCTGCCACCGGCACAGATCCATCTCCTGGTGAAGCTTCTGATTTGGCCCACCTCGGATGCTCTGGGAAGACGAGTGGCGGCGACGCAATGAGGGGGTGGAGGCGGAGAGACGACTTCCTCGAAGGTGGGTCCCCTGCGAGGACGACCGAAGCGAACGATGCTGCCTGAGGACGCTCCCCACGAGGATTCTTCCCCCCCCCCCCCCCCCCCCCCCAAGGAGAAGATCAAGCAGGAGGATCGGCCTTTTTTTTCTTGGGGGGAAAAAAGGCGGGGCGGGGAAAATTGTGCCCCCCCCCCGGGGCCCTCTTAAAATGGTTTTAGGGAGAAGCAAAAAGCGGGCGTGCTCGATTCTTGTGCCGCGGTGCTTGATACCGACTCGACCTTGTTCGCTGCGAACCAATCATTTCATGCAACATGTGTTGTAGCTTGCCACCTTGACAATATCCCTGCGATATGCTGAGCGACCTCAAGGTCGCTATCCATCCCAGTATCCTTTCATGAGTCACCCATTTACAAGTTTGAGCTCGGAGGAGGGTGTTGTTGGTCTCTTGGCATTTTTAGTGCAGTGTGCTCAAAAATGAACCCAAGCAATTATGTATTTAGTCCCAAGTGATAAACCAGGGGTTATACATGGCGCTGGATAATTGGACAAGGCTGACTATGCAGAATAATTAACCGCGGAGGAGTACCATCCCAACCAAAGCAAATCTCAGTGACCTGGAAAGTATCTGAGTGAAGTGGATCTAACTTACCTAACCAGTCAGTCTAGTGCCAAGGGTACAGCACCTATATAAATTGAGAACTAGATCTTGCTTCAATAGATGACCTGCGGGGCTTTACCGATTGCTTTAGCCAAACTAGAAGGGAAAAGGCTGTACGAATATGGAACATATTGTATTATTTTTATATGGATTCAAACAGGCCTAAACCCGGGTGGGAAGTTTCAAGAGTTATGCGAAGAAACTCCGATCAATATTATGCTATTCTTGTGACTTTGATCAACCCCCAAAAAGGGAAGCTGCCCTGGTTGTTATGGTTTCCATCTGTGCATGACAAGCCCTATTTATCATCAATTCAGACACCGAGTAGTCTTATTACCCGTTGCATCACCTTGAACAATGGAGCCAACTCTCTGCTTCTTGGCATGTCTGCTAAGAATATGAGAGTCTCTTCCGCCTTCTTTGGTTGTATCCGCGAAGCTCCATTGCGCGTCTTGGTACTCTGTTTCGTCAGATAATGTCGATACATCAGAGCCGTCCAAGGTAAGGGCTGCCTCGGAAGCTATCTGGCACTGAGAGGTAGAATGGAGAAGTTGAGATTGAGCCTCTAAGTGCCTTTCATTTGTTGTCCTTATAAATTCGTCCCTCTTTTCCTTTGCCCAGTCTCGAGCATTTCGATATGCACATGCTCCTTGCCGAAACGTTTCCAGGTTCCCAGTCATGCCCCAAGTATTGAGTTGGGTCATAATATATTCAGGGCGACGGCCTGGGCCTTCGGGCTTGATGAGATGAGTTGTGTATAGCTTGAGTGTATCGCCATGATAAGTCAATGTAAGAGTGTAAGCATTATTGTCATAAGTTGATCCGTCTTGTTGGTATGACTGGAGAGCGTGCATTCCCCGAGCTCCTAGTGCGCCGTCATAACATGCCTGCCGTGTAGCCACAGCCAAGGATCCATCAGGGCCTTTTGCTTCCAAAAAGAAATTTGGAACCATTGGAAGATCATCCTGTGTTGCGGGAAAGATATGGTCGCTAAGTTCGCTGCGGATTTGACGATCAAGCTGTTCAGGACGCGCACCGTAGAAGTGATCTGGCTTGGCCTGAGCCAGTGTACCATCAGTTAAGGGGGCAAGATTTCCAAGTGGATATCCCCCTCCGGCGCATTTGGGATCATCAACATCACCTTCGATGATAGGAATCACTGACGATGTGACCGGTTGTTCTTTAGATGAGTGGGTATCTGCTCGTTTGAATTTCCGGAAATGTTCATCAGAGAACTTCGATGGGGAAAGGGAGGGTCGGGGTCGAGCTAATGTTTCATTGATCTCCTTCCAGTTATTTGGCATTGCTGGTATTCGACCATCGGGATATTCATATCCGTCAGGGTAAACGCCATGGTCAATCATATTCTGCTGGAAGTTACGATTATAGGGTGTATTGCTCGTGGACTTGGTGGTATCCCTCGTATCTGCGCCTGTTGATGGAGAACCTGCGCGTCGCTTTCTACTCCGAGACCTTGAGCTCATTGCCTTTTCGAGGAAGTTTTCCGGTTTAGGATACTGGGCTATATTATCAGCAATGACGTATTTGCATGGATTTGTAGTTACATACATTTCTAAGGTCAGTTAGGTCAGGTCCTCCCAATCTGGAAGCCCTCTTTATCTGCTTTGAACAAGCAGGTGCACAATCACGGAGAAAGACCGGAGCGAACTGAAAAGAATTACAGCGCTTTTTCAGCTCGGTGTGAAATTGTCGAGTGATAGGTCTATGATGGTTCTTGGGTGGTTTCGGAAGGCCGTTTCTTCGATCCAACTCCTCTAATGCATCTTTGGTTAACCAAATCTTTGACAGGTTATCCCAATATGTTGATGCCGACGCATCGAACTTCTACCTTTTCCGAAATCGCGACCTGTCGGATCGATGGGGCTCAGGATACTGACGCTTGCGAGACTGGTTGTAGGTCGCTGAACTAGGCATATGGCTATAAATTTTTTTTTTTTTTAGCTCTTTTATCATGCTAGTATGCGTCGAGAGCAGAAATGTGCAGAGGTTCTTATAATAAACTGCTGGGAAGAGAATTATATTTCGGGCGCGTAGTTCGTTCTTGAAACAAGGGCAGCATCAGTCTCGCGCTGTCGATTGGAGCTCGCTGCTTTGACATGTTTCAGAGTTAGCAAGAGAAAATATTAGCAATCACACCAACCCCCATAGCATTGTCCAGCAATGCAAGAAACAGGGAGTCCTCGTCACATGCAGACACTGGGCTTGAGAAAACATCTGTCCAAGCTGGCTATGGATGACTTGCTTCAAAGTGAGCGAAGTCAAGTTGCTTCTATTTGTGAGTCCATTCAACAGTAATTTTTCATTATATTCTAACTGTATGTAGTGTCTCGCCCAACCTCCCCAGGTAAAATTGAGGTACATAATTGCAAAGGGAGGAAACGGCGGCGCCCCAATGCCAGAATACCGAAACCATCGATGGCTGCCACCGGATAATACAGATTGCGTCGACTCTTCAACCAAGTTCTCCTTCAAATGACAGCGAGGATCACCTTTCTGAAGAGCCTAATGGTAAATGTGGATCATTTTCGATTATGCCATCCCAATACCCTGCCTCTTGCTTTCTCCATTTCCTCCTCGCAATTCAAGCCCGGAATCTCTCGTGGAACTGAATATTTCAATTGAAGAGGCAGCTGTTGAGCCCGCGACGCTGTCATCAACTACGTCAGGGGAAGGCTCAACTTTACCACGTACGGTACAACCCAGCGATGGGGGTGGAAGTTTCACATTACCTGGAACGATGCAGTTGGAGGCCCCAGCGGACCTTCAGACTCAGTCAGTTGGCGATGTCGATTGGGATAAATTCTTTGCGAGTACTAGTGTAGGGAGGCAGCAGGAAAATATGGATACAGGTACTGGAGACACAACGGAAATAATCTTCCAATCAGGTTTCGATCATGCTTTCGTTGAATTCTATGCGAACAAAAATGTTGAAATGCAAGCCTGGGCAGATTTTAGTTCATCATTGGGCTTTGAGTGAAAAATCAGAGTGTTTCGCTGAATACTATTTAATAATGCAAAGACTTGAAAATACATTTGAAAGTCTGAACAGCCTCTTGACATAGATCATATTTTATATTCTTGTCAGTACTCCAGTAAAATGCAGGAACCTCCACTGTCTTTATGTTTCACCGGAGAATCCTGCCGCGCTAGGTTTGCATCAATGATAGCAACAATACCATCTTCCTGGGGAACTTCCGCTATAGAAACCACAGGGGATTTCCCGCCTCCAGGCCCTTCCTCCTATGAGACCCTAAACACAAGAGCAGAAATCCAGAACCCGATTTAACCACAATTAACACGGCGAATAGCCCTTGTCCAACAGGAGGTTTAAAAATGGCCGACGGATCGGGGAACTCGTGGAAGTAGACGAAACGACGATGAAGGCAAGACTTATCCTTGACTGATGATATCTTAGGTTTGAGGTTCTATCCTTCAATCAGTCCCGTTTCTTAGGTTTTCATGTTTCCAGCTTACCGCGTTTCGAAATCATTAAAGATGGCATCGCAGTCACTATTCCACTCCAGTTTACTGTGCCGGTGAACTATGCGCGAGACCTTCTTTGATTGTAAATGCGTCTGCAGCTTCTAGATGAGCTTCGAGGAAATCTTTCCTACAACGACGAAGCCAAACCTACTCAGGTCACTATCGAGGTTGTTTTGGGTGAGGGACATGACTTCTTGTATGAGAAAATCGATCGTTTCAAATGAAGGCGAGTGTGGTGATGTGACCGGAAAAGGTGATCTTGGAGCTTCTACCCCGCCCGAAGAACACAGTTAGATTTAAAGGCTAGACGTTCAGGCAGCGATTGCACCGTCAGAGTGAACGCCCCACCATGCTTGAATATTGATTATCCTAGCCATATGACATATTTGGTGCCCAAGCAGTCACCTGAAGAACTTTTTTCCACCCAGTGAAGCTGCCAGAACCATGATTTGCTTTTCGCGATACTGACTGTGCCTACCGACGATAATACATTTTTACCATGATGCTAGAATTTCACCATGTTTCATATCGTGAGCTTCACTCTATCTTGAGCCTTGTTTGGGATATCCCAAAATCTGCATATTACAAAGTTTTCCTCTCAGGGTTTTCCCTAACATTGTTGGGAAGTCCCCTTTCTGCAGGACTCCTTTCCCCAGCGCAGGTTTTTCCGAGGGGTTTTTCCCATGCAATGGGTTATCCCACTGCTGTACGCTACGAAAATTCTCGCTCTCAATCGTCTTCAGCTCGGCCGCACGGGGTTCAAGGGATAACAAACCCGGCATCGAGTTTGTCTTCCCCTGAGCTGTCTACCAATCGAACGTCCCACCTTCTCAACGACCGTCCCCTTTTGTGCTTCGACGTCGCAGTGGAGGCAGGAACACAAGATCAGACGTGGACATCTAGAGCGTATAGCGCAGTGCCTAGGATGTTCTAGGCCGGTATGGACAACATATCCTACATAGATATACACAGAGACGGTTCGCTCTACTCAGTGAATGAACAGCATATAAGGACGCAAGATCTCCTCCGAATCCTGAGGTAATGAATTGACTTGATCAAGAAAAAAACCCAGCAAAACTATTTTTCCATTCCAATATCCGCGAGCCATTACATGTTACCGCTATATCATTATCGAATCACAATGTCCAAACCCACAAGTCTAACAGCACCAAAGCTCCTCGCCCTTCTTCTCTTCCTCCCCCTCAAACACCTCCAAATAGCCCCAACAATGAAGACCCGCAGCAGCCCGTTACAATGGAGCAACTGCAACAGCTTTTCATGGATATTCTTCGTCAAGCCAAGCAGCCATCAGAGTCTTCGGAGCCAATTGGAGATGTCAAATCAGAGAAATGAAAGGATAAAGGAGGCAACGAGGTGAAAGCTCGAGCATCAAAGCTTGAATATAAAAGAAGTCCATGAAGTGTACGTCCCATCATCCAGGAGTCTCATCCTCTTTATGCTCACTGCCAGCTAGGTGGGACAAGGACAACTCGAAGTATAAGATTGTGGAATCCGTGGGAGAGGACAAGGTCCTTGATGATCTTGACCAGTATGTATTTGTTGCCCGGAAGCAGCTAGGTAGGAACACGACCCCAACTTCTCTCACGGTTGATAACTGACAGCATATCAGACAGGATGACCAATGAAACTAAGACCTTTGTCAAATATTAAGTCTGAAGTGTTGCTTGAAGTTCTGCGAGAAATTGTGAGAGATGTTAGGGCTATCAGCTTGCGCGAGGATAAATCTTCGGTATTGTTTCGTCCTCCAACTCAATCTCGTTGAAGAAGTTATTAATCCAATATCAGATTGAGCGCAACTTCCTGTACAATTTCCTTCCTGACCTAGAGAAGAAAGGAAAGAACCACGGAGACCCGCGTTCGAAGCATGTGGATCTGCTCATCGGGTATATCAAGGAAACCTATGCCTCCACAACCCAGAGCCTTTTGCCACTTCTGAAGAGGGGAGAGATCACCTACGACCTGCTTTGGACCATCTTCAAACCAGGTATCTTCGTATACAGTACCTGCCCAGGGACAGGCAAGCCTCGATGTGTTATATTTGATGCCGGAGAAGAGAAAATGAAAATGAACGGGATCAAATACTTCAGCTTAGATTGTCGCTATCTGGACTTTGACGGTGAGGTATTCGGTGAAGCCGGTACCCAGCTGGAGGTGGTCCGGTTCCATGGACCCAGGCCCATTCACGATCTCGAGGCGTTCCCCCTTTGACCATCACCCAAACAAATCAGATGCCCATGAGATCTCTCATCGACTGCGGCCGCAATTTTTGCGACCTGAAGGGGCAGCATATTCGCCACTGCCGCGGTCGTGCCTTCGTCCAAGTCCGGGGAGAAATTGTCCAGATCTCCATTGACAGCCGTATCATGGTGGATCCGGCCTTCTTTCGCCAGATGAATCCAAACTACACCAGACCGCGGATCAACCAGCGGAGTGAATTATACATGGGCAGTGACAGCTCCGCCAGTCTTCATGTGTTTTTTGATAATCAGGGTCAACGCATGGGAGGACAGGTGAAAAGCAATGGTGTGAATCCATCCGGAATGAAGGACGTTGACTTTCTTACTTGCTGTCCAACGGTTTTAGGATACTGTTTCAGCGAGAACATGTGGAGTAAGTGAAACTAGCTTTTGACTAGTGTTCTCGTTAACCTTTGAACGCAGTGGAGTTTGCGGTCGCCGATCTCGATCAAGCTCAATGGTCATCCGCAACCTTCGAAAACCTCCGGATTCCCAGTCAGCAAATGGACACATTCTTAGCTCTGGCAAAGACTCGATTAGGCCTGGTACCTAGCATCCCCTTTGACGATTTCGTTACGGGCAAAGGGCGTGGCCTCAACGTGCTCCTGTAGTAAGTGACTGCGTCCTTGTTAGCAAATGGAGTACCCTGACTTTCAATATCAGTGGCCGCCCAGGTCTCGGAAAGACTTACACCGCCGAGGCAATGGAGGAGCACCTGCAACGACCCCTTTATAGAGTATGTCCCTTATCCGCAAATCGCCAGTCGAAGACTAATGATACCTTTTAGGTCGCTGCGGGAGAACTGATACACGACAAATGTCTGGAGGAGCATGTCTCCAACATATTCAAGATCGCCAGCCATTTCAATGCTATACTCCACATAGACGAGGACGACGTCTTTTTGCATGGACGCTCGATCGGCGGAGTCCACGATCATTCCGTGACGGTCTTCCTCCGCAAGCTTGAATATTATGAGGGGATTTTGTGTCTTACTACAAATCGTGTTGATGAGTTTGACGATGCTATCCTCAGCAGGATTCATTATAAGCTGAAGTACGAGGATCCGACCCGAGAATTCCGGCAACAGATCTGGGGGAGTTTCCTTTCAAAGGCGGACACACATAAGGGAAGCGCACAAGTGTCCAGTGATAAGCTGCATAAACTGGAGGGGATGGTGGGTGATTTGGATGGTTGGCAGGCCCACTCTGGTTTAAAACATTACGAGTGTAATACCGAACCACCACGGTCCGGACCAGAAGGACGCCAAGGAGTGACTTTGGTTAACCAGTGAGTAAGCTTTCGGCCTGTATTCCGGGGCCAGGAACAAGGGGTGATCGAATCCCAGCGCGGAAAAATTGGGGCCGCGCATTTTGAGCAGAGCAAGGAACTCTGCGGAGGAACAAAAGGGTCATGAGTTTGCGAGCCCACCACGGGAGCCACGTACCAGGGACTTTGAATATCATTCCACCCCACTTGGTTTGCAGCAGCTCCAAGAGCCCATTTCTGTGACAGAGAACAGATTGGTGCTGCTGTACAAAAGGGCCGCGTGCGAAGGACGACCGGCGACCAAAATCTGTCGATCTGCGAGTGAATCCCCGCATTAGGCAACGCAACGGTCAATGATAGGTCAGAAGCTGCATGGTGCGCGATTGGTGGGTCCCTGGCGGCTACCGAATGGACTGGGAATAGTGGAGCTAAAATGATCGACCAGGCGGGGGATTTGGAGCCCTGACAGCCCCCCCCTCTTAAGCCACCCGCATTCAATGTTGGGAACCCGGAAAAAATGGCTGGCAATCTCCACGCTGATGTAGCCGAGAAATGAGTGACTGGATCTGAAGGCAGAGGTGCTGGGCAAACCTTGCATCATCCTGCGAAAGACGCAGAGAATCAGAGCCCGCCCTGGCCCCGCAGAGAGAGAGACTCCTGTCGAAGTTGTGTTCGAGAGAGAACGCCCAGCCGGGAAAGGTGTTCATGGGGTCACGTGTAATTGATTGCGGATGGTCACTGTCCGCACCTCAACCCGGCCTGCCACATGTTTTATGGTCAGGGCCACGCTGTGAAAACCGTGGCCCCTTCAGATGGTCGCGCGACCGAAGTCAGTGGAATCTCGAAGAAGAGGCTGCTGTCGGATGATGACATGTCCAGTTCAGATTGCACCATGTCCTATATGGGCACCATCGCCCGGGTGGTCCGACCTTGAAAGGAACGTTTGCCGACCGTCACATACCCTGCTGCCTTTCTTGCTGTGCGAGTAAGGCTTCTTTCCACGGACCTAGATTGTACTCCGAGTGAGTGTTATGGATGCTACAGAAATCTATGCGATCGCCGCTGGCGGCACCTTTGCCCTTCTCGTCGTGGCCAGATTTCTATCACACCTCACGCGCCTGAAAAGCATCGTCAGCGTGCTGATAGCAAAGCATCTCACTTACCCGTACCTGCTTGGCCGGCATCAACTCCTCGGTCCTTGAACCCGCTTTGATTTTCTTTGCCATCTCCTCTATTGTGCAATAAATGTGTTCTGTCTTTGCTTTCCAAGCCTGTCGGCTGTAGACGCTGGTCGTCGAGCGGGGACACTGTCGCTGATCAACATGATATTCCTCTTTATTTGGTTGCACCTCAGCTTTGTCGCTGATCTTCTTGGGATATCATTACGGAGATGTCGAGGTTCTCATCGCGCTGCAGGTTGGATGGTGATGGCCCTCTCAGCAACTCACGCTGTCCTGATGAGTGGCAGGACTCCTTTTCCTCTGCGTGATGTTAGGCAACCTCTTCGCACTCATCGTAAGTTCTTGCACCGCGCACGGGCTTATTGACCTAACCGGCTGGCAGGGTGTCGTGTCTCTTGGGATACTGTCGCTGCTTTTCATGCCATTCTTTCGCCGGCTCACCTATGAGATCTTTCTTCGGCTACATCAAATGGCCGCGTGCCTCTGTGGTCTATGCCATCTGGCGCCACCTGCCATCCCTCGGAGTCGTTCCTCGGCTCTATCTGTACATCTTACTAGGTACCTCTCTGGTGACTCTTTTCCTACAGTCCGTGCTCTTCCTCTACCGAAATGGTGTCTTCACATCCCGCGGCTGCCCTCGAGCATTGGTCACTTGCCTTGTGAGAGGCGACGATAGCGACTCCGATGATCGTTGCACCAAACCCATCAAGATCCGTGTTGCCCTGTCCAGGCCGCTGAGGGTCCGTCCCGGACAGTACATAAATCTGTGGATGAGGTCCGTGAGCTGGTGGTCATGGGCACAGAGCCATCCCTTTACGGTGATGTCTTGGTCTCCCGTCGAGCAGAGCGCTCTGGATCTTTTTATACAGCCTCGCCATGATCTCACGGCGGATTTGCTTCGACACGTGGAAGTGGGCCACGGGGTTTCCTTGTCTTTTCCCGCATTGGTCAGCGGGCCCCACGGTACCAGTGAATCTACAGGGCAATATGAAACGGTCCTGGCAGTGGCCAGCGATTTTGGTGTTGCCCCGGTTATTCCGTATCTCAAGCAGCTGGTCCATAGCTACAATACAAGTACTTCTCGAACACGTCGGGTGCACTTCGTGTGGCAACTGCGTACCCTGGGTGAGTGTGACCATATCCCATACCGGATGGCCTGGGTTGACCTGTTACAGATACTGCGATTGCCGTACAGCCCTGGCTCAACGAGTTGCTGCAGGATGGCGTCCTGGATGAAGGCTATGTATTTAGTCGTGTTCCCTGGCTGCTTCTTGACCAGGCTAACCGCACCGATAGATCCTGACCATCTCGATCTACGTGGAATTCGGCCAGATCACAGGCGACCGAATGCCATTTGGGGGACACGAACGTGCTTTTGTCTACAAGGGCTCGGCAGACTTGCAGGATATTCTGCAGACCGAGGCGTCCGGTGAACGTATCAAGCGGCTAACTGACGTTCAGGAAGAGCGAGGGGACGTGCTTGTGATGGGTAAGGATCTCCCACCGCGAGCTTACGGCAGAAGTGCTAATCGACTTAGTTTCTGCTTCAGCCGAATTGCGGGATCGTCTGCGAGATATTGTCAGAGGCTATCTGTATGACAACGTAAGGATGTTGGAGCTTGAATTTCAACCGGATTGAGACGAGGAACCGCAATGGTGGCAATTTCCAATGGCACAATATTTGAACCGGACAAGACTCAGCTTAGAATAGTACTTAGAGTAGTAGAACGAACCGAGTTGAACATGCGACACATCTTCAATGTAGTACTATATATAAAAAAAAAAAAAGGCCGAGCTGTTTCTGTAGCAAAGACCGTAAAAAACAATAATTACGCTGACATTAGGTAGTACCAGAATAGATTCAATGAGAGGCTGTGATGTAATTGCAATCAATCAAAGCCAGAGTAGAACGTGCGTGTAGATATCAGGGCGAAGGAGACCAGCCTGACGAGGTAACCCTTACTCCACCGTCGCCTTGTCACGAGTGGATGCTAGAGCGAGTGAGAAGACCGTAGTTGCTTGCATGCTGACGACGGAAACTTACCTTCTTCAACTCATCAAGAGAATCTGTAGAAGTGGTCGCTGACAGAAACCCGACCGCATTGGAGCCCGACGGCCAACGTTGAAGGTCGTTCACCCCGACAGCTCCATCCTCCTTGGCGTCTTTGTCCATCAGCTCCATCACCACGACTCCCAACGCCTTGATCTCTCGCTCCCGTGGTAGATTCGCGGTCCAAGGTTGACAGCTCTCTAGCCTCGCTGCAGCATGTCATCAGCAGAAGCCCAACATCCATCAACGATGTTCTTGCTTACCGATCTTCACCGACCCGTCGTAGCCCACCAGGACGCTGGAACCACTTAGAGATCTATGTTCGAGGCCGTTCGCCGCTAGATGGGACAGGCCGTTGAGAATCTACCACGTATTAGACACATCACATAAGTTATCGTGATGGAGACCTACCTGTGCCACAACAGAAGCTAACTGAATCTCACTGGGCCATTTTCTGCAAGCGACCAGGTGGTCCAGAGAAACCGGCTGATGTTCAAATACGACATGAAGAAGATCTGCGGTCCGAAAGCATTCCAGGGCGAGAATGATGTTGTCGTGTCGGATACGTTTGAATCTATCCAATGTCTCGTCGATCGATTCTTTGGGAAACTCCCTGATGGCGAGAACGGTAGAGGGGCGGACAATGTGTTCCACCACGGCCACCGGCCCTGCCAAATTCGCACTCATAGACCCTGCTGAACGTGTCCCACGGAGATTCTTTTCGGACCACAAGCGCCTGCTGCGCCCGATCACCCGAGCTCACGATGGCGGGAAGGGAGAGATCTCTTGGCATGCCTTTCAAAAGTTTCCGACGAAGTTCCTGCTGTGATGGAGAGCCCTTTCGTTTGTTTGGTGTTTGATTCGGAGCCGGACTCTGAGAGGAGAGCCCGTCGCCTCCCAAAGGTCCCAGATTGAATTGGGTGTAGCGTTTAATCGGCCGGTGCTGACATGTTTAATACCGTAATCGATGTGCAAAGGTAGTTTCTCAGGTCAGCGGGACAAACCGCGAGGTATAAATGGGCGCTGCGAGCCGTCTCTGGCTCCCCGGCGAAATGGAGTAGGGCCACGTTTTTGGGGAGCGAGGCGTGGCACTCCATTTCTTGAGGCCACCAGAAGCATATAAAACGCTCCCCGCCATCCACGCGGAAGGAAAAAAGCAGATCGTCTCCTTGCGAATATGATAACAGATCTCGCCATGGCCTTATTCACTCAAGCAGAAATACAGCTGGCGGCTGAGCGCCGCCTCAAATACCAAGGCAAAGCCAAAATCAACCTGGATCAAATTCAAGTTCCGCTCGACAGTGACACGAAGAAGCTGGAACGGCTGCGTGGAATCTTCCTAAAGGAAGGTTGCCTTCGCCTGGATGACCGGAACCACGTTGTCTGCACCGTTTCCCGTCCGTCAAAATCTTGAGGCGTCTCTGCAGAGGGGCCCAAAAATTGATTTTTGGGGATCTTTATTTCGCCAGCCCCTTGCACAGGGCGTGTCCGGAAAATCAGAAAGTCCGACAGCTTTGCTTTTTACCATCTGCCCACTACTTAATCCACAAGGGTCCCCTCCTCTGCCCCTTATCCGCCTCGAGAGAAAGAAAAGCTAGTACCTATTAAAGATCACCGTTTCTATCAAAGCACACAAACACCTCATGGATCCTCTGTCCATTGACCTTCCGAAACCTTCAGTCCCTTATGTTGAGGGCTGGGTATTCAGCATCCAATCACACATTCCTCCACCCCTGACACCCGTGACCAAAGATTGTTGCCGTAACTTTCAAGCTGGTAGGGTGGAAAGAAGACAGCTTCGCCCAGTCGAACAGTGCCTGCGACATCCGCCATTACCAGGAAACATGGAACCGCGCACCGTCAACTTGAAGGTTCTTGATTTACTGAGGGTGGGAGACGGCTGCAATGCTCAAGTCTTCAATGTGCAGGTTCTCGAAGTTAGACCTGATCCTTGATTCTTCCAATCAAATAAAAAATTGGTTGCCAAAATATATGACCCTCTTTATTTCAGTGATGAGGAGGGATTTATTAATCCTTTTCTTTGCGTGGACAAGCATTATAATCACGAGGCTCATGCCCTTACGATGTCCTATCCAAGTCGCACGGGGGGCGAGTACCTAGGTTCTACGGGTCTTATTCATTGAATATTCCTGTTGACAGGTCTGAAATGCGCACCGTTCGACTTATCCTGATGGAGTATATACCAGGGATATCAATGCAACAAGCCAATCCAGAAAAATATTTTTCTCGCCTTGCTCTCCAAGAGATCATGAAATCAGTGATCGACTTCGAAAGTCGACTGTACGAGCAAGATATCTTACTCACGGATCTAAGCCCTAGAAATGTCATCATGGTGGAGAAGCCCGGCTTTGATCCGAGACGAGATCTTCTTTTCCTTGACTTTGCTGGCGCTCTTTTCGGTCGCAGAAGAGACGATCCACTTGCTATCGAATCAAACCTATTCCTCGGTCGCTATATTTCACCTCTTTTACGGTGGGATAAGACTATGGCAATGCAATTTAATGACTGGATTGATTGGGATTGGCAGCCCTGGATCGAAGCCGAGTATGCTCACACTGCTGCAACGATCACACCGGAAATGCGGGACACATACTGCCGATGACAATTGCTGCTGTTTGCTCACTTTTATTTATTCTGCGTGCTAGCCACATCCTAACGCACTTCAGCAAGTCTCACGTGGGAGGCAATATCTTTTCCTTTCAACGGGGGGTTTGAGGTGTTTTTCGTACAAATCCATCACTTTGTTTTGTCTCATCAAATATTCGTTGTTGTATAATGAAATTAGAATTGCGCCAACGCGTTTTTGGAATAAAAATAACACAGCTTCCCAGAGGATGGGTATGGGGGAGTGGGAAAATAATTTCCTTGTGCACTCTAGAAATCTAGCTAGAAATCCATTTGGGAATCTGAATGTAAGCTTCTGTTCAATATCCAAACCATATATTCTCTGTGTAGGCAGGCTATTCTTAACCCGAGTGTTAAACAGCGAGCCGAGCCGGCAACCAGATATGAATGACGGGAGGATGCCTGCCGCGATGTAAGACGCTGCTTTTCATCGGCATATGAGGGGCACGCCTTGTTAAATCGCATAGCGTGTGCCTACCTCAAGGCATGGCTTCGGCACGCGCTATATGTGGCACACGCCTTGTTGATGGGTTTAGCTGCGCATATAGCATGCGCCTGCCCATAGCGCCTGAGGTAGGCGCGTGCTAAGCGATTTTACGGACTCCCCTGGCCAGACCCAGAGTTCTCCCATACAAAGATGTGCACCTTACCTAGGGTATGCTAGTCATCTGCTGTTAGGAGGGGCCGGGCAGTGTTACTGGAGAAATAACAAATCCTTTTTGCGGGAAGCGCAGTCTGTATAGACCCGGCAGGCTGGGTGATTACGTGTGCCCATTGTTTCGGCGACACGTATGAAGACTACAGTACTTCTTCCAGAGCACGCTGGCTGCTCTTTTACGACGGGCAGGCTGTTCTGGCCGAGTGCCGCGTTTGGGACCTTGCTCTTCTGAAGATCGTCGCTGCGGAGTCTGATGCTGCAGGCGCATATCTTGACGAGAGTGTTGCAACGGGAGCTTCGTTCCCGTTTGTCACGCTTTGTCCTGGTAAATCCACAGTAAAAACTCCGATCATATGCATCGGTCAGCCCGGAAGCGAGGATATGGAGTCCGCAATTGCCCGTTAAAACCGAATATAATCTTATAGTAGTATCCCGGGGTGCGTTGCGTGGGTACAATTCCTGGTGCAGATCTGTGCGATAATTCAGAAATTGGAACACTAAAGCATGACGCCTGGACTTATTGGGGTCATTCGGGCGCTCCGCTTTTGCAGGTGGTGGATGGAGGGTTGGTTGGATTGCATTCTTCCTGGGACGGGGAGACAGGTATGAGGCATGGGGTTCCATTGGTTGCGATTGAGTCATTTCTGCGAGGATGCTGTGAAGTTATGGTAGGGGATTCGCTTGGACAACAGACGTTGGCAGAACATCGCAAATTGCGAGGGCAAAAGAATCAAAAAAGAATGAGATTCGAGGTCTAAGGAAAGGAATCAGAGGCCCTGATGACAAGGAGCCTATGGCCTAGATAGAACATTTATCAATTGCACTGCATTCGCTTGTTCGCTTGGTATGTGCTTTGCTTGCGTTCATAATATACATTATTGGGGAACCAAAAATATTTACTTGTCAAGCATATACAGAAGACCTCATCTGTTTGCTGGTAATGCTGATATTCCAAGATTGTTGTGAGAAATGGTCTCTCCATTCCTCCCTCTTTCAGGCTGGGATTCCTGAGACCTCGTCACTCCTGTTATTCTTAGAAGTTAAAATTTGGGATGTGTTTCCCATCCTTGATCTGGAAGATTGAAGGTCTCCATCACATTAATAGGCGCCAAGCACCCAAAATGAGGGCAGCGGTACCCGTGCAGACACCCCTGTACAAACAAAATTTTCCAATTAGTAAGGAACCGTGAGGAAGCAGGTTCAAACAAACGCGGGTGGGGTGATAATACATTAGCCATTGCAAAGTCGAAAACTTCACGGCTTCAACTCTCTCCCTTAGCCCGGCAACTTCCTGCTCAATTCTGGTTTCCGTCTCCTTGATTCTCATCTCCTGCCCGTTTGCCTCTTCTCGAATCCGGCCCTTTTCCAGGTTCAAATCCAGTCTCACGGACGCCTGTGTACGCCCTATTTCGTCGCGGAGGCGGGAGTTTAGCTTCTGGATATCGCCCGCAATTCGATCGTGGGATGCGCGGGTTAGTTGAGCTTCAGTTGAGTCGGAATTTAAGAGTTCGGAACGAAGTTTAGCAAAGTCGACTTTTTGAGTATATGTCAAACGTTCGGAATCTGTTTTGAAAACAAGTAGAAAGGTTAGAATCATGGGCTGTTACAGGAGCATAGAGGTCGGTAGTTGTAGAACGGGAAAAGGGGGGAAAGCCGTACCCTCTCTTAGAACCATAGTTCGCTTCAAATTTTGAATCGACTCTTCTATCACATCATTCAGCACTCTCATTAACGCTACTGCCTGCTCCTCGCTAAACCCTTCGCGCTTGAGTCGCTGGACAATCTTGAGTGTATCGAAATGGTGATCTCTCTGGTTGGCTGGAGTGTTGTGAAAGGCGCGGCGGGCGGGCTTGAATGTTGCGACGTATACGCCATTATGTCTAATTGAAGCGGAGGAGGTGTCATGAAGAGTGGTGGTTGAGGGGAGTGGCTTGGTCGCAGACATAGAGTAGGATCTCGAGAGTAACGACGGGAGGCTGTATAGGGGATATGCCAGAGAGGTGGGTAGGGATCGGCTGGAAACTGCTTGTGGTGGCTGTTTTGAAGCATATAGATGCAGAGACAGTCCAGCAGTGGGTCTGGCTGTCACCAAGAGTGAATTGATGATGGAAGATGACGCATTCCAGGTTATGGGTTGGGCAAGGAAGCGAGGGAGATTGATTACCTGCTTCGAGTTCGCCATGACTGTCCGGGAAGATGATAGAATGGAGTCGGATAGGGTCGTATGTATTAGCTACGGCCACTACCAAAAGCCGTATTCATGATAAACGTGATAAACGAGGCCGGAGTCGTGGTAACAACCAAAATGGAGATCCCAGAACAGCGAAGAATGGCGAAAGTTTGTCGATTTGTTGAATATCGGAGCCTGTGAAAGCCGAGATTTCGGGATATCATGTGATAAGCGCGTAGTTCCTGTGGGATGGTTAAACCTTCTATTCGGAGGAGCTAGCTAGGTTATTGCTATATTACATACAAGCGATCGCGATCACGTGTGGGCGGGGCGGTCGCTAGGGCAACGCCACCCAGGCGGGCGCCGCTACAGTTCCTGCCCGCCCCACACGTGATTCCGCGTACCGTGTATCCTTCCCAACAACGAGATCTACCATCCCCACCAAACCTTATCTACGGAAAAGCGCTAAATTAAAGTGTTCTTTAACAAGTCAATGGTATCTGGATATGATACCCAGCCTTGATATCAATTTGGATAAGAATTTCACCCTTGAGGATTGATAAGCTTCGATAAATGCTATTCTGAACTCTACTGATTGGTGATCGAGGAAAAACTGAGCGCTTGTTTTAGCAGTTCATTGGGAGGGTATTCAAGACAATTATTGCCTGTTATATTAACGATCCCGTCTATACGGAACATCTCTCCATCGTTATTGAAATGTCAGCTTTTGTGGTATCCGCTAGCGCTTCAAGATGCAAAAAGTCCCAGCCACAATTACCAGGGCATAGATAATGCTTCCCATCTCAACAAACACCACGTCAAAATAGTTTGAAAGAAAATCCGAATGCTGTTCGCTAAATCATCACCCATACGTTGTAGCAGGAATCCAGCGGCTGTGTGGGACTGTTCCTTTGTTGCTTCGAACCCCTTTCTCCCTGCTCTCAACCTGTATCAATTCACAGGTTGAATAGTTCCTTCAATTGTCTCATTGTATCATCCGGACCTGTAACCTCATGGCCAATCGTCCGGGAATCCTCGTAAATTTCATGATCGTTTCCTCCCTTGAAGCATTTGTCACCGAAAAAATGGATGGTGGTGTAATCGACACCGCTAATATTTTTCTCCGCCTCAACGTGTTGTAGACAGTAAGTTTTATCCCAACCGGTAGGGAAGACGTCGAAGGAGATTTGCCCGCCAATGGAGAAGCTGTGTGGAAGCAACGTGTTAACGAAGTAGGTCAATGGGATTCAATGGAATCCATTAAAGCCTCGTAGTGAAGGAGTCGTGTGTGATGAGTTAAAAAGTGCGAACTTACGTGAGGCCATAGTCGGCGAATTCTTTCCTCAGAGCCTCAACGAGGTTCTTCCGGATGTTGTGTACCTTATCAAACCTATTTCAGTGGATTAATATCAGGAACACCACGCGAAGCCAGCATCTAGGTCACAGCAAAGGAGACAACGTACTCCTCAAATTCGTTCCTCTCTTCCACGCTTGCGCTCCTCCCCACAGGACTAATGTTGACCATTCCATTTCTGTATTCCACAAAGGTCCCTCTCTTCCTCGGAAGCTTCACGCTAGAAATGTACCGCAAGCAATAATCAATGAGGTTCTGGTACTTCTCTTCACCTAGCCACTTGATGAAGCTGTTGGAGGCCATGGGATTCCCAAGTCGATACGCTGTAAGGCCATTTTCTGCGAAGCAGAAGTCGAAGAGCGTAGTAACATCAGTTGTTTGGGTGCCTAACTGTTCTTGTTGTTTGGCTAGATTGGATCCGCCGACCTAGAGAATTTTCGTGCGGTTAGGATATTGGGTCACTAATGCAGAAAGCAATTGCTTCCGGATAACGCAAGAACATGGGGATGAAGTGTAACTCACGAATCCAATGGCGCATTTATGTCTTAATTGCGAGAGCAGCTGCAGCATCTCGGGGGCGACAGTCTACACAAAACACGTTGTGTAAGTACTCGTTTCCAAAATGCAAAGGTTTCTGTTTCATGAAAACCAAACAACTGGACCCAACAGGAGAAAATGCTAAAAAAGGAGAACAATAAGGGAAGAAAATGCCACGCACTCCTCTGGCTGGTGTTAGAGTCTTATCGACATCAAACAGGCAGATGGTGCCTTTGAGCGGCCTGGCCTCGAGCGGTGGGTAAACTCCTGCTGCTTCGGCCATTGTGCTATATAGACGTCCTCTTTTCCTTCAGATAATTCAGACAATCAGTTAGTATGGGGATAGTTTCAAACGGAGAAACATGGCAGGTAAGAAATTGCAATGTTGGCGATGAGTTGGTGAGGGGCAACTTCATAAATCGCGGTGAAGCGCTGACACTTTTCGGTGCAGAGACCAAGGCGGCCGCTGGTTGGATGGCCCCAATTTAACCCCTTTGTTAACTAACTAATACTCCGTACATACACTTGATGAATCTTACTCTTGTTGAGATTGCTTTTTGTGGTATAGAAATTATGTGCAGTTCTTTTGTTTCCTAATAAATTCCATCATTCGGATAACTAGTTACCTAGGAACTAGCTATTGGTGATTAATATGCCCTCAGGTTTCCACCTTGCTTTGACTCCCTAAATACTTCGGTAACTATATATACTCGTAGATAGTTACTCCTTCAACCACAAGTCTTCCCACGATTTACGCAGAAAACACTTGATAAATACTACTGAAATAAATAAGCAATATATAATCATGGTGGGTCCGCCACGCTGCCATGGCTGCCTTTTATGCTTTGCGTTAATGATGTGCAAAGGACTCGGGGCGATCATAATATCCAGCATAGTCCGTTATATATTTCGACAATTCGCCAAGGGTGGGCGCAGATTTTGGATCTCATCAAATCAGCAGCTGCCAGCTATTAATATTCCCCTCTATCAAAGTGTTGAGAATTCAAGCATAGACCAATGGGGATTAGGGTCTCTGACCTCTGGTCACTTGCAGCAAGCCACAAAAGAATGGAGATAAGCCTGATCCTGCCAGGATAATTAGCATGAACCACCTGCCAGATAGATTTTAACTTGATGGTCCCAAAATGAAGCTCCACCTCATACAGAAGAACATCGAAATTATTTTGGCCTTCTGGAAATGAAATCCCTCAAAATAACTGACTTCCAAAATGGATGGCGACCGTGAACCTTTGGGCAATGAGCACGAAGATGCCGATCTAGATCATACAACCAATCCTTATCCTCAGGATGAGGCACAACCCCACTTCGACTCACAGAGCCTGCGAGTTCTTGAGGTCGTGAGCGAAGGAAACGAAGACGAGCTGCGGCTCCTGCTTGACAAAGGTGTTGATCTGAGAGCCAAAGACGACAATGGACGTACAGCTCTTCACCTAGCGGTGATTAATGATTATGAGCTGTTGGTAGAACTCCTGCTCAAAGCCGGCTCTAACACCGAAACTGCTGACTACAACGGAAGCAAACCGCTACATATAGCCGCTGAGTTAGGGAATCTAACGTTGGTCAAGCTTTTACTACGATTCAATGCCGATGTGGAGTCTTTAAATGAGGAAACGGAATATACGGCATTTTACCAAGCACTTCTTAATGGGCACACGGATGTTGCGAAGGTACTTCTCGAAAACAGAGCGGATATCGACACATTGACTCCATGTAGATCTACTCCATTGTTCAACGCTGTTATCCATGGCCATTTGGATATCGTGGAGTTCTTGCTCGAGAATGGTGCTAGTAAGTGTCTACGAGATGACAATGGCCAAACAGTGGAGGACTTGGCGATCGAAGGCTCCCCCATGATGGAGTTGCTTCGATCGGACCGCGTACTGCAAGGTCCGTCAGTTGAAAATCGGAAGGCTAAACCGCAGATTGAATACACAGCGCCAGTCCTTCCGGATGATCAGATCGATAAATTAAGTTGTTGTCGGGGATTTGAAGGCACCGTTATTGATTTCTTTGTTGAAGGAACTGAGCAGCGAATTGAGAAGACAGTGTCAGTGTACGACATGCTCTATGGAAAAGGAGCAGAAGCTATAATGAATTCTGCAAAGGAGAAGAGGATGGACAGACAACGCAGTTTTAGGTGGTATCACCTGCCCGCAAATAATGTGAGTTAGTGCCCCCAAATGAGAGCAACAAGACTGTGACCTAACTTCATTTTAGATGGAATGGGTTGAGGTATGAATTTCGTCCTCATTATACCCCAAAATAAAAGGAAAATTAAACAAATGAAATGAGGCACTAATATCCAATAGATTCTAGTAAGCCGGCATTTCGGTGAACGAGATCCAGAAGCTGTAATATTGAGCGAAGAGTCAAAATCGAAACTCGCATTAACCAATTCCATCGGTCAGCAATATCGGGCTACGGCAACTCACTCCTCTTACATGAGGCCCCTTTGTCGAACCGTCAAAGTACATCATTTCCGCCCATAAAACGTCTCTCTCGTTGCTAATGTGTGGAGAACAGTCTCTGGGCTCCTCTTTGGGCAATGACAAAGCAGAACAAGTCATGTTATTTGTAAGTCTGATGATTGATACGGTATTTCAATTCATAGGTTAACCGTTTTGCATATTCCGTTTCTCCATTTTGAAACCCATAGCGGTTATAAACGAATGGCCGATTTTCTTAAAGACGAAAAAGAACGAGCTCTGCGTGATAGTCAACCTCAGACGATAAAAGCACCATCTCACGCCCCCAAGAAAAGATCTAAATCACGGGTGACCCGCTCTCCACAACAAAAAGATGAAACTAAGCCGGTCGATCCCGAATCGGTTGATTCCGTTTCCAGCGAACCCAACTCCATGTCAGGGGATGTCGTCGAAGAGCCCTCGCGCTTTCGACTCATTCTACACGGAGGCGGGGCTCTCCTGTCTTCTTTCCTTAACTTCGGTGATAAAGTTCGGCAAAGATCAAGTCAAGTTGCAAAGATGTTAAGATTGTCACCAGGCCATCAGGAAGACCTAGAGAAAGGAAGAACTACTGCAAGCATCCAGGATGACAAGAAGGGCACCGACGATGGCGCAAATAAGCCAACTCAAACAAGCCACGAGGAGAAAAAGGAGCCTCAAACTATCGCTGTCGACAAAAGTGGTGAACCTAGCGGAAGCATTCTGCCGAAAGAGGTACCAAAACCTGGATTCAAATTAAAGGAGAATAATACGGAGAATCCACCACTTACAAACGTCGGCGTAACTGGAAGGGATACTGAACACTCGGTTAACATAGAAATTTTACAGCCTCCACTCATTGATATCCCAAGAATGAACACAGGGAGCTCTCTAGATATGGAAAACGTACATATTCCAACAACCAGCGTAAGAAGAGACACCGGAAATTCCGTAAACTTGGAAAACTTGCTTTCATCACACCCCTCTGTTAGAAGGAGGAACACAGATAACTCCTTAGCAGAAAGCACAAACTCGATGGCTCAGAAATCACAGGATATACCGACACATAAAGTCCATTGGGGAAAAGCAAAAGACATCTTAGATACACCGACCGCTACAAACTCCAGCGCAAACCATGGCAGAATTCCTCGGAGAGCTGATGGTCAGAGAATCGAAGAAATCCGAATGGCCTCTAGAATTAACACAAGTGACACAAATCGAGGAAATCTGGTCGATATAATCGAAGAAGGTTCCACAGCAACCGAACCTCGTGGAGGGGCAGCAAATATAACCGTGAAACAGGATACAAAACCTGAGCACACAAAACGGCGGATACCCTTCGACGAGCATCTCGTGAAAGGATACTTATTACCCTCGAACCCTACAGACTCCTCTCTCCAACTCAGAAGAACTCTTGACCAATACTTCTACACCCATCTTTCAACCACTGCCGCGAGGGACAGTAGTCAAGTTGTCTTCCGATACACGGAGAGGAATTCACCAGAGCCTAAAATCTTTATGGTAGATCAATTGTGGCTCTGGATACTCAATGATGGTAATATATTGCCCGATTGGAATCGATCCTTGTGGGGATATACTGATTGAATCCCAGACACTGTTATTAGCTGTTTTCCCCAACGATGGGACGTCTGGTCTGCTCAACAACCATCTATAATTGAAGACGAAACTGTCCCTCCAGTTGACCTTAAAGGTCCTGAACCTCCTCCCCCGGCTCCTGTCGCCTCCCACGAACCTTTCAGCCACGGTAAATGGAAGGATAAAAGCAAAAATGAATCGGGTCGTGTGCTGGGATGGATGGCAGGTAAAAAGGCAAAAGCGGGGAATATCCGGAAGGATTCTCAAATTAGAACACAAAAATGGAGGGAATCCTTAGTTGTCGAGGAGCCCTGGTATCGATATGCGGGGAGTGGCAGCAGTCGGTCTTCCACTATCGAAAGAAGACGTTTAGCTTTGCTCAAACGAGACCCTTTGAACGTCCACCAGATGATACTTAGTCATATCGGACTCAAGGCGCGAGATCCACTTACGACAGCGCACGACTTAGCGCATTTGATCACAGAATTTTGTATAGGTTTATTTGATCAATATCGAGTTCCAGATGAGTATCAGTTTTTTGACTTTTTTGAACGTTCTATTGGTGCTGTGGTCAGTTTCTTGCTCATCTTAACAAACGCGGGGCGGAACTGACCGTATAAAACAGATTGATAAAGAAACCCAATGTTTTGAGGCATTTGCAACTAGACTCGCCAAAACAAGCTCTGGTTCAATTGCCAGCTCAGAGGTTTTCTCCATCAGTAATGAAACAAAACTGTTAGTTGAAGTCAAGGATATCATCGACGAACTTGGAATTTTACACATGATCTTAAGTGATCAAGCGAAACCTGCAGAAGACTTTTCCAAGCTTTTTGCGGAACACAAGAAAATCAAAAATGGAAGTATCAATGATGAGAACTCCTCGTCAATTCGATATCCAGTGCTTGAGAACCATTTATACCGAGTGGAGAAGATGCAGAAACTCGCGAATCAGACTTACAAAGCAGTAAGTGAATAGAAACCCGCAAATTCGTCCCCACGCTAACATTTTGCAGCTCTATAACCTTCTTGACTTGAAACAAAAACAAAATAACGTCTCGGAGGCACTCTCTGCACGTAAACAGGCAGAAACTGCTTCGGATCAAGCTAAAGCAACCACTGAGCTTACCGAAAGGGGACTGGAGAATGCTAACCTCGCCCGCAAGCAAGCAGATGAAACCATACGTCAAGGAAGGACTGTGCTGGTTTTCACAGTAGTGACTATTATATTTGTGAGATCCCTGTTCTTTTCTCTTGATGTATCTGGAAATTAATATGCCTTAAATATAGCTTCCATTATCGTTTATGGCTGCGTTCTTTGCTATTAATCTCGATGCGTTTCCATGGAACAAAGGAGACAAGCTGCCAATGGATTATGTGTTGAGATATATGTGTAAGCAATGACATTCATTTTCTATTCCTCCCTGGATCTAACATTTCTAATAGTTAGCATCTCCGGAGCAATATCTATTCCCTTCATTCTTATTGCGTTGAACCAAGATCGGATTGCGAAGTTTTTGAAGGCTTATGGCAAACCAACTGCGACGGGCGTTTCTATCATTGTCCTGATGGTGATTCTTCTTTCTGTGATTTGGACAAGAGATACTGCTCAGGGAATGAAAGCTGCTGTAACTGTCTTCATCTTTCTGCTGGCTCTCATTTCCTTTGCAGTTCGCGGCATATACCGGCTATTTAGCAAAAAGGCGTTTAGAATAACAAGGGACAGCGATTCACCATCCTCATGGTAAATCATGAATTAAATTTATGTACAAACTTTTGCCTGTCCCTTAATTGCTATAGCACCCCGTAGACTGACTTAACTTGGCTTAAAATCTCTCGAACTGAAAACAACACGAAAGAACCCAAAATTTCCATGGAATTATCTATGCCCAAATCCAGGGATATGGAAAATAAATAATGGAAAGGAAGAAAGCAAGGCAGTAAACTAAAACGAAGCAAGGACAAACCCCCGGGATATCACAAATCTATGAGTTGGGATACAATTGAGATACTCATGAGCATAATAATTAGGCCTACAAAGACAAGAGCAGTTCCAAAAACTCCACCCCATCCCAAAACCATAGAGACAGCTCCAATGTGACCCTCAACTGCTCCATAATTGAGCTCTTCACCCATTGTTACACCCGCAGCGCTCGATATATGCTGCCAAAACACTGATACAAATATTAGAAGCAAGGCAAGGCCCGCAAGGACCGTAGCAAGCTGAGATACTATCCTTGACGGAAATGGTCTGACTTCCTGCTCGCTGCCGCTCGAATTCAAGTCCTCGTGCCAGCCAGGAAATGTGGAGAGAAGTAGGAAGCAAATAAATACAAATGGAATCGATGCAAATCTAGTGACTAATTAGCAGATTCTCCGACGGAAGGATAAAAGTACAGCACCAATTATTCTCCGAAATGCTAGGGATAGCGCCTACATCAACCCACTAAAGACCGTTTGGTCTTTGAACGCCTTGGACATGTAAAGCAGATTCAGGGGGTCAGCATCTGATGCTTTTTGCTCTCTGATGGCATTTGCAAGAGCTTCCGCATTCCGAGCACAGATCCAGAGCCCTGAGTTTTGCTTCATGCAATGACCCAAGTATCCGGTACGTATTTCCAATGAAGTCGCATTCCTGTTAATCCCAGCAGACAAATTCGCAAATATTGCTGGCATACTTGGATTGAGTCTGGCTGGGTCGGCATTCTGTAGGGGCGACGAGGTTATATTGCCGGTGTATGATAGCGATATTAAATATACATTGGCAAGAGCAGAATTTGAACATCCGGCAACAAGAATTGCTGCAATACAACAGACAAAAATATTAAACATCCCTTCTAATGCGCTGTGCCAGGCATGATGAGAACGGAGGAGGCGAAACTCTTACATAAAAATATGATTGGCATAAGAAGAAAAATCATCAAAACATGATGATACCCAATTAGAGGGATGTCTAACATGAAGTTCAACTTGTTAGCAACTAACTCCGAAATTCCCAGTATTGGAGAGGGAAATAGGGATACCAACATCGCACCAAGTCTTTTGAAAGTCCAAGTTTCGCCATGTTGCACAAAATCTGGACATTCAAGTGATTAATTCAAACAGACAACTGGCTATCTGGATAACTTATTCTCTGCCCTGGTTGTGAAAGGATGAAGAACAGATGGAGAGCACCCTCATTCGAGGATCCAACGAAATAAAATCGATCCATGTTTTCTTTTTCCAGTGCGGAGTCGTTCATAGCCTCACTCAGCTCCAGCCGACGCACCACCTCCGATGCACCTCTGCCAACATGAGCCAACCAGACCAAGACTAATCCGGCGTTGTTGCTTACTGAGGATTAGGATGGGGCACTTTTTTGCCGTCCCAAGAAATCATATGAGGGATACTTTTGGAACGATCTTATCAGATGCTTATATCGGAACGTAACTAATCAACCACCTATTCGGCCTACCCCACGCGTCCATAAGTCCAATCAGCTAAAATGCCAACCTTCAAAGTGGATAAAGTTTCCTATCAAGAGGGCAGATTTCTTTTGGCTATTAAAGCTTTAGAAAAAGTTCAAATTTCAAGTGTCCGAGCTGCTGCTTGCATGTATGATGTCCTTCACTCAAGCCTAACTGAATGATTGAATGATTGTATGACTCAAAAAAGATTCTCAGTTCAGTAATCAAAAAACTGGCCTCTACGAGGAATCAGTCCTTGTCCAGTGGATATCATCCATGGATAAATGAGATCAGCCCCCTGGGCTGAGTACTATATGAGAAATAGTCAATCTTCTTCTCTCCAACTAAGAAAGGTCTGCAACTTCATCAACTGTTGGCATCAACCGAGTTAATTGATTTATCAACTGCTATCCTGAGTTGAAATCCTGATTTTCTCTATCATATGATCATCAATGAGCCCTGTGTGGAGATCTCAAGGTTATTCAAGAACGATTTGAGCTTGTTCAAAATACTATACAGAAGTATGAGATCACACAGGAGAACATATACAACTTTGATGAGACTGAGTTTCAGATGAGAGTTATTGAGACTGCTAAAATGATTACTAAGTCAGAGAAAACCCTTCGTCTATATGTCGTTCCGCCCCTATTCTTCCGCCCCTTCCTATATTAGTATCCGCTCTCCATTTGCCCCTCTCTAATCCACTCAGGGGCCCTAATCTTTCCTATATTTCCTATCCTATGCGATCACTCCTACCATATAGAGTGATTATAGTGTGTATATATAGCAGAGCGTCCGCCCATCTTATTAGAAGAGAATCAGATATGATTTATCCTACTTACTCAATTGCTTGTGTGCATCAAATTGGTAGCATGTCCATATCTCTCTAAAAGGTCCAAGATCCACTGAATCAATCAAGGTTCAAGATACATATCAAATTGATCAAAGATCCACTAAATCAGTCACTCTAAATCATAATCACTAGTTACTCTGATTCATAATTACTAGTCCAATCATTTTAAAAAAGTGTTAGCTGTGGTATCATCCTCTGAATCAGATCTCAATCACCTCCAAATTACTGTCTTAACTGCCTTATAAAACATCAAAGATAAACATTCTCATCATTCAAACACTCTTGTTATTTCAATGGCTTCTGAATCCTCAACAAGGTTAGAGGATGCTGGGTTAGTCAGTAAGAAGCAAGATGCTAATGAGGACACTCATCACAGCAGTTTTTATCAATGCATACAAACATTCAACAGAAAAGTACATGATAGCAATCAAAGAAGTATGAAGAAATAAGAGTTATTGATACACAGAATTATGACTGTTGATTAAATAAGAGTGATTGATACATAGAATTATAACTGTTGATTAAATAAAAATGATTGATATATAAAATTATGACTGTTGATCACTTTCTATAACTGTCTCAAGATGAAGAAAGTGCTATTCACTGTCTCTGCAAGACAATATAACAAGATGAGTGCAACAATGCAGAAAACCTTAGCAGTAGAATAAACAACTGTCTTTCATCAGTGAATTCAGATGTTCAGAACAGAAGTCATCAAGTACATCAGAAATCAGAGATCTATCACTTTTATCTTTGCAGATTTTAGTCACTCAGTTGCAGAAGATGATTACTGCAATGAGAAAGTAATACTAAACATTATAAAGAAGCTTAAAGAGCTCAATATACAATTAAGAGAACAGAAGAACAGATTGACAGATCTCAATATGCAGTTAAAGAAGTGGAAGAACTAAGTGATGAATCTGAAATTTCAGCTCTGTATCTATGAGTCTCTTTTCAGTGAGTGAGAGAAGAAACTAATCACTCATGAGATTCACTCAGAGTGTGTTAGTGTCACTCACTTATTCATTATGAGACTGAGTCTGAGAGAAGTCAGTTAAGAAGTGTTGAGAGCAATAAGCTGTCTGTGAGAATTAATTTTGTATGTCAGAGTCAATCTAAAGCATAATAGAACTGCCAGTACAGAGTGTTACATATATGATGTGGAGAACAATAGAATAAGATGAAATAATTGATCTACTACTGAGAGATATGATCAATTCATATCTCTTATGACAGACATTTGAGATGAAATCATTATTTCTTTATATAGCAAGAAGCAGTCAGTGAGATTCTAAACAGCAGATCTTATACTTTACAATTCAGACAAAATAAATGTGATCACTTTTACATTATGATTAGAGTTCATGATAACTCTGAAAGAGAAGAGAGTGATTTTCAGAGTGATTTCTCTATGTCTTAAGAAGAGAACTTTGAAGTGACACAATGAGCTATTATCTGAATGCTGAAATGAGATGGTAGTTTCACTTATAGTAACAGTCAATAAACTACAGAGTGAGTTTCAGCTTTTAGAAGAAAAGATCTGAGATTAAGCTCAGAAATTATAATTTTCATTTAATAAGATAAGTGAGCTACTGCTTATCATCTACATTATTTACAAGATCACTCTTTTATGAGCAATAGTGATTTTCAATCAAATTATGATTAAACATTTGTTGTAAAAGAGATTGAAGAGTAGTCTAGCTATAATCACTTCTCTCATTTCAACAGAACATCTAGATAATTTTCACAGATGTATACATGATAACAAGCTGGCTGCTAGACATGTCTGAGGAGATTGACAACAGTAATTTCTTGAGTATGAGAGAGTGAGATACTAAATAAAAAATATATCTCTTATATTTTGTCAGTGTGATCAGCAGACTAAGCTGATCATTCAATCATAATAGCAGTATTAATTAAAAGCAGAAGCTAGCAAATCTAATCAGCAAACTAATCAGTAAGCTGAGTCAACTATCTAATTATAGCAGCTGCATTAGTTAAAAATGAAAGTCAGTAAAACTGATCTGATGACTTTACTCAAGTTCATACTTATCAAGCCTGCATCTACCTCAGCAGCAGAGCGCTTTACTTATGAGGGCTTGCACTATACTAATAGATACCTCAAGAAGACCAGCAATCATATCATGAATCAAGTGAAATTCAACATCATAGACCCATTATCAGATATGAAAGATGACTTTTCAAAGTCTGATAATGAGACAGAAAACTAAATGAGAAGATGAGCATTAAGAAACTCATCTCATCAGCAGAAGCTGCTGCAGCTTCTCTCTCAGAACATCTCATTTTTAATACAAAGACATATGTATTAGTCAATAGCATTTCAAAAAATGATCAAAAGATTATTAATAGTCTATATTATCTGTCATATATATTTTTATTCATTCAGATAATCACTCAGTGAAGAGAGTTGTTCATATATATGAATACTGATATCAGAATCTCAATGATGTGAAGATAATGAAGCTATTTTTCTTGCAGTATCTATCTATCTCTATGTCAAATAATCACAGTATTGAAATCAGAGACATTAGACATCTTCAATACATATATTAATTCAGATATTATTATATAAAATTAAAAGAGTTTTCTCTTTTTCATGAAGAGTGAACTTCATTTAGTAAAGCATTTAAATTGTAATATCATATTAGTCAATGATATTTTAGCATCTGCTAGTGTGAAAATCACCATGCAAGATCAAGTAGTGATATTTTTTGATTAATATTCTGTGTGAGCAAGAGCCTTCTGAGAGGTTGTTCAAATGAAAGAACAGAGATATTCATTAGAAAGAGTAAAAAAGATCAGTCAGATCAGATATTAATTCACAATTCACATCATTCAATCAATCATAATCAATCTAAATGAAGAAATTTCACTTTTTGTGTTTCATGCCAGGCTGTCTATGAATGTACTTTGAATGATAAAGCTGAGATTGAGAACTGACAAAAGATCAGTTATATTCACTGAGCTGCTGCAAGTTATAATCAATTTAGAAGCAACAGTGCTCTCATTTACTAATCTAAAAGTCACATCTGTCATTGTGTGATGCTGTCAAGTAGTGGGATATGCTTCTCTGATAGAGAAAATAAATCTTACTTACTGATCTAAAATTATTCACCTAGCTGCAACAGATGATGAAGGTGAAAACTCACTAATAGTTTCTGAAATAATAATAGAAAAATCTGTAGAGATGAATATATTTTTTTATATAAATCTGATAGAACAATCTGTAGTTCAATCAATAATCAATTATCATTATCATCTGTTTCAGCCTATGTTAAGATAGTTCACAGACAGCATGAAGATGTTATTATACTTCATGAATAAAGTCAACTTTTCAGAACTCAAGTAATGTGTCTATTCATTATTGAGATAAAATTAAGAGGCAATGAATCAGATTCTGAATTCATTTCTAAATGATGACAGAATTGAATAAGTTCTTTTTGAGAATAAAAATTCTATCACATCATCAGTGTTTATTGTGTAGAATAAAAGCAAGTCAAGAGTGATTGTCAATCTGAGAACAATCAACATGAGACTGATTCTGAACACATACTCACTATCAATTCAAAGAGACATTCTACAGTTACTAAGCAATTCTACTCTCTTATTCTCAATGAATATACAGCAAGGCTTTTTCCAGCAGCTGATTGAAAAGAGTGACTGATTTAAGATAACTTTTGTCATTTATTATTGTGAGTTAGAGTAATTCACAGTCATTATCATGAAATTGATGATCTCATCCAGGTTCTTTCAACAACAGATGAAGAAAATTCTGGTGCAATATCTCTGGCAATTCACACTCATGTATATGAATAATATAATCATATACTTGCAAGAACTGAATGAGCATCTCAAACATCTGAGCAGTATATTCACTGTATTGAAGAAGTCAGAGATAATAATGTCACTAAGAAAATACCACTTCCTCTATTTATTGATAGCTCTACTGAGATATCATATCATATGACTAAGCATATTCATGCAGAAGGAAAAGATAGAGATGATTAAGAATCTTGTATTCTTCAACTATGCATAACTAGCATTTGAAATAGTCAAACAAGCACTAATAGATATCTCAATGCAAGTCTATTCTGACTTCAAATGACTTTTTCTTCTATATGTAGATTTCAGTAAGCAAAGAGGTATTGAAGTTGCTCTACATCAGATGAGCATGAATGATGTTGAAAGACTCATTCTATTTCTTTCTCATTGATTAAATATGGTAGAAAAATGATACTAAGTGACAGAACTGAAATGTTTTAAGCTTATTTGAGTACTACAGAAGCTGTCTCAATACTTAAATGATGATTTCATCATGGTTACTGATCACATTGCACTGATATCTGCTCTATAGTCACTGGTAATGAGTCACTAAAGCAATCAACTGATGAATTAAGTGTTGATTCTGAGCTCATACTTATCATGAATAATAATTCACTATCACAAGAGTGTCTCATATATCAATGTTGATACTCTATTGGCTGAACAACTTGACTGATGATTCAGAGAATATTACTTTAAATAAATAAAAGAAGATCTGTCAGATCATCATCAACTAGACAGAGAAATATTCAGATATAAAGCTGGTAGATACATCTCCAGCAGATGTGTGTATGATATCTACTAGTCAGATGATGCTCACTAATAAGATTAAGAAGTAATTGCACAGAGAGCTTTCTTAGAATTCAACATTAAAGAAAATTTTCTACAAAATGAGTTAGAAGAATCAATATCATGCATTTACATTTCAAGATGAGTTTCTATATTTTAACATTGCTTGCCTCTGCACTCTCAAATTACTCATGTAGAATATCATTTAGATTTGTTATAATATAGCAAATTATTCAGATCTATATAAAACAGAGAAAATTATCTGTCAGTTATTTTTTCTACTACATATCTGAAGAAGAATTCTAGATCACATATTGTAGTACCTCAACTGTCAAGTGATTAAATCATTGAATCACATCTGTTAAAAAAGAGCACATTCAATTCCATCATTCAAAGAATCATTCAAGATGCTTTTTATCAAGTTCATCACTAATTTATCTATCAGTGATAGCTATGACACTATTCTGACTATGACTGATAAGTTCTTCAAGATAATTATTTTGATTGCTAGAAGAGAGAAGTGAAATATATTTTAATAAGTGAAAAACTTCAACAGCAAGATGATATGCTGTTAACAGTCATCACTGACAATTATATCTAATCAAGATCTGAAGTTTATCTCTCAATTCTGAAAAAGTCTATTCAGATTGATATGTATTAAGAGCTGAATAACAACTGTCTATAGTTCACAGTCAAATAATCAGAATAAGCATAGCAATCTAACTGTCAAGATTATGCTATAAACACCTCTAATGAGTAAATATAAAACAGATTAAAATATTCTACTTCTGCAGATAGAACAAATTCTTAACTCAATTACAGCTTATTTTATCTCAGTTTTATCATTTCAGCTTATGACAGAGATCAAATCACAGTGAGTGTTAATCACTGACAAAGAGAAAGATAGTACAGTGACAGAGTTCATAGCAGAGCATGAGACTCTGTGAAAAAAAGTTCTTGAGCAATATGCACTTGTTTAGATAACAATGACAGAAGTCTTCAATCATACTTATCAGCTGTCTGATCTTCACATAGAAAACTGAGCATTTCTTAACCTTGCTCAGAAAGTGTAGAAAGATTATATCTTGAAAAAATCATCAAAATTATCACTTCTACATATAGATCTGTTTCACATTCTTGAGAAAGTGTCTGATGTTGTTCTCTGACTGAAGCTATTATTTAGTTAATGAATACACCTCATAATCTCTATGATTCACCTGGAGAAGATAAATATAATAAAAGCAGACACTCATTACTCACAGTTTAAATCAATAATAGTCAATAATCAGTCACAATTTAAAGTTGAACAGATTATAAGAAAGTGAATCAATAATGAATAAATCTATCTTTAGATTAAATGAAAGAGATATGACAATCTTATCTAGAAACCCTTGGACAATCTTTCACAGGACTGCTCTGAGCTTATCAAGATCTTCATGGTAAAAAACTGTGCAGATGACTGCGCATTATGGTAACTGATAAAAGAAAACTCAAAATAGCATATCAAAGTAAATAGAGAAAAAGCATCTGAACCTCTTCTTTTGAACAGAGAAACTGTAATATTCTGCCTCTATTCTTCTGCCTCTTTCTATATTAGTATTTACTCTCTATTCACCCCTTCTGATACGTATGAGCAATTGAATAGATAGGATAAATCATGTTTAATTCTCTTCTAATAAGATGAGCGGACGCTCTGCTATATATACACATTATAATCACTCTATATAGTAGGAGTGATCGCATAGAATAGGAAATATTAAAAAGATTAAGACCTCTGAGTGGATTAGAGAGAGGAGAGGTGAATAGAGAGCAGATACTAATATAGAAAAAGGCAGAAGAATAGAGGCAGAATATTACAGTTCCTCTGTTTAAAAGAAGAGGTTCAGACACTCATATAAAGCAATGTCAAATAAAGAGGTGGGTAGAACTGGAGAGAGTGATCTGCTTTATTCATTTTGACTCATATGGTTTTTTGCCATGAAGGCCTTGATAAGCTCAAAGCAGTTCTGCAAGAGATTGCTCAAGAGTTTTTAGATAAGATAATTATATCTCTTCTATTTGATCTGAAGATAGGTTTTCTCATTGTTGATTTACTTTCTCATAATCTGTTCAACTTTGAATTGCAGCTGATTATCAACTATTACTGATTCAGACAGTAGAAGATGAGTGTTTGCTTCTGTTAAATTCATCTTTTCCAGGTGAATCATAGAGATTACAAAGTGTATTCATCAATCAGACAGTAGCTTCAGTTGAAGAACAACATCAGATACTTTCTCAAGAACACAGAATGGACTTATACATAGAGGTGATAATTTTGATGATCTCTTCAAGATATAATCTTTTTAAGCTTTCTGAGCAAGTTAAGAAATGCTCAATCTTCTATGTGAAGATTAGACAGCTGGTGAGCATGATTAAAGACTTCTACCATTCTTATCTGAACAAGTATGTATTACTTGAGAACTTCTTTTCACAGAGTTTCACACTCTGATATGAACTCTGTCACTATACCATCTTTCTCTCTGTTAGTAATTAGTATTCACTGTGATTTGATTTCTGTCATAAGCTGGAATGACAAAACTGAGATAGAATGAACTGTAAC